CCCCCCCCCAAAAAAAATTTTTTTTTGAGAGAGACAATTGCTAAGTTCGATGCTTCATCGAACGTGTGGTCTCGATTCACTGACAGAATCGTCATCTCGTAGCGGGCTATCAGGTTCAGAACGAGGAATAGCCAAGGTGCTTTATATCACAAATACTATGTGGAATAGCCTGCACAATGCAGATGAACAACTTCATGACTCTTGCGTGACGGCCCTTGTCAGGCGAGTGCCTTCTAGGCTTTTATACAAATTTCGTTCGCAGAAATAGCCGGTCTCAAGGTGGCAGGTGGTCTCGTGAGCTAAAATTGACCAGAGGCAGAATATAATAGGTATAGCAGCATAAACTAGTGCTGATTGATTCATCATAGCAGGTATGCAGGGACCTGAATAAGGAAGAACGAATCGTGCTTGACATTCATGAGCCCTCGGTTGCACGTGGGTTAACGGTCCACCAGCCCGATACTGTCGGTTGTAAATCTCGCTACCGAACGATAAGGGTCGCGTCAGCCTCAGTCACCGATGCCCGAATGGGCGCTAGGAAAGTAGCCATCTATGTCGACAATTGATTGGCAAGCCTGCGGACGGATCTGAAGATCGTTATCATGTTGATTTAAGGTTCTTAACCTTAACTCATGCATAGCTGGTATTGGGTCCATTGAAACTCCCATTTCCCAACCGAGTGATGAACATCCAAATAATACTGCATCAACCCCCGATCGCGCGAAAATGCATCCCAATTCGCAGCCTCTTCTCGCGTCTGGATTTGTCGTGCTCAAGTCTGCTTGGCATCCCCGAACACGTGGGCCCACCCGGTGCCGTGGTTGGCCTGCGGGATCCCACTGCTCAGGGTGGATCCCGGGCGATATAGACGGATCCTTGTCAGGGGAATGATCCAGCCCAGACTGTCGGTCCCAGAAACGGCAGCCCACCTCAGGAAACTCTGCAAGGCTCGCCCACCTGTCGAGAGGGAGAAAAAGCATACATCCATGCTGGTGTGAGACATCAGCTGACTTTTGAATCATATCGCGCAAAAAGTGCTGCATTCGAAGTTTCTGAGAGGTGGTGCTGTCGCGGGGACGTCTACAAAGCAAATCTGGGTGCCATACTTCGAACTAGGCGATACCAGGAGCTTGGTTCACATCGTCAGCACCAAGCGCGCGCACAGTCACACCAAAGCAAGGCCTGCGACCAGGCCTGCGGTTAAGCCCAAAATGGCGGTGGACGCTGAAGATCTCATCGTTCAACCTTTTAAAGAATTAGTTGAGCGTGGGAAGGAAGCTGTCAGGAATGCACAAGATGCACAAGATGACGAGGCCGACCTCGGCATCGTCAACCAGATGCTCAAATCTGCGAGCAGCGTCGTTAAAGAAGGTGAACGAGCGCTTCAAAGACTTCAACCACTGTGGACATCGCAGGTCGAGAAGCATGGCCAGGCCTTCCTAGACGCCATCAATGACAGTGGTAGGCATCCCATTCCCAATGCAAGGCATAATCACAGGTCAGATATTGACAGATGACCAGAAGTCATATCAGAAAGTCGGGTAGCCCTGGATGATCTGTTGTACGATTTCGATGACTTCATTGAGGTGGAAACTTTTGACGCAGAGAGGTTTTCCGACATTCAGAGTGCCGCCAAGTCCTTTGGTCGAACAGTCATTGAGACTATTAAGCGGCTGCGCATCGAGAAGTCTGATGCTACAGCACGACCCGCAACACCAGCAGACTCCCGGCCTGAGCAGCCTCTCTTTCCTCCTCTACCTCCGCTCCCGCCATTACCGCAGAAATCTTCTATCTCTCGGCCACCAACATCACATACAGTTCGAGAAGCAGACGAATTTGCGGTTCATCCATTACGGTCTACCCAGCACTCACTTAAGAGAGGCCCCAGTAGCCGTAGTGAGATTTCAGCCAAGAATGCCGTGAGGAGGTCTGTAGCTTCCGACGCCTCTAGCTTTGAAATCCGCTCTGCAAGAAGGTTGAATCTCCAGCAAATAGTTCAACCAGACACAGAGGCTGTGACTCATGCTTCCAGGCGGCCCTCCAGTCCCGAGGTTCTCGGAGCTGAGTTCGCCAATGTCCACCTCTCGAACGGGACCTCATCGCCTATAAATGGCAACGGGGAGATACAGCCGCTTCAGCTACTCGGCACTGCTCCACGAACCACGGCATGGGTTCACGAACAAGCTACATCAACCCGGCCACGGTCCGTGAGAGATTCGATCCCTGAAGAAATGCCCATGCCATCCAATGCTAGCAGCAGGTATACTGTTAGAAGTTCGGATCGCGACAGCTTGATCTTCGATGCCCCGACAAGTCCAACTACGGCAAGGACTTCTGTATTTAGTACTAATGAGTCGTTTTATAAGCACATGCCGTCCCTACCTCCACTTCCGGACTCTGCACTGCGCCTCAATTTACATCCTCCGGCACGGCTTGAGACGCCGATGGAAACGCCGCGAACGCCACGTGAGCCAGAAATACGATCCCCCACAGCTGAACAAACCTTCGACAGCGGACTAATTCTAGCCGACGAGGCTCCAGGAGGCAACAGAGTCGCAGCTAATGACGACTCTGCTCAACCAATCTGGTATTCCCGGAAGGTGAACTGCGAGATCGGACCGCGAAGCAGTCTTTTTAGCATGGGTGGCTTCTGCAAAGGGGCGCACCTCTTTGCTGAGGGAGGAATGGAGGCTGGGACAAAGTCTTCGTATGATTATGTGAGCTTGCACAGCTGATTCTGTAGGTTACATCTGTGAGCTGACAAATTCTCAAGATGAGCAAAACATACGAGGCTTGTTGTGTCGATTGCCAATACAGTCAAGATATGTCCAAGTTACTGGCGGATGCGAAGAAAGACAGTAGGTTCTCCTTGACTGGTAAATCTTCTGCTTATATTAACGATGCGTTTTCAGAGAAGGCAAACTTCCTCACGCACGGAGTCCGCTACAGACTTCGATACCTATACAAGAGCCACGTGTTTACCAATACCCCCGGCGTTAAGAATTATGGCTGTCTTTTTTGCTCGCAGGACGGGCATACGACGCGAGAGGGCGATGCCACTGTGTTTGGCTCTCTTGATAGTCTGTTCGCTCACTTAGCACGCCACCCACAGCCACTACAACCCGTGGCCGGCATCAAGGTCTTATATGGTACGGAGGAGAATCTTACTGATGAGGACCTCCAAGAATATGACTTGTACTTTCCAAATTCCCCGCTTCCAAGCAACATTCCCGACGACGAGACAGTGAGGCTAGCCCGTCTACCCGTCGCTCGCGCCACCAAGTCCCACGACATCGGTGAGGAAGAGGTGGAACTGGTAGGGCCAGGAGGCAAGAAAGAGCGTCCACTGCCATTCCTTGCCGGTGGGCGGATCATTGGTCTCGAGTTCCTCGAAAAGTGGGAGAGCAAGTACTGCATCGGGTGGCACGATGGGGTGCGCGGTTACTTTCCCAGCAAGATTGTCGAGCTCGAGGCCCCAGCCCGGGGTGAAGTAAGACTACCAGGCATGAACGGTGATGGGGTCACTGTCAAAGCACGTTGGAAGTGGGCGCCAAAAGACTCGACTATGGGGTGGCTAAATTTCAAGGCCGGTGATACGATCAGTAATGTTAGCTGTAAGGTTTCCCTATTTAAGCCCTCTCGTAACTATATCATGGACACAATCACTAATGGTTTGTACAGGGACATTCCAAGACCAGTGGTGCTGGTCCGGCATGACTAAGAACGGCAAGGTCGGCTTTTTCCCACAGTCGCACATCAAGCCAGAGTCAATCCGTGAGGCGCTCAGCAACAACTCTTCGGCAGCCAGCATCAAGTCGGGAAACACCACAAAAACGAAGAAAACCACACGTTTGTTTAGTATCAAAAGATAATCCACCGGTAAGTACAGGCGCCATGCGCGCCTTGTATCCACCGAGATATCCAGGGGAAGGTCATTTCTAAGGATCCCTGAGAGGCGCATAGAGAAAGGGGATTCGGCGTCACTCGCCACTTTGAAACGGGTTGAATTAAATTTTCACTGTTTAGGGCCACCTTACCTAGATCGCTGGCGAATCTCCTACCATAGATGAAAGCGATAAGGATTTGAGGAACACGTCGGCGTCTGAAGCGTCTTAATATCTAACGTCTTGGACACCGATCAACATTCAATAGTTCATTACGGGCTACTTCTACTGACGATTGCATAATCGAGGAACGGTTTTGAGCAGTCGAAGTGTGATTATAATTATACTTTAAAGCTATTGTGTCTCCAAAAACAGGTCAAAACATCATCTATCACCAATAAGTGGCATACGATGAGTTACCAGACACTAATTTTGCGAACTCTTTGCCAATGATCTCGTCTACAAGTTTGTTAGTACTGCCGTAGCATAGCAGTGTACCAAACTGGTGCTTACCTGTTCTTTCTGATGGGTGTAGCTCGTCATACCTGTGGTTACGTTAGTGGATTAGATGGGCGGATTTTCTCGAAGATACTTACCACAAGAATGAAGAAAGTGGGTTTTCAGAGGTTATGCAATTTGAACCGTCCAGAGCACAGTGGTTATAGAACCCGGTAACATTAGCTGGGGCGTCTAGGTACTTCTCGGGCTCACTGCGGATGTCAAGGATGAGCTGATGCACGTTGAAGATGGCCACCGAGGCGTCGGGCCACCTTGATTTGATTTTCACTTGTACTGGCACACCATAGTCAAACATCGTGTTCACGCTAGTTGTGTACTCCTTCATCTTTTGCTCGTACTCGGTCATATTGTAGGTTGTCTTATCAGTCCAGTAGTGGTCGTCGCCAACTCCCGAATTTTGCGGAGCTGCGTAGAGGGGCGAGTATTCCAGGGGAGCCTCATTCAAGAGCACGAAGTGGCGGCCTCCAGTCTTGTAGATGGCATCGAAAACATCCCAAATACACTCGACAAAGTTCGTGATGGTCAATCCAGATTTCTGGGAGTCTGTGAGGAAAGCATTTGTCCCCAGATCATTGGTCCCAATCCAGAGAGCGTAGACGGTGTTGTCAGACTGTCGGTTCGGATAGAACGTGTTAGTGCCCGCAGCAGGGTCGACATATGCTACGTCCTCTAGGAAAGAGGGTATTTCGTCCTCCAGAACCGACGGGAAGCTGCGGTTGATTCCAGCGAGATAGCGAGAAAAGATTTCGTTGGAACAGAAAGCGCCGCTCACTAGGTTGAGATTTTGTTTAGTCTCTGTGGAAGAGCAGCCAGACCATGGCCTAAGAGCAACCCTCAGGCAACATCGTCTGATGGAGGGGGGCTATGTTCATACCGGCATAATCATAGTACTTTGCGCCCAACAGCTGTGTAGCAAAATGGCCCCAGGCATAGCCTCCGCTCGCAGTGAAGTTTGAGCCGGCTGTATTGGTAGCCGGTGGCGGTGCGCTGCCGTTGTTGGCGAAGTACGCAGACAATCGGCCCTCATCAGTGTAGCTGTCACCGAATGATACGACGTTGTCGACACTTTTCAGTTGACTCTTGCCACAAGACGTAGCAACAACAGCAGCAGCCGTCGCAAGCAATTGAAGGAGAAGCATATTGGTCACTGGAGATGCCTAAAGGGTACAGAAGGAAACCGAGGCTACGCAAAACACTCTTTCATATAGGTCGCGCTGGCTAGGCTATCTACTTATTTCGCGAGTCCGGTGGACCTGCTACATTCATCCGGAAGCGAGGACGACCAGGGCAAGGTGCTGGTGGGTATGAATCTGTAGTAGCAGTCATTGGCTAATTGTGAGGGGTATCAACACTCATCATAGTTAAAACCCAGGAATACTGACGTGCCGTGTCGGGAAGACGGGAGTCAACCCCCAAAAGATCCATTGACTAATAGGAAAGCGGGAAAGTGGAAATGCTCGTGTAAGTCGGCATGCATTGTGGTTGGAGGAGCTTCAAGAGCCGTGGGCAGAATGCAACCTGGGGGTCGAGAACATCGGGGTAATGTGGAGAAATTGGAGAACCCAAACCCCAGACATGCATCACCCCATGCCCAAGCCGTGTCGTCATGATAGGGAGTTACAACTAACGGTGAGGACGACAGTAGTTGTATGCAGCCTAGCAAGGCCCGCAAAGCTTGTCTGGCGTGAAGGTGGCTGGGTGAAGGAGGGACACAAGAGAGACTTGCAACGAAAGTAAGGGTGCTCATATCCGTCAGCCCGAGGAGGCCAGTTCCGAGCACAAGGCGCAGGTCGCTATCAGTTCATGCTAATTCGGCAGCAGGAACTAAGTAAGCATGCTACCTTGGCTGCGAAGCTGGTCATCTTACTTCCGCTTTCTTCCAGAACTGCAACCCAGCCCAGGCTTTGTTCAACTTCAAGTTTCCAAGAAACTTGGATGTTGAAGCGGCCAGTGCGCGAAGCTGTCTTTGGCCGCAGCTGGCTGCCTACTGTCCCGCCTGGAGCCCTAGCTTGGTTCACCGCCCGGCAAAAACTGCCCACCGCCCCCAAAAGCCGGCAGAATCGCCACCGCCTTGGGCGCGCACCATATCAATTCTCGCAGGCTGCCGTGAACTGCGTTTGCTTTTCCTTTCTCTCCTCAGTCTTAGGTGAGTTACCGAACCCGACCCATACTGCCAATCGTGAATTCTAACCCCTCCCAGTGCACGGGCGTTACGTATATCAGTGAGGATTCGTCCGAGATTACGTTTTTGCTAGTTGAAAACTATAACATGACCACTTCTATTTGGGCAATGCCTGGGTAGAGAATTTTTGGCATACTCATCTCGTAAGAGAATTCCTTTTTTTTTCATCACTTTGGGTCCCTTGCGGATCGGAGCGAAGAAGAAATTTCAACAGCCGCAGCTAGCACCTGCCTCGCCTCGATGGGTAGCACATGCATGTGAAGGGTCGTAGACGGCACGCACTTTCTACGGACCCCGCGTTAACGACGACAGCGCTGTATGTTGACGCGTGCAATGCAAACGGACTGTTTATGGGACTTCGGCAAAGGTTGGCATGTCATAAATCCACTCTCATGTGTACCGCGACCAGGCGCGCGACGCGAATGGACACGCGACCTTTCCGCATGCAGCAAAAACGACGATTCCCTCGGTGTTTTCGTCAGCAAACGCGACTGGCGGACTCTGTTCAGCCCTACTAGTAGATCCATGACGCACATCGACGTGTCGTGGTTCATAGATGGTGAATTCACCGGCGTTACTCGGCCTTGAAGAAGAGCGCTTGGGCATCACAACATGTGAACAACCGCTAAGTTGGTATCAATGTGCTGATCTGCCCCGCGACTACGCCGCCACGACAGGAGCGCCTCGCTCAGAAGGAGCTGCCACGATCACTGTACAACATTCACTTCGGCACGACGTGACACAAATCAACGTGGAAAATCTTATTTATCAAGTTCAGATACTCGGTTGCGTTACGCGCTCACCCCAAAATTCAACCCTTAACGAGCCTTCCCCCAAAGGCACGGCACTGTCTGGACACATTCTTACATCGGGGAAATCAGCCCCATCAACTCTAATAATAAGATGATGACCACTGGTACTGAGATACCAAGGGCATACCAAAGCACATTGGCAAATGCTTAGAGGCACTGCGAGTAGTAGTCGTTCGAATAGGAGCATGACGAACCGCTTGCGCAGGTCGTACATCCGCTGTACCCTGAACCTCCACATTGTCCGTACCTGGCTACCGTGCAACCGCCGCTTCCGCCGCCCGCGGTTGTTGTGGTTGAAGGTGCCTTCGTAGTAGTTGTTGCTAGAGTCGTGGTCGTGGGTGTTCCGCCACCGCTACCCCAAGCGTTCAGCGCAGATGTGTAAGCTGGTTTCTTAGCCAGTGCCGAGTTCCACGGCAAAGGCGCACCGCCGGAGATCCAGGTGTACTTGTCAGCAACTCCCCATTGAGTGATGCCAACACACTTCGAGACTGCCTTGCAAGCATTGACAACGCTTGCGTAGTCCTTCGCCTGCTGCTCGAGGGTTGAAGATGTCCCTGGGGCCGGAGTGTTGATATCAAGCTCAGTGTATGCTACCTCAACGTTCAGGGCAGCGAAAGCGTTCAGGTTGCTAATGAGATTCGCCTGATTGACGTTCCCGACAGACATGTGGCCTTGCAAACCCATGCCATCAACTCTCGCACCATATGCCCTAATCGTCTTGATAAGGTTCTGCGCACCAGTAGACTTGGACCCGGGAACATCGCAGTTGTAGTCATTGTAGTACAGCTTGGCAGATGGGTCGACCGTGGCGGCATGTGCGAAGGCAATGGGGATGAATGCCGGTCCGATGGCCTTGTACCAAGCGGAGTCAGTCCGATACCCTCCATTCTCGGCCAGGGCTTCGTTGACGACATCCCAGGCGTAGCACTTGCCCTTGAAGTGTGTCATGACGTTGGTGATATGGTTCTTCATGATCGAAATCATCGTCGCATTGTCGAAGTTGCCGTTGGTGACTAAAGAACCTGTCAGAATCGCAGTCGGACTCGGATTACAAGTATCGAGACTCACCCCATGATGGTAGTTGGCTGTGCCATACCAAGGTATGACAGCGCATGGATTGCCCCGTGCTTGCTGCTTGGGAAACGATTTTATCAGCATTTCCGTAAGAGAACGAACCCCGGGAAGGCTCTGTGGCGTCGAATTTCATCTCATTCTCGCAGGTGAATGACCCGAAATCCTGGCTGTTCGTCCCAATGGCCTTTGCAGAGGCATCGTTCAACACGTTCGGGTTGATAGCAGTCCCCCAGTACAGTTTACCGGCAGCCTTCGCGCGAGACGAGAGGCCGTCTGCAGACACAAGGCCTGATACAAGCGAGAACACGCAGATATCCCGAACGGAAACCATGGTGGACACGTCAATAAGGAGAAGGGTTGCGGACAAGGGAACCGCAGTTACTATCTGTGCGGGTAGCACTGATTATATAAGGTCAAGGAGAAGCTTACCGTGAAGATGCCTCCTGATTCCAACCTAAAAGTAGGCAAGACCGCATAGGACTATTGGCGGTGCGGCCATTGTAAATACTACCTTGCCTGGCAGGATCGTTTGTCATAGTGTGTGCTCACCGGACAAGTAGAGGTCCGCCAATCGTCATGAGCAACGGGTCGCCTTATCTGAGTTTTCATGATTCACGTGGGATATACTCTTAAGCCTTTGGGAGCCCACCACTAGGTCTCAGCTCGGAAGTTGTCCTCACAGGGCTCAGCGTGTGCCCTAGAAACCTAGGCGCACCTATGGCTGCGTAGATACCGTCAAAATAGCAAGCGTTGATGATATCTCGTGGCCACGGCATGGCAAGATATTTCCCCTGGCCCGTGGATTCCGTAGCATTGAAAATTGTGGCCCTTGCCAATGTCGATCCCGAAACGGAGCTGCGGAGGCAGCAGCCCGGAGCTGGCGCCCACCTCCGGAACGCGGACGGCATAGTGCGATCCCAATGACCAGGTAGGGGTTGCCGCTGTCGCCACTCGGTGTAACATCATTGAGACGAGGTTCCGCGATTCCGCAAACAGTGCAATAAAGGTCGACCTTCTCTGGAGCGCAAGATATGCCTGACCACGGCGAACACGCCAAGTCTCCGGATTAATGTCCTGGTTACCTTGAATAGGAAGTTTCAAAATTCAATAGTAGCAATACGCACCGTCCAGCATAACATGGTACGACATCTGTTGGGATCATTCTTGCCATGAGAGATGCCGTATTCCGTGCAGACTCTAGTGAAGGCAGCGAGCTAGGCACTCTCCCTAGACCTGCCGTTTAAACGAGCCATTCTCGCTCCCACCATGGAGAAGAGGCCAGAAAAGAAGATTGTCCGTCAAATCGATGGCCGGAGCGCGCTTGTTGCTTCAAGTCTTTTGTTTTCACTTCATCGTTCGGCCACATCTACACAGACCCGCACCAGAGAACAAGGGTCGTAGGCATGGTGCTTGAGACAACTTCTCCGACGGCCTCTACATTGGTATTTTTCCCACGTCTCCTTCCCGCACTCCTGCAATGAATTAACGGCTAGCTTTTCATGGCCCATGTCTCTGGGGAAGACGGCGTTGATTGCACCGATCACGCAGTCTACCGTTAGTGCCGTCTGAGGGCAATGGGGGATGGTAGGGGTGGGGCTCAAGGACACCCGACTGCCGGCGCTTCGGACGTCTTCCGACGGAACAGGAGTCGACGACTTGGGCTGCCTCTCTTCCAATGTCGCGACTCCGATCAAACCAGTAATAAGCGCCCTCGGTGGCCCTGAGTGGATCCTATCGTCAGATGATATGAGCCGATCAACGATTGGAATAAGTGCGGACCCGATAACCGTCTCCGCCCAATGCTCCCGTGCCACCTCCGAATCTACGGGGTCAGTACAGTGGCGATAACTTGAACGTCAAATGGTTAACGGTTTCCATTTCTTGAGCTGGTTGATATAAAGATTGCTACACGTTGGAGTTGGTGGTCAGATCAATCATATTGCTAGCCATTTCCTTATAGGAACCGTACCCAGCCATCAGCTTGTAAAACCTGTTGTCGCCTTACCACTCATTACACATAATGGCCGGCATCGTACCAAAGCCTTCGGGCCCGAACAAGCTCTTCAATAACCCCGGCCAAAAGTTTGGGGATTTTAGGGACGATATCCTGAGGGATGGATATGTTGTTGTCAAAGGCGCTGTCCCACGAGAGCGTGCAGAGAAGTACGCCGAAGAAATGTACAGCTACTTAGAGAACTTCAAAGGCGGCCTAGGATTCAAGCGTTTCGATCCCTCAACGCATACGGAGCAATACTTACCAGTCATCAACGAGAAGGGCATGTGCTCAGGCTACGGGGTCAACCACGAAACATTCACATGGGACATTCGCTGCGAGCCTGGTGTCGTCGATGCCTTCGCCAAGGTGTTTGACACTGAGGACTTGATCGTATCATTCGATGCTGTCAACTTTGCTCTACCAAACCGAAAGGATACCAAGGAGAACAAACCCTGGCCGCACCAGGATCAAGACCCTGAGAAGCCTGGCTTTAGGTGCCTGCAGGGCATCGTCAACCTCCTACCAAACGGCCCCAAGGACGGTGGTCTGATTGTTTGCAAGGGTGCACACCACCTTTCCGAACAGTTCCACGAGGAGTTCCGCGACGAGCCCGACAAGGTCTGGGCATGGACGAAGGAGTGGTATGGCTTCAGCGACAGGGGCATGAGGTGGCTTGCAGACAAGGGAATGGAATGGGTCAAGGTCGAGTGTGAACCGGGCGACTTGCTGCTCTGGGACTCACGAACTCCTCATTACAACCTTAGCCCTACCGGAGACAGGCCACGATTCGCTACATACACTTGCTACATGCCTGCCGCAGATGCCACTCAAGAAGATCTGCTGCGCAAGAAGGAGGCCTTCGAGAAGCAGCTCGGCACCACACACTGGCCCAACGCAGCCCACGTTCGCGATGTTAGCCAGCCGTTGATGCGGAAAGATGGCACGCCTTGCCCGTACAATGATGACAAGCCCCGACAGCCGATCAAGCTGGATGAGAGGGGAATGAAGCTCACAGGCATTTCTTATATTACCGCGAGCGCTTAGTGGAGTAAGTAAGTGCCTCGGGATGTTTGAACAGTGTATGTAGCAAATTGATATCAATGTCGATCCGTTCTACTATAGAAAGTTTTGCAACATGAACTTCATCTGTGATGCAGTAACTCGTTCATCGAAACTTTGGCGACGGCTCCTTGTGATCTACTTGCTCATTTGGCAGTGGCTCACACGGTCCTGATCCCTGGTCCAACATTAGCGACACGTATAGTTTGGGCAATATCGATGACTTACGTAGACCGTTCGGGGGAAAGCCGACTTCACTTGGTATAGAGCCTCATGCGGCAATCATGTCTGCCAATAACCAACTGCCGTGTGCCCCGAGATAGCTTGGTAAAAGAGATGCGACCTTTTCAGTGAAGTTGCCCACAGCGTTCGTTTGGAGTCATCCAGAATCTCCAACAAGGGACATATCTTGAACGGCTTTCGACAAGCCGCCTAAGTCCTTTTCCCCAGGCCGGCGCCAGTGGATTGTAGTGCTTGTGAAAATCGGGTAGAAGTCTTTGTCGTCAGGAAATACTGCTTTGTCGCAGCACTCATCTAGTTGCCGCATTTTGGCCCATTCAGAGGCTTCAGCAGTTGCATAACTATAGTGTGTCAGTCACTGGCTACAATTATAGGAGGGTAAAGGCCAGGCGCATCGTTCGCGCCTTACCAGTTCAGGGGGCTACCTACTCTTCCCAAACGTCATATCCAGTCCCGATGAATATCGCTGGTATGGCCTTCTCGATGGCGGCTGAGTATATGTCTCTGTACAGATGTACTCCAAATAAAATGGAATCCTCCGATACCTCGTCAAAGCCTGATGGAGAATCGACAACTTCGAAACCGAGGGTTTGGAGGAATTTCTTGTCAGCGTTGGTGAAGCAGGGCTCCTGAAATATGCAGCGTATCTTGATCTTATCGGATGCCTCCAGCCGCTTGACAATTGTAATAAAGGCGGCGAGTTGAACGTGACTTCGCCGGCGAATTTGCCATGATCCGTCTTCTGGGTCGAAAGAACCGAGGCCCAGGCATATTGCCTTCGTAGGACGCGACGAGCATTCTTTTGATGACAGAAGCTCTTGCAGACGGCGGCAGCATTCAGACTCAGCCCATTGACGAGAGAATTTCTCATGGTCCAACTGGATCTCTTGAAGTGAAAGGTGCGTGGATGCCCTTGCCTGTGGTGAAGGTTTCGTGACTGGGACCGTGGCACTGGCCAATGGGACGGCTTTCCTCTTCCCAGTTTGGCGGTGCCGTTTGCTCGTAACAAACGTCCAGGATTCCTCCTCACCTTTCGGTGATGAATCGCCTGACCGTTCCATAGCCCGTGTTTCTGCGGATGACTGTTTCTACCATAGATTCCCTAAGCATGGGAGCCCTAAACTCACCGCGCCTTGATCAACTACTGCGACCAAGGCGAGCTTCCCACTCCCCCCAAAGATGGTCTACGCTTTTTACCTCTCAGTCAACAGCAAGTGCCCCTCCCTCTCAAATGCAGTGCACGCAGAGCTCTTCACTAATGTTTGAGTCGACTCCGCAGATGATTACTCAAGCGCAACTGGCTGGTTTGTGGTCATAGAATTCGCGGTGCAAGGGTACTCCACACTATTAAGCTTTGTTCCAAAGCGCCGATGATTTCCCGCATACGCCGCCAGACTTGTAACAATGGGAACACCGCGGACCGTTGCGACCCCATGGCTTTTAAGTAGCGATGTCTGCCTATATCATGATGCTAATGGCTATAATTACTGACTACATTCGAAGATTGTAGCCCGTCTAAGGCCCTTATGTTGTGTGAGGTGAACTTGACGTCAGCCACCTGCACATTGGATACAGACTGACTGTAGCATCACGAGCCTCGCTAAAACGTTATACAAGCTGGATTGAAGACACCAAACAATATCTCGGAAGAACAATACACCATAAACCGTGTTACAAAGATGGATATTGGAGCCAATTACAGGCATGGACATGAGAGGAAATTTAGTGTTAGTTGCGGTATCACTACCACCAATTCATGCTGTCCAGTCACTTCAATGTACAACTTGAATGATTTGTCTGTGAACGAGACCTTGCCATATATTCAGAATGTTAAGATGCATTCAGACTACAGGTATAGTATACTGCCAAAGGCAGGATGAGTGCAGTAAGATTGGGTCGTCGGTTACTGTTTGCGAGCGCAACTGAACAGCGCAACCCAATAGCCAATGTAGGTAGGTAGGCCCTCAAGGTTGCCACAGTCCAATCATGGTCGTCTCCTACATAGATCGCGCTCCAATATTGTCGCAATCACCAAATCCTACCTTGATACCTTGCTTCATTTCCAAGTGGCCTACATAATACCGGTGACGCTATTGAAGATGTCGGCCCGTCGCGTAGTCCATATTTAGTTCCGTGCATCTTCAGCAGCTCCGAGTGAGGAGCGTGGTAATACGTAGTATGGGGCGAGCCTGCATCTGGAGGATAAAAATGGCAACTTCGCAGTGTGTCGTTGCAACCCCACCAAACCGACAAATGCCTATTTCAGCGCCTCGTGGTACCTTTCGACCAGACCAAATGCTGACAGCATAAACAGGCTTTTTGCACTAATTGTCAATTGTTTGCTTATGGTGATCGCCTGCAGAGGCATCAGTCTGAGTAGTCACGAAGTGCGGCAACCAAGCCCAACCTCTAAGATAGTCTGTCAAGTGCTCCTGTACGGTCGAGACAAGTGATGGACGAATCGGGAGGGATGAAGGCGTCGCGAACATCTGCGGGAGAGCCCGGTGGGCTGTCGCGATCCTTCGAGGTACCCGGCCCCCGGAAAAGACATACTAAAAGCCTGAAGTGCCATTTCAAGCGGCACAGGCAATTCTGGCAATGATCTGAGCTTGTTGGCCAGGACCCTGAGTCCACAACATGCCGGTAACAAACAAGCGCTCCGCTGCTACAGCCATCTTACATCACCAACAAACTTCGATCATCACATCGCGAGGCCACGCTGATAGGTTCGCCATAGCAGACAAGCGGATCAATCTTGAGATCGTCGTTCGACGCTTCATATCTTCAAGGCTGCTTGGATTTGGGGAAGCACCATCGCTAAGGGTGCAGCTGATGCAGGAGAAGCGCCCAAAAATAGCCCCCACCGAAGGGCCGTTGCGCAAACTAAGACTCGGCATGCTGGTGCCACCACTCTTCGAAATCCTTCGTCGCCCGGATGGGATTGGCAGATTTCAGCCCCGAATGCTCTCGCCGGCGCTTAGGTGCCTGCAGTGTGCCATGATCTCGCCATTCAGAGGGCCCGGGGGCCAAGCGATCCCTGCCCTGTAGCCCCCAGCCGTCCCCGCCGCCCATTGGCCAGATACCAGCGAATCACTCGCGATGTCACCTCTCGCCAGCGACTCGCCCAGCCAGGTAAGCGCCCGGTGATTGGCTCCACCAGATCGACGACAAGGGGATGCCAGGGTCGGGTCCATCTTGTGCAGGTCTTTGCACATGTACCAGGCCTTCTCACTGGTCCAGCCCGGCCAGAAATGCCGCCCGCGTTGATTACCCTGGGCCATCGCGAAGCGGGGATTATCCAGTCGTTGATATCGAGCATGCGAGTCCCATCTGGCCAGAGGGCCACGAAAAGGCCATGCATGCAGGGCGGCGGTTGGTTGGTAGCTCTCTAGCCCTCTCAAATAATACCCAATGCGCATCTCGCCATGCGACCTGTTCCCGTCCTCTTTAATTCTGCTGTCGTAATTCTATAGTCTTGGAAACAAGCTACACTTTTGGCCTCTCTACTCAAGGCTCCTTTGTCGTTGAGCTGTGGGACAGTATCTTTACAAATCTTGGCTGGCGCCATCTCTACCCAAGTCATCCCTGTGTGACCATATCCGGATTCTTACATACTCGAAGAGCTCGTTCCCGATAGGACCGCTCTGAGGTGGCTGACTGTTGAGTCGAAACGACGAAATCTACCAACACTAGACACAAGAGGAGTTCGAGGAGCCTGTGAGAGGCACACTGAACACGACCTGAGAATATTGGTCTTATTCTTTGGAAGCCGTCCTTTTCTCCACACCAACAAACCCGACAAAATGATGTCCTCTCTATTCTTGATTATAGCCGCGTCCACGCTGGCAGCCGCGCACACCATCATCACATACCCAGGCTGGAGAGGCGACAACCTGATATCGAACTCGACCTTCCCTTATGGCATGCAGTGGATGTATCCATGTAAGTAACAATTTCTTCTGAAGAGCTTCAAGTCCTCTCTTGGAGTTCCCTCTTGTGCCGGCCGTCTGCAAACAGGGACGTCTTGCTAACAAGACAACACAGGTGGCGGTATGCCCCTGACGACGAACAGGACCTACTGGCCAACAACCGGTGGTGCAGTCGCTTTCCAGCCGGGTTGGTTTCAGGGTCACTCGACGGCATTCCTCTATGTCAACCTGGGTATTGGCTCCGACGGACCGGACGGCGGCCCATTGAACATGTCGCTGCCCATGGTCCCGCCGTTCCAACTCCTTGGCCCATCCAACAACCCGTTTCCCGGCACAGTGTGCTTGCCCCAGGTACCGCTGCCCACCAACCTGACGGTCAAGGCTGGTGACAACGCCACCATCCAAGTCGTCGAGATTGCTCAGCATGGTGCTGCGCTGTTCTCGGTAAGCCACCATTCTCCCTCTCCCCGGGCATCAGGCGTCCACTAGGAAGAAAGTAGAATGCCAAGCTAACATACTGGCTGACAGTGTGTCGACATCATCTTCGTCGAGCCCGGCGACAGCCGTCTGGCCGAGGTCAACGAGACCAACTGCCTCAACAGCACCGAGCTCGGCTTCGCCGAACTCTACACCATCACTACCAAGGCCGTCGGCAGCACGGCGAACGCAACTCTGTCGAGCGCAACATCTCTCGTCCGCTCTAGCTCATCGTGGCTGGGCTACACACCACTGCTCCTCGGCGCTTTGTGGTTCCTCGCCTAAGACGATCCCAGAGCACATGCTGCTGGCGCAAGACCGTTGATACTGGAAAGGAAGGGTGGTGGGGGGTTAGTGTGACATAATCGGCCTTTTTAAACACTCTGTACATTGGCATCTCGACAGGCGTTTGTGGCGATTCTTGCGGGTATTCCCAACGGGATTTATTGGATTTTTGTTGATGGCTATTTGAAAGTGCCCCTGTCCGGTCTGTTTATACACGGCGCCGAGAAGAAAAACGGGCCAGCTGGTTTTCCCGCTTTCTGAGATAGGAAAGGGGGGCGAGGAGATGGAATCTGATGAGATCTTATACGCCATTATACCAGTTCTGCTCAGGGATCTTTGCGTTCCCGTAGCGAAATTAGATATTTTCATGCTGAAGAAAATGGAAAACATCACAGATCTCCCTCGTGCTTATTTCATAACAATCTGTCGTCCACGCTGTGACGGACCCAGGGCATAGTCCTTCCTTCAGTTTCCAGAAGCACGAGGGAGCCGACCAGGTCCAGAAATCGTCGTATAGGAGAAACGCCGAATTCGCACTCTCAGTCCAGCTCACTAATCCGGTCTTCCGGGAGTTGCTAGCTACTGACCGGCCCACGAACACATCCGGTCGCAGCAACCGCCCGCCGTTCTGCGACCTGACGACATCCATCCCTTCTGCCGGCATTCTTCGGCAATCTTGAAACTTGACATGTGTCCTTTGCGCCAATAAAGTCCCACGTCACAACGCCGGGCGGCAGAGCAGGCCAGGCCAACCCTAAGAGGCCAGCTGCCAGGGCGTCTTTGTCCGTTCTTGGTCACATTTGCCACAGACGCTTGTCGAGAAGGAGCCGCGGTCATTGGCATGTAAGCATGAAATCTGTGACTTGCCATCCGTAATGAGGACGTGTTTAACATAAGCCGGTGTCAGATCCTTACGTACCACTGTCACAATGTGCCGTGCAACCTGTTCAGGATGAATCACCGAGCATCCCATATTGTAGATCATGCAGTTGTATCATTCATCTCATCATGATTTCATCTATCTTGGGGGGTTCCTCTATCCCATCTTCCTCGAGAACCCGTTCTTCGCTTTCTGACGCTAAACCGATGATATGATATGAGCCATGAAGGCCGATGGAATTATTGGCTTTCGTTACCACGACATGACTTCTCATCGAAGCAAGGCCAAGCATTCATCGGCTACTTCCTTAACTCTTGGCTCGATGGCTCGATCCTTTGCTGCCACAACGGCTGGGATGAGGGACTCAGAATCACTCTTGCCCAGGATGGTGACAAGAGTGCCTGCAGCAACGAGAGAACGGAACATGACTTCGCTGTCCTTCTGGTTGGACACGAGATGGCCGGTGGCACCCAGCAGCTTGGTGAGCAGCTCCTTAGGCAGGCCGCCGCCCTTCGTAGCCAGAACGGCATAGTTGATGGCCACGGTGCTCAAAGCAATCAGGAGGTTACGGTTGAATTTGCCAATAGCCTCACCGCCAGAAAGACCCAAGGTTCTGCAGATGAACTCGATAGCGTTGTTTGCCTCGGACGGTTTAGCAGCAACTTGTCGTCCTTCCTTAGTCGCAAACAGATTGGCAATGGTCCGTAAGGCCATCATCACTGAGTTCTCGTTAGGTTGGCTGCCCTGAGGATATCCCTCCAGACTCGCTGCAATCACTGTCTGTATCGGACTGCCGATGCTGGAACTGGCTGCCAGAAGTGGTGAAGTCGCTGCGCATCGAAGGAGATCCAGAGGAGCCAGACGGTCGGCGTAGTCCCAAGACGTACACATCTTGACAAGTATGCTTAGCGAATCTTCATCTGTGACGGGCTTGTTGGCCTCCAGAGACTGTCGTAAAGAGTCGAGGAGCGACTGGGCGGAGGGGTTGAGGGAGTGGTCTTTGCGACCGGCGGAAACTAGACCAGAGTTGACACTCAGAATCTTCTTGAAGATAGCTGTGCCATGTTAGCATAACTTGTCCTTCCACAACGGCAGTAAATGGAGCGAGTTTGACTTACGTTCATACTTGGCCGCGGTGATGGTGAGATACTCCTTCTGAGGTAGCGCCTTGGCCCTCGCCGATACTTCGGACTCGCCTGGTCGATATCTCGACTCAGTGCCGTAAGGATCTGGCCCACCTGAACTGGTGCCCTCGCCGATTGTGGCACCTTGTGTGTTTTGCACAATGAACTGTGCAACTTGATCCAGGTAGTTGAGTGACAGCTCGTTGTCGTTGATGAACTTGGTAGCCGTGTCGTAGGGATTTTCGGATAGGTTGTACGGCAGCTTCAGCGACGGTTGACCCTCCTCAATGGCGACGTCAAAGACAAAGTCGTACTCCTTGCCATTGTACTGCTGCTTGCGCCCACTGCTGGCAGCAGAATCCACGACGGTGCCGACATGAACCCACGTCTGGGCCCCCGAGGACCAAGTGTAGGCAGAGATAGAGCCGTTGGTCTCCTTTATCATTTGCACCTGTCCTTCTTTGGTGCCTGCTTTCGACGTCAGGAACTCGGGACCGGGCAGCTTCTCCTTGTTGACATCGCCCATCTGCTGCTGCGGTATCGAGGAAGACTTGACGGCCTCGTCGAACAGCTGGAGGACCTCGGCGCTCGCCACGCGGTCTGGGCTTCTTGTATAGATGCGAATAACGCCATCACTTGTACCGGATACGATGTCGCCCGTCTGCGGACATACAGCAATGGCCCAAACCGAAATGGCAGGATGTGTGATGGTCTGTACGCACTCGGTTCCTCTCCAGACGCGAACGGTCCTGTCCTCGGCGGCACTGACAATCTCGCCCGAAGGCAGAGCTGCCAGACGATAAACGAAGCTCTCGTGTCCATGCAGCTCGGCCACGGGCTCACCGGTGAGCTTCCATAACCTGATTATGCCGTCATTGTGGGAGCTCGCGAGCTCAGCACCCGTCGGGTGGCCGGCGGGCACGCGGCACAGACCGCGGACGACATCGGGCGTGGCAATGGTAGAGCGCGCCTCGGCTTGGCCGCCAGCTACGTTCCGCAGGTCGAAGATGCGTATACTCTTGTCGGCGCAGGCGGTCGCAACGGCGTTGTCGCTTAGGGGCAGAACATCCCACACAGAGCCCTCGTGGCCGACGAGGGTGGCCTCACTCTCCCAGGTTGCGGTGCTCCATACTTTGGCCGTGTGGTCCCAGCTTCCGGACACAAAATACTTGCCACTCGGGGCGGCGGCGAGGGCGCAGATGTTGTTGGAATGGCCGGGAAGGAGGCGCTCGGCACTCTCGGAGGACACAGCGGAAGGCTTTCTGACGTCGAGACACGGGTCCTTGCCTCCAGAAACGACGAGGCCGTCGGGGAACTCGTCGCTGGGCGGGAGGTAGGCCAGGGCGTTGAGGTAGGCATCAATCTGGTTTGCTATGGTGTCGTCGTACTCGGGCGGAGATGCTGCTGTTCGCTTCCACGATCGGACTGTGCGGTCTCTCGATACAGAGACAAGGAGCTCGGGGGAGGGGAAAGCCAGGTCACGGATCTATAAGGAGCAGGAGCAGGAGCAGTATTAGACGACGGCGGATGACAGATGGGAATGCCACGGGGGCGGGGCAGTTAGAAACCGTGGGATTGTGTATACTTACATCGCTCTCGTGGCCGGTCAGTTGGGCCGACAGCTTGAAGTCGGCCATGATGAGGGCGTACTGGCTGTTTATGTGCAGCTTCGGACGGACGGTCTGGTAGTGTACGTATGGCGGACAGTCGTATGTGTGTGTACCTTTGGCGGGGTAGTTCCTGAGCACTCGGGATCCGGAGGCCAACACGCCGTGGGATCAGACGTAGCGAGGTGAGGAACTGTAGTCGAGGGAAAGATGGAGGTGATGATGAGGACTGGTCGGAATGGTTTACATGAGGCCCGTGGATTCCCTGGGAACTCTGGGTCGCGAGGGTCGATTTCAAAGCGGGATGCCACCCACGAGTTACTGCGCGGGCCAACAGGGTGGAAGCCAGTCGAACAATCGTCACCGTTGCTCCCCCCAGCACCATCAGCTCCACCATCACACGCGTGGACACCTCTCAGCTCCCCGGACCAGCTCCCAGCTCCCAGCTCCGACCACTGACCAGGCAAGGCCAAGAGGAGCCTGGGCCTGCCTGGAGTTAGGAACGTCGAGGACCTCGGGAGCCACTAATCAAGGTACGGAAAGGTCCCTCTGCTGGCGTCTGGTTTTAGTGCCCTGCCGCCCTGCCTGCCGCCCCTCCATGCGCTGCCCGTGCTCACTCACACCCTGACTGATGGATTTCAAGTCTGGAGGGCGACCCGCACATTGTTTCATCACTAACGACCGGGATTCAGGGTCTACCGTACCATCCTCAAGCCTCGAGGCCAGCCCGTGACGGAGCGCGGCTTCACGAAATTCGGCCCAGATTCCGCGACCTCCCACCGCATCCCCAAACCCACCACGTCCTCGACCGGGACCACGGCAACGACCACGACCACGACCACGACCACGACCACGGGCACATCCACGCCCACGAATCTCTGCTCGGCTACGCCTCCCCTTGCTCACGACGCTCACGCTTCCACGAAGACAAACTCAGTCCGTCTCGCGCATGCTTACGACCTGACACGACTCTCCCTTTCATCTCAATCTCTGTCCTCCTCCGCTCGTACTTCCCGTCCCTTGCTTGGCCACCATGGCTTCCGATGGACCTCGACAGTGTGTGCCCTTGACCTGCCATGGTCATTCGCGGCCCGTTCCACACATCGGCTTCTCTGCCCTGGGCAAAGATGGCGCCTACTATATGATATCCGCCTGCAAAGGTTTGTCTACCCCCACCCTCCATATCCCTCCATCCCGCCCTGCGCAATTCTTCCGCGACCGCTGCTGACAACCCGGCACCCCCTCCCCCAGACAACAACCCCATGCTCCGCGATGGCCAGACCGGCGACTGGATCGGCACCTTTATAGGGCACAAGGGCGCGGTGTGGCAGGCGAGATTGAGCCCTGACGCTTCTGCCGCCGCCACAGCCTCCGCCGATTTCACTGCCAAGGTCTGGGATACCCACACCGGCGAGTGTCTCTTCACCTTGTCGCATGCCCACATTGTGCGAGCTGTCGCCTACCCTCCCGACAACTCCGAGTTGCTCGCCACGGGCGGCCTGGAGAAGAAGTTGCGCATCTTCGACTTGTCCGAGTCGGGCAATGCCGCCCCCGAGGATGCCAAGACGTCGACCGATGGCATTACCGTCAAGGCCGATTCTGCCTTCGAGGTCGGCGCCGGCGTGCACACAGCCTCGATCAAGTTCATTGTCTGGACCAGAGACCCCAACATCCTCGTCACATCGTCCGGCAACACTCTGCGCTGGTTCGACTTGCCCAGCCGTAGCGTGATCAAGGAAGAGGTTTTGGATGGCGAGATCGGCTCGTGCGAGTTCAACGCCCCCGCCCCCGAGCTGCAGGAGCAGTCCGACCTTGGAGGGGGCCTGCCCGTCCTGGCCGTGGCCGCCGGCAAGTCGGTGTACTTTTGGGGTGGTGCCCGTGCTATGGATGAGCTCAAGCGCGTCAAGCTGGACTACAAGGTTGCCAGCGTCGCTATCGACACCAAGCAGCGGAGATTTATCGTCGGCGAGGATATTCCCGCCACGTGGGCGCGTGTCTACCGATGGGACGACGGCAGCGAGTTTGGTGCGTGTAATCGGATTATCCTTGCCCCGTGTGCTGCTTTACTAACGAGTTTCCTAGACATTCACAAGGGCCACCATGGTCCTGTCTGGTCGATTGCCTACTCGCCCGACAACAAGCTCTATGCTACTGCTTCCGAGGATGGTACTATCAAGCTGTGGAAGAACTGCGACGGGCCGTATGGTCTGTGGCGGCAACAAGGTGACGGGAAGCCCGCCGAATAGGATGGCGGGGCTCCCCTCCACCCACGTTCGCGGTCGTCTACGGCCTCGAGTGCTTTTAGTCACCCGGACTACAGCCATTCGAACACACCCTCACCCCGTCCAGACAAAGCCCCTTGGGACGGGCTACGACAGGCTTTTGGGGGACACGGCGCCTAGAAGGCCCACCGTAGGGAGCCCGTACTTCCTCCCTGGGAGGAGCCAAAAGTCAGAGATCGACAATGGCGAGGAGACTGAGCGGCAAGACGAGATTAGCTTTACCGAAAGCTTGAATCAGTCGCCTGGAATACCGTACAGGTATGGTGGGCGGATGGACAACTGCTCCATCTCACAACCACCAGCAACAGCGTAGGACAGCGTTTGATTACGTTGCTCATTTATGTACACCACACACTGCCGAATCTCAGCCTTAGGCCAAGTATCCTAGATTGGCTGAGCATACTCAGAATAAATCTAGCAAAAGCGATACTATCAAACCCACGATCCGCTCCTCATGAAAGTCCCGTGATACGAAGGGAACCAGGAAAATAACATAAAGAACATCCCATAAAGCAATACTGTCATTTACACTGCTGTTCATGGAGAGGCATCTTCTCTGCCCGATCCACTTGACTGTAACATTATCCACCCCTTAGATGGATCAAGTGTATAAGCGATTTGACGTAGGGGCCACTAGTATAAGTGCGGCGCTGCTGCGTAGTTCAAAATTCCGTAGTGTTTTAGCAGGGCATTTTGACATGCGTGCGTGCTGATATTTGCAAGGAGGTTCCCCCGGCTTGGACAATATGGACATCTGATTGAGTGCGAGAGTCCAAGTCACCATTCGTTCCCCTTCTACGCCTTGCGAGCCAGACACGCTGCTCGTTCTTCATATTTGTCCCTTGCATGCTCCTCTGGTCTCAAGTGTAGGGGAGCGAGCGTATATGATCTTAATGTACGATACGACTGCATCGCGCACACGTGTTGACAGCAGTACTTAACTTCTGGTATCCACTACGGCATCCGCATATTTTGGGAGCATCGAAGTACCTAGGTGGCAAGAATTCGGTCATTGATAGGATACGGCCCAGGAAGCGTCATACCAGTCTTTGCCCGTAGCTCCATAATCGAGTGACGGTATTGGAAACTGTACATGGGTATGCTCAAAGAGCGAGGTTTATTCCTACGGCTATGGCCTCACTTGACATGGGAGCTGGACTCATGACCACTAGGGGTTCTCCCAGCTTGCTTCTATGCTCTCCAGAAGGAGCACATATGGGAAGGGGGACGGTGCTCTGTATCTTGATTCACGATTGTGGCAGGGCTATCAGTTCCCCCGCATCGATGATGTATATTATTTTTTCTTCACCGATTTTGAGTAAGTTCCCATGGCATTGATTGGTGTTAACAATACTTGATTGTTGTAGTGTTTTCAGTGTTAATAACAAGAGCAGTCAGGCTTTATTAAAAATCGAAAGGCACAGCCTCGAAGGTGCTTGTGGTTCATTCTTGCCATTTTGACTCTCTTACAAATATCTCGTTTATTTTTGTTCAACCAAACACCTGCGTAGGTGCTTCCACAACCCAAAGCTGTCAGGCCGCTATTGACGCTCGTCTGAGCAATAATAAACGGCGATTCCCTCGAACAATCAAAGGCTTCCGTTCCTCGACTTGTCCCGGCAGATGCGTAGCTAAGGCTAAGACCTGAAACGTAAATTGAGCAACACTCACCTCCCCTGTAGCGCTCTTTAGGCATCCTGTCGACCTAACATTCACAATCGGCCCCAGGACCCAAGTGCGGTGTTGATCAAAGTCGCTTCACGATTTGTTCGCCTCATAATAACAAAGGTGAGTCTACTTACCGTCTCGTATTCATATTCACCTGTTATTCACGCCGATGGTTCAGTTGGTGTCGACGCTTTCTTGCGATGGGTTTCCAGTGGGCTGGTCATGGCCTCGTTGTACCTTCCAGAATTATTCGTGCCACTTTCCAGTGTCAATCCGGTCACAGGATCAGGATCTCAGACGCGCCTTCCTATCCGATTTTACTCGGATTTCCCACTGAACGGTACCATCTACTTCCCACTCCCAGCCCATGACTCTATTCCTCCTCGCGCCCCTCTCGTTGTCTCACCTGCCTTTCAAGCCATTCGGTTATATCACCCGAATGACCAGCCCCACAAGCCGAACCCATCAATTTCGTCTGATCTTTTGCCCCCTTTCGAGTCATCTGGAGTCCCCTGCTTCGAGATGCCGTGGTCGGACCAGTGCGGTAAGGTCATGAAGAAGCCCGGAGAGTACTCCAAAAACCCCAATACCATCCGTGCCCGCGCTCGAAAGGCTCGCCTCACCCCATTCCGTCGAGAGATCGAGCAGGCGAAGGCCTCTGACTCCAAGGCCATTACCCGCGCCTGGAAGATCCGCACCGAGACTGAAGCCTACAAGATGGCCAGTGCGGGCGACCGGAAGGCCATCCTCGAGAAAGTCGAGCATGATGTTATGCAGCGTCGGTTCGTCTTCATTGACTTTATGGGATCCATCACCGCACTCACTCACTGCCGTTGAGAAGTCTCATCCGGTGTTTGCCTTTCGTTCGACATTTCGTCCCACCCTATCTTGATACTGCCCCAATGCTCTAGAAGATAACTTTTATACTAATTTTCCGCCTCGTCCTAGTCGAGAGAAGGGTTACGACGCCGAAACAAAGATCAACCGGTTTCTCCAGCAGCACGGCAGCGACATTGATTCTTCTGCAGCCCCTTCTACGCCCACCATGGACAGTCACTTTGACCAACGCATCAATATGGGAACGCCTGCTTCTCAGGGTTATCCGATGCAGCCCATGGCCCCAATGGCCCCCATGCAGGGTGTTCCGCTGGCCAGCCAGGCTGGCAGCCGCTTCGCCACCCCGGGTTCTTTCTTTCCGCATGTCATGTCCAGTGCTGAGAGCTCCAGAGCTGGCACACCCCGCGGTCCTCCCCCGTACCATCAGGGCCAGTACATGTACGGCGCCGGTCATGACGGTGCCGAGGCTTCCGCCCGCTACCAGATGGAGGCGGCATCAGACGCCATGAGCCGCGCCCATCTGATGACCAAGGTCAAGGAGCTCGAGAAGACGGTCAAGGGCCTCACCGATGACCTAGTCCTTGCGAAGAGCACCATATCTTCTCAGGAGAAGCGCATGGCTGACCTTCATGAGCGAATGCTCCTCTTTGACGGCACTGCCTCTGGCATGAGCAACGCCGAGGCCGAGTTCGCCAAACAGGCTGGCAAGCTGCGCAATGTCGTCAACGGAGTTCAGACCCTAGCCCAAGTAGCTGCCAAGATCTACGCAGACCTCGCCGACGGTAGCGTTCCGAGTGGAAGGGTCAGTGTTGACCATGGTGTTGTCGAGTACACCAAGGACGGCGATGCCCAAGGTATCAACGGGTACGGCGTTGATAAGAATGGTAACAATGATGACGCCGTGGACGATGTCCAGGATGCTGCCGGCGCTACTCGTGTCAGTGGTGGCCAGGAGCAGCATCACGGCTTGGACTCTCCAGAGTAACGAACCTCGGCTTGCAGTTACTAGTACCAAGATCCATGGTCCAGGTTTGCAGCATCACATTGACAGATGAGAGTGGATTCGATTTGAGATCGGAATAGGGATTATTTTCTGCTTGCTTCGCGAATCTATATATGACAATGGTGGACGGACTGATGGGAACACATCGCGTTAGTTTTCGCTAAACTACTGCTTTACTCGACACGGCATTGGGGTTTCAGGGGAGCTTCTCAATACAGGCACAAGGTAGAGAAAAGTCCCTTCCACAGCTAGATGAATAGAAAAACCCGAAACTAGACTTCACTGCCTATACCAAGACCGTTATAACAAGTATAAGATACAACCAGGGTGGCCTCATTGTTGAGAAATTGCGCGCCAATAAGTATTAGGGCCAACAATAACCAGTCTGCTAGCGATGCGGAGTGCTGTCGCCCCTTATGAGACGCCAGCCAGCTGAATGGATGTCAGCCAATCGTTTGATCGGCTACTTCTGAATTCGATGCTATATCTATGTACTAATCAGGACCGTGGCTAGGATCATCCCCAACTACCAGGGGCATGTGGGAGTGTCCCTAAACGAGGTGAGCCTGAGGTAGACGACAGGCCGCACGTGCTCTTTTCAAATTCACGATAAATGACAGATACTAGTGTTGGGGGACGGCAATGGACTACGAAAGTATCAGAAGATCTCCCAAAACTACTCAAGAACAGTCTCTATTCAACCAGAGGATCTTTCTGTCTGTCTGCTACTGCCGTCTCCAGGCTTGAAGCGTGCAATCTTTAGGTAGCTTTAGTCCAAATAACAACCGCAATGTACCCATGTGTGCAGTCCCTAATACATTCCAACGAAGAAATTATGTCCGTGAAGAACTATCAAACCCAATCTCCCCCGCTTCGCAATAATGCATGCGTGCTTCGACATTACCAAATTCCCCATCCATGCAGTTGGCTCTATGATTTCTGTGCATTAGGTCGTCAAAAATAATTACAAGGCAACATTCAAAACGTCTCATATCCCACAAAGTAACAAGGCCAGACTTCGCTCAACGACCCCCAAAGAAGCTGTTTCGGAAGCGGTCCTTGATCCCCATCTTCTGCTGCGACGACCTGCCGAACGACTGCTGCGACTGCACACGCCGGTGGGCCGGAGGCCGGAACTCATCCTCGTCATCTTCGTAGTCATCCTCGTCGTCCCGCATGCTCATGGCGCGCTGCTGGTGCTGGTGTTGCTGCTGGTGCTGGTGCTGCGGCGGCCCGCCGTTGAGTCTCTGGGGCTCGCGCGGGATCGGCAGCTCGCCGCGCATCGCGCGCTCCACGTCCTGGTACTGGCGCTCGTAGTCGTCGTGCTTGGCCTTCGCCTCGAGGAAGCGGGTCTCGGCCTGGGCGCGGCGGTCCTGCAGCGAGCGGATCTCGGCGTCCAGCCGCGCCATCTCGTCCTGCTCCTGGGCCATCATGCCGTCGTACTCGTGCACCTTCTGGTCCAGCGGCTTCAGCACGCTGGTCATGATGCTGGGGCTCTTCAGCCGCTGGATCCCCACCGCCGCCGTCGTCGACTGCGAGTCCGACGACGTGGGCCGCCCCGAGTTGTCGTGGTGCCGCCCCGGCGACCCGCCTGCTGACGTCCGCGGCGGCGAGTTGTCCGCCGGGCCCCCTGACGTGGGCGGTCTGGCGCCCGAGGGGGCGCCGCTGCGCCGGCCGTTCTGGCGCTGGACCTTGTGGTAATTGTCGCCTCCCTTGCCCACGAGCAACTCCTCAGACTTGCTGCCCGAGTAAGACGGAGGCCTCGACCTGCCACTGCTGGATCTCTGTGCAGGGAACGTGTTGGTCACGGGAGGCCGGCTCTGGTCTGTTGTCGGACTGTGCTGCCCGACCGCACCGCGGCGCTGCTGCTGCTGCTGCTGTTGTCCATGTGAAGGGACTGGCACGCGCATGGCCGCGCCGGCATTGGCGTTGCCATTGGCATTGTCGTTGCCATTGGCATTGTTGCCGGGGATCCTGTTGCTGTCCAGGAAAGCATAGAAGTCATCGTGGCTGTCAAAACGGGCCGAGTGCGGTTTGCCTGACAGCAGCGCGTCGTCAAAATCGCGGGGCGCCTGGTGCGGGCGGGCCCTGGGCGAGTTCAGCGCCGCCGACGGGTATTGGGCCGTGACGTTCATGATGCTCTCTCTCTCTTCTATCTTCTACAGTTGCCTAACCCTTCACAACTGCGACAAACAAGATATATGCACGACACACTCAAAATTCGATAATAAGATGCGGGATAAGAAGTACGGATTGGGAAAACTCGTCCTCGGTCTTCGCCAATTGGGCTTGGGGCCTTTTGTCTAAGACCTTGAAATCCCAGGAGGTTGGTTTGCGCAGGCCCGCCTTGCCATCCCCAGCCCCCATTTTCGCGGGTGGGCCAGGGGTGGCCGCCCGACGCAGCCACCCGTACGACAACGGAATTCGTTGCCTCCCCCCAGCGCTAGCTTCCCTCATCTAAAGATTCGCATCTGCAGTCCAACTAAAACTACATAATCTGCGTCGAGCTGCAGATACGACCATTTTCTTCAAGGCCGGACCCTGGCAGTTGCCGGTTTAAAGTGGGGAATTCCGACCTCCTCGTCGCACACACGCAATCAGACAAACTCAGCCATGAGCAGCAAAGAAAAAGCCTGGCAGCGGCGGACCTATGGAAAGACGCACCTGGATCTTAGATCTTAGACACCTGCGACTGCCCGAAGAGTATTTGGAGCGTTTGCTCTGCGATCATTAGCAAAGATAGGCTTAGCACCCTTCCTGTCTCATTTGACGGGTCTTCGATGGCGACCGGGATATCCAGTGCGATGGGAGTCAAATAAGCGTAGAAGGTTTCAAAGTTACAGATCTAACCTCACTAACACGCTAACACGTGGTCTGCATGTCTCAGTTTGCATGGAGACCGCACATGTGCTATAAGCCAGACTCCACAATTCCGACCCGGGGCTGCAATCGAGTATAGCATCGTTGAGAGCACGCCACGGCGCTGGGTAGTCGCTTTCGCTACTAACCACGCCACATTGCCCTGAACTTTGCGAGAGGTCTTTTTGGTTTTGAAGTAGGTCAAGTTGTGGAGCGAAATAGAACCAGGTATGACTGGCTATTGAAAGAAAGTAAGGGTCTCGCAGTGCTATTATACCTTGAGCCACTGTGAAATTCCTTTCATTCTGAAGTGAGCAACGACACGCATGTGAAATCTAGTCAACATATACATATGTAGTACACATCACCTGCTGGATTTACATCGTTTTTCTTCCGTAATCCTACCATGGTTCTTTTCCAGTTGCCGACCTTCGGAACGAGCTGAGGGAAATACTAGCTTGGCCATAGTCGTAACATAAGATGAGCTCAACACAGTGGGGCCTGACGGCGTCCCGGGGCATAGGGACAACCGCACACCGCACAGTCAGCTGTCTTCAGAACGGATTCAACTATAAATTTACCGCATGGGAGACTTCAGGAAACGGTAGAAGTCTTCATACAACAAGCAATCAAACGGGGATATGTTCAAATTGTAAGGGCCATTCACCGTATTTAAGTATATCATGTAATTGCCGCTCCGATCTAGCGTCGCGATGATCAAGCTTGATTGCAACGAGGGCAATAGTAGGCAGGACTCCCGCACCGTCCGCCTCCAAGACGTCATAGAAGTTCCGTGATCCACAAAAGACACAACAACATGAGTACATTACAAAGCTAGTAACCCACAGCCATAAATGACGTGCGTGCGATTTATATATCTAGTCTGTTTCCCCCACAAGGTTTTGCTAGCATTTCTCATCAAGCAGGATACCCCCTATACACTACCAGACTTATACTAGACATACCTATTCTTCAAATATTCGCAATGGCACCGAGAAGACATGAAGGAGAGCCAGCCGACGCGAGTCGCCTTGGCGAGCCGCTTAAATTCGAATTCAGTGGGAAGAGCGCGCACAACCGTTTTCTCAAGGCGGCTATGACAGAGAGATTGTCGACATGGGATCCGAAGGACCTGCCGAAGCGTGGCATTCCCACGAAGGAACTTGTCAATGTGTACCGCCGATGGGGAGAGGGAGGATTTGGCGTCATCCTTACGGGTAACGTGATGGTTGACTACAATCAGTTGGAAGCCGCAGGCAATCCTATCGTCCCTCGCGATGCTGCCTTTTCCGGCGAGCGTTTTGAGGCGTTCAAGGAGCTCGCCACGCAAGGCAAAAAGCACGGCAGTCTCGTCATCGCGCAGGTCTCACACCCCGGTCGGCAAGTCGCCGAGAATATCAACACCAATCCCATCAGCGCCAGCGATGTCCAGTTGGAAGGAAACGTGATGGGCATGACTTTCGCCAAGCCTCGCGCCATGGAGAAGAGGGACTTCGACGAGGTCATTGGCGGCTTTGCGCATGCTGCAGAATTCCTGTACAAGGCTGGGTATGACGGTGTAGAATTACACGGTGCACAGTAAGCCTTCCCATCTTCGAACGACCAGACGCACGTATTGATAGTCTTTTCAGCGGTTACCTGCTTGCCCAGTTCCTATCCCCTACAACCAACAAGCGGACAGATCAGTACGGCGGGTCGCTGCTGAACCGTGCTCGCATCATCTTTGAGATCAGTGATGCGATCCGGGCTCGTGTCTCTGATAAGTCATTCAGTATCAGCATCAAGCTCAACAGTATTGAGTTCCAGGACGGTGGCTTCTCGACAGACGATTGCAAGGACCTCTGCGTGGAGCTAGAGAAGCATGGTTTCGACTTCGTCGAACTTTCGGGCGGCACCTACCAATCGTTAGCATTTGGCCACAAGCGCGACAGTACAAAGAAGAGAGAGGCTTTCTTCCTGGATTTTGCGGATGCTATTGTGCCTCAGTTGAAAAAGACAAAAGCCTACGTTACTGGTGGTTTGAGAAGCGTGAGCGCCATGGTCAAGGCACTAGATAGCGTGCACGGCGTAGGCCTGGCCAGGCCAATCACCCACGAGTTCGATCTTCCCAACAAGATTCTGGCTGGGAAAGCAAGTGGAGCCGTTGACTACAAACTAGATGAGCAGGACTTTGGCACCACCAACGTTGCGGCTGGTACTCAGTATGTATCCGTCTATGTTCAACGACTTGATTCACGACGCTGACACTAGTTAGGATTCGACTTGTTGGTCAGGATAAGGAGCCGCTTGATCTCACTCAGGATAAGTATGTCGAGATTTTCAAGAAGTCGGTAGAACAATGGAGCAAGCAAATGGCAGACAATGAGGACGGCTCCAAGTACGGCTATGTTGACATAGAAGGTACAAAGCTAGAGCCTTTCGGTACAGCGTATGCTTCAGCATAACTGGACTGCAAGACAAGAAAGCCCTAAGACTATTTGATTTAGCCCAGTCTGCAATGGGATGGATTCGCAACGTACGCACCTGGCAACACTTCATTGGGTGCCCCCGGTTTCATCATGTGGGATTACATGCCTTGCATAGACTTAGCACGGGTCACCTCGGTGTAAGGTACGTTTGTTAAGCATCAAGTAGTGGCATTCATAACGTTTTTCTACACATAAGTAGATACTTACGTCGCATGTGAAGAATAATGAGTCCAATAATACATAACACATCATCCACGTTTGCCATGGACCATGTTGCCACGAGCACATCTAAATCAAATCACCCACAATACAGATCACCTCTGCAGCCAACCACTGACCAAGCCTGGCCTCCATCCAAGCGACAGCCTTCTTAACAAGCAGCTCCCAGCTGTCTTCCTTGGCTGCCATGTCTTTACGAAGCCATGCAATAGCACAAGCTGTCGCCACAATTTTCTCATCCTTTGCATCATCAGAAAGTTTCTGCATTGCCACAGGTTGAATCTTGTCAGCCTTCCAACCCATGTTGCTCACCAAACCGTGGTTCCACTCCCAGTAGCCCTCGAAATTCTGCATATTCACGAGGGCTTGATATTTAGTCTCCGAAAGCTGGTCTTCCTCTTGTAAATCGCCTGCAGGCTCAGTCTCGCTGAAATCTGGCTGTACCCTTCGCGGCTCATATTTGGAGCTCATCAAAGCTAGAGATTCAGGTTGGACATTTCCAAGGTCGCACATCATTGTTTCTGCCAAGTCGTAGTAAGAAATACCTTTATACATGCCTGCAGCACGCCTTGTCCTTCGTACCTTGGCTTCTGTAGGTCTGGGCTTTTTTGGGACATAATCTGACCCCGTAGCAACGAAAGAGCACCACATCCCGCCGACTTGGTACTGAACTCCCAGACGCACCGCCTCGCGTTCAGCCATGTCCGGAAAGAGTCCCGGGTAGGTAGCCTCAATGAGACCGCTCTGCTCGCCGCTTTCCCTAGCATGATAGATCCAGCCTCTACCTTGCTCCAGTTCCGTAACCACCTTCTTAGCTGCAAGCTGATGAATAGTCTCCCCCTTGGTGGCAAGGACGTTCACAGCAATCTGTAGTTCCAGGGGGCCATGATCAGAAGTACCGCGAAGGATAACCGACTTGGGCTTTCTCTGAGCTGATTCTTCCGACATAAGAAGGTAGACTGTGGTACGATTGAAGGGAAAGAGAGGCGGAATGGTAAAGGGAGCTTGGAGCTGCTTGGGGGTCTCTATGTGAGGCAGATGAGAGTACCGGCCTCTCTTGTCCCCACCAGTTGAGTCATGGTCCAGGTCAATGGAGTGGTCGAATAAAGAGATCGTTGGTTTTGTTGTTGAGTCAACAGATGGTTCTGTTGATGTGAGCGACGGGAGCACTGGCTCATCTACAACCCGGTCGACGACCTCAAAGTCGTCATCAACAGACTCCAGAGCACTTTCATATTCCATTTCCAGTGAATAGTCCTTCACGTGCGGGTAAAGTGCCCCCTTGAGCATGCGTATGACCTTGCTGCCCATCTCCTCGTTGTCGGCAACGGACTGCGAGAAACCATTGCCGGCACGCGCGACTCCCTCGATCAAAGCGTGACTGACGTTACTGCCGATACCGAGACTGAAAACTCTAATGGCACCGTTGCTCGCTGCCACCTTCTTGTTGATGAGGTCGAATAATTGATGATGACCCCAAATCTCACCGTCTGTAAGCAAGAAGACCTCGACGTTCATATCCTTGTACCTGCGGGTAAATGCCTCCTCCAATGGCGCATACATTTCCGTTCCCCCGAAGTCTGCTGCAAACGTCTCGATATGGTTCATCGCCTCATCCATACTTGCTTTATCGTAAGTCCGTGACTGCTGCCACAAGAAGCTATACTTCGAACCAAAGCTGCAAATGTTGAACTTTACTCCCACGTCCAGAGATTTGATAAACAACTGGAGTGCGAACTTCAAGTCGCGGATTTTGTCGGCCATGCTTCCACTTCGGTCACACACAAAGACGATTTCAGGTTTTGCGGCAGGCAACTGAAACTTCGGCACCAGGGTGACCATAATGGCTCGCTGGTTGGGGATTGACGGATGCTCTTCAAGTATAGCTACCGGGTTGCCCGCGTCGGTGATCTTGAGCTGCAGAATGAAGTCTTTGTATAGCTCTGCTGTTCCAAGTGCCAGAGTCGCTGAGGCCTTCTGTAGCGAAGGCGTGGCGTCAGGTTCAGTAGACGTCCTGCCCAAAGTGACGGCCAATGAGTGAGAGGGAGACTGGATGGATGTGATGCTAGAACCAGTCGACGCTTCAGCATCTACTGTAATCCGAATACCGCCGTCTATTTGCAGGTGCGACGTTACCAAGTCACCGGGGTATGAACCATATCGCGGTGCAATGGCTGTAGGGATAACCAAGCGAACGCCGTCCACCTGCGCATCATGCTTAAGCTCGCCCAAGTAGGTGATCTGCACCACAACCTTGTCTCCAGCGGGGATGTTGCCGATGATGGTTGTGAACACATCTGCTGAAGTGGGTAACTGTTCCAGGAGACCTGCAGTCTCGCGTCGTCCAATAGTTTCGCGGTACTCTTCACGAGCTTGTTGTTTCTCCTTCACAACACCTCGAATAACACGCTCGCCAATAGTGCAGATGAACTCGACCACCGTGACACCATCAAATAGTGGGAAGGAGTATCTGATCTCGGGTATATGTTCTGCGAAGTTGGCAAACGTCTGCGTCAGTGTGGTTCTCGAGATGGAGGAGATGATGGAAGTGTGAGCATCGAGCTGCACCTGTGGGAGGTACTTGACCCGTCGTGAGGACGGGTCTAAGAAGCATAATCCTGATATCCTATCCATAATGTGGAAATGGAGTAGTTGTAGGAGGTTGGAAGGGAATTATAAGAGTTGTGAAACAGGTTGGTAGGATGGCTTTCGCTCATTAATATGGCCGACGTCTATGCGTCCCTAAGGCACAACAACCAACAGTCTCAGGCTGGTTCCCCGCTCTTTGTTTCCATTCTCACGGCCTAGCAAATGACTTACTGGAAACTTCGTGTTGGGCCTCAACATGGTGCTTCATGCATAAAACATCAAATATTTGCTACAAGAAAGGATAACAGTGCTCCATGGAATATCTGGAAAGCTGTCTGAGGCAGCCAGAAACGCGATATGCTGCATAATCGCCTTAGGGACCAGAACAAGTGCCAGATAACGTTCAGGGCTTTGTTAATTGACTGCCCTCAAAAAGAAATTCAAATAGCAGTGCATTGTGCCTGGTGCATGTTGACAGGAGGAAACTCTGCAGTTTTCTCAAGCCAACTACCATATGCTTCAGCATTCATGTTTGTTGCACCACTGTTACTTGACCTTCTTTCATCATGTGTTATGCCAGTAATATTCATGCAGCATTGAGCAAACTTAGAAGCTGAAAGTGGTAGTTTCGGTCCAGCTTGGTGGGCGATCCTCAGTTCTTGTCCCCCATAGTGACTCTTGACTTCCTAGAGTTATTTCCATTGTCCACCCTTCAGTGAATAATTCATGACCGATCCAGTTTCTCGGCCAGGTTGCTCCATTGACTGTGACATTTTGAATATAGACGTTTTCGTACGCCGAATCGAATCCAACCGTCTTGATGATAGCGGTATTCCCGGTGAGACCATTACGAATGCTGATTTCCTCGAAAAAAGGAGCGGAGATGAGATACACATTCTGCCCAGCAATGGGGAAAAGCCCAAGCATGCCAAACACTACAAATGCTCCCATCGATCCACTATCGTCGTTTCCAGGAAGTCCGCCATTTGAGTTATTGAAGGAAGCTGGGATGTAGGTGTGCAGGCGTTTCGTAGAGAGCGCTGGCCGGCCGGCGTAGTGATAGAGGTATACAGTGCTGAATACCGGTTCATTGGATATGTCAGCGAGTCCAGAAGAATGGAAGTAATCGAGGCGGCTGATAAAGGCTTCATCGCCACCCATTAGGTTGATAAGCGATGTTGTTTGATGAGGTACAATGCTGTGCTGGTCAGCCTTCCACTTCCCCAGGCTTGTGGTTTATTGACTCACAATTGGTACTGCCATATACTGGCCTCGAATGTTTCTGAGGGGTTGGTTGTAAGCGAGCAGAAGTCAGCCAGTGCCGAACAAGCTATAGTGTCTTGATAACCCCAGGTACCGTTCAAATATTTTGGCTGAAAGAACCCGGTGAAGCCCGAGTCATTTCCTCTGATCATAGATTTCTGGTCATCCCTCCAGAGATTCTGCCAGTTTGTGCTCCGCTGAACATACTTGTTGTAAATTTCCGTCTTCCCTAAGCCTTCGGCAAGCGTCGCAAGGCAATAGTCGTTATACGAGTACTCAAGTGTACGCGAGATACTCCGTGAGTTAGTACCGAAGCCAATAGGGTCAAAGTCAAGATATGGAATGTAATTCAAACTTTTCCAGCTTTGCAGGCCGCCTCGTCCATGATAAGACCATTCTAGTGGTCCCACCTCTGCGTCTTGCACAATTGCATCGAGGGCAAGATTCCAATCGATGCCCGTGAGGTTCTTCACATAAGCATCGACAAGCACGACGTCCGCATTCGATCCGCCTTGCGTCCAGCCATTGCATAAACTCATATGGCAGTCTGGCAGCCATCCTTCATGCTGATATATATCCAGCAGCCCGTTGACCATTTGGGCCTGGGCGACGGGGTCGACAATAGTGAGCAGAGGATGTTGAACCCGAAAGGCGTCCCAGATGCAGTAATAGGAGTCGAAGTACGGAATGCCGCTGTCCCACTTGGGGTTTTCGCCTGTGTAGTTCTGCGGAGAGATCATTGAGCGGTATATGCCGCTCCAGAAGCTGGTCTGGAGATCGTCGCTAGCTCCTCCAGGATTGATGGAGATCGGACTGAGCTTTGCACGCCATTCTTCTCCAACCTGCGTCACCAAGCGATCAAAGTCGCTGGCCGGCTCAGGGATTTCCTCGGCTGCCCGAGTGCAGGCTTGATCCGAGCTGATGAAGCTGATACCTACTCTTGCTGTGAGGGTGTTGTCGACAAGGTCGCTGAAACGTGCCCAACCCCCAGCTTCCAGGAAGAAAAGATTGAAGCCTCGAGTTACGTACAAATCCTTGGGCTCCGGCCCGGCGCGATTGTTGACCCAGACACCGTTTTCGACCGGCTTGCCGCCGAAAAAGTCGACACAGAAATGCATAACATAGGATCCAGCCCCGAAGCTCGGAAGGAAAGTCCCATTGCCCTTCAACTGCCCCGTGCCGGGGTCGACGCTTACGGATGCATTCTGACGACTCTGCCAAAGATCTGTCAGATCGAGAAGAACGAGTGGGTGCTGTGTGGCATTTCCTGAGGGGAACTGAAACCGATATAATGCAGCATGTTCACTTGATGTCATCTCAGCCTTGATGCCATCGACAAGCTCAACCGCAAAGTAGCCCGGCCTAGCGTTGGTTGCATCCGCTACGTAGGGAGTAGCCCGGTCCCCGATCCTGAAACTGCAGGAGTTGACATCATCCCCAGGGCAAAGTTGAGGAAACAAGGGGAAGTTTCCAAGACTTGGGTTGCCGCCTGTGCCCGAGTCGTGCACAGAACTGAAGCCGGTGATGTTGGACCCGTCAGTCGCAAAGCCACCAGTGTTGGCCCCATCAACATTGGCTACGGGTTTTGCAAGGGCATATGGCCGTGTTGAGCCGGCAAATACATTGCCGCCATTCGTGCTGCCAATCAAAGGGTTGATGTAGTTTAAGACGTCGAATGCGGTGCTCGATGAAGCCAACACGATAATGGTCTGTGGAGACAGGAGGAGCCCGGCGATCATAGCACGCGGGGTACCCCAGAATGCCCCACGAAGGAGTGCCATTTTGAAGAGACTCTACTGTAGAAACCTTGTGCTCCAAAGCCGTAGATGAATGCTATGTGTGATGATGTTGAGGCAACATTGCGAGTTCTTGCAGTGTTGATTATAGGATCGCGCCCGACAAACCACCTGAGAGCACCTGCCTATCTAAGAGGTGAGGGCCAATCCGAGTCGCCGGACGTTGTGTTGTTGTGATGTGATCGACAGCTTCCATGGCTTTAGGCAGACTGGTCTGCAGCCGTCCGTCCCACCCCATGCGGTCATGATGCACGCTTCCAACGTTGCACCTGCCATTTCCCCGCCTGCAAGACTAGGAGTCTGCTTGCTGTGCCTTACTCATGCATGGGACGTTGAGATGACGAGGCTACAGCACATGTGCAGATTGTCGTAGGTCGCGAGGGTATTGAAATGCGCAGGCAACTTTGCCAAATAGTTGCAAGATCAGCGACGCCTACAGCTGCAGACAGCTGCGGTGCTTCACCTGACATCGCGCCGGTTTGGCGTTGGTGATGATGCGCAAGTACCGTTCCGATTTGCCACTCATTGTCACTTCCCAGAGACGTGCAAAGCTTTTGTTCGACGATGCATCTCGCCATCCTTACTGGTATCAAGGACGGCAGGACGGCGATAAATACCTACTTACTGCCCGTCAACCGGAGCACTTGTGATTTTGGCGGCTGGTGCGCTCTCCAGCCCGGCCAATAGCCACCACTGCGACTTATTCACCACACTGTTCAACATCCGCGCTCCACTTTCATAACTAGGGCAGACACTCCTGTGATACCAAGATGGCAGGCGAAAGCACATCTACTTACCCCCAGGCTTCGCAAGCCCCCCGCAAGCGCAAGCTGTCGGCCAACTACGATGGCCCAGGTCCGTCAGCGAGTAATACCACTGGCGCCTCCGCCGATGCGTTGGTGGGTTCACAAGAATATAAGCAGGTTGCCGGTGAGAAGCCCAAGAAGCCGCGCAGGAGCAGAGGTCAAGACGAAGAGAAGAGACTCCGCAGGTTCCGCCCAAAACCACCGCAAAGCTTCAATGAGATCTACCACCGTGCAACATCCCAACGATTTTACGTCTTAAACAGATCTCGATGTGGCACCGCAAAGTGCCCAGAGGAACGTGTTGAGCTCACAGGATCTACTGGCAACATCTATACAGTACATATCAGCCGTCGACCAAGCTGCAACTGTCCGCACGCTGAGCAGGGGAACCAATGCAAGCACATGTTATACGTAATGTCACGCGTTCTCCGGGCACGGTATGAACTCGTCTATCAGCTGGCACTGCTGTCAACAGAGCTTGTCGAGATCATAGCAGGCGCGCCTCCGATCGAGGTTGGCGATGATGCTGAGAAGCCCAAGGAAGACAAGAACCGCAAGGCAGTTGAGGGTGATTGTCCCATCTGCTTCATGCCCTTCGAGGACACAGAAGCAACTGTGTATTGTCGCGCGACTTGTGGTCAGAATATGCACAAACAATGCTTCGAAATGTGGGCAGCAACAAAGTCTCGCGACAGCGTCACCTGCCCCATGTGCCGGACAAAATGGCAAGGCGACGATGATATGGTCAAGAAGATCCGGAACACAGGCGTGGTAGGCCGAGATGGCTATGTCAATGTTGCTGATCAGTTGGGCATCAGCAGGGTCAGAGGTTTGGTTTTTATCGCTTGTTCGCCGAATCTGTTGCTAATTCTTGATTCCAGATACAAGTACATATTACTCTGGACGACGTCGAGGTTATGGGCACTACAGATCGTGGTAAATAAAGCAGAGACGGGTTTGAACCCGATGGCTTTTAGGTGGTAACATTTATATGGAGCGCGCGCTGTTCTTGCACATAATGCAGAAATATGACCACGCGCTTCCAGGCCTGACGATGGAACTCATCACAAGCTCAAAGCCTTATGAATGTGCGGTAGCAATTCTAATCAGCATCAAGAACAGCTAGCCGTGACTAAGCTTTCTAGGCCCATACTAGACGTATTGACAAGCGACATCCTTGTTTTGCATATCCATTAAATGAACTTCCCGAGAAACTTCTTGTCAGCTAGCACACAAGGGGCTTGCTGGCTCTGTGGGTTTGGATGTGGAGTGTACTCCGAAATCTGTAGTTACACTAATCTGGCCGGACCGAGATGCAGGAGAGGCTGTTTCGACAGGTGGTCAGTATGGACTCCTTAACGCACGATTTTATTCGAGAGCGCAAAAAGTGAAGTCACGGGTCGTGATATAATCTCGAGCCACTCACCATTGATGCCCACCAAAGGCAACTCCGATTCAGGCATTTTCTGGAACCGACTTCCACTGCTTCCTGTATTGCTTGACTTTCTTGTTTGGCTCGTGAGCAATGACGAGCGAAAGATTCTCTGAAAGGCCGGGCCCATGATCGGTAGGTTTGCATTGGTGATCCCGAGCAATGGGACGAGTGTCGAAAGGAGAGCGATCTTGGAAAACGTATAGGTGAAATCGAAAGGATCAAGTTCTAAGAAAAACTTGAGGCGAATGGACGTTATGAAGATGATTCTGGGTAAAATTGAGCAATGGTTCGTAGTCAAGGGTGGGGAGAACATACATAAACCCTAGGCCAAAGACGAAGGTAAGAGCGACCTTTCTCGCGGCTGGGAGTTGGAGGCCCCATAATATAGGCATGGGAAGTATCAAGACAACAATATCTATAGCAAGGTCCGCGCTGGCCATGCCAATGTACATGCTACTGCTCTCTCCACACCGCCCAGGTGTCTCCGGGAGCCAGGTTTTGTGCACGGGAATGCAGAAGAAGACGTCGGCAAAGAAGGCTGAAATCCAGAACGCAATTACTATGGCCATGACTGCGTAGACGATGCGGATGAAAGCGGTATTTTGGAAAGTCTGGCCGTAGAAATGCAAAATGGCAGATTTTACCAGGGCGACTAGAGTCAGCCACATGAGATCGATCGAAAAGACAAGCTGAACATTTGCGATCAAAGTTAGCCGGATCCAATAACACAGCGAAGACAGTCTGGATGCTTCTACGGTACCTTTCGAAAGAGGACCACCATTCCAGTTCCCGCGATGCTTATTACTAGGTCTTGGTGTAATCCAAGTCCGCATTTTAGTACGAGAGCCATATCGATGGCATACCGCACTGTCATAAGCGCCTGTCTCGTCAACCAGATTAGCCGTTGGAATCGCAGGCCGGCGCTCATTGAAGACGCAGATGACTTACCAAAGCTAAAAGAATGAGCAAATCATTAATCTGTAGGCGCGCACCGATCAAGTGCCTTGACCATATTCTCAACCCAGTTGAAAAATACGCGACTACGAGGAAGACGGTCTCCACACCCAGGTCAGTCTTCCCAGCTGCGTTTATCGGGACCTGATCGATCAAGTTATCTGAACGTGCATGCATCTTGTGAAATGCTGTCAGATGGGGGTGCCAGTGCCAGGCTCATTGTCCAAAGACTGCGCGTTGGCAGAGTAGGCGGATATATGGCAGCAGAGCCTCATGGTGTAGAGGTCAGGCTTCAGGATGGTTTTCACGTTGGCGACTGAACTGTAGTAAAACCGCCTCGCATGGATGTCAATCGCCCAGAAACCTTATTTGTTCGACTCAGTGGTAGTTATAAGGCAAGGGCTCCGAGTAATGGTTACAGACAAGGCGCAAGGGTTGGAAAGGTGAACACGGCACTTGTAGAAGACTGACACTCTTAGTGCCGTTCTGTGCCTGCGCCCCATTTCCACCGCAGCGAATGCCCTTGAAGAGCTGGCCAGTATATTGCTACTCATGATTGCACAGTTGGATCTCATTTTGATTAATGGGCATCGATGAGCCATTACTTGGTAGTAACGTAAAAATTGCCGTAAAGTACTCCGTACCACTGCCAGTGTTTGCGGCGCTAATGTGATGCAACCTGCGATGCGCAGGGATAGAACGAGCAAGGGAGTGTCAATACCCCCCTGTGCACCGTGCAGGACATAAGCAAATCATTATGACCCTTACCCAGCCCAGAGCTCCAGCACTCGTCGCAGACAATCGGCTTTCGCTCGCCGCATGGCAAGTGTGGTGAATAATGCTTAGGATGGTCTGAACACGGTGAGAAATTAGCCTGACCAGCTTTTGCCGGCCATCGCAAGAACAATGAGTCAAAAACACACTCCACGGTCGGGGTATGCCCAATAGTGGAAAGCAATGTCTTGATTGCTATCAGGTACCGAGGTTCCAGGTAAGGAGGCATTATCATCAAACGACTAGGATGGTGTTGGGCAGCAGAGAGGGTCTTCCACTACACAGTAATATCCAGCAGCCACTTTGTGATCCTCCGCGTCTATTAAGTTCCCACTTTCAGTTACGCTATTGGCGCATAGAAACTGAACTTTCGCAGTGGGTCATACTTATCCTTCACGGCCAACAACTTGTCCTGACGCCACTGCTCAAAACCGTACCAGTTCTGCTTTGTCTCGTCTCCAAAGGCATAGTTGACGTATGTGAGCAGTTCGGACTGGCCGCTGGCCTCAAAAACGATGTTCCGAAGTTCGTTTCCCAAATCAGTAGCTTTCTGGGCTAGCGTTGAATCGCTGGGGTCCCATCTAATGACCGGTGCGATAAGTAAATTACCATCTCTGAAGGGAACCGCGGTCGTGTCACTTGGTATTGCTTTGACCCCTTGCAACGAGTAGCCCTCGATAAGGAAGAACGAGCCGTTGAACGCGGGTGTTTCTAAGCTGGCCTTGGCGAATAGGTCGTATGCTTTGCGCATAGCTTGAGGATCATACGTCTGCATGTCGACCGGGAATCGTGTATTAGCAAACCCGGTGTGCTGACATGGCGCAGCTGAATTATCCAAGTCCGTCCAAACCGGCAGGTCCAGGTAGTTACCGCTGCCCGCTTCGGTAGCAAACGGCCCGAGGTCGTGAAATGGTTGAGTATATACCGAATCAACGCTAGTCGCACCCTCCTGGAGAATCCAAAATGCAGTAACGGGACCCTAAGAATGAGTAAGCCCTCATGTAAAACATGCCTCAGGTTAGATGTCATCACCAACCTTGCTGTCAATCGTGGGATCGTTGTAGAAATACCCGTAATGGATGACATTCACAGGTAGTGATCCGTTATTGGGTATGGCGGCGTTGATGGTTTGGTAGAACTTCTCAACTTTATCACTTGTGACGGTGAACATCTCGTATGCCCAGTCGCTATACTCAATATCGTAGATCTTGACCGTGACAGACGTCACAATGCCGAAATTATGCCCAGCGCCTTGCATGGCCCACCACAAATCTGCGTCCGTCTTTTTGTCGATGTGATGCAGGCTTCCATTTGCAAACACAATGTTCATGGAAAGAAACTGGTCTGCGATAAGTCCGTGTCGACCTTGGAGGAATCCGTGACCGCCACCTAATCCTGGCCCAAGTAGACTGGTGCATTCACAGCTACCGGTCACTACGATCCGATTAGTATTCAAATTGGGACGGGCTATCATCCAAGTTCAACAGGAACGAGTTGATAACAATCAACAAGAAGCAGTCTCTGAGAATCAAACGCGTTTCACGACTTCGGATAGTATTGCAAGAGCCGTGCAGTGAGTGGTGGAATCTCCTGTGGAGGTGGCATACCTGTCTGTTTCCCAGCGGCCCAGAGAGTATCGAGTATTCGTTTCGATAGAGAACCCCCTCCAATCTTAGCCGACGCGCCATCTGCAGAGATCTCAATATCCTGCAGGTGATTCATCCAAATTTCAATCCCTGTCTTCATCCGACCAACAGTGGTGATTGCACCATGACCGCCGGTGACTGCGAGGAACGGAACATCCTGTTCATTGGCATATTTTACCTGTAGAGAGATGTGAACAATGAGTCAATTGAAATCCCGCAAAATCACAAGGATGCCTCACCGTCTCAGCCACATCGTTTTCCGTAGCCGGAACGACTACGATGTTTACTGTGGGCGCATCAAATACAGACCATCGAGAAGTGGCGTTGATGAAACCGTCGGACCCAGGAGTATAGATGGCAGCACCAGGGGATAGTCTTCCGGCGAGATCTGTTGCATTGCCGTCTCGCCGGCACACGGCCGACAGCCAGTGCTCCGAACCAGCGTTTTGGCACACAGAAGTGACAGCCCACGCGGCTACCGCGGCGACGACTTCCATCTTGAAGTGCCGGGTCGAACAGGAAACGAAATCAAACATTATGCGCCGAGAGAGTATCAAAATAGGTGACTGTACTCGATTTGATCACAATTTTCATGCAAATCGCGGCTGTGAAACGAGTACAAGATCGACCGCCCAGCTGCGACGAAACAACAGGTAACGCGGGGAAGTCGAAGGGTATTATCTCGATTCATTGGCTTCGCACCCCAGACATCTAATGCAAACAGCACACAGTGCCAGTCACACAGAATCGTTCAGGGGTCTCGCCCCTTGCAAACTCTATTTCCAAGCGGGGATACCGGAATATGCGGCCGTGGTTCGATCAAACCCAGTCTCGGATACTAAACCTTGAAGCCTCGTATATCCTTGCAAATCGGGTTATAGAAGACGCGGGAAGACTTTGCGGCCCGGACGCATTATCACCCTCTCCTTTCCGTAATCCATCAAGAAATATTAAAATAGCACCTCAAAGCGGGCGAAGCATCGGAGGAGAGCCATTGTGCTGGGCTACATGAGTGTCCGCTTTTCCACAGTTGTCAAAGGCGTGGGACATTCTTTTCAGTTCTAACACGACTGCGCATATGTGGGCAGAATAAAACCTGATTCGCAGTAGCATGTACCCCCAGAAGCAGGGCCGCTAGTTAATTCAACAATATGGCAAGTTTTTGAGTAATCAAATTCCAAATCACACTCAACGTATCACCGGTAGCTCACGCATTATCGCGCAACAGAGTACCCTGTATGGCCCGGTATCCCCATGGGGGGAAGCTTGGAATTGTACAATCAGGATCCCTTAATATCAAGCTGATGGTACGCTGGGTTTCGCCCGAAAGAATTTGGCGACCTTGGCATCACGGAATGCAGGGGCCCTTGTATCTTGGAGGCTCCACATGTTCCTTGCTCAGTAGTATTTATTGCCTAGGTTTTTTCCTGGGTTATCATGCTCCGAACGTACGAGAAGCTGAGAAATCTTGGAAGAATGGTCTGGTTTTGCAGAGATTGGACGTTACGGAGCCACGCTTCACCTGCTACGTTTCAATATTCTAAGGACAACGGGAGGTCGAGTGAATCGGGGCGCCGGCGTCCTTTGTTCCTTGGTCGGCCCGGGACTAGTGATGCCTAAAATATGACTCGACACTACTGATCGATTGCCATTGGCTGAGAACGCAAAATTTCGGCCATACAATACTTTCGAAATCACCTTTTCAGGTGGATGACAAAGATGCTACGTGGCAGGAGAGGTTCAACGTTCCACCAACTATCCAATGCCCTCGAAGAGTCTCCTGGATCAACAACGGAGTGGACGATTGTCGAATTAAAGAATAACCCGGATGACAGTTCTGACTGATTTCATGTTGTTTACACCTCTTAGCTTGAGTCTATCGTATCTTAAATTCACTGAGCAATTGTTCTCATCTGTTGATTTTGTAATAAAGGACTCCGCATCATTCTAGACGTTTACATAAATAAGTAGGTATCTGTTGCTGATCCAAGCTAACTGCGAGCCACAAGAATTACTACTTTCATTCACTCTAAAGGGTCTATGACCGGTGTTTAGATTAATCATTAATATATCCAATGGAGTTTTATGGACCTAAGGGAAATTCCAATATCTCAAGTGCTTGAGCGCGAGCTAGCCGCTGATTTTGCGACACTGTCGCCTCCTTGAGCCACAGTTGTGTCATGTGATTGGGACGCAGGGTTCCGATAAAGATTTTACTGTGTATCAAAGTAAGAAAAGGAGTATCCTAAAACAGTAGAAACCCGGATGCGGCTTAATAGGCGGACACGTCCCGGCTATAGTACCGCAAAAGACTGAACAGCACGTGACGTCTCCGATCGCCCAATGGCGCAACCGAGATAACGACAGGACGCTACGGTATATAGTCTGCGACAAACTGACCTGTCTGGTTTGAACATCCACCGTTCAGAGAACCAAGTCTCTTTGAAACCCAAGTCAAGGTTATACATGAGGTATTCCTTCAAAGCTAATGACACCACAACTTTCAGAGTTACTACGTTCAGCTCTCGGAAGGGGATTGGAAGTCATGGTCGGAGCTCGATATAGCATGACTCGAACCATTCCAACACCTCACTGTTTGCTGCTTGAGGATTTCTTCATACGTTTCGGCAGAGTCGGCGTCCAATTTCCTAGACTTGCGGTCCACTAATAAAGCTCGAAGTGTCGGGATGCATTGTGCCACGATCGTTACGCATGGCTCTGCGACATTCCAGATGCATTGTATCACCCTTCCATCTGCGCGCTTGTGTATTAGCATCCACCACTGGTACCAGAAACGTTCCGAACGTACGATAGTAAGAGCCATTGGCAACTGGATCTACACCGAGCATATTGACGGCTCTTTTAACGGCAATGATCCCGGCACTATCCCGTTAAAGGTCAGCAAGACCGAACTTCTCGTGCTCGTTGCATTGAACAAAACTCACAGGACCCCAAAACTCATGGCTATCCCCAGGCCCACCTTCTCCCGGTTTTTCATGTCTGTATGCCAGAGTATTTTCCACGGGAAGAGTGCAAGGGTAAAGTCCATCAGGGACGAATAGACTACGTCAAGCAAGTATATGTTAATATAATAGCTTATCATCTCAAAAAGGGCAAACCACATACGGACAACAGCAAGCGGAACAGCGATCTTCGCCGTCGGACTCCAGCAAGCACCAGCCAAATACATGTGTGAGTTACTCTGTACCACACACGGCCGGCCCCAAGCGGAGATCGAAAACACGGTATATGCTATATTGACCGTGGCGATAATAAACCACAAGAATATGGTTCCCGCTCGTTCTGTGAGCCGTGTTAGGGTAAGCGCGAAAGCCGACTTGGACCAGGCTGAGGCGAGCGCGCAGAACATGGAGCAGATGTTGAATAACAGAAGAACCCTATCACTTGAGGCTGTGACAATGCCTGAAGATGGGGCAGCGAAGGCACTGATAAAACCGCTGCCTATTACCACTATCACCTATGTCACAAGGTTAGTTGGTTCATTGGGATTGCTTTACCCAAGCCGCCACGAGGGCATAGTCATCCCACCTATTCTTGTGAGCACGTCTAAGGCGGTGATGGCATCTGGATGGGCTTACCACAGGGCACGATGCCGAGACAACTTCGAGTAAATCCTGAGGGAAAGAAATAGCACAGTGAACCCAACCATAACCCAAAGCCCGACCTGAACGGGCAACTCGGCGTTGCTCATGCTGGCTGGCTGGCTGATTCTCGCGGTATTTCTGGACCGACAGCATGAATTACGAATGGAAAAAGTCAAATAGCGTTGGTAAGTTGAGATTCGAGTATTGGGGTCGAATCTCACTAAGCCTGTCGATGGCGCTCATATAAGCCAGTCTGTACTGCTCTCGTCAGCCCCGTTCCATGTGAGGCTGGCCCCCAGAGCACTGTTGGGCCATGCAACGTCGGCAAAAGCTCTTGGCTGCATAACGACAGAAAAACTTGGCAAACTTCATCGTCGGCCGACGAATCAAGGCTTCTCCTCATGGAAAAGCCCGAGTTCAATGCCGATGCAGGGCATTTTCCAAATGCACTGCCTGCTAGGCTTGCTGTTTGCTTCGGCTGACTCCGCCCTAGTCTCATCCATTAGAACCCACGATCGACACGCCACACCGCCCGTCTACCGAAACATTTTTGTCGCCGTAAGGCCTCATAATATGTTGCCCTTGCGCCATTTCCGATATCAACCGTGAGACTAGGACAGTTTCGTGACCGAAAACTGCACAAACATGTTTGCCTCATCCATGAAACTGCCATCATTTAGGCATGAGCCTCAGGGGTCCTAATATTGTACGGAATCATACCAGAGTCGCGTAGGGGAGAAATCAGAGCCAGTGAAATAGAAGCTTCTTCATTGGCATATGCTGATCTGAAGTCATAAGAAATGTGAGCTGCAACATGCAATTCAAGGTCAATATGTGCTGTATTTTATTGGTGGAAAGTCCAATGGCGTAGGTGCACAGCGAGGTTTCTAGATCTTACAAATCAGTCACCACAGCTCTAGACCATGTATCGAAACTATTATCTGTCGTGCTACAAGTCCGCTGCTTTCATGGAATCTCCCATGCCTCGCAGAAAGTGGCCATCTCATGAGGTTTGCTTCAACTTCATTACCAACCGATGGATGGCATTAGCAACAAAGCCTGGGTCATCCCTTTGAATGAAGTGCCCACACCCCTTAGCCGTCACAGGACCCTCTGACCTCTCTTTTTCCGTCAAGCGTACAAGTCCCTCGTTGTAACGATGCCAGGCTGGGTTCATGTAGGCGTTTGTCAGACCCTTGGGCGTCTTCAGCGAACCCGTTAGGCCTTCCTCGGCAAAGGTATCCCAATCGTGCTCTACGACCGTGATCCATGCTCCTCTGCTATCGGGACCTTTTAGAACAGGTTTGTGGTCATATGGCAATAGATCCGCAACGTTGCGTCGGTCCAAATTCTCGGGGTTGCGGACGGAGGGGTGAAAAATAGCCTTATACTTAGCACGGGTGTCCCGCAGATCAGCTACACTGACTCCCGCTGGTAACGAAGTAGGATCAAAGTCCTGCAAATCTGGATCCGGGAAGATGGACACAAGGTCGCTGTTCGCGATGTTGCTGTCGAGGAGGAGCAGCGCGGTCACGCTCGACGGGTAGGTCTCCGCATACAGGCGCGCAATGACGCACCCTATGCTGTTGGCGACAAAGACCAAATGGGGCCTTGATGGTGCTCCATCTTGTTGCTTGTCGTACCAGATCTTGAAAAGCAGGTCGTTGAGGTCCCTGACAACTTCACGCATGTCATGCCCATATTTCGATTGCTCATCAGCCGGATCAGGTTCAGAATCTCCCTGACCGTAGCGATCGTAAGTAAGAAGCGAAGGATAATTGGCGGTCCCGGCGCCTGCACCCCACGTTTGTAGAAGTTTCTGTATTGTGGCGTCCCATCCGCGCTGGTGCATGATCAGTCCATTAAGGAAGACAAGTAAATGCGTCGTCGAGAGCGGACCGTGGCCTTGAGCGATACCATAAGATAGCGTGGCTGTCGGCTTGCGGGGAAGGCGGACAACACCGCGCTCGACAATCGTTTGGATGTCGACATTTTCCAAGTTGGACATGGTAATGCTGGAACTAACTTGCGTTCTTTCAAATCGTGTTGCGTTCCGAGGCAGAATAATTGGGTGAGTACCTGTTCTAAGAGATGATGAAAGTAAGCAAACGGCCTCCTACACAGTCAACACGGGTTCGTGGTTCCCAATTGTCGAAGCCTCCGTTAGCGCCTGCAGCCGCTGACCAGTTCCGTGCTGAATTGCAGCAAACACTGTAATTTTAGCAGACAGCCGTTGTGGTGATAAGCGACCAGCCAACGTACATATATGAATACATTATGTGAGAGCCTTCTGGCAACATTCACCAAGTCTATGGACATTCTGTTCGTTATATTCACAAAAAGATTGGCATGGCTGTGACTACTCAAGAGTGCACAGTGATAGCCGTGGTTCGCATTGATTACTTGTGTATCTACTCTGGTGAATCTCTACCCAAATCCAGACGCCGAAGAGCGTAATTCATATCCACAAAATATCATTTCTAAACTTGTGAACCAGTCATGACTATACTGTTGTACGTTCCCTCCCCGTGGAGCTATTCCACAAGTAGAGTAGTTGTATTATAGTTACCAGTCTATCTAACTCTCCAAGTTAGTTGCCCCGCTCAGCTTGCATTTTCCTGTCTTCTTCTTCCGTCTTCGGGACCTTTACCATCGTGGGCACTGTAACCGCATTTAACTTGCGGAAAGCCTAGATAATCATGTTAGCTCGCAGCACTCTCTCCCAAACATATCCCTCACCAGAAAGGGCCACCACCAGCTCGCGGCGCAGAAAGCCCACCAGCCCCAATCCAGCCCAACACCGACGACGACTCGAACGATCTCAAACGGGAGCCAACGTACCTCTGATATCCCGCCCTCTGGAAGCTTGCCGTTCCATTTGTCCTCAACTTTCTCAATCTTTCCATCACTGCCAACATGAATTTTCACGACAGAGTCCATGACCTGTTCCTTTTTGATCCCCTTGACGACATACTTGTTTGAGAGGCTGAGCTCGATCGGGTTCCCGCCGGACGTTACCTGGTGGCTCTGGATCTTGATGGGGTTGAAGACTGCAGGTAATCCATACCACTGCGCTGCGAACTTGTCATATCCGACGGCGTTTGTGATGTTGTCGGCAAATGTAGCATTGCGCGACCACAGAGACAGGTGCTTCAGCGTGGGGTTGCCCTCAAACAGCTGTGGTCTGTAGTTAGCCCTGAAGCATTCCGAGAGAATGGAAAGGAACTCGCATCAAGCACACTGCCGACTAACACCTTCTGCTGGTCTGACAATTTCACACCAGAACCCTCATTGATGCTGGTGTTCTTAATGTTATAAGATGCGAAGGACGCAGCTGAGGCATTCGCCTGGTCTTGCGCCTGAGCGGTCGCGGACGGTGCGCCTGTAGCCATGGTTTTGCGAGATGTGAAGAGTGTGTTTATTGGGGAACGTAATCTACGTGAAGGTGCAGAAGCAATTGTGCTGACCAAAATGGATCGTGAGGACATAAGGTGGACTTGTGATACGTAAATCTACATAGAATGCTGACAAGTGGGCGACGTGGGATGTTTACAACTACTTAATCAAGCTTATTCGAGCTGGGAGATCACCCTGTTAGAAAGTCCTATGCTACAATGAGGCGCTCTGTATCATCATGGTTGTCGTATTATGCGATCATGACTTTCGTAAGGATCACAACAAGATCGACTACGTCATGAGCTCAATGATGACCTAGGGGCGATGCACAACGGAGCTAACATTCCGGTCCCAGCGCATTGGAACGCCAAGTAGTTCACGGCTCGGCCCGGGCCAGTCGATTAACAACTTGTGTAGAAGAATACGTTGGAAGCATTCAGTAGACTTAGTCGGCATATTGTTTTATGAACAGTTGATAGAGAAGGGCAGGTGTATGAATAGTGCTGGGCCGTCACTTGTCTAGCCTTCCTTCACTCTGTTGAATTGAACATTAGCCAATAATGTCCTCTCGTTCAACCGCCAGCATTCCGGGCCACTTGCTCCTGATTTTTCTGTTGGTCAATCGCGGCATTACGGAGATATTGTTGATGAGGCTGTGAGGGTGATAAATCTTGATCTGCTGGACTGGATTCGGTCCTTGGTATGGTGACCAGTGAATACGGTCGTTTCCCTTTCCGCTTTAAAGCTGCTGGCTTTTCCTCCGCCTGGATCATTAGCAACTTCATCGGCTGTTCGGCATATGGCAAACTCAACAGTCTCGGACCCAGTGTCCAGATATTTGCGGCAGGTTTTGCAGACAAGGAAGTATTCGTCACTAACAATTCCAAGAGCCTCTAGCAATTCAATAGCATAAGATACCAGCAATGTGCCAACAAGAGTAAAGATCAAATAGAAAAGTTACATTAGATCACTTTGCAGCAAAATGACCCTGTCTGATCGGAATCTCTACTCAACCAGAAGGCAGAACGCAAAAGTGACGTCCCAAGCTCCTGACAATGCTCCGCAAAGTGCAATGAGTATACCAAACGCCGTGTGAAGACTGTGCCACGGGTATCGCCTTCTACTCCAGAAAGTCTCCCCGTCTTTTACACCAAAAAGAGCAGCACCAAGCTGCTGCAAATGCAATTGGGCTGCGAAATACATCGCATATCACAGCTTACTTTGGAACACTGATTTCATACCCAATCATGACCTCGGTGCTCGTTCCTTCCCATCCTCGAGTTCCAGCAGTAGATATCATGAACCTACTCGTCGCGTCGATGTATAGATTGGAGATGACACCGGCTCGGGGCGGGCCTGGGACAATCAAAAAGGGCGGGGCAGAGTGTTTTGATGATTTCTCATCGGCTTTGACGTCGTACAATCGCAGGATATCGTGCGAGGCGCAGATAAGATGACGACCGTTGGGCATAGGGCGGACGCAGCTGACAGGTCCACTGCCGTTTGGAAACTTCAACACCCGCTCAGGTTGCCAGCCCTTATGTCCTCCTCTGGCTTTTTCCACGCTGAACTCCTCAACGGTGCCGTTTCGCCGACCAACGTAGATCCAGTTACCATCCGGTGACCAGCAGGCGCCCATACACCATGGGGGTACCCCGATTCGGTTACCGATACGGGCGACCGGATTGGGCACGCGGCGGTCCCATATGCGGAGCGTCCCGTCAATGGAAGCAGATAGGAATGTGGAGTCTGAAGTTTGCGTGATATCGTACTGAGCAGCCGGGGCTTCGGCAAATATAGCAGAAGGAGATTCTGGTGCTGGCGCTGCTGAATCAAGGAACGCAGATGGAGACTGCGGCGCATGTCCTGGTTCGGTATCTACAGGTTGTGAGAAGTCTGTGATTTGCTCTGTCGGTTGTGTGATATCAAAGCTGGTGTCAACATTGACATCACCTGCGCTCATCGCGTTGCTGTTGGGTAAGTCGCCGTTTACGGCATCGTGGCTCTCCTCATTGTTCGTCCCGTCAATTGTAGGCAGCGACATGTCAAAGTCGGTTATCGTATTGTCGCCAGTAGTGCCAGGTTGCACATTCGTGTCCTGAGCAGCATCTTGTGCAGCGTCTTGCGCCGAGTCCTGCATCATGGCCCGGGAGAACCCGTTCTCATCATCAGCACCGAAGTTGTCTCCAAATAGATCATCGGCGTTACCGGGACTGCCGCCAAAGAGACTGTCATTCGTCGGGCTCGCCTGGCCGTTCATGTCTGCGCCATTGACCCCACCATCGGCGCCGTTGTTCTCATTCCCAAATGAATTGCCAATATCTCCGTTGACAACGCCGTTGGCGGCACCATCCACCCCTTCCATCGAAAAGTCGAAATCCCCAGCCGGGGGAGCACTGTTGTTGGAAAAGAAGGTGTCGCCGAGGGTATCTTCTTCCGCAGCTTCGGGTGGGAACGGCGTACCACTCATGGGCCTTGTTTCAAGGGCTGATAGTTGACTGCCACTGCCGTCAAACTGGCGTTTAACCGCGCCCGTGTTTAAGTCCCAGTCAAAGATATTCTTGTCCCAACTGCCACTCAAGACGCTCTTCTCATCAGCCGAGAGATTTAGCACACTGACAGCGTTGGTGTGTTTCTGCAGGCAGGCAATCCGCTTGCCCTCGTCGTGGCGCACGCTGAAGAGATTAATTCCACCGCTCTCGAGTCCCGAAAGCAACCACAGAGCCTGGGAGTGGACGGCCAAAGAATATACGGGGCTCAGCACAACATCCTCGGCCCGCATCGAGGGTGTCTGTGGCTCGGCATTCTCCCAGTACGACATGAGAACCCCTGACTTGACCACCGAGTCGACAAAGGGGTGTCTTTGGGCGACAGTAAGGAGCTGCTTCCCGTTTATGGTGTCCGGCCCATGGTATTTCCTGATATACCCGTCGGAACCGCCGGCCACCCAATAACGAAGATCTGGCGTAATGGAGATGGCATTGACGCTGGTGGCCATTGGCGCGGCCATGGTGGGCACGATATCGTACGTGGTGGCATTCAGTGCCTCAGGCCGGACTGATGGGAGCCATCTGGGGGTCGCAGACGAGGGCGCTGGTGTCGCCGAGGTGCGCGTGACCGTGGGCTGGGACGTCGACGCATCATTGGTAGCATCGTTGCTACCACGGCGCTGCTGGTCCTGGGTCTGATTCTCGTCATCATCGTCATCGTTGTCGCCGTCGTCATCGTCATCATCGTCGTTCTCGTTCTCATCGTCGTCGTGGTCTTGATCATCGGGCTGGTCGTTGTTCTCGCGGTCGTCCGCATCGACCATCAGCTCATCCTCCTGCTCGTCTGAGCTGGCATTGGAGTCTCGGTCGAAGTCATCCATGTTGGGCGGACGACACAGGGGCTAATAGCGAACTGTCTGCAACTGACTATGCGACTCGGTGGTCGGGAGGATGCCACGGAGGACGACCTAGTTCATCCTTGCCGTCGCTTCGGCGCAGGGCGAGGGTGTCGGAGGGTATGCGGTCTCTTGAGAGGCTGCAGTGATCGGCCCCAGAGCCCGGAGCGCACCAGGCTGGTCGTGAGGTTTGGCAATGAAGCAATTAGGATAGCCACTATACTGCGCTGTCGTAGCTGTAGCGGTTGCTGCCGTTGCCGTCGCCGTCGCGCGTGTCAATGATTGCGATCGGTGCTCTGTTCCGTGCCGCGGGTAGGGGCTGAATCCACTACGCGTCCGGGATGCATGGATGGGCTGGGGTGTCGGTCGGTGGCGCGTGGCTACCGCCTTCATGCATTTGGCGGGGCTAGCGGTGCTTCTGTAAGCTCAAAGGCCTGGAACAGCTCTCCAGGTTCCGACGCCCCAGTGCCCCTGGGGGCCCAAGTTTACCTGCCCAGCGGCTTCCAGGAGTGGGAAGCGCCAAGATTTTCCCTTCAAGAGCCGCATGGTGCGCATTGGTGTAGAGAGGCACCTAAAATCTCAGTCAGCCCACTGCGTTATCCTCCGCTGCTCGGGCTGTCCCTATGAGATGGTCTCTTGGCCGTCGCAAGACCTGCTTATTCCCAAGTCCCTATGCCTACCTAGATACCTCTCTGTAGGTATTCATCACTCGGTTGAGGTAGAGCTCGACGTTCGGCCACGCACTGGCACACCTCGCAACCTAGGTACCTAGGTACACAGCAGGGGCGGGGTGAGATCGAACGTCTACTCAACGTCACCACTCCTGTTTCTACTGTATCACAGAAGTGACCACTGCAAATTGCCGAAGGTACCGTAAAAATTGGTTATCACAAAGAGCTACCTGGGAATACCATCTAATCGCGTTTCGGTGTTCGGCCTCTGCGGACCAAATGCTCCTCGTTCCAGAGCTTGGCTGAGGAAGGCCCAGTCACATTATTAATGCTTCTCCCTACCAGATATCCAATCGCCTTTCCGATGTTTCGTGCATCAGATGAAAAGCGGCTGCGGCCTTCTAGTGGAACGTCCAATGACGCCCAGCGGTACCGGGCCCTTTGGTGTCTGAAAATCTGAGATCTCTCTCCTCATATTGGCTAAGAGTCGGTCCATATGATGTTGCACTATTCGCTATAGATCCTCGGCTTCTTCGAGACGCACGAACAGGGCTTTGAACAGGCCACTGTTCGTAGGTCGTGGAGAGATATTGCTGCGTTTCCAATCCGATGCCCTCATGTGTCTCTACCGGCCGCTTTCACGGTCTAAGCACTAGGCAGTCTGATGAATTCAGCATGCCACTGTACCAGTCAACTAGCAGATAAAGTATATCAGAGCGTAGTCCCATCCTGGTACCCGACGTTCCACTACGACCTATGACGAGTACATGGACTCCGTACCCGAGGCGCGTCTACCACCTGCAGATGTATTTGCGTAATAACCATGCATAGATGCCGGGCCTTGCTTCCATCCGCTCCACCATCGCCGTCGAGTTCTGCTCTCACGTCCAAGTCAACACGCAGTTGGTGTTCTCGACCGCTCTAACGCCGTCCTGTCATTATGACGCTTAGACGCTTGGGATCATGGACATTATGTGCCACTAGATTGGTTTGTAATCGAAGTCAACGATACCATAGTATATCCCGGCCCCACGTGGGCTCCGACGGTACTTATATAAACTTGCTGTGTTGCCCACTGTGCTAAAGTGGTTGTCACAACTCCGCAACAACCAGAGATCATAGGCGGCAGAAACGATGTTTTTTTATAGAATTTACGGGAGCGTCACCCTGCTCGCGCTTGCTGCTCAATCGCTCGCTGCCCCAGTCATTGAAGAGCGGGTTTACTCGGAGGCTACAACAACATACACCTCAGCGGCAGCGACCACCGTGCCTATTGTACCTGTAACCAACGTCACATCTCATGGGCCGTACACTGGAACACCAACCACAACTGGTGCTCTATCCACCACTGTAACCGCGGCATCCGTTCCAGCTTTGCCAGCAGACCCAATCAAGTATGAATATCCAGCAGACGGTCAGCTGCACATGGACGAGCCAGCTCCTTACACTCCTGGCGGCGGGCAAGGTGTCAACGGATCAGCCCCTGTATACCGTCCCCAGAGCGATTTTGATTACGAATCGCTCGCCCTGGCCCTCTACCAAGAATGGATCGAGCTTGACCTCTTCCATTGGGGCCTTGCGACTTTCAGCACCGAGGAGTTTGAAGCAGCTGGTCTGAACGCCGAAGACCGCTTCCTCTTGGAATTCATGGCGGATCAGGAGGCTGGTCACGCTACTTTGTTGACCAACATTCTGGGCGCCCAGGCCCCCGTCCAATGCACATACAACTACCCGGTCACCAACGTGCAAGAATACATCGACTTCAGCCAGAAGTTGACCAGATTCGGCGAGTCGGGCGTCTATGGCTTCCTCCCTCATCTGGACTCGCGTGAGAGCGCTCAGCTGTTACTCCAGTCAATCACGACCGAGGCACGCCAGCAGATGATCTTTCGTCAGTTCGAAGGTCTATTCCCAATGCCCGTCTGGTTCGAGGTCGGCATTCCCCAATCGTGGGCGTGGACACTTCTAGCTCCTTACATCTCATCTTGCCCTGCCAATCAGACCCGTCTGATCTGGCAAAACTTCCCATCGCTCAACATCCTCAACCAGCCTAATCCTGCTCGGATAAATGGCTCAAACGCCTGGAATGAGACTACAGGCGGCTACACCAACACATTGTCGACCAAGGGCATTAAAGAAGGCGATGCCTGTCTGAATGCCACTGACCCATCTGAGGACTGTGGCCCAGCCATCACTCAGAACCGTACGCAGCCATTGTCGTATCCCGGTCGCAAGGTTCATTTGAACTGGGATGAGCCTGGTATGGCTCTTGGTCCTAACAACAGCTATGTAACCTCCACCACTGTCACCGAACCCCGTTTTGCCGCGTGGGTTACTCAATTGAACGTTACCTACAGTCCTCTCATGGATATCAGTGGCAACAGCGCATGGACCATCCAGCCCAACGTCAGTGTCTTTGAGGGAGATCCGGCGATCAATGGGACTATGTTCCTGGCTATTACCGACGAGGACCTTTACGTTACTCCTTTCAACCTGACGCAGCTGAACCCACATGTTGCCGCTTTGGCTTTGTATCAGGCCGGATGAGGCCATATACCTTTTGCTAGGGAAAGAATATTGGCATAGGCAGTCGCCGGGCCTGATTCGTCCGGGGCGTATAGCTGATCGTAGAAGATGTTGAAGTTGCAAGTTGCTTGGGTATATTGTAATACAAATAGCGTTGTTTGATCACAAGTATGTCTACGCACTATCATAGGTTCATGTTGTAAAGTGACTTTGTGTACCACTACTCTGCTCGCAAGCAAGCCTTTTACGAACATATACTGAAATTTGTATCTGGTGCAACGTGTAGATAAAGGATCCGAGATTTCTACCCTACAGCATTACCACAGCACGAATCCTTGGTGAGGGTTAAAATTGCAGTGAAAAGGAATTTGTGAGGCTCTGCCGTTGACAAGGTACTTTGGAGGCTCAAGTTTTACCATCCCTGTCACGTACCGATTTACAATCGCTATACGGCATCTGGTTAGCGGAAGGCCCTGCCAGCTGTTGGATTTCGCGGACAATTTGCACAAAGTGCGCATAACATACCCTGTTCAACTAGCGCGGTACATAAACAGATGCTAAAATATACCCCTAACACCACAGTATATTGAGTCGCTAAGAATCTAAGACAGCGGGCATAGAATACCGTATTACGTGGGAGACTTTGGTATAGCGGCAAAACCACGAACTTGAGGTGGCTGAGAATCTGAACAAAACATCCTTTGAGGCTTGGTACAAATCATACTAGTTGACACAGTACACTACTTATTCAAATAGCGGTATGAATGCTTGTAAAGCCTTATGGTGTTGGCTTCAGACTTACGCCCAATTGGCCAAGGGCTGAGGCCCACCGCCTACGTCATACTTATGGACGGGACAACCTCTCGTTGCATGTCGCATGTAATGCTGGTAGACGTCACATACCTGTCAACCCACTTTTGGTCTGGTCCAAATTTCCAGAGTAAGATTGATATACTTTTATCTGTTGCACACTTTCAATTTTTTTTTACTTTTACATCTCGAGCGTTGACATATCTCCAACTACTGTTCAAACATATCCACTTCCGGATTTAGAAAACCATAATATCTCCCAACATCATGTCAAACCTAGGACAGGACATCAAATCGGGCCTCAAGGGCATCCGAGGAGCCGGTGAAGCCATTCGGGGCACCTTTAACGAAGCTGCCGACCAGGCCCTCGACACCAACCAGAAGCACCCGGCAGCTCAGGAAAGCCAGCTCAAGAACCGCGGCATCGCGGAGAAGGGAAAGGAGGACATCAGAGGCGCGGACGACATGATCGCGCGTCACGAGTGGAAACATAAGGGCGTCGCACCACCCGCTACGGCTGCTCAGACTGCTCCGGTCACCGGGCAACAAACGACCATGGCTGGCACCACAGCTGGCCCTACGGCTGGTACCACCGACGGGCTAGGGTCAACGGCGCCGGCGACACAAGCTGGCCGGTATTAGGCTCACACTTCACCATAGGTGCAAGTTGCCGCTTTGCATCGGGGAACATACTGCCGACCATAAGTCCACCAGTATGGAGCACTGCGTATTCTTTTTCTGCTTTACCTTCATCCCGGTCTTTGATGGAGTGGTATCGATGGATCAACCCAAAGGGTGCCAAGCGTGAAGGAACATAGCTTCAGCCGCCTCAGGGCAGGAGGATTAATGATTGAATGTATCATGACACATGTATTATAGTAAAGCAAATATCCAAACAGTTTCGTGGTGGTTCCAAAGATGAAGCGTCACGTGGCAGGATCCATAAATGTATTTATCCTGGCCCAGGCCTTGCAACCGCCTTAATTGGAGAACCACGTTCCATTATATGAACAGGCTATGAATTCTACCGCGAATACTGGTGATTTCAGTGAGTATGTTTTTCTAGGCAATTGTAACGATAGCCTCATGTCTTTGTAAGAAGTCTTGAACACAGCGAACAAAACGGTCCAGTTCTTCATCAGGTGTGCCCAGAATCAGTGCCATCATCCCTCTTCTCGTGATCCAGTACCCGTTCTCGAGCATCTCCATCCAGAACAGGTCTTTCAGGTCTGATCGTTCCACAATGTCATCCACGGAGCTGATATCTTCCGAACCGCTGTCTGAGAAGTGGGATGCAAGTATCGCCCCCAAGCCGGTGAAAGAGAGTTTGGTGCCCTTGCTCGCAGCCCGCAGTTTCTCTCGGAAGCTATCACCCTTCGCGTTGAAGGCAACGTTGACCTCATCCGTGAAGACTTGGGAAAGGCCTGCATATCCAGCATACATTGTCATCGTGTTATTGTTGAACGTACCAGAATGGGTTAGGGAGCCTGGTACCCGCGGATCGTACACGGCCATGATATCCGCACGTCCTCCGAAGGCTCCGATCGGGAAGCCACCGCCCAAGTATTTCCCAAAGGTCGTTATGTCGGGCTTCAGATCTAGAAGTCTCTGGATGCCTCCGGGGTGGATTCTCGATGTCATGACCTCATCCAGCATAAAGATAACACCAGCCTTCTTGGATTCTTCCTGGATAGTGAGGAGGAAATCTCTGGTCCCGCGGATGCACCCAGCCGAGCCCTGCATTCCTTCGACCAACACAGCAGCCAAGTCAGGCGTGTTCTGAATTAACGTTCTGGTTGATTCGACATCATTGTATTTTCCAACCACCCAGTCAGCTCTGTCAACGTTGTTTTCGGCCACCTTTCCGTCACCGAACGAAAGCACAGCACCGTGGTAGCCCCCGCAGAATACGAGGACCTTGCGCCGGCCCGTGAACTTCTTGACCCCGTTGAGGGCATGCAGGTTTGCCTCCGTGCCCGTATTGGTGAAACGCAGCCGTTCGAGTCCGAATCGACTGCAAATCAGCTCCGCGTGCTTGTATTCTTGGGTCGTAGTGGAACCCAGGCTGAGTCCTACATTGTCAAATGTAGAGATGATGGCCTCCCGAATCACTGGGTTGGAATGGCCATATATACCAGCCGTGAGTTCACCAACAAAGTCGGTCATCCTAAACCTACGTCAGTCGCATTCCAAGGTGAACTGAGAGGGTTGTGTTGTACTTGTGGCCATCCTCATCCCAGACAAAGGGCCCTTTCCCGCATTTCATGCTTAAAGGGAAGGGCGAGGTGTGCAGCAGAGTTCGGGTGTTACCTCCCGGTAAGGTGCCGGCTGCAGTTTCATGGAGCTTCTTGGAAACTGGGTTCCGCTCCTCGAAACGCTTCGTCGCAGCATCAAGCGCGGCTTGTACGGCATCTCCTGAATTATTCGATGCGCTCTTGGTCTGCACCCCAGCGCTGGCGTCGCCCACTGTTTCGCTGATGGCGATAGGAGCCATGATGTTCAGTACTGACGTGGTTCGGTGCTCTCTATTCTTCTTGCTCTTCTGATGTGCCTGTGTGAACTCACTCCCGTCAGATGAAAAATGTTGAGGATGACTATCAAAGCACCTGGTATGATATACTAACCCACTGGGCGGGGACCCCCGCTATCGGCGACTACTACTATCGGTTCCCCACAACGTGTGGGAATCTGGCTTAGACAGTTTGGCAGATCATGTTGAGATCCCCGAATTCCTCCGAGTATCAAGATTCACAGAGTTTCAAGGAGCACCTGAAAACATCCGTCTGGTCGAAGAAGAGATTGAGATTCGTAGTGGCGGGTCATAGCGTATCACCAGATCCGCCGAGTCTATGTACTGCATCTGCTGTGCCTGGCCAGCTCGTAGTATCCCTAGGTTTGGCCGGAAACAGAAAGTCTATAAAATTGCTTGGGCCTGCCAATCTCCGTCATGGTCTGCTGATAAAGCAAGCCACGCATGTGGACAGCACTAGAGAACAAGAACCAACATTTTTGTCAAAGCACACTGACTACCGATTCCTCAACACCAATCTCCTGCAAGTGCGCAGCCCAAGAGATCAGATGACCTCTCCAGGAGTATTGGCACCGCTGCGCTCAGCCATTTCCTCGCTCGTGGGAAGTGAACCGGGGCATTCGTCGTCCCACGCATCCCGGCTCAGGAACATGTAGATGTTCCACCAACCCTCGGGTATGGAATTGAACCAGGTTGTATAATCAGCTCTGGCGCCAGAGTAGCCATTGGATCGGAACATGTGAGTGATAAACCACACGTCAGCGGGACCACTATCCTCGTCATGGTACTTCGCAACGATGGACGGTATGTCAATGAAGCGACGGGAAGTTCCATCCGGTTTCTTGAGCGTGCTGTACCAAAGGTCGGGTTCTACGTCAGTAGGGCCACAACCTCGCGGTCGAGGCTGCTGGAAAGGGCCGATGGGGCGGCCGGAAAGACGGTCAAAAATGGTAAGGCTGTGATTCAACAACAGCTCGGTGACATAGCCACAGAGAAATCCGTATCCAACGCCGGGCTTGAAGACTAAATTGCAGCCTTATGTTAGAATACACAGTGAGAAAGCTGTGAAAGAATTAAAGTCATCGACTTACATCGGCAGGCGGATCGCAGCAAGTAACCATGAGCAACGATAACCTGTTCGCGTTCCCAAGGTGCAAAGCATCGCCAGAAGACGTGTGACACAGAGTCGGAATAGCTTGCCAAGGCAGCGCTCATGCGCATCAACAGCTTGGAGATCTCATCGATGTAGAGGCACTTGGTAATTCTTCGTCTCTCGACAGCGGTCAGAATTATCTCGGCTTCGTCAATACAGAGTGACGTGAGTCGCTCTACTGCAGCGTGGAACTTGCTCAGCACGAGAGCTAGCTGAAGAGAGAACCACGTAGGCATGATCGGCATGACACGGCATTGATTCTCCACGAAATTGTTGCAAAAGTCTCTAAGGTTCTTCTCCACGTTCTCGGAGTCGTCGGACATGGCCGCAGCCAGTGTTGTCGGTACGGCTTCGTCTGCCTTGAAACGGGCAAGGGCTAGAGGTAAACATTGTTGACCGATTTCGTTCTCAGTGACTGCATGGGAAACAATTCCAGGGCTACCCAGAAATGCGTTGCGGAGAGACTTGCAGGTGTGGATGAATGAAAGCAGTGATCTGACGTCGCTAAGCGATTTCATGATTCCTTGCTTGAGTTCGAGAGGCAGCCGCTCAAGACTTGCAGAAGGTGCAGCCATCTCGAATGGTCTGATGTTGATACTACAGATTAGTGATAGCAACGCAGAGAAGGGCTAATTTCATTGATGTTTGACTGCTCCCAATTTTGCGAGTAATGCTTGGTCGGCTCTCATCCCCACCGCGACAGCCAAGTGCACTATCAGGAAGTCGACTTGGGCTGAAATCGGGAGATGTAAACTCACTCACCTGGATTACTTCTCGAAAAGCAACCGATGGGCTTATGACTGAAGCGCCCGGCTGCGTTCTCTGGAGACGGGAGGGAAGAGCGAGGGATCGTAACGTGAGGTCTGTCCTCTCCAAGAATCGTGCCCAAGCGGCAATGGAAAGATGTGTAAACCTCCGTTGCTGAGCAGCTCACTCAGTGAATTACAGAATCAGACGCTTGGACCTTTGTTTAAACGTGGCGCCGTTTGTCAGGTGAATGATCTCAAGTGAAAAGATAAGTCAAACTTTGCGTTGCCCGGTACCTACGCGGATAGGTATTGGCCACAGCGTCATGCTACATATTCACAATCTGACATTCAACGCCATAGCTTTCCTTCCAAAACAATGACTCGCATCTATTCAGAGTCAATCACCTACTGCATTTCCCGGGCCTGGCAACTATGATCGTATCTCATGCTCAGACAGCGCACCTTGACTTGTCTCAAATCGAAGGCATATACAGCAACAAGACGGCGGAGGTTTGGTACCAAAGATTTTCCGTTGTATTAACAACCCATCCATCATATTTTCCCCGCCTTAATACAAGTCTCCAATTGTCAAGGCATTCTCAGGTTGTCAGATTCGACAGTGAAAATCCCCATTTAAGTAGATGGCTATTGTGCGCAGCCTGCGCGGGCCACGAGCCCATTTACCAACCCATAGCGATTCCCATGTTGTTTAACTCGTCTATGAAACACATTCTTCTTCCATAACAGCTTACAGCTCTTTTTTTTTTTTTTTTTGGATGAGTCAGCGATGTTCAGAGTGTCTGTGGGACTATCAAGGATGGGATTGGATGACTCCACTGAGGGGAAGATTGATTTACGAAAGCTGCTTGATTGCGTCGCAAGAGATATGCTCTCTGTGCGATGACCTTCCAGCCTGTCTTTGTTCAGTTCAGACGCTCTACATCATACTATTATCCAAAGCTTTACTACTCGCTATGGCTGATCTCAGTCAGTTACCCAGAGACTACTATGTCAAAGCCATGGCATTCACGCGGAACACATTCCAGGATGTGTATCCCTCTATCGATCCTGCGCGGCCTGAGCTCAGTCTTGCGGGAGAAGTCGCCATCATCACTGGAGCAAGTCGAGGCATTGGAGCCAAGGTTATTTTCTGGTTTCTTAGTTCCTTGTGAGGGTTGCTAATCATGCCATAGGGGATGGTGCCTTCATTCATCAAGGCTGGTGTTCGTGGTTTGGCACTCCTTGCTACGAACAAAGAAAAGTTGGATGCGATAAAGGAAGAAGCCAGGGCGGTCAACCCGAACATCGAGATCGTGGCAGTGGCGTTGGATATATCCAACGTTGGAGAGGTAGAAGCTGCATTTTCCGAGATTAAACGAAAATTCCAGTCGGCCAGGGTGCTTGTGAACTGCGCAGGCATGTGCTCAGGGGATGGCCCAGATATAATGGATGCTGATCCCGAGCTGTGGTGGAGGAACTTTGTAAGTACCGAGATCAGTCTCTCTACCTCTTGCTTCTCTAATTATTCCCATAGGAAGTCAACGGCAAGGGTGCTTTCCTCCTGACGCGCTCATTTCTGCGCCTCCAAGGGGATAAGGACTCGCATGCAACTATTGTCAACGTCTCCTCCTGGCAAGGTTTCTACGTTGTGCCGCCGATGTCTGGTTACTTCATATCAAAGTTCATCGGCGACTCTCTGATGACGTACATCGCGGAACAGCACAAGAATGTGAACGCAGTGGCGGTCTACCCTGGTCTTGTAGAAACTGACATGCTCCGCGAACCGTTTCGTTCACTGTTCAGTCTAGACACTGCTGAGCTCGTTGGTGGGGTTGCCGTTTGGCTGTGTCAGGAGAAAGCTCGTTTCCTCAGCGGGCGTTTCATTGCGGCCAACTGGAGTGTCGATGACCTGCTTGAGAAGAAAGAGGAAATATTGAAGAATGATTTATTGAAGGTTAAGTTGAGTGGGCAATTCGGTATGGATTCTGTCTAGTGGCTCGACTTATGCCATGGGCACAAGAAATCAACCTTACTTTTAGTTACTCGTCAAGCACGAGCAGTTAGGCTCTATTACGCTGTGCTATGTAACTACATCTCAGGTTCTCAGGTAGGAGTTGTTAAGTGAACGATTTAGCGTAATGGTTCTAGCGTCAGTAAAGTGGCCCGGGTTGCGGCGATGATAATTGAGTTATCCCACCTTATCCCGAAAATGGTTTTGAATAAGAAGTAGTAATTCGAAGTAACCTGCTAGTAAAGTCATTGATTTTAACCGTATAAGCTATGGACTTTGACAAATGGGCGTAAAATCACAATTCAAAGGCGGATGCAGGTGGAAACGAGCATCCTAACGCTAATAACTTAACAAGACCAGACCGTCTGACAGTTGAACTGTTGCTTTTCGTCCAAAGCTGCACGGCGACATTTTTATCGGAATCTCAAAGCTGATCATCGCGATAGCCTGATGGCCTGATACATGCACATCCAATCGACTCGTAATCCTGTCGCAGCTTGACGCCCAACAAAAATAGCTCCTGTCTGTCTCACACCAGGGCAGCAAATCAGTTTTATATGCCCAGCCTTTCCACCCGCAGGGGGTCCTGAGACGCCCCGCCGCCGTGCAAGCAGGGCCCCCGAGGCCGTTTCAGCCGCTGGGACCCCACTATTCCTCGACTGATCCTCGCGGCTGATCGCCGCCAAGCGCCTGTCTCGTCCAATGGAAGGGCCATGAAACACAGCACGCCGTCACGCTCAGAAGGTTCGCGCCTGATCGCTGTGCAGGTCGGTGGCTCTGGGGAGGCTCCTGGTTGCGGCTCAAGTGGACACTTGGCCGTCGTTCAAGGCTTAATTGGCGACGGGCAGACCGTAGGCCTGGAGTAGAAACCCGCTTCGTGACTGCGGTTCGTGGCCCTTGTTTCATTGTGGTGGTCCTTTGTTACCTATAAGTGTTAATGCCAGGCCCTTCTTTGAACCCATCACTTCGCCGGATTGAACCCTTCGACTGTAATACCACGTTCACTGCAACAACTGTACCTTGCATTAATGAACCCTACCGCGTTGAAAAATAACTTGAGATGGCAACCGGCGTGGGCAGCACTGGCGATTTCACGGGTGCTCTGGGCACCGGGATCGCCGTGAGCATAGTCGTCGTCTCGGTCATTGGTGGAATCATACTCCTAGGTGCGCTTCACTGGAGGAATATTGCGCGACGAGTCTCTCGGCACAAAGGAGCGATGCCACCAAGCGAGAAGCCATGGCCCAAACCGCCAAGAAAATCCATGGATTCGAATAACTTTACACCGCCATCATCAATACCGTCCTCGAGATCGAGTTCTCTCCGCAGGAAAGACCCGGTCATACTCAAAGAGCTCCAGCCGGCCCCAACTAGGATTGCACTCCCATCCATGGTCTTCGACAGGCCCTTTCAAGAAAACGAGCCAAGAATGGCGAATTCGGGCTAATCGCCGTCTGGCGTGGTTTGATATGAGTTTGGAAGCATAGCGGGTTGGTTAGGAAAAGGTGTTCTGGGTTTTCCTCATTTCAGCATTTACAAGGAGTTTTGGTCCACTGGAGGGTTCACAGTAGAGGAGCTGGCGTTTCAGGAAGTCGTTGCAACGGCGCAACTTGTTGTGTGCGCATTGCACAACAGATACCAGGATGTTCTACGTCATCCGATGGCTTCTAGAATGCAGATGATGGTTTATAAGTCTATGTTAGCTGAGATACATGGGACGTATCTTCAACCCTTTCTATCGTGGACACAAATCTACAAATAGGGTATACCAAAAGCCAACTTACATGCGACAATCGCTGCATGGAAACAAAGTAAACTCTCCAATCCCACTCAAGGCGTTAGAATGGCCCGGCTTTCAGCGCACGATAGTGCCTAATTGCTCCGGTGTGAGAGGCCCTTGGGCTCGTTCAAATTCCAAGCTCCCACCTCGATCGTACCGCCAGGTAAGAAGCTGGTTCTTGAGCGACCATTCCCCCTCGGAGACTGTCACTTTCAGATCGAGTTCTTCATTCTGATCTGATTTCCTGTAGTGTAGCCACGGTACATAGATGGTGGCGTCGCCCGGAGTATTCGACTCGATCTCCAGGTGAAATTTGCTAGACTGAACGTCGAACGACAATGAGATGGGCTGCCCAACAAGTGACTGGGCATAGGGGCGACACCACGCAGCTGCCGCCCTGAATCCCTGGAGGACCGGGTGATGTGGGAAAGATCCTGTTTCGTTACAAAATATCGACAAGTCCTCACCATTCCACTGGTCGCCCCACTCTTGATTGTTTATGGCTGAGTATGCCCATATCGTGTAGTTGAGCAGATGGTCGTCACATCCGCTGAGGATCGCATCGAGGGCTTTGATGTGGCTGGAGTAATCGCCGTCCCGGTATGCCTTGGAATCATCGAGGTTGAATGGAATCCCCGTCTCCCCAATAAGAGTTGGGACCTTGATATCGTGGGCGAGTTGTCCTAGCTGGCTCGAGATGACTTTGCGGACATTGTCCTTCCCAACCCTCAGTCCAAATACCTTTGACTTATAGCTTCCTCGCAATAGACCCACTACATCGGCATTCCACCTCTCGTGCCAATGTCTCTGCATAATAGTCAAGCCATCGTAGTAATGGGGACTATAGGCTGAGAGAGGCTCTTCTCGGGGAGGCGGGGCCGAAAAAACGCTAGGCTGCACGAAAATAGTGGCCCGTGGCGAGATCTCACGGATCATATGCGTCCATTGCTGGTGAAACTCTTGCCAGTACGACGAAATGAAGTTGAGCTGGCCGCTCGACTCGTTCTCTCGTTTTGTCGCAGCTGCTGACGTTTCTGGAAGTCTGGCAAAGTAGTCTGGCTTTGACAACTCCCCGGTCTCTAGATTCCATACGCCATGTAAAGCCCAGACGCAGGTGTTGAGAGGCCATGAAGGAGAACGCTCCCAAGTCCATCGGGGGTCTTCTGTTTTCAACCAACAGGAGTTGTCTGGGTCTATCGATATCTTGCCCGTCTTGTGTGGCCCTGTGGAGCCGAGTCGGAACTCGGGGACTGTCTGCGCCATGCCCATGCCCAAGCGCATGCTATCGATCGGCGAAGGGGTGCTCCCAATCTTGGCTGTGTCGCATCTGTCGTTCTTGCTCAGATCCGGCACGCTGATGTATCCCGCTTCCGGCTCATTCATGCTATCATAACCAAAAGGTAGATCACCCAGCCTCTCAATCAACCGAGCATAAGCTGCAAAGTAGTGTCTCTGCAAGTAGTCCTGTATATTCAGACCGTCGATCTGGCATTTCGGCGCGTAATCACGGCCGCCAAAAAACAGAGCGAAAAGTGTAGATGTGGCGAGGCGATTGTGGTTTGTCGTCCACATCATGCCTGGAATGTCCTTTGGGTCCTTTTCGTCCTGGTTTATTGGCCATTCGCTATACCTCACAGCAGCATGAGTCCGAGAGAAGTGATCTGGGTCGAGGCCACACGCGTGTATAGTCCACAGAGGTGCGCCACTTCCCCCCGCATGCCTTGACCAGAGGTCTTGATGGGGGTTGATGACGACTTTGAAGCCATGGTCCACACATATTTGCACCAGCTTCCTCAGATAATCGATGTACTCATCGTCGTAGATGCCAGGTCCCTCGTGCTCGAGCCCTTCCCAAAGGACGGGCAGCCGCAGCACGTTGAACCCTAAGTAGCGCAGCTTTTCGAGGTGGGCTGCGGCGTCGTCTAGCTTGAGGGGAGCATTGACATAGGAACACTTGTCCGCATTATCAAACGAGTCGAGGCGGTAAGTCGGATGGCCCGGCGGGAACTTAGCATCGGCAAGATTGACCCCACGCAATAAGACCGTTCTGCCGGCTTCCTGGAAGAACATATTATGCAGCCCGTGCTGTGGTTGGCGGCTTCAGGTTGTAATGCAACGGTGCTGCCGCAAGTGTGGAAAACTTGGAGAACCCCTGATAAAGGGATGCTATGTAGCTATCTTTGGTATTTTTTGGGCACAGAATAATTGAACTCGGAAGTAAGGCGGATCACGCAAGTCTCGAAAAACAGGTTCTTCTTTTCCGCGACACACAACGTTATTCATAAGATGCACATGACGTCAACAGTCAATTGCTGCAGCTGGTGCACAAGCGAGACTCAACAAGCAGCTGTTGGGCAAAGCCGGCCGCGGGCGCTGCACTCAGTAGCACGTGTGGTGCTTTAGCGTTGCCGGATTGCCGCACCAGACGGACAGCTGTGGAGGCCGTGTCAGCCAACGTTAGGCACGCTCACACGGCTAACAAGCTAAAAGATTATGAGTGAACGATAAAGGTAATACGGTACATTGATTATCTCTATTTGCGTCTGCGCCTATATTGTAGTGCTACTCCGATGCGCGCATCCAGAGTTGGTCTGGACGTTCGCACTGGTCCTCTCCAATTCCGGCCAGCCAGGGGACTAATTGCCAACCCCTGACCAGATCCAGTTCTTCGGGACCTGGATGTCTTTTCAGCCAAGTCTCCGTACAGCTAAGCAGTATGGATAACAGACCTTAAATCATCACAGTGGTGTTACTGCGTAGAGCGACATGTGCCGCCGTTTGTAAGTGCCCTGTGACCTCCGGGTACGTAGATTGTACATCCCGTGCATTTGGGCGTGGATACAACGGCGTTCATCTCCAAGGCATTTCCTGGGGCGCAGTTACTCGAGGAACGTTTATGCTCTTTACGCCTAACAGGCACTACTAGGTTGAACAGTCTAGACTTCACTGTCGTGTCAAGGTGGTGTTACACATTTCATTCAGTCGGTGGTATTTTAGAGCTTTGAAAACACCGTAGGTACACTGCCACCCATCTCGACAAGTGTGCTCTTGTTCCTCACCCACGCTTCCAGGCCACGTCTGCCGTTCTCTACTCCCAAGCCACTTTGCTTCCAACCACCGACGGCCATCTCCGCCGGAGACTCGCCCCACGTGTTGACCCAGGTGATTCCAGCTTCTAGCTGACCAACCACGCGGTGACATTCGTTCACATCCTTCCCGAATACGCCGGCAGCCAGGCCGAGCTCAGTGGTGTTGGCCCGCTTGACTGCCTCTTCCACCGTATCGTACGGCAGAATGGACATGACGGGTCCGAAGATTTCCTCCTTGACAATCTTCATGTCATCCGTGCAGTCCGTGAATACCGTGGGTTCGACCCAATACCCTTGCTTCAACGATTGGGGAAGGTTGGCAGGTTGCCGTGGACCACCACACAGCATCTTGGCCTTGTCAACATCGGCACCATGTCTGATATAGCTGAGGACCTTCTCGTAATGCGCCTTGCTGCTCAGAGGGCCAAAATTTGTTGCTGGGTCATGGAGGTCCCCTGCCCGCACGTATTGTATCTTCCCCAGTAAGATACGCTCGAATTCGGCCTTCATTGACCGAGGCACAAACACACGGGTTCCGTTCGTGCACACCTGGCCGGTGCTGAAGAAGTTGGCCAACATGGCACCGTCGACTGCCTGATCAACGTCCGCATCGGGTAACACAACGAGCGGGCTTTTCCCTCCCAGTTCCATGGTGACGTATTTCATTCTGCCTGCAGCAGAGCCGGCAACCTTCTTGCCCGTGCTGACCTGGCCGGTGAAGCTGACCTTTGCGATGGCCGGGTGACTGGTCAGGCGCGCACCGACGTCGCCAGCGCCGTAGACAACGTTGAACACACCATCCGGCACTCCGGCCTCTTTGTAGATACTCGCCAGGTATTGTGCATGCAGCGGGGTGAACTCACTCGGCTTGTAGACCATGCAGTTACCCGCAGCCAGGCAGGGAGCGGATTTCCACAGAGCGATCTGTATGGGGTAGTTCCACGCCCCTATAGCCGCGCATACACCGAGTGGTTCCTTGGAGGTGTAGACCCAGGCAGTCGGCCGGAGGCGGAAAGACTCGCCATTGAGGCCACCACTGGAAACGAGGTTTGCAAAATATTCCAGAACGTCGGCGCCAGTGACTATATCAACCGTCGAGGTCTCGGAGAACGGCTTGCCCGTATCCAAAGTCTCAATCTTGGCCAACTCATCATTCTTTTCCCTGAGGAGGGCCACGGCGCGCTGCAGGATGCGCGTCCGCTCAATTGGCGGCGTTGCTGACCACGAAGGGAACGCAGACTGTGCCGACTGGATAGCCTTGTCAATAGAGCCGGCGGATGAAATGTGAATAGTGCCTGCCGACTGACCAGTCGAGGGATCAATGGTCTCAAAAGTTCCAGCCGAGCCTGACAGCTGGCTTTTGCCGGCGTAGAAGGCGTGGCGGTCCTCTTCACGATGCGGCGCCATTGTTGGATATTCTCTGTTACGAGTTCCCAGAAGTAGGTTGAGTATCCCAGACGGTTCGAAGCCCACGACCTTCAAAGACGGCAGCGAGCAGGCTGTGCGGTTCGGGCTAGAGAGTTGTGCTCTCCCTCACCAAGGCACGTCTAGCTCGTCCAGCTTGTTTCGGCTCCGCTAGCCTGACAAGGCTGCCGGCACCCCGGCCCACGCGACGTAGATTGCTAGGCTGACGACGACGGCGCCGTCCGATCTGATCGCCACTTGCCAATCAGATTTTTAGCTGCTCACCGATTGCGACTGTAGGCCGGCTTGAAATTGACTTTTGAGGCGAAGATACCCGAGTCATGCGGCAATTATCGACGGTGCACCTCGGAGGCGGAGTTTGGCTTGGGTTATCTTTAGGTAAAGAAACGCCGGTGGATTGGAAGAGCCAGGGGTGTGCTCGGTATCTCGACACCTACGTCATTGGTCAATGGGCTGATTCTTGGGTCCAAAGCCCGCGCTGATTCGTCACTGGCTCTTCGTGCAGGTGAGTGTCCAGCGAAAAGATCGCGTGTTCGTGATCCCCGTCGACGAATCCCTGGCGGCTTTCAACGGCGCAACCGGCATGGGAATACTTCTGAAGGATGGCCAAGACCAGGCAGCATGGGCCGTTTCTGCTACGCAGTGCTACGCAGGCTCGGTTGATTGGTCTTGCGACTGCCTACTCTTGCTACTGTACATAGATCCTAGAACCATCGCAAGTTCAAAAATGCACACGCCTGCATTCGGCTAATGCTGCGTCCTGGGCTACCTGTCGCCTCTGACTTATCGTCTGCGCGAGTCAGAGCCGCTCAGTTCCCTGGCTTGACAGTGCAATGCCGCCATCCCCACCGTTCCCTTTGCGTGCAGCGTCTAGCGCCCACTTAGCGGCGTCTCGAATTTTTCTAGTGGACCGACATGGGCTCCCTTCATACTTTCTAGTTCCAGAGGCTTACCGCATTCGACTCCTTGGTTTGCTTAAAACGCCTGCATGACCTGCCTCGAGAGGACGGGTGGGAGAAAAAAAGTAAGCAGTTGCTGTGTATTCCTGCTCCAAGAAAAAAAAACAATCGTGCTGTTTTTGTCGTTGAAGAACCCGTGAGACAACATGTCGACCACTACTCAGTTGCCTGCGTCGGAGACCGAAAGGTACGACTATGTGATTGTCGGTGGAGGCACAGCAGGATGCGTGATAGCATCTCGCTTGGCTGAGTACCTGCCTCACAAGAAGATATTGCTTATCGAGGCTGGTCCGAGTGACTATATGGATGACCGCGTGCTCGACCTGCGCCAATGGCTCAACCTTCTCGGTGGAGAGCTGGACTATGACTACGGCACCACTGAGCAGCCTGAGGGTAAGCCGCACTTCACTATGCTGACAAGGTCGATTCTAACGGCAATCCAGGCAACTCTTATATCCGCCACTCACGCGCAAAGGTCCTGGGAGGCTGCTCATCCCACAACACCCTGATCTCCTTCAGGCCATTTGAGTATGATCTGAAGATCTGGCAGTCATTGGGCGCCAAGGGCTGGACCTTTGAGACCATGATGAGAGTGCTGCACAAGCTGCGCAACACCGTCCAGCCAGTGCACTCCCGCCACCGGAACCAGCTGTGCCAGGACTGGGTTGATTCGTGCAGCACGGCCATGGATATTCCCGTCATTCACGACTTCAACAACCAGATTACCAACACCGGCTCGCTCAAGCAAGGAGTCGGCTTCTTCTCCGTCAGTTATAACCCAGATGATGGCCGTCGATCTAGTGCATCCGTGGCCTACATCCACCCCATCCTCAGGGGCGAGGAGAAGCGCCCCAACCTGACCATTCTCACCCACGCTTGGGTCTCCAAGATCAATGTGCGAGAGGGTGTAGTGGATGGAATTGCCTTGAAGCTCCAGGATGGTTCGCTCCGGACGGTCAAGGCGAGAAAGGAGACTGTCCTCTGCGCTGGTGCTGTTGACACTCCACGGCTGTTGTTGCTCTCCGGAATTGGACCCAAGGAGCAGCTTGCCTCCGTTGGCATCCCTCTGGTCCACGATCTCCCCGGAGTTGGCGAGAACCTCCAGGATCACCCCGAGAGCATCATCATGTGGGAGCTACACAAGCCTGTCCCCGCGAACCAGACGACCATGGACTCCGATGCAGGTATTTTCTTGCGACGTGAGGCCCCTAACGCCGGAGCCAAGAAGTCTGCCGCCAACCCGGAGGGCATTCCCGATGGCGACATCGCCGATGTTATGATGCATTGCTACCAGATTCCCTTCACTCTTAACACTTTGAGACTGGGATACGACGAGCCCAAGGACGGCTATGCTTTCTGCATGACCCCGAACATTCCCCGACCCCGGTCTCGTGGCCGCTTGTATTTGACGTCTTCTGACCCGAATGTCAAGCCCGCTCTCGACTTCCGTTACTTCACCGACCCCGAAGGCTACGATGCTGCGACTCTGGTTTACGGCATGCGTGCTGCACGCAAGGTCGCAGAGCAAGCTCCGTTCAAGGACTGGATCAAGCGCGAGATTGCCCCCGGACCTAAGCTCCAGAGCGACGAGGAGCTCAGTCTCTACGCAAGAAAGGCTGCACACACCGTGTACCACCCTTGCGGTACGACCCGTATGGGAGACGTCGCCAAGGACGACCTGGCCGTTGTTGATGAGAAGTTGAACGTCAAGGGGCTGAAGAAGTTGCGCATTGCTGACGCAGGAGTTTTCCCCACGATCCCCACTATCAACCCCATGCTCACCGTGCTTGGTATTGCCGAGCGATGCGCTGAGATCATTGCTGAGGAAGCCAGCAACGAGAGTTCCAGATTGTAGTCAAAAGCTCATGATAAATGAAGAGGATATGATATTATGTTTCAATAGAGAGAGAAAAGAATGCGCCTGGTCAAGGCGATTCATGAATTAGTTGTCCATAGCACCGGCGTTTTATCAGCCCAAACATACCCAACAAGTTTCGAATCAACAAAGTTATCATTTCCTTGTCTGTTGTCCAAATGAGAGTTGCACCGTATCCTCTCTGTAAGTAATGCCTGCTTGGGAATCGAACTGCTCATCGACTAAGAAGCAGCAATGACATCTGCTGAAACTCAGCACTCATCGCCTGCGCCGGTGTCCTTGTGTGAAAGTACCGGACACGAGTTCCTGGGCAGTGTGGTTTATAGCACAGCCGTAGGTCGACTCCAATAGATTCATGCACAAATTCCATTTCACGTGTTGGTTCAGCACCTTATTTAGTACAAGAAACATGGCGGCGCGGCCGGGCCCTTGGGGTTAACGCTGGTCTCATGCCGGCTAAATTGATGGCGATGCGTTATGACGATCATGGTCTTAATAGGCTCGGATATGGTTGCGGTACAAGCCGCGATCTTCCACCGCCGAGAATTTTATATTGGTCCCTTGTTTATCTGATGCTGCGTAGCAGGAGAAGTCGGTACCGTTCCCGGACATGCTTTCCTTTGCGGCTCATCGATGCACTAAGACACCCTACGTCCGCCGCATTGCGCGGCATCAGGTGTTGATTGCTACAATCTCTCTGCGACTACACAATCCTTTTCTTGGTTGAAAGTTGGTCTTGCCATGCAATACAACTGGGCATCGCGGAGCATGGACTTCCACACCCCAGATTCATTTCCAGTATGGATATCGAGATACAAGTTAACCAAACCGCCCAGAGCCTACTCAAAGCAGGAGACAATATATAAAGCCCTTGTTCAACGCACTCCAGCACACTCCAACAGCTCCATACGTACCACTGTAGACCCTATCCCCAGACACTCGAGACTTGCGTAGAAGATGAAGTCAACGATATTCTTATTTGCAGCGTGTTCGCTCACAACCAGTGTGGTTGGCCATGCGACGTTTCAGCAATTATGGGTGAACGGCGTCGATCAAAAGAGTACATGCGCCCGACTTCCGGTATGTCATAAAGACTGACCAGTCCCGATACATGTGCCCTCTGCTGACTGCAAATAGGGCAGCAACTCCCCCGTCACCAGCGTTGCCTCGAATGATATTCGATGCAATGCGAAGTCCAGTGCTGCACAGAGTGTTTGCAGCGTTGCTGGTATGTCCATCGCCCCCGATGCGTCCAGATACTGACAGTCTTTCTCAGCCGGAGATACGGTCACCGTCGAGATGCACCAACAACCCAACGACCGAAAATGCGATGCCGAAGCACTTGGCGGCAACCATTTCGGGCCCGTGATGGTCTACATGAGCAAAGTTGGAGACGCGAAGACGGCAGATGGGTCTTCCTCTTGGTTCAAGATCTACGAGAACGGCTATGACCCTGCCACTAAAATCTGGGGCAACGACCTCCTGAATAAGAACTGTGGGAAGCAGGATGTCAAGATCCCGTCGAACATCGCACCCGGCGACTACTTGCTCCGTGCTGAGACCATTGCTTTGCACTCAGCCTCGTCCGAGGGCGGGGCGCAATTCTACATGACTTGTTACGTGAGTTAATATCTTATATTCAGCTCAACAATGCAATATTGATTAACATCCGGCTAGCAACTGACGGTTACGGGAGGCGGGTCTGCAAACCCAACTGGTGTCAGCTTCCCTGGGGCCTACAAAGCTAGTGATCCAGGCATCAAGATCAATATTTACACTGACCTCAAGTCCTACACTATCCCTGGTCCCTCGGTCTACGGGAGTTAAATCCTGCACGGGGCTTAGGACTCGGGGCTTAGATCCGGCAAAGATTGAACTCAGAGTTTACTCAATCTTATCACCTTAAACTCCTTTGATATATATGCTCAGAGTTCAAAACACAAACGATGTTATAGCAGATCCAACATGCTTGTGGTTTACCTGCATGTGATGAGTACCATGACTAGAGTTATATGAAGTGTGTCTGCTCAATTGCTCAACCACAAAACAGATGATCAGCTCAATTCATAGAACACATGATTTCATCGCGTATTGTAAAGGCTTATGTTGCTATAGTTAGCCTCTTTAAACAGTGCTACAATATTCTTTGAAGCGATACGAAATAAAACCACCAGTGTGCACAGTAATCGCTGTTTTGGAAGGTTCATTGCAGAATCGAAATCAGTTTCCGCCGCTATATCTTCCACGCAGTGAGCAATGCCCAACCATAGAGTTGCACATCAGTCTAGCGCAAAGATGAGGACAACTATCCGCGAGATGGCTAGTCTGTGCTTCATCTTTCCGGTGGCAAAAGAACTCATGTCTACAAAGTGAACTAACGACAAGACTTCCAAGGGTCAAGAATGCCTTATTTGTGGGAATAAAAGACTTTCTCGTTGACATGCAAGGCATCAAGACTGAGCAATCTCCGCCGCTAGCGCTTCCCTCCGACTAACACTCTGCGGGTCAAAGTATGGTTTCTCGCCTAGACTAACGGATCTTGAACCACTGCGCTCTCCTAAATTCAGATGGATGTAGTCCGGAGTCGCAGCGTGGTATACACTGCGGTTGTCCCAGATGGCCAAATCGTTCACATTCTGCCACCTGTTTCTGACCTGCAGATCATGATTCTCAACGATGAGTTGCACAAACCAGTCAAGGAAGTGGCGTGACTCTTCGTCCGTGAGACCATGGATGCGTTGCACGTGATGGCCGACAGCGAAAACGCTCTTCCACCCCGTCACTGGGTTTGTCCGAATAACAGGATGGATGGCTTCGAGGATCTCGCCGACATTCTCAGGGGCGCCTCGCTCTGATGCGTACAATTTGAAGCCGTTGTGGTCGGCCGCATCCTTAAACCCAGGCTGCGCATAGAATGCCGTCAAGCTGTCGAGGAATCCACGCAGTGGTTTGGAGATTCGGTCATAGAGCTCATACCCAGATGCCCATAGTGTATCTTTGTATAGTATGTTAATATCGGTGTAAAGCAACACTTTAGGATATGGAGAGGCTCACCCCCACCGGTCTTTGGCAACTCCGTCAATCTTAGTAAAGCATAATCACTGGGAACTGGCTCGAACGTGATATCAGAATGCCATTGCTTCTTCTGGCTTTGATCTTTGTTGTACCGCAAAAACTGATTGGCATAAATCTTCTTTTGCAGTTTGGACGAAATGAGGCTGATCTCGTCGTCTGGGACAGCACCTTCGCGACTGCTGTTGGACACTGGATGAATGTGCAACTTCGATGTTGCCGGCTTCCCGGAGAGCTCGCCCAGGCGCTGGACAAGTTCCTTCTGCAAGTCGTTTGTTATATTGTCCTGTTTGCGGAAGAACACAACCCCACGTTGGGATACTGGAAGTACCAATATCAGCTATCTGTATGAAGAACCACCTAGAGTGTGACCGACTCACCGGTGATTGCGAGGTCTCGCAACAACTCGTCTGAATTGGGTGCCCTAAGCCACTCGGCGAGGTCGGCATTCGCAAACTCCTTCCCAATAGTCGGGGTAACATCGAACGATTCAAATTGGTCTAGAGCCCCACTCAGTTTGAGAGGCTCTTTGTGGCCAGTCAACACGCTGGGAAGCTCGTCGGTAGCTGGTTCGGATGCTTCATGGCCATTGGAGCCGTTTTTATTTGGACTCGCATCAACCGTGGAGCCTGGGCTCACCTTTTGCTTGATGTGCTCGGCAACCTGGGAGACTTGCTCAGTTGCAGATGGGGCCATTGTGAAAGTTGTCTTTATGAAAGTGATGTCCAGGAAGAGTGGTCAACCGCGGTGGTGTTACGTCTAGACGGAGGGTAAGGCTCAGTTCTTATACATCTCATTACCAAGATTGCACTCAATAGGTACTCTATGGCCGTAACCCAGATTGCGCCAGATCAACCTAGTTTTCATCATCGTACTTGTTTGGAGCTTCCAACCGGATGCTGCTTGGTTGCCTTGACTATTGGTGGCGACATCGGCAAGCTGGACCGGGGGAAAAGGCATACAAATGAGATGCATGCCATTGGCTTTTGCGATGCCGCCTTCACACCCAAATGTTTTAATGCGTCAGCCCACTGCATATTACCTTACATGATTGGAGACGCGGGACCATACTATCCCCGCATCCGATGGCGTAATACTGGCTCTGTATCACGACCCCAATAGCCTGTAGACACGATTGGTAGGTACGCTTATCACCGACTGCCGAACCCTTAGAGCCTATCGAATCGTTCAGAGGAATTGATAGTATCACTAATTAGATATAGTAAGTAACTTGCAAGGTTAGCAACTTGTTATACTTGGCACTAATACCGTAGGGGATTAACTTAGTTCGGATAGGCCCATTTCGTATAGGGATGATCAATTAGTAATACCCAAACGCCAGCACAATTCTGCTCAACTGCTGTATACAATGACTGAGTTCATGCGTTCAAAAGTTCGCCATGTCGGTCTGGCATATATACTGCCTTTAGACGAGTGTCCAATGTTTGACGGTCCAAAAAAAAAAATATTAGAAATTAACCATCTCTGTGGATGTGGGTGTGACACGTAGTTGCACAAAACGTAAATGCGGTGGCCTACACGTTACAACGAAGTGTTCATCGCAGTTTCTTTGCAAGGTCTTAAGGCAAAGTAAGACAATGCGGGAGTATACTGAGTCTATTTTCTCTCGAGATTGTCATGTGCCGCTTTGGATTGGCGGATGCAACGAGTGTTGATGTTTCACCAGAATTCTGCGCAGAATAAGGCATTGCGCATTAGACCAATGGCTATTGGTCCTCTTTCCTTTGTTGTTTATCACTACCTGTCACGCTAACGGCTGATGGTTGACACCTGTCTTATACTACCACTTCAGTTTATGACCAGACGTCTCCTTTTCGGCGTTATTATAACTGGAATTATGTGGGGAGTCAGTCGTGATATCTATCATGGCAAGCGTGTGGGGTTGGTCATAGACCTATAAACAAGGCTGGATATCCACATGCGCAGCAGTTTGCATTACCCGACCGTGTGCTGAGGGCCATCGTCCAGCCTTGCCAACCTGTCCGTCCCAGAGGGACAATTGATATTACGTACGTTCAGCTGCTTCCAGAGCTGGCACCCACCTACCCGCCCCAGACACCCAACGCAGACCCCATACGGGGCCAAGTCTCGATCGATCGAACACAGCGTCAAGAGTGTCATCTTTACCTCCAGGCCCACCTCCGCAGGCTGGAGGAGAATGTGTGAATTGCAGTAAAGAAATCTGGCGCTGCCTTGCGCGCTCAACACGACTTAGCCAAGCTTGCCAAGACAACCGTGACCACTACCAAAAAGGCGATCTACAGACGACGGTGCCAGTTAGTCAGCACTCGGAATTATACGAAGTTCAATCCGAAGGCTTAGTAGCCCATAGCGTCAAGCAGTTAGTCCGAATACCCGATAATAGAGCATGGCTACTATGATGGGAGCCTCATGCTATTTGCATGCCATGGTAGTTGAGCATTGGCGGTACAAATTCTTCCAGCTGTAGCCATGGGGAAAGAATGGACGAGCGTCGAGAAGGAGACCAGAAACAAGGCGACATGTGGGCTTCTGTGTACTGAGCGGTCTGATCTACATATTAGTTAACTTGGGGAGACCCGGTAACGCTTGACGATCACAGCGGGTCAGGCTACCAAGCCACCTTTTGGGACTTGGCTGCAAGGCGGGAAACCGGGCAACCTGGGTTCGTTTGGGGATGGAAATTGCACTGCGGATCTGGATCTCGCTGATTCCACCGTTGGTGTTACCTGGGTATAGTCCACAGTTGCATATTAAAGTGTGGCGTCCAGGTTCGGGTGGGACTCCTGAGTCCCGCCTTCAAACCCCTGAAGACGCAAATGGCAGTACAACACGCACACATGGCCTGCATGGCTATATTGTTCTGCTTTGCTTTTGGTGAGTTTGTAGTTTGTGGAGGAACTCCCGAATAGACGAACCGTCTGAGCCGAGTTTTACGAGGAGGCAAAACTGCGTTGGGAATGACGTATAGAGTGGATGAGGTGTGCCGGTTCAGCAGACCGTCTCGCGAGTATGGCGTGAAAACTCGGACCGTTTAGTTCGATCGCGCCTCCATGTAGCATGATCAACATCGTCACAGTAGTATCTGGAGCTTGGACAATGGAACGCAAGAACAACAACAACAATTGCATCCATGCTTCACCCCAGTTGAGGAACCGAAATAGATAGCCTCGCTACGAGAGGCCGCATGACGATTAACTTTAGAGAAATGTTTGCCAAGCTTTCTAGGGTGTTTTCCGGGAGCCGGCAAATACGAAGGGATAGCCAATCAAAGCGGCGCACGCACCGTTACGGGCCAATGAGGTGGGACCGGCACCCGAAGATCGCTCCTCGGGACTGCCCGATTCAGCCCAACGTGGTGCCGGTAGTGGCCCTGAAATCTGAACCCTGGATACGAGACTTTGCGAGAGTGGCAGCCGGCTGTGCGGTTATGACTTCATTTCGCGGCGCTTGAGCCTGATCGAGGAGGTTGCCTCTGTGGAATTTGGAAACTGTTAGTCAAGTTGCCGCAGATCGAGAAACATCACATTCGCTATATAAGGCCCAACTCGGCTTCACTGATTTATCTGCCATCACTGCAATCAACACCCTCAACACTAATCAACTCCTAAAAACCAACACATTCGCTATCCCGCACTTCCGAAACATCGACTCTTAATCAACAACTATTCATAATGCAGTTCAAGACCCTCGCCGTTGCCGCCGCCACCGCTGCTGGTGCGTCAGCCCAGAACAGCACCACTCCGTCCGCGTTTGGTGTCCTGTCCATCCGCTCGGGCAGCCAGCTGCAGTACGCCGGCTGGAGCGCCGCCAGCGGTGGCATCTTCAACCTGCTGCCGGAGCAGAAGGTGTCTTGCGACCCCGGTGCTGATGAGAGCTACGCCACCTTCACCATCGTCGACGGCGCTCTGAACCTCTACTCGAACCAGAACCCGCCCCAGCAGCTCTACGTCGACCGTTCCGGCATGGGCATGGGCAAGATCGGCTACACCACCGGCGCCGAGCCCGCCCCCCGCTCCGGCGAGCGCACCGGCTGGGCCGTCACCGGCACCGAGCTGACCTTTGACGGCTCCGGCTTCGTCGCCTGCCCCGGCTACGAGGGTGGCGCCTGGGAGATCTGGTTGGGCGGTGTCTCTGACCACCCTGGCTGGAACTACAACTGCACTGGTGTCGGCGCCCGTATCGTCCCCATCAGCGAGCCCGTCAGCTGCCTGTACGAGTAAAGGGTTTCCTTCGCGAACCAGGACATGTAATTTTTGAGCATGGGGATTGGATTGGGACTAGGATATATCACCTCGCATATGAGCGTTGCCAGGTCTAGCATTTACACTGTACATATTAAGGCGATTCAGCTACAAGTTGATCGTAACCGGCATATATAAAAGCAACTAGAGACTCACAAAATGGAGAAGTCAGCTAAAGTCAATTCATACACAACTGTGTTTTCACCTGTGGGAATTCTCCCACTTTCAAGTCTAAAGGGAATACAATCTCACCCATATTGATAAGCCAACGGTCACGTCGCATTACATCAACGATGAGACGGGTTACGGAGTAAGTGTTGGCAGTGAAAGACTCCATGTTTATTATGAGCTCTCAGTGGGGTAGGCCTAATGTTCTCTTCAAACAGACAAACTTCAATCCCTTGAACCTCAGACTGCTTACTGATTTAATTTGCACACTTCCCAAAAAAGAAAAAAATGACCGTGTCCGTCACAGGCCTTTCGCTTCACGGCGCTTCTCCTCAAGCAATAGTCCATTGATTATCCGTCTCATCTATTGAGCACTCCAAGCGTCTGGTGCATTGCGTGTGACACTCTTCTTACTTTCCAGCGCGCAGCGTGCTCCAAGCATTGGCCATCCTTGATATCTGGCCGGCCGTGAACGACTGGTAACAAGAATCCTGAGAATAATCCACTGGAGCAGAAAATGGATTAGCCACTGGTTCGACGGACTGGAAATGACTGGCAAGTCTCCGACGATATAGTTCATGGCAACGGCCACCAACTAATACTTGACGGGCAGCCACAGGCTTGAAAAGTGCACTCACTGTAGTTATGGATGGGGTCGACACCACTGATGTTGGGGCAGCTGTCCTTGCCCACGGGGCACCCGTAGCTCGGGCTGCTCTCCTGGGGGGTGTCACTGACGAAGTCGCCCGAGCCGGTGCAGCTGTTGCCCTCGAACGGGTGCAGCAGGCTGAACCAGTGGCCGACTTCGTGGACGGCCGTCATGCCGAGGTTGTAGTCGACGAAGTCCTGGCCGGGCATGGTGCCGGTGGCGATGTGGCAGCCGTCCTCGGCGTAGGCCAGGGACGTGGTCGCGGGCGTGGGCGAGGTCGGGAAGAAGCACTTGCCGAACGAGTCGCTGGGCGCGTTGGTGTAGAAGTACAGGTTCAGGTCCTTGTAGGTCCCCTTTCGGTTCTGCTTCAAATAGGTCTGCATGGCGGCGGAGGGAGTGTCGGCAAACAGGCCGCTGCCTGTCGCCAGGTCATTGTTGCGGACTCGGTCGGTGCCGGCGAGAACGAAGCGGATACCAGTACTGGCATAGGCGTTGTTCATGACAGAGAGCTGCGTGGAGAAGAGAGAGTCCGAAGGGTACGAGGCAGAGATGGAGGTGTTTGTAACGGCGTGAAAGTATACTTGGACAGTAATGGTTTGGCGAATGGTTAGGGTTGAGGGATCAACACCGCTCTGGTCCTCGGATTCCTTGAGGGCCTTGATGGCCGCTAGGGCTTCCGCAGAGGGAGCGCTGTCGCAGCCTGGTCTGCGAGAGGCACGTATGGGGAGAAGAGAAGAGGCATAAGTCAAGGTAATAAAAGCCAAGGGCAAGACACGGAGGAGGTTGAGATGCATTGTTTGAATGGGATTGCAGTGATCGGCGTATACACTGTAAAGGTAGAGTCAAAATAATAATGAGTCTGATATAGGTGCTGGGATTTGCTGCATTCACACGACTATAAGTGCTATATGCCCCGTCTATTATACCTTTTGTGACCATCGATCACTCTCCATTTCTTATATAACATGGCCGCGCGTTGATGTCCCAGCGCTGCAGCAACGTGCATATTCTGTCACAAGCAGGACAATGGATATCGCGTCTCAGTCTTCTGTCTGACTCGTGGATAAACCGTCATAGCCACAGCTTATCATGGTGATGGAGACACTCATTGCCCGTCTGATTCGCGAGTTGATGGTTCGATATTCAATAGTCTTGTCTGTGGTCACCTGCGCTTCCACACCGGGAGTGTCTCCTTGCAGATTGGGTCCATAAATCAGCCTTGAAGTCGCTGGATGGGCACACCACCTGCAGTCCGATGACACTTGAGGAAGGACGTCGTGACCAAAAGCAATCGCGCGGATGTGCGGCTGCCTGTCCAATGACAAGGGTCTTGACCAGTGGAATATTTTGGCCCCAAGTGCTCAGCTCCGCCTCGCAGACGCACCAATGCAGCCCTGCAGCCGCAAGGTGTGCCTCGGAGGTTAAGATGGCCAATGAAAATGGACGAGACCCCACGTCTATAGGATTTCAAGGGCGCCGACAGCTGCACCCTGCGCCTAAGAGTGGCAACAAACAGGATGGCAGGATGCCTATTCGATTCGAAACGGGGCTGCGCTACAAGTATTGAAATCCTCGGCCACGGCACTCACATACCCTTCTGGTATGTTGCTCGTCGATCGATAGCTGAAGGTCCAGGCCCTGGCTTACTCGGTATCTTCCACGAATTGAACCCGGCTTATTTTGGGATACGTGGATGCACATTGGGAATCAAGATCCGTGTCACCATGGGCTTGAGAGGTTGGCACCCAACGACTACAACGTCACTTTGCCGATGGAGAGGCTCAAGTCGTGATCGGATCAGGACTGCGGGTAGAGACCCTACCGCTTCATTTGGTGGGCTCGGTCGCCTCCTCGTCGGGGTCCTCTCCAGCTTCGATGGCCTGCTGACGCTTCTTCTCAGCTCGGGCTTTCTTTTTCTCCAATAACTTGTTCAGTGTCTTGGCGTTGTTGAAAACACCGTTGGTGCCTGCTCCGCAAGCAGCGCAGCTCGGGTCCTTCCTATACCGCTGGAGAGCGCACGGCTCGCAGAAGTAGTGGTCGCACCTGGTCCTGATAGGACTCCTGTACGGCCCTTTGCAGATGATACAAGCAAATGGGATCTTCTCCAGCATGGCAGCCTCGGCTGGATCCTCAGCGTCGTCCGCAGCTCCCTGTCGATCCGCGCTGGCCACGACGGTGCCGCCCATGTTCTTGCCTTTGCTTACATTCTCCCACTCCCGATCGAGCTGCCAGCCTTGCTTGTAGTCCTCGCGCGCATGCAAGAACTTGCAGTTGTCCCCAAAGCCACAGAAACCGGTCTGCTTGTAGTCCTTGCAGACGTCGGGGGCGAAGTCAGTCACGGTGATGGTGCGGATGTTGGTGGGCGCCTTGATAGGACCAACGGTGCGAGTCGGTGCATTGGGGTTCTTTTGGATGAAGGTAGTTCGGTTGGCCAGGCCCTTGTAGGTGCCGTCGGGACCCTGAGTTGCGTTGTCGGCAGCATCCTTCGGGACCGGGCGTGTCTTGCCTAGCAGGTTCGCATCCTCTTCGTACCAATTGCTCTGCTTGGTTGCATCGTTGGCGCTGGTAATGGGAACGTTGCGGTCGGCAGAGAAGACGGTGGCGGACTCGTGACGCGAGGTGGCATTGTTCTTCGACGAGGCTGTCACCACGGCGCGGTTCTTCTTCCTTCGCTTGACTCTCTGGCCGGACTCGTCCTCCGAAGAAGTGTAGTCCGAATCGTCAGAGTCGCTATTGGCGGGCGGGGGGGTCGCTGGCCGCTTTCTCAAGTTTGCCTTGGCCTTTGCGCCTCGCTTCTTGAAGATGGCCACCGGGGCGATGGGTGCGTTTGCGTCTGATGCCGCTGCTGTGCCATCCTCGTTGGCCATGGCGATATCGTGCGACGTATCTCGCGACGCTGCTTTGGTCCTCTTGTCTTGCCTGCTCTATCGTTCCAGGTGGGTGAGCCGCGCAGAGAACTGATCCGGTTCTGACGGTAACGCGGACAGCCTTCCTTTCAACTTTGGCTCAGCCTTCTCGACGAGTCGAGTTGCCACACGCGAGTGCCTGACTAATCAAGCCTAGCTTAGCCTCTCCTCTCCTGCGAGTGTCTGGCTTGGTGGCTCGGGTGGCAACGCGGGTAAAGTGACGTATAGCAAGCGATCCTTCGACTTGACGCTGGATAGCCGACAAGCTGACAGGCCTGACAGGGCTCAGCGCTCAAATCGAGCGGGTGCCCTGGTGCCCCAAGATGAAGACCGTTGCTCATCCAGAAGGCCGGCACCGAAATGTGGGGGTCTGCAAATTGGATGGGTCGAGAGCTTGCCCACGGTTGACAGCCACTTTACGCCCAGCACACTGTACGCACTATGATACCTGTGTCGTACGTGTGGGTGAGAACCAGTCCCGTCGCACTGCTGAGGGGAGGTGAGTGCAGTCGTACGGGAGTACAGTGTCAGAGCCCCCGGGGCTTGGTCATCTGACCGAGGAGCCCACCCCAGCTAATGAGGGCGACAGGGAGCTCCCTCGTAGGGTGGCCCAAGCTGGAAAGCTCCAAAATTGGACTCTTCAGCGGGCTTCATGCGCAGCACGGCGTAGCGCAAGCCATTGCCAGCGAGTTACAAGACCAGTCAGCCAGAGCCAACCAGGCGCTGCCTTGATGCCTGTCTCGACACGATTGACTGCCTGCCCAAACACCAAGACAATGTCAGATGCTGGAACCACCACACGGCACTTGCATGTTTGTACAAGTTATGCAAGGCAATCGACCGTACGTACGGTGAGGGTGACGGTGATCGCGGAGATCGGCCCCGGGGTTCATTTGCAGTGCCTGTCCCATCGTGGATCAAACTGTCCCTAATGTACGGAGTAGTGCTACCTAACAGTACCACGTCCTCCGTACTGTACCATAGTACTGGGCACCTACGGTAGAGGTAGTGGCAGTCGTCGTGCAGCCAGCCGTCGCGAGAAATGGCGGCCACCCGCGGCCGGTATATCGTGAAAAAAGAGACGAGCTTTTCAGATGCTGGCCTCGGTAAACAAATGCAAGAGTCATCCATGCATTGGAGTAAACAAACCTAACCAGACGCCCTGAAGCTTGAAGGCGAGTGTTGAGGTAAGCCCCGGCATTGAGCATGGAAATTGATTGCACGCCGGGCCCTGTCAGTGGTGTGTGGCCCTGTGTGGTCCTGGGCTGGCCTGGGACGAACACCTCCACAATCCTTGCACGATCCTGTCCGTGCTGGCATGGTCCTTGATGTTTCCACCGTGCCTCGACAAAACCTCCAGACGGGGGACACGCCGTGAGCATTTTCTTCCTCTTGCTCGATACGGGGCTTACCACGATCTTGACCTTTGGCAACCCTCTCCCGTCCCCCTTCCCCCCTTTCCCCCAGGTCCCTCCGCTCGTTTTCTCTTTGTTCCCATCCCGTCCCGTCGCGAAACACAGTTGCGTCCACCCAGGGAAACCAGCAGCTTCTTCGCAGGCCGCCTCCGTGTAAGTCGGCGTGCCAGAAGTGCTAATTCTCCGGGTCGAGAGCCCGCCGCCCATTGTTTTGGACCAGACGCGTCTCACTCAACACCACACGCATACACACCACCGACACCTCCACGGAACACACCCCTCATTTACCTATCCCATCCCACCACGACCGACCGACCGCCCGACCGGCCAATTGAATCTCTATCTGTCTTTCATTCGTAGGGAATTGGACCTCTTGCCGAACCCCGGTTTCTCTAATCTGTAATAATTCGACTTCGCTTCTGCTGAACGACTGCCCGGCACACATTTTTTTTTTCGTCTATAGTTTTACTTTATCTTTTTCCTCGCCCGCTGTAATCGGCCATTTGCGACTTTCCTGCACTGGGTTTCGCGTGGTGCCCATTCTCCAACGAGCCCGACCGACCCTTTTCTTTGGCGACTTGTTTCGGGGGCCACCTTTTCGACGTTGCCGGGACACGAAAACCGAGCAGAGCAGTCAGTAACTACACTTGCACTCTCTCGCACGACTCAGGGGACACCGGTTCCACGGCCCACTGCGGCGCGTATCTCTCGTGTCACTTTTGAGTTCAACGACGGCTGTGAACATCGAAAGTCAACAAACGAGCCTGTACTTGACCTTTTGGAGGCAGGCAAAAACCCGATCGGTATATGCACAGCAGCGAATATCTCTGCGGGCGTTGATAGCGTACCTACGACCTCCCGGCCGCCATTCTTGGACCCTGGCGCGTTTCAACCCGACCCGACGACATCTGCCGTATCATTGCAGCTGCCACGACGCTGCGTGCACACGACCAGCGCCGCCAAATAGACCACGCCGAGCTCCAGCTCTTCCGCTAGACTGAGCTCCATTGCATCGCAACAGGAGGCCGATCGTTCTCTCTCTCTCTCTGGACCGTCACGCATTCTCCAATCCGTCATCCTCGGGCACATACGCAGTCGCGTCTCGGCTGCTCTTAGCTCTTCCTGCAGGGCCTGGTCTGCTCCTGCCGCTTTCTGCTTTCTTTTGCCGCCGAGCACGACACTTGGCCAGTTTTAGGTAGTTTCGGGGGGAACGACGCAATTATCGCTCTTGCGAATTTCGGAATTCCTGATCTGAGTCCCGCGTAGCTCACTTTGATTTCGGGCTGCATGTCGCATTTCTGATCGCCAGGGGAACTCGCACTTCTCCTGCAGCGGTGCCTCCCCAACAACCGTCATCATGGCTGCTGCTACCGAAGCAGCCGACGGTTCGCCCTCGGCTGCCCCTGCCATGGCCGTCCAGAACGATCCATTTGTCACCAGCGACGCCTCGCCCGTCGAACGGGAGCCGAGGCATCGATACTCAACCTTCGACTCGCACCTATTCACCCTCGGACCCAATGCTTCACCCGCCCAGGCAAAGCGGGCACTGGAGGCACATCTTGCCGAGACAGACCGCCGGATGGAGGAAGCCGGAAAGTTGGGCACTGCCTTGGTCCAGCAGCGGAAAGAGCTGACCCAGCGTCTTCAGGAGGTCGAGAGCCTCCAGGCCGAGAGCGAGCTCTCCTCGGACTTGAAGGAAAAGCTCGTGGAGATTGAGAAGGATTACAATGATGTTGCCAGAGAGAGCGCAAGGGCGTTTCTTCCAAAACCTCGAGTTCCCAGCAACGAGGCTGCTGCCGGATCACCATTCGTGCCCGAAGGCAAAGGGGGCCGGGTAAGCACATCCCACGGCACCTGCGGTTCCATCACACTGCCACTAACATGTGTATTATTCTAGCGCTCCGTCAGTCCGTCCAAATTTGAGGCTCAGGCCACGGGCTCGCCAACCAAGCTCAGCGTGCCGAACCGGAAGCTTCGGAACCAACCTGCCAACCGCATACATGACATTGAGTTCGCCGCCGAGATCAGTCAGTCCCTCATCGTCCAAGTACGCAATCTGCAAGCTCTTCTCGCGGAGAGGGAAGAGGAGCTTCGGGATATCAAAATAGAGAAGTCCAAACTAGAGTACGACGCGGAAGGGTTCCAACAGCGCGTCAAGACTCTGGACGAAAGTCAGAACCGCTACAAGGATGAGAATTGGAGCCTGGAGACTCAGGTTCACGAGCTACTAGCGGCTCAGCGGGAAGCTGCAGACCGCGAAAAGAAGTTGCAGCAGTCCGTCAGCATTCTCCAGGCAGAGAAGAACACCGCGCAGCGGGATCTGGACGAAGTCAAGCTTAGCCACGCGAAACTGTCCGAGGAGCATGCTGCAGCAGTCAAGCACCACGACACCGAGCTCGGTGCGGCCAAGCGCAACATGGTCATGGCCGACTCGGAACGAGCAGCAATGCAACGCAAGATCGAGGAGTTGACGGGCCAAAATCAAGAGCTAGCCAAGGCAGTCTCGTCTCAGAGAGGCAGAACCTTCGATCGACAGGAGATTCAAGGCACAAGTGATGAGGACTTTGCAACTGCCAATGACGACAACACCCCTGAGCATTCCCCGCCACCGTCACCGATCAAGGGCACGCCGCGTCACTCTCTATTGGAATCGGAGACCCTGAAGACTTCACTGCAACACGCCCAGCGCACCATCCAGAGCTTACGAAACAATGTTCACCGCGAGAAGACGGAGAAGCTGGAGCTCAGACGTATGCTGCAGGACGCGCGGGATGAGATCGAGAAGGCACGTAACGATCCCATGCCTGGCCACAATAAGCGCGGCAGCAAGACGTCGTCGCGCGAATTCAAGAAGCCACCCAGGCTCCTTGGTGGTCTCCGCAGTGCTCGGAGTGAAATCTTTGCTGCTGATGACCCTGACTGGGAAGATCACCCTGCATCTTCCAGCCCGGCCCAGACCGTTGTTGGCCACCGCCCGTCGGGCAGCTTTGCACCTGTGCTCGAGAGCGTGGAGAACGAGCAGTTTGACACCGCAAATGAGACCAGCGACCAGGCATTCGAGACCGCCAACGAAAGAGGCACCGAAACCGACGACTTCCATACCGGCGCCGAGGAGTTCTCCAGCGATGAGGATGCCCAGACTGAAACAGACAGTCCGACAAAGCGCCTCACCCTGAGAGGCAAGCCTCCCAACCTCCCAATGGGACTCACCCGGAGCGGCTCAGTCCGCAGCACCGCGTCGACTGAGGACGAGTACGATTATGAGGATAGGCGCACCCCAACCTCCCAACTGCCACCATTGCAAAGTAGATTCCCTTTGAGGGTCAGCCGTGGCGCGAACCGCCGTTCCCGACAGGCAAGCGAGGACCCTACATTCCAGAGCAGCCCGGGCAGCTTTGCTCACAGTGCCGGGGGAACTCCCCAGGGTGTCCAGAGCCTTGCAGCTGAACTCGGTGATTTCGATGGTAGTGACAATGAATCCAACATGTCGGCAACTCCCAGTAGGAGAAGCATCCGCTCGAGGACCGGCTCCATCAGAGGTACCACCGCCTCTCCGCCGCCTCCTGTTCCACAGCTGCCCAGGCCTGCCATGGTTGACAGTGGTATGATGACGGAGCCTGTACAAGACTTCTCGTCCATCTCGATGCTTGCCGTTCCCGGCGCTGAGCGACCTGTGTCCATGGCCACGGTGGCCAGTGGTGTGTCTGAATACAGCGATGCAGGGACTCTCAACATGGAAGAGAACCTGGCTAAGTTCCCGTCCCCTCCTACCTCTCCGCCTAACAGAGACCTCTCCCTCTCCAACGTACACGCCCACGATCATGCAGAGCAAAACAACAAGCATGCTGAGGAATTGGAGGCCCTGAAGCAGGACCATGCCAAGCACGTTGAGACTTTGCACCACGAGAAAGCCGCCGCACAAGCAGCTGCACTGGCAGCCCTTGAGTTACAACACGCGTCAGAGCTCAGCCGCGCAACAGAGGATGCTCAAGCTGCCCATGCCCGGCAGTTGGAGACTCTCTACGCCTCGCATGCGGATGACAAGACCAAGGCTGTCGCGAATGCGGCTGCAAGTCATACATCTGAGCTGAAGGCCATACAAGATGCACATGCAGAGAAGTTGGCCCAGATGGAGAGCGAACACAAAGCCGCTCTCGATTCTGGACTGGAAGCTCTCAAAGCCAGCCATGCTCAGCAACTGCAGTCTTCCAAGAAGGCTAGTGATGCGGCTCATGCCGCAGAGTTGGCAAGCCTCGTGACAGCGCACACTGCCCAGATCCAGTTGGCCAAGAAAGAACTCAATGAAAGTCATGTGAAGGAGTTGGAGTCATTGAAGGCATCCCACGCGGCTCAGATCGAGCAGGCTAAGCAAGCGAGCGACGCGTCCCATGCAAAGGACTTGGACTCCATCAAGGCTACTCATTTGGAACAGATCGATGAAGTAAAGAAAGCATTGGCAGATACTCACAACCGCGAACTTGAGGCTCTCAGCGCTTCACATGCCACACAGGCGGATCAAGTCAAGAAGGACAGCGAGGCAGCTCATGCTGCGGCCATTGCAGCGCTTATTGCTTCTCATTCAGAGAAGCTCAGTGCCTCCACGGCGGAAGCTGATGTGGCTCTCAAGGAACGACTGGAAGCATTGAAGTTAACACACAGAGATCAATTAGAGGCTTCCAGAACAGAAGCCGAAGCAAGACTTGCAAAGGAGTTGGATGCTCTTCGGCTGACGCACAGTAATCAACTGGAGTCTTCTAAAGCCGACAGTGACAAGAAATTCGCTGCCGAACTGGAAGAGCTCAAGGCAGCACACGGCAAAGCATTGGATGTTTCAAGAGCAGATGGCGATGCTATGCTTGCCAAGGAGCTTGAGGCTCTGCGAGCCAGTCATGCTGAACAGCTCAGCAATCAAAAAGATGAGATCCTTGCAAATATGGCACAGGAGATTGCATCTATCAAGTCTGACCACACGCAGCAACTCGACAAATTGAAGCGGGAAAACGATGCAGCACACGCTGCTGAGTTGGCGGCATTGGCGGCATTGCACGCAAAGCAACTTGCCTCCTCCAAGACAGAGTCGGACGTCCACCTCTCCAAGCAACTGGCATCGCTGAAGGACTCCCACGCGCAAGAGCTGGAAACACTTAGGACCGAGCATGCCGCCGCACATGCCAAGGAGTTAGAGAGCTTCAAGTCTGCCCTTGGTAAACAATTAGAGTCATCCAAGTCTGAAGGAGATGCAGCCCATTCAGAGCAAATCGAAGCCCTGAAGGCTGCCAATGCTGAAATCATCGAAGCCCACAAAAGGGACAGTGCTAAAACGCTTGAGCAGGCTTTGGAGTCAGCTAAGGGCAACCATGAACGTCAAATCGAAGCCCTGAAGAGTGACCACTCCGCTGCACGATCAAAGGATTCCGACGAGCTTGCCGCCAAGCATGCAACAGAAATCGCAGCTCTGGGGGTCACACTGGCTGCCGCCAAAGCCAAAGAAATCGATGCGATGGTTGCTAAACACGACCAGCACATCTCAACTCTGCAATCCGAGCACGAGTCGGTGAAGGCAAAGGAGTTGGGCCACATGTCGTCGACCTACGAGAAGCAAATCGAGACGTTGAAGGCCGAGGCTGCTGCGGCCAAGCTTGCCGAACTTGAGCAGTTGACTTCGACCCACCAGACCCAGATTGATGCGCTCAAGGCCGAGTCGCTCGCATCGAAGGAGAAAGAGCTCCAAGACCTGAAGGATAAGCACAAGAACGAGATTGATGCTCTCAATGCTGAATCCTCCTCCTTGAGATCTCAAGGCCTGGATGATTTGAGCGCCACCCATGCAGCCGCACTCATGTCTTTGAAGAGTGAGCACGAGAATGCGATTGCCAAGCTGACGGAAGAGTTGCAAAATGCACACACATTGAAACTTGCAGACCTTCGCACTGAGCACGAATCTGCCAAGGCTACGGACCTGGATGCTTTGAAGTCAAAGCACGGGAAAGACCTTGAGTCTCTTCGGGCCGAGCACGAGACTTCTCGCGCTCAGGAGTTGGAAAACCTCAAGTCGGAGCATGCTGTGCTACTCGCTACCTTGCGCTCGGAACACCAGGCAACCCTAGACAATGCCGTTCAAAATCTTAAAGCAAGCCACGCTAAGGATCTCGACTCGCTTGACAGCAGCCATTCCTCCTCACTTGAAGCTGCTCTTGCAGCCATCAAGTCGGGTCACGCTAAAGAATTGGACGACTTGAGATTGGCCAATGACGCTGCATTGTCAAAAGCATTGGACGTGGCGACGGCCGAACATGCCAAGTCTCTAGACGCCTACCGTGCAGAGAGTTCAGCCGAGCGTGAGAAGCTTCTCGCTAGCCATGTTATGGAGCTCGAGGCCCTCAGGAAGGCCCTCACTGTGACGCGTCCGACGCTGGGCTTCTCGTCGATGAAGAGTGTTGCGACTGAGCCGATTGAGGAGCCAGAGCTTCTCCGCAGTCCCAAGCGGGAAGGATTCATTATTCCTCGCGAAGAGCAACCGCACACGCCGTTGTCGTCTGACGTTGGAGCGTTCGGAAAGAGAAGCAGGGATACCGCTGTTCCGTTCATTGCTGAAGACGACACACGCCAATCCCCAAGCGCGGCCGCTGGTCCCGAGACACCGGAATCCCAGCGACCTTTCAGGGAAATATCGACCAACACTGATGCGCGCTCTACTCGGAAACAAGCTACACCAACTGCTGATCAGAGCTCCCAAACCACACTCACGTCCGATGGCATCGACCAACTGCTGACCAAACCCTCGCGTCGCTACTCTCGGGACTCGTTGAAGATCGCAGTACCCTTCGACGACGGAACTCCGGCCACTGTACGCCATAGGCGGTCGCAAGAAATTATCGGGAGCCCTTCCAAGCTTAAGGGCAACCCGAGCGATTCCGGGGTCCTCTCCGCTCCAGGACCAGTCCCGTCTCGACGACCTGGTAGCTCGAGCAGCGTGCGAAGCTCACAGCAGACGATGCCGCCGTTGCCTCCGAATCACCGGGAAGCCATCGAGGCTGCCCGTGGCGGATCTTCTCACGGTGCTAAGGGCGCCATGGGTCCGCCATTACTGCCAGCATCAGCATATAAGAACCCTGCTGCTCGGCCTTGGACGCCACGGGACAGACCACAGTCGCCGCTCTACGCCCATGGCACGACCCCCCGGGCGATCAGGACCAACTCCTCGCAAGGGTATGGAGACGTTCACTCTCCTACCAGGTTGACAGCTCGGAGTAGGCAATCTTCTGTCACATCGTTTGCATCTGAAATTGACACAAGATTCAATATGCCAGGGGAAATGGGCATGGGCGCATCAGGTTTCGTTGGTCCCAATACCGATCCTCGCATGATCCAAGCCATCACGCAAACCATGATTGGCGAGTATCTTTGGAAATACACGCGGAAGCCTGGCAGAGGCGAGATGTCTGGCAACAGGCACAGGAGATACTTCTGGGTCCACCCGTACACACGCACTCTATACTGGAGCAACCGCGACCCATCAACTGCGGGTCGATCTGAGCTGAAAGCCAAGAGCGTACCGATCGAGGCCGTCCGGGTCGTTGCCGACGACAACCCCATGCCACCCGGCTTGCACCGCAAGAGTCTGGTCATTATCTCCCCTGGAAGAACTGTCAAGTTCACATGCACCACCGGTCAACGTCATGAAACTTGGTTCAACGCCCTATCCTATTTGCTGCTAAGGACAGGCAATGAAGGCCAGACAGATGCCGAGGAGATGGCGGGAAACATAACCCAGGAAGATGTCGATGAGTTCAACCCGTCGATTGGCCAGCGCCCAACAATTGGAAACCGACCACCGCCTTCCCTTTCATCCTACAACTCGCGAACGACACGAGTTGAGTCGCCAAATGTAGACATGTCTATTGGCATTCCAACCTTGACCCCGACTCATGAGAGAACATCAGTTAGACCAGGCACGCTCACCCGACTGAGCGGATACTTGAGTCGAACCAGCACTTCTGGCAGCCTCTTCAACAGCTTAAGAACCAGGAGTCATGGAGGCCACGGACATGACAGCGCCATATACGAGGCGAGCGAGGTGAACGATAGTGCCGAGGAACTGCGACAAATCATCGAGCAACAGGACAGGGAGGCAGATAGGCTGGAAAATGTGCGAGCGTGCTGTGATGGTAAGTCTTCTTTGTTGATGTCTTGACTGAATTGATAGGCTGACTTATGGCAGGCAAACACGATGTCGGCACATTGTCACATAGTACCAAGAGGAGTCGCAGTGCTCTGGGACACTCACACTCGCATACCCACCACCCGACCACTACCACGCCTCTGGGCACGGTTAGGTCCAGGGGTTAAGTGCATCCCGAATGTGGCCGTGTTGGTTACTCATGTTCAGACTGTACTTCAACATACCCTTCTATTCTCATCAATCGTTATATCTGAATTCGCAAAACACATTTTGGCGCAGACTCGCTGCTACGAAGTCCCACCATGGACTGTTACGACTCGACGACTTTCCTTGCATTGATTCACATTTTCCATTTATCGAAGTCCATTTCGCCCAAATGTCATTTCTAACCGACATTCAAAACTTGCACTAATCATATACCCACTCCACACATAACCTTGCGCATACACGGATGGCATTGCAGGAGTTAGTAATGTTTGTCCTAATCTTCGGCACCGGAGACGGGCGTAAAGGGAGGGAAGCGAACCAGTCTTTGGTCATTCAGTTCACTCGGTGTAATCTGCATGTTGAAAACATAAGCCGCACTTTGCGATCGCGTTGTGCTTTCTTCTCAGCAGTCAACAATACGGTTATGTATTTGATTTTTCTGTGTCTTGCAAAACACAGCCTGCCGGAAAGGACGGGATGGCGCAAGACCCTCTTGACAAATAGGAGTAAATAGTTGCAGGGATAGAACCGGTTGTTGAATGAGATTCTACCTTTTTATCTTTCATGTCTCCAGATGCACATGTTCACGCTGCCTCGCTCTGAGGAAACAGAGTGGGACAAAACGCATCGCCGCGCGGTCGCATGTGATGCAACGTGCTGATCCTCGAACATGCGGCCCCGAGTCATCCAGGTAGCTCTCATGGCACAACCTTAGAAAATCTCTTAGAAAACGCTTTACTTGCAGATCACACCGGCTGGCGCTGCAATTTCATCGTGGGATTTAGCCTCACCCTGAACAGCTGTGTGCTATGACTTTGTAGTACCAGTGTGTCGAAAGCACTTCTACAATGCTACATTCGCTCAAGTTCAGAGATGACCTTTTGAAATAAGAGACATTGGTACATTCTACGGCCAGGTACGATACGACTATGCGCAGGAGCAAGACTCGTATGCACATTTCGATAGGGCCAACGTAAAGGCACAAACAAAATTGCTGTGTTTCACCATGACGCTGGAGTCCTGCAGCGGCGTTATGCTGGACGCATCTCAAGAGGAACAGTGCTGTCTGACTGCAACTAGAGGTAGGCACTCGTAGATATGGCAACGGACCTGATTGGCTAGCTATGGTCCTAGACCTGCTGAGACCACTGGCTTTTCATACAGGCCGAATGAAGCGAGCACTTGCGTTTACCATATTCCACTCTTGCAGTTGGAGACCATATCAGGAGGTCGGCGCTAGTGACACGTTGCGCATACTTTGGGGAGCAGGTCACTATAGACATTAGGATATACGAGACAATACCATACGGCGATGGAGAAGCAATGAACTGCAACATTGCATGCATGACTGTATCTTGGCTCACATCGAGCATGAACACAGACGATCCTCATGAACAATTGAGATATTGTAGGTTGAGATGCCGGAGGTGCCTGAAAAAGGATCGGCGCTCTACTCCCCCCTGGATCCTGCCTGGTCATGAGAGACCAATAAAGTCAATGCAACCAGAACGGGATATAGTGGTTCATGACGTGAGATAAGCTACCCTTCCTCTTTACGTGCACTACTGTCAGAGATAGATGGCGATCAGATCGGTAGAGAGTTAAACCTGGCATTCCCGTTGGATCTGCCCGAGGTATCCCTTCGTACGGGCCGGCTGGTGGGCTGAAGGCGAAGCACACATCATCGAGTCTGGCCTCAGCAGCCTCCGCCTTGCTCTGAGGCAACGCTCGGCAAGGGTCTCCTGCACTGGCATTTGAGAACGGGCATAGGATGACTCAGGACTCGACGGCACTCGTCAGTCAACGAAGGTACTCTTATCAGCCTCAAGACACTGAGTTGCGGCCCTGATGAGTTTGCACCTCGTGTCTTACACCACCACCACACCTCGGGCGGATGGCATGTCCCGGCTGCAGGGCTGATGCCAAGCATCCACCTGGCGTGGGTAGAACCCTGGGGGGTCGGCATTGGCTGGTGGGTGGTTAGCTGAACGGGCCCCGAGAGTTTCAGCGGCCGCCACAGGATTCAGCTCTCACTGTATTCGGGGCAACCAAGCGCAGCCTCCACTAGGCCGTTCTATTTTTTGGGGGGGAATCGGCTTCTGGCGAGCCCGGTCGGTATGTAGTCACCGAGGACCCCAGCACTGGTGGGTGGCTGGGGTTCGGCTTTAGACAGGTTGGCCATTGAGTTACCTAAGTTAGGTCCATGGGAATGATGGGTCATCGCATCCTGATTTCAGAATGTCGTCGGCAGTGACAAATGGCTGTCAGTCGCTCTATGCAACACAGAGTTTCCCCCTGCAGTCACTGTGCGTGTGGCACCCCACGGGCGGCTGGGCCGGAGAGCGCGCAACGTATGGATTATCCCGATCAAGCAGCGGCGAAGAAAGCGACACAGCCACTCGAGGCGAAAGTCTGTCTATGCACAACGCCTTTTAAGCCGCGTCATGGTCCGGGGGCTCGCAGGTCATTGGCCTGCATCCCTACGTACTGCCACGATTGTGGCTGCACACGAAAACATACGTATGTAGTCCAACAGGTAAACTCGTGTAGTCTGCTGATGGACGACCCCGAGCATGACCACAGGGCTGGGATGGATGTGTCTAACTCACAAGTATGCTGGAGCTTGGCACCACCCCCATGCTCCCTCCCACCCATGTACTTCGTACCCACGGTTAGGCCGTATCCGTATTTCTCTACTTCTGGGCTTGCCTTGCACAGCACTAGTTTATCCTTAAATGTCTATTTCCGCTGCCTGTATATCTTACAGAGGGTATTTGAGATTCTCTTCCCTACCTTTTCTGTCCTGCATTGCATTCGGTCTGTTTCATCCCTGATTCTCGATCTCGACTCAACTTCAACTACTTAGAGGTTGCATACAACAGCTCACCTTGGTTGGCGCCCGTCCTTTTAAACACACCAGAGGCCTTGACGTCGTCGTTGACAGCAAACTTCCGGGTCCATCTTCACTGATATCAAGTCGGCACCTCGATTCCATCCCTACGGTTTCGACTACGAACTTTCGAAATGCAATTTGGCATCATCCTTTCGGCTCTTGTTGCCGTCGCTTCTCTAGGGTTCTCTGTGCATGCCACACCGATACGTTGCGCGGATGTAAGTCACACCGAGCCTCGTTCCTCAGACTGAACGGATGCTGACATGCATAATCAGGCGGTCCGTGATGGTATCCTCAACGGGAAATTGCCGCCAGAGTCTTGTTGCAGTTATGGTAGATGCAAGGGCGACGTACAGACGGAGTCGGGCTAGTTGCTAGGCAATGCCAGGAGGTCGACAAGGCCTCGTGACGGATCAACGAACACTCTTACGACCCTTTCATCACAACAGTATATATTTCCTCGCAACACACATACCAGCATACCAGCATCTGCATTCGGCGGCGTCACTTTGGGTTTCACGAATCACATCAGCGAACGGCGTTTTGGGAGCACTATCGGTGGAAGACAACTACAGAGTTGTTCATCAAGCATGGAAGGAGGCAAGGTCGTACGACCTGACCCGGCTGTTACCAGCTCTGGGATGGATTCGGCCGCCAGACGCAAGTTCGTGCCTCATGAACCTGTAGCCCCGGACACGGACACTCGGGTTGCTCCGCAGGCTGTCGGCGAGGCAACTGTCTGATTTTGGCGGTGTGCAACAACACGCGATGCACTCCATCAGGGGCATGGATCTTTTGCGGCGTCCACGGGTGTAACCGAACAGAACCATTCGGCTCTCGCCAAAGTGGGGAGAAACAATAGCTGCGTGCTGGTATCTCGTACCCGCACGGGCTATTTGGGCTGCACATACATAGAGCACAATACAAAGTATGGCTTATCAGCTTCCTGATTCACCACTGCCTTATCTTTATTGCGCCTTGGCGTGAAAGTTGAGGATATCGGCGACTAGTATGGGCGCTCGCCCACGTGGGCAGAGGTCCCGGCGAATCGTGCTCTTTGAACATTGAACTCCGGCGCGAGATAAAATCTACTCTAAAGTCCGGCTATTGGGCTGGACGGAAGAAAGCGAGACGCTAGACAATCAGAGGGCGCCACAATTTCGTATTTGATCAACGGTCTCGTAAAGCTTATCCCACGAGCGGCACAAGCTATAGATGACTCAGATAACAACGATCATCCACCAATCAAACTCAAAAATCTCGAACAGATCAAAATGCCATACGGGGTTATTATCAACGGTCACGTATCAGCCGCACATGCTCAAGTGCCTGCGTTCTGATATTCCGAATACTTGACGATAACTGCCCGCCCCACATACGGGTCGTCTTCACGCCTTGGGTCTGCAGGTTCTGATTTGACACTCCGGGACCCGTGTACACCCACGGGCACCAAGAAGAAACGGCGTGCCCAGCATGCTAAACTTCCATGCGGAAGGGAACAGCCTCTGTCTTCATCATTCCGAAACCCCTGAGGTAAATGCCTTGCTGTCAGTTACAAAGCCGTAGGAGTTCTGGCCGCATATTAGTTCTCGAGAAAGCCATCGCTGCATAAGGATTCTCAAATCGTCCAACCTACCGAAACATTGTACCCGCAGACATCGTGTCCGTTGACAGTGGTCGTGGCACAGCAGTCCGCAAGCATGATGCAATCCCAGCCCGCAGTGTAGGCGTTCGTCAGAGTCCCCAGGACGCACTGGTCGGTGTTGACGCCAGTGAAGAGCAACGTCCTCTTGCCGCTTTCCTCGAGGTACTTCCACAGCGGCTGCTTCTCGTTCCACATCCCCGACATGCGGTTCTTGGCGCAGTGCGTGTCTTTGGGGCTGACCGCGGCCGCCAGGGGCGGGTATATCTCCGAGTTCCACTCGCCGGCCACCAGCATCCGCCCCATGCCGTCCCCGAGGTCAAACCCGAGACCGTTGCGCGGCGGCTTGTCGTCGTCCTCGTTGATGCGGGTGCGCGCAAAGCTGCGGGCGACGCTCGCTGGCATTGTAGCCAGGTCTTCATCCGTCAGGCCCCAGTTCAGCCAGACAACCTAGCCGATGTCAGTACGCTTGAGCCCAAAGTAACATTCGTGGCTCAATGTCATGTTCACTCCGCCGATCTTCCAGGCGGGGGGCTAGGATTCAGAGGCATCTGAGACCGCGGATTTGACTTGCCTGGATTCCCAGCTTCCTGCACTTCGCAATGACAGACAAGGTGGGATCCACCGTTGCAAGCCCAGTGGGATGACTTCGAACCTTCGAGTCGAGAAAGTAGTTCTGCATGTCCACCACGACCAAGGCCGAGACATCAGGATTGATGGTAACCGACGTCTCTGGCGGACCCTGTGTGGTACCAATGGTGAACCTGTTGGACCCCCCGCGGCTGAGGTCGTATCTCTTCGAGCTTCGAATGTAATGCCATTGATCGCCCCTCGGCCCGAATGTTAGATTTGGTGCCATTGTTATATTCTTCCAAGTATTTCCAGCAGAGTAGAATTCAAACTTGCCCGCGACTTTGTTACTATACTATGTTTATCAGTTTGGCGATGCGAGGTAAGTATTGCCAGGATGATAGATAAGGAGGATGTCGGTGCGTCATTCCCCGCTTTCGATGTCGTCCCCCTAGGTCTGCATGCATCGTCTGTCTCCTAGACAGACTTGGAACGGCTCTGTGAGTCCGCAGCTTTGCATGGCATCCAGAGGCGGATGCGAAGCTCAAGGATTGATGCTCTCTATGAGCCACCCATTATCCTGGTGCACTTTGGTCAGAGGAGGTGTGAGGTCCAAGAATGGTACTATACGCAATATTCCACTGAGCCGTGCGTCAGGTCACAGCCAGAACCACACTTCTAGAGTCTAATATAGTATCACTTGATCATTAACACCGGCTTCTCGTGACGTGATAAAACTGGACCTGCGCCGCTAGAAACAGTAAAGAGCTGTGCTATCACGGTGACCTTCATTTTTAGGAAGACAAAGAGACACCGTATTCCAGAGTTTGTTTCTACATTTTCTTCCCCTGCCAACGCACAATGGGTCGCCAACAGACGCCAACTAAAAAGAATGCTTGGAGTGTCGAATGGAAAATTTGCCGGATAGCAACCAAAATATTCATGACGGTCAAAAAGAATGATAGTCAATGCAGGGATCGAACCTGCGATCCTCTGCGGTTACAGTTGATTTTGTAAAGCAGATGCCTTAACCGCTGGGCCAATTGACTTGTTGATGAGAAAATTTCGCGTAATCAGCTTATATATTAGTAGTACAGCTTGGCGGAGTAAAAAGTTTAGGCTCTAAACCCGGCTCCGGATTGCGATAGGTACCTCGGGTGAAAAACAAGGTACCACTCACATCGTAACTCCCCTTCCTGTTCTGATCGTTATCGCTCACATCGACGCTTGATTTTTTGTCCGTGATCCGCGTCGTGGTCGCTCTTCTCGTCTTTGTCTCTACTGAGCCACCAGCGCAAGTTGATGGTTGTGGCTGAAAAGCTTCTAAGACCAGGGAGGAATATTATAGCTACGGGTCATACTAACCCACTTTGATCTTGTACCTAAAGTAGCTCCGTGGAGTCTGCCAGATTCACAAACTGAACGCCGCAACCATGAGGGGTGCAACGACTTCTACAACTGTCCTACGGCAGAGCAAAGCTCTATACAAGCTGGTAGCAAGGTGGGACAATCCAATTGGCCACCGATTGATCCAACAAGTTCGCATACTGACCGCCTAGCAGCCCTCAGAATGTCACACGACCGGCCGCCGCCCTGAGCGCCTCGATGGGCTGCTCCAGCCATTGGAGCTTCGCCCCCAGGCCCTTCCACACGACACCGGCCTACTTGAAGAAGGGGAGAGGAAAGGCGCGCGAGGAGGAGAAGGCCCCGAGCAATGCCAAAGAAAAGCGAGCCGAAAAGGGCCGGTCCAATAAGGACACCGAAGCCACAGCCGACGCCTCCTCGTCGCCGGCGGCGTCCCAACACCCGACGCCCTCGGCCGAGGACCCGCTCGACTTCGCCGACGTGCGGTCGCGGCTGGCCAAGGGCTCCGAGTCGGCGCTGGACGCGCTCAAGAAGCTCAAGGCGGGCGGGCGGTTCAACCCGGACGCCATCGGGGCGCTGCGGGTGCAGCCGGACCGCAAGGAGGGCGCGACGTACCCGCTGCGCGAGCTGGCGCAGGTGGTGCCCAAGGGCGGGCGGACCATCAGCATCCTGGTGCACGAGGAGGCCTACGTCAAGCCCGTCATGAGCGCCATCCAGGCCTCGCGCGACTTCAACCAGCAGCCCCAGCGCGACCCGGACAACGAGCTCGAGCTCGTGCTCAAGATGGAGCTCGAGAAGCGCGAGGACGTGGCCAAGCGCGCCAAGGCCGTGTGCCACGACTGGCGCGAGCGCGTCCGCCAGATCCGCCAGAAGCGCGACAAGCTGCACGCCACCTGGAAGAAGGACGGCCTGATCGTGCCGGACCTTCAGAAGCGCGCCAACACGGAGCTGGACAAGGTGATCAAGGCCAAGATCGCCGAGATCGATGCTGCCGAAAAGGATGCTTTGAAGGCTGCGGAGGGAAAATAGGAAGTCGATCTGCCTACCCTTCCGTCGTGGGCCAGTCTAGTTCGGGGAACTCTGGTGGAAAGGATGAAAGTTGTGCGAATAAAGTCGTGCTTGTTTATATGTACACTAGTCTAGACAGGGTTTGTTGGTACAGCGTTTTGCATGATGCTACAAGATGGCCCATTGCTCTCTATTTCACATGTCGTCCCTCTGAACCCACTCCTCAAGCCTTCTTGCCCTTCGGCTTGGGAGCGCCGCCCTTGGGCGCCGCAACCAAGAGACTCCTGACCTTGGCCTCGATGCCCCTCTCGGCAACCATATTCCATGTGCCGTCCCTCTTGACGTAGCTCTGGATTGTACCAAAAGCATCTGTAGATGGGGCAAACTTGGGGCCCTCGTACTTGCCCTGTAGCGCCACGTTCAGGACAGCTGAAGTTGTCTCCTGAGGCGGTGCTTTGAAGTTGAAGTTCCCAGCCTTCTCGGTCCATGCCTTTGCTTCAGGACTGGGGAAGAAGATGCCTTCGCCCTCGGTGTACAGCTTCTTCGCATCTCGAGGGTGCGTGTACTCGTCGGGGTGGTATGGCTTTCCACCACCAAGCATTCTCGCCTGGAAGAGGGTAGTGGCGGTCTGCGAGATGGGCGCGCTGGAGGCAACCGCAGGAGAGTAGGCGGCGAGATCAGCAAGCAGCTCCTTTGGGGCCATCGGAGTGTACGTATGGACAACTCCACATTCGACCTTCTCGACGTAGGCAGAAACTTCAGGGTCCTCCTCCCCCATGTTCTTGAAACGCTGGTATTCTTGGTCGTCTTCTTTCTCCTCTTGAGTCCTCCGCGGTCCCCTCATCGGTCGATCGTCACCGCGTCCTCTGCGAAGGCCACGACCGCGGCCACCTCGGTAGCCTCCTGCACCACCTCGGTAGCCTCCTGCACCGCCCCGGCCGCCTACTGCACCACCTCGTCCGCCGGCTGCGCCGCCTCGGAAAGCACCCCCACGCCCCCGTCCACGGAAACCGCCGCGAATGACTGCACCAGATGAGGCTGCTGAGCCACCGGGGCCCTGGGCCTTGTTAGGACCGGCGAAACGGCCTTGGATCCCGCCTCGTAGACCACCGCCGCGTAGGTTGGCGATGGTGATGACCTTGGGCATTTCGGGGGCTCGAGTGGCGGCGGCTGGTCTGCTGGCGCTGGCGCGGGCGGCCTGGGGCGCGGCACCCCTCGCAGGCTTTCTGTCCTCGTTCATCGCAACGAGCTCGCTGGCGGCGGCGGCGGACCGCTGGCGACCGCTCGGCCGTGATGGCTTGTCATCGCAGCGGGCCTGTGCGATGGAGAACTGGCGGAGGGATGCGGCAATACCCTCGCTCAGACGCGTGAGCTCTGGCCTGCCCCGGCCGAGGGTGGAATGTATCGGGTTCCGGATCATTGGGGCGATTGGCGTGGGAGCTGTTGAACTCGTGAACTGGCCCCGAGAGATGGGAAATTTCGCGATGCTGAAAATCGGAGTGGGCCCCCAGGCTGGGACCAATGGCCCGAGCTCCCCCTACAGAAAAGGCGGCTTAGGTAATGCTGCCACCCCTTTTACATGACAGTCAGTACCTCCCTCACTCTTCCCACAAGAAACGCCATTGAAGAAGCGGGACATCAGTGCTGAGGGTACGTGTTCGCATGTTATAAATTAAGAAGTTATCCCCGATTCGCAATTGTTTCGCGCCCAAGGATGCAAATCGCGGGCCGTGGGTGGCAGTTGCCGTTGCGGGCATGTACTACAGCGGTTATCGAAGTCACATGCGCCGAAGTGGTTGCAGTGCGGTTGTAGATGCTCACATTAAACTGGTGATCAGAGAGAGATGTCCCGGCTCTAGAGCGGCTAAGCGTATCATGGGATTGGGTATGGCAGAGCATTCTTGCGCAATCATAATCATTGATGCAGAGCAATAACTCCAGGTAAATATACAACACATGCTAGGTATCAAATTCCATCACTTCCTCAACGTACTCCATAAATATTGGCTGTGGACCCCGCCGTTACTCCTGGAGCGGCTTGCCCATACCGCCATACGTGATCATCTTGATATGCTGGTACTCCTCAATACCGTACTTGGATCCCTCGCGTCCGAAACCAGACTGCTTCACACCACCAAACGGCGAGGCAGGGTCGGAGATAATGCCAGTGTTGACACCAACCATTCCCACCTCCAACGCTTCGGCGACGCGTGTGACACGCTCAATATCCTTCGAGAAGAAGTAGCCAGCCAAGCCAACTTCGGCGGCGTTTGCCAACTCGACGACCTCCTTCTCGGTGGCGAACGGGAACAGACCCGCGACAGGGCCGAACGTCTCCTCGGTCGAGATGGCCATCTCCTTGGTCATACCTGTAATGACGGTAGGCTGGTAGAAGTTGGCACCCAAGTCAGGCAGCGGCTGACCACCGACGATGACGGTTCCGCCCTTCTTCTCGGCGTCTTTGATGTGAGCCTCGACCTTGCTGACGGCACGGTCGTGGATCAGGGGCCCGTGAGTAATACCCTCATCGAAGCCGTTGCCAACCTTGAAGCCCTTGACCTTCTCGGCGAACTTCTTGGCAAACTCGTCGTAGATGCCCTTCTGGACGTAGATTCGGTTCGCACAGACGCATGTCTGGCCAGAGGAGCGGAATTTGGATGCGATGGCGCCTGCAACTGCGGCGTCTACATCCGCATCATCGAAAACAATGAAGGGCGCGTTGCCGCCCAGCTCCATGGACAGGATCTTCAACGTCGAAGAGGCCTGCTTCATGAGAAGCTTACCAACGCCCGTGGAGCCCGTGAAGGATACCTTCTGTATCGTGGGGTGTGTGGTCAAGACTTCACCGACCTCGACGGTGTTCTTCATCGCAGATATGACGTTGACAACACCCTTGGGGACTCCAGCCCGGTGAGCGAGCTCGGCCAGCGCCAAACTGGTGAAGGGAGTCTCGCCGGGGGATTTGCACACCGTGGTACAGCCTGCTGCCAGGGCAGGACCGATCTTCCGCGTGATCATGGCAGCGGGGAAGTTCCACGGGGTGATCAACCCGCACACACCGACGGGCTGCTTGAGAGTGACGACGCGGTTTCCAGGCACGGTCGCAGGGATCGTGTCGCCGTAGGCCCGCGGGGCCTCCTCGCTGAACCATTCAAAGAAGTTGGCTGCATAGCTAACCTCGCCCTTGGCATCTGCAAGCGGCTTGCCGTTCTCCCAGGTGATCAGTGTTGCCAGGTCCTCCGCGTTCTCGACCATTAGGTCGTACCATTTCCGGAGAAGCTTGGCCCGCTCGCGGCCGGTTGTGTTGCGGAAGGACTTGAAAGCCTCGGCGGCGGCAGCAATTGCCTTCTCGGTGTCCTTGGTGTCGAATTCGGGGGAGGTGCCGATGACCTTGCCCGTTGAGGGGTCATGAACCTCAAAGGTCTTGCCCGAGGCGGCCTTGACCCATTCGCCGTTTACATAGGCGACATCGGTCTTGAAGAGGGAGGGATCCTTGAGCTACAGCAGAGAGGGTCAGCTCCATCCAGCTCGGTCACAGCCAGATCAGGCCCGTGGAGTCGGCTGCTTACCTTGGGTACTGGAGCCATGTTGGAAGCTTTTCGGTTTGTTAAAAGAGGCAACGTTGTTCTCTGGAAGCAACTCTTGGTGGAGGGATATCTTGCGTTGGACGCGACGCTTCTTTGTAGACTGCGCAGTAGACTCATGGTACACACACGCAATTGGAGTGGGAACCGGAGGCGAGTAGGTATTAAAAGGTGGGAACTGGGCCTTTTAGTGGAGGGCCGGAAGGTGAGGACTGCCCGGGAGGAAAAGGACTGAATCGGACTGACTGATAGCCTCGGAAGGGATGGTCAATTGCTTGACTGATGGTTTGCTACTGGCTGCGGGCTTGGGGATGCTCTCCGAACAGCTTCGCCTACAGTCTGCAGATACCGGGGCGCTATCTGCATGGGTGCCGATAAACCTTCGGGACTAACGGTGACGTCGGCGTGATCCCTAGACGCCATCTGCTGAAGCTGCCCCTCCAGGCCCCCCTCAAGCCCCCTCAAAGCCCCGAGGCTCCTACTGGCCCCTCATCGTTGGAGCTTGGTGGTGCCGCTAGTGTGGGGTAGCTTTGCCGTATAGAGCAGGTCCATGCTGGGACTCTCAGCCCAGATTACATATTCTCGCACAGTTCACCAGGGCCGTGGACTGCTTCACGGGAGAGGAGCAGCGATCTCGGGCGTAGCGGAGCTTGGATCTGAGTCTTAGAATCTCGAGAGACTTACTCTTGCGAACAGGCAGGTCCACCCATCACCGGCCGCGTCCCGTCCCAGGGTCCAGCTGCCGGAAACGGCAATCAAGGGTCTCCATCGAAAAAAGTGCTACTCCGAGACTCAATATAAGACTGCGTACAGTACAGTATACTTCTTATCTAATCGCTTACAAAACGAGTCGGCAGTATGTGGTTCATTTGCCTCAGATTCTCTGCCAAAAACATATTGAGTTGACTGCCCTTCAGTATTAGCATCAAGAAGGCACAACAGAGGTGGACTGAGCCGGCATCGCATTTATAAGTTCGATGTTAACCCTCCTTGCGATGCGCATTGTCCTGGTATCTTGAAGCGTGTTTTGTGGCCGTATATCGTCGCAAAAGAGCCCAAACCGCCATGAGAGGAGACTAATTCCAGCAAAGGTATCTACCCCAAGTAGCATAGTCGTCTTCGAACCCTGCGTTGCGATGTGTTTCTAGACATTTCTGCACTCACCTCACGCGCTCAAACGTAGAAGAAAGGGGAGAGGGGTGAGAGAACCCCCTTTGTTGATCTCGCCATTCCTGACCGCAATGCTGAGGTTAGATGCGGTGAAAACAAATCGCCTAGTCTTGTTCCAGCCAAGGCAACCATCAGCAAGCGGTTCAATGTCCAGCTTGGCGTTGGCGAAGTGTAAGAGAAGCGCATTCACCGTATCCGTAGGAGTGCTTGACAATGAAGTCGAAAGAAGTCGCCATCTTGTGTGGAAACGAAAGATAACAAAAGGGAGAAAGGACCGGGGAAAGAGACAACTTACGATTCGCATCGAGACTGGATAGTAAAGTCTGGTGGGTGGGAAGTGGTGGTTAATAGTCTCAGTGATCATAAGGACTGCGGCTTGTTATTTGGAAGGCTGCCAAGAAATGCATACTGCAGCAACTTGATCCACAAGTAAATGCTCGGTATACCACGTATCCAAGCCCCATCCTTCTCGATGGACCAACATGTAAACTACGTCGAGAACAGGCCATCCAGCAAAGAAGGAGAAAATAGTTCTGCGCTTTTTGAGTCTACTTGACCGGGGATCTGAGGAACAAAAAACACAATATTTCGGCTTCCGAGAGATGTCCTTGGGGCTTCAAGTGGCGCACCGAATACGCATTCTTCCCTATAGTCCAAATAACCATCAAAGAAATCAGACCGGCGCTTCATTCATGAAAGAGTGATGACTACCTAGATATTCGAATACGTTGAGCATGAGAGACGCCTCAGAGGAAAATCGAGAGCAGCAGGGACGACAACGCATGAATTGCACCAGCTCACAGCCCCCGCATTTGGCAATGCCGCACCAATCGAGCCAACCCAGGCAGAGCAAGGCCTCCTCACCTCCTCTTTTGGGCATCTGGGTAAATCTGGGATCTAACTTCTCAACCCTGCCGCAGGATTGGCTCGTCATTGGGGCCGTCGATGTGTGGGATATATTATCCGTCCATTCGCCCCCAGAGACAACCCGGGACCCGTGCGGGAAGTGGTGGTGCGCAAGACCATGCACATTTTAGTAGTCCGGTTGCACCTGCCATCATCAACATCCCGAGGATCATTTGCTGCTCACGATGTGACTGAGAGTTTACATGCCTGTGGGGAAAATGCCAGTGCCTTTCTGAAGTAGGCTTCTGACTGTGCTGCCACTTTTAACGCTTGCACCCACTCTCAATCAACACTTTGTGTGCGGCGGAACGAAATCGATTCCTATAGTTGAACAGAGATTATTGAGAGCAGGTCGCGATGCGGAATCACTTTTCCCTGGTTGTGTGGGCTCGACTGGTGTCCGGGCAGCTTCACAGACTCTCGTCCAGCATCGCCATCGACGAGATCACTACCGGCGCGCCTCTAGAAAGCTTTGTAAGCTACTCGATCGAGTTCTCCTCTTTTCCAGACTTCGCAGGTAAGACCTACATGTTTTTGGCGAAAGAGAAAGCGTGCTGAATATTCTCAGGCACCAAGGCCAGTCCAAATGGCTTCTCCAGCACGCTGCTCAATAACCTTGGATATCTACAAGGAAGTAACCCGTATATACGGGTAGGAGGAAATACGCAGGACTATGCCATCTATGATGCCAATGAGAGCCTACCTCTTCGAGGGATTTTCAATACTAGTAGATCTTCCGACTACCCGACGACTATTACAATAGGGCCTACCTTCTTCGAAGCTTACAATACGTGGCCCAAGGTCAAATTCTCTCATGGCTTCAATCTGGGCGGAAACAGCGACGGCAGGGTGTTGGAAACTTTGAACCAGACAGTCCCTCTGGCCTGCAAGGCATTGAGTAACGGTAACTTGTATGCCTGGGAGTACGGCAATGAGCCTGACCTATTCGCGACCAGCGCTCAGGGTCCTGTTCGACCTGCCAACTACAACGAATCAGACTTTGTCAATGAGTGGTTAAAGGGCACTCGGACAATCAAGGATCTTCTCAAAGAGTCGTGTCCAGACCTCCTTGGGAACGACACATACGAGTATCTTGCACCATCCTTTGCTGGGACGAACAATCATCTCAAGGCTCCGCTGGCTTGGTCCGATGGCCTTTCCACCGATGGAAACATCAAATACTTCTCATCTCATAAGTGCGTCTAGAGACCCCTGAACAAATGTGTTTAGAACATCGGCTTACAGCTTTCCAGCTATATTAGCGGAGCAACCTCTCTTGGGGTCACCCTGCAAGGCACCTTGATGAATCACACGCGTACGAAGCAAAGTGTAGATGCCCACGTAACAGAATACAATGCCATCAAACCAGGCGTACCTCACATTTTCGGTGAGACCAATTCGCTATATAATCAGGGCCGGCCAGGCCTTTCGAACACTTTTGGCGCCGCTCTTTGGGTCGTTGATTTCATGCTATACAGTGCATCTGTCAACATCCAGCGTGTCCACATGCACATGGGCACCAACTACAGGTATCAGTCCTGGCAGCCCATCACTACGAATTCGACTTCGATCGGCACCAAAGCACCGTACTACGGTAACATCGCAGTGGCTGCTTTCCTTGGCAATCTGAACGTCCAGCCGGTTCGTGTTGCGAACTTTGACACGGGCGGTGGCGACCACGAGGCGGCTTACTTGTCGTACGTGGATGGCGTGCTCAGTCGAATTATGGTCATCAACATGAATGAGTACAACTACACCCTTAACGGAACAGGTCCCGGCTTGAACCCCGCGGCCAGGCCACTGAGGACATACAGCTTCAGCGTTGGGAACCTGACGGGAGAGGCCAGTGTTCAGCGGCTTTACGCCAACGGCAGCGATGCAATCAGCGGTGTCACCTGGGACGGCTGGAGTTATAACTACGAGCTGGATGCTGGACGGCCTGTGCGGTTGACCAACGTCACGATTGGCGAGAAAGTACCCATCACTGACGGGATTGTAGAGGTTGGTGTCGCTGATAGCTCGGCTGTAATCTTGAGCTTGCTAGTGTAGGTATGCATGTCGGGTGGCTTGACGACATACACTGCAATACAACATCCATAATATTTATATTTCGCAGTCTGAGTGTACAAGATGCGTTTTACGTGAGTTGGTTCGAAAATACTCGCATTTGGGCCCGTTAATGAGCCTATTGGGTATCGTATTGTACAAGGCTGTCCTTCGATACCGCGCGGTTCAATCGTTGCCTGCCTAACATCGATTCCCAAGACCTGATATATACAACATGAGAATGTACCCGTTGGCGAAATAACCCAATGCCATGAAAATTACTCTGACTCTCCTTATACCCATAGCTGACTTCAGCGTGCTCAAGCACTTAGAGACAAGCGCTTTGTATGGCGCACCCCTGCTGTTAAACCACTCCTGCTTCTGATAGAATAAATATGACCGTGTTCATGCGTACTGCTGCGACCTGAGGGGCAGTTTTCTGTCAAGCGTGTTGAAGGCCATGGTGCGTGGAGTATATGGCACCGTTGCCGTCCTCGGCGTTTGCGGAATGCCATGCATCTCCCACTTGTCGTTCCTCTTCAGGCTCGACGGCGAGTTTGTCTCCTCGTCCGAGTCGACGTCCGTGCCTCTCTTGTCGGCCTCGGTCGGTAGCAGAGCCCAGATGTTGAGGCCGAGATTCACGAGATATACGACACTATTGCGAAAACACATTAGTACATCACGATCACCGACAAGGCGAGACGGGCCGCCAGGGAAAGGCTGAACAGGACCTACAGCATGAGAACGGTCACTGCATACGTTCCTTTGGCCGTTCTGCAGGACTTCTGGACGCTCTGGTTTGCGGCGACGGTGCACGGCTTTGCGATGTACCACGCTATGGGGCTGGGGTGGTTCGGGTCCGCATAGTCGGGGCCCATCTGCCCGTATACGCTGGTGGTGTAGAGGGCCGCGAGGGCGACGTTGAAGAAAAGCGCCACTAGGGGAAACCACACGTGCATGATGACTGCAATCATCTTCGCAAGGAGGAAGAACAAGCTGATGACGGATATGGCCACATTGAAGTTGGTCAAGCTGTGTGCACCCGTGTTAATAATACCGTGGTATAACTGAGACAGGAGCGAGTTGGGACTCACGTCAAGGTCCAGACGAAAGGGATGTTCGGCAAGGGTCTGTGGTTGGCGTAGGCGTATAGGATGATGTTCGGGCTCGAGTTGAACCCCAAGTCATTGCCGGCGCGCCAGAGCTGCGTGCGATAGAGGTCGGGCTGTGCGATGCCAAAGAGCACCAATACCGCGACGGTTCCGGCCAGCTCTGCTATCATCGTAAACCACATCGCCCGGATAGACCGCCACTCGCGGTGCAAGATTCTGTACTTCATGGTCGTGAAAAATGGCCTGGCCAGCCTAGGTCGAATTCCTGATCTGAGTGGTTTCGGCTGTGCCTTCGGGCAACGGCACCAGCTCTTTGATCGAGTGGGGAGAGAAGGTTTGCTCTAATCCGCCCTTGCTGCGAGGTGAGGGTGCGTGTACTATATTGTCGCTGTCTGCCAGCCAGGTGTTGTTATACCTTCACATCGGACTATAGTCGCAACACCTTTCTGAGGCCTCTCGCATCGATCTCAACGTTCGCTTTCAAAAGGAAGAAGACGTGCAGAGGGCGGGCACAATGGGCCGGCCAGCCATTTCTTTAAGAGACGACCAAGCAGGCCAGCGGCAGCGAACGAGACGAACCCCCCGAGGGGCGGGAGTGCAGGCTCAATCACCAGGGTCGCATGGTGAGAGGCCCCAATCAGAGGCCGGCCGGCAGGGTCGCACGCATGGCCGTAAGCGCCGGCACCAAGTGTTGCTACTGGGCGCTTCCGCTCACCCACATTGCTGGGCACATTGTGATGGCGACAGCGGATTGGGCTGACGATCGCAGGGCAGGTGTTGGAACAGCCAATCACCCAGCGATACGCGAGCGCCCGTGAGCTGCAGGTCGTTGACATGAAGTCGGGGTCTTGATTGGCTCGCCTGGTGCCTGTGTGCTTTTTGGCCCCTCCCAAAGTGCCAACTGCCCCCCTGACTCCTCCCTGCTGCAAATGTGATGGGGGCCGAAAGTTCCAAAAGTCTGCATTGCAACCGCCAGAACAGGGGTTGTCAAGGCGCATTCTGCTGCGCTCGAAAGCTTCACATCTCCGGCAGCTGCAGCGGTGTCATACGACGCCAAACGATGGTCAGGGACCTTGGCGTTAAGAAACTTTGAGATCCACCCGAACCCGTTCCTCGGGTCTACTTAGCACCCGTAACATGGGAGAGACGCTTGGTGCAAAGGAGAGGTCCGAACGGAGAGTTCGCAGGCAGGTAGGTGTCTTGTCTTGATCGGGGCCCAATAAGCTGTTTGATTAATCTTGGATGGCTCAAGAGAGTATTGATCAGGTCTGAATGGTAGTATTATACGTGGGGAGGATCAGCACTAGTGAATAGCTGGATAGAGGGCTGCACACGGTGACTGCTTGATTGCTGGGTGTGAGACTGCAGCTTGCTATTAATAAACGCACCCTCTCAATTCGGTTATATGCAGTGCTTCGCGATCGACCTACGCAGACAATCGGGCGCTGCACAGCGACTTGGCCTGCGCCGCGTGGGGAGCGAAAGAGTACAAACAAAAGGTTTTGTGACTTGTGATTTCAATTTATCTGGCTGGCGGGGGAGAAGTCGCATCGGCACGGCATGGCATAATGAAACATGACAATTGGTCATTATGAACGTGAGAAATGATGAGGCTGATCTCAACGAAGCAGTATCGCGAGATTACTCGGAACCGCTATATACTGCCTTCGGCTCAATAGTCTGAGCTTGCGCTATACTTCCTTTTTACGAGCTGTGATTCAAGCCAAGGGAGGCCAGTATTATGTAGGCTCGAGGGTCTGCAGTTTGCATATCTTTCATAATGTTGTTGTTAACGCAAGCTAGTAAAGTTGTCAGGAAGCAATGACGCAGAGTATAGCGATGCCCTTTAAAGGTCGTGGCCGACTTCAACTGTGGGGGCAGATCTAGTTCGTCGTTCCCTATAGAATCCGAGAGTGTATTGAGACTATCGCTCCTCGAGCCAAATCCAAGATAGAAATCTGGGCAGCCTTAACTTCCCTTACGCACATCAGAGACAATACGATAACAGGGTTGGATCAAGTATGCGACGTGTGGATCAGAGAAAAACCGCTTCCCCGACAGACTGGCAAATTGTGCGAGTGACTACCTCAATCTGTGTAGTTTACAACGGCGTCAAATGAAGATCTGGGATAGATCTCGCTACGCCAAACCATCGTGGCCGGTGCTAGGTGGAGACACTCTGTCTCCCGGTGCCTCTTCTGAGTCCTATTACTACAAGATGCCGAAGTTCAAAGTTGAATCTGAATTTAGGCTGGCTTGCAAACACATCGGGCGGGGGAATGATAACGATGATGAGCGGATTTGTAGATGGGTGTGGACAATTTGTTCGTCAGGGCAGATTATCATTCTGTTTCACGATATATGTATGGCAGACCACGGAGTACGGCTTAGTGCAATGACGCTTGCGACGTTACATGCACGTTTGTCACCACGCGTCGAAGGAGCAGCTATCAGGCGCTATTGTTCAGTAGAACGGGTTCTGGAATGACAAGCAAGCCCGAGGCCGAGACGACATAACCGAAACGCAGCCAACAGCGATGATCGCTGTCACATTAGCCAACTCAGCTGATTTCTGGGCGTCGTGCCACGCTCGCAACTAATTAGCGGCTTGCGGTAAAGTGAGCTTTGGATTGGTCTAGACCGGAAGATCGTCGATCAAGTGCTGGAGTTACCAAGCAGGCTCCTAACCTGGAACCCGGAACTGGGCTGGAGTTCCAGGGCGCACGGAGGCAAAGATGCTCGTCTTCATTCGTCGGACGACGAAAGGTCGCCAAATGTCAAAGACAAGCCTTTTTGGAAAGGCTACCAAAGCAACCTTGTAAAGATGGCATGCTCGAGATCTGGGAAGATGGGAGTTTTGAAAATGCCGTCTGGGGAGCATGGGATTCTTCGTTAGTGCGGTTCCGGGTAAACGATCTTGGCGAAAAGCCGGGAATGCGCCCACATCTCACGGATCTTGACAGCAGCCCCAAACCCGACCACCCCGACTTGCCTAGCAAGCCCTGGTTTTGGTGGCAGCGGCCATCACTCGGAGGTATACATTGGCAAGAATGTCGTCGAATACAATGAGCATGCCTGCGTTTTATCTTGTGTGTTTGGGTTTGGGGTTTTCCCCTTCGGCAATGTCGGCGCTCAAACTACCTTTGTGAGATTGATCACTGAGGCCGAGTCCTGACCACCACCAGAGCTCCCAGGACGGTAATGGTAGGATACCGCGGCACCCATGAATCGTGGGGCACTAACTAGCACATGATGGGAATGTGTATTTCGTCAATGGCTGACGAAGTCTAAAACGTCTGTCCAAGATAGCTTAGAACCAAGCTGTTAAGGTTTAGACCTAGGTCCACGATGTGGCGGACAGGTGGACTGATTAGTTATCGTTCATGTTCGAGCTTTTCCACGAAAACACGTGCACTTGCTTGCAACCTGCGACATGTGTGTTGGAAGGAGGACGTCATGTTCCCGCAGAGACGAGGCCAACACGATGCCAGCGGTCTCTGATCTGGCTGTGCTGTGGTCTTGCTGTCGGCTGTTCGCTGCTACCTATTTAACCTACGCTCTTTGCTCTGAAGGCCTGGTTTCGCGGATGGCTCCCTCGGGCATCCTTATGCATGATATGCATATGCTGTAGTGTTGAGACATGGGGGAAACAGATGCCGGTCGGTATGATTACGAGATGCAGATACTAACTAGTCTGTATAACCCGAGATTTGTTCGGATCTTATAAACTAGCGGAAAATGAGAAGAGGGAGAAAAAAAAAAAAGGCCACGCGTGTCCGTTTTTGTACAGGTGGTGGCCGTTCTTGTCCATGAAGCTATCTATCAACTTAGAGCCAAGAGCCATCCATCCATCCATCGAAGCCCGGAGTACCTAGGCTCGGGGCAAGGATCGACGGTCTGTGGAGCGCCAGTGCTTGAAGCTGATTGAAGGGGCCTGTCAGCTTCTGGTGGTCGCAGACGGTGGGCGACCCAAGCAAACCAAAGCGTCACTTGGCTCCCACTTTTCTGATTGATATCCGCTCGGCTGTGGGTGGTGGTGACTGGCGGGACTGGCAGCTGGACCAGCAGCACGGGCGCCCAGTGGTCAGGGTCGGTGAGGAGCCCGAGCCGGGCCCCACGGGCATCGTTCTGGTGGGTTTGGACAGGTTCCAGACCGTGCAGATCGTGCTGACCCTGGTATCCTCTGGGCCCCCGGGACCCCCCAAACCCAGGGCCCCCGAGCTGAGTCGCAGAAGTCGGTAACTCGACTAACTCGACCGATTTGATGGGCAATGCAGGTTGCTCGCTCGGGTTGGGATTGTCTTTTCTGTCTGCTCTCTGATGAATGACTGAGTTCCCGTCTCCCCTAAAGCACTGCTGCACCACCGTCTTGACTCGCTGGTGCTGTGTTTCAACTCATCTTTGCTCGAAATCCGTCCCCTGTAGAGACCCGCCTCGCGTGCGACATTGCTGTTGCTCCCATCCCATACGGTAAACCACACCCGTGTCTGTGTGTGCGTCCGACAGTGTTGCCAGTACTGCCCGGTGCTTCGTTTCGCTGCGACCTCTGCTCTCTCTTCCAGACCAGCCGTTTCCCGTACCTGCGTTCTGCGTCGTAGGGATCTCGCCGCTTGCCCTCCCGCACGCCGTATTGTTGCTGGGTTCCTGGCCTGCTCTGCGGTGCGCTCAGCGGCTGCTCTGCTCCCCACATCATTGCGTCCGACCCCTGCAACCGCAAACCGTCGATTCGATCGATCGTCGACACCTCGGCCACTTCTCTCTTGACACGATCGAGACGTACTGGCACCCGTCAGGAAGAGACGAGGGAAAGAGAAGAGAAGAGAAAAAAAAAAAAAGGCTTCTCCCAAACCGGCGCCTTTGTTGCTGTTCAGAACCCACACGGAACCTGGGCGATTTGTGCAGCGCCTCTTCTTGACAGCCCCGTCCGCCAGTTTAATGCGCCTACTGCGTGCTGAACTTGCCGGCAGAAGCGATCTCTGGGGCCCCCTCCAACTCCTCCGGCCGTCATCGTCATCCCATGTCCAGCACCCGACGAACCGCCTGCTGCCCGTCCTCATCCCCGTCCGTCCAGTCGGACACGCAGCCGAGGAGGACCTGTCGTCCCCAACCGCAACCGCAGCCATCGGACCGCGGCCTTTCATTGTTCAGATGCTAGGCTAACATCGGTGCTACCACCTGCTGCCACCCTCCGTCGCCGTCGCCGTCGCCAGTACAACGTCCGGACTCGACTACTTCATGACTTTGGAGGGCATTCAGGATTCTTCTGCTTTCCATGCGCTCCACGGGGACGTAGCGACGTCGTCATCTCCCGCAATCGACGCGTCCAGCTCTCGTCCTTCACCCCTCCGTCCACAGTCGAGCCCCTCCAATTCCGCCCCAATCGTACCAAGCCCGCTCTCGCAGTCCGCCATTCACCGCCGTGTGTTCGGCACCCAGCTCCCCGGCGCGCGAGATACAGAGGTTGCTCTAGGGGAATGGTCTGCTGAGATAGGACGCTATGGATTGAGCGCTGCTACAGCACAACGAGCAACTTTCTTTGGGGACCACACGGCCCGCCCCTCGGGGGATATCAGTGCGACCCCGTCAGTACCGCAGCTGCAGAAGAACAACCTGCGAACCCATGGGAAACGGCCCCTGGCTGACGATAGATACGGTAGTGACAACGCCCTCCGCCCGCGAATGAAAAAGGCTCGGACAGGGCCCGCGCCTTGGAAGATCGATCTTAGCGATTTCAAAGCCCCAGCAGCACCACCTCAGCTCGAGACCGTCACCTCGCCCCTGTTCTTCTCCCACAAGGAGAGGCCGCTGATGGAGAGACCGCTGTTGGCGAGGCCGCCGAGCGTGTCTGGCACCGAGGCGGTGGGAACCATGCTGAGCCGCGTGAGGGACTCGGCCGAAGTGACCACGCTCAAACTACCCAGAGGAACCGTGACCTCGGCCAGCCCGGCGAGGTCTTCGAGCACGCCAGGCAGTTGGTCTTCGATTGATGCCACGGGTTTGACCCGAAGCCCCGACGCTCAAGGATCGACCCCAGGCCTGCAGTTCCTTCAAGGTGTCGGTGTCCTCGAATTGCTAGAGAGAGACGACAGACCGACGTTCGTTATCGATGCGACAAACGCAACCCTTGTGTCTCCAGGGCCATTTCCCATTTTATATTCAAATCCTGCTCTTCAGGTCTCGAACAGCATTCGCCATGTTCTCGCCGGGGACTTCACAGAGGAGGAGGCCAAGAGTGATTTTCTCATGTTCAAGTCATGGGTGAAGAACGCGGGCGGTAACGCGGATGGCTTGGACATATTTCTGCCCTCGCTCCATTACGGCGGTTTCGATTGGACTTGCTCCGTTATCAGGAATCGTTTTCGTTTTGTCAGCGCCAACAGGAGTGCGGCTTCGATAGCTCGCACTTCTCCAGAGCCGCCGCTTGAGAGGGAGAACAGTGCCGAATCCCGCGCTCGGGCGCCCAGTCCAAATCCGCCGCCGAAAACGCCCAGCGATATCGCCGTACCTGATGCCCCCGACTATTTCAGCGGCGTGGCCATGAACGTGGATGCGCCAGGTTCTTTAGTGGGCAGTGATGTCGGTGACCAGGTGCTCATTCGCCGGCACAGCGATTACTCTTCGGAGGTGGCCTCGATTCCCTCCGAACAACCTTCCTTCGACTGGACACGGATCCCCCTGACTATGGACCTACCGTCCCACATCCAATTTGCCCGCTCACGAGACTGGGCGTCAACTCCCCTAGGACCAATCGAGGATTGGTCTGCCGACTTACGTGCTATGGCCAACATGGTCATGGGTAGTCCGCACCCAGCTGCCATGTACTGGGGTCCTGAACACATCGCAATATACAACGAGGCGTACGTGCCAATGGCGGGACAGAAACATCCGTCCCTCATGGGACAGAGCTACAAGGATGCTTGGGCCGAGATATGGCCCGAAATAGAGCCCGTATTCATCAGCGCCTGGCAGTCTGGGCAGGCTACCATGAAAAATGACCATCGCCTCATTGTGAACCGCGATGGTTTTGATGAAGAAACTTTTTTCTCATGGTCTATAGTGCCTCTTGTTGGCGAGGACGGCTGCGTCGTTGGGCTCTATAACCCCGCGTTTGAGAACACAAGGCGGAAGGTCGCCGAGAGAAGAATGCTTACTCTGCGAGAGGTCGGCGAGAAAACAGCCTTGGCGCGAGATGTCAGGAGTTTCTGGTGCCAAGTTCAGCAGGGGCTTGAGTTCAATGTGGATGACATTCCGTTCGCCCTGATTTACTCTGTATCCGAGGATAGCGAGAGTGACATGTCCTCAATGCACTCGGGGAGTTTGTCCAACCCGCCACAGCTGGTCTTGGAAGCTTCCTTGGGTGTCCCCTTGGGACATCCGTGCCTCATAAGTTCTGTCGACTTACGAACTAGTGTCGAAGGATTCGCCCCTTATATGAGGGATTCCATGGCTCAGGCCGGCGTCCCTATCGTTTTATCTAAGGAGGATGGAACGCTCGCAGAGGACACCATGGAAGGATTCGACTTCAGAGGAGAGGCTACCAATTGCCGATCCATCGTGATCTTCCCAATACACCCAACAACAGGCGGCGAAACTGTCGTTGGCTTTCTTGTCATGGGGTTGAACCCCCAGCGACCGTACGATGATGACTACCAACTTTTCATACATCTTTTGTCCAGACAACTCGCGACATCGTTAGCGTCCGTGGTTCTGTTCGAGGAGGAGATCCGTCGGGGGCAGAGAGCGGCACGTCTGGCCGCTTTAGATCGCCAGGAACTGACCAAGCAACTCCACTTGAGAACGCAAGAGGTGGAAGAGAGTGAGCTGAAATTTACCCGAATGGCCGAGTTCGCCCCTGTCGGCATGTTCATCGCAAATCACGAGGGCCTCATCGATTTCTGCAACGATCAATGGTGGGAGATTGCACAGCAACCCAGGGGCAATTACAATATCGACTCTTGGATGAATGAGGTGTACGACGAGGATCGGCCCGCGCTGGAAGAAGCTTGGGAAAGGTTGACAAAGGAAAAGGTCGCCATCACACATGAGTTCCGCTTCAAGCGCTCCCACGAGGACAGCGATAACGTCATTGAGAATTGGGTGCTGATGAGCGCCTACCCGGAGAAGTATTACGATGGCAGTACCAAGGAAATATTCGGCTGCATAACCAACATCTCGCAACAGAAACTTGCCGAGCAGATTCAGAACCAGCGTCGCCAGGAAGCGGTGGAACTCAAGCGGCAGCAGGAAAACTTCATTGACATAACAAGTCACGAGATGCGTAATCCACTGAGTGCCATTTTGCAATGCGCAGACGAAATCTCAGGCATACTGGCAACCTACCGGTCCAAGAACGATTTGACCCAAGACATCGAGGCGCTGAGGCTAGCACTGGAGGGCGCCTTGGAAGCAGCAAATACGATTACCCTCTGCGCAAGTCACCAGAAGAGGATTGTGGATGATATCCTGACACTTTCGAAGCTTGACTCACAACTTCTTCTTGTTACGCCAGTAGATGTTCAGCCGGTCGCCGTTGTCCAGCGCGTTTTGAAGATGTTTGAAGGAGAGCTGAACACGAACGGAATCGAGCTCACCTTCCAGGTAAAGAACCGCTACATCGACATGGGCGTTGACTGGGTCAAGCTAGATCCATCCCGCTTACTGCAAGTCTTGATCAATCTGATGACGAATGCCATTAAATTCACTCATTCCCGGGAGCAGCGCAACATTGTAGTCACTTTGGATGCATCCAAGGCTGTCTCGGAGAGGACCGATTCGCATATTTCCTTCTTCACTAGTGATCGTCCTGACAGAGGGGAGATCACCGACGATCCCGATTGGGGTACAGGCGAGAAACTCAACCTGCACTTTTCTGTCCGGGATACAGGCAGGGGTCTAGATGAGCACGAGACAAAGTTGCTCTTCCAACGGTTCTCCCAAGCGTCTCCACGCACCCATGTCCAATACGGCGGCTCGGGATTGGGCCTGTTCATCTCGCGGATCTTAACAGAACTGCAAGGAGGCCAGATAGGTGTGGATTCACAGAAGGGCGTTGGCAGCACTTTCTCGTTCTATGTGCAAAGTCGTAAATCCGAGGGCCCCAGCGACTATACTGTGGCATCCGCGCCGCCTCTTACGAGAGCTCCGGGCTCATCCACAACAATCGAAAACCGACAGCCGAAACTCGATGGCCGTTCCCAGCTTGCTAAAGCGAAAGCAACACCGAAGCCGCCAATCCCAGCTGGTCAACGCCTCTTTGACATATTAATCGTTGAAGACAATCTTGTGAATCAAAAGGTTCTCCAACGCCAGCTGAAGAATAGTGGCAACAACACACAAGTGGCAAACCATGGCGGAGAAGCCATCGATGTGATCAAGAGATCCCGGTTCTGGTCTGGTCAAGAAAGGACAGGTACTAATATCTCCGTCGTCCTTATGGATCTCGAGATGCCTGTCATGGACGGCATGACTTGTGCTCGTAAGATCCGGGAACTAGAGAGCCAAGGAACCATCGTCAGTCATATTCCTATCATTGCCGTCACGGCATACGCACGGCCTGAGCAGATCGAGGATGCCAAAGCCGCAGGAGTTGTAAGTTCACCCTCACCGCTTTTCTCAAATGTGCACAGCTGATTCTTTCCCCTAGGACGACGTGATTTCAAAGCCGTTCCGCATACCAGAGCTTATCCCCCGGATTGAACAGCTTATCAACAAGTATCCTCCCTCCGAGAGATTTCCGGCTTCGTAGAGAAGCCGGACGAGTGCAAGAGCTACTTGCTGCACATCCCGTAGACGTCCGCGTTCTGCAACCCGGGTCATTATTTCCGCTCCGCTGTTCTTTAGCGGAGTATCTTCTTCATGCAAGGCGTTCAGGTGGTTGGCCAATTTCAGGCCTACGGGCAGTAAAATGGGTTATGTCCGTCGCATCTTGGCGAGATTGGCGACTCATAGACAGGCTAAAATAGGGGTCGGGCTTCGCTGCCTTGCGGGATTCAAGCGTATATAGTACCAGCATATCATTGTTCATGGCCAGGGTCCATGTCTGGGCTAGACATTCGCATTTGGGCCATCGTCAACCCGGTGCGGTAGAATATGAACGAATAATCATGACACATCCCTAATATTTCTCGTGTCCACGATATGTTATGAGCGCCAGCTCAGTCCAAACGTGTTTGTCATATCTTTTGATGGCCTCTTGACTTATCTGCATGGCCATATCTATAAACTCTATGCAAATGTTTAAATACTAATATTACAGGTACAAAATCGCCATGGACGATGGGTTTACAAACGGCAAGGCTCACGACCCTTGCTTCAGGGTAAACTTCATGTTGTCCCTATCCTCGTTGATCACTCTGCCCCATTCGAGGAGCAGTCTGAACCAATAAATCTCCATATCCTCGCGCCGGAGGACCTTGTCCGCCCATTTGCGGCCCTGCTCCGAGATCCAGCGCCCGTCGTCCATCCGCTGCTGCATCAGCGGCTGGCGGCCGTTGATCTTCCCGCGCCCCGTGAGGCCGGTGAAGTAGGCCAGCGTGTTGTGGAGGCCGTGGTAGCGGATGTCGATGGGCACGAAGTGGGACCAGGGCATGATGCGATCTGTGTACCATTCGCGGAAGATCGTGCTGATGAACGGGACGCTGTTTGCGCGGATCAAGGAAAGCGTGTCTGGAGAGGGCCCGTCGGCGGTATCGAGGAGCATGACATAGCGATTGTTCAGAGCATCCTGCCTGGGGCGCATGGGCAAGTTCTCACTCTGCACCATCTGGCAGCTGGGACCATCGCATTTCTCAGGGAATATGTAAGAGACCTCCATAGGGAGGATCTGGTTCATTTCGCTGGTCCTCACCTGCTCATATACGTATCTGGTCTCTTTCCCTGATTTGGTACTGATTATCAGGGATTGCTTGAGTGAATCGCTGGCTTGATTAATCAAGTGCACCAGGCGATTTCGATGGCCTCCGTGAAGCGACTGATGTGTGACCGGCTGTTCCTCTGGTTCTTGCTGCCAGATAAGCTTTTCTTCCTTGGTGTGGAAGGCCTTTGTGTCAGGTTCATGACTGACATTGGACCGGATCAGCGGTACGATGATGTCATTAAAGCTGTCCGTCTTGGACCTGCTGAATAGGGGCAACAGATCCTGATATAGCTCATAACGATGAGGAATTGTGTGGAAATCGTGTAGATGGAAGACATCGGGTTGGTAACAAACATCAAGGGAATGCCACCAGTCGAGCACCACTGGACCCCGTGAATGATGTTCTGCGCAGGACGCACAATGGTCCCGTACGTTCCAGGACACGCCTGCTCGGGTTTTGGAACCAGGGGGACAAGCGAGAGCCTGCAGGTGGTGGAAGTCTTTGGTTGTCACGTACGGGCGGGCTGTCGATTTCGGAGCGGCCTTGAAAGCTGAGCCTCCACTGTTCTCGAGAGGTTTCGAATCATCCGCTTGTCGCGGATCGATAGCACGAGAAAGAAGCTTTAGCTTCGACTTGGTCCCAGCCTGCTTGAGGCGGTTAATGTCCTCCCACGGGACCAGTATCCTGGGACGTTCTTGCAGGTTGATGGCAATTGACATCTCCGGGAGGTGCTGTGAAAACGAAGATATCATCGATACTGCGTCGTCAAGAATAAGCCTTTGCGATGGGTCGGCTGGCTGATTGTGGTAAGCCTTGCCATCCACAATCTTGATAATGCCAACGTCCGGTAAAGCCTTGACGACCTCCAAGCCTTCTTGGATCTTTGAGGGCTTCATACCCCAAAAAGGCAGGACGTCTTTATCTATTTGATCAAATTTGTCGATAATGGCAGACTTGCGCTGTAAGGCAAACTCGAACCACTTGTCATAATTTGCTGGTGGGTCGCGCCCGTTATGCCGTTCCTTGTATTCTGAGACTGCTGCAGTGATCGTATCGCTGGTCGCCGCATAGCGAAGCCATCTGTCTGTCTCCACTCGGCTTTCATAGATCAACTCATTAACATGGTGCTGCTTCATGATGGGATTCCTGAGCAGAGCCTTGACCGTGGCAGTGATGACCAGAGCGATTATGAGAAGGAGGAGAAAGATCCTCCGAATATACATGATCGACCGCATATTGCAGGCAAAGGTGAAGATGACGTAACCTGCTGAAATGAAGGAGAGGGCCACTAAAGGCTGAATCTTGGAAGTTTGCAGATATGTACCATATCGCAATACCTCTCGTGAGGCGGCGATGCTGCTGCAGACAAAAGTAGTTGTACCGGCTAACGGCAGAGGGGGCGAGTCGGACATCCACAACACTGCAGATACAGCCAAGATAGCACACGTAATGCCATGGCTTAAGATATCGAAGATGAAGATAGAATCCAGTCCTAGGTTCGACTGCGCGTTGAAGATCGAGCGGCGTTGGACAATCCGCGTTGACAGCCACAGAATACCTGTTGCTGTGGAGGACACAGCCAGGATTGCGCTCAGTGTACGCAGTCGGCCCTTCGTCGTTCTCGCCCACGAGAAAACTCTCCACAAGAGAACAATGATGGTGGCATCCATGAACACGCCAGCCCACTGGAGGAAGGTGATCCAAGAGGCACTGTCGGAGTATGTGGAGCAGATGTAAGAAGACCTGGTTGCGAATTGGCTGGCCGAGAAGACACCGTACGTGAAGATTGAAGTGCCGAGGAGCAAGGTCAAGTGGGAGTGCTTTATCCAGTCCAAGACATCCTCCCAGCAGTCACCCCATGGATCTTCGGGCTCATCGGACTGCACTGGTGGAGGAACCTTTTGGTTGAAGAAAAACTCATGAAGCGCCAGTAATAGGGGCAGAAACGCCTACCGTTTGTCAGGGACAATGTGTTTCCAGGGCGGGTTTGGCTGCCACTAACCTCAATACCATGTGCTGTGCACTGGAAGTCGTGTACTACGCTGTAAAGGACCTCCAGGCGCACTACAATGAGAAGTATAATACACGGGACATAGAAGCGACGGGGCCGCTGCGGGAGAGAGGACTTCATGCCCTTGAAGACAGCTTCCGAATCTACCACAATATCAGAAACCGGTCATGCAGATCATTCATGTCAATTCACTCACCAAACCGGCCATCCGCACCTGGGAGCCGTTTCGAGAAGAAGCTCAGGCCGAAAGCCACGGCGCCGGAGACTAGTAAGACAAGACATGCAGAAAGCCGGGGTCGTTCTGCACGAGGTCAGCTAACGGCGGTTATTGAGAATTGTGCTCGGCTCACGACTTACCCGTGAGGAATTGTTTATATAAAGAGTAGTAGAGCCACATAAACGACGCAAGGAAGCTGCCCGGTGTGCGTCAGTCAAGTTGGCCCGTATGCATGGATGTATCCAAAGTATACAAAAAGCGGGTCCCGGCGACGGGAACTCAGGGGGGAAATACAAAGATGCAGAGGCTCTCTCACTCACCAAACGCCTGCTAGCCGTGAACCGCCATCCCCGGCCATCGGAGCAGCATCGGCAGCGGGACTGCCCGGATGCGATCAATTGTCTCTTGGGATGATATCGAGGCCCTTTGTTAGGTACGCATTGCCAGCATGGAGAGGTGGCCTCGTCAAAAAAGCGATGCCAAACGACTTTGCAGGTTGCTGGGTAAGAAAGTTCGAATCCCTTGAGGCTCAGCCCATACCTAGGTACTCTCTGATCGTAGGTCGGCTGTGGCGGTGCCAGGGATGCTCAGGGGCCCGCGACGCGTAAACAGTGTATGACGTACGCTAATCCGTTATGTAGACTGTGCGAATACTGTGTTTGGCGACTAACATCATCGTCCACTCCTCAATCCGACTACCGTATAGCACGACGAGTTGTCACCCTATGCCTACATACATACCTACCAAATCGAGTAGTCACCAGAGATATGCAAATGATAGCAGTCATCATCATAAATATTCATTCAGAAGCGTGACTAGTTCAAATCAAAGCACACAACGCCCAACTCCCAGCCTGCAATGCCAATTTTCTTCAATGCGCATTTCTTTCAAATGGTTACCGTGTTCCTCTTCTCCAAGCCCAGCACTCATTCAAAAGAGGGCTATTCGCCATAGGCACGGTGATGTCGGTACTGGCTTCCTTTGTCGCGACCGTTTGCACTGAACAATCTTTTGAGTGTACCACCTCGACTCGGCGCTGGGCCCTCGATGCCAGCATTGCCATTGTCGACTTCAATTGAGGGTTCATGTGAAACCTCGGAGCCTTCCGAGCCTTCCTCTCCCATGTACTCGTACTCCAGCTTTGGTACCAGCAAGCGGTATGGCACTGTGATACCCGCTGGGTCTTTCGGGTTTACTTCGACATTCAGCTGGATATCCAGAGCCCCCTCGACGTCAACTTCATATCGCTCGGCTCCCTTCTTCAACTGCTTTGCGCTCAGGCCGGTCGGCGTGCGGTGGAAAGGTCTCGGTGCAGGTGGTGTTGCAAGGGAGTCTGGAGTATAATCACCACCACGAGAGTGTGAGGCAGGTAGAGTAGACGCACGATGCGGTACCCTCGCTGTCACCGAGAAGTAAGAGTCATCACCTGTGGTGTACTCCGCCGCCTCGCGAGCATTGCTGGCACCACCGCGGAGACCCATGCGCGCGAGTTTATTGCCATGTGTGCCCCCAGGTCCCTCAAAAGCTGTTGGCCGGGTACGTCGTTGAAGCGGAGGCGTCACATTGTAGAGATCGTCATCACGATCATCATCGCTTTCGGCACCCCAGTTGCCATTGATGCCACCGTCGTCAGCGTTGTGATCCATCGACGGTCGCCGGCCAAAGAAGCTCCTCTTAGGACCGGTCTTATCGCCACGACCAAGGGACAGGGTTCGCATCAACTTTCCAGGACGTTTTTCTGGTCCAGACAAAGATCCTCGGCGAGAAAACGACCGGAAAATGCCTCCAGAGACAGGCGGGCGAGACCTGTCTTTCTCATCTGGCACGTCGGGGCGATAGGAAGGGCCACGTTGTTTTGACATCGAGAGCTTTCGGAATATTCCACCGCGGGTAGCCGGCGGCGTGCCCTCTGGGGTGTAGCCAAAGTCTTCCGGTGGGGGAGTTGGAGGTGGTGTGTGCCCTGGAACATAAGATCGAATTTGACACCAATTGCGGTGAGGAAGAAGCCGTTTGTTGTTGCGGGGTTTGCCATCAACGCCTGTCATGAAAATGGGTATCATATCCTCGTCGGTCTCCTTGTCGAAGTGATGGACTTTGTTTCGCTTGTTTAGGATATCGGCCATGAGGTCGGGAGGGGGCGTATTTGCGATCGCTGACGAGATAACGTTGGGCATGTAGCGGAAATCTCGGTGTTTGGGAATATGAAGCTTGGGGTTGGAGTAGAACTGTCCGATGGCAGCTAAATGGACGTCACCGCTGAGAATCGTGATCCGCACCGACTTATCAGCGGCAAGATCCTGAAGGTCCTCAATGACATATTTTCGCTCATCCTTGTGGTTTTTCGCGGTCCAGTGGTCGTCAAGGTCATCAAGGACTTCGACGCCTCCATCGAAGTTATTGAGGAAGTTGCCGAGAAGCCCAGCCTTCCCTAGGGCTTTGACCGGATCCATAAGCCTTGAAGTCAATCTTGCAGTGTGTCAGTGACATTCACATTCCAGCTCCAATTTGAGTGACTTACATATTCTCCAGCCAGACCAGCCGAGGGTAGGCAATCGGAACACCGAGCAAAACCAGCAGATGCTTGGTTTCGCCTTTGATGATCTCGGCGTAGCACCGGTCGATGAGCTTCTTCCATGTATCCTCCCGTATTACATCATCTCTTGTGCGCTCAGTGCGCGCATCCACGGCAAGCAAGGCAAGATCTGAACCGAGTGACATATACAGACTGCGGCTCAACTCCTGAATGTACGGCCCAGGTTTACAACCAAGAACCCAACTTGGCTCTGTTTCCTCGCCCTCGCCCACGACGCTCTGGTGCTGAAACAGCATATAGTACTTGAAAGCAACAGCACCGAGGCCTGAGAATACAGGTGACCTCATAAAATGATCTGGATAGGAGCCAAAACCGTCAATGATGTCGTGGTCGTCGTACATGTTGACCATGGGAATTTGTGAGTTCGCCAGGCCGAATAGGCCCTGTGAAAACCACATGGAGTATCTGTCTAGGTAGAACGTCTCCAATTCGTCCTGTAACTCTGTAGTGAAGGGCGCATTGTGCTTATGCAGGGGGTTTCTGATATCCAACCATTCTCTGAAGATCTCGGCCTGCCTCATCACCGCATCATTGTAGATCTGGTCGCCTCCTCCAATCATAACATGGAACGGCTGCGTTTGGTGAGTATTGAGGACATCACGCCACATTGGGTCAGGTCCGCTGAGGTCGTCTGGCTTGACGCTGAGGCTGAAACCGTTGCAGCTGTGAAACATGACATTCATGGACTGGCCACGAGCGGGAACCCAGAAGCCTGTGGAAGGACCACGGTTGATGCGGTAGGCTATGCGCTGCTGCTTATCACGAAGTTCAACCTCGATGTTGAACCTCCAGAATGTGCAGCCCCTCTCAGCGTGTAATCGGAAACCACGCACATCCTTATACTTCCCGAGCTTCTCGCCGTCGACCTGAATACGTTTTCTGCGGCTTGTAAACGATCCAGGCGCATCCGGTGCGTTGTCGAAGTCAGTTGCTGTCCTCGTGACCTCAAACAGCCCGTCATCCGGCTCAAGCACAGATGCGTCCTTGGCCTCCTCGAGGTGTTCGACAGGTCTGACGTAGTAGGTTTCTCCACGTCGGCCGATTTTGGGCAGCCCAGCTATGGGGTCGACATATTCTGGCAGCAGAGCCTGCTCACCCTTCAGCTCGGCCGGGGGTGGGGGTAGGAGGTCAATGGGCTGAACAAATAGCCGCAGAGTAGGCATAATCTCATAGGAGCTCTCGGAGTCCTGGGTGACAATCATGATCGACCCTCTCCAGATTTCTTTGTCGGCCAGTGTGCCACTGCGATTGCGCACAGGTGTCTTTTCATGCCGGATGCCACAGTATCTCAATAAGGGGCCGCACTTCAGATAGAGAGCTGGTTTGAACCTGGTGGGAGCCTGAGTCTCATCGTATTCACCATCAAAGGCCTCCGCCTTCTGAGGCCTCGAGGACATGCTGTCTCTTCGCTTTCCACCATCCTCCCACCACGCTGTGTCCTTACCAACGGTGGTTTCGGGAGGTGCGGGTACCTCTGCTGTGATATCAAGCAGCGCACCCGAGAGAGTGCCCACTGTTGCCTTCTTCCACTCGTCGAGGTACTTGGGAGGCTTGTACATACCCTGGCCCGGCTGCAGCTTCTCCCTATGAAAATACTCTCGGAAGTGATGATGTTGGCTGCTAGTATCAGATTCATCATCGTGATGTCCGAGCACCCCAGGTTGTTGATCAGGGAATTTGACTGATTTGACACCATTGCCGTTTACTCGGCCAGAATGGGTCTCCTGGGAAGGAGGTGGTTGATTCCTGTTACCGAGAGATGCAGATCGACCCAAGCCAATGGCAGCTGCAAAACCCCTAGGCCGGCTCGGCTCCTCATAATCATCGTATTCGTCAAATTGCTTGCCCCTTGCCACAGGTCTCTCGACATCGTTGTGCGGAACCGGAGGCGGTTTTTTGAGCGTTGAGCCGGTGGATCGGGATCGTGAAACTCCAATTGCACCAGTATGCTGCGGTTCCTGGGTTTCCTCAGCACGACTTATGGCCGGAAACCTCTCCTCTGCCTCCACGCGCTTGCTGTACCAAGGGTCGCCGGGAGGGTTTTTCCTAAGCTTATTACTGCCAGTGCGGGCGAGAGCTATTCCTCCGCCAGGTGTTGTGACCGGAGACGATGCATCCGGCGAAGCACTATCGCCGCCTTGAGGTACGGCCACATCGGTCTTGGCTGCCCTATCCCGAAAACTCAAGTTACGCTGAGGCAGGTCGGATTTTGCGGTCTCGGACACACTGCGGTTTTTGGGCACAGGTATGTGGGACCTTGGGGACCGGCCGGCAGATTCAACTGTCCTGCCCTCGCCCGGCGTACCATGTGCGATTGGGTCTGTTCGTATCGACAATGCGTGGGCATCACGCGGGTCGGCGATAGCAGGCCGCTGTCTTTCCCCTTGTCCAACTGAAGGTCTTCGGTCTCTGAAACGAACTTGGTGGCCAACTGGACGATCGGGGCTGGTGGCTGTAGGATCGAAGCCCGGCTGGGCTGCCGCGGCGGCGGCGGCCCTCTCACGAGCGCGCCGCTCAGCGGCCTCAACCCGAGCCCGTTTTTCTTCTTTGGTGATGCTGTCGAGCGTCAGCTCAAGCTTCTGTAGTGGTGACCGGTCGTCTGCCCACTTGTCGCGCTTCCCCTCGGGCTCGAGCGAGTCCCTCCTACGAGAGGACAGAGCCCTGTCTAAGCCTTGTGCGTCCGCAGACCGCCTCGCAGACTCACGCCTCCCGTTGTCTACGCCTGAGCCACTAGCTGCCCGTCTCGCTCTACGCACCGCGAGATCGTCGTCGAAATGCCGCGGGCTTGCATCCGTGTCCATATCGACGGCAGCTTTTGCTTGGGCCATGGAGCGGTGAGCAGATGGTGGCGGTCCAGGTTGGCCCGAGGCATTGAAGGTGTAAGGCGAGTTGCGACCACTGCCGAGAGGATCTCGGTAGCTAATTGGGGGTGCCCTTGGAACGTCTGGGGCGGCAGGCGGTGTTGCGCGCGCAGCTTCCTGTAGCAGGTCGTCCTGGTTCCGCGCGCTCCTCCTCTTGCGCTTGTCTGACAGCTCCGACGGGTAGCTATTCTGGCCGTAGGAGAGTGAGGGAGGCCGAGGCGCCAGTCCAGCACCGCGGAAGCTCGACGCCACGGGGGACTCTAGGGGACTGTACGTGGATTCAGTAGGAGCGTCGGTCAGTTGGGTCTGGATCGAGGCACGATTCGACCTGGGCTGCGTGGGAGCGGGGGCTACGGCGGCATCCAATGACTGCCTGCGACGGTGAGCCTGAGTATAGTCTTCCGACGGACGACGGGTCTTGGTAGGCAAATGGCCCCAGTAGGGCGCAGTCCCAGACCCAGACATGACGGGCAAACGACCGGGCTCGCTGGCAGGCAGTGACAGCAAACAGCTAGGTCTACGACGGAGGGTTCAAGGAGCGTGATTGGGCTTCAAGCTGGGAAACGGGTGCGATTGGCCGCCCAGCCGCGGGTCTTGGGGGGGTCTGGCAGCGACGGGAGATGTCTATTATAACTCGTGCGTTGTGCGATGGCCGGCAACCTGTGTCTTCATGCGAGCGTCCATAGTAGTAGACCAATGTCGTGCAGACACATGCAGAGGAGGCTAGTCAAGGAAGGGGGTATCTGCAGGGAGTAGCGATGCGATGCGGGTTATAGGATGGGGAGCTTGTGGCTGCGGATGGCAGAGAGCTGTAGGTCTGTAATAAATTGACGAGGTTGACCTCCGGCGGAGCTTCAGCTTCCCAGTTCTCAGAGTCCCTGTCATGCCCGGCAAGGAAGCTGGTTGGTGGTTTGCTTCTGTCAATCCCTGCCTATGGGCGGTCTGGCGGAGAGACGGATCCTGGGCAGCAAGCCCGCGCTTTTCGGGCTGTACTACGGAGTCCAGTGCTACGTATTCAACTTACTTACGTACCAATACCATGGAAACAGGCGAGAGACGGCACCGGCGTTTCGATGCCTCGAGCTGGGCGACAACCACTATAGACACCCAGAGTCTCACCCTCGGCTGCGACTGAGCAGTTGTGGCCTCAAGCAATTGTCTTAACGCTGGCAGTGTCTACAGAAGGCGTGGAGCAGCTCGAGGCTACGTGCAGGAGGGCTGGATGGTGGAAATCGTCGGTTGGCGGACCTGGGAGTCTTCTGGGATCAGGGTACGGTGCCTGAACAAGGAGGGAAAATAGCAAAAAAGTCGGTGGCTGGCCTCTGCCGGACGGAGGAACAGAGGCCAAGTCCCAAAACTCGTTGCGTCAGAATCGGGTCTGACACGCAACCAGCGCATGCAGTGCTACGGCAAGAAATTGTGAGATTGTACAGTCGTTCATCGTGGCCGTACGTACCTGCATCCATTATCGTGCGAGGCGCGAATATACTTCTGTCTTCAACAACTTGTCGAGACGTGGTCATGCAGGGTCATGGTTTGGCCCAGCGTAAGGGTACGGAAGACTACTGACCACATCCATACATAGTACAGGCGGCGGGAAGAGCCGCGGCCGGTGTCCACATTAACTCTGAAAGCATCTTTTGAATGGTTTGATCCTGCTTGATGTCATTGGCGCTCACTGGGAGCTTTTATCTTTAGCAGGCTGAGCAGAGTTCAGAGAAAGACAATCTAGTGCTGCAGACACGGGCTGCCGAAACTTTGGCGATTCCAGGAACCCGAGCCAAGCAAGCGGGCCCTTCTGAAGAAGACGATTAATAAATACGCAGAGATTCTCCCATTAGCACCATCTTCTCCTTCCAACGCACGTCTGGCGTCTGGCTACGGCCCAAGTCTGCACTACTGACTCCCGAGGTTGGTGTTGCTACGCATGGGATAGATAGTGTAGACATTGCCCCATGCCTAAGTTAGAGCAGACGGCCACGAACTGCCCTCTGTAATCACTTCCCGTGCTACAACATTAAACAATAAGTATTGTCTGCGCATCCAGAGTTCCATGGCCAGACCGATCTGATTTCGGACTGCTGAGTCCGAAAGGGCGAGTCTCGCCAGAATGCGTGCCTGTATTCAGAGCACAACAACGAAAACCTCTCGAAACACAGGCTCCAGCCTCCTCGACTCTGCTTCAGTTCACCTCCACTAGCCGTTTGCAGCCACTAGCTGACCGGGGTACTATGGTACAAGCATACAACGCCGCTACGCGGTGGGTAAGGCTTGAAGGGGAGAGAGGCTTGAGAGAGCACGAAGCTATTGCCAAGGGGTTCAAGGATATCAAGCTTCAGACCAAGCTAGAATCCTGTAACGCGAACAGCGTCGCATGCAGGATCGATGGCATTCTGACCCAATGGCCTGGAGTGTCTGAGCGGCCCCGACTCGAAACAAAATATGGTCAAACGGTGGACAGCGCCTGTTTCCCATGGAATTGCGTGCCGTGCGCGATCTGAGAGGCTTGGCGATTTCGCCGTGGGCCTGCCTCTTCCAGCACGTAGCTTTTGAGCGGGCCAACCTTGGGAAGACTCAAGTCGGCGTGGCGTGCGTGCATCGTGGTGCTGACGAGTCGCTGGCGCTGCAGATTGCGGCGGCCGTCAACTCTAAGTGAACTCATCTATTCCTGGCAGCGAAAAGGCTCGGCTCCGCCAATTGCCACCGAGAGAAACCCCCCTGGTCGCCTTGCGGCAGCGGGTTGGCGGGGGGGGGAGGGGGCACACAGCAGGGACCACCTCCCATATCCGGGCGTGCTTGGGTGCCTTGGTTGCAGAGCAGTGGGCTTGGGGGGGTGCCTCTCGGGGGGGCTTAGCGGGTACCACTCCTTACTAACTGGGGTGCCGAGATACCCTGGACGGCTTAGATCAGACAGCGACACGACACCTAGACCCTCTGGACCTTCGGTGGCTGCGACCGTGCTGCCCTTTTTGCGACATACCGTGGCATCTGAACGTCTTACTAACTTGCATACCTTGGTGAACATAGCCTGTACCATTTCTATTCTCTTCAATTCACACTCACTCACTAACTCCTCGGTATTGGGGGAGGCCGCACATCCGTCGTCCCTGCTTTTGGCGATCCCCTCTCCTCGGGGAACCATCAACGTTGCTTGCAGCACGTCGACCGTCGACCGGCGCCCGACCATCTTTTTGAACGAGAACGAAGGGGCAGCCGCGGACATACGTACACGCATGGTGGACACGCGCCAACATCCTCGAGCCCCCTTCTCCCTCCCAGACGAGGTCTCGCAGCCTCTGCATCCGGCGGCCTAGCTGAGACGCCCCCGACTTCACCTTGATTCCTCCTAGACTTCTCTCCTCCGCTGCATCAGCATGAAGCTCTCGCCCCTGCTCGGCCTCGCCGTGGGCAGCCTGGCTGGTCTAGGATCCGCGACGCACCCGCAGCCCAGGAACTTCGCCGCCAACGACTACTACGTTCTGCATCTCGACCGCGCCGTACAGCCCGAACAGATTGCTTCGAGATTGGGTCTCAGGCACGAGGGAACTCTGGGCGAGCTCGCCGGTCATCACCTGTTCTCGGCGCGGAAGCAGGAGGAGGACATCGTCAGGCGGGAGCTGCAGGAAAGGAAGCGGAAGAGATCCCTCGGCGGCCAAGACCATCTCGACTTTGTCAGGTTTGCGCAGAAGCAGAAACTGCACGAGCCCCTGAAGAAGAGGATCATCCCGCCGAAGCCAGCTGGGTTCTACCCCCTCGAGCCCCGGCAACAGGCCGATGCCAATGCAGTCATCAGGCAGCAGGCTGTCATGCAGCAGCTCGGGATATCCGATCCCATCTTCCACGAGCAGTGGCACCTGTTCAACCCCGTTCAGCTGGGTCACGACGTCAACGTCACCGATGTCTGGCTATCGGGCATCACCGGCAAGAACGCCACCGTTGCGATTGTCGACGACGGCCTCGACATGTACAGTGGTGACCTGGCGCCGAATTATTACGCCGAGGGCAGTTACGACTTCAACGACCAGTCGCCCGAGCCCAAACCCCGGCTGAGCGATGACAAGCACGGAACCCGTTGCGCTGGCGAAGTCTCCGCTGCCAAGAACGACGTCTGCGGCATTGGTGTCGCTTACGATTCCAAGATTGCCGGCATCCGTATTCTCAGCAAGCTGATCACCGACGCCGATGAGGCTGTTGCCATGAACTACGACTTCCAACACAACCAGATCTACTCGTGCTCCTGGGGTCCCCCGGACGACGGTCTCACCATGGACGCACCGGGCATCCTCATCAAGCGTGCCATGCTCAACGGTATTCAGAATGGCCGCGGGTCTCGCGGTTCGATCTTCGTGTTCGCCAGTGGCAACGGCGCGGCCAACGATGACAACTGCAACTTTGACGGATACACCAACTCCATCTACAGCATCACGGTCGGCGCTGTGGATAGAAAGGGCCAGCATCCGTACTACTCGGAGAAATGCTCCGCGCAGCTCGTTGTGACCTACAGCAGCGGCAGCGGCGATGCCATCCACACCACCGACGTCGGAGCCAACGCTTGCTACACCGGCCATGGCGGTACCTCGGCTGCTGCCCCCCTGGCTGCTGGCATATTTGCTCTTGCTCTTGAAATCCGCCCGGATCTGAGCTGGCGCGACATGCAGTACATCGCGATTGAGAGCGCGGTCCCGATCGACCTCGACACCGAGGAGTGGCAAGACACCGCCGCGGGCAAGAAGTTCAGCCACACTTTTGGCTATGGCAAGGTCGACAGCTGGAAGTTGGTTGAGGTGGCCAAGACGTGGCAGAATGTCAAGCCCCAGTCTTGGTTCTTCTCTCCGTGGGTCCACGTCCATCACGAGATCCCTCAAGGTGACCTGGGCCTGAAGTCCACGTTCGAGGTGACTGCAGACATGCTAAAGGAGGCCAACCTGGAGACCCTTGAGCATGTGACCGTGACCATGAACGTTGAGCACGCCCGCCGCGGTGATCTCAGTGTTGATCTCATCAGTCCCAGTGGCGTCGTCAGCCATATTGCCACCAGCCGCAAGCACGATGCGAGCAAAGATGGATATGCCGACTGGACGTTCATGAGCGTGGCGCATTGGTGAGTTTCCCCCGTCGTCCTATACTTATCCGCAATCACTAACTCTAGATAGGGGCGAGAAGGGCGTTGGCACTTGGACAGTCATTGTCAAGGATACCAAGGTTGACACCAACAAGGGCACCTTTACCGATTGGCACTTGAAGCTATGGGGAACGACGATTGATGCCTCCAAGGCCAAGCTCCTCCCCATGCCTACCGACGAGGACGACGACAACCACGACGACGTCTCGACCACTACCATCCCACCGTCCACTACCACTCTGCCTCCTGGCGCTGCCGATACTAACACATTGCTTCACCCCACAGAGTTGCCTACAGATCATCCCGACAGGCCATCCAAAAAGCCAACTACCACCGGGGCTGACGGCCTCCCTGTCTCCACCGGCACACAAGAAGAGGCCGCCGCGTCGACGAGCGCCAGCTCCTGGCTCCCGTCCTTCCTCCCGACCTTTGGCGCCGCCCCCCACACGCTCGCCTGGATCTACGGCGCCATGGGGCTCATCGTGCTGTTCGTCTGCGGCCTCGGCGCCTGGTGGTGGATCGTCCGCCGCCGCCGCCTGCGCAACAGCCCCCGCGACGCCTACGAGTTCGAACTCCTCAACGAGGAGGAGGCCGAGGGCCTGGCCGGCGGCGTTGAGAAGAACAAGCGCAGGCGCGGCGGCGAGCTGTACGACGCCTTCGCGGGCGGCAGCGACGACGAAGACGACGGCGAGGACGATGATGATGATCACGTGCGCCGCGGTGCTGCTGCGGCGCGGCGGAGCATCGGTAGTGACAGCGACGAAGAGGTCGACGAGAAGCAGAGCTCGCGGCTGTTGAGCCACGGCCGGTAGAGAGAAAGGCTGAGGGAGGTCACGTGGGGGGAGATCAACTGGAGATAAAGGGGGGGGCTTATAGACATGTGCGCCCACGAGAGCATCATCGCGGCTCTTGAAGCCTCAACCTGTGATATCACCATCTTTGCTGTTCGAGGCGCTCTAGGCGTTCTTTGGGTGCTTGCATATATCAAATTGCATTGATTCTTATCATCCGCATGCACGTTCGCACGCACGCACATTAGAAGATTCCCACACGTTTGTCTTATCGTGTAATACATATGTGAGCTGAGTATCAGCTTGGCACGCCGTTCAGGTTCTACCGAATCCACGACCGTGGTCATCACGTAGGTATGGCGTGTCGGGTGCACTGTAAAGTCACCCATGCTCTAAAATCTCATAACGAATGCCCTCCAAACGCCACAATTCGCCTTGCCCCGTGCTTGAATACCAGCTCCATGATGACGCGACCCTCATCTCCGCCGATGATTCAGAATCGCTCAGCTACTCCTCGCAAACGGCCTATCTGCTTCGAGACCGTGTCCCTGCCCGGGAGAGCGCGGCGTTGTTCATTTCGTTGGAAGGATCCCGAGCTGCGTTGCTTCCCTCGCGTGTCCTTAGAAAACGTCCCGCCGGTCGCCCCGGGCCCGCTACACCTAGGCAGCGCGGACCTGGCCCTCCATCTCCTTGACGTAGCGTTCCCAGACCTCGATGACGCCGGCGTAGAAGTCGACGTGGGCGTCGGCGAGGCCGCCGAGCTGGTGCTTCATCTCGAGGCGCTTGATGCGCTCAAAGTCGACGACCTCCTTGACGACCTCCTCGTCGAACATCTCGCTCGTCTTCTTGGCGCGCTCGGCCTCGGTGGTCAGCTCGTCGATGCGGATCTCGAGCTTGCGCAGGCGCTCGCGGCGGGCGGCCTCGTGGTCGACGCCGCGCACGTCCTCGATCTTGCTGCGGATGAAGCCGCCGGCGCCCGAGGAGCCGTAGCCCGAGGCCAGGGCGTCGCGCTCCAGGGTGGACTTGTTGAGGTACTCGGTCAGCTGCTCGTGGTCGAGCTGCTTCTGCTCGCGGGCCTTGAGCAGGTTCTTGAGGGCGACGCTGTAGGCGCCCATGTCGCGCAGGCTGCCCAGGTAGTCCTGGTCCGTGTGGTCCTTGAGGCGGCGCAGGCCGGTGCCGGCGTCCTCGACCGAGGCGGCAAAGGCGTGGACGGCGGGCTCGACGCCGGGCTCGAGCGTGATGAGCTTCTGGAACTGCTCGGCCAGGTCGTGCATGTCGGCCTCGAGGTCGGACTCGCGGCGCACGACGCGGGCGACGACCTTCTCGACGTGGCCCAGGTCCTCGTCGAGCTTGTCGGCCTTCTCGCGCACCTCGATGAAGCGCTTGTCGGCCTTGTTGACCTTGGTGAAGGCGTTGATGAAGGTGTCGGCAAAGTTGTCAAAGACGCCGCCGGACCCGGGCTCGGCGTTGATGCTGGTCCGGGCGGAGCGGCTCTTCATGGTGGCGTTCCAGTCGGGCGACTCGAGGAAGGTGTGCAGGATGGGGGCGCGGCGGAGGATGGGGTGGGCGGCGCACCGCGACAGGAAGCGCTGGAGGGAGAAGGCCCGGCGGTGGGTGAAGTCGGGCCCGAAGCGGTCGCCGCGGACGTACTCCATGCGCTGCTTGTCCGGGAGCGGCGGCACGGCGCAGGCCGCGTAGTCCTTGGCGAGCGACTTGTAGAGGAAGACGAAGTCGGTGAACCGTCGCCTGGCGCTGAATTGTGGTTTCTGGAAGGAGGGGAACGTCGACTGGACAATCTTGTCAGTGCCTCTTCGTCTTGTAAGTCAGGCGAGCCCCTGGGGGGTCTGGCTCTGGGCCGGAGCATTGCGCCCTCTCCTGGCAAGCACCGGGCGGCGAAGCGTCCGTACTCACGTTTGTGGTAACGAGATAGGATACAAATGCGTCCTTCGTGCCGTCGCTCTCTTTGCGCGGCTCCGTGACTGTGCACTCCAGGACGTCACCGGACAGGCCGGGGTCTATCCTCGTGGGGTCCTCATCCATCTCGGGGTGGTGAGCGCCCACGGGTTCCGAGTCGTCGAAGACGGGGGCCGACGAGCTTGACCCAGCCATGCCGGCGGCGGGATCCCGGTGCTCACTATGCCACGATATGTTGGAGAAGTTGTCCTGCTGGTCGATGACGGCCATGGCGGGCGCGGGGTGGTCGGGGAGTCTTCCCGAGGCCAAGCGGATGGATGCGTGCAGTTGGACGCGGTCGGGTCGGGTCGGGGTCTGTCTATGCGGTATCTGTCGATGCGGGGTGTTCGTTCATCAGGTGAGGCGTAGAGAAGATTGGTTGGAGGGTTAGATGTCGGCGTCGTCGTCGTCGTCGTCGAGCTTCCGTCAATGTCATTGGGGGCCAAGGTCCCAACTTGGGCGCGAGCCGGCGGTGTCATTGGTGGGGATGGAAGCTGCCTATCCAAGCGGGCTGCCGGAGGCCCGAGCTTGCTTATGACGACGTCCAGCCGCTACCTAGGTAACTAACTCATACAACTACTTTTGTATTGCTCACGGCAGCGCCCAGCACTACCCTCGTTAGGCGTCGTTTGTTGTTCTTTCAAGATGGTTACCTACGTAGCTTAGTACTGCACATAGCTTCATTGACAAGCCAAACGCCACCAAAGTGACAAACTAGACTGCTTCCCCTCTATCCATCTGTGTGAGACAGCGTATGGACAAGCGTCTGAGCGCCGAGTAGCGCTAACAACATCACAACGCTGTGTGCTTAGCTGTGTCATAGTCGCAACACACGCACTGAGCCTGTCGACTCAGGCCACGTCGGATAGTGCCATGCCCTGCCCTGCTGTCGTCCTGGAATGAGCACTGGCTATGCTTGGGTCAATGGCCTCAGCATAATAGGTAGTACCAGATATACCCGGAAAAGACTAGAATCCGAGACCATATATGCGGTAGAGCAATTGCTGGAATGTACTTCTATGACTATAGCTGCCCCGGAAAGAAACGATAAAATAGACTCCCCTGCGCCAACAATGCATCGCTTTGCTTTTCTACCCAGGGCACATACATAATACTTGCTTCGCTGGGGGTTTTTTATAGTACAACCAGATTCCCAACTGTCAGCCCCTGGCTCTCGACGTGGTATCTCCTCCTCAGGCCGAGGCTGCGCACCTGCTGCAGCGTCTGGTACGTCTCGAGCCCGCCCCCGACCATCAACATCGCGATGGGATGGTGCCTAACGATCCCCGACGGCGTCTTCTGGACCTCGTCCAGCAGGGGGCGGATAAAATTGAACCCCCAGCCACCGCCGTCCTCGCCCTCAGCCCGCTCTTCGTCGTCGTCGGAAACGACTAGGACCAGCTGCAGCGCGTTACGGTTTGGCGCGAACGACGGGATGTTCGTCAGCTTCTCGGAGAAGGAGCAGCCACCTCGTCGCATGACGATGACTTGGTGGCTCTTGGCCGCCTTGTCGGGTAGCTTGCCGTGGCAGCCCTGGTCGGCAAAGTAGATGGTCCTCCAGGACAGCGACTCTATGGCAATGCCAATAGCCGGGTTGGGGGCCTCTGCAACGTCTGGGAGTGGCGACGCCCCTAGCCCGACGGGTGTGATGGCTGCAAGCTCCGAGTATTGGTATTGTGGCTTTGGTGCTGGTTCGGGACCGAAGGTAGCGGCCGGCTCGCGCAGCACTGATGTGATCTGTTGCAGGAAGGATGATATGAGGTTGCTTGCCCCCATCCCTGTGGACTGCGCCAAGATGGGGGACTGCGAGGTCTCGGGGTGTGGCTCAGCAGCAGCCATGTCGGTGGCCTCCGTTTCATTCCTCTCCGGGGGTGCCTCGATCTGCAGCAGGACGTCAACTATGACGGAGTCGCGTATTCTATGGAAGAGAGGATCGGACATGTCCGCAAGGACATCGCGACCAATGAAGACTTTCTCGTCCCGGCCCAGCGGCAGGTTGCCAATGGTTTGGACTCTCCAGACCCGGTCGCTAACGTCCGGTGGCTCCTCTTGCACCATGGTCAACTTGAGGCCGTTCAAGCTGTTGATCGCAATGCCCTCGGCCATCCGTACAAGGTTATGTCCACCAAACATGAGGTTAAATGCGCTCCCAACGGCTTGCTGCGTGTTGGAAGGGAATTCAATCGTCGAGGTGTGCTGTTGACGTAGTGCTGCACAGGTACCATTCTCGGGTAACATAGAGGCCGGAAGAGTCCATGGGAAATGTGTATGATTCGCTCTCGCGATCAGTGACGCTTGGGATCGATCTTGACCGTCGGGTGCGTCTAATTTCGCACCTGTACCTGATACAGCGGCATGTATGTTGGGTATTAGATGAAGACGTATCAGACTGGAGGCGTGGTAAAGATCTGTCCTAGCTGCGGTAGCGGACCCTGAAAGGGGAGGAAGCTCCGGTGGAACGGGACAGACGGTCGTAAAGTTGACATCATAGTACGGCTCGATGTTTTCTGGAACAGGGACAGGTGCCGTTTCGCGCTGCCTTTTCGTCTTCTGGCCGGGTTTCCTCGGAATAATGAGTGGATGGCCCTCAGTAGTGAATACGTACGGTGCGTCTAGCTTGTTGAGCGGATGGTCCGAGTCAAAGAGAAGATATAGGTACTTTGCGGTCTCTCCAAGGAAGAAACTCTCCATGCGGTCACTCTTCTCTCCTGTCCTGACATCCTGCAGCCCAGACCAGCCACACTCGGTCCGGCATCTTCGGGTAATATCTCGGAGAACCATCTCCCCGGCGTAAAGATACCATGGGTCTTTGGTCGCGCGGTACAAGTGATATGTTGACTCGATGAACTCGGGTCGCCCGGGCCACCAGCCTAGGCCGCCTTCGACATTACCGTCACGGACGGACCAGCGTTCTGGCAGCGCAGAATATCGCGTCCACAGCGCGGTATAGAGAAGATGCGTCTCTATGGCCTCGTCGAGTTCACCGGCAAGAGTGAGCAGCCCCGAGTAGTAAGCGCCCAGACTGTCGATCCAGTAGGCCTGCGGCGAGCCTGTGGAGACATGGACATTGATATAATGCGGGTGGTGCACCTCGGAATACAGGTGCCGTTTGATAGCAGCATGAGAATGATGCCAGGCTTGTAGAAAAGAGTCCGGCGAGTTGTCCTCATCCGAGAGGGGGTGATAGAGAGAGTTTGGATCCAGCGAGCTTCCAAAGGGTATCTGATGCGGCATTGTCCGATTTGGCAGCTCGTGTCCCGAAAGAAGGATGTGTGTCTTGAGAGCGTACTCAAAGAAGCTGTCAATCCCCGCTCCAATACCAGAATAGCCCCCTATCCAGTGACCGGCCTCGGCATCTACGCCGGCGCCGATCAGCCCAATGTTGCTTCTTCGTGACCAGACAGCCCAGAACGCCCTCTTGGCTGCTTGCTCGAACCTCGGGTCGCCTGTGAGCCGGCTGAGAACAGAGAACTCGAGCACGAGGCTTCCCGCACCAGCACTGCACGTCTCCGTGATCTCCGGGGACTCCTCGACGGCATTTGGATCGAAGCTGACGTTTTCGTGCAAAGGGGAATTGACGTAGAACGGTATACCATAGCGGAGATTGACACGGGGATACGGCATGCCAGTCTGGGTATAGAAGGCGGGAAGCAGCCGTTGGGCGAGGTCAAACGCCAGGCGCAGCAGTTGGCCGTCATACTTGAATCCGTTGGGCCAGATGATGGGGTGCTGTTCCACATCGTCGTTGGTCCGCCGCGGGTCGTAGCCGGATATCGGCAACTCCCCAACAGCGAACAGGTGGGCGCTTAGCAGGCCACCAACACCGCGGATGACAGTCTCGAAGACCTGCACTTTGCTGTCGAGATCGAATCCCCTCCCGCGCTGCCCAAGGCCTGACGGGCCGTGCCGTCCGTCTCCGTACTGTTCCACCAGTGAAGCAACGCCGTGCTGGAAGTCGGCCAGCGCTTTCGGGCCTGTATCTTTACTGTCTGGTGGCGCCGAAGCCAGGATGGCCAGCGTCGACAAGCTGTCTATGAGGGTCAGGGAGTAGTTGCCAAGGACGTCGTTGAGCTCGACGTTCCGGGGATTCAGGCGGTCTCGGGTCAAGGGGGCACAGGAGACTGGGCGTAGCTACTGCGAGTGAGCTGCATGGTCTATCGGAAGTATCTAACTCGGGGCAGCACCATACCTCGTCCTCGGGGAAGGCTATGGCCATGTAATTATCGAAGCCGTGATAGAACATTTCCACGGTCTCCTGCCTCAGCGCCGCGACCCTGTCCGGGCGCATTGCGCCGACCAAGGCCAGCCATGACAGCAGCAGCGCCCAGAACATAGCCCATGTGGCCAGCGACGCCGCCGAGGCCGCAGTCTGTCCGGGGGCCAATTTCCAGCCGGCCATGCCTGCCGAGGGCATCACCGGCAGTGCGAGCCAGGACACGGCATGTGTGGGAGTAAACAAAGGGCCGAGGCCGAGGGGCGATGCTGGCGAATGGATCACCGTACTTGAAACCAACAGACTGCAGCTCTGGTCAGCCCGGGGAGGAGTGCGGCGGGGGGTTGATGATGTCGGTGGTGCACGAGGACGGAATGAAGCTCGACAGGTGTCGCATGCTCGATGCTGTCATCAAGCTGCATCGCGGGTCCTGGTGGGTTACCTCGTGCTACGAGGGCCGTTAAGCGTTGCCGGTATCCACTAACAGGACAGCCCAGGCTGTTCAGCGGGCGACAGTTAGGGGGGTCTTGCCAGGCCTAACGGAGGACAGATGTCCCGACTGATGGGCCTGGAGTGCGGTGCATGAGGCCACTTAGAGGCCTGCCCTTGGACCCCCCTGGCAGACCTGGCCTTCTGGCCCGGCCGCCTAGGCTTAGGCTCAGCCCATCAACGACGGTTGACGTGATACGCGTGCTATACCCGGCCGCCCTGCCAGCGGCCCAGGTTGACTTGCTCTCAACTCGGTGCTAGGTATGTATACAACGCGCAACTAAGCACTCAACCCAAGCGCTAGCCGCCAGTGTCTCTGTAGTACGCGTCTCTCCTTGCTTCGAGGGTATGGGGGTGGGGGCGGGCTAAGCGCCGTCACCAGGGATGGACACAGCACACCAGCACCGGACGACGTTCTGGGTCACTATAAGCGAGAATTACACCCTTTGAGCAAGGCACAGTGTGCATAGTGGAGACACGAGAGAGTAGAGAGAGAGAGAGAGAGAGCTTTTCCCTGGGCCTGGGGTTGACAATCCCTCAGGAGCCCGGCAAATCTCAACAGAGATGCTTGTCCCTGTCTGTCTCGCGGAATGATGGGGCGTCGGATCCTGGATGACTTGCCTTAGCAGGATCCGGCACCCATGCTCGAACGTCGATACCGAAGGACAGGCTCGTCTCCTCTTCCCATTCTGACTTTGCTTGTTGAGCGTGCAGCCCTCACTCCGGTGGAGAGAAATGGACGGGGCCCAGGCTTCTACGGCCCGGCTAAGCCTCAATATTTCCACCCTTGTTGCGTGTCTTCGTCGCTGTAAAGCTGGTTGCATGCCTGACTCGATGGGCCGATCTGCTGCTCTTGTCTATCAAGTTACCCGCTGGGCACACATACCTCCCAAAGGATTGTGCCTGGCATATGCTGCCCCGCCTTGGGAAAGGGAGAAACACCACGAAACATGGGCCGCATTCTGAAGTATATCGAGGTATATAGTGGAGTGGCTTACACATGGGGCTCCCACGGTCTCAAACACTGCAGGGGACTTCGAGGCTCTATGCTCGCTCCCCCACGTACGGCCGCAACTGATCAACGTCGAGAGACAGACAGCGTTTCCAGTAGCAGTGACGTATTTGATGTCTTTACAAACGCTATCTACTATAGTGGCTACTCATTGCCGATTCTCGAAGGGCTCCCAACCATTGCGGCCTGGATCCATGCTCCTTTCGTCAGAATGTTTCCTTTATGTGCCAATGGCCAGGTGGAAGGCACAGGCTTCCCGGCCGACACCTTCGTGACACCTCTCCGAATCCCGAGGCACCAATAGCAGGGCATTATGGAGGGGCGTTGAGAGTCATAACGGACCGCCTTTCTGGGGTGGTCCCTACAACTTCAGCTACGGCCGTGAATTGGTAGATCTTATCCTCCCTTCTTGACCGCATTATTGCCGGTATGTGGCACAGTGTCCGTATCCAATGAATCAAGGGAACAAGCAACTATGGTATAGATCCTGTGTGAGCCCCTGGCAAAGACCTCCTCTATGGAATAAGAATGCAATGTAACCGGCGGCATGGTCTCAATACCCAAGGATGCACGCATGCATAAATACTACCTGCAAGGCGAAGTTGAAGGCGCCTGACAAGACGAACGTGCGGTTATTTACACAGCAGTACCAGGCAATGGGGGAAGAGGATGTCGCTAGGCAAAAGGTCGCCGAGGTCGTGTCACCTTGCCGACAGAATGGATCGCATATTGCAACATTCCCATGCAGCCAATCCAGCTCGCGAGATTGGCGCGATTGGAACACACTTCGTAGGTATACATACCATGGTCATGGTTGAATTCCGACGGGTGGATCCAGGAGAACAGACACTCTTCGACTGAAATGCTGAATTCTCCACCCTTGAGCAATGTGCTCCCATGTGTCCCCAGAATTTCTCGGGTACCGCAGCGTGTATAGACCATAGTATGCATGTAGTCAAAACTGGGGAAAATATGGGCGATGAGGGGGGTTGTGCATTTTCCGCAATACACTAGCATCTACGAGTCCACCGCGCGGAGCGAGATTACAGACATCCGCGGGACTGAAAAGCAAGAGTCAGTCATTCTGCAGTCAGTTTAGATGCAACTTGAACTGACGTCGTAGGAGTGGATGGCACAACGAATTTCACCAATAACATGGCATACAGCTTACCTACAGCCTGTCTACTAACTCCCGCTCATTTCATATCTGCATATAGCCTTATGGCCTCAAGCTTGATGATCTGTTCCTAGAAACTCAACGGCATCTAGTGACAGTACCTGACAAGGTGAGTGTCCGGGTGGCCAGGGTATATGGGAGAGCTTGGCTCCCCATACGCCCCTTTCTGCAAACCCCCGCGGTCCTTTCCATACCTGCCTGATCGGCGGTTGAAATGACAGCCATGCTGTGTCAAACGGGATATCAGGTCACTTTTTTCTGTACATCTAGGGGGGTAGAGGGGAATCTGGCAAGGAATTCGCCGACCCACAACGCAAGGTGAAGGAGGCGGTATCGCGGGAAACTTCTCTGCGGCGTGGTGGTCTCCAGTCACCCGGGGAACTCGGCCTCATTTCTCTCGTCATCAAGGATCGTGCCAGAGTCGTACTGCGGCTGCAGGGTGGGAGAAGGAGGAGGATGAGGAGGAGGCCATGTCAGAACTCTGATCTGATTCTCAAGCCCGGGGTGCAGGGTCGACCCATGGATGTGTGTGCTGCTGCTGCCCTACCCGTCGCACAAGGTCTCAGGGATTCCATTCGCCAGAGTCTATTATCCCGCGCACAGGGCCGTTATTGAGGCTATACCTATGGAGGCAGGCAGTACAGAGCTTCAAGCCTTCCCTCTGGTGAAAGGGAAAACGGTCGAACGGGGGCAAGAGAGGGGGGGTGTATGGTTGACTCTAATTTACCAACCACGCGGTTCGGGTGCTTGGTTTTCTGGGTTCTGATTCGTCCACACCGCGCTACACACCACAGCAAGAGTCTTGCAAACAGAGCAAGAACCCTGTGTCGTGTCTACACCGTATTAGACATTCTGTGCCTCTCTGTTCAACCGGCTAGGCGCGCAGACCGTGTGTCACTGGACGTAGCACGTGGCCTGGAGCCACTTCTACCCCCCTCCCCTGAAGGTTATCCGTCCAGTTATGGCACAAGTCACTGAGCTACATGGACCGCCAGCCTCTGCAGATTTGGGCGCAGACGTGTCAGATCTTGACGGTCTCTCCCTTGCTGCCAGATCCACTGCCTGGGACAAATATAGCAGAGGCTGTGTCAGCAGCCGAGGTGACATTGTATAGCGTTCACCATGGCATAGACCAAAACTTTTGCCTCACCGCTTTCAATTGGTAATCGTTTCTGACACAATCTCGGCCCAATCGGAGCGGGCGTAGTATACATCACAAGAAGTGTGAAAATCAATGGTTGAGGTAGGTAGTACAAACGATTGTAGGGAAACTAAAAAGAATTCGCTGCTTGTTGCTATCTGCCCCCTCCCCCCCCCTTTTGTTATCTTTTCCCGAAAAGATCTCCCTTGCGGCAGGCCTGCCAGCGTCTGGGTTTTGAACTTTTGTCTGTTTGGACTGAGTTGTGACTTTCTCCCTGTAAACTGAAAGCGAACCTTCCATGTCTACCCCTGAAAATGACCGAAATTGAACTATCTGCACTGGATTGTAATACGAATCAGTCAAGAAAAAAGCTATGCCATGCGCCTGAAACCCCAAATGCACACCTATAGTGACGATGTTCCAAGGACTGGGGCCGCCGAAACGTTGCCGCATTGTGGGCTCCGTAGATTAGTAAATGAATGAACTCTTCCGAAAAAAAAAAAAGAACTCCTTGTGGGACTGAGCCGAAGTGGTATATGAAGGACCGTTGAACTCCAGAATGAGCAAAAGAGAAAAACCCGGGGTATCAATGAAGTCAGGAATGCCTTGCGCGAGCTTTAGGACATGTGATGATCTCTCTCTGGGAAAGGGCTGCCGTAGAAAGAACTGGTATCTCTATGTTGCTTGGCCATGAGCTGTTGACACGCCTGTTTGGCGACTCGTTCGCTGTGAGCTTGGTTCATGTCCTGTTCCGCAGACGGATGTCTCATGGATGACTCTGGCTCGGAAATTTGCATTAGATCCGGCTCCTCTGGCTCCATCTCGGGCTGCCAGACGTTGTTGAAAAGCATATCCGCCTCCTCGACGCTCAGCGACGCACGAGCCCGCCTTCTCATGGCCTCGTCATCATACAAGACGTTTGCTTCGGATCCTGGTGTTGGATTCCAAGTGATGGCCTGGGTCCGTTGACTTTGCTTCTTCTTGCGTGATTTCCTACCCTTCTCTCCATTCCCTTCTGGATCGTACTCTTCCTCACCCAGCTCTACCAAACGTTTGATGATGTGTGGTGGTTTCCAATCCCACGCCATACTTCCGTTACTACGCTCTTTCATTATCTTGATGATCCCATCGTATCGATTATTGTCGTACTCTGCGGCAGCTTCTAAGAGCAGTCGATCCTGTACAAATCATTAGTAAGCTGATACTTGTGGTCCGGGGAATAGTTGGTAGCTGTTGGTTGGCACCACTTACCTCACTCTCAGGCCATATGCTGTGCTCAAACACCGCACGATTAAGCTGCATCTGTAGAGCAGCTCTCTCTTTTCTCTCGAACTGCTCAGCGTATTTGTCCGCGATACGTTCCCACATTGCTTTTCCCTTGCTGCTTTCCATCTCCAGCCGAGTGTTAAAGAGGAACTGGGTGTCCTTTGGCGCAGCATCGCTCAACTTGATTTTCTCATGAGGCATGCGTTGGCTGTTCACGACACCAGAGGGCGAGGCTCTTCCAGCAGATGAAGCTCCCTGGTTTGAGAACTCCCCTTGGCCGCCATGGATGGAGGAATTTCTCCGTGTAGTACGTGAGCGTTTCCTCTGTCCAGCTCGCTTTGTGTTCTTTGATCTTGATCCCCGTTTATAGGGTGGGTACATCTCTAGTATGAGGGGAGGAGGGTGACCGAGGGGCGGGAATGGGTGGTGAAGCCCGTCAATTGGTGTCATCGGTGGCCCAAGACCCCCGGGAGTGGGCGCCGAACCAAGAATAGGCACATGCTGAGTGGAGGAACTTAGTGACATAGGTGGTGAAGTATACCCATAGTGCTCTGTGGGTTCTGTCTTGGTCAGACTGGAGGGATCGACACTGGAGATGTTTGTAAACAGCGCCGTGGAAGACATGTGGGGTGACAAGTCCTCCTCCGTAACCGAGTCTCCCGAGACGCCATAAGAACCAAAATAGGTGGGAGGACTGCCTGGAGCAGAGACGGCCATACTTTGACGTCGAGGTGATCCTGTGGATTCGAGGCCATGCATTGCCAGAATATCCGCAGATGGGTGCATAGCCATAGGGGATGCTGCCTGACTGGTTGTCATCATGGAGTGAGCTTGATCATGGAACCATTCTGTGTGGCTGATCCGGCCTGTGTTCGGAGGAGTTCCTTGCTGTGAGTTGCTTCCATTGTAGGTATGAGACATCTTGGACCCAGCTCTCTCCAGCATGGACGGAGAACCGGCTACGGATACCGGTGTTGGCAATGAATCATATGATAGCGGGTAGGTATTAAAGGGGGCAACCTGCAAAGATAATGAAGTGAGCCGGCTGTTGGTGAAAACCCAATGTCGGCCAGGCCTACTTACCGAAGAATAGGTCGCCGCCTGCTCAGTTGTTTCACAGGCAACAGTCCTCGATGATGCGGGTGTGTGCCCACGCAATGACAGGTTGGTCTCAGTCGAGATAGTGTCGCGGTTCAGCGAGGCCCTTTGCTGCATATAACTCTCCTTGTCCATGCTTAGATCTATAACGATTTTTTCGCAGTTGGTTTTAGCGTTGGCGTCCTTCAGGGCAACGTGACTTTTATGCGAACCACAAGCGGGAGGACTGTTACGCTGTTTGAGGTTTTTCGCGCGCATCGGCTCATAAACTCTCGTGCGGCAGTGTAAACTTGGATAAGTATAAAGAACTAGTTGGATTGAAAGAGGATAATGTTTCGTTGGTAGCCACGGCAGGAAAATAAGAAGATGAAGAAAAAAAGATGGGAGGACAAAAGGGAGTGTTATAGCCATGAGAGTACAGCAGAACAGCTATGAGAGCCTGACAGGGTGGATTCACTACGATCTTTTGACATGGAGACTCACGCAGCTTGCCAGGGTAGAGTGTGCCCCCGGTACGTAGCGATACATGATTCTCCTGGATGATCAACGTACAGGGAACAGTTGTGATGTCGACATGGGTGTGCTCGGCAGCGTCCTTTGGGGGCTTGGGTCTAGCCATTGCTAGGAGCTCGTCGGAAATGTTACATGGGACACCATTCCATGGTGTGTACGCAGCGTGGAGCTGCACGATAGCCGCCGGCATGCCGGGGTGACTTGTACACCAGCAGACGCGAGTGGGCACTTGGACATCTTGATCTGGGCCAAGGTTCTGTGTGCACAGGCAATCCCAGCGTCCCATCACTTATCCAAGGTGTGTTCATCTGCGGCCCATAGGCGCCTAAACCGACGGGGTATTGCGGTCTACCTCCTAGGGGACGGCAGGGGCTCAGCAAGGCTTGGTGGATCGGCAAGAAGTCTGGTTCACGGATATAGTCTAGGGACGGGCACGGAAGCTTGGATGGCAAGGAGTGAGGTACCATGGGGATCTGTGGACGAGAACAGGCAGGGTACGGTCGACGGACAGGACGGACAGCTCTGGGGTCAACAGCAAACGGTTTGGAACCCGCCAGGTTCGACAGGGGTCGATATATTAAACGGCTGTTGCCCATCATCTTACTCGATTAGGTTAATCCAGCCTTGCACTGCAAACACTTTGCACACTGTATGTACATAACAAGCATCTCCAAACCCCGTCAAAGTCATATAACTAGTAGTTCGAACCTGGGCCCCATGTACAGTGGTAGCACGATAAAAGTTTGGGCGGGATACAGAGACTGGACTAGTCGATTGACTATGCAACCGTGAGCTCTTCTCTTATAACTCGTGGCCTATGGCGAATACCATCCGGGTTCGACATCATTCTTGGAGAAAAGTGGCCCTTCCAAAGCGTCTCCAGACGGTCTTGCTCATAAGTAGATGTTCGAGGGGGCGCAAGCCGGCATTCAAGCTCCAGGCTCATTAACGTTGTTGATCCGCCATCACACGGTATCGACCAGGGTGGGCCATTCCTGGCCACACAGAGGGGGATAGACTAGGATCAAGCATCGGCATGCTCTGGCATGTGTAGTTACGTACTATGTGTGAGTACTAAGTAGGCAGGGGAAGGAGGCTCTCGTACGACAGGAACCAGCCCTATGTCCCTAGCACGACGCTTCTGGCTCCGCCATGACTGCACAGAGGCCTGAACTCGCCCACCTTGCTCCCGCATCGCGTAGACGGGATGGGTGCGCTTCTGCCTCGACGATTGGGGCAGGCTGCGGCAGTAAGACCCCAAAAACAGATGCACGGTTTTTACTTGCTGGCAGCCGGCCGACCACCGCGCGATCGACAAACCACAACGGTTTGATCGCTGGAGTGACTCGCCTGATCCGCGCATAACTCGGGAGTGCGAGCAGTACCTTTGCAAGCGAAGATGTGCCATTGGGAACGAGACGTACCTAGGTACTATGTAGTGTTGATGCCCGGGGAACGCAGCCGCAGGACCAAGGCCGGAATCGACAGTGGTTCTTGTGTCACGCCTGTGATTTCGAATCCCTGGCTAGGCCATCCGAATAGTGGAACCCGCCAACCTCGACTGAACTCTCAATGCGAAACAAGATAGCTCAAAAGAGCAGACACAAACTTGACGAAGCCCTTTTCCAGCTAGGCGACAGATCCTTTCCAAGCCCAAGTGGACGATCAGCACATACCGTGGACGAAGGCACAGCGGCACAACACACCAGTCCTGTAGTGGGGTACGTAGCCTGGAATGGGCTCCATCCATGATGCCAGCACCTGGGCAGACCAGACCTCAAGACCGCTGAACAGGTTTCTCCGTGCTACGTTCTGGGAGCCTTCAGTACTGTGTGAACGGGAGACCTCTGCAAAGCCCCTCTTGGCACTGCAGTGCTGCGCCAAATAAAACCTAAAAACGCAAACGGATAGTCTGGGTTAGGTTGCCGCTGTATTGCCCAGGGTGGGCAAGAGTGAGAGACGGGGAGGGGGGGACGGGGGGACGGGGGGTGACGGGGGAGGGCAGTGCGCGAGCGGCTGTATCCCGAATCAACCGGCCCTGTCAAGTCCCTCGAGGGGACCCGACCTCCCTGTCATTCTGCCCAGAGGCCCGCCTTCTGCTGCATGAGCTCCGGGACAGCATCGAGAACCGCCATGTCGAAAAACACTGGCCGTTTGCACAGCATTGACTGATTTCTTCTACCGTTATTGATGATGCAAGCCACAGGGTCCCCCCGAGACTCGAGATCGTATACCTTATTCGCTATACTTGAAGAAGGGTTACTTTACTGTCTCTGCTATCATTCATTCATGCTAGGACCTTTTGGCCCCGCAGATCTTCGCCAGGCCAATCTCGGTTTGCCGAACCGAGCTAGCTGGCCAAGTCGCGGCCCTGAATGCCGTCTTGCAAAAGCCGAAATCCTGACAACTGGCGATGGGCCACGGCGTCTATCGGCTTCTGCAACTAGTCTCGAGGCAATTTTTAGAACAGAGCACAAAGACACACGAGACCAACACGTTCGTGGCGCCTACTCAGCCCACGCACCGTCGCGCTTAAGGAGGATGCCTCAGTGGACTTCCAACAGACCGTTTTTTTTTGTGCTATCATCATATCAGATCATGTCCTGTGCGGCAGTGTCGATGGCAGTGTCGACCCAGTGGTGTGGTGCGACGAATCGAATTGACGGGCGGTAAGTTTGATTGATGCTACAGTGACCGGAAGCACGACATGGGATGAGCAATGCACAATGCACAAATGCTGCCTGCCCATGAGCCAGCCCGGCCTGCATGAGCCCAAAAGTCTGCTACCGTGCAACCATGGTCGTGTCAGTCAGGGAGGAACGGGGGGGAGAACAGATACGACATCCTCCTCCCCCCGTTAATTGCATGGATGGATGGCTTAAGCCGGGTGTGGATACTACGAAGAATTGCCGGGAAACGCTGAGTCGATGAACAGACTGCTTTTGTGCCATTGGTCGGCGCTGTGGGCTATACCAGGGGCAGGCGTCTCTGATTGGTCCCAGGCCGACCCGACAGTCTGGAATTGTATAGATTTGGTAACCGTGCGTCTGGTGACTTGGGTGGTGGGGGCGGGATGCAGTGTGACCATGTTACTGACTGCATTTGGCTGAGACGGCGCAAGCGAGACGATGCCAACCTAGGCAGTTCCTCGGTCGCTCCATACTGGATACTGGAAACTTATCTGCGCACTTGTGCCGGGGTATGGAACTTACTTTCCCTTTTGCCGCGCGCTCTTGGTCACACCGTCCCCGAATGTGGAAAATCATCATCGACGCTCCCTCCGCCTGAGCGTCGCTGATCTTGTTGCTTGCTGGCCAAGTGTGCAGCAGACGTGTCACCAAGGCCAGCTAGGCCGTGCTCAACCAACAAGCAGCGTCTAACTCTGGCCGCCATTGGCTGCGACAGGCGCCCACAGTGTGCGCACTTGTAATTGCGTTAATAGATTCCCGCATATGCCCCATCTGCCTGCGCCGCCTTGTTGCCTCGACGAGATCTAGGAAATCACTCAAGTCGGCGTTCCAAAGGTCGCGCCCAGCCTGTAACATTAGTAACGGCAGTAATGTCTGTAATGAAGCAAGGCTCTTCGACCCTTGGGCTTGCTCCCTCATTTGACAATGGCATTGGGTGGGCTTGCAGCTCCATACGACCATACCAGCCCTACCGGGGTTCGCATAGTGAAAGCTGCTGGGTCCCAGGCGCCTAGCTCGCGTGGATATTCCTAATCGTGCGTTTGTACCGATCTCTATCTCTGCTGTGTTCGAGCGGGTTCGTCAGTCCCAGACCCTCTAGTCACAGGTCCAGGCCTTGCATTGACATTGATGATGCTTTCAGGCCGCATGCCGGCGCCTCCAGTTCGTCGGGTTCGCTGCATGCGGAAGGAAATTGGGCTATATCGACGCAGGCGCCTTGTGTACGCTATCATGTTATGTTATGGTTAAGTCTGAGCAGATTTGCTCGGAGTGATGGGCCACCAATAGGCAGCATGCCACGGAGTCAGGGCCGCATCCACCACGGTAGACGTCTGACAGCTCCTTCCGCTGTGGCCAGCCGAGGAATGGGAGTCCATGTCTCTGCCCTGCAGTAACGAGCGCCTCTGCTCCTGAACGACCCGGCAAAATAGCTGTGGATCAACCCTGTCAAGACCTGTCACACTCCGTGTGCTACATTCGTGACGACACGAATCCATCCCTCCAGCCTTTGATGGCCTAGATTTGAACGGCTATTCGCTGGAGACCCCTACTAACAAAGTACTGCCCACGGCTCCGAGATATCTTGAGCAGTAGCTTGAAGATTGGATTCCCAGATGCCCGCATTACGGCATCCATAACTACGTAGCCATCCAAACGCCTTCGATCCGACATCGACCAGAGTTCCTGCCGGCAAGACGGTGTCCAACAGAAAGCTAGATTCCTGGCTTTGCCAATCAAAGGCTCAACAGTGCGCTACTAATCAACGCTGGAGGAACCACCTACCGGTCTTCCGGGGGGTTTGTCCCCTCAGTGTCCTCGAAGAGGAGGGGGCTGCCACCCAATCGAAGACTTCACTCTCTTTGCTTGAAGAGCTGGGTACCATCCGCATGCAGAGAACCTGCCCACTTAGTCACTTTGCGCTTCCGTCAAATAGACGCAAGCAGCGAAAGGCATAAGGAAACGGGTAGATATTGTGGGGTTGAAGTGTGTGACAAACGACAGGCAGCAGAAGGCATCCAAGATGATCACTAGACCTCCTCAGGGGGTGGGAGGGGATGTAGCCTCCGCAAGCCTTCTGTATGGATGAAACAAGCAGGCGATCCTCGACGCCCCCATTCTCCATGTGCTCGTGGTCCGCAGGTACTAGTGACATGCCATGGAGTGGTGCCATCTGTCTCTGGATGTATACCTTTGGTACCGTCCATCGCCTTTGTCCCCTATCTCGCCACCGAGGCCCACATTGGGATATTGTAGACTTCGTCTTGAACCCTTCCGCAAACGGCCTGATAACATGATCTTGAAAGAGCAGGTCCGCCGACTCTGGGAAACTCTGCCTGTCCACCGTATGCGTCACACGGGTTTAACTGATCCTCCGGCACATGGGAGGCGCCACCCTCGATGCTAGACAGTGGACTTGGAGCTAGGAGCGGCTCGCCATTGCCCTAGTATGCAGATACATCCCTGGATTTGGTCTCCGTAAGCGGGCCTGCACGTCTGAATCTGGAGGGGGCTGAATCGAAGGCAGTGAAGACTCCCCCCTAAACGCACTTGATAGGTACGCATCTGAACCATCAGACCACGGCACACTTGGACCACGGAACCTTGTCGATATCTCGATGGAGATTGTGGCCTTGGCCACAGCCTAGGTAAACCTCGAAGTCGAAACTGCACCGCATTAGACCAGGCTGAAGTTGGCGATGATTGGTTCAAGTCCGGCTGCAACCCCGGCGGCCACCTCGGCGACGGCCCAGGAGGCATCCAAGGAGACCAGAAACATAGAGACAGGAGAAGGCAGACTCAGCCTAGCTCTGCCTCAGCTTCTGCGGCCCCTTGGGACTTATAGCGCTTAGGTCATGAGAACGTGGTGTTTTGCACTGCAATTCGTTGCTACGGACACGGCGGGCCCACAGGCGGCCAGTTTCGGCGGCCGGCGAACGGGGCAGTGAACCTTGAAGGCCCCCCGACGTGGCGGCCCAAAAAGGCCCAAAACCGCGGCCAGCTAGCAAGGGCAGAACAATTTTCGACTTTCTCTACTTACGTAGATGGCCATCAAGCGATAGCCAGGACCGCCCACGCCGTTCCGCAACCGCCCCTACCGAAGTCCATGCATTGCCGGCCGGCCCGCTGCTGACTAGTCTCAAAGTAGCACTGGAGTAGTATACGGGGCCCGTCAGCTCCACAGGCCATAGTCCTCGCACGGTCGCCAATGGTGACAGAGACTCAAAGCTACTGTTGCATTCTGAAGCCTGGAGAGCCAAGTATTAGCCAAACAGGCCAATGGCCGCTCAGAGGCAACAACCAGGCCCAGAGCTGATTGCCTCAACCGCTGCAGAGCGGGCTATCTCTGGCCTGCGGAGTGCAAGTGGTGTCCCGGACTCCCTTGCACGGCAGACATGACGACACACCCGGGAGTCGAATCGGCTTCCTCGATCCTACATATGTCATCTGCCTGTGTAATTTGGGGGCCGCACCCACGCCCAGAGCGCAAGTTTGGATGGGGATTTGCGGGGGCCAGTCACATTCGAGAAATCCTTCAACGGCTACATCGCATCATCTGTATTCAGCTGCACCCTGCCTCTTCGGCGGGCATGGTACGTCAAACCGCTTTGATTGGCGTTAACCACCACTATAGCCAGCTGCCGAAACCCCTTAGGTCATTTCGTCGCGGCCCAATCGCCATGCCCAATCCCAACATGCCCGCGGCCTGCGGCTATCGCGGCTATAGCGTCTCCTGCTACATAATGCCAGCCGAGATTACAGTAAGACGCAGAGAACTGGAAAAAAGGAGTCGTCGCGATACCACAAGCGATCAGGCCTCTCTTTCCGTAGAAGATGCTTGGTCGAATCGCGAATGTAACCCCTTGCGTGACGGGCCACACAGATAACCTGCCGAAGAAAGCAAGGACAGCGACGAGCTGGCTGGCTGGCTGGCTGGCTCCTCATACCCAATGCACTCGAGCGGCGTAGGAGGTGCCCTTCGCGTGCCCCTTCGCAGACTGCGACTCCACGCAGCGCGCACCCAGCAGGGGACTGGGCCGGCCCCCCGAGCACCCGAGAGCATGCTCTCGTTCGTCACAACACGCGATCCTGCCTGCAGGCCGGGTTCTGGCAAATCGCGTGAAATCCTACCGGTTGCCACGGCCGGGCGCGCGCAGAAGCAAAAGCAGAGTGGGCCAAAGTACTGGTGGGAATAACAGAAGGGAAAAAAAAACACATGGCAACGGCATGGCCAATCTGCACTGTGCCTTGCAGCCTGCCATTCCCCCCATCCTATTGCAACCCATCTCCCACGAGTCAGTTTTACATTGCAATGTTTCCATCAGATCATCAAGGGGAAGAGCAGCCCCCCAGTCTCGCTCTCTCTCAATAGTTGGTGAACCCTGGTGCTGAAACAATTGAGTCGGTCACCGCATCTGCGCCGCCCTACCCGTGAGCCTGTGTGCATGCGTTTCTCTGCAGGCCGTTCAGGGGGTATAGTGTCGTATTGATCCTTTCGCCTTGCCCGGGCTCCTTTCTATACTTGATCTCAGTAGCGTCGGATGTCCATCAAGGCCCGATACTATGCTGACTGCTATAGTATGAGCAGCCGGTTGTGTCTTGCTGGCCGACGCCCCCATCCCCCAAACAAAATTCTTGTCCGCGCTTATTATAGCATTCTCTGATACACCTACGAGCCGGGAGGCAACTTTGTCACCTGCCATGATGTCTGCTGTTGGTGCACATATATAGAACCGAGAAGAGTGGCCCTCGAGATGATGCGTGAAGGCCTCCTGCGCAATCTCGTCATGCGGGCCAAACGTGAGTTTGTAGAAACGTGGACCAAACAAATCACTTGAGAGCTGTGACAAGTTGTTTGATACGACATGAACGCGACGAATGCAAGCCAGTCAGTTCACGCCCCTGGTTCGATGCAGAAGGTTTGTTGAATGATCAATTTGCACATTAGTCTCCCTATATACCTACTCTGTAGACACTACTATCTAGGTCAACCGTGCCCAGTTTTGATGTGCCCCCAGCTTTGTTGAACAGGAAAGCAAACCCACCGATGAGAAGATGCCAAGAACCGGAACCCCCCTTCAATCTCGAGAAAATGCAGATAGAACATTATCTGAACTGGGTATTAAGACACGTTGCGCAATAATGGAAATCCTCCCAATGCTATTGGAAATGTGGAATGCAGTTGGCGTCCGCATCGCACGCTGTGAAATGAAAACCCACTTCAAGTGGTATGCGGAGTGAGAACACTCACTTCGCTTCAATCAATCTCTAAACGCTCCTGTCATTACTGTGAATCAACGCGTAGTCTCGTCAACGTTGATCCGGAATCATGTGCTCGTACCGTCGAGGGTCACTCGGGCGGCGTATGTTTGTCCAAGTCCCCCTACTCGTCTCGAGAAGAATAGTGGAAGTCAGGGGCTTGAGCCATGTCCTACATGCCTTCCAGGGGTTGCGGATAAGAGTAGTTGAAATCAAGCAACCCGTCCAGCATCCAATGTTGCGGGTCAAAGAAATCATAGTTGGGGTCTCCCCCGTAGCCCATGCCTGCAATCATACTACTGGGGGCGGCACTCATGCCGTTGTTAGCAGTAGGTGTCAGGGCGCCATTGGCAGCAATCAGGTTGGGCATGTTGTTTTGAGGAGGCATGAGCGTGCTGTCCAGGTGTGTAGATGATGCTGAAGACTCGTTAGCTGAGTCTGGATTAGTTGGTTGTTTGAGAGCTGTCCCGTATTAGTAAGTTCTAAACGCCACGCCGAGCGTGGTGAATTGACAAGGAGATTCCAGATGCTTACCGTCAAGTGTACCTCGCCCTTGGGCTTGGTATTCCTCTCTCCATCGCCAGATGGAATCATACACGAGACTCATGCTATGCCGGCAGCGCACCTTCAGCTGCAAACTATCATCGACCTCAATCTTGTCGCCGTCTCGGTACGAGGTGTTGGAATGGTCAATTCTTGCGCCGTTCCACATCTGCACGATGAGCTCGGCCAGCCGCCACTGGAGATCGTTATCCTGGACGCTCGTAGCGCGGATTGCATTAATGGTCTTGTGGAACAGTGTCCGGCCGCGATCAAAGTCTCCCACGGACTTGGCGAAGAAGGATCTCATCAGCTTCAGTAGCGCGAAGCCAGCCGCCACGAGCATCTGCTGCAGATAATTGGTGGAGAAGCGCAGGATGTGGTGGTTGCTGTCTTCGAACAGCAGGTCCAAGAAGCTTGTCACCGCTCGCCAGAGTCCCATCAGATCGTCTACGTAGCCGGGAGTGGTACTCGAATCGAAGAATCCAGCTAGGCGCAGATGTACGGCTGCGGCTTTGAGATGTACCTCCACGATTGGCGACAAGTGCTGCGACATGATGGAAGCCTGTAGTTCCTGGTAATCTCGGCGGTAGACGCGCATCAGCATCGCTCGATGCTCGTCACCCGCCACACCTCTGGGATCGCTGGCATTGCTGTACATCTCCTTGGAGACCTTGTCACAGAAGCGCTCGATTCGAAGTCTGGCTTCCAGTTCGGGGCTTAGGGTGAAAGGTCCATCCTCACCAGGGCGAATGGCAAGGGTCCAGTCATAAAGACTCGACGCTGGCTGGCCGTAGCCTGAGCCGACGTGCTGGGCAACAATGTTACAGACGGCCCAAGTTGTGACGCGGTCGTGGAGTTGATCCTTATTCAGCTCGACGGAGACGCGGGAGAAGTCCTGCGTGTGGCTGGGGCGGTGCAGGCCGATGCCGGTGGCAGCCTTCATCATGACGCCGCAGAGGATATGGGTCGGATCAGCCGTCGTGGTACTGGTAGGTAAAGGCCACGTGCAGATCAGACACAGGGCCTTGACAACGAAGTAACTGTTGGGGACATCCCCGACGGTGCCCCAGAGGAGCCGATGCAATGGTCCACTGGAAAGATCGTGAAGGATGGTGGGCCTGGCTGTGTAACGTCGCGATGCAATTGCGATGATGGTCCAAAATAGCAAGGCATGTTGCTGGAAATAGAGATCAGGCGACTGGTCGGGGTTTAGGAAAGGCAGGAATGGGTGGTAGTATGCGAAGAATTCTTGAAAGAGCCCGACGACGTCCTGCTCGGTCAGCCGGACGCCTTCCAACTCATAAGCATAGTGAGTGGCCATGCTGTAGGAGCCGCCCCTCTTGAGAGTGAGCAGAGAAGTGACAGCCTCGTCGGACCCCATTAGAGAGGGGTTGCGCGTGTGCGAATAAGCACTGTTGGCAACAGGAGACTGAAGCTGAGAGTGGTGGTGGTCCTCTGGCTCCTCGTCTACGATGTACCCCTGGGCCCTGGCCTGCGATATGTTGCGGCGCAGGCGATCGATTTCCTTTTCCATCTCGGCATGTTTGGATCTCTTGCCTATGCGCTTGAAATTGGACTCGATCTTGCAATCGAGCTTCAGGCGGTTACACCGGGAGCAGCTCTGGAAGGGGTCTTGTACCACATCGCACCGCAACTATACGCAATGGGTTAGCCTGCAAGTTTCGTTTTTCGTGTAGATAGAAGTGTATTGATCCTTGAACATGCCCAAGCACGCGTGCATGAAAGACGCGGGCTGGTTCCCTCTTGCGAACCAAACCGACGACGGGCTTGCTTTGAACAAGGTAAAAGCCGAAGGAGCGACAAGCGGGGGGGCTATGGTATGGACTGGGCGACTTCTGCTCACCTTTTGCTGGCGACACTCGTTGCAGGCACGTTTCACGCCGGGCTGCCTCTTCTTCTCGGGCTCGAGCATGGATTGATCCTCGTCGGCGCCGGCGGCGCTGCCCGGACTGCTGTCCAGGCCGCCGGTGCTCCTCTTCCGCTTGATGATGGGAGCATTGCGGGCACTGACGGGCGAGGTCGGGCTCAGGGAGGCGGAGCCGGCGCCGATGATTGAGTGAGCATCCATGCGCACTCGGCGTGGCAGGAGCCAAAGCGCAACCGGCAGCGGCAACGGCGACGGCGACGGCAGCGGTCCCAGCGGCGTCCGGTGAGGGCGAGCTGCGGAGTGCGGCGGGCGCGGCGCAGTGCTGTGCTGTGGGCGGCCCAAGGCCAATGCAAATCAATGCCTGGTGTATGGCTGGCTTTGCGGTGCTGGCGCTGGCGGTGGTCCTGGTGCTGCTTGCGTGCACGCGGGCTCCGAAGTCGCGAGCCAGTCTACAGTATACTCGTCTGCCGACAACGGAGAGTGCTCGAGTCTTTTGTGGTGTTTGCGGGGAAATTTTATTTAGAAAGAGGCGCGGGAGAAAAGCAAAGGAATTTCTTGACCAGAGCGGCTGGCTTCGGTGGGCTTGGTGGGCTGGTGGACATGTGGGCACATTGTGGGCATTGTGGGCACGACTCGACTGGACTCGGCCTTTGGCAATTGGACCTCAGTCAGACAGACCTCCAGGCTTGACTCAACCAGCCCGGCACTCGGAAGGGCGAACAAGACACCAAGGTCACAATCAGACCTTGCTGCTTGGTTGCTTGGAAGAGGCGGGCAAAAGGCGGGGAAGGCAACACTGGGAACGGGACTGGACTGGACAGGACTGGCATTGGATTGGACTCGAGGCCGGAAATACCGTTTTGCCGCCCCGCCCACATCGGCTCCAAGGCGTCCAGGTTCGTGGTGGTCCATTAGAGGGTGACCCCCTCCAGCTACCTAGGTAGGCCAGGGAGGCAATGAGGAGGGGTTCCCAAGGTTCGGTCAACTTTGCTGCGAGCACGCCATCAGCCCGTCCCTATCGATAAGAAAGTCACTATACTCCAGATGACAAAGGTGCTCTGCGCAGGAAATCAGGGCTATGACACAAGGGCACTGGCCGCTGTTTTTGCAATCCTTTTCTGGTCGCAAAGGCCAACTTGGAAGTATTTCAACCTCGGTGCAGCCAACTGTAAGAGCTACCGTAGGTAAGGTATAGCCAGAGAGCGGGACCCTGAGCTGTCAAGTCCAAGCCTAGCCTGGAAGCCAATGCTTTCAGGGTCCAAACTGGCCCCAAAGTAAGTTGTTAGTTACCTGGGCTGCTAATAATACGTTCACGCGCCTCAGGGCCCCCGACAACGTTTCGTTCGTCCCTGGCCGGCTCCGAAGCCCAAGCCCATTGGTTCGATTTTCTTGCCGTCGGGTATGTCTCCCGAGGCCTATTCCCAGCGTTCACGTTTCCAATGTTTTCTAAAGTTAGAAAGTAGATATATAACTCCGCCGCACCGCGATCATTCAGCGTAAGCGATATCACATTACTCGTATGCACAAGAACTTCGAGAGACATGCTGCCAAGAAGTAGACTTCGTGTGAGACCCTGGATAACTCGTACAGTACTTACTTTAGGGAGGGTATGGTGCCGGAGTAGAAAGCTGATCCTAGACCCATAAATACCCGCTAGTTTCTGACTGCCGTGCAAGGGCCCAGGCAGAACCCAACTCCTACATACAGGGAAGCCTATAAGCGCGGCTCTCACAGTCGAGAACATACACCTAACACCACGTCGTATTATCTCGCGGACTCCGTCGCTCCAGCCTGTGCCATGCACGATCCTACAAGGCGCCACCTACACCACCTCTGAATCCTGTCGAACCCGAGACAACGCTCGGGACTCCAGCAGCTCCTGTGTAACCCTAGAAGGATGTCCCCTACTTCGGCATCCCAGCCCCAGATGCATGCGCAGCGGCATCTCATCAAAGGCCGCCTGAGACCTCCACCGGGACTTTTGGCATGCAAATCATACACCGTTGCTCCCGCCAAGTCTAGCGAAGTGGTTGTCAAGAAAGCCTCTGACCAGGCAGAGCCTGGTAAGGCTTGTCGGTTCCGTCAAACGTCAGGCAAAATTAGCTAATCATCAATGTCCTCACGCAGGCCAAACAACAGAACTTTCCTCGGTTGCAGTGCCTCAACCATTCATAGACCCCGCCGTGCTGGAACGTCGACAGCGAGGGCAGACCTGATTCATTAACCGCTCAAAGCAACTGTCCTTTGCATGTCCTTGCATGCTGCTCGGTCATGTACCGTCGGCGTTAGCGTCGTCATTGCCTCGATAACCGATGCTACGTTCAATTTTGGGGGCCCGTTCGATCCTCCCTTGCCTTCCTTTCAGCTACGCGTCATGCGTCGACCATGTAGCCTTTCAACGTGGCCTGCAAGGATCAGGCGCGTGGCTTCCTGGGACTGGATCATATCATAGGCAGGGCGGCGGGCACAGCCAAGCCTGACGACAACCAATCCCAGGCCCCGTTTTTCTTAACCTGCTTTATAATCGCGGACCGATATTTCGGTCGAATCCTTCCTATTAACATACTACTACCCGGAATCCTACACACCGCCCCCATCTTCTGGATCGAGTCATTCCGATTTTCAAGGATGGTTACGGTGCAGGCGGGTGGCACAGATACAGCCATCCCGTTTATAACCCTGTCACGTTTGTATATAGATATTTTGATCTCATATCAGATCATCGTGGGGACCAGCAACATTGTGAAGGACTTCTGTGGACGGAAAGTTTCCTCTAACTTATTGCAGTCTTTCCCTGATGTCATATCATGGCCACTCCAACTATAGCTGATCAGTCTGGCCTTTGAGTTCGCACTGTCAGTACTTGTCGTCGGGTAGGGATGTGTTCAAACCAATGGTCAAGGTATCTCTGCTTGCCTTAACTCAAAGCAGCCGAGACCGTGATCGTGCGAATTATTGAGAATCCAGGAAGTACGAAGTCTGCGTTGAGCGTTCATCAAGGGTTGAGTGGATATATTTGCTTGGACCATCTCCCAATACCAGCATAGCCTCCATGCCATAATGTAATAGAAACCATACCATTGAGTCAACTGCATCGAGTGAATGTCATGTCAGATCTTACTGGGGATGGACATATGTATCTTGCCATACCCAGATTATCTTTCATCTACCGTTGATATGGGATAAGTGCATAATGTCAGGTATAATACTTACGATTTTTTTTAATGGTGTTATTTCCCTCATCCCTATCTCTCTCGGTCCCGGCCTTGCGATACGGTGCACGCAACTAATTCCTGCAGTCAAGCTCGGTTACATCCGTCCTACATGGACGCCACTTATAACGTGATCATAGGAGACTACTTATCTGAGATATCCACTCGTCTTGGCCAGCCCCTCAGGAAACCAGGACGGATGGTCTGCCCTCGTGTTACGCTGGCTACCCATGATTCATTCAAATAACAAGCGCCTACAATAGAGCGGTCATGAGGAATGTCATGTTGAAGCCTACGTTGCCCCCCGCCCCTCCTCTCACATTACCTAGAACACCAATTTGGTTATTTCAGTAACTGCGACAAACGTTTTTCATCAATTTGCTATTACGTTCAGCACACTAATCAGCCCGAGGACTATCATGAATACAATATAGCTCCCGATGCCCCTGAACGTTGTGTATAGGACTCAAGTCGAGAGCATCTTTCTCGCTTCATCGTGCCGTCGTCGATTGTATGCGGGTCGTAATCCATGGAACAAACTCTATCATAGAATTGCAGCATCGTTCGAAAAAAATCAGTGCCAGCAATCGGCATCATTCTTCATCATTGGGTCTCTACGCTCATGTCCAGCGCTGTAGATATGACGCTCAGAAATTATACATGAGCCGTAACAGAACAAACAAAAGCCTAAAATGTAGATTTAGACGCACTTCCTGCCTCTTCACAAGCTCGGAACATCTATTGAGTCCCGATTAGTTCAAAATCAGACCGTGACACCATACATGAGAACTGGAAGTGGTCGTTTGTTACAGAGTTAGACTCCTTTCAAGTACCTGCACTCATGACATTCTCGCGCCTATTTGACGATGAATGACTCCGAAACACGGGAAACATGTAAAGTAACTCCAAGAGTGCCTGTAGTCACCTATGCTTACACGGACCGAGATAACTACGAGAGTATGTCCTGTCCCTGAACTGGATACTTACTCTGACCATTGAACTATATTCAAGCTATTGGCCATAGTGCTTTGTTTCTATCCCTCGGTTGCTTGTCCTAGCTTAGAAATTCAGAATGTGGATAAGCCAAAAGAGCTTCAGGTCAGTACATGAATATGTCATCCCATTGCCTAGCACCTGAGATTTTCGAGGTCCCTAGATGCTCGATGGTTATTCATGCAAACAAGTCCACACGAGGAGTATCTTTAGAGGAGATGCTATAGCACAAGGCATGGCACGGAGCCTTCGCATGCAAATCCACGGAGGTCTTAATGGACCATATTGCAACATTGACCAGGGAGACCTCATCCAAGCCATGGAGGTCATGTCTTCGAATGTGTTCTATGGAAGAGCCACGCATTGGAAACTCCATCCATTGTTGCAACAGGGATGCTTGCACCTTGATTGAATTGTGAATACGGCGCACATGCAGCTTGGTCTATCAGTTTTCTTCCAGCTTCGCTTCATTTGGCGCGGCAAAGCTACCCCGTGACAAAGCTGATACCTCAACAAAGGTGTTGAGTTCTTCATATTCTCCTAGTCCTCACTACGATGTGGCCTGAGTCGGAATAACTACATGGCTTGCAGATTATCTTTGGGTCCATTCTGTCAACATGGTATCTTGTTAGAGAAATAGAATATAGGGCCTTATCAATTTGTCTTCTTTAGTCGTGCAACTTCACCAGAAGATAGGCGACAGATTGTAGGGTAGATTGACGAGGCCTATGCCACAGACGTACTTCGATCTCCATTGACGTAGAGGGGCGGATCAGGTGTGCCCAAAGCACCCCCATTGTAAAGATCGAAGAATGGCGGCAAAAATCTTAGAGTCAGTTTTGACGGAGGTCAACAGAAGTCGGCGTAGAAATGATCAGTATTGCAGCAGCCAGTGAAAGAGTGTTCAGTTAGACAGCCTAAATTATGCACCCGCTCTGCTCTCTTCGTCCAAAATAGGACCAACGGCCCTTGATATCGTGGCTCGTCGGGTGAGGCAGCGTGAGAGTCTGGACTATTTATGAATACAGCTAACCCGGAAGCCTTCTTGTCCTAGCAGTTAGTGGAGCACCAAGGCCCATTATGCTGGTATGAAGCCTGGCCTGTCAGAGCTGGCGACGACAGATGGCTACTTCCTGACCCGAGTACCCAGTGTCTGGCTCCGACACTGCTGTCGGGCTGATACTTAGCTCCAGAGACATGCATTACGTCTCTCGACAGAGCTAGCGGCAGCCATTCAAGGTATGTTGGGGCTGCCAGGAGTAACAAGTTATTCCACGCCCGGATCATGTCCAAGGCAGAGGTATGATCCTGTCGGTTGCTAAACTCCGACTACTTTTCCATAGACCACTTCCCCGGCTTACTGTGTCGATTGGGCAGCTGGTAGTCTCGCATCGCGATAGTGATCAAGTATCAGGTCGCCCACCCGTGGCTCAAGGCTCTGCAGTTGCGGAAACACCCTGGCAGTTGAGGAAAACGTGTGGGAGCAACTGGTGGCCTTTGAGAAAGAACACCCTTGCTCGTGTAGAGATCTGGTCATCATCGAACTTGAGGCGTCGACCTTCGTCATCTCTATGAACAGTAAGGAGCCTAATATACACCTGTCATCTTTCTCTGTTGGGCGCACACTGACAGCTCCTCCTTTGTTCTCCGGAGACACCGAGCTGCCTACGCAAGGGGCGAATTGCCAGAAGTGGATATGTACATGACGTCTGGGCCAGTGCGATAGAATGGAGAAACACTACGTACTCAGGCAAGCACGGCAATGCAACCGCTGGGGATGTTGGCAGGCCGGTGCAAGTCAGGAGCAGTCTGGACCCAATCATGCGCTACTGCCGACATGAAAAGACTCTGCATTTTCCATCGCCCAAACGATAGGTTTGAGGCCGCCCTCCTGATCTCCAGTCACGCTTGTTGTGGATGAATCCCATGGCCTCATCACTACGTAGGGGCTCCTCCAGCCGCCTGAGCCTGACGCAACTCCGAGACGCGCCGCAACCACCAGAGATTCCTTCCATCCTTCGGACAGCCTGGGCTACGTATCATCACCTGATTAGCCACCCATGAACACTGGGCGCGAGCAGGCAAATTCTTGCCAATCTAGTGTAATGGAAGGTTGCCTCTTGTCAAGGTGAGAGTCGTGTCGTTTTGTATGGGAAGTATTGATATGTTGCACTTTCGTATCCGTCGTGTTTATCAGAAATGACGATCCCCCGCGGGCATGGTAGCTCTGACCAAGGAAAGGGGCTTTGTTTATTTGACTAGTCAAGACATGCGAAATAGGGCAATAGGGTGTTGTGTATCTTGTCATGATATTGGTATTGATATCTATCGTAGTAGTCTAGAATGGCCATCTCGGCCTAGACTTCTTTATAACATTTCCAAACCCTAGTCCAGTAATGGCTATCCTCATTCTCGTCATATCCGAAATCCCAAGAACGCCATGTAATGCAGGTTTAAATATGTAACATAGCAAGCTCTATGACAAGTGCTCACTCTCCCCGACGCTCAAGTCATTGATTTATACTCTGGAGTGAGAGTAGGGCTCGTAAGCCAGGTCGGTGCGGGCGTTGCTGCGTGGGGCAGCGTAGGCCTGCTGGTTGTACCCGTAGCTTTGGGCGCTGTGGCGGTTGTCGTGGATGGGAGCGTAGGATCCGTTGGGAATGAAGGGCTTCTCGTCGTCGCGGCTGCGGCGGGCGTGCTTCTCTCTCTTGCAGCAGCAGGCGCTGAACAGCCAGAACAGGGAGGCACCGACGGCAAAAGCAGCGCCGAGCCAGACAGCAGCCAAGTACGATGTGTTCATGCTGGCAGTTACGCCATAGGCCTTTGCGGATGCCTCAACAGCTCCGACAACCACCGAAGCCATAGCAGTGATCATGGCGGCAGCGGCGATGACGGCAACCGTGGCGACACCACTGATCAGGTAGGTAATGCAGGAAATGGCGCGACTGCAGTAGGTGAAAAGGCCGCCAAAGAGCTCGACACCGAGCGCAACCATGGCGATAACGTAGACAACCTCGGTCCATTTCGTAATCGTCTTGAACGCCTTCAGAGACGTCGTAATCGAGTCAGGGAGAGTAACATTCTGGCCGGTTGTGGAGGCGATGGAGGTGTAGGTCGACTCGTTGAGTTCGGTGGAAGCCCAGTCGAACTTGGCCTTGGTGCATGCACGGTTTCCATCCTGGTCGGTGGAGCAGAATCCCTTTGATGAAATGTTAGCAAGGCGGTCATCATCTAGGAGATGGTGGAGGGCGTCTGTGCCCGGTGTTGCTTACCCAAAGGTTGACATCGTATAGGTCCTTAAGGGCAAGGTCCGCGGCAGTGATGGTAATGCCAGAGGCGGCCGAGCTGATGGCCGAAGCGACATCGCTGGTTCCGGTCGCCCGAATAGCATCTGTTCTAGAAGCGAGAGAAGAGACGTCCCCGAGGTCGAAGTCCCGTGTTACCAGCTTGGTCAGGCTCCCCAGGTCTGATGAATCAATCGATAGGCCTGTAGTGTTGACACGGAAGATGTATAGGCTCGGGTTACTAGTGACGCCGACGAGGCCGACGATGAGCATACAAATGATGCTGGCCGCCGTGAGTATAAATGGCAGGGCCACACAAACGAAGCGCCCCACGTTGCCCATGGTGGATGGTTTTGTGGTGGTTTTGTGGTGTTGTTCGTCCTGGTAGTCGGGCGTATGATGTAATAGTGCGCTACCTGTTCAGCGAGCGAGGCAGGCAGTACCAGTTCAGGACCGTCGAACGAGGGTGAAAAAGTCCTGATGAGTAGGTAGCGGCGACGATGGTCAAATGTGAAGGAATCACAGATGTTGAGAAGATGTAGGAAATGCGAAACCCGGGTCAGCCAGCGGAGGATCAGCTTTGTATTTATCAATGCGGTATCCTGGTGGTTGGAAGGAACTCGTATGCAGACTACTGTCATAATAGCGTGGCGCAGCGGGCGGCGGGCGCGCTGGCTCTGTGTTTCACGCACCGAATGGGGGGATGATCCATGGCTGGGGCCGCTGGGGGACGCGGACCCCTACGCCTGGCTGACGACAGCCTGCCTGCAGTGCTCGCAAGCGTCATGGGGCCTTGGGCCGTGGGCCGTGGGCCGTCGCTCAAGGGCTTGCCGGGCTTGCACCCTGCAGGCTGGCAGGCTGGGCTTGAGGGGGTTTCCAGGTTGCTTAGTGACGGCACTCAGCCCCAGCTGGCCCACCAAAAAAACGCGCAGCCCGCCATTCATACGCAGCATGGACGGCTTGCCATGAGGCGAGCGTCCGCTTGCCCATCCCCGGCCTGATCAACGCCCGATGCCTTGGATTATCGTCCTTTTGCGCTGACGCTCACTCCGAGTACAGAAAATGCCCACATGTTGTCATCAGCCAATTCGGAATCCATGGCGAATGCAGCAAGAAACTTCCCAACTAGGTATGTATTATGGAAGGTAGCCACCCAAGACGCTGCTCATGTCTGGTTGGCCGAGTTCCGAATACTCTTGTCATGTAGATTGCGAAACCATCGTGGGTCACATTCGAACGAGTGTTAGACTTTTGCGTTTGACGAAGATCACCATCTGCCATTACTCGGGCTGACCTTGGTGGTGGGCCAGCTCTTTGAAGGCCTGCGCCGTCATAACCCAATTGTTTACACTCGGCCGCTGCATCAATTCAGGTTCCAGAAGCCCTTTACGCTTTTCGGGAAGAGATATGCGATTCTAACCATGACAGCGCCCAAGATCTCCAGATTCTGCAAGTGAACCATGTCTGCGTGGGTATGTGTGTGTGTGTGCTTGTGTGAAGCACGAGGTACAGCAGTACATACGTAGACAGAGTGGCGTCATGGCGGTGCAGTGACGCGGCTTGCTGCAAAGTCGGCACGAGAGAGCTGAGCTCTCAGACCAACGGCCGGTTGCTGCGCAGCAGTGGAGAGAGCGTACAGACGAAAAACACCAAAGCCCTTCCCGGTCGGCGCGGAGACAGCACCAGTTGGGAGGGCTCCAGTACGCCAAGGACGACTTTTGCGGGTCGAAAGAAGCCGTGTACGTGGGCGTAGTGGGCAGTGCAGAGGCAGACTGTGAGTGGCTGACCAGTCTCAATGCCGAATTGAGAATGTCTAAATTTAGATCAGCCACAGTCTGTCTACCACACCTGGTTAGTAGAGTTGTGACGGTTTTCACTAAGAGAGCGAGCTGATGCACAACGGCTACCTAGGAATGAGTTCCGGAGTACCAGGAGAACTGATCTTATTGGTTCTCTTCTACGCAGGACTGAGTGACTGAGTGAGTCGGCTCCGTACAGGGCTGCCATACGGGTAAGTGAAAACAAGCTCACGGCATGCTGGCAGCTGCCTCCTCCCCCTTGTCTCTTGCATACCTAACCCAGCCTGTGGTCCATATTGCGGCTTGGGATCTGTGCCTCGTGGGTACGCATGCCGTGTCCCGGCCCGCCATTGTGACCCTGTCTGCGTACCGTGGGGACGCGGGGAGGACTGCAGACGTCAGTAAGGAATATTATGGTTTCTCTGATCCTCGTAGGTCACCTCTATAGTATGGGGATCTGGGTCGCTCCAGCTATGTAGGTGCCTGCACCTAGGGTAGTCGAACATGGATCTCCATCCATGCTTCAAGAAGCATGTGCTTCCACCAAGCTATGTCAGTTCTCGAGCATCAGACTGGCTTGGTTGGCTTTTTCGTGCCGCTCTGCATGTCAGTGATTGTCTCTGGTACTGCAGTCATCGGGCGGCCGTCATCGGTCAACGGTCTTGACGAATATATTCGCGGCTTTACACACACGAATCGGAACGACTCAATCTTGGCCCTGGCCACCGGTAGACTGGACCAAGATGTGACCTCGACTACCTACGGTAGGCGGATCAGGCCCGGTGGAGGACATCCACACCGCGGTAATAGATAGGACTTAGCCCTTGTATTCGGGAGGCAGGCGGTGTGTAAGCTACCGTGCTGATGTCGCGGCTGGCATGGTCAGCGTGGGACTGCCGGAAGAATGGCGTTGCTCAGAGTTTGAGACAAGAATAGTCTGCAGTGAGTCCGAAAGCACGTGCGTACACACGGCACTGCTACACGACAAGGCAACTGACAAGCAGAACCTGTGTGCAGAATAGACCGTTGGTCCCCTGATGATGTTTCAGCGCCAAGAGGAACGCCGATTGGCAACGCTGGGCTTCAACATACCAACTTGCCGTGACATGCCACCCAACACATCTTGCCCTAGGACACGTCACGTCGACAGCAACACTTTCCAATTTATTGAGATTCTATCACCGACAACATGATCGGTAGGTGCCATTCCGAAGGCGTCTATTCTCCTACTGCCCACGGCTTGGGCATCGTTCGTTGCGATAGGATGGCGCGGATTGAGGCTGGCGGCCACAGCTCCCGAAGCTGCACGGTCGGCGAATTACCTAATGACACACCAGAGCGGACCCGGAGCCACGGCTCCAGGAACCAGGGGAGCTCAGGTCTTGGACCTGGTCTCGGCCCTCCAGGGTGTTCTTTGGGGTCAGTTGACCTTCGGTGCATCTGCCACGTTCGTGATGCCCGCGCGATCACGAACTCAATGAATCACTAGAATCCTCAACGGTTGTCGGGATGCGAGTCCGGACGACCAGGTGGCAGGCCCAGCGGTGCACAGCTACAGTAGCGAAGTGGGCAGGCGACTGGTGCATCCATCATCGTCAGTCGACGGGGTCGTTCTGCGTTAGCTTAAGCAGCCTTCGAGGTCATCTCGCGGCAGCCCCCACCAGCAGCAAGGCCTCGAACACAGATCACTGCCTGTTCAGCCCTGACGTCGGTGATCGGTCTGAGACTCTGGGCCTCTGGACCTCTTGAGCCCCGCCGAAACTCCATCCCAGCCTGCCGGTCACTGGTCACTGGCCAGGGCGTCGATGGTCATAGAGACACCCGACGACACGGCCGCCGTCAGGTCCGCCGTCAAGCCCGAGTCCCTTGTGCTCTGTTTTCTCCAAACCTGTCCGGCCATAGGGCCAAGTTACCTCGACTTGGCTTGTCCTTCCTGCTGTGCGACGTACTGTAACCCCCGACGACACGAGATTATCGCCAAGGAGGCTCGTTCAACTACCCAAGGCACGCAACAAGCGCGGCTGAATTCTCCCTCGTTCGCAACCGGGTCACCAGCATCTTGGCGCCGCTGCCGTCCTTCGCAGCACTTGGTCACAACAAGCGCTCTCGTCACACCTCAGGCACGAGGCACGAGGCACAAGGCACTTAGCGAGGCTAACCATCTGACTTATCACCACTCCTGATCCTGATAGTCGGTTCTGCGAGAAGGCTCCGGTTTGGGAGACGCCACACCACACCACATCTCTATCGCGTCGCATTCGACTAGCACTTGGCTTGCAGCTTGGCGCCGCGTCTATTCCAGCCCAGCGGAATCCAATTCACACACGTTCGCCCAGCCAGCCAGCCAGCCAGCCGGCCAGCTTCTCCTGTTCTTGCCTCTGGCCGCTGCCTCTCTTCCATCCTTTGCCTAGACCCGCGCTGGTATGTTCTGTATGCTACGGCGTATTATCTGTCCCCTCCACCCCGTCCTTATCCACCCGCAACTGCACTTGGGCTGCAGCTTCTTTGAGACCCAGTGAGCTCAGAAGCTTTCCTCCCCGCATCTCCACCATTGTCATCCATCCATCCATCCATCATCCACCACTCTCCCTCTGGCCATTCGCCGCCGTCAGCACGACTGCACGAACCGTGATCTTCATCGCCTGCCGCCTGTGGAGATCTTGCCATCCCACCCCGACGCCTACCCGCCGTCGCCTGCGTTACTGCCTGCGGCCTCTTCGAGCTGCTCGTCCGTATTGCCCATCGCACCACACGCCCATGTCCGGATCCGGGTCCTTGGGCTGTTGACATCACATCCCTCCCTATCACCGTCACCACCCGCCAGCAGATGCGGCTCAACTCGTAGACAAATTTGCGTTTCGCAGCCGATCCGCGTTTTCTGCCCGCCGTCACCACCCAGCATCAACATAGCCTCGTACGCAAAGAAATGTTGGTCTCTTGACTCTCGTGCCGCCCCCTCCGTTATCCCCGTCGCCGTAAGCGGCAGTGCACCCGTAATCTCTGCCCAGCTCTCGGAGTTATCTGCGGTCCTTGCGTGATTGATAGATCCATGACTAACCGAGTGCCTTTGCTGCAGCTACAAAGACGGACGACAAGACGGCTTCGCGAGGTTCATCCTCATCTCTCATCCTATCCGCCCTCGAACGGCTCTTCCACCCTCCCTAGCACCGGTTTTGAGGCCTCCCGAAGATAACACATCACGACACGGCGCCTGACTCGCACCAAACCAGCAGCAACCGGCTGTGTGGGGAATCGACCGCCGACAGGCTCCCTGCCATCACTACCACTACTATTTATCCCGCTGACCCGACGCTCCGGCTCGCGCATCGCAGGGCTGGCACACCACCATGGGAAACCAGAACTCCAAGGAGGGCGGCTCGTCCTCGAGGTCCGGTGCAGGCCCGGGCGGCGACCGTCTTGAAAACCTACAGTCTTACCCGTCCTTCAGCCGCTCCGACACCAAGGAGTCGTCACGCTCTTTCAAGGCCCTCCGGTCCAAGATCCCCGGCGGAGGGAAGACCGACAGTCCACGAAACTCGGCCGTCCTCACCAACGGCGATGAGAAGTCCGACGCCGCGTCCGTCAAGTCGGGCAAGAGCGGGAGGTCGCGCAACAGCGTCGTCTCGCCCTCGTCTCCCCAATCTCCCCAATCCGTCGATACCGACGCACGATCTCCGCTCGAGGAGCCCCAGCCTCCACCATCACCCATACAGTCTGCGTCCATGATGTCAGGCCATTCCGATATTAGTGCGGCACAGGCTTCGGGCGAAGTCGACCACGTCTCCGACCAGCCGCCTCTGGGCGGCGTTGCCCCAAATCCCGACATGGCTGGACAACCGGGCGCTTCCATCTTGGTCAAGAAGGAGAACACCATCAATCCCGTCTCAGCGGACGTTTATACGGGAGGTGCCAAGGACGACTCCCCGGCCGGAGTCGCCATGAGCGACATCAAGGAGATCGACCTTGACGACTTCATCAAGCGACTGTTAGATGCTGCTTACACGGGCAAGGTCACGAAGAGCGTTTGCCTGAAGAACGCCGAAATCGTGGCCATCTGCCAGCAGGCCCGGGAAGTCTTCCTGTCTCAGCCGGCTCTGCTTGAGCTGGATGCCCCTGTCAAGATTGTTGGCGATGTGCATGGTCAATATACCGACCTGATCCGGATGTTCGAGATGTGTGGCTTCCCACCCAGCTCCAACTTCCTTTTCCTGGGGGACTACGTAGATCGAGGAAAGCAGTCCCTGGAAACAATCCTACTGCTGCTGTGCTACAAACTGAAGTATCCCGAGAACTTCTTCCTTCTTCGTGGCAACCACGAGTGCGCAAACGTCACCCGAGTGTACGGGTTCTACGACGAATGCAAGCGAAGGTGTAACGTCAAAATCTGGAAGACGTTTATCGACTGCTTCAACACCCTGCCAATTGCAGCCATCGTTGCCGGCAAAATCTTCTGTGTCCACGGCGGCCTGTCGCCCGCTCTGGGTCACATGGACGACATTCGTAACATTGCCCGCCCAACCGATGTCCCTGACTACGGACTTCTGAACGACTTGTTGTGGTCCGACCCGGCAGATATGGAACAGGATTGGGAAGCCAATGAGCGTGGTGTTAGTTACTGTTTCGGGAAGAAAGTCATTACCGACTTTCTGACCACACATGACTTCGACCTTGTTTGCCGTGCCCACATGGTCGTGGAAGATGGCTACGAATTCTTCAACGACCGGGTTCTTGTCACTGTCTTCAGCGCGCCGAATGTGAGTCTGGCACACCTTGTGAGATCCAGTCATATAACTAATAGCATTTGCAGTACTGCGGCGAATTTGACAATTGGGGGGCAGTCATGTCCGTCTCCTCTGAACTGCTCTGCAGTTTCGAGCTGCTCAAACCTCTCGACTCCTCCGCCCTAAAGAGCCATATCAAGAAGGGCAGAAACAAGCGCAACACAATGCTCAACAGTCCTGTAAGTCCGAAGGTCAAGACAGTATTTGTGGCTGCCAGCTAACAAATTTCAGCCCGCTCATGTCCAACCGCAAAGCGTGTAATGACGCCTTGGGGTAAAGGCAGAGGTCGTTTGCGAGGAGTGTTCCGGCGCATGAGAAGACGAGTGACCGGGGCACATCAGCTTCAACGAGTTGCATTAATGCTGGCCGTAATCTTGATCACGTTCAAATCAGAGGCCAGGTTGGCATGATTCTTGTCTTGGAAAAGCAAGACAATCAACTCGGTAAGGAAAGCCAGCCGGCAAATAAACACATGTGTACACCTGGAAGCCACAGGAGCCGTGGCGATAGGAGTGCCTAGTGACGGAGGGTATGGTAACCCACTCATTCGAGTTGAATAGCAGACCTGAAACGGTACGGCTATAGCTTGCTTGAAGCCGCACAGACGAAACGAAGCACCAAGGTGCTTCAACGATCTGAGGCCAAGGAATATTGGAGATGCACGCGCATCGGTTTCACCAGCGGGGAGACCCATGGTTGGGCAGTAAGCATACTGCACACCATTCGGGGACTGCCCGAGGAGTCAGTAGTAGTCATGTACAGTTATCGGGGTTAACATGTCAGCTCATCACTCGAGAGTCAGCGCACCAGCTGCTGTTTTCAGGGGCGTATCTAATGAGACTTTGTGCGGGTTTTCGAAGGTTAATGTACTCTCTCCGGCATGCGAATCACCGTGGAATCCATCATGTTATTCATCGTGTACTCCGTTGTGAGAAATGACTGAGGTTGACTGCGACTAAGTGATGTACGTAAGCTTACGGTACAGACCCGACAGACTATACTGTCTATGTGGGCTCTTTATCTCCTCGCCGACGACCCTGCTGCCTTCCTTCTGTATTCGCAACCGCCAGCTGGTGGCAACTGAAGTGCATTGCAACCATTGGCACAAACTAGGCTCAGGTCCACTCGCGAGTAAATGAAAGTGACAGACGACTCGCGCAGGCAGGAAGACTATCTTTTCAGCGGTAGCATCGATGCATGATCACAGCTTCTGTCATCTTCAATGGTTCTGCGCAGCTTCGACAGCCATGGGCTGACGCATTCAGGGCGGGCTCGCCCGGCATCGATGCAAAGACAGTTCGTGCTAAACCCCATCACCGCACTTGAATTTTTCACTTCTTCGCACGATGGCCGCGTCTATGTCCTCGCTGGTGAGGATAACCGTCTGAAAATCTACGACGTCGAGTCCTCCGCCTTGTGTGGCGAACTCGAGGTCTTTCCCGCCCAATCCATCCATGGCATCAGGGTGGCTGCAGGGGCTCCTGCCAGGCGACGGATTCTCATCTGGGGCGGTTATTCGGTCACGGTATTGCTCGCCGAAGCTGTCGAAAGCAGAATCTCAGGAGACGTGGACTGCACTGCCCCCAAATCAGCAGTCGTCGAGGCCAAAGCACCTGACTGGATCTTTGAGGGGGCCCTGTCTCCCTATGGCACGGACGACCTGGTCTTGCTCACGGCACACAACGAGCTTATCGAGGCACGCTTCCATGAAGAGCAGGGCTCTCTTGACTTCGCGGGCATTCACTCTCCATCTCGTCCGATTCTCTACTCGGGCAACCTTCTGTGGGAGGCGCCGGATAGCATTCTCGTAGCTGCTGGGACGGTGTTTGGCGAGATTGTGGTGTGGAAGTATCACGCAGGATCGACAGGGGATGGGCCAGGCTGCGAGATTCTCTTTGTCTTTTCAGGCCACGAAGGGTCCATATTTGGTGTCCACATCTCGCCAATATTCCAGCTTGAGACGGGAGAAAGCTTGAGATTACTAGCGAGTTGCAGCGATGACAGGACGATCCGCATATGGGACATCACGGATGCCCGCGATCTGTCGCGGTCTACCCACGACGAGTACTCGAGAAAGATCCTGGCCGCGCGGCAGACTGGGTTCGGGGACAGCATCGACTCGACACTGCAGGAGAACACATCCGCTAGATGCTTAGCAGTCGCCATGGGCCACATATCTCGGATATGGCAGGTTCAGTTCCGTATAGAGAAGGATTGCAAGGAAGCTTCCTCCAATATAGAGCTGTGGTCATTTGGGGAGGACGCCACTGCTCAGAGGTGGTCTTTGTCCTTGGGGGCAACTCAGAGTCCTGCGAGCGATGCAACAACGCACAAAAAGGCGATGAATGAAGTCCCAACGAGGACAGGGGGCCAGCTCAAGAACCAAGGCTCATATGCAAGTCACAGCGGGAAGAACCTATGGTCACATGCCATCACACGTAACGACTCGAGGCAATTACTGATCCTCACTGGCGGATCCGATGGCAATATATCTATAATTGGAAATGGACAAATGCCTTCTACAGAGAGGATACTGGATGATATTCCTCCCGCCCCAATAGAAGCAAAACGGGAGCACGACGCAACACACCTGACGGGCCTCGCAAGTATTGAAGAGAACAGCAATACTCAATCACCTATACTGCATGGCGATGATGCCGCTATTGCTGAAGATGAGATACCACAATCTAAGCCCAAGACGAAGACGAAGAAGCCAAAGGTGAAGAAGTTCAAGGACTTTTTCAACCGCTACGCTTTCCTAGCAGACGGTAGACTACTTGCCGTCACCAAAGCCGGTCGCTTCTTCATCGGTGGCTCGGACTCAGAACCATCTTGGAGTGAGCTGTCCTTGCCTGAAACCTTTTCTGGTACATCGTTCTCGTATGCGGTGGTTTCCAGTTCCCCTTCAGCATCTGCGGCCTTCGTAGGAACTGCGGAGGGCCACATCCTCGCCTACCAAACCTCCGACTCTCTGGGCTTGAGATATCTGGCAAAGGTTCATGGCAAGGTATCGGACATATTTCTTCTTTCAAACCCTCCCGCGGAAGAGCCTGCAACGAACACAAACAAAGCCACTGGCGGACTGGACGCTAGAACGTCCGGAGGAACTCTTTCCTTGCTCGTGACAGTACTTGGAAGCGAGAGCGCAGCCATCATTAGACTTAATAGCTCTGGTGATGCTATCGAAACGAAAGAAACAGCCGTGCACCTGGAGAAAGGCTTCGTAGCTACGTCTGCCGCTCTGGCTGCGGATACGTTAATCCTCGGTTCAAGAAACGGCATCATCTCAATCCTGCAACCCTCAGGCGATGGATCATTTGAACCTAGATGCTCTGTGAAGAATCAGGTCAAAGATTGTATAACATCAATAAATGTCTTGCCGCCGAAGCCTGGCGGCAGCGCAAATGCCTTCCTCGCCACGAGCAGAGATGGGAAGTATAGGATATACAACATACAGAGGGATGAGGAAACCGTGGAGGCCTTGCTCGTTCACGAAACATCTCCTCCATTCGGGCCTATGATCGAAGGAGCTCGATTCAATACCAACCGCAACGGTAGTATCGATTTGATCTTGTATGGTTTTCGGAGCACAAAATTCGTGGTCTGGAATGAGGCGCAACGCCGAGAGGTTGCTGCGGTTGACTGTGGCGGTGGACACAGAACCTACGCCTTCAGCCCCTTACCAGGCCATCCCGATGGGTTTCGTCTGGCTTGGACCCAAGCCTCCCAGCTTTTCTTCTTCTCACAAACACACGCTGCTCACGGCATCTTGAAGTCTGGGGGCCATGGTCGCGAATTGAAGGCCATCAGCGCCTCGGGAGATTTTGTCGCCACGGCCGCAGAGGACACTGCCATAAGGCTCTGGAACTACGACTCTCATCAAGAGCGCCTGGGTAAGGCTTTGCAATGTCTGGCAGTGATGGAGAACCACACCGCCGGCATCCAGAGTATGAAATGGTACAGGCAAAGCCACCTATTCAGCAGCGCCGGCAATAAGGAGTTCTTCGTGTGGAGGATCAGCCACCTTGAGTCGGCCTACCAAGGACTGGCAGTGAAATGTGAGGCGGCCTACCCCGATCGGACCGAAGATATCGACCTCCGCATCATGGATTTCGACGTCCATTGCCTCAATGAAGACAAGCTGGACAGTGGTGACCCAACCTTCTTCATCTCCATGGCGCTCTCGAACTCTACGCTTCTGACGTATACCTACTCCGAGAAGTCGGGGTTCGCACTTATTGCCAGGGGCACTTACACCGGCGCCTGCATGACCCAACTGCGCTTCATCCACGTTGACGGCGCTGCCATCCAGACCCTCACCGCCGCTACAGACGGCCACATCACCCTCTGGGAGACCAAGCTGTCCCCCTTGTCCCAAGAGGCAGAGACGACACGTACCTCCGTCTCCAGGCTGCACCAGAGCACCATCAAATCCCTCGACCTACGCCGGGCCAGAGCAGCAGCCGACCCTGCGAGCCGGGCGCCGTCCTGCCTCGTCGCCACCGGCGGCGACGACGACGCCCTGGGCGTCATGCACCTCGCCTGGGACGAGGCCGCGGGCCGCTACACAGTCGCGTCCAAGGCCGTCGTCCGGTCCGCGCACGCGGCCGCCGTGACCGGGCTCGCCATCCTGGACGCCGCAGCCGGCGGCGACGACGACGACGACGATGCCGTTGTGGTCACCTCGAGCAACGACCAGCGCGTCCGGCGGTGGCGGGTCGCAGGCTGGCGGGCACGGGGCCAGCAGCGGCCCCGGGTCGCACTGCTGGACAACCGGTACAGCTCGATCGCGGACGCCGGCGACCTGGAGGCGCTGGGCGGCGGGCGGTTCGCGGTCGGCGGGGTTGGGCTGGAGGTGTGGCATGTGGGTGGGGAGGCGCAGAAAGCTGGTGGTCTGATAACGATGAGAAAGGACGTCATGACCAGTCAGACGAGAGATGGCTAGACTCGTACGGGACCGCGGTGTAGGGAGCCCGCGAGGCCGAGGACCTAGCTCTGCCCATCCATGCAATGCGTGTTCCGAGAGTGTGGTTCAGCAGTCGAGCAGATCTTCTGCGTCTAGTCCTGATCTGTGTTTACATAGCGTGAGAATCTTGGGTCGTTGGTGCTCTACGTACAGGATACCTAGAACTGGTATCGTGAGGGCTCATTGGGCAGCGGCAAATTATATCACCTCGATCTCCCTTTGTGAAACGTCATAGAAACCTTGTCTCACCTCACACGTAGGCAGGCACGCGACCTCACAATTGATATATAGTAGAATCCTATTATCACAAAGTATCAAGTAGCAATGTCTTTATAGTACTGCTAAGCGGGCTGCTTCAACAGTCCAGCCCGATGCGGCCGGAAAGAAATCAGAGCCTCAGCCAACTAATTGGGGTTGTAGTTCGCAGCGGCCACGCGGACAGTTTAGCTGGGGGCAAATAAGTCTCCCTCCGTGGCTCAGGGGGCGAAACATCCCAATATATGCCGACACGTCCGGATTTCCAAGTGCCTGCCAGTCCCGACCGTCAGTATATACCTCACAGCATCTCAGCGTCCTGTGAGATTCCAGTTGCCGTGCAAGGCTTCAGATGGCCCATTTGAGTAGTAATGCATACGCTCAGATTGGAGAGGAGAGTTGCGTTTGCATGTCGATCTGTATCACGGCGCTTAGTCGTCGTATCTAGCGGGCTTTTTCCGAACGCGTGATCTGTCGATTACGACAGTACTGCTAGCATCGCTATCATTGATCATGAAGTCGGATCGATTGTTGCTTCTAGCGCTTCCGCCGACGCTGTTCTCTTCGCCGTAGCCGTCTGTCTCTTGGATCTCCTCGCGCACGACCTCTTGCACCACAACCTTTCGGGGCCGTCCACGTTTCTTCTTAGGGGGTGCAACGACAGGTGGTGCTGGTGGGTTCAGCTCCAAGGCGACTGCGTCAAAATCTACGTTGTCGAAAGCCGGGTCGGGAGCCGAGAGGGGGCTAGAGTCTGGGGCGCCGCGGGTCATTCGCCGGCGTGCTCGCGTCCGGGAGGGCGTATCCTCATCAACCACTGAGCCGTTGTCGGCGGGCCCACGCGTGCGACGGGCACTGCCACCACTACGACGTCCATGGCCAAGGAGACCTTGGCTTTCCCTGTACTCTGCATCGATCACGTCGTCAATCGGTTCGTCGCTGTCGTCGTCGATTTTATGGGCTTTTCTGCCACGGCGACGGGGGGTGTCTTCCGGATTCGTGCCATCCGAGCCCACATCTTCCAATCGATTCTTCAAGGCCCGGCCAAATAAGCCGTTGCGGCCGCTGGTCTTCCGCATGGCGCTGCCCTGATCAAGACGCTTACGTCCACGAGGCTTCCCACGAGACGTTGGACGAGCTGGAGCAATAGATGGGGCGTCAGAGTCCACAATCTCGGGACGGTACTCTTCCTCTTCTGAATCTGTTTCCAGGCTGACATGTTTTCGTTTCCTGGACTTGGGAAAAACAATATCTGGAAAGGGGTCTTCTAGTTCGGCATGTTCTCCAGTGACATCATCATCGTCTTCCGGATCTGACTCTATCCTTGCGGCAAATGCCTTCTTCTTTGGCTTTCGCCCTCGTTTCTTGCCTTTGTAGGGTCCACGGGGTCCACGGGGTTTCTTGGCCGCATCATTTCCGTTCTTCTCCTTGGCTCGTCGTTTTTTAGACTTTTCGTCTTCGTGTTGCTCGTCGAGCAACTTCTTGGTGAGATTCGGGAAGTTTTCACCATAGTTGAAGAAGAGCTCGTCGCCAGCCTTGATATCACGTACTGCGCTGAACTTGATACGATACTCCCCGCCCACATAGAGGATCTTGGGGGTAATGTTGCAGCCCTGGCCCTTTCCACCGTCGTCCTGATGATTGATGTAACGACTCAGGTTGCCGTAGATTGCAGCATCGACCCAAATGCCTTCTTGCTCAAGGAGGGTGAAGAGGTATGACGAGTTCGACTCTTCATTAAAGACGTCGCCCCGTCTGGCTTCACGCCGGACGCCTTCATCTTGACTGATAAGCTCGCCAACGTACTCAATCACAAAGTCTTCTTGGGCAATGTCCTCAGCCGCAAACAAGCCGTAGCCACAGTTTGCTATCGTGGATTTACCTAGCACTAAAGACTTGGGCTTTCCTCGTTGCAGCGCACAGTTCTGGCATCCATGGGTGTACAAGTTGTCGTCTTCTGCGTTGACTGGGTTGGCTCGATCCTTCGCTCCACAGCTGCCGCACAGAGCGGGATCACACTCCCGGTTCAGCTGGACACAGATACAGGGTCGTTCTCCCTTCTGCTTCGGTAGACATGTCTTGCCTTGCGAGTGACAGGCGCAGCCAGTAAACTTGATTGCGCAGGTTGCAGGTGTGCAGCGGCAGAAGCGCTCGCACATGACGCCGTTCCTGAAACATTCGCAATTGTCTCTAGTACATGGGCCTTCATGGTTGCAGGGATCGAAGTGGTCTTTTCTCTGATGCTCATGGGTAATTGTCTGGTCTTGCCAATCGCCCAAGAGCATCTTCTTATTCCGGTCATACCAATGAACTGGTTTGACTTTGACTGGCGCCTGAGGCGAACTGACTGGAAGGGATAGATCGAGCTTATCGAGCTGGCGGTTGACGTCCCAACAGGGTCTTCCAGTAGCCACCGCAGTTGAACACTGGACCGGAATTTCTGTGTCGCTGAGTGTGGCGAGCAGCGACTTCAGGAGCATGATTTCTGTCTCGCTCCAGGCTTTCGCGCGGGTGCCCGGACGGCCGTTCAGGTAACAGTCCTCGCCACAAGGCTTATGAGACTTGCGTATACCATCTCCATTGGTGCTGGCGGGTCCTTGGACAGCCTTCCTACGGAGCAGAGGTTCAAGTCCACCAATGACCTCGATGGAAAACCGCTTGCGCTCGTTGTCAACGCCATATTCTCCATGCTCACATGAGTGACTGCAGCATATTAAACAGCCGAGCAGGGCGTAGGTTTCAAGAAAAGATTCGACTGTCGTATTCTCCTCGACCGGTTTCACTTGACTTGGGGTGTCTTTCATCCACTTCTTGGTGTCAACAATGGTATCGACTGACTTGTCGAGGAGCAAGACATCACGAAGCGTCACGGCGCCCTCTTTCCAGGTGTCGGCATCGTTGAACACACTATCAAACGCGTCCGTAAACATCCTAACTGCCTTGGCAGAGCGTGGAGAGCCTGCTTCATCGCTGTACGAGTTCAGGATGCTGGACTTCTGCTGTGGCGTCACGGCATCTGTCTGGTTGGCCATGTAGCGAATCAGAGTGGCCTTGGAGCAGTTTTCGATCGACATGGAGTCCAGCCAATGTTGGAGGTAGAGCAGCAGAGTGGTCGCTCTCTCCTTTTGGCAGGTTTTATGGACTTTCTCCTGTCTGCTAAGAGTGGCGAAGCCAGACGTCTTGTCCATGCTCTCGAGGTTTTCGAGCCACCGTCGGTATTTGGGCTCCTCCTCATCCGCCAAGTCCCGCAGATGGGGAACGAAATTCAACATGGTATTAGGCGAGAGGATATTCTTGGATATCTCAACGTGGTGAAAGCCATACCTAGGGACCGGGTCCCTGTCGGTCTTGATACCCACCACTTCATAGAGCTCCCGTTTCTCCTGTTTTCCAGTACGGCCAGGGCCCATGTGCTACTAGAGGGTTAGAGACGAACATGCACGAAGGAAAGCTTCTTGAACGAACCTTGAGCTTGATTTTCACGGTTCCTTTGCTGGCTTCAGGGGGAACCCGCTTCATCTCAGCAAACCAGTTTTTCCGGGACGCATGATTAGCCTCAGGTGCGACCCTCTTCCAGGATGTACGAAGCAGGCGAGCCGAGAGGTTGGCGCTATCCTTGCCGATGTCGCGGGAAAAAATGCGCAGCTGGTTTTCCACCTTGTCGGCGGTCCAGTCGGCCTTCCTAGGAGTATGATGCAGCTTAGGAGTCCTGTGGGCCGAGTGCAGGGTGCTCTGGGCCGGGGACGTGATGCCCTGTGAGTTGCGGACAGCGCTGCCCATGTTCGTCCTCACGGGCAGTACCGCGGCCCTGCCATCCGCTCGGGGAGGCTTCTGAGCGGAGGCCTGGTTGCTCCGCGGTAGCGCAGCCGGGGCCATGGGGCCTGCCTCGCCCTGCGCAGATGCCGATGTCTGGCGGCTCAAAGCGGGCGGGCTGATGGGCCTGCGAGAGCGGGAGTGGGAGCCTGGCTGCGATGGCGGCTGGGACTGTGCTGAGACGGGCTTGTGAGGTGTGAGGTTCTGGTGAGCCAGGAGCGAGGCCTGAGACTCGTCGGACAGAAGGGCCGTCAAATCAACCTGGTCGGGCGTCATGTCGAAAGAACAGCGGACCTGGGCCCGGGCTTGGGCTTCTCCTGCGGCTTGGTCTCCAAGGGAAATAACCTTCGCGGCGCTTCTGCTGGTCGCGCGACTGCCCGGCCAAACCTTGGAACCTTGCTCCTGAACTACCGAAAAGCTGGAGGCCAATACGGCGTAACGGTCATCGTATCCCACCGCAGACTCTGCCAGGCAAAAGATACTGTCCTGCGAAGTCGGCCCAGACAGAGCGCATGGGACGTGGGCTTCGTGGCAGGTTCGGCAAGATAGCGCGCGGTGATAGAACGTGGGCTCTCAGGCGATACGCGTCTGCAAGCCTACCAGACCGCAACCTACCAGTTGGGTGCACCGACTGCAAGAATATAGTCGCAGTCGGTTTAAATCACGAATCCAGCAGACTCAGTTTACTCCTTCATGTCGCAGATGCCTCGCGATTTGATAGGGTCGACACTATACAGAGCGCATGGCACCGAGGTGGATATAATGCCGTAGGTATCGCGACTCGGAACGATCCTGCTGGACCGCGATGAAGGGGTACGCGATGGCATGGCGCCCACAGCACAGTGCACGCATCTCCCGGACTGGCTAAGGCGCGGTGGCTACCCGGGGGGAACTGTGGCTTGACGAGAGGTCCGAGCTTCCATTGTTGTTACGGCTTTGGTCTGGTCACACTGGACCCTGTTACGGATCCCGAGAGCTGATTCCCGACTCCCCCTGTGCTGTGGACGTCCCCATACCGTGAACGGCGATCTATGGATTAATTCCCCTCATCATCCACCAACCCCAGACGACGCGGGGAGCAAGGTAGCATCTGCAAGAGATTGCCGATGTATATATCTTGAAGGGTATGGGGGTCTCGGTGTACTGAGGCTATATAACATCGTCTCAAGCGTCTGGTACAGGGCACGGCTGTAGCTATAGAAACCAGCTATAGAAACCCAGGTGCTCGGGCACCATAACATCTTTGAAAGCAGGCGTGGTGTATGCCTATACTGTATATACGTACTCTATGTATGCGGCCAACATGTACAGTATTGCTAGAGACAAAGGCAGGAAAACAGATCACAACTGTCTGGGGCCATCGACGTCTTATGTCTTTGACGTTTCTCACCGGGCCCTTATTTGGCTAACTCGGAAGATTCGTACATGGAGAGAGCCGAGCGCCCGGGCATCCCACATCGTGGCCCCTCGGCAGAGGACGAACCCGAGTCTATGCTGGCTGGTGGGTTTGTCAACCAGCCAACTAACTGTGTACGTGCCTAGGTAGCTAGCTCACAAGGGCGAGCGCGAGGCAGAGGGCCGCACCTGCATATGCGGCAGTTCAGGTGACGGACGGTGCTGTATGGACCGTAGCCCAGCTTGCCAAGATAGTTTGATTGAGCGGGCGATCGACTGTCGAAGAATGATGTGCCTGACGCTCACTCACTGTCCCGGGTTTTCCTAGCGCGGGCATTGGTGCTTCAGGTGGATCGTGGGCAGATGGATGCCGCTTCTGTGTGTCTCGAACAGTGCTCTCTCCCAGTTGTCCAGCGGTGGGATCGGCCCCCCATGGGTTCTCATGGGCTCCTGTGGGTTCACAGCCCACTTGGCCAGCGACCGGATTGGGCGCCGTCGCAGCGCTAGTTGCCCATGGCACGGGCAATGACGTAGCAACGACAGCGGGTGCACGCAGTCTAGTCTCCCCCCAGGCTGTCGGGGCGCCATCGACGTCTTGGGCCCCCCAGGGCCCCAAACACCACGCTGACATTGACGTCTGCGTTTCTGTCTCCCCGTCACCAGCAACACACAACCCCAGTCCTACATAACAGCTGCGGCCCGCCCAACTACATTCTTGTTCATCATCCCTTGTCCATTCCCCCCTTACTCCGAATTCTGCGCGCATATATCAATTGCCAGTGAACCCACTGCAACCCACTGCTACGTCCCGAGATACCCTGTCGCGCAACTCGTTCCGCTTATCCACCTCCAAGATGCACCGCACATACTCTATGCGCCAGAGCAGGGCGCCCACTGCTTCACAGATCCAGGTACGCATGCCCATTTGGAGACCTGATCTTCTGGCCCTGCCCTACTTGTACTTGGTACTAACCGCCATCACCCAGAACCCCCCTCCTCCCTCGTCGAGCACCAAGTCCGGCCGTTTCTTCGGCAAGAGCCCCTTCGGCCATGCGCTCCGTCGCAATGCCGCCGGTGCTTTCGGCCCCGACCTAGCCAAGAAGCTTACCCAGCTCGTTAAGATGGAGAAGAACGTGATGCGCAGTCTAGAGCAGGTCGCCAAGGAGCGCATGGAAGTCGCAGTATGTACACGCCCGCCGCCGTCTTCCGTCCTATGCCGTCTAACCCCTTGTCCGTTTAGCAACAACTGTCCATCTGGGGAGAGGGTGGCGACGAGGATGTCTCCGACGTCACTGACAAGCTCGGCGTCCTCCTCTACGAGATTGGCGAGCTGGAGGACCAGTACATCGACCGCTACGACCAGTACCGTGTGACGATGAAGAGCATCCGCAACATTGAGGCTTCGGTCCAGCCTAGCAGAGATCGTAAGTCCCCGCACAGCCCAATCCTGTACCGAGACGTCATTCTTGCCAACCTAACCGCGCCTCTCTCGTTTTAGGCAAGCAGAAGATTACCGACCAGATCGCGCAGCTAAAGTACAAGGAACCCAACTCTCCCCGTATCGTCGTTCTCGAGCAGGAGCTCGTCCGTGCCGAAGCAGAGTCGCTTGTCGCCGAGGCACAGCTGTCCAACATCACGCGCGAGAAGATAAAGGCTGCCTACACGTACCAGTTCGACGCTCTGCGCGAGCACAGCGAGAAGGTTGCCATCATTGCAGGTTTCGGAAAGCACTTGCTGGAGCTCATCGACGACACCCCCGTTACCCCTGGCGAGACTCGTGCGGCCTACGACGGCTACGAGGCCAGCAAGGCTATCATCCAGGATTGCGAGGATGCCCTGACCAACTGGGTCACTCAGAACGCTGCCGTCTCTTCCAAGCTATCCACCCGCGCTCGCACATTGTCCACGAGGAGACGCAACAACATCAAGGCCCGCTCCGAGGGTCTCGATCTCTCCGGCCAGGACGCTCCTCTGAATGATCGCGATTCCTGGGTCGCCGCTAGTGACCATAAGGGCCAGGAATACGACGATGAGGATGAGGAGGCCAACTCGATCTTAGACAGTGATGGTGGCCTGAACGGCGACCACCACCGCGGCCGGACTGAGGTGGTGGCATAAGCACCTCGAGACTGGAACATCAAAAGAAAGAGCGGACATGGTAATGAGCTTCCAGGTGGTAATGTCTAATGCACACGGCAGCGTCCCAAACAGCGATTCTGATACCACCGAGGGCTGATATCGGGTAACAAAGGTGTTTGGGTCTGGGTAAAGCAACGTCGGATTTGGGGGGTTTCTCGGAAGGGTTCGAGCGGAGTTAGGCTCTATTGCCCTTCACTCGGCAACAGTGTTTGGTGTACTTCTATTTGCAAAATCTTTTGATCCAACGGGAAATGACATGATATTCTGCTGTGAAGTGTAGTTAGTGTAAGGTTTCTACATGTATATGCACATTCTGTCTTTGCAGGTCTACGACGTATGCCCGAGAAAATTCGCTACCATAGCACCAAGCTCTCCTGATACGCGTCCATCTTGCCCAGAATCTCATCAAGCATCCGTGTACACAACTCTTCGCGGTAGTCCGCCGGGGAGGTCCTCTGGGATCCCGGAGTATCACAACTCCTCTTCCCGAACCCAATGTCCAGCAGCTCCGCGGCCTTCCTCCGCAGCGACTCACGGCGACAAGCGCGGCACTGGCCCCTGACATGCGACTCCTCCCGCCCGCCATCCTCGCCCCCCTCGCCCTCGGCTTCCACGATCTCCCCCGTGTCCTCGTCCAGGACCCACGCCCGCGTCCCGGGCACGACGTCCTGGACGCGCCGGTCCGCCGCCAGCCGCGGCACGGGCCCGACGGGGATCGCGTGGCCGCAGGCGTACCGGAGCGCGCGCCCGCAGACGGGGCAGGCCTGGCGCCCCCCGTCCCGCCCGAGCCGCTCCTCCATGCAGCCCCAGCCGACGAGGTGCGCGCAGCCGGGGACGACGCACGGCGGCTCGGTCGGGTGCGGGGAGGCGGCGCCGGCGGCGCGCGGTCCGTGGTCCGACGTCACCCACGGCGGCAGGTCGAGGTGCGACGTCTTGCAGATGGCGCACCGGATGCGCACGTGGACGGGCGTGTAGTTCGACTCCGGGCGGACGCCCGGGCGGTGGGCGGAGATGTACTTGGAGAGGTCGCGCCAGTGGTCGATGGCTGTGACGATTTCGGGGACTGCGGACATTTTCTAGGAGGTATACACGCCGGACCTGAGGGTTATAGCTATGGGATAATGTTCAGATACAGATATGTGAGTGCTGGTTACCGTATACAGGTTGGTTACGGCAATCTCGTCCCTGAATATGGAGTGACGAGGGCGTCACTAACACCGATGGCCAAGACTGCACACATCTCCCTCTTTGAGTCCTAGTTCGACCAGCTTCTTTGTCTTGAGCACAAGGTTTCTGGTAAGCATCGTTGGAGGTCACCGTTAATACTGGGGATCTCATGCACAAGGCCTCGGGACAATGAGATGCTTGGTCGATTGTAGAAATAGGTACCGTTGTTTGCCATTGCGGTTGATATGAGTTGGGTCTGAGGCCTACCACTCGTGGGGAATATTGAATGGTTCGCCGCATGAGTATTCTCCAGCATCGAAGTCCGAACATATCGATTCACTGACATCTGGCAATTCCTATCTCCCGTGAAGTCTTAAGGACGACAATGTGCGGGCAGCATAATGCCCCCTATAATTAGTTGAAACCGCGCGAGACATATGCAAGGATCATTTTGACACCCTTCATGAATACACTTCCTAACTTGTAGGTTACAAAACTTTGGAGCGATGTACACGTATGAAACAAATGTATAACGGAAATGTATCGCCAGGCGTTCCTGTTCCAGAAACCGATATATAAATAATCTAGCACTTCTTCTAGATCCCAAATCCCAAGAGCTGTCCGTGTCGTGAGTCGTAAAAATACAATCGAACAAAGCGCCAAACGAAGATCCCTCTATACATGCGAATTGCTAATCCCAGTCGCTTAAGCATTTGTTACCAAGTTTAGGCCTGATCCGGCGACTTTCGCCTCAAGCTCCCAATGCGTCGCTTCAGGCCCTCGAGGCCAGACCGCTTGCCGACGGTATTGCTTCGGCGAACATTGGAGTCATGCGCGGCACCCGGGGGACTCGAAGGTCCTGCCGAGGAGCTGTAACTGCGCTGGCGCACGACGGTGCCTCCGTCCTTGCGAGAACTGCCGCCGGGCTGCATCTCGTACACCGCTGTGCCGTTTTCGCCAGACGCGGATGCGCCGCGCTCCTTGATCTGGCGCTCTATGGAGTAGGACGGCTCTCCCTTGCCCTTCAGGTCGCCCGGCTGGTATTCCTATTTCTTGTTGTCAGGTCGAGTTGCAAGCTGTCACAAAGTTCACCAGGTTACTCACGTAGTCATAGTCCTTCCACCTCCGGTACGGGCCTCCCTCGGCGTCCTCTTCCCTCATAAGATCGGCGCCTTCCTCGTAGCGCATGGTGCGGCCAGCGAGATCCTCCTGGCCGGGCGGAATGTTTGCGGTGCCCGCGAGCGGCACATGCTTGCGCAACGAGTCTTGCAGGTTCTCGATGGGCGTTGCGTCGAGTGCCATCTTGTTGGTCTCCTGGACGGCATCGACGGGGGCGTACTTCCTGTTCCTGTTGCGGGAAGCCAGCGTGGCGTCGTAGGGGCCGTCATGGTGGTACGTGGCGCCCAGGATGTTGTCGAGCGAATCGATCTGATCAACCGGCGTCAGGTTGTTCTTGCGGAGGTGCGGCGCCCGGTGAGCGGCCTTGGTCTCCTTCCGGATCTGATCCAGCGGCCTTTCGTACGAAGTCATCTTGTCTCGTGTTCACGGTTTAGTTGCTTCGTCCTGGCGCTATCGAGCAGCAGTTCTGAATGTGCAGAACACTCAAAATAATGTCTAGATTGACAGTAGAACAACGGGCGGCCGCAAAGCTTTTGGGTCCTGATGAGTTATTTATTACGCCTGGAGACCTTGGTGAGGTGATGTAGCAATCGTCGTCCTCGGCCGGTTATCCGGTGAAATAGGTCGTGTGTGAGAACCCGCCTTCCAGGCTATGCGTGGTGTTGACGGGAGCCCAAGGGTAGGGTATGATGTAAGTAGTGGGGCAAAGCCACGACCGGAACACACAGGCCAACGGTGACGCACGCCAGGCCAGGGGGCCCTTGTCTGTATTTCTTGTCTGTGCCTGTCGCTGCGCTGAGAGGGAGCGCTGTGTCACACACGGTTGATCTCTCGTTTGATCAGGTCGCAGGATCGCGAGACATCGATTGGAATGCGGGAGTTGGGGGGCTTTTCTTCTTCAAGGTCATATACCTGCTTACTGGGCGCCTGCTCCTCCTCTTTTCTCTGCAACTGAGCCCTCATGCAGAGGCTAATTCCCGATCTGCGACATCGGATGAAATAAACATGCTTTCTGCGACCACCAAACATGCGATGTGCCTGGGAACCTTGTGGGGAGACGCCCGTACAACCCCATAGACATACGTGTGTGTGGACTCGGACACATCCATCTCATGCAACCATCTCATGCAATCATGATCTAGAGATCTCACTGCCATTGATTGATCTGGTGCCCCCAGCAGGACGGACAGCGGGCTTGGTATTGGGCTAATAGATACGGGGTATACGTACGCAGTTCACCCAGTTACACACTAACCTAGGTCCCCGGGTCCAGAGCCCACGTAGTGGCCGGCGCAGCCGTGGTTCTGCTGATCGGTATGTGCCGCCAGACACACTTGGCCGAGATCCAGGGATCCTGGTGAACCTTCACAACTGCCTCGAGACGTGTAAGCTGAGTAAGTGAGCGCTCTTCGGCTCTTGTCAAGGCGCCCAGCCTCAGAGCACGAAATGCATCGGACGTTCATCTGATCAACGGACGAAACAGGGACGGTTGACTAGGTCCATTCAGCCCTACGACGGTGGGCCCCCCACCACGTGGGCATCGGTAGGGGGACTGTGCTTGCCAAGGGCCACCTCGGGGGGCCGGACTACGATCATGCAAGCCAACTTGCGCTCTGTTTGGACGTTCCAAAAATAAATAGTGTACCTGACATGGCTGTCTTTGAAGGGTCCTGACCAAAAACACCAGTAGTAATTCTGCTGCAACGGAACCTGGAGTGTCAAGGGTAAATGAGCATCGAGAGTCCAAGGTGTTCCCACTAGTGGCTGGCTTTGCTCTGCGGAACGCACCATAATGCCGCCGCTGGTCACCTATACCTCTGACTCTGACTCGGACTCGGACTCGGACTCGGACCCGGCGCCGGACCCAGAAGCAACTGCCGGCTCGGCCTCCGGGCCTGCATCCAAGAAACGCAAGACATCGCACCAAGGTGTCCCCACCCAGTCTGCACTCCCGCCCCTCCCAGCCGCCTTTCACGACCTCTACGCCTCGACGGTGCGCGTCAGCAACGTCGATGACCCTTCCCTGCACCAGGGCCGGAAGCGGCAGATACCGCACGTCGTCGGCAACTGGCCGAGCCATCTGTACGTGGAATGGCACCCCAGCAGCGAAGAGCATGCGGTCCTGGACTCGCTTCTGCGCACGTTAGGGCAGCAGCTGGAAGCGAAAGAAGGGAAGTACAAAGATAGCGGCATCGGCGGCACCGCTACTGATTCGGACGTGGCCGCCGTCTCGGCCAAGCACAAGCTGTCCACCTTCCTGGCCTCGGACCTCGGCGCCCCGCTGCCGCTGCACATCTCGCTGTCGCGGCCGCTGGCCCTGACGACGGCCCAGAAGGACGACTTCCTCGGGCGGCTGCGGGCGAGCCTCGGCCGGTCCGGGGCCCGGCCCTTCGAGCTGGCGCCCACGGGCCTGGAGTGGCACCGCACCCACGAGAGCGCGCGCAGCTTCCTCGTGCTGCGGGTGGGCAGCAGGCGGAAGCAGCCCTCCGGCGCCGGCCCGGCGGAGGCGGACGACGGGGACCGGGGTAAGTCTGGGGCAGCAGGGGCAAGGGAGCCGCAGGCGAAAAAGAATCCCGAGCTGGCGGCGCTGCTGGGCCGCTGCAACGCGCTGTGTGCGTCGTTCGGCCAACCTGAGCTGTACGCCTTCAAGCCGCCTGCCAGTAGTGCCAGCGGAGGAGCCAGCGGAGGAGCCAGCGAAGAGAAGGGCAGCAGTCGCAGCAGCGGCGGTCCGGGGACTGCGGTGGGGGACGCCTTCCACGTGTCCATCGCGTGGTCGTTCGCCGAGCCCACGCCCGAGATGCGGCGGGTGACGGAGCAGGTCTTTGCGCGGGCCGGTTGCGGCGACGCCGTCGCGGACATGCGGATCAAGGTGGACGGCGTCAAGGCCAAGATCGGGAACGTGGTCACTCACATCGGGCTGTTAGCGCCGGGATCGGACACCGGAAACGAAGAGGTGGTCAAGGGCGAGAGGCGAGGGCTGTTCGGGCTTTGACCCTGGTTTGGTTGGGAAGAGACTCGGGGATGCGTGCGAGAGTGTAGATTAGTAGAGACGGAAGTATGTTTGTGAGAGGCACGTCCCGTCTCAATCAGGCATCTGATGCCTTCAGTACAGAGATACGGGATCAACACAGTCATCAGAAGAGCGGTATTCGCTGGATGTATTTCTAGTCTTGTCTGTGCCTCGGTAGATCCGGACTCCAACTGATCTGGCAGAATGACATCGTGCCGCCGCCGAGCACACGCAGGATTTATGTACGATCGTCACCTTTTTTCCCTCCTCGTCTAGAAACAAGAAGCCGCCGCATGCTGTCTGCGCATCGAAATCACGGCAGCCGAAAACAACACAAATCGAGCCAAAAACAAGGAGTCGTACGCAGAGGGGTGTACTGCACGAGAAATCAAAGATCCTGCCATTTAGAACGCCGGGCCGCGGCCGTGGTCGATCAGCCGACCAGGCCTGAATGCTATCTACCTGTACCTTGCGCGCGCAGAAGTATCATCAAATCCGAATGAAGAAAGGAGACGAACGCCGAGGGCGACGTATGCTTCATGTGTGGGGGAAGCGATACACGCCGATGCCGATGCAAATGCCACAAAATTTATCATGGGGCGGGATATCACAGGGTACGCAAAGAAACCAGATCAAGATCCTCCGTTCGCTACCTTTAGCTTCCCTCCATTCCAATCGCCGGAGGGACCTGTGGCCTGGGGATCAGAGCTCACGCTCCACCGCCTGGTCCTCGGTGTTGGCGCTCGCGGGCTTGTGGCCGAAGATGGCCTCGAGGTCCGGCCACTCGACGTACGACTCACGGGGCGGAACGTACAGGCCTATGTACCATCGCCAGGCGCGATCCATCTCGTACAGGGATGCGTGCCAGCTACGATCTGTCAGCAAAGGATTCGAAGAATAGGCGCGCGCAAACGCAAACGACAGGAACACAAGGGCGCACTTACAGCCATCTCGGAAATCCGATAAACCCTCCCATGACGTACTTGAAGACCGCGATAACGTTCTTCAGCTCATCCGCGGAATCTTTAGCAGCCTGCTGGAGCCTGGTGAGGTTGCCATCTCCAGATGAAGGTTCCTTCAGACCATCCCACTCGTCGCTGTTTTCCGCGACTGCCTCGGAGTGCTGCTTGCTCTGGCCCTGGCCCACGGCATGCGGCAGTTTGACGCGATCGGGGAGAGCCTTCGGCTCGTCCTCTTTGGGCTTCTCCTCCTCGACGGGAATCAACTTGTCGGTTACGCCGTGTGACTCGATCAGATCCCGGAACTGGGTCACTGCGTCGACGGAGTTGCTCAGGCGGGCGTATAGGTTGAACAGGGCGACGAGCTCGGTTCTCTTCAGCAGGGGAATCTCGCCGCTGCCGTTATCGAACTCGAAGAGGACCTTGAGCGCAGCACCGTAGCCCGCCACCTGCAGCTTGCCCCAGAGCCGGCACTTGTCGCAGCTCGTACAGTCCATGATCCGGCTGATGTTGCGAAAGTTGTCCTTGAACTCCTGCTTGAGGCTGGGGCCTTCTCCGTTCTTGAACATCAGGCTCTCGTCGAAGATCTCGGGCTGCTTGAGCGAGGCGTCCACGACGGCGGCGACCTTTGCCTTGGTGGCGGCATCTTGGTCACGGTCGCCGGTGCAGAAGGTATAGGCCTGCAAGTGTGGACCGATCTTGGCGACGGCACGTGTGACAAGGGCGTAGTTGAAGTACAGGTTGGCAATACGCTCGGGATGGGACTGGACGCGCTCGACGTAGCACGATATGTTGCGTCCTCGTTCACCCGTCATCTTATTGAGGTAGTCCCAGCAGATATGAGTGTTGATGCTGGCGTGCATGCCCGAGACGACCCGGAAGAACACGCGCTTTTCGAGACACTCGTCCTCGTACTCGAGTCCCGTGGACGAGGGAACGGGCCCCTCTATGCCCTGGCTTCGCTGCTGATCGAGCACCTGCTGACGCTCGGCGCTCTGCAAAACGGCCCTGAAGTCTTGCTCTGCTGGGCCTCTTGCAACCGATGACATGCCCAAGCCAGCCGAGTGTGGAAAAGATGACTTCTTGAAGCAGTTGTGGCGATAGATGGCGTCCCAGACCATCTGGGCACTCTTGCCGCCGTATCCAGTGAAGCGCTCGGGGTTCGCGACCAGAGAGACGTAGTCCCCCTTTGCGGAGGCGCTCTCATCGTCCGGAACGCAGTAGTCCCGATCGTCGCCTTCGTCGTCATAATCAACCACACAGCTCTCGCCAACATTCTCTCCAAGGGAACCCTGCAAGGGCCGTTGAGGTCGCTCTTTTTGCGCCTTCCGGCCGGGGTGCTCAGCCTTGGGGCCTTCGAGTTTGCTCAGCTCCTCGGCACGCCAGACCAGCGGGATGTCGGCCTCGTCCTCGATCGTGGAGACGGCGCATGCAATGTTGCCGCATAAGCCGCTGTCATCGTTCCAGAACGGACAGGTGCGGCCGAACAGGCCGAGGCGGTAGTAGGAGAAGTAGTCGGTGGTATGGGTCAGGTCGTCGACAGCGGGCTTCACGTTCTGGTTAAGCTTCTCGAGGGAGTCGTACGAGACGCAAGCATCCGAGACGATGGCATGGGGCGTGATCTGGCGAGAGACACCGTTAGGAACGACAGCCGAGGGGGTGAGAGCTGAGCAGTTTCCAGAGCGGGAACCGGACAAGCGAACAGGGGACAAAGAAGAAGAAGAAGAGGAGGAGGAGGAGGAGGAGGGTTCAGACGATGCTGCTGCCGCCTCGGCCGGCGCAGCCGCCATCGCCAACATAGCGAGGCCGGCCAGGCCAGCGAGGAGCAGAGCATGGACTGCGCGCAGGATGTTCATCATGATGGTTGACGTACTTCGCAGGAGTTGTTGTCATCCTCTGGCCTGCTGCTTGCGCTTTTGCATTGTGCTTGGCCAAGCAAAAGCGAACAGAGGATGAAAAAGCTCTTTGCTGCAGGCCGCATTGTGCCAGGCAGCGCAGGGCGAGGGGGGTCTGTTCACGATGTATACTATCGCACGATTGGGCGCATGCGGGTCGGGGCTCCGCGTCAGGGTAGCAATCGATTTCTGTCCTCTTGATCCCGCAGGAGGGGCTTTTGCCGGCTGAGGTCGCAGACGGGCTATGTGACAGGAGGTGAAACGAGTTCCGAGTTGAGTTAAAGACCCGGATGCACACTCTGGAGGACGGGACCGGGGGGTCGTTGCTGAGCTAGGGGGGTGGGCGTGTGTGCGTGTGTGTGTGTGTGTGTGTGTGTGTGTGTGTGTGTGTGTGTGTGTGTGTGTATGTACTTTGGACTCTTGGAAGAGAACACTTGGGGGCTTCGAGAACAGAGACTGTACTCTCTTAATAACAACGCATGCAGGTCAATCTAACGCAGACTCCTGTGACTGGACAATGGCCACGGATGAATCGCAGGTCACGAGAAGGAAACAGACGGAAACGAATCGGTATGTATTGAGTGAACAAGCTTAAGTCTGGGGGGCGTTGTGATAAAGTTTCGAGACAAGGCGCGGGCAGAAGCAGGGGTCCCGTCCGGACAAGTGCGGCAAGGCTCAACGTGTTCTCTTTTTTTTTCGGCGTGCCACAGTGGCGGGCTTACACAGCACCAGTGACAACGAGGAGGCCCTTGGAATCTGGATCCCACGCGTTCGGCCATTGGGTGACATGGTTCGATCCATGGTCCGATCTCCCCGTTTGGGCAGGAAGGCGAACGATTTGACTCGTCCGCCAGCTGATTACAATATAGTTGGCCTCCCAGCTGACGACGGACAAGCACGACGAGCCAGCCAGGTTGCCAGGCCTGCAATTGCCGTCGTCTTGTTGAAATGTGTCCAGAACCCCAAGTCATGAGCAGCTCGAGCCAACGTCTGACATTGCCCGTTTTCGATGCCATTCATGCCATTTCTCGGCAGATCGGCTTTCAGAAATAGAAATCCGGCAGAGCTGCCATCGTACGTCATACGCAGCCCTGGAGCAGCAAAAGTGGCTGAGGCTGACCTGTTCCTATTTTATTTTGGATTTTTGCTCCCAGCTTCGGAGCCTCGCCCGCTGGCCGGTGGCACAGGTTCTCCAGCTGCTACGTACTAACCTACAAGGTTTCAACGGTTTGGGGCGTTCTTAGAGCATCCCGCTAACCAACTTAGATTGGCACCACGCTCGCTCACCACGTTTGCTTGCACCGGGCATCTTGGCTAGACATGGTCAGATCGTGTATAACACGAGCTCATCTACGAGAACTCCGTATTGATTGCATGTTGACTAGTGCCCGTGCGATAATCGTGCCTTTATATTCGTATTTCATTCGGTTTGCTATAGAAGCAGCTCTGATAAGCCAAAGGCTACTGGGAAACCCCTGTATCAGATGACGAGAACCGTTGATGAAAGGACCAGTGACGGCGGGGCGGTCAGGAACCCCTCCAATCCAATCCGATCCAACTCGCCCACCATTAGTAATTTCCTGAGTCCAGAGTCAACCACAATGCGATGCGTCGGTCAATATCCTCCCCCTGTCCGACCACGACGTCGCCCTGATTATGTGAGTCCCTCGCATGCATCACGATGCCAGTGGGTGAACGACAACCATTACTCCCCTCCCCTCTCACACACTCTCTCCCCGTGCCGTCAGATGCCTTGACTGCATTGGCCTCGTCTCCACGGTGGCCGAAAATGGACAGAGATCAGGCTTCCAAGAAGATGACCCATTGCCGTCTACAGCATAGTCAGGAAACTACGCGAGACGCAAGCGAGCAGCTGTGAAGTGATGCCGCAGAAAGAGCACAATGACAAGAATTCCAGCCGTAAATCGTCTCGAGCATGATACTCATACAAAATGCAAGTGTCGCTATGCAGAAGTTGGGTCCACAGCCGTGAGCAGGCTGCTCCGGAATGGCCCAAGCCAGGTGCTATTGTGTTGCTCGAGGCTGATCACTGAGGAGGCTGATAGTTGAGCGGTCGCCTGGAGGTGGGGGAGTTCGAGGTCAGCTTAACGTTGGTCCCGACAGGGAGACGCGGAGAGGGGGAGGCGGTGTGCACTCACTTAAACAGCAGGATATGAGGCTCGGGCTCATGAACCTCATAATGCTCCCATCCCAAGCTCTAGCACAAGGGAACCAAATTAGTTGTTGCTCGGCAGGGCAGTCGGGGCATCTCTTTTCGTAGGGAGCACGTACCTGCGTAATACCAATGGCACGCCACTCATCCTCCCATAACAGCTTGAGCGTACCATGCGAGGCATCGTGGTAGTCCTTGGGGATGGCCTTCAACATTGCCTTGGGGAGCTGAACGTGTCTGTATTCATACTCGCTGTCGGAGTAGCTGGGAGGGGGGTTGGTCAGTGCTCCGTGTCCGTCAAGCGCTAGAGATGCAGCGGGATAACAAGGGATTGGGTCCTACCGAGCCGAGTAGTGGATGCTATCGATGAACTCTTCAAGCCGAGCTCTCTCCGAGTCGCTCAGAGGCCGAGGGACCTTGTTGCGGCGGGTCATGTCAATGTCCATGGCAGGAGGCATCTTGGCGCGTGGGCGGTGGCGGGTGGCTGGTGGGATGGATCTATCTCAAGGGAGATCTTTGTGGAGGGACAGCAGCAGCCGGGGCTACGGCGACGACAAGGACAGCCGGCGAGGGGAACGAGCGTCGGGCGGATTGCAGCAGTAGCAGCGGTAGCGGCGGTGCTGTGTGTGTGTTTGTGTGTATGTGTGTGCGTGCGTGTGCGTGTGTGTGTGTGTGTTTTTTTCTCTGCCCTGGGCCAGGCAAAGAATCCGAGGGGGGAGTTTGGTCGCGTGGGGCTCGATGTCGGCGGGAGGCGGGAGGGGCGGGCAACGGGCAGGTCGGCCGGAGGTCACAACCTGTCGAGGCAAGGCAGCGCAGGGCGAGGTGAAACGGGGCGAGGAATGCGGATGCTTCAGAAGCGCGCTGGCGAGACTGGCGAGACTGGTGAGACGAGCGCGGTCAGGTCTGCACAGAAGGTGCAAAGTCGAGGGCCGGCAGGAGTGTGGATGTCGCAGAGAGGGAGAGAAGGAGCGCGCCGGTGGTGGGCAGCGAATCCAGTCAGGCGAACGGATTATTGGACCTGAGGCGGCGGTTTGACGGGCGGGCTGGGATGCACTTTGTTTCGACCGATTGTGCAGAATAAACATTCGCGCCCAGGCCACCGAGGGGTCCGTCCTCGCTGCTGATCGGAGGGGCATTTTTTGGGGGGGCGCTGGATTTCCACCTGCATCTTTACCATAGTATTGTCAAGGTCCACTGGGACTGGGCGGCTGGACAGCCTGACCTTAGAACCGTGGACAGCCTGACCTTAGAGCCGTAGACAGCCACAGCGAACCCAGGGAGGACCGCCACACCTAACTAGACTCCAGCGAGGCGAGGCGAGGCTCAACAGCGCCTGGGCAGAAGACGGCCAGACGGCCAGACTGTCAGACGGCCAGACGACAGCCGGTCAGACAGACCAGGTGCCCCCCGGGGGCCCAGAAACGAAGTTGTTGGTCAATTGCGCACTCACACTGGACCAACTCATTTGGCTCTCGCGGCGCGCAGACCCCATCGTCCATCCCCCGTCCATCCCCCGTCCACGCCCATCATCCATGTAACTTGTGGTCTGCACCAACAGCCATTTGAGCATCTCCAAGCTTCTCAGCGTGCCTTGCACCACCGTTGCCTACCTATAGTCCAGTCCAGTCCAGCGGGCAGCCTCCTAGCCCCGTCGTCCCCGAGCTTTTAGCGCTGCACCCACGCAAAAACACCCGCCGTCCATCGTGCCCATCCACCGTCCCAGACCTTGGGAGCCCAGCCAGCCAGCCAGCCAGCCAGCGCGAGAGAGAGCCAGCCCACGTAACTGAACTTTTAGGTACTGGTTCGGCGCAACGCAGAAGCTCCCCCCATCCCATCGCGTCCAGTGCAAAGCCGTCGCGTAACCCTTCGCAGCCTCAGCCTCGTCCCCGGCCGTCTCCCGTCCAAAAAACACCACGCTCCATCGCGCCCCGACTTGCGCACCATCCGCTGTGCCATTTGCAGGCGCGCTGCACCCTACCCCCAGGACGCAATCCGATCCAATCGTCGCCTGGAGCCGCATGCCTGCCTCCCCCGCTGCGCATAGCTGAAGATGGAGGGCAAGAGAAAGGCGAGTATTGCGAACGGCATCGATGCCGGCTCTAGTACGCCGGACCGTGCCTCGAAGCGTCGCAGGCTGGAAGAGGTAAGCTACTACCTACCTATACTACACCTCTTTTTGTCCCTTCCATTTCTTCCTATACTCTCCCGCCCGCCCGCATCGCAAGTCTCCATGCACATGGAGGGCTGCCGTGTGCATGCGACGTGCAGTTGCCCCGTCATGTCGCGAAGCGTCTACCAGCACAGCACCTCTGCCCTGCCCTGCATCGAGTACCTGTTCTCGCCTCAAGCTGCCCCTTGTCCGCCTAGTACAAGCCCGGAGTTGGACCACATCTCGCAACCCCCCGAGCTATAGCAGAGCTCGGCCCCAAACGTGTTATACTACCGACCGACGTGGCCATGGCTAACTCGACGGCAGGAGTTTGGCGACTTGGCCAACGGAGAGTCCGCCGAGTCCACCACCGCCTATGGGCTGAACATGCTCGAGACAATCAGAGCTACCACTGACAAGAAGTGAGTGCCGCGCACCTCTATCCAACACCTCGGTCGTGTTGCTGACCCCCCATGCTATCTACAGTGGTCGCGCCGTCGCCCCCATATTCGAGAAGCTCCCCAGCAAATCTGCAAACCCTCAGTACTACAAGAAAGTCCGCCTGCCTCTGTCGCTGGAGCTGCTCGAGAAGAAGCTCCGGAGCCATGAGTATACAAACCTGTCTACCCTGGAAAGCGACTTCAAGCGCCTGGTACAGAATGCCAAGGAGATGAACCCGCGCACCTCGGAAGCCTTCAATGACGCCGAGCGCATTCGCAAGGCCGTCAGCAATCTCATGGTCAAAACCAACCCAGCCTACAAGTCCGGCAACTACTCAGCGATTCCCACGCCCCTTCCGCCGAGTCCTGGCCGCGGTGAGGCCGCAGCAGACGACGACGACGACGACGGTGCCGACGAGGAGGAAGACGATGCCGAAGCCGATGCAGACGCCGATGAGGACGAGGACGCCGTCGAAGACGAGGAAGAGGAGCCCGAACCAGAACCATCCGCCAGAAAGCGAAGGGGCGGTAGGCCTTCTCGTGGTGCGGTAGCATCGACGCCCAAGGCCTCCCGATCGGCATCAGCCCAGGCTGCCGACCAAGACAGCTACAAGGGCCTCAGCTTTCAGCAGGCGCAGGAAAAGATCGTGAACGATATGTTGGCCAAGAAGGACGACAGGTTGGTTCTCCATCCACCACCGCCAGGATATGATTATACAGGAGCGGTTGCTGACAAGAGTTCTGCAGTGGCGAGTATCAGTATTTCGAGGCGTTCTCCTTCTTACCTCCTAGGAGTCTCAAGGACTACTACGAGATTATCGCAGAGCCCATCTCGTTGAAAGCGTTGCAGAAGCAAGTCCGTGGCCAGCATGGCAGGGGCGAAGCGACCGGCGTCAGTGACTTCAAGAGCTGGTCCCAATTTGAGGATCAGGCCAGCCTTCTCTGGAAGAACGCGTACCACTACAATGAAGATGGCAGCGAAATCTCCTTGCTAGCCCAAGAGCTTGAGGTGCGTGTCCTCTCTTACGCAAGGTTCATTTTGCTATATGTACGTGATACTTTTGCTAACACGATCGGTGCAGGCATACTTCACCGAGTTGCTAAAGGACGCAAAACACCACGTCCAAGAGCCCCCACAGTCCAAGATAAAGCTCAAGGTCCCCCAGAGTGCTCAGACGCCTGCCCAGCCCAAGAAGATTACCATTCACGTAGCGGGCGGCAAGGACAGTGCGGCTGCGTCACCAGCCCCTGCCACTGCGCAGTCTGCTGAAGGCGAAGTGACTCGCAATGGCACACCAGTCGGCCGGAACCCATTCAATGGTGCAGCTGCTGTTAATCACAGTCAGCTGGACAAAGCCCGGAGTATGTCGACCTCGGCACCACCGCGTAGCCCTTCGGTCACAGGCGCAGTCAAGCCCGAGGAGACGGCCAGGCAGTCACCCGCCATACCGCCCCCGGGGCCGGCCATGATCACACAGCAACAATTTGCTCCGGTCTTGCCTCCTCCCGGCATGAACGGAATCCCGGCCGTCGCTCCCCCTCCTCCTCCGCCGCCGCCGCCGAAAAAGACGGCCGCGGATATCCTGGAGGCCCAGAAATACCGGCCACATCCCATAAGTAGGTACCCATCCCGTGTCGAGTTCCAGGTCTCGCTACTAACAGCCATACAGAGGAGTCGGAGGCTCTGATCTCAAAGCTGGTCATCAACTCCCATCCGAGCCTTACCCTCGACAAACCCCTGGATATCACAATACAGGCAAGCACAACGGAGACCCAACAGGAGCTTGTGTTCAACGCCCCGGCAAGTTACTTCCGCCTCCAGCTGCGACCTCACATACCTGCCTTCCTGGAGGCCCAGCAGCGTGAATGGAAGCTTCACGTGTCGCACGACGGGGCACGTCTGTACCCGTCCTCAGGACCGGACCGGCGCAGCGAGCCCATCTTTGACGCGAACCTGCGCTATGGCACCAACCGTTTTGAGGTTGGACTGGTGGCAGCCTTACCGAAGGGCGAGAAGGGGCCGCACGGACTCGGAATGGAGATGGAAAAGATTGTAGTTTTGTTCAACTTGCTCAAGCACCATTAAATTCATTGGCTGGCATGTTTGGGGATCCGGCAGAGATGGATCAAACGATTGGGGAGCAAAAAGGGGTTGTGTTGCCTCGCGAGGCCTGCGGTGGTGGGACAGGCGTTTATTGTCGGTATATGCTGTGAGAACATGCGGTTATAGTCTACATTTTGCAGGGGCCTATAGGAGGTGGACTTGGCATTGAGGCGCTTGTGCTGCTCAGGCCTTCCGACTAGCGGGCGCTGACCGTCAGAAACAGTGGCTGGTGGTGCTAGTTCGGCCTGGTAGGAGGCAACAAGTTGCTCCCTTTTGATCGTCAAGATGTTTTTTAAAAGTCCCGCCGAAACCAGCAGCACTAGATTCATGTTGCCTGGGTCGCCTAAGCATATAATTTAATCAGAAAGAATGACGAAGAGTCACGTTCACGAGGGAGGCGTGAGATTGGTGACCAAGGTCCGAAGGCAGGTCTATTTACAGTATGCAGTCCAAAGAAGCTCTGTCCTTCTTCTGTTACCCAAACATTTGTATTCAGATTATCAACGTGCCACCTAGCCGCAGCAGCAGCAGGCATCCAGGAAGGGGTGGATAAGCTAACCGACAATACCTACTTACTCCCGATCTAGGTACATAGACGTGTTTAGGGAGGAGGAGGAGGAGAAGAAAATAAAAGCAGTCGTTAGGCCCGGCTTGCCCGTTTCTTCACTCCAGCTTCCACGACATAGTTGGGGGTACTATGGTAGGGTCAACAAGGCGGACACTGTCATCCAGTGCCTGGCCCAACGAAAGCAGAGTCAGAAAATCGCCTCCACGACTCGTGGAGCACTATGTTCCAGTGCCCCTCACAGTGGTGGGTGCACCGGCTTCACTTTTTTTTTTCGTCCTTCTCCCAGCAGTTCCCATGGCAATCCGATGCCCCAAGTGGCCCCAGTGGCCCCAGTCAGTGGCAGTGGCCCGTGTGCGTCCTCTTCCCGGCTCGGAAGACCCTGGACCAGTGATGGGAGAGGCGTGGGAAGCACGACTTGACTTGCCTGGAGGTTGGCGGGTTGGCGGGTTGGCGGGCAGAGAGACCCCCCCAGCACCCAGCACCCTCCAAGCGCCGCTAGGCCCAATGCAGTGAATATTAGTGGCTCACCGCCCAGACCGCTGCCCGCAGCCCGACCCACTCGCAGCGAAAATTCGTTCGCAAAAAAAAAAAAAGTCGGTTGAAAAGGCTGGCCGAGCACAAAAATACGATCGGGCCTCCCCTCCATTTATCTACTGAGCCTTGCACACTCCTCTCTTCTTTCCTTCTCCCGATTTGTCCCTCAGAGATCCTACAGATCGCAAAATCCATCAAAATGGCGGAAGAAGTTTACGACGGTGCCATTGGCATTGATTTGGGTACGTCCTCTCCCGCCTTTGCGTTGTGTTCAAGACGCACCCCCAACCCCCCGCGGCGCCGGCCAGAGAAGACGTAGAAGACGAAGAACATCTCGCCGTGCAGCCAGCGACGCCCGCCCGCCCGCACCGTCCACTGCTCGAGCGAACAGGCTGCTGACCCTCTCCCCCTTTCACAGGCACGACCTACTCCTGCGTTGCCATCTACGAGGGTAACAATGTCGAGATCATCGCCAACGAGCAGGGTAGCTTCACTACCCCCTCGTACGTCTCCTTCAACGAGAAGGAGCGTCTGATCGGTGAGGCTGCCAAGAACCAGGCTGCCATGAACCCGATCAACACCGTCTTCGATGTCAAGTGAGTTGCCATTTCTCTCTCCACCAACCCAGTCGGCTCGTTTTCCTCCGAGGCTGTGGTCGAGCGTGGTGACTGACGGAATTTTCCCTCCCTCCAGGCGTCTTATCGGCCGTCCTTTCGATGACCCCATCGTCAAGAAGGATATCGAGTCGTGGCCCTTCAAGGTCGTCGAGCAGGGTACCAACCCCATGGTCCAGGTCGAGTACTTGGGCGAGACCAAGACTTTCTCCCCCCAGGAGATCTCCGCCATGGTCCTGACCAAGGTAAATACCCAACCCCCCCTCGGGGCACCATACGAAGAAGACTTTTTTCCTGACAAGTTGCGCTACAGATGAAGGAGATTGCCGAGGTCAAGCTTGGCAAGAAGGTTGAGAAGGCTGTCATCACCGTCCCTGCCTACTTCAACGACAACCAGCGTCAGGCCACCAAGGACGCCGGTGCCATCTCTGGCCTCAACGTCCTCCGTATCATCAACGAGCCCACTGCCGCTGCCATTGCCTACGGTCTGGGATCCGGAAAGTCCGAGAAGGAGCGCAACGTCCTCATCTACGATCTCGGTGGTGGTACTTTCGATGTCTCCCTCCTGAACATCCAGGGTGGTGTCTTCACTGTCAAGGCTACCGCCGGTGACACCCACTTGGGTGGCCAGGACTTCGACAACAACCTCCTGGAGCACTGCAAGAAGGAGTTCTTCCGTAAGACTAAGAAGGACATTAGCAACGACCCCCGTGCGCTGCGAAGACTCAGAACCGCTTGCGAGCGTGCCAAGCGTACTCTGTCCAGCGGTGCCCAGACCACCGTCGAGATCGACTCTCTCTTCGATGGTGAGGATCTCTTCCTCCAGCTCACCCGTGCTCGTTTCGAGGAGTTGAACGCCAAGGCCTTCGCCGGTACCCTCGAGCCCGTCGCTCAGGTCCTCAAGGACGCTGCCTGCGAGAAGAAGGACGTCCAGGAGATCGTCCTGGTTGGTGGTTCTACCCGTATCCCCAAGATCCAGAAGCTCCTCAGCGACTTCTTCGACGGCAAGAAGCTCGAGAAGAGCATCAACCCCGATGAGGCTGTCGCCTACGGTGCCGCCGTCCAGGCTGGTATCCTCTCTGGCAAGGCCACCTCGGCCGACACCTCCGACCTCCTGCTGTTGGATGTCGTTCCCCTGTCCCTTGGTGTCGCCATGGAGGGTAACATCTTCGCCCCCGTCGTCACCCGTGGCCAGACCGTCCCCACCATCAAGAAGCGAACCTTCACCACCGTCGCCGACAACCAGCAGACCGTCCAGTTCCCCGTCTACCAGGGTGAGCGTGTCAACTGCGAGGACAACACCTCCCTGGGAGAGTTCACCCTGGCCCCCATCCCCCCGATGCGCGCCGGTGAGCCCGTCCTGGAGGTCGTCTTCGAGGTCGACGTCAACGGTATCCTGAAGGTCACTGCCACCGAGAAGACCTCGGGCCGCAGCGCCAACATCACCATTGCCAACTCTGTCGGCAAGCTGTCGTCTGCTGAGATCGAGACCATGATCAGCGACGCCGAGAAGTTCAAGAACACCGACGAGGCGTTCAGCAAGCGCTTCGAGGCCAAGCAGCAGCTCGAGTCGTACATCGGCCGTGTCGAGGAGATGATCTCGGACCCGACCATGTCCCTCAAGCTGAAGCGCGGCCAGAAGGAGAAGATCGAGGAGACCCTCAGCGAGGCCATGGGCCAGCTTGAGATCGAGGACTCCAGCGCCGAGGACCTCAAGAAGAAGGAGCTGGCCCTCAAGAGGCTCATGACCAAGGCCATGTCTTCACGATAAACGAGTCGCTCGGAACAGTTAATGAAATTGGGTCACGAAGATTTAGATGGGGTTTCGCGGCTAGATTTCGACGAGTCTGGCTATGATATGAGGCCCATCTTCATGAATGATAGACTACGGCATTTTGGGGGTGGGGTTCTAAAAGGGTGTTCCCATTCTCCCTCGTCCCGGTAAAGAGCGAGGAAGCGCGAACAACAAAAGTCTTGCAGGGTTCAGGCGTTTTCTCTCTTCCGCAACCTCATATATTCCTTTTTGAGCTCCCTCACCTGGGGGTTCTCTCTCTCTCGTCCGCGCATCCTACCTCGGCGCATCACGCATGTAGAATAGGAAGAATGAAAGAATGAAACAAAAACAGCAGACTCCTCCGGGAAATGTCGTGATACTGTGTTGATTCTGTGTATGTAAACTGTCTTGTTCAGATGTATGCGAAACTACTTCGAGGTGTACGGGACTACACAGGACGACTGGTTCTGTGTTCCAAATGCAGGTCCTTCCACTGCCATCCGCGTTGGTGGTCTTGCACCATGGATGGGTTGCTTCTCTGCTCAGGACTCGGTCAATTCAAAACGTGCCCCAATTCGTCCGTCTCACCGCAGAGTTTGATCGGGCATTACATACATAGAGTGAGGCAGAAGAGAGACGGTGGTCGGCGGATCGGGGCTTACTAGACTCGGTACGGGTTTTTCTGCGGGGCTCTTTGTTTCGAGCTGTTTACGTCACTCGCTTGGAGGAAACGAATCCCATGTTCACTAGGTAGCTGTTAGACTCCGGATTGACTGGGCGACAAGCTTCCCTCCCACAACGCCTACATGATGGCATTCCTCGCACGCGGGGTATAAATCATTTAGAAACTCGTCATCCGGCTGCCTTCTGACGCTCAGATACTATTGCCATCTCCTTGCGCGAACCTCCCGTGTCGATAAGAGCGCGCATCCTGCGTATCCCAGCATCCAGCATCCAGCCTTGATACTCCAACCACAGACATCGAACCTCTGCCAACCGATCCCCGATAATCCCGAGCCGGAGGACCACCATGTCTTCGGCGATAGACATAATGGACAGTGCCGGATACATCCAGACCAGCCTGATCTGGGTGGCGTATGCCGTGGCCGTCGGTATAGCTCTCATCATCGGAGCTCTGGTGACCTTCACCTGGCAAGACCACCGGGAGAGGTCTGTTCTTGTCAGCACCGTTGCCACGATTAGTCTCACGGCCTTGCTTGCGACCGTGCTCCTGCTCCCCGTCGACATCGCTCTCGTCTCGTCCACCACCGATGCCGCCCTCGGCGTCAAGAAGGACTGGGCGACCGCTTCGCGCGTCCAGGATATCCTCTTCACGCTCAAGGTTGTCTACTACAGTCTCTACAGCTTCGACGCCCTCCTTTGCTTGATCGTCATTCCCTTTACCTACTTCTTCTACGAGGAGTACGACGAGGTCGAAGAGCAGGAGGGAAACCAGACGTTTGGCAGCAGGCTTTGGGGGGCTTTCAAGTACACCATTGCCTTCATACTGCTGGTCGTCATCATTTTCCTCGTCGGCTTCTTCGTACCCGCTGCCGGACGTCATGAGGGCAAACACCTGGACCTGGACTTCTTCAAGCGTCTCCTGGATGAAAACCATGGCGAGAAGGCCATCACGTTTGGTGTCGGATTGTTGATCACGCTGGGAACTTTGCTGTACATCCTCTACACCGGTGCGGGCTTGGCGCTTCTGCCAGTTTCCTTCATCAAGTCGGCGCCCTCTGTTTCTGCGCCACAGCTGTCGGAGAACACTGCATCTCAGCTGGAACAGAACCGTGAGCGCCAGCGACAGCTGGAGATGCGCAATGCCGGTCGCCCGGAGGGCATGTCGCAGAAGGACCGCCGCGAGCTGGAGGCTCTTGCTCGGGAAGAACGCACTCTTGTCCGTCGCGAGCGTCTGGCGGCAGAGGCTCAGGGTGAGGGCAAGAGCTTCCTCGTGAGAGCGTGGACCAAGATCTGTGCCATCTTCCGACCCATCAAACTCCTCGGCGGTATACTCCTAATCATCATCGCACTGTTGACTTGGGTGTCTATGCTCATTACTGGCATTGACAAGGCCGCCAACTCTGTTTGCAAGCAACACTGCGGCTACATTCTCGCCCACGTCAATGTCTTCCAGCCAATCAACTGGATCTTTGTGCAGACCGCGCGAGCGTTCCCGGTGGATTACATCCTGATGGCCCTGTTGATCGTCTTGTTCCTCAGCAGCTCCATCTCAGGGCTGGCTTCTATTGGCATCCGCTTCCTCTGGCTCCGCATCTTTCAGATCCGCAAGGGTCGCACCGCACCCCAGGCCCTGCTTATCGCGACTGTGCTTCTTGCACTCATCATTCTCGGCATCAACTACGCGGTGGTCATGCTGGTCGCACCCCAGTATGCCTCTTTCGGCACCCAGACCTTCTGTGACCTCCCACCTCACCACGCAGACGAGCAGCCCAACTGCAGGAACCACCTTGAGGCGGTCCAGCCGTGCTCTGAATGGGTCGACCGCCACTTCAGCACACAAACCTGCACGCCTACCGTCATGAGCACCTTCCTGAACCGCGTCACGCTGACCTGGCCCGTGTTCGGAGCCATCGACTTCTGGGCCCAGTTTGCCTTCTTGGCCGTGTTCTTGATAGTGTTCCTAACTACCCTGTTCCGCACCCCCCAGATGAGTCTGAGCGAGTACGACGAGGACGCCGAGGCTGATGAGGAGGAGGGCCTGCTGGCATCAACGTCGAGGAGGTTTGGCGCCACCTGGCAGGATATCAGAGGCAAGTCAGGCAGGAACGGAACCGAGCCCAGCAACGGCGAAGGATCCCATAACTGAGTCACGAGACGGTTGAGTTTTTCAAGTTGTACTTTTCAAAACCTGTGGCTGGTGTTCACGAGTTCAGATTGCTGTTATCGAAAGGTGCGCTCGTCAACGTCAGCGGTGCTGCGGTAGTTGGAAGAAGTATATACCCCGGTAGGCATATGCATGGACAGGAACAGGGGGGCTTCTCACGGGAAGGGCTGGCTGGCTGGTATACGGCGCTGGGCCAGGCGTTTTCGTGTCATATTCTTTTTAACACAAGGCCTTGGGCGTGGGCTTTCCCAGGAATGGGTAGGGCTTGTGCAGAGCATGAGGTTAATTGCATTTTTGTTTGTTCCTATCAGAAATCTTGAGCCCATATGTCTTTCAAAATGTTTCCTGTTGAGCTAGAGACACAATGTGATTGATGGAGAATCCACCCGCCGACTATCCGCCCTAGTTACTCAAGGCCAGCTCCACCTATTCCCACTTACCCGCGGTCAAGGCTTAGCTTGTCCGTTGTTCTCGATAGTAACTCGTCACATGGCTCTATCTGTTTCCTATATAGTTGTCAAGGTATATATTCCTTCCCACGAGACAAGGTATATCCTGCTTATCCGCTTCACTAAGAAATTCCATCTCGCGAAACACTCTGATTCCCAAACTCTGGGGTCGCAGTGGAGGAGAATCGTACTCGATGCTGTACACACGACCAATGTAGCTCAACGAAACCAGTCGCACTATATCAACGCATTTTGTATACCTAACACAGGGTCGAATAGTCACCGGAATGGCAACGTTCCACAACCCGATCCTGCGCGGCTTCAACCCGGACCCCACCGTGTGCGTGGTCCCGGGCGCATCCCTGGCGTTCCCGCGGCCGGGGTCGTCGTCGTCGTCGTCAACATCGACGACGCACTACTTCCTCTCCACCAGCACCTTCGAGTACTTCCCTGGCTGCGCCATCTACCACTCGACCGACCTGCTGAACTGGGACCTCGTCGGCCATGCGCTCACACGCCGGTCCCAGCTCGAGATGCGGACCGTAGAGCCTGGGTAAGTCGTCGTCTGGGTATTCTTGCCCTGCCTGGTAGTTATGAGATGGTGCAAGTTGTTGAAGTGCACTGTTCCCAAAAGCCGGGTCTAGGTTCACCACACAGAAAGGATACGTTGGCTAATTTGTCCTGTTTGTCCTGATCAGTGCCGGAAGCTGGGCCAGCACATTACGTTATAGGGAAGACGAGAAACGGTGGTATCTTGCGACTGGGGTGTATCAGAGGTACCGACCGTCCAGTGATGTGAGTTTGTCTCTCAAGAAGGGTTGAGCCCCGACGTCAATGGGTACAGGGGGCTCTGCTTAGAGATCGTTCGAGGGGACTCCTCGAGCATAGAGGGGCTTGTCGTGTAATCGAGGGCAAATGGTTAACAGCCGGTGTCAACAGGAGCGTATTTTCCCGCGTGGATTCTACGTCTGGACGGACAACATATGGGATTCGAGCTCGTGGTCTGATCCAGTCTATTTTGACAACCCGGGCTTCGACCAAGATGTAAGTCGGCCCCTCGGCTCAATATCTTGGAGGCGGAATATGTATTGACTGTGTTCTTTCTTCTCCCGGCATCAAGCTCTTCTGGGACGACGCCACCTCCAAAGTCTACCTGAGCACCACGACCCGCCTGAAGAACCGGCCGGCCGGCTCCAAGCAGAAGGACTTCGCCATCCACGTTTCGGAGATCGACCTCCCAACGGGTCGCACGCTGACGCCGCCGGTCGTCATCCGCCGGTCGCACCACGGCATCGCCGAGGGCTCGCACATCCTGCGGCGCGGGCCGTACTACTACCTGCTCACGGCCGAGGGCGGCACCGAGGCCGGGCACCAGGAGTGGATCTTCCGCAGCCGGGACGGCGTGCTCGGGCCCTGGGAGGGCCAGGGCAAGCCCCTCTGGTACAACGGGCCGGACGAGGAGGTGCAGCGCACGGGGCACGTGGACATCTTCGCCGACGGGAACGGGGACTGGTGGGGGGTCTTTCTGGGGGTGAGGCCCGTCCGGCGGACGGCGGAGGACGGCGGCGGCTTCTTGGAGCCGCAGATGGGCAGGGAGACGTTCCTGGTCAAGGTAGACTGGGTGGACGACTGGCCCGTCTTTAACGAGGGGATGAATATCACATTGGAGACCAAGGGCAGAGGGGGTCATGTCAAGCAGTCGTTGGCTGAGTTGAAACCCGGGGACGTGAAGTGGAGGGCAGATTTGAGCAGCGGCGAGCTGGACCTGGGGTGGTACCAGAAGAGTAAGTATACCTGCACACCGGTCCCGTCACTTGTTAGCTGATGAGGGTGGTCAGATACGCCGTTGAAGCAGTGCTATTCCCTCACGGAGAAGCCGGGGTTCCTGCGCATATATGGGAACTGCTACGATCTCACGTGGCCGGAGGCGCCAGCAATGCTCCTGCGCAAGCAAACCTCGTACCACGAGACGTTCCACGCAACGATGTACTTTGACCCGACTCAGACCGGCTACGAGGCGGGGATGGTGCTCTGGTGGAGCCAGTTCTCATTCGCAACCATCGGGGTGACGCTCCACGGTGGTTCGGAAGGACAAGGGGCTCCTGTACGGACTCTGGTCTGCCGCCGGCCAAAGGTAGGGGGAGGTGTCCAGGAAAGCTACGGGCCTACGCTAAAGGCCGTAGGTTCGGAGGCCGTCCGGCTCATGATCACGGCGAGAGCTACAGAGTACGCACTGGAGATCTCATCCAACGAGGCCACGGAAAAGGTGGTCATCGGCGCGTCAGAGTTGACAACAATGCCGCCAGTAGGCGGGGCCTTTTGCGGTGTCATGGTTGGCCTCTACTCTTTCGGGAAGGGGGAGCCAGTATTGGACCCAGCCGACTTTTCAGATATATCTATTGTGGAAGAGGGACCAAGATGGGGTTAGTTGAGTAGAGTGGCGCTCTGCAAATGCGTAGTGGATACGATGCCATCCATTTCTTGAGTAGCCTCGAGCCTCCAGAAGGATAATCCAAGATCTGATGAAGGTAGGAAAGTATTGGAAAGGAGACATGCAGGTACAATCTGTTGGTGCAACGAAACGCGTCTGACAAATGGGCCGGCGTCGGTGGTAAAACCTGCGGGCCTATGATAAACCGGGACCACAGCTATAGTCAACTGCCACAGAGCACGGCAGGTATCTGCCTCAGATGCCCGGGTCATTTGGCGTGACGACTGCCATGGTCAATTGCCGGGAGCTGTGTAGTTTCGTCTAGTCTCTAGGCTTCTTCGTCCTTCTGGGCTGGAGACGTTGATCAGCTAAGTCATCAGACTGTGCTAAAACCCCCCAAAACCGAGCCTGTGACCGGGTGGTGCTAACCTCCACATCCCGAGCTGTCTCCCTGGTTCCGCACGGGGGCAGAGCGGCTGCGTATGCGGGGTTGCGACATGCCGGCGGCGGGGAACTGTCGGCGTTGGATTGGCGAGAGACTCGTCTAAAGACGCACATGCAAAGCACCATTCGTCGGTGCAATTTACGTGTACTTTAGCTCTGGGGTGCCTCTCTGGGCGGATCAATCAGGGTCTGTAAGAAGTGGAGGCCGACCAACTAGTCTCACCCGTCTCGCAGTCCTCTCCTGTCAGATTGCTCAAAACCAGCGCGTGCCGCACCGTTGGGCCGTATTGAACACTCTATATACAGCATTCCACTAGTACTCGCGTGCTCACAATGACATCTCAGGTGGTCCCCTTCATCATCAACGGCGCCGAGAGCCGCCCCGAGAAGACGTTTGACGTGGTGTCACCCGGCACCGGGAAAGTCGTCCACCAATGCGGAGTCGCGACCGAGACCGAGGCGCTGGCTGCCGTTGACGCCGCTGCCAAAGCGCTCCCGGCATGGCGCAACACGACGCCTGGCCAGCGTCGGGACATCCTCCTCAAGGCGGCCGAGATCTTTGAGAAGAGGCGGCCGGAGCTGGCCTCGTACATGATCGATTCGGTGGCGGCGGCGCAGGGCTGGGCCGATTTCAACATCAGCGTGACCGCCGACCTCGTCAAAGACGTCGCCGGCCGAATCAGCTCAATAGCGGGCTCAATCCCGACGCTTGCGGACCCCAGCGTCAGCGCCATGGTCGTCAAGGAGCCCTACGGCGTGGTGTTGGCAATCGCGCCCTGGAATGCACCCTATATTCTGGGTACTCGCTCGGTGCTATTCCCCATTGCTGCGGGCAACACGGTCGTCTTCAAGGGATCTGAGCTGTCGCCAAAGGTCTTCTGGGCCATCACCGACATCTTTAAGGAGGCTGGACTGCCTGATGGCGTCTTGAACTTCATTTCCACAGACCCTCCCCATGCGGCAGCGGTCACCGAGACCCTGGTCTCTCACCCGCACATCAAGAAAATCAACTTCACTGGAAGCACCGCTGTTGGCAGGATCATCGGCAAGCTCGCCGGTCAATACCTGAAGCCGGTTGTACAGGAGCTGGGTGGCAAAGCTCCCGCCATCATCTGGCACGACGCCGACCTGAACATTGCCGCGGAGCAGTGTGCCCTGGGATCGTTCATGTTCTCCGGCCAGATCTGCATGAGCACGGAGAGGATCTTGGTTCACAAGAAGATCAGCCAAGACTTCCAGAAGAAGTTTGTGGAGAAGATCGAGGCCATGTTTTCTTCCAAGGGCGATGCACCGGTACTAATCAACGCCAACGCCGCCGACAAGGTTAAGAAGCTGCTCAAGGATGCCGTCAGCAAGGGAGGATCCGTGGTCAACGGCAACATCGATGCCGAGGAAGCCTCCAAGACGAGGCTGCGACCGATCGTGATCGCCGGCGTCACTCCCGAGATGGACCTCTACGCAACCGAGAGCTTTGGCCCCTCGGTCAGCTTGATCGAGATCGAGACGGAGGAGGAGGCGCTCCGCATATCGAACGATACCGAGTATGGCTTGACGTCGGCAGTCTTCACTGAGGACCTGCGGACCGGCCTCAGGTTCGCCAAGGGCATCGAGACGGGCGCGGTGCACATCAACAACATGACAGTCCACGATGAGTCTGCATTGCCTCATGGAGGCTGCAAGGCTAGCGGTTATGGACGATTCAATGCAACAAATGGTATCGAGGAGTGGCTGAGGACAAAGACTATCACATGGCGTTCATAAAGAGTCGGCAGAGTCGAGTCCTTATGGCAACTTCCGGAGTATCCGCTGTGTAGGCACTAAATTGAATGCATGAATCTAAGAGTTGAACCAATCAAGCGATGCAAATAGTACTGTGATTGGTCCTGCGGGTTTCCAACTGTCCATCTGTGTACCCAGAGAGGTATGTACTATGGCAATGGTACGTTGTTCGGGGGGCGGCTATATTCCGCGCGTATCCCTGTTCCCATAATCTAGTGGCCCTAGCTCCTGCATTGCAGGAAGAGAAACGTCATGAAAAGTCGTCAACCGTCTCAATAAACCCCGGCTGTGAGCCTCAACCTCAACCTCAACCTCAACTCTCGGCCTCTCGAATTGACAACGTCCTCGAGACTACGACTAACGACATGGGTTCAAAAGCCTCCAAGCCTGTGCAGTCAGCGAGCCGCAAGTTCCCCACCAGGGCGCCTGGTGCAGTACCTCCCGCCTCGCGGCCAACAGCACGCCCAGCGCAACCGCCGCAGCAAGGTCCCAAAGCCTCGTTTGCCAAAGATGAGGGTGAGTCGATTCCCGTAAGGAGAGCTGGGTAGAGCATGAATCCCGTTCTTCGCAGCTTCTGACACCGCCCGCTTCTAGCTATCCAAGCCGACGGCCAAGACCCCGACCAGGCAACGAACCCGGCATTTTCGCAGCGCTTGAGGCAGATGGGCATCGCGACGCCAAATCCCACCCTCTCCAATTCTTCAATAGCATCCACGGGCCCGCCCGCATCCAGTTCGTCTCCCTTAGGACCGAGCTATCCGTCACCGTCGCGAAACCCGACTCTGACTGCCTTGGAGGCGCGCCAGCGCATCCAAGACGAGGTTCAGCTCCAATATGAGAACCCGGCCGGTGGGCGCGGCTTTGTGGACATCGAAACCTTGAGGAAAGCCTTGGTTCTAAGAAAGCGCGGAATCCCAACCTCTGATATCGAACAGCGTCTGCGTCTGAAGCGCGGCGTTGTAGCCCATCTTGAGTCTGGCGGCGCCGTCACCCCGATGTCATACTGAGAACGCCTCTGGCCCGTGGTCCCGCTGCACATCAGTGATCAGAAGTGGGCATTTTTCGCGGATGCGGACAGTCGATCGCAGGTATTATGTAGAATTATTAGGCTATGCTTAAGAGAGAACAAAAAATCAAGACTCTAGGTATGTGAGCCATTGCCGCCTCCCTACCTGGGTATTTCGCTCTGACAAAGCTGACCAGGACACCGCCCTGAAAAAGACTTTTGGCCGACGTCACCCGTTTCTAGAAGATCTGTACATCGTGCTGCATGTACCCTGACGTTTCCCAAGCCGCTTGTCCACGCAATTACCAAGCAGCGTGACCGCCATCGATCCGAAGATCAGCGCCCGTCATGAACCGGCTAGCGTCACTCAACAAGTAGACCGCTGCGCCTCGATAATCTTCAGGCTTGCTCAGCTTGTTCAGCATGTTGTGGGTGGGCCACTCCGTTCGACGCTCAGGGAACTGCTCAAAGAGTTTCTCGACCATCTCCGTCACGACTAGTACGATGCGGTTAGTCATAGAACGCCGGTGCAGCATATGGGCCCACTTACTGTAACCTGGAGAAATGGTGTTGACTCTGATGCCGTGCTGGCCCCATTCCGAAGCGAGGTTGCGGCCAAGTTGGATCACGGCAGCCTTCGAGGCATTATACACACTGCGATCCCGGGTGAGCCTTTGGGCCTTCTCTGGCTGCGTCTTCAAACTTACGGGCAAATCAAACCGCGGTTTGCGATTGTTCCACTCATGCTAGCAATCAAAACCAAGCTGCCCTCCGTCTTGCGACGCACCATCTGTCGAGCAACGGCTTGCGCCGTCATGAGAACGCCGGTCACGTTGACACCCAACATGCGATCTGCATCCGCAGCAGTGTACTCCAGCGCAGGAGTTTCTTGCTGTATACCGGCCGCGGCGATCAAGCCATCGATATGACCGTGCTGGTTGGCGATCTCCTCCGTGACGTCGTTAATTCTGTCAACTCCAGTCCTCACGTCAATCTGGTGATATACCAGAGTTGTCTCAAGCTCGCCCACAGCGCGCCTTGCTACCGCTTGGTACTTGCTGTCAGGACCAGGCTCGGGTTGCCGGTCAAAAACGTGGACTGTCGCTGTGTCAGTGAGGGTCTTGGGCGGATGGACCCGGCTAGTTACGTACCGGTAGCTCCAGCTTCCAATAGAGCTTCCGCTTGCACTAGACCCAGTCCTTGTGCGCCGCCTGACACAATGATGACCTTGTCCTTGAGGCTGAATTCGGGTAACAGTGCTCTGGGGCTGTTCTTGATCGGCTCACGCTCCTGGTCCTTGGACGTAGCGTGGAATTCTCGCGCGCTCAAGGAGACGGGGAATGCCGTTCTCAATGGCTTAGAGTTTGGTGCCCGCGAACGGCCAATCGACGGTTGTGTAAAAGAGGGCGTGCCTCTGGCTAACCTGGCTATCAAGGGAGCCCGTCGACCTATTCTGGGGACAATTGCTGCCATTGTGGATTTTGACCTTGTCAATAGGGTCTTGGTAGGTGTTGGAGCTGTTTGATTCTGGAGTATTGTGTAGGAGTGGAAGCCGAAGTCCAGGACAGACTTTATAGAATTGGGAAGCTTCGAAGGCTACGACAGGCAGTGAATACTACAGATGTGACAACGCCAGTCCAGATCTACGATGATGTAAAACAGAAAGTCAGCAAGTTGCCGAGACCGAATCAAGCGGATTCACGCCCCAAGGCCATATATAACCCTTGCCCTGACGGATAGCTCAAAGCGAAAGAGGAACGACACGAGACCAAGTGACCAACGAAACTGGGGCCCCTCATCTTAGACCATATTCCTCCAGGCGGAAATAAGCTCCGAGCCTCACTTGGCTGAGGGGGAAGCAGAACTAGTATCCTGGCGTCCAGAGAACTGTCCATAATACAATCGGCCTTGCTACGTCCACCACAGTCACTTTTACCCGCCCTCGTCGACCACGCGTCGCCTCATTCTGCCTCAATTGGCTCCGTGCTCGACGTGAAACCCGTCACGCAGACCGGTGAGGCACCGAGAAGTTGATAAATGACAGAAACGATAGCATGGCATTGTGAGCCGCCTGCGTGCTTCCATTCACCCTGGTCTTGCGTAATACTGTCGTTGAATCACAGACGCACCACCAGCAGTGGCAACCAGCGCCGGGTTACCGAAACAGGCAGTCCCGCGTGTGGAGATTTCGCTCGCCAAGCCCCATCTGCTGTGCATCGTCTGCTTCTGGGCCTGGCGCACGCTTCAAGGTTTTGGGGTTGGGTCCACCGAGCCGCCATTCAGTTGCAGACGTTGGGACGTCTGAGCATTGCCGCCAATTCACCGGTCCGCCAGGGATGGGTGGAGGGAGGGGAGCGGGCACGAGGAAAGTATAGTTATAAGGGACGTCTGTTATCAAGCCTCCGCGTTTCTTCCTGCAGAGTCTGCCGCAGCTCGTCCTGCAAGCCCGCCACGACGTCCACCATACACCTACCCGGGAGCCCAAGAGCACTGCAAAATTGGTGCGGTCGACCCTTTTTACCCCGCTGCGTCTGGTCGGTTCGTAACTAGTGCTGCTCCAGTGACTATTTTCGATAGTTGGGGGTCGGAGTATGGAGTAAGTGATCCCTGACCCCGCGCCCATCCACCACGATGGTGGAGCTTCTCAATGGCCAGACCTGGAGCACGACACTAGGTATGTATTTGTGGTGCGTCCATAGCGCTTAGCTTGGTCAGGGTTAACTTGCTCGACTTTTTGCAGCTTTGCAGATCTGGCATCCGGACGTCGGCAGGCAAGTTTCTCACTGGCGAGGCACGTTTCTCGACGTCCCTATGCAGGCTCGCCCTCACCCTCATCATCCCTCGCGGAGCTGGCATATTCTCATGCAGGCTGCCGTGTCACTTTCGGATTTCAATGGCTACCCTACCGCTGGAGTAGCAAAGTCTATGATGATGTTATACCTAATCTACCCTATACCACTAACCTCTTATAAGTGTGCCACTGCATTGGACACATCCTGCTCCCACCCACCCCTGTATAAATCACTTCCGCGTGTCTTCATTGTCTCTATTTGGATGATATCAACGCCTTGGCACAGACGATAGACAATAGCGCGGGTTGTCACCGTAAATCGTCCCTGCCAGAGAGGACACAGCTCCGACCGCGGCAAGTTGTGTCCATGGTCCCTACTGGAGGACCAGCCTGGAACTCCCGAGGCTCGTTCGATAGTCGTGAGGCCTGGTGGCTGCTCAGCTGCCGTAGTCTCATCTGTTGCAGTCGGGAACTTGTCCTACCCCAGGCGAGTCCGGGGGCCAGCGCCGCTGCAGATCCGCCCGAATGCAACGTTAGCCAGCCCGCTACCCAAGGGCAACCGGAGCGGACGCTGGGCGACTGACTTATCGTACAGATCTAGCTTCGGAAGGATCGGCACTGCTAATTACCCTTTTCCATCGGTCAGTCGATAGAATGTGCCTGCTTTGGGTATTCCGTTTGCAGTGAAGAAGGGCTGCCATCTCATTGGCCTGAGTCCAGCTATAGCACGTCCATGGGCTCATTTGGAACCGCCGGTACTAGGCAAATTCCGTTCTTGGTCGACGAGAGGCACGTTTCTCGAACCGGCCGTTCCAGAGTCTTCTCTGATTGGCGATCTAGAATCTCGGATGCCGGACCCCCTAGGCTGCATATACCAGAGATTGGCCCACGACCGCCCTGATTGGCCACCTGTATAACCAATCTGCAGACTCCTTATCTGCCTGTGGTCCTTACTCACTTTTCGCCCCCGCTTGACATTGCCGAGGATTTTTTTTTATTCTCCTTCAGCCCAATTGATCCAACGGCAAGTCAAATTTGGAGAGAGTGTGTGTAACCCGATCGCCCAACAGGGCAACGACCTCATCGCACCACGAGACCTCGCACAGCAGAGCCTCATCGTCATCCGCAGTGGGTGCGTCGCAAGGACCTACTCCATTAGCTATTGTATCATGCGTGGAGCTTTGTGGTGCTTCAGTATCGGATCACACACGTGGCTCATTTTCTCTGAACTTTGGAAACTGCACGGAATACCTTGTCCAGATGCAGGCAGGCAGGTATGATAAGATACCGTGCTACCATGCGTTGCCCGGGATAAGGCGAACGAGTTCGTCCTGAGTACTGCCGGTGTGCGTTTGTTCAATGCTAACCGGTTATAGCTCTCAAATGTTTGCAACCCAACATGCCAAATACCTTTCCTATTCTTAGTCATATAGATATTGGATATTGTTGCCATTTCCACAAGGACATAGGTCCGGAAGACTTACAGCACTTATGTTATCGTATTATATTTGACACGTGAACTCTTCTTGAAAAAAAAGTGGGCTCAAGGTGTTTGGAGAGCCACCATGCTCTCGAGTCTTGACTGGTATTACTTGCAAGTGATAGCTGCACTACGATCGGGTCCTCGGACTCAAGCCGGACTAGCAGATATCCCGGATGCTATCTGGATAACTCTTGCTCGATAGCAACTATAGACCTGGCAAGGGATTCACTGATGCATCAAATAGTTGGTGTTTTGCCTTTTTGGTTCTGTTTTCAGCCCTCGTGGGAAGTGATCAAATTTACTCGTCTGACCATTATCACCATTATCGAGGCGAATGTATGAGGTACATGGGGTTTCCATTTGAATTCATGACAGGGACACATGTCTCTGGCTACCACGAACCAGACTTCCATAGCAGACTTTGACTAATCGTAATTTTCATTTCCTCGCATTTGCTGTCAAATAGGAGATGCCGTAGCATCGTGATATGCTCCATAACTTTTATGAACTAATGCCTGCGAAAAGCAGGAATATCTACCTGGTATGATATATATGCAACTATTAATATGAACCCTCCCCGAAAAAGAAAAGACGATTTATTGGCGCCTGGGTCTTGAATGCGGCCAGTAAGTTATTCTTCACATGCGAACCCAAGAACTACATGGGCTGCATGGCCATCAGAAGAAGGGTCACAGACCAAGGTCATCAAAGGAGAACTGGTCTTTTTTTCAGCATAGGGGACAAAGCAATGTGAATCTGTAGCCCAGATCTTGGTTCATCGGCCAAGATCTTGACGTGACCCCTGAACCTGACGACCCCCTGGACCCAGCCCCTGCAGATGGGCAAGGTGGGTTAGTAGGTGCCTAGTGCTTGACATTTGAAATACCATTTTCATCTCAAATCGGCATTACAAATTCAGCTGGTGAAATGCAAGATTGTCAGCATCCAATTGGGTTTTCTCAGATCTGGCAAGGTATGGATCACACGAACCAAGAGCGAAACCAGAGTATGTGATGCGGGGACACAAATTTTACACCGCAACTACTACCGTTTGCGATCTATCCACGCGAAACGCAAGCAAAGAAACATATACTTCTATCGCGGGCATGAGAAGGTTCATCCTGCATGACCAGGCAGCTTCACTGTGAGGCCCCAAAACTCGGATGTGATGTAGCAGAACAGAAAAAGCAACCACATGGCCGTCGGCACGGCCCACTGCTTCTGTACCTCTGCAGTCTTGACACGCCGGGTGTCGATCCGGATCATCCGTGTCTCCGAGATGTCGAAGACTCACTCTTTCCGCCACACTAAAACAAAACGTGCCGTGCTGGGAAGTTGGGGGGCTGGCATCTGCTGGCTGGGGTGGATGGTGACGCGGCTGGGACGCCACGTTCAGCTTGAACGGCACGCCCCGAGTTTGATTTTTTGGTGATGGGTCAGAGCCAGGCAAATCAGGGCTGGGCGAGGGTGAACGTTGCTTATTCCTCCAGCTCTTGGGGACCCGGGGGGGATCGACGCGAGGCCACAGGCACGCAAGCAAAAGCAAAGTAGAAGAAGAACAATAGCCCTACCCGGTCCTGCGTCCGCAACTTTCTCTAAATATGTCTCGAGGAGACGCTTTTGAAGAAATGCGGGGAGAACGTGTTCTTGCAGATTGTCGACTTCGTCAGAGATTACCTACATCTGCCTCCCGTTGACGGTCTCAACCATATGCCGCCTGAAAAGATCTAGAAATCGAGAGGCCATGAGAATACCACCGCTTTCAGTGCTGGCTACGTGGCCGCGCCCCAACTACAACCATCCGGAGACGCGAGGCCCAGCGGGAAAAGTGTTGGCCGTGGCGTTGACGACCTTGGTGACACTCATCCTGGCCATCCGCATCTACACGCGCCGGGCCATCTCCAAGAGCTTCGGTCTCGACGACATACTAATCGTCGCTGCCTACGTACGGTACCGCTGCGAGAGGAGGATACTGAATCTTGAACTCAAGTCGCTGACACGCTCTCCAGATACCGGCGTTGACGTTTGCGATATGTGGCATTTTTGCCGAGGTGTCCTTTGGCTGGGATAGGCACATTTGGGACGTCCGATACGAACTGTTGAGTCCGGGCTTGAAAATGAGGTATGCGATCCATATTGCGAGACGCGAGAGACAGTATACTGAACTGCGGTAGCGTTGCATCGTTTTGCCTATTTGACTTGGCCTCAAACCTAACCAAGCTCTCAACGTTGGCCATGCTGTATAGACTCATCCGACCGACGAAGTCGCGGATGAAAATTGTGGTTATAGCCGCATGCGTCCTCGTGACCTGCAGCAGCCTTGTATTTGTGTTCGTTGTCATTTTTCAATGCAGGTGGGTTGGCAGTATACTCCCTACGGATGTATTCGATTCGTTGCTGACCTCAGGTCCAGCCCCGTCTGGGATTATTGGACGCTTTCCACGGGTCCGCAGAACTGTATCGACGAGGCAGCCCATCTCCTCTCGGCAGGCATCATCAACACCGTGACCGACTTCATCGTCGTGCTGCTCCCCATCAAGACCGTCGCCGGCCTTCAGCTGCCGAGGAAGCAGTATATAATCCTCATCGTTTTGTTCTGTGCTGGCTTTGTTGCCTGTGTAGCCGGCGTTGTCCGAACCTACTACACCTGGATGCTGACCATCGACTACGACCGGACGTGGGAAGGATGGACCGTATGGATCAGCAGCCTCATTGAGCTTGATGTTGGCATCGTAAGTAGTTCTTAAGCCCACAACCCCCCTTGGAACCAACAGGCTAAAGTCTGCCGACAGCTATGCGCTTCAGTGCCTTCCATTAAGCAGTTCTTTACACTATATCTTCCCAGTGTCATTGGAACCACGCGTCGCTCCACCAAGCCAGACAAGCAGAGCCATGACCGCAACTCGACAAGGCTGACTGTGACGGTCAACACGACGGTGGAGACGACGTACGAAAACAGGTCCTCGATAGAGCTCATGGAGGGCCCACAGATGACCCTGGCCGAGCTACTCCAGCTTGATGAGCTGGAGAAGCCTGCCACGCCCCCTGAGGCGGCAATACACACGCGCAGCCGACCCGGAAGCCATTTCGAGGCGCCCGGGAACCAGGTCCCCTACCAGCACCTTTTCGAGTCGCCGATTCTGAAGCCGATCGAGCCAGGCACAAGGTCCTATGCCACCTCGATCAGTGCCTCGTCGACCGCGCTATGAGGGTGGTTCTATTTGCAAGTACAACGAACGACATCACGATTATATGAGTTCAGCGAGGCAGGTGATACCCAATTGGTTTAGATGAGCTCACAATGAGCGGCCCATGACTTTCATGTTGTTATTTACTCCTTAGAGGTGTTTGGAGCTTTGAAGACGGTGTCAGCATGATACAAATCCTTTTAATGTTTAGAGCCGATTTTCAAGATAGAAATATATGGAGATGCGAGATGGCTAGATTCGTGCAAATATCGAGCGTCTAAGTCTTACTTGCCTTGCCTCTCTTCTTCCGTCTACCAACCTCCTGAGGACCATCATCGCCGTTGTCATCATCTACGAAATCGTCATCACCATCTTGTACGACATTTGACTGTTTAGTTCTCTGCCTCCTCCCACGCGCTGCAGTACCCTCACCTGCCTCCAATGGGGCTTCCTCGCTCAAATCATCGACGGTGGCCTTTGCACGCAGCTTGTTCACTGCATCGACCATGCGCTTGCTACTCTGCACCCTGTGCCTGGGAGCGAAGGCCTCCTTGGCACCAACGCCAACGCTGCCCTCGAAGTAGCGAGTAATGTTACTCTGCGTGCCCACCGCATCCCGCTGATTCATGTCTCGGATGACGGGCACAAGAACCTCGTCAGTACGCTCTTGGCTCCAGCCGATAGTGGCCATGAGAAAACGCCGCAGACCGTCGACGTCTGGAACTCCCCACTGGAAATGTTCCTGGTCTTGATCGACCTCCGGCTTGATATACGCATCGAAGACGGCCGGGTTCGGGAAACCCAAAGGTAGGAATAGTTTAGTGGCTTGCGATTTTCGAAACTTCTTCCGGAACGTGGAACCACCGTCCATCTCCTCGGGACGGTTATTAATTTGAACATCCTTCCACCAGTCGCGAAACGCTTCGAGACCTTCCTTGCCAGGGAACTCGGATAGAATCTCAACCGCAGTGACTGGGCCGACCCCCGGGAGACCTTCAGTGTAGTCGGATCCGAGGAGTTGAGCCAGGGAGATCAGCTGTTCACGAGACAATGAGAGCTCCTTCTCGAGATCAGAACCGAGATAGCATTCCACAAACTTGTTGCTGTTGAACATGTTCTTGTATACCCGAGTTCCTCCGAAGAGGAAGGTATCCGAATCATCAGTCACGATTCCATCCACAAGGCCGAGCCGTACAAGTTCTGCACACTGAGCTTCAGCTTCCATTGGAGCTGTGATGTACGGAATTCCAAAGAGTCGCAACAGGGCCTGGCACTCGGTAATCATGATTTGTGTCACCTCATCTGCATCCCTTCGGTCTTTCTTCTGCTGAGTTCGTAGCGCCTTGAGTTCTCGCTCATATGCCTCTTGATTCTCTTTCTCTGATCTGTTATTCAATTGACTAGCGAATCGGGCATGCTCTTCTGCTTCTTCAGCCATTTGTGCTAGAAGTTCTTCGTCCTCTGGGTCGCTGTACTCTTCTTCTTCGAGTGCTTCGTCGCCGTTGATGATAACATCACCATTCTCATCAACAGCAACGGTTGTAGAGATCTCGGGCTCACCATTTGATGCCGAAACATCTTCAAACGTAGTTTCGGGCGATGGGGCCCGGGGAGCAGTCGCACCTTCGGCTTGGGGCTCCGAGGCCTCGACCTCTTCGAATTCCGGCTCAGGAGATCCTGACTGGCCAATTATTGGTGTTCCATCCCGTGGCCCTAAGACTTCAACCTCCTCGAAGTCTGGTTCCGGAGAAGATAACTCGGAACGAGATGGAGACTGCGCAGTGTCGACACTTCGTTGCACTTCGATGGGCTTTTCAGGCACCTCTCCATCATGCTCGTTGACAGGCATTTCACCATCCTGCAATGCCTGTGAGTCCGGCTGCGGAGGGCTGACTCTTGTTTGAGTCGCTGGCGAGAGTCTTGACGGCTTTTGCAGCTTTGGCGGTGGAGCATCCAAGATCTCGACATCGCTGTTGTCGTCGTCAGACGATTCAATCTCGATGAAAGCCTCCTTTTCGCGCCGCTTCTCTTCCTCCATCGCTGCTTCGCGGTCTTCCTCGTTGATCTCTTTCTCGCGGTCTCGCTGTGCCCTCATGGATTCTCGAATGTCGGTTGCTTCTTGCTGCATCCATGGGGGCAAAGGACGTGGTGCCTCGTCATCTACCATTGCTTCTTGATCCTCTTCCCTTTCGAAACCACCTGCCATGTCATCTTCTAGCTCGAATCCTCCAGCCATTTCATCCTCTGGTTCTTTTCTTCCAGACTTTGGTGCCGCCGTCTGTTTCGGCTGGTCTGTCTTTTTAGAGAATATGCTTGACTTCCAATCAAGCTTCTCGAATGGCAATGGACCGCCGAAGGCGTTTGGCATGTTTGGAACCGTGGGGGCTGCCATAGTCCTGACTGGTGCGGCCTTTTTCTTCTTTTTTGCTTTCGAAAGGGCTGCCCTGAGATCCATCTCATCGTCACTTCCGTCTTCACTCCGTTTCCGTTTCTGGACTGCAGCGTTTGCCCTATTATTCACGATATGTGCAATCATGCTGCCGCTTGCTCGTGTCACCGGCTTGGCTTGCTCCACAGCTGTCTGCTTCCACTCCGGCATGGGTACGTCCTCGAAGTCCTCTTCTTCTTCGACATCGTCTCCCCTTGAAGGCTTGCTACTATGCTGGGTTTTCAATGACATGGCGATCGCGCGGTTAAGGTCTTCTTCTTCATCTTCGTTCACGCCATCACGATCTTCGGGGTTGAATAGACTATCGATCGACGCTGATGGACCTTGCACAAACAGGGAGTCATCGTCCTCATCGGCAAGAGTCGCGTCGTCCTGGATGTCCTCCACCCTCGAATCATACACCTGTCGCTGTCGTTCAACGGCCTGCTGGACATGTGATGGTATCTTCGGGAGTCGGTTGATCCCTTCAATGGGAACATCTTCGAATTCCTCTTCCTCGTCCTCCCATTCCTCCTCCTTAGCCTGGTACTGAAAATCCAGAGCATCGACGTCGATCGGCTTGTGCATCTCGCCCACATCTTTCTCTTTGCTGACCACTCCCAGCGCCCATCCGCCCTCAACACCGTCGTTTTTCACTAGGATGTATTCTCGGTCTTTCTCTCCGGCGATACGTGCACCGCCGTTGATAGTGAGGTCAAGTCCTGTCATGCCAGCTTCCTTCATGAGCCGTTGCGTCAACCGGTTTCGCTCCTGGACCCTCTCGATCTGAAACCTGGAAAAGTCCATTCGATTGGGAAACATGTCCTCTAGTTGCTCTTTACTCAGGCCCATCCTGAGTCGACTGCGAACCCTCGCAGCGTTGAGAATATTGTAACGATCTGCCGGCGGCAGGCTCTTGAAGAACTCGCCGTCGAAGTCGATCTTGCTGAAATCGTAGAGGTTAATGTCTTCGCCCCTGTTGAATTGTCTCGCATACTCCTCAAGTTCGTGTATGCTCATGATCCGAGGATCATCAGGCTTTCCCATGCCTTCTATACTCGTGTGCATGTCGGGTAGGTGATATGCATCTTGCTTGAAGAACTTTCTGTTCTTCTGACGTTCCTGCTGGTCCATCCCGAGCTCGTCGACGTAGACGAGGTTTTCGGCGTTGGGAATTTCTTCCACCGGCTCCTCTACGGCAGGTCTCGCCAGTTCCTTCTGCCGCCGCCGCTTTTCGCTCTCTTCTTCGGCGATGCGCTGCATCTGCACAGCGAGCAGCTTGCCGGCAGTGCGCACCGCATCCTCTCTACGCCCCTCCCTTCTGCGCTTCCGGCTCGTGATTGTCTGGCGCTTGAGGGCGGGGGCGCCGCCGTCGAAGACGAAGACGGGCCGGATGCCGAACCATAGGAGCTTGCATATCCGGCGGAAGAAACCCACGACGTGCGAGTTTCGGAGCGCATTGCCCTCCTTGTCGCGCACCGCCTTAAGGAACTGGTAGATCCAGATCGAGGCATCGACGGCGAGACGCTTGCGGTTCAGGGTCGCGAGGTTAGTCGGACGCGCGCAGGGCTGTATGACCGTCCAGAGGCCGTTCACACCCATGGTGCCGGTTGACTAGGTGCTGGCGACGATTCACACTGGCACACAACGGGCGGATGTAGGCGAGTTTCAGTCTCATCGCTGGTGCTGGGAGGATTGCATTCCGTCAGATAGCAAGGGGCTTCAACGCCAGCATCACCGATGTCGACGTCTGGGTCGGGGAATTAGAAAGGATGACCATGGGCGCATGCCAGGCCGTAGAGATTTCCTGTTAACTAGTAACTCCGGCGGTTCTGCCTGGAGAGCTCGAGCTGTATCCAATGACGATGACTCGCACTTTAGCGCGTCGATCGCGACCTACAGGCCTGCAGGGGGTTGCTTTAGTGGGGTAGAGGCCCCTGGGCCCCGATATGTCCGCCAAACCCCCGCTAGATCCGTGGGGCACTGAAATCCATGCCTTGGACGAACGATACGTGCCAGGGACAACAGCCGTAGTTAGTACCACACCCGAGGCAGCCCTGCAGCACGGTGGCTTTCTACTCTGAACAATCTACATGAGCACACAGTCTCACGGTCTCATCGATAACTGCGTTATGGACTCGGCTGCGCTCCCAGAGCCCGAGGCTTCGACCATCCCAGCGCCGTCGCCTGAGAAGGTTGAAGCCGAGGCATATCTGCAGTCACTCATCAACAAGACACTGCGGATATATACGACGGACGCGCGACTCTTCGTCGGCACCTTCAAATGCACTGATCCAGTCCGTAAGCCCGGCTTTCCTCCTGACATTCTTGTCCTACTGACAACCGCCCAGCAAAGCAATATTGTCTTGTCCTTGACCCATGAGTACCGCCAGCCTTCGCAGTCGAAACTAGCCGAGGCCTCCGCCAACATGGACTCAGACACTGTCAGGGCCGAGATGTCATCTAGGTTTCTGGGTCCGGTCGTTGTCCCAGGAAAGTACATTGTCAAGATCGAGGTCGAAGAGTTTGTCAGCCAGATGAAAAGTCGGTCGATACTTGAAAGACGTGACATCTATGCCTCAGCTTAAAACGCCAGGCTTCGCAGGACCTTGCATGGCACCAAAGCAAGCGATTGCCGTACTGGCCCTTGGAGAGCCACTGCAACATCCATACAATGGTGTATGCCCTCAAGACATCCGGTCGTGCAGAGTGCCATAGGCTGGGAAGCGTGGCATGGACTCGCAGGGCTAGCCCCATCACGCTGCGTTCTTCACTTCCTTTGAGCAGTGCAGCTAGCCAACCCCGTACGGGTGGAAGGATGTATCGCAGGAACTTGGACTGTTGATATCAAGCATGGAGGCAACTCCGGCGCTCTTCCATCATGATGGAGGACGTCTCCTGTACAGGCATTCCAAAGGATTTTGCCGGCCTGAGAGGATTGCCAAACTCGGCATGTGGTCATCACTAAACCCCAGACGCCCGTGACTATTCAGCACGACGAATTGGGGACTATGAACTCATCACCCATAGCCTAGTGTTCGCCAATGATAACTCAAGTACATCTTACTCAATTGAAGAAACAACAGATGGTTATTGGTAGACTGGTGATTGCATTCTATATCTAGATCGTTCTGACATCAAGGAGCTATGTAACACCACCCAGGCGACTCGTCTCTAGTGGCTTTCCAGCAGTGTTCTCATGGTGTTAGGCCGCGACGGCGCGAGTTTGACTTTGCGCCTGCTGAGTCTCCGTCGGATCCTGGCCATGATGCTCTGCTTCGGTGGCATCAGGGGCTGGACGCCCCCGCAAAACCCGGCCATGTACGGACCTGCCTCTGTGAATATCACACGCTGGCACCTGGCCTTCCTGTTGTCCCAGCCATCGGTCTGGTTGTCGGTCCCGTGGAAGACGCAGACGATCTCCTTGCCGAGGGAGAGGAAGCTACCGTGGCCGGGGCCCCAGGGACCGTTCTCCTGCTCAGCAGCTTGGAGCAGTGGCTCCTGGGCCTTGGGCCAAGACGAGGCGTCCAAGGGGTCGCCCCCGTTGTAGTGCAGCACGGCGAGCTTGTACTCGTGCGTCCAGCTCCCGGCACACGAGAACACGATGCCCTTCCAGCTACCGTCCCGCGACTCCAGGTATTGGGGCCCCTCGTTGATTCCGTGGAAGCCGTCGCAATCATTGGTGAACTCCCAGGGAAGCTCAGGCGTCGAGATCATGATCGGCCTGCTCTCCGCGATCGTAGGGTCCTCGAGCCTCATTATGAAGAGCTGCTGTGTGAGATCGGAGCCGCTGGTGTCGCCGAGCGGCCAGCCCGAGTAGACGAAATACAACTCCTTGTCCAGCTCGAAGACGGTCCCGTCAATAGCCCACTGATCGGGCATCCCATGAATGCGGCCTAGAAATTCCCATTGTCCCTGCGTAGGATCTTCGCAGGCTGGAGGACCGCCCAGCACGTACATGCGGTGGCTTCTGTTCCCGTGAGCTGGGTTTGCTGCTGCATAGTATATGTACCATCTTCCGCGCAGCGCGTGCAATTCAGGGGCCCACAGGTCCACTGAGTGTTCAGAAGCTGGAGGTGGAGTCCTATGTCTTTTGGTCAACCCCAGTTTGTAGATTCAGGTCATGATAATCATACCAGACAGTCCTCTTCCTTGGCTCTTTCTGGAAATCTACAAGATGCTTCGAAGACCAGATTTCAATCCTGTTCCCCGCTGTGAAGGTCTGTACGTCATGTTAGTATTAGGTTGACGATCTGGCTTGATGGTTGGAAGGATACACACGAGGTGGAAATAACCATTAGCCCGGACCATGAAAGGGTCCGGCGTGCTCTCAGGCGTGACCGTATAGCAAGAGGCGTCGTATGGCTGCATGGCTGAAGGCGTGGAGTGACTGTGATCGACAGAAGCAAGTTCCGAGCTGGTCGAGCTACAGACATCAGATAAGTGTCGAAGCATTTGTTTCTGACTGGCGAATCGCCTGATAATGACGTCGATCGTCCTTATCCGGCGGTCATTGTTTTAGAGTATATCATCTGGTTGAGCTCGTCCCAAGTCACGGTTTCACGACACCGGGATTTAACACATGCAGAGTGTGGGGAAGTGCGACCTTGCTCTGGGCGAGGGTTGAAGCATATTGTTCATTCAGTCCCTCCTATCCAGGTGCGTACGTATGCTGGTGGGTAATGGAAACACAGCTTGGGTTTCGACGGCACAAACCCAGAGCTCATGAGCAGAAAGTCATCCGATGTTCGTCCGAAGGTGACCCCAGCAAGCATACGTAACCAGCTCTTGTGACATCGGTAGATAACACCTTAATCGCTGGCTGACTGCAATATGATGTTTTTTTATTTCCTGCGTGATCGTATCTTGTTATGTAATTTCGAATGACACGGCAATTCAAGTGAGCCTTCGTTATGCCGAAAGAGGTGGTGAACGTCTCCTTGTACATGCTGGATTCGGGGCTGGCAAGAAACTACTGTATAACGATTGTATCACAAGCACCTTGGCGTATTGTCTCGACAGTGCCATGACCTTTCTCGTATTGCAAGCTTCTGCTGTGGATCAGAGTTATTATGACATCTACCTAGGCGAGGCCCATCCTCATATACTCATCCCCTGAGCGCAGAATAAGTTCGTGCCATCTGATACCGGTTCGGGTCGGCTCTTGTGCATACTCGTTGACACTATGCCGTTTGTTGCAAGCCTATAGCAAACGCCTAGCGCCTCTCATAGCTTTGAGTCGAATCTAGGCCATCTGCGCCAGCCATTCAAGAAGCTTCTTGAGTCGGTCTGTATGAGTAGTATGAGGCTCAAGTAAGATGATCATCAATCCCTAGAGGGAGACCACTTCAAAGAGCCCGGTCGTAGTGTCCTTGATGCACTCATTTTCGCATTTCACGTTGTCAAACTCGACCAAGGTCGTCTTGCTGGGTTTGAGACAGCATGTTCTGAATCCGACATAATTCTATCTCTTCCTTAGAAGGTCTCTCTATCAGCTGTCTCGTGGCATCTATGCCCGGAATCGAAGTCTCCTCCAGAACCCTTTGAAGAAATTGGGTCTCCCCGGCACAGTTTGCTCTCATGTCTGCGAAGTGCTTTGTACCCAACTGGCTACTATGCAGTTTGTGGGAAGCCTAGCAAGACAAGAATACAGCCAGCCTTTCTCTGGACGCCGACACATACATTGCAGCTTACACTCTGTAAGTCGGCTCCCATCGGTTTGGCCATGTCATGACGGCAGCAATACGCTTGACACCACCCGATTAAGTTGCGGGAAAAGATCAGCAAAGTATGGGCAAGCTTCAATCGATGCCAGATATTCCCGGGTGACCTTAATGCTTCGGGTGAAGCAGGCCTTGGCCGTGATCCCTGCTACGCCGGATGATGCGAGACATCCGCCTCAGCGATTTTTCTTCAAGAGCTCACGTTTTCCAATGCCGACATTGTTCTTCTGCTTTCTTATTTTTGCGCCGGTTATGGCTTCACTCGTTGGGAGACTGCCAGCAAATCAGATATGGCGCGGTACAGACGACCGCCATCTAGCTTGGCGACTTCCATCGTGCAGGGGTTACTGCATAATTTGTAGGGGTGATCCCAGTGCCCTGGAAGCCCGAATCTGCGGAGCCCTGTCGGCGAGATGCTAGCACGCACGATCTTCACTCGGGCCTGAAAAGCCTCCTTAATAATAAGGTTATTCTGAGTTCTGTCCCAACTGCTTATTCACTGGAACTCGAGATGGGACAACCTTGGAGAGGCAAGAGGAGCCAACAGGCAGACATCAACGTCAGTTGGTTTTTGCCCCGGCCGACTGAGAGTGTGAGACAATAGCAGCACGGCGTTGAGCCAGGAGGATCCGTCCACGGTGGCACTCTGCCCGGGTCAGTCAATTTCAACGACCCTCGTAACTTCCAAGTCCCGACATTGAATGCGACTTGCTCGGATGGATGGACCGCTGCACTGTGACTGCATCCCTCGTTAGTTTCTGACACACCATCTCCGTGTGCCTGTGGGAGTCTCGAGTAGACATCGTGCAGCACCAGTGCTTCGGGCTCATGCAGGACTTGCTCTAGAGGCACTGGATACGAGACTTGTCTCGCGACGATGGCGAAAGCCTTTTCGTATCGTTGTTCCCCAACTTGGCGTCTGGCCACCTCGCCGCCCAATCACGGACCCCACAACCGGTGCCTCCCAGAGTCTGGCCGGCACAGCATTGGACAGAGCATGGCCCGACTGCGCATGTTTATCAATTGAGATGGCGGTCGACGGGGCTCTCACTGCACAGAGCTCCATCCGTATCCAACCACCCGATGAATGGCTTTAGGCGACAGCTGCAGAATGCATCACTTCCAAGACCTACTCCGCAGTGCCACCACCTTCCACCGAAGTCAAAAAAAGTCCCACAACTGTCCAAGCATGTCTTACAACGACTCTGGGGCCTGCGGGCCTGTTCGTACACGGAGGAGGTGTCGCTTTGGACTTCGGAGCTAGCAGCGGTGCCATGTACTATGGTACAGGAACCACGAGGCGGCCATTGAGTGTCTAACGCTATTCAAGGATGGCAGCAGATCCAAATTGTCAGATCAATGGTCCAAGCCGTACGGTCTCCATGGAAATTGCGCTGGTCGATAATTCTAGGTGCCAAGGGGAGGACCAGCGAGCGTGCTAGCCGGGCCTCACAGGCAGGCCATAATTAGCCTCCTCCCGCCTGTGGCCAAGGGTCCTCGTGACGCACCGCACCCACTCCAGATCTCGTGAAGGCAGACGCAGCCCGCATCACGAAGCTCGAGATCGGCCATGGGCGGAAGTCCCTGGCACACAGATGCGCCTCCCCAAGCTCCCCCCCCCTAAGCAACCAAGAGCCAGGCCAACAGGGGGACCCTTCGGCAAGTAGCAGAGCTGGCAGAGCGAACAAATGAGGGCGTCCCAGCCCGTGGTACGGCCCACCCAAACACCGCTGCAAGCTCTCCGGTGGCTGTGGGTCGGCCGGGCTGGGGGGCTAGCCAACCCCTGCCACAGCTATCTCTCAACTGGCGCTAGCGAGGCTGGGATAGCGTCGTGAGCTCCTTTATTAACCTTTCTTGCTCTCATATTATTGCAACCCCGGACTCTCTGCCCTCAGAGCTTCTTCTCGTCTCTTTTTCTTTTTACCTCTCGACACTCTCGTCCCAGCACTCGTTACTGTTGGTCAAGTGGCATCTTTTACTTCGATTCGATTTTTCTAGAACATCTGTTGTCGTTATACTCCTACTAATACACCCCCCCAAAAATACTTCTGTCAGTCGCTGCGATCCCGGTGAAAATATGTAAGTCATAGCGTGGCACCATTGTGTGTTACATCGCCAGACAAGACACCTGGCGATCTCTCTCCCCCATTGCTTCCGTGAATAAAGTCATTTCTTTCCCAGACGACGATCGCTAACGCGGCCTAATGCTTACAGACACCTTCTAGTCTGCCTGATCGCCTACTGTAATATCTCACAACCGCCGCAAACACACGCACATTCAAAATGGTTTCATTCAAGACCACCGTCCTGGCAGCAACCTCGTTGCTCGCCACGGCTATCCATGCCGACTACGTTATCAACCCCGACAGTGTTTCTCTCTCTTTAAGAAACTATTGGTGCCAGCAGGAGAAGACATCATGCCCTCTCATCTGTCAGCAAACCGAGCCGGGTACAACCCTGGTCAACACTTGTGATCCGGTACGTTTGTCACCGGTGATTCCACAACACAACGATGGCTTGACTAATGTAAAACAGGAAACATTAACATACGGCTGCCTGTGCGGTAACAACCTGCAGCCCAACGTCTCCGAGTACTCCTTGACTATTCCCTACTTTACATGTACGGAATGGGGCAGCCAATGTGTCACGGCCTGTGGCCAAGACAACGCCTGCTCCAGCGCTTGCCGAGAGGACCATCCCTGTGGTGCCCAGAACCCAGTCAGGGAGAACACGACTTCCACGGCGAGCGGCACCGCTACAGCATCGGGCACCGCAACGCAGTCCGCCGGCGCGATCTACACTGGCCTTGATGGAAGCGGCTCCTCCTCGTCCTCCTCCTCCAGCTCGTCGCCAGCTGGCAACGCGGCACCGCGGAACTTGGAGGTCGGCAGCTTCTTGGGTTTCTTCAGCCTCGCAGCCGGTGTAGTAGTTGGCTTCGGCCTGCTCGTCTAAGACCAGATGAGGCTGTTTATCAACAATCTTTTATATACCCACCACTGGGAGGATCTGGATCAAGACCCGTGAAGAGAGAGGTGGAGGAGGAAGAGTAATTGTTACACATGGAGAGAGGCCATTGCCTACTCCATCTTTGATCACCACACTGTTCGGAGTTATGGGAATAGCGGTTACGCCATCCGTGGGCATGGAGAACTATAATGGTGAAAGTTGACAGCTCACTTCTGGCGACCGCAGGGCATTGCAATCGGGTGCAATTTCTTTGATGGCGGAATGTTATTGTTGGGTTCGGTCGCGTATCAGCAGAAGAGCGCGGTATAATCCAAAAAAGACCCCTACTACTGGAGACGGGATCTTGCAAAGAAGAGCAAAAGCACAGAGCATAGAGCTCAGATTAATACAATCACTGGAACATGTTGGCAGTGAACCACCCGACTTTCTCTGTTCTCTTGCGCTTCTTCATGTTGATTGGCAACGAAAACATGAGCGATGCTCAGATTGCTAATGGGCCAGTGCCCTCTACAACCCCAGTTAGATGAATGGGACTGAGATGAGAATGGAATTTCCACCTGCACCGCTGCCATTTCACTCCGGCACACTAGTCGAAATGGAGTGCTCGCTAGCCTGGTGGATCAGTCCCGTTTGCGTGTGGTCATCTTAGGTACAGGGACACATTGCACACGCACCGGTTGCGTATAGGGGTCACTCGGTTGGTCAGTGGCATGTACTGGGAATATATACCTGAGTATAGAAGGGGAGCAAAGTGTTATATATGCTTACCATGTACGACGACGTCAGAGTGTTGTCCATTTAGTGCCGTTTTCACATGCAACTTGACTCGAGACCCTGAACAGCGCAGCACCCCTGGCGTCTTTGTCCCACCACTCAGGATCAGGGACCATATCCGCAGCGAAGGAAAAAGGCGGTAAAATGCCCTCCAAGGCCGCCGGTTGGCGCTATTACCCGCGAAAGACCTGTTTGATTCGGCGGGACCTGGCAGCCCTTTGAGCCCCTTGGCCGATGCCCCCCCAGATCCAGGGAATCACGCGCGGATTGCGTCGTCCTTCCTTGCTCTCCTATTGCTGCGCTCTGCACGCCGGGCCCCAGTTAAAGAGGGTTGACGAGGCCACTTTGGTCCTCGGTCCCCACTACTCGCGGCAGGTCCCTAACGACTCAAGACTCCAGGAATTCTTTTTCCCAAGACTTTTTTTTTTGATAACCCGTCGATGCTCCGTTGTGCTTGTATACACCGTCCCGCTCGTTTCATGATGCAGCGCGCAAGGTAGTGACGTCAACCCTCTTTGTCCCTCGACGACGACGACGACCACCACCACCACCCCCAGCCTACGACCCATCCTGCGCCGAGACTTGGAGCTCCCAGGACCATCTCGTCTCCTTGCCATTGCCCCTTGCCCAGCCGCCACATACGCGGCCGCTTATACCGACGACCGCCGCGGGAAGCCGACGCCCAGCGAACCGCCGCGACCATGGCACCCAGCAAGAGTGCGTGGATGCAGCAAAAGAACCGAACCTCCAGTATGTCTGAGCTAACGACGAAGCTGTGCACAGAGACTGCCGCTGCCGAGTGCATCTCGGATGAGGCGCTCATCCATCTCAAATCCTACCAGTATTCGGCCGTCGACAAGTCGCCCGTCTCGCATTATATCCTTCGCCCCTACGTACGCACCCGACCCGTCCTTTGTCAGAATCAAAGAAATACCGTTTGCTAAGACATGATGTAGTGGAACGCCGTCGTCGAGCTCCTCCCGTTATGGCTTGCGCCGAACATGGTCACCCTCCTCGGATTCTTCTTCATTCTGGGGAACATCGCTCTCATGGAGATCGTTATGCCGGACCTCGTGGGGCCTGTACGTATTTGCCATATGGGGGAGATATCTAGTGACGTTGGACTGACAGCGGATCTCTGTGTAGGCGCCCTCCTGGGTGTACCTCAGTTTCGCATTCGGGCTCTTCATGTACCAGACCATGGACAACATCGACGGCAAACAAGCACGACGCACCGGCACGTCGAGCGGACTGGGTGAGCTGTTCGACCACGGAATCGATTCCTTAAACTGCACCCTTGCCAGTCTGCTGGAGACAGCGGCCATGGCTTTGGGTACTTCCAAGTCGGGTGTATTCACCGCGCTCTGCCCGTGTCTGCCCATGTTCTTCTCCACGTGGGAGACGTACCACACGCACACCTTGTACCTGGGCTACTTCAACGGGCCCACGGAGGGGCTTCTGATCGCCTGTCTTGTCATGGCTCTTTCCGGCATCTATGGCCCGGGCATCTGGACCGAGCCGATCGTGAATCTCGTTGGGACTAAGAACCTCTTCGGATACGACCACCTGGTTGGCGAGCACTCGATCCGGGACATTTGGATTCTGATCATCGTTGGGTCGCTCCTCGTCGGCCACATCCCCTTCTGTGTCCTCAACGTTGCCAAGGCTCGCCGAAAGAACAAGCTCCCCGTTTTACCCGTCTTCCTCGAATGGACGCCCATGGCCGTGTACACCCTCTCTATTGGAGCCTGGATCTACTCGCCATACTCGACGCTGAGGATCGAGAACCACCTCGTGCTCTTCTGCTTGACCATGTCACTCGTTTTCGGTCGCATGACCACCAAGATGATCCTGGCACACCTGACAAGACAACCTTTCCCATACTGGACTGTCATGCTCGTGCCGCTTGTCGGCGGTGCTATCCTGGCCAACTTGCCTAGACTTGGCTTCGAGCCGATTTCTGCCAAGAACGAGCTCATCTACTTGTACGGGTACTTCATATTCGCCTTCGTGGTTTACTTCCGCTGGGCATACCTTGTTGTTACCAGCATTTGCAAATTCCTAGGCATCAACGCCCTGACGATCCCCCATGAAAAGCAGCTGGAGAACAAGCGGAAACTACAGGCTGCCAACGGAGCCGCCAATGGTTCTGCCAAGGGCAAGAAGGAACTATAGATGGTGGAAGCTTAATCTCCCCTTCACCTTCAATGCCTTGGGTCCTTGACAGAGACCGATTGTCGCCGGGCGGCGGACGAGTCATCACCTACGGATCATAATTACCTGAGACTTCTGCGGTAGTTGGCGGAAACTTAGAGTTTGGAGACAGAGCATTTCCCTAGTCTGATGGACCAGGGCGATGAATGCTTGAAAAAAGGGGTTGGGTTTGGGAGCGCATTTTTGGGGCGCTTGCTAGCCACAAAGGTTGGCCCATATCATATCCGCCGCAGGTGCAATAGAGCCGCACCTGGGGAGCGTGAGCATCGGCTCGGGCGTTAGTGGATGTCGTGTCGAGGAATTATGTACATAGAATAAACTCGAACTGGCATCTAGCAATCAGTTGAGAGCGACGCTCATTCCGCTCTCCTGACGATTACACTGTATCATTCAAGAAAAGCTTGGTGATTCTAAACTTTATTAATATCAGACGCTACTTCAACGTGGCTTCATACTATAGCAGAACGGACTTCCTACGCCTTCTTCACATCATCATGATCTGTCGAGCTCGCGATCCCCTCCCACTGTGCCAATAGTTGCTGGGTCGAGGCAATCTTGTCCTTGACCCCCTGGATGACATCGGGACCCAGCAGCAACCTCATCGGGATCTCGCGGCCCTCGGCGACTCCACTGCGCGTCAGCACGTCGACGATGACCCGGCAGCCCTTGACCACGTCCCCAGGCTGGTTGTCGTTGACCATGTCCAGCGCGGCCCCGACTTGCTCGACGCCCGTGCCCCGGTACTCGTCGGCCATCTGGTTCGCGACGAACTGCCGGTTGCCGCCGCCGGAGTTGAGGAACCCCGTCCGGAAGTACCCCGGCTCGATGACCACGGCCGAGATCCCGAAGTCCTTGACCTCGGCGTGCAGCGACTCGGTGAACCCGGACACGGCCCACTTGACCGCCGAGTAGTACGCGAAGCCGGGCCCGCCGCCCCACGAGGCCAGGGACCCGAAGTTGGCGATGACGCCGCCGGCACCGCCGCCGTCCCGCGTCCGCAGGTACGCCACCTGGTGCCGCACGAGCGCCATGTTGCCCAGCACGTTGACGTCAAAGGTGCGCTGCACGTCGGCCGGGGTCGCGCCCTCGATGGGGCCCTGCAGGATGTAGCCGGCGGCGTTGATGAAGTGCGTGATGCGGCCGAAGGCGGCGACGGCCCGGTCGAGCGCCGCCTTGATGGCCGCGTCCCCGGCCGTGACGTCCAGGTCCAGCAGCAGCGCCCCCCGCGACCCCAGCTCCGCCGTCACCTTGCTGGAGGTTGCGGACCGCGCCGTCGCGACCACCTTGTCGCCGCGTGACAGGGCCTCCAAGGCGATGTGCTTCCCAAAACCCGAAGTGGCCCCTGAGATGAACCACACGTTGCCTGTCATGGTGCTGTGTTGTGATGTTGCTGCGGCGCTGGTTGACAACTGGAGTGGGATCTTGTAATCGGGGCAATCAAGTTGTCTAGTATTCAGAGGATGTTATAGGCTTCCAATATAAGTAATGGAGTAGAGTATATCGATTTTGACTGTTTCTGTCAAGGGAATCTGGTGTCAAGTCCAACGGGCACATGTCTCTCTTATATGTATTTCTTCTGCAGACGAATGCATAGCTTCTGTGCAGTGAGTGTTCGTCCCAGATAGCTGGCTTGGGGGCACCGCCGAGAGCAATGTTGGAATGCCATCGTTATGTCCGTTCAACACTGCGGCCGACCTTACATGGAAATGGATCGCGGCCATAACGCAAAGTCCACGCCGCAGCCACAGCATGACGGTCATATGCCAGCGCCGTCTGGTTATGCTTGGCGGGGTGCACCGGCTTCTGCGTGATTGGTCTGCGTAGCCTCAAAACGCCGAGACTGTCGGCGATTATAGGTATCGCCGCAGACAAAACAGGGTGGGCGTCAGTAAGCGCCGTGACGCTACCAAGGGCATTGGAGTAAAGAGATGCAAGACAGTCGAAGACCAGCCGAACATTACATGAATACAGCAATTGCGCAATGTTTTCTATGTCTGTTTCTCTTGCCGATACACGACGCTTGCTGGTTGGAGGATGCCACTCGTCCGAGGGCACGGCGACGTGGATCTGCCTTACGTGGCATGCATACTCGAGTCAACCCGTCCACGGCGACACCAATACTACGTCCTTCTGTCGCAAAGCATGATAGAAACTGCCTCGGATGCTGAATTGAGTTTGCCTAACTCGGGGACTAAGGAGCCGTCTTCTGTCAGACATACAGTCGGCAGGGTTAGTCGTTATAGATCGGACCCCTGGCGCTAGACGGGCTCCCTGCATGACCCGGAGCGAATACCGTGCCGCTCCTCATTGGCGCGCAGCCAAGCCATTGCAAATGGGCATTACCCACACCTTGACACTTGACATGATTCAATCTGGCACTCCACCGTGAAATGGCAGCGCGGCCTCGAGTCACTGCTCAGGCCTCCTCCCAATGCCTTCGCCGCGCAGCCCGAGGACATCCTGCGGCAGCAATGGGTCTGCTCCTCGCCAACGACGCCGCCGCCGACGAGAACCACCATCACCAATGGCTGGGAGCTCGCTCTGGGTCGTCCTGTTCCTCGTCGTCGCCCTGCTCAGCGTGAAGGCGCGGGCCTACGAGCACGTGTCGGACGAGACGCTGCGCAACATCCCCAGCGGCGGCGCCGACTTCGACATCCATTCCGGGCCGCTGCTGGCGCCCATCCTCATCCCCCGCGTCCCCGGCACGCCCGGCTCGGCCGCGGTGCAGCGGCACTTTGTGGCCTTCTTCCGCGAGCACCTGCCGGACTGGCGCATCGAGTGGCACAACACGAGCTCCCGGACGCCCGCGACGGGCGACCGCGAGGTCCCCTTCTCCAACCTCGTCTTCACGCGCGACCCGCCGTGGGCGCACGAGGGCGACGTCGGCCGCCTGACGCTCGCCGCGCACTACGACAGCCTGTACCGGCCTGAGGGCTTCATCGGGGCCGTCGACAGCGCCGCGCCGTGCGCCATCCTGCTGCACGTCGCGCGGAGCATCGACGTGGCGCTGACCCAGAAGTGGGAGGAGATGCAGCGCTCGGGCGACGCCGGGGCCGGGCTCGAGGAGGAGAAGGGCGTCCAGATCGTGCTGCTGGACGGGGAGGAGGCCTGGATGACCTGGAGCGCCTCGGACTCGCTATACGGCGCCCGCGCGCTCGCCGAGGCCTGGGAGTCGCAGGTGTACCCCGCCATGTCCGCGTACCGGAACAGGATCAAGGCCATCAGCCTGTTCCTGCTGCTGGATCTGCTGGGCGACGCGGAGCCGCACGTGCCGTCGTACTTTGAGGCGACCCATTGGGCATACGAAGGCATGGCCAAGGTTGAGGGCCGACTGCGTAAGCTCGGCCTGCTCACTTCCAAGCCCAAGAACGCCTTCCTGCCGGAAATGGTGAAGAAGCCGAACATGTTTGCGAGGGGCTACATCGAGGATGACCACATCCCCTTCATGGTCCGCGGCGTACCCATCCTGCACATCATCCCCAATCCGTTCCCTCTCACCTGGCACACGATGGATGACAACGGCGAGCACCTGGACATTGGGACGGTGGATGACTGGGCCAAGATCGTGACCGGCTTTGCTGCCGAGTGGATGGAGCTTGACGGCTTTATGGGCTCTCCCAAGCAGGCGTTGGGAAAGAAAGAGACGAGCGAGACAACTAGAGATAGATCCGAATTATGATAGATGAAGGTCGTTAATCCGTGTTGCCTCCATGGAGGGGCGCGCTACGCTGTATATCTCCTGCCGAACCACCGCCCGTACAAGATTCGGATACGTAAAGAGCAACACATTGATGGAAATGCGGTGTTTGTGAGTGTCACGTGGAAATTGTTTTCCATTGTCCTTTTCGTCCCCAAATCTGCTCGCCGCACCAGTCCTGAATGCCTGACCTACAAGTATACAGTACATCTATGTATAGCTACAGCCCTGGAGGAACTCGAGGTCCAACTACGCTAACATGGATAGGCTATAGGCAGGCCGTGCTAGCATCTTATCGATAAGCCCCCAATGCACTGTAACCGCTGGCCCGTGCTCCCCTGTGCTTCCAGGTTCCCTTCCCGTGCTCCCCGGGACCTCCACGTCAGCTCAATTGCTGTGGTCCGCTAAAAGCTGCGGCGGCTTGCAGTGAAGCGCCAAGTGTTCTTCAGGACAGGTACCGCAGTAGTGAATTTCGGGCCAGCTACGTCCTTCCACGAGACTCGTCAATCCCTCCTCCCTCAACCCGCACACCACAACCACCGCGCCCGACAACGAGGCACGCTTCCCACCATGCGCTTCCTACCCTCCTTTGTGCCCTCCCTCCTGCTCCTGGCTGCCGGTGCAGCTCAGGCCGCGTCGTCTTGGGGATTCGACGAGGGAACCGTGTCCGTGGGCTCCAAGAAGGCCGACGGAGCTGTCAAGGAGAAGTGAGCCCGCTTCGTCACCAAACATTGGACCCAATTGCTTACGTCTCTGCCCCCCCAGGTTCACCGAGAAGAAGCTCCCCAAGGCCCCCGTGGCCTTTGGCGCCGCCGACACCCTCAAGCTCATCATCACCGCCCAGGAGAATGGCAAGGGGAAGCGCCCGCACCAGGCCTTCCTGGTCCTGCAGGAGACCGAGACTGGCCTCGAGGCCCCCTTCCCTCTGACCGTCAAGGAGAGCGGCAAGGCGACTGTCGACATTGTGCGTCGTGCCCACAACTGCAATACCCGTCCTTGTGACCGTACAGCGTAGCTGACTTGCGCCACTTAGAAACATGCCGATATCCCCGTCCAGCTTCTGGTCTCGTCCAAACCCCTCAAGGCCTCGTTGGTCATCGCCTCCTTCGGCTCGTCCGATGGTTACAACAAGCCCGTCTTCGATGTCCAGATCAAGCTGGACCCCAACGCCGCGCCCCCCGTCTACGAGAAGCCCCTGCGCTACGGCAAGCTCGACGAGATCCACCACATCTTCCGCGACGACCCCAAGAACCCGCCCAAGGTCATCTCACTGGTGTTTGCGCTCGCTGTTGTCGCCACAGTTCCCGCTCTGTTCGTTGGCGTAAGTGCTCTATTGTGGCGAGGGACGTGACATCGTTGTAGATCATGGCTAACCGCGAAGCAGTGGCTCGCGCTGGGCGGCAATGTTGCGCACCTCCAGAAGGCATTCTCGGCTGCTCCTGTTTCGCACGGTGTCTTCTTCGGCTCCATCATCGGCATGGAGCTCGTCTTTTACCTTTACTACGTCAGCTGGAACCTCTTCCAGGTCCTGCCTGTCGCTGGTGTCGTCGGGGTCGTCATTTTCCTCAGCGGCACCAAGGCGTTGGGCGAGGTGCAGAGCAGACGCCTCGCAGGCGAGCGGTAAAGGAAAAGATTCGAGGACAGAAGCATTTTCTCGGTCGATCATGCATTGTAGAGGGAATACGGCCGGGATTCATGAGGATCGGCCAGTGGGTATAAGGGTATATAAAAGCTAGGTAGCCCGGAAAAGTGTATATTGACGGCCGCTGTTACGCCATCTGATGTCAGCCAAACGCTATGCCTCTGGGAGTGCCGACCACAGTTTCGCCTTGCCGACGCCAATAGCTTCAGTAGCGGTGTCAGGCATCAGCAATAGTACCGAAGTGTGAAGGATTGCTGGCCATCTGTCTTGTTCCTTGAAGTGCTGAACTTTTCATCTCATCCATAGAGAGGCCCGCGGACGCTGGTTTGCACGTATTCAACCATTTGAATAAGCCACAGTTTTCATGTCTTCACGATGCCTCTCTCATCAGAGACATACAGGCAATTGCAGTCTAGTGCCTCCATCCTAGCTATAAAGTTGACATTCTGCTACACTTCGCTCAGCAGAAGCCTCCGTTGGGGAAAGCGTAGTCATGATGCCAGATCCCGTAGTATGACGTTCATGACCGCTGAACACTTCCGGTGGGTGGCAGGCTAAGCAATACGCAACGGGCGTGGCTTATACAGCGGCGTCTTTAAAACAAAGCGTAGCACACAGCCCGGGGCCCGCCGTGCTGGCATTTACAAATCAATCTGCCCAATCACAGACTACGCCTCGCATCTTATTTGGCAGCGCGGCCAATCAGCAAATAAGCACCAGAGCAGTTAGCCCCGACTAGGTAGGCGTACGTATTCGACATCGCTCAAACTCAGCCATCGCCGGCGTGCTGAGATGGGCCTGTGATCATGAGAATTTGGAATACATGCCAATGGTAAGGAATGAAACGACCTTGGAGAGAGGATAAAAGCCTGGCCGGCTCCTTGTTTCTTGGATGATCATTTTCCACACCCTTGCATCCATATAACTTGCACAAGACCCTTACACCAATCTCTCACCAGAAATTGGACTATAGAGCTCCTCACACCCATCAAGCAGAAAACCCCATCAGCCAAAAACTAGAAGAAGAACAAGCGAAATAAAGACAGCACCACATATGGCGTTCGTCCTCGTCGGTCTCGTCAGCGCCGCCGTCCTGGGTGCCATGGACAAGAGCCGGGGCAACAACGATGCAACGGGAGCCTTCGCGCACCGCGACGCCTGCTCCTCCTCCTCGTCCTCCTCCCGGCAGCAGTCTCACTGGCAGCTCGCGCAGCCCTGTTCATGCGCCGAGTGCGCCTCCCACATGGCGGGCGCGCATCCCGCCCCGCTAACCCGGCGCGAGCACAGGCGCCTCCGCCGGGCCGCGAAGCGCGAATTCAAGGAGCACCGCCGGGCCGAGCGCCGGGTCTGGAAAGCGGCGCGCCGCGCGGGCGTGCCGGTACCTGCCAAGGTTGCTAGCCCCGAGGTCGACGAGCCCCCGGCTTACGAGCAGGTGGTCGGCAGTGGTCGGCGGTGACCGGCTGACTGTTGTGGCGTTTGGGGGGAAATGGGAACATGGATCATGGCTAGTGGAGTTGGGATGAAGTTTGGGTTATCTGCTTCTAGACTTGATATCATGACCAGTCACAGAGTAGATCTTGGTTAGTAACATTTATGTACCTGCCACCTACTTCCTAGGCTTCGACAAGTGCTCGTACCACTGAAGCTTACATATCTATACACACTCATACTAGTTGAAGCGCCGTACTGACGTCCCATCAAGATCGACTATTGGAGTACAGACGGCCGGCTATAGGCCTAGCTTGTCGAACAGTTTAGGTGTCGGTGCTGGCGGTGTAGCCAAACGGTGAAAGGCACGAATGATTGGTCGGGCGGTATGCGGCTGGGTTGTGATCGTACGACGGATTTGGAGTCAATATACGGCGTGCTTTGTCGCGGTACAAGATATAGGTATATATATGCAGAGAGCAATCCCTACAGCACTTGCATTTGGGTATGGCCGAACGAATGGTCGATTCGTCCCAAGCTTGTTCCCACTATGCCGGGAGCAGGGTTCCTTGCATGACTTGCGCATCAAATGCCGAGAAACCGTTGGGCTACCTGTGCCAATGGATCCCGTCTGTTACCTTTCTTTTCTCCTTTGATGTTTCTCTGTGCGTGAACGAGTTGTGGACGAGCTGGGATGCTGCAATATTGTGAATATTAGGAGCGAATCTACGGGGCTGTAGTGATAATGGTTGGTTTTTTCCACGCGAATGAACGTGCGTCGACGACCTTTTGCTTGCCCCCCGTACACAGCAACACATTGGGCGTTGGAGCCATGGCTCCCTTCTATTCGTTTTGCCACACCGCGAGATGCTGCAACTTGGCAACAGGGAATAACAGGCACCCCCGGAGAATGGCAGTTGGAATACGGCTACGTGCATCATACAGCTATGCCGCCCACGGCCAATTGGAGCACATCTGGGTCCTGGCAAGATGTGGAAGCCCAATGCGACCAAATGCATGCGAGATGGCGCCCATTGGGTATACGTCCTTGAGCCGCGGGGAGCAGTGACATGTTGTATCCGATCTTCTCGGAGGTCTGTTTGCTGGTCAGGATGGGGAGGTTTTGGCGATTTGTCTTTTCCCCATGGCATGAGGATGACATGATCTTTGTGCGCGCGTGGAAAGTCGATCCGAGCTCTGGACAGTGCGTACCTTGGTGCTTCGTGTGTGTAACTTAACTGGAGTTAATAACAGATGCATCTCGTGAGCAGGCAGACTCCAAGACAGACGATTTCCCCGGCGCCCAATAGGGTCGAGGCGTCCCATAGTCCGCTGTTCCGTCCTCCATGTTTCACGTCTGCAGCCGGTGCACGCTTTACAAGTGGTAGCGACAGCATCAAACAGGCCGCGGGATCTGGAATTGCGTGTTCCCTTTTATGCTGTCTTCATGCTGTACCTGCATAGAGAGAGGCCATCCTGAGGCGGCCGAGGGCATAATCGCATTGGAACTGCGGAGTGGGCAGGCAGATATATTTTGTTCACCGAGGAGCAAAACTATGGATTATGTCGATTATGTTACTTCCACCCTGTAGTTATATGCAAGTCAATAACCTGGCGTCCATCCACAGTGCCCCCTGCCCCTGTTGACTGATCGTCAACTAAGGTAAGTATACGGGGGTGATGAACATTGCTGTGCTGTCCCTCCCTTCGTTTTGGTTTGCAATGTGTTGGCTCGTCCCCAGCTCCATTCCATCCATCAAGGTCTCCATGTCCTTCCTGCGTGGCAGACATGACGTGGGGACCGACTGTGTCTACTTACCTAATTCAAGATGTATAGCGCTGGGGACAAATCTGGATATCGGCCCTGTCGGTGGGTTTACAGGTCAGCAGACGGGGCGGGTTCGCGCTGTCCATTTGCCCTATTTGCCCCATCCGCCCTGCCCCGATGCCCGGGAGGGCGCCACTAAGGTGCATCAATGCAGGCTGGGCTAGCCCGTTCCAGGCCAGCTGCAAGTCAGTCGAGCAGCTAACCTTTACGGGGCGCCTTAGGGGATGAGGTACCTCAGTCAGTGAGTGCAGCCGCCCCTGCCAGGCCTAATTCACGTCGGGTGTGTACCCCATAGCCACGTCCACGCTGGCTGCTGTGAGCCTGCAACCTGGAACTCTCCCAATTTCCACGGGGCCTGGGGAAGATCGACAACCCTCTTCTTTTCGCTCTTGCTCCAACACCACCGCCGTCTATCGGGCTGAGATTTTCTCCCTCTCACTCGCTCTCGAGCAGCCCACTTACTCGCTCATTCACTCGAGGCGGTCCGTCCGTCCACAACCGTCCAGAGGACCCCCTCCGTTTCTTGAATATCTGCCCTCTCCTTGCCTGCCGCTGGCCAGACCTCCGCAGCCGGACACGCACCATCCTTCACCCTGCTCCCGCTCCCAGCCTCCGGCCATCTGCTCAGCGCGCGCTTCCCCGAATTTCCCGCTCGTTCTGCACCTCGACACGACACCCCTCCTGAACTTACTGCCGCCCACGACGCCGCCTCCAACCTTCGCTCGTTGTTAGAATCCGCGACAGCCCCACCATCGAATCGAGGCTTGGGCGCACGACCCAACGCACCCGCAAGCGCTCGTTGAGCGCTTCGGCACACTTCCTCCGTCCCGAGAGGCGCCGCAGTCCTGCAGACCATTTGGCGAGACGCCTGTCGAGGCATCCAGATCCCGGTACTGTCGGCCATAGAGGCGTGGGACGCCTGGATTCTATTGTCTCCCTTGGGTGGCCGTCTGTCTCCGAGCCACAAGACACTGCCTACACCTCCCTATCCAGATCAGCCGGTAGCTCGTCCAACCCCGACGCCCGTCCTCTCGATCGCACGATGAAGGGCACTCCTGTTGATCAGCTCGTGTACGAGTACATGTTCCCGAAGCCTCGCTCTACCGACCCGCAAAACTTCCACTCGCTGCTGCATCGGCATCTCATCCTCGAGGTTCGCCAGGAGGTGCACGCATTCTACGGCCATCTGGACACGCAGGAAGCCAAGTATCCCGGCCTCGACTACTGCCACCATATCCACCGCATACGGCTCAGCCGCTGGGCCTGGCACCGTCGTCTGTTCCGCGCCTTCGACGGTCTGCGCCTGACGAGGTCGGAGATCTCCAACCTGACCAAGTGGGAAGGCACGAAATGGGCCAAGGAGCGCTTCGAACGTGACTCGGGTATCTTCATTCGGGACACGGCACCGGAAGAGGTCGGCCAGTGGATCGAGCCCGAGGACAGGCCGCAGGCTCTGCGCGCAACCCTGCGCGCCCAGATGCTGGACGACCAGGAGGACGACCAGGAGGAGCAAGATGCAGCCGACGATGACATGGACGGCGAAGAGGAGAGCGACGGCGAGCTGAACAGCATCGGTATCGCCCTAAACCAACGACTCCTGGCGCGCCGCGAGGCCGGCGACATCTCCGAGCCCCTGGACGAGGAGTGGGAGCAGTGGCTGAAGAATGCGATTGACTCCGGCGCACTTCCCTTTCTCACAGAAAACCTGCGCCATTCGACGGACCCTGCCGCGGCCGCTCTCGTACCGCAAGCCCTGTTCCCGCCGCGCATGCTCAGCGCCGCGCGGGCCGGCCAGTGGGACGAGGTTCCCGAATTCCTCCACGATATGCTTCGGCGCACACTGCAGACCGAGGCTGCTACCGCCGCCACTCCCAGCATGCCCGAGATGCAAGGCTCTGCTCGGTCAGCCCGGGACATACTGAACATTGCGTCCTGGCGGCGGTCCTACTCTGATCTCCGCTTGCCGATAGGCGACGGGCCCACCAACACCAGCTCGGACAGCGTGCGGTACAACCGCACTGCCCGACCCGGGGCGTGAGCTCATCACAGACCTTCGTGCTAGACTTCCGCGTTTGCAAGGGGGCTTCTCACGAATCTAAGAAATATCCCCAGGGGGGGAGAACCAAAATATCAAACTAGGCTCAACCCCCCTTTCTACTACATCATTATCTTCTCACAGATACCCCCGTTTTATCACATCCCGCTACGACTCGGTGCACCCCGGCTACTGGGTGTTCTCTACTACTACTACAAAGGCTGGCAGTCTAGATGACACGGTCCCGCCCCTCCTCAAACTGAGGGTCTTCTGTTCTTTGCCCTACACCTTTTTTATTTTTCAGCTGATGCGAAAACGAACAAGATCACGAGCAGCATACCTGTCATGGGGGGAAACACACGCACCATGGCCCCGAGCAGTTGGCCGTCGACAGTTTCCTTCCCCCACCTCTTTTTATTTTACAACATGGATCTGGAGTTTGAGCATCATCTACGTCTTCTTGCTTGCTTACAATTGTTCACTCTGCTTGCGTTAGAAACACGGGGACATGGGGACAGTCGGTAGGCTTTCGGGGTCCATAGACAGGCGGGAAGGGAAGAAAATTTACCGTCGAAAAAGTTTATATATGTATGAAGGCACACTTGGACGCTGATCAACAAATCGTGGTGATCTGATTTTTTTCTCTCTCTCTTTCCATCATTGCTTGATCTGTCGGGGTATATCCCGCTCTAAACTTCTTCGCGGCCATCATTCACGATCCGTGTCCAAGACAGCATCGACCAAACGCCAGTTCCCGGCCCCCAAACACCTTAAACGCCTGCTACGTAAAAAGATTCCAAAAGACATTTCCGCTAACAAGCTGTATAACACTGCATCCTCGTCGTGCTGGCAAAACGTAGGCCGTCTGGCTCTTCAAGGGAGCCAATGCTCCTGCGGCCCCGGGTCAGGGTAGAAAGCGCTCGGGATCGCATCGTGAAGCCCAACGCAGTGTTCATCGCCGTTCGACGCGCGGGTTGGGGTTCAAGCACCCATGGCGACGCGACACTTTGCGATTCTTGCAGACCACGTCGCCCTCACGGCTCCTCGGAGGGCCTGTGATGCGGTGGCGCCCGGGCGAACCCAGGTCCGCGTTCGTGAGTATAGATATCCGTGATCAAAAAAGGTAAGCAACCCGCCCAAAACGGCGGCTACGTTTTACGCGGCCGTCCCCGGCGGTTCAAGTTGACGCCCTCCTACGGTTCGAGATGGGACCACTCGGGGATGGCTTTGATCTGGCTCCACATGTACTTCTCGAGCTTGTTGGCCGACTTGGCGTAGGGCGTCGTCTCGTTGTTGTACTTGCGGCAGTTGTCGAAGATGAGCTTGGCGTCCTTGACGAACTCCTCGGGCGTGCCGTACTGGTCGGCCTCGAGCTTGGCCTCCATGGTCGACAGGTCCATGGGCTCCTTGATGACGTCGTAGTAGTCGGCGACGTCGTCCTTGTTGACGGGTACCAGGAAGGGCCAGGCCGACTGGTGGTTCTGGAGGTCGTTCAGCAGGTGGAGGAGCTGGTTGTAGTTGGGGCCGTGCCGCGGCTGGCGCGACAGCTCGTCCATGTCGGGCGACCAGCCGGACTCGCGGATGGCGTCGATGGACATGGGATCTATGGATTCGACGCCATTCTTCCACTGCTTGGGTGGCTGGTGGATCATGTGGGATTTGGAAAAGGCGCGGATCTTGGCGTGCACGCACTCCTTCTGCTTCAGCAGCATGCGGCCCATCTCGAGATAGCGCACCCGCGGAAGCATGGAGCACTGCATTATAGTGCCTCCCTCGTAGTCCTTGATGTAGCCCATCCACACAGATTTAGGCAGGGTGATCTCCTTGGTGAATCCCTGTTTCTTAAAGTACCCGATGGCGTAGTTGTCGGCATAGGTCAGGAAATGCATGACGTCGCTGGTGGCCTTGACGTAGTCCTTGAGGTGGGACATGAGATGGGCGCCGTATCCCTTGACCTGCTGGTCACTACTAATGGCGCAGAAGACGATCTCGGCGAACTGGCGTCCCTTAAACGGCCGATAGGTGATTCCGCCGACGACCTCGAGTGGCTTCTTGACAATGGCGATGGACAGATGGGTTCGGTCGTAGACGAGGCGGGCGATGTAGTCCTTGGGCATCTTGGGGAGCTGCTTCTGGAAGATGCACTTGAGGCCGGTCAGGATGATGAGCGACTCGCGCTCGTTGTCGTTGTTCACGACGCGGAACTCGATCTCGCCGTTGCGTTCCTCGATGACGCCGAGCTGACGGGGTTCAGTGTTAGCATGGCTGGTGTGTTCCTTACAATGGCGGCACAGGGGCGCCGGGCAGTCGGCCGCGACGATGCAGGTATAAGGAAATAGCTTATTCTGGAGAGGGGGTGCACTTGGTCCCTCTGCTCGTTCTTGAACTTTCTCTCGGACTTCTTCTTCTTCTTCTTCGTCTTCTACTACTGCTTCATGTGCCAAGGCTATGACGGCCTGTTGCGAAGGAGGAGGCCGGGCGGCTGCAACTTGCAGAGCTGTAGGTTCTCGCCATGTACATGATGTAGTAGTAGTAGTAGTAGTAGTATCAGCAGCTGCTGGGGGTCCAGGGGAGGTACTACATCCCTCTGGGGCGGGGCGGACACAGGACGGAGCGGGGGGCTGTACTTTTTCGGGGAAGGGTATAGGCTTCATGGCGGGCTTCTTCTCGGGTTCGGCCGAGTCGCTGTGCTTGGCCCGCTTGGAGAGGGTGGGCGACTCGGGCTCGTCGCTGGCCTTGCGCTTGCCATCTGGAGCACGGGGTCAGCAATCACTCAGTCACGGTATGGCTCGGGCGCAGGGCGGAGACGCAGGCAGACATACTCTCGTCCTTGACCATGTTGGCGACGTTGCGGTCGACGGCTCAGGGCGCGACGACACGGCGCGGGAGGGTGCGGGGGTGTTGTGCAGTCGCGTTTCGGTCGGGAGTGATGGCGAGGGGAGGCGATGCGATGCGATGCGATGCGAATGCGATGCGCTGCGCTGGTCGGCGACGTTGGAGCTTGATAGCTTAGGTAAGCGTCTCGCGTCTGAGCGTGGATTGCCGTCAGAAAGTGGAGACCCGGGGGCTCTGATCGGCGCTAAGCCCCTCCTGGGCAAGATTTGGCCGGAAGAGACACAGGCCTGACAGGCCTGACAGGGGTTGGAGCAGCTGCCCCGCGATTCGAGGCCTCGGGGCCGGGAGATCAGTTGTTCCTCTGCAAGGGGGAAACGAAAGCCCAGTCCACGGTTCCAGTTCGGTTCAGTGGGGCTGAGTTACAGGCTAACTACGGTTTTCGGGCGACGGGGCTTGCCGAGCGGCCACCTGGCTGCTGGGCTTGGTGCTGGAGTGTGTCGAAAGCACCGCGCTGGAGCTTGGCGAGCTTACGACTTCAGATCCGTGGACCAGAGACATCGACAATTGGCACCTTTTCTTCCCACTCGACGCCCACTTGACGCCCTCGCACTGCTTTGTTTTCACGACGAGCATGAGGATTTGATTCTTCTTCTTGCCAAACCACCATTCACCACCACCACCACCAGCCGCTCGTTCGACCTCCGTAGACGGCCCGCCCTCCGCGACGCTCCATCGATCGCATGGATTCCTCACTCGTTCAGCAGTGGGATGCACCTGGCAGCCCCTTCCTTCCTACCATCGGCAAGGGAACCCAGTTCCTAGTTGGATTCACCCTCGTCGTTCTCGGCTTCACCCTCTTCGGAGGCTTTGCCCTCAGTACGCACTACATCCCACCCACACCCACCACGTATCTCTCGAGAGCCTCCAGCTAACACAAGGACCCCTAACCTAGATCGCTCCTTTGTCAACATCCCCATCCTCGGAGTTCCCGCTTCTCTGGCCCTGGCGTACGTCTTCCCTCTCCAACTACCACTACCTCTTTCTATCGAGTCGCCGTCTCACAAAAAGCAGGTTCGGCACCGTCTACATGTTCTGTGCTGTTGGAGTGTACGTTTAAAGAAGGAAGAGATACCCCCCGAAGACGGCCCTTTCGACCCGTGATATCCTTGGGGCCTGTATCATAGATGAATTGAGGCGCACAAAAAGTTCTACCGTGATCTACCACGTTCCGCTTCGTTGAGCTGGAGAGACCGCATCTCCCAACCATCTCTTGACACCGTATTCACGACACTTCACAACCCATCTGAAACCATGGCCTCTGCCATCGGCTCCGTGCCCCTGAGGCCGCCGCTTTTTCGAGCCATTACGAGCTCGACGAGGCAGATCTACCAGCTGCTCAAGTGCATCAGCTTCACCACCAAGGCGCACGTCCAAATCACCCAGGACGGCATCAGGTTCGCCGTGGACCATTCCCGAGTAATGCAAGGTAGGGCTTCCAGCATTGTTCACCTTGATTTATTCACTTTGTTCTGTTTGTTTCATCGTATATCTTGCACGTGATAATGACTCCTTCCAGGTGTTGCTTTTCTGGACAAGGCTCTGTTCAGCAAGTATGCCCTGACCCTGCCCGATGATGATGATAGTGCTTTGCCTCAATTCCAAATAAATTTGGCCGCCTTCCTGGAAGCACTCCAGATTTTCGGCGCCTCAGACGCTGCCGCGAGGCAGGCCAAGGCCGAGGCCGAATCCTATCGGAGCAACCTGAAGAATTACCGTCCGGATGCATTCAATCACCAGACCTTAGGCATGACCGGCACCTGCTGTCTTCTGTACGAGGAAGATGGTTCGGCACTCAGCATCATTCTAGAGGAGACGGGTGTCAAGACGCAGTGTAACATGACAACCTACCTACCCGACCAGCCAGACGACATTCCTTTCGATCGAGATGATCTGACCTTCAAGATCATTATGCAGGCAAAATGGCTGCTCGATGGGCTATCCGAGTTGGCACCCATGTCGCCTACCCGCATGACCATCACAGCATCACCGACCGCACCATACCTGAGCCTCTCGAGCGGCGGCCCCGTGGGCAGCGCAAGTGTGGACTTCTCCAGCGGCCGTGAGCTTCTGGAGACCTTTTCGGTCCGCGAGAAGTGGACGCAGAGCTTCAAGTTTGACCTCATCAAGTCGGCGAGTGAAGCCATGCGTATCGCAAGCAAAGTCAGTTTTCGCGGGGACGGACAGGGAGTTCTGAGTCTGCAGTTCATGGTTGAGGTCGAAGGCGGTTCAGTCAGCTTTCTGGACTTCCGTTTCGTGCCGTACGCAGAGAACACGCTGGAGGATGATGAGGACACAGGATCTGAGGGAGCCGAGTTTGACTAGAACCGGGGTGAATCGATCGGTCTAATTGCCTGTAAATCACTATTTGATTCCCACGGTAATTCCCAATATTGCTCGGCTCAATTATGTTCTGCTCTACTATGATGATAATCGAAGACGTCGGGCAACTACTTTTTGTTGAATCTTGTCAGGCTCCACGGATAGACAGCCTACGTAGGCTCTAATTCAGCTCAAATCAGTATGTCTATAATTCAGGTTGTGGAAATCTAAATTTGTATAATGAAATTTTTGTCAACACTCCCAGCTCTGCACATAATTTCCGTCGACCTGACAATGAAAGGGAGAAGAAAATCAAACTCCGGTGACTCTTTGCTCAGATATGCAACTCCCGCCATGGTCCGAGTCCAGCCCTTCAAAGCCCTTGTAGTCGGGCACGTCAAAACTGCAAGGGGCTAAGCTCGACGACGCCAGCTGAGCGCCACCCAGCTGAACAATGGAGGCGGATTGGAAGAACCGCGCGAGGTCAGTGATCAGCTGCGCACTAGCCGTGCGCGCATGCAGCTAGCAGATGATAACCTCGCCTGATAGATTGTCTTTCATGCAGACCAGCAGGCCAGAAACGCCTATCGCCCAACATGAGGCTCACTTCCCTCGGTGCCATTGGACAACAGCTGGCCCGGTGGTCTGGATCGCCTGGGGGGCTTGCGACTTGGGATGGGCTGTCCATAATATTGGACAGCTTTGATTCACTGCCGGCCGCGGGTTTGTTTGTTCGTCTGAAATATGGCGGATACATAAGGGCCAGTGGTTCCCTCTCTCAGTACGGGCAGGTATAGTCAATCGTTCCCTGCTCCCACGTCTAGACTCTTTCCGCGACTCGCAAATACATCAACCTCACGTTTGAGTCAGCGTTTAGGAAAGGCCAGAGACTCATACAGACAATAAGCAATGACCCAACTTCGAACCACGGCTACGGCCTTCGCCACGTCCACTGAGGGCGAGCCGCCATTGGTGACGCAGATCATCGCATTGCTCAAGGGCATGTTCTGGGGGAAGTCGAACAGCGAGAGGGGAATCTCGGTCCCGGAGGAGGAAGAGACAGTCCCGAAGAAATACGTTCACGTCCCGACGCACGCGGCGAGCAGTTTCTTGAGGACAGCAACGCCGAAACATATGAAGAAGGCGAATGAGATCCTGTGAGCACACGATGCCGTGGCATATGTCGACTCCTTTACAAAAACCGCTACTGGCACACTTTTACCCCCGGAAATTCGGGGGTAAATGTGCTTGGCCGTTTCTTGCGCCGGTGCGCAGCACATCATGCTCCGTTGGCTCGCGAGCCGTGGATTTCGGCAGACGCACTCTCATGTAGCGATGGCTGCCTCAGCGTCGAGCCCGTCTCGTCAACCCTTTCGGTCCGCCATGCAGTTGTATACACCGTTATGGGCTATAGTGGCCCGCAGCCTGCTTACACTGATACCGCTCCCAATCACTCACGAGACGCCTTCATGCGGTGCCGTTGCGCGAGTTCTGAAGGGGTTGCTTTGTATGGTGAAATGACCCAGACTTTTTTTTTCATCTGAGCACAGGGATGGCATAACAGTATGGCCAGAACTCCTCTCCGTCTCTCAAATGACCGCGGCATATACTCGAGTCGAGCTTAAGCCTGGGGCCATTCAACGGTCTACGCACCCAGGACTCACCTGAGAAATATTGAAGAAAGACCTACGATCCGTGGACGGGTTGATGCTTGGCTTATACATCTGGTGCTGTCGCAATGAGTAGAGCCGTCGGTCTACGCAATGGATCAGGTCAAAATCAGCTGACACAGGCGTCTTACCTGGAATTTCTACGAATCCCCTGTTCTATATATGTCCTGCAAACTCAGTCAAGGATACAGCTAGCCACAGGCTCAGGGGGGAAAACCTCGATATGTTTCACAATCGCTGGTTGTCGAACTGGCCAGGAAACAGCAGGGCTGGTGGGAGTCTCAGTTATGCTTCGACATAGGTGACTGGACAGAGTCACATATCGTTCGCTTGAACGTGCAGGACAGTTCTCCCCCTTACGGGCGGCTTGGTGTTACCAAGAGCTCTGGCACTAGTTCTAGAGGTTGTTCGGATACAATCACACTCGGCAAAGGGGTGACGTGATGTGCTTGAGATAGCTCTCATGGTGACGACTGATGTAGGACTTTTCCTTACTTACGACTTAATATGGGAGTTGAGGGCTATTTTGGGTTATCAAGGTTGGAGTCAGATATGTCTAGAAAATATCTATAGATGAGATAGCAAAGTAAGGGAAGAGAAGTTACATAGCTCAAGCGCTTATCAGGACGAGAGGTGCCAATTCCGACCTCCCCCTTGCGTACCGCACCCTCTCATTCGTCAGCATGTAAACAAGATCAAAACAAAAACACACTTCCTCCCGAGCCTGGAGGTCGCTACTGCACGTCGATGCGAGTCATGCACATGGTGGTCATGTATGTAAGATCCAAAAATTTCCTGTCAAATGCAGGAACAAGAGAGGTCTTATGTGTTGGTTCTGCCTTGCCGCTGGGACCTGGGCTGCAGGTCATCAGCCGTCATCTTCCTCCCTTGCTCCCAGGTAGATTGCGCTGTTCATGGTTGTGATAGCAGCTCGTCAAATCCGGGGTCTTTGATGCAAGGTGAGATTCGATGCAACACCACTAACCACATCGTCGGCGTCGATTGGCCTTGGACGAATACAGAGGGACCTGCGCCTATATTAAGAAACGCCACGGATCGACCAAAGGCTAGCTCTGGTATAGTTGGACAGCCCAATCGCTGAGCGATTCGGCAATCTTGCGAGACTCAAACTTAACTTAAAATCGCCTGCCATGGGCTTTTGTGAAAGAACCACGCATGATACGACATCGTGCAGCACCACCGATGGCCGCGCAGATCTGCGTGGTTAAATCTCCGGCGCTGCTCACCAAAGCACCCATTCTGCCGGTACACCAATCCGGTCAACTGGGCTGACGTCTGCATTTCCTCGTTCCACAATTAGACCGGAGCAATCAATCATGGCTCGCTGCTTTCCTACTGTCGCCTGGTCGCTTACCACCAACACGATTGTTTGCTCATGACGTCAAAAACCCTAGAGGAGTATTCCAGGAGGCGGTGCTTGCCTGTCTGCTTGCTTATTGTTAACAGAAACGCTACAGCTACTCTGGTTCGCCGGTTTATTCTCGACTCTTACTGGACGGTGAAGGCCGGGCTGCCGCTTTTGCCGGCAGGGCCGCGGACAATGAGGATTCATTGAGGATATCAGTAAGCGTAGAACTACGGCACAGTAGATTTGATGGCACTCCTAAGTAAGTCCTAGACACGACGGCAGCGCCTAGTCCTTCGTTCACAAGAGACGGTTCCACAGCCAATACGTAACGTAGTTTGGACGAGTACAATTCACTCTCGGAGTAGTTCTATCTTCCGAGGTAAGTTTTGTTGCAGGTTGAAAGGTGTTCTTCTGGGGCTGGCAGCCTGCAACGGCGTGGGAGGTCGTCAACTCTGGCAGGTTTAGGCCCCCCCCCAACCCATGGATGCTGGTAACAGCATAGAGTCAGGCGACAAGACCTCAGCCAGCGCCCCGTGGGGGCTTATCACGTGGACCCCAAATGGCATATCCACTTGCATCTCAGCTTGTCTCGCCGGCTGAGGCCTTGTGAGTATGAAGATGTGATTTCTATCGCGAGACTCGGCAACTTCACGCTCGCCCATGCATTTCTCCACTGGTCTCGAGATCCTCATGGACGCTTTGGGCGGTTTGGGGGGCACTGAGTTGCGTGGCCAGTTCGCTGGTGGGCCTCTAACGGTTCCACCCGTCCCTCCATCAGTGCCCCGAAGAAAGGGCCAGACGCTCGTGGGCCCAGCTCGGCACTTCACACCAATCCACTTCACCACTACACCATGGTCCGAGTAATCCGTTGGTAATGGTCCTGAGGATCGCCGACATGCCCGCGATTCCTGTCAGTCAGCCGTTTGTTCGCCTGCGTCGTGCCGCACCCCTGCGCTGCTTTGGGGCAATGACCAATCTTCAGCAACCCGCCATGCGGCGGCCGCCTGGGACCTGCCGCGAGGGCGACGGCCTGGCAAATCCGAGCTCTCGACTGCCTGCACCCAAGTGATAGCCTCACGCAGCGGGAGGTAGCCCAGACGCAACAATGCCTTCGGACATGTCGCAAACCCGGCCAACGCGGCCGCCAGTTGAGCCCGCCGGGATCGCAAACCTCGAGGAGGACCTGTAGGTTGGTTGTGCTCGATTGCGATTCCTTGCCTTCATGTGCCAACCCACTCGCCAACATTCCCGACCTGCAGGCCTCGAGCAAATAGTCCGCGGCTTGTAGGTAAGTGCGCCAGTCGCATCTTGTCAAAGCTGAAGTTTTGTCGCACAGCGGAGTCACTAGCCTTTGACTCGTATGCGACTTTCCGGGTCTGCACTCTCGCTCTCGCTGCCTGTGGCCAAGGAGCCGAGCAGCTTGTAGGTTGGCGAGCAACTCTATTTCCAATGTTTCAACCAGATTACTATGCCCAGTCCTATGCCCGGCACTATGCCCGGTGAAAGGACAAGCATTGCACACCTCGGGCCCGACCCAACGGGCGCAAGTCGGAGGAGATACGTATCCTCAATAATATCACCAAGGTGAAGTCAGCCTACTCAGATGATCCTCTTCGGTTGGCATGCCACCTTGCAGGGATTGTATATGCGGAAGAAAATAGTAGCTTTTGGCAATGGGCCAATGGTTGATAAAAATAACAGACCCCCCTGCAAACCCCCTTGCTCCAACAGTCAACTATTCTGCGTAACCCACCATGCCAACTCTTGACAACGCCCCTCGTGTAAGTCAGCCGAGTCTCTCCCTCAGCCGAGCTTGCGAGGAGCCATTGTTTTCTAGCAACTCTTATCCACCACTTCACTTGCCGACTTATATGCACGCGTGTTCGAGTAGTATCAAGTCTCGGAACGGGTTCCACGCGCTCAGGAACAAGATCTATTTCCCCCGCACCGCTCTCCTTCTTTTCTATTATAATGCCCCAAGCTTGAGAGGCACAAGCCGGTCCGTGGACTTTACATTCCCAGATATGTAAAGTAGGCACGCCGGCTCTCCCATATATGGTTTTGTTTGCTTGGTATCCATCGCCCTTGCCTAGAGACCGGTCACTTCGACGCCACCATGTCCAGGTTCAGGAGGCTCATCTCAACGCGGCGTCAGCGGTATCCAGCTGAAGAAAGGGATTCCGACAGCGATGATAGCACCGCATCTGGTCACGCGAACTTCAAAGAAGTGCAAAAAGATTCCTGGCCTGCAAGCAGGCGCCCCCACAACAGAAGCCGGCCGCCGACCCCAGGTGCAACTAGCAAACCACAGAGCCTACTTAATGTCTCAGACCCTCAACCGCCCCTACCTGGTGACACGCCGCGGTCTTCAACTAGCTCAGCATTCAGTTATGAAAGAAGCGGCACTGCCGGATCGAGGAGCCCTTTTCTTTGTTCCACCCCATCGAAACATGCCAGTGAGCTCTCGCTACAGCTCTCGAGCGCTACGAGCTATGACGAGGACGACGAGCCCACACCATTAGCCAGAGACAACGACAAATTCCCGAGGTCGAGGTCGTTGAGCAATAGCACAAGACTGCCAAGGTTGCGACCCGACTTTATGGATGCATTGTCTCAACGGCCCGCGGACAAAGCGACTGGGACATATCATCAGCATCTTCATGATGAATGCGCCACTTCGCCTGGCTTCTTGAAAAGAGTTGAAAAGCTGAGCCAAGAAGCAGATGCGGCCTTCAAACCCGGCCGCTCTTTTTCTCAAGTAGACGTTACACGCAGGTCTTTTAATGAAACTCCAAGACTGCCTCCTCTATATACGGGACCATCAGTGCAACGGCCAGCTTTAAAACCGATACTCAAGAAAACACGTGAGACCCTGCCGCCGCAGTCTCCCACGTTACCTGTTAGTTTTCCGAGACGGACTTCGTCTCTGCAAATTCCCAAGCGGCACAAGTCAGTAGCGTCGCGGCAGATGAAGACTCAACGGAAATCCGTTGCCGCAAAGAATGCGGGAAAGAAGGATTCAAAATGGACAGAGAATGTGACTGACTTGCTGAGCGGCAAGTTGTTCCATAAAATCGAGGCCGATGAGATGTTGACGCCGGCGCAAATCGAAGCCTATAAGCTGAAACGGCTATCGAGGCTTCAATTACAGGCCGCAAAGTCCGGTGAGACATGGCCGCCTCCTCTTGACACCGAGTCGACCGAAACGCCAATCGAACCTTTCCACTTGGACGACTTGCCTTTGAGGATTGGCTCTTCGGGGGTAAAACTTACAGCGGATACTCCGATAGACGAGAAACCGGATCCTGCAATCTTCAACGAGGCAATAAGACAAGATTTCTCGCTACATCGAAGGGACAATGACGACGAGCTGTTCTTGGGCGAGGCACCGCACCGTAGACCCAGTGACCCGACCTCGAGTGCCAGCGAGGATTTGATATCAGAAACTCCTCCACAACTGCCAATGAAAAATCCAAGCCGCTACATGTTCCGCAAGATCCCCGAGCTTCCTACAATATCAGAGACAGCTGTCCAAGATGATGAGCTATTCCTCTCACGTGGCCTCAGTGGCAATCAAAAAAGTACAGACGATGAAAACTATGTTTTCTTCCAATCGACCCCTTTCACTATGACAATGCCCTCTTTCCGCCACGGCCCCATACGATTCGCCAGGTCTGACCTCTTCCCAGAGCCTCGATTGGGGGGTGCTGATGACGGGTTGGATTGGACGGCCTTCCAGATGGCCATTTCCGGAGGAGCAGGAGACTTCTTCACGGACAGCGAGCACACTTTACGTCGGCAGGAGGCAGAAGACATCGAAGCACTTCGTGACTGGTGGGAAGAGTGGGGGTTCGAAAACCTGGGAGGTCTGGTCACGCGCGAAGACGACCCGCCCAGCCCGAGCACCATATCGGGGAGTGATTCAAACGATTCCCTCTATGAGGAGATCGGGCGAGACAACCCATACAGCCCACATCATAAATGGCAACGCCTTCGACGTAAGGCGGCCAAGAAGGGTCGGCGACTTGATCTTGACTTGTCAAACGGCAGCAAGCTGTACAATGGCGGCACCATTGAAAAGTGGAGGTCTGATGGCCATTCGAGCTATGTATTGCCGCGGGAGAGTCTGGTCAGCATGCCACAAAGCCCAATGCTCGACCTTCAAGTTATTACAAGTGACAACGGCGATGTCGACTACGTGCCCATGGGATACAACCTAAGCCACGACCTCGGCGACTTTCTAAGCTGGGAGGCTGAAAACGTGTACTCGGATGGCTCCTTGTACGACGGGGGTGTCATATAAGACAGAGCTGAGCTCATCCTAGGATCCGCAGTGGGATATGAACAGATACGGCAGCAGTGGCGTTACGATATGAATGACTTTAATCTTTAAGCATGGAAAGCGATTGGCATAAGATATACCCATCTCCTTTCGAACTAGTCTTTAGTATATAAAATGAAATGGTCAATTGATAACAGTCGGGTTTTCCTTAAGTGTTTCTTCTGCGATCCCGTTTAGAAAACAAAATTTTAGCTCTAAGACATTGCAGCCGTCCTAGCTAGAGCAGACAAAGCAAGCTCTTACAAATACGCGTTGTGTTAGACCAAGCAATGATCAGACATGGCTTATATGATCTGCCATAACCTATGGTGATATTTGAAACATAGAAGCACTGGATAGAGCCGTGAAACTCCTCAATATAAGGAAGGAAGGATGGATCCCCGTTCGGGTAGAGGTCCGCAGGGAGTCTTTGTATGCCGACGTACGCACCCGGGGTTGCGTATCTTCTCTCATGTTTTTGAGACAGGTAGCTTTGAACGACTTCAACATGCACAGCAAAGAAGAAGAAAACATGACCCAGCGTTGATTACCTGGGCGATTTATCAACAATCGCTTCCCAACTAGCCGCGACATGTCAAAGGAAGATGTCAAGACTAGCAGTGGAGTCTTTCTTAGCAGCCCGGCAGACGTAGCACCAACTAATTAGCAACCCCCTGCAGGTATACCGATTTCCCCACATTTCCCAGTCCACAGCATCCCTGCAGCGCAACATGGCTATCTCCATTTCTTCGCCCACCCACGTAATCATTCTCGAGGCCGTTTCCTCAACATTCATATCCACGTCGTACGTAGATGAGACCAGCCAAAAACCGATAACACCTCAGATCTCCGTCGGCAGCCACCGCCAACGCCAATTTCAAGGCATCATCATCTGGCACCTGTTTCCGCCTGCTTTCCACAGCGATTGGGCGTTGCCGCGAGCTCTTACACCGGCAACCCGATAACCCGTCATCGCGGGGCCCCGAGCTGGCGCATGAGGCCGCCGACCAGGAGACGGATCGGATGGCGTCGGCGGTAGACCCTCAACACCACCACAGCAGCGACAGCCACGGCCGCGCGATCGGCCAGCGCAAGATCCTGCCCAGCTCGGCCGTCGAGACCCCGCCCTCGCCGCCCGCCACCGACGAGACCGACGACACGGACTCGGAGAATCCGTCGCGGCGGCGCCCGGCGACCTCGCGCATCGACACCAATGTGGCCGGCGTCGACGGGAGCGAGCCAGGCGGCCGCCCCTCCTCTTCCCCCGTCGTGTCCCCCGTGACGTCGCCGCCGTACTGGCTGCAGGGCCATGCCCGGTCCGCGTCCATGAACTCGGTGGACTCGATACCGACGGGCGCCATTACGCTGCAGGACAACGAGAGCAGCGGCTTTGACGACAGGAACAACGCGTGCTGGGCCAAGAGCGTGGGCATCACCGACTACGTGGTGGTCAATGGGAGCTCGACCAACATCGGGGCGTTCGTGGTGTGGAACATCAGGGTGGAAACTCTCAATGTAAGCGCAGCCGTCGGAACGAAAGTTCCGTCTCGAGACGGCGCTTGCTGACCATGCCTCCAGGGGAGCTTTATGAACATACGGAAGCGTTATTCCGAGTTTGACGACCTGCGTTGGCGGCTCATTCGTACCTTTCCGAACTTCGAGGCCGCCGTGCCGGAGCTGCCGCCCAAGAGTCTGATATCCAAATTCCGGCCCAAGTTCTTGGAGAAGCGGCGCGCTGGGCTACAATACTTCCTTAAGTATGTCATTTTCCTCCTGTGCCCAGAAATCTATGCGACTAAGCGGCTAACACTGAGCTCCTTAGCTGTATCATGTTAAACCCCGAGTTTTCCGGATCCCCGGTACTGAAGGAGTTCCTATTTTCATAAAATCTTACCACATATAGGGCATCGAGCCGACCTGTATATTCTGGGGCCCCAAAGCTGCTAATTCACGAAGCACACTCACGTGTCATAATTCTAATGCTGGACGATAATGACCATTATTTGGGAATGAGGTCCGGATACGCCTTCTTTTCACTGTATCTATTTATCGAACGATATCTGTAACAATAGGAAAGCCATGCATGGACTGATGAATAAATAAAACAACTTCCTCAGAGGATATGCCCCGCACCCATTGTGTTGCCACTCTAAACTCGAATTGCAATGCACGTGTATGAAAGGTATTGGAAACCGACGCAGTGCACAAAACCCCGTAGGACCGTACGCCGCCACCATCTGCTGTCTATGCAAACACCACAGTCGATGCCAGATTACCGAAGATGGGAAACTCCGTCTTGCGCCCCCAGCCCACCCGCGCTCGCCAGGTTGATTTCACGCCTCGGGCGGCAGCGCATCTAGGCGGTGCTGTTCAGGAAACTCAGGTAGCAGTTCCAGCCGATGGAGATGAAGTTGACGAACAGGACGCGGTGGTGCAGGGGGATGAACTTGAAGTTGACGAGCTGGACGAAGGGCCAGATCAGGTAGTTGGTCTGCAGGGCGGGCAGGTAGCTCTTCTCCAGCTTCTCCTGCGGGCTGCCGCCCTCCATGACGGCCATGCTGCTCAGGAAGATGCCGATGAAGGTCGGCGCGAACAGGCCCTGGTCGCACGCCACGCGGGCCACGATCTCGGCGTTCTTGTTCTTCAGCACCACGTTGCGCTGCAGGAACTTGAACCAGGTCGTCGCGGCCGGGCCAAAGACGGCTGCGGGTCGGGGCGGGCTCGAGTCAGTACAACATGATACCATACAGATTTTGACGCGACGCAGAGTTTTGTGTGCGAGGAGCCGGGCAGAAGTCTAGCCAGGACGACCTCGAGGCGAGGACCCAAGGGGCGCGGGAAGACAGAAATCACATACCACCACCGTAGAGGAACATGCGGCCTGTTCGTGCCAGCTCATGCTTCTCGATTCCCTTCTTCTCGACCAGCTGCTGGGCCGTGATATCGCCCGTGGCGAACAGCACCGCCGTGGTGATGCTCTGGGTGAGCAGCGGGCGGGCGGCCAGCTTGGCTTGGTACCTGCGAAGTCCTTGTGAGTTTCATTGGCTCCCGCGACATTCCACGAGGGGGGTGTTTCCCTGAAGCATACCATCGGAGTACCATCTTGTCTGGAGCGGAACGATAGAGTTCACGAGCGAAAGTCAATTGGTTGTATGCGTGCAGGAGGACCCTGAAAGGGCTCCCCGGGGTTAAATAGATTCAAATAATCGAGCTTTTGGGCTGTGATCTCATAAGTGGGGACAAGTTGGAGCTGCCAATGGATACCCGGAGTTTCTGAATCAGGCTTGGTAGCAGATCGACACCCGTCTGTGGATAGTGAATATAACAAGAGGCTGGAGTTCAAAAAGACAGAAGAAAGGAGACGTGTGACGACGAGAGGCTCTCTGCGGACAAGTCACGAAGCTGACTAGGTCAGTCCAATCCGATAAAGAAGTACCAGAAAGTTATCGTGTCCCCTGAACTATCAAGCAGGGGTACAGAAAGTTCTTGATTGCCCACGGGGTCAATTGACATCGATTGCTGGGACCGCCCTGTGGTTAGCGCTCTGGCGGGCTATCTCGTTAGGTTCCCCGGAAGCGAGTCCCCGTGTCGTGGGGGTTCACCAGTCTGAACGCAAGTCTGAGCACTGGCGGGTTCACGATCTGCAAATCTCCATCCTACTGGGCAAAAATGTGGAAGAAAAAGGGAAACAAAATAGAAGATAGTAAAGCAGGACCTGTAGTTCAATTCTGATAAAACAGTTTAAAATGCCAATTCGATGCGAATGTTCCGAGAGCCATGTGCTACGCTTCATGTACTGACTCCATACTGTAACTCCATATTCACGATGGTGAGTAGCTTCTGGGTCATGTAAGGATCTTGAAACGTACAGACTGCCTCAGGGCCTTGAATAAAGCTCTTCGTGTTGCAGTACACAGCAGATATAAATATATCGCTGAATTCCTGGGAACCGAACCCGCTGTGGATATTCAGCAGTGCATCTTTTCTCAAGTCGATGTTGAACTTGATCTACCGGGATCATCGTGGCCAGCTCCCATCTTGCTGTATCTGATACCAATTCGTATCATGACCCGCCGAATCAACCCAATCCTGGTTTGATCGTACCTTCGTTGTCCTGCCGTCATTCAGGTTTGAATCCAATAAAAGATGCATCACTATCAGAGCAATTGGGGCAGTATAAGTCTCGCAAGTTTTACTTTATTTCTCGATTCTCTTTTTGTCTACTCATACCAGTGTCTCATGGCGGAACGAATCCTGCTTTTTCTGTCAAAACATATACGCCGTGATAACCTCTACTCTTCACTCAACTGCAGCCGCTGAAATCAGATTGCTGCCTTGGAGATGGTCTGGCCCTTGTAGCTCTCCAAGCCCTCACCGCCCTATTTGATGTGGTTAGCATAGAAACGTGACTGCCGCTGAGTTTCAAAACTTACGTAGCTGGTGAGTGGCGAGACCTCCAAGCCCTCACTGGTACCGTTGCTGACCGTGGCGCCGGCAGCCTCTGCCCACTTCTTTCCTTGGGCCATGATGTCCTGCTTGCTGGTAATCATGTTGTCGTCCTTGGCGTCAGTTCCGTTCTTCAGCGGCGAGAACTCGTCCTCGCGCCTGACCTCCAAACAGGCGAAGTCGCTCAGGTCCAGCATGTTGAAGTTGTCAAAGACGAACTGCTCGAGCTTGATGCCATTGGGCTTCGATGGCTTGACGTCCTCGCCGGTGGCGGTGTCAACGCAGGGAATCTTCTTGCGGGCAATGTGGTGCGGCAGCTTGCCCATCCACTTGTCCATGCCGTCGAGGTACTTGAAGGAGTAGTAGTGGTTGACAATGTTGGCGGCGCGGAACTTGAGGACACCAGGTTGCTTGGGATCTTGTGCCTCGGCGGTGGCGGCATCGATCTCGGAGTATTCGACAACGTCGGGCTTGCCGTTCTTGGACAGAATCAAACCAACAGACTCGGTAGCATTGCGCTTCCGCACGACCTTGGTCGCCAACGAGACACCCTTGGCGGCGGAGAAACCAATGAATAGGGGGTCAGCGACCTTGACCAAGCAGTTGTCCACACAGTAGGCGTGAATGTGCTCAATGCCGCGCTTCTTCATGTCCTGAAGGACAGTTGTGACATCAGAGCCGAACTTGGACTTGATCTGTGCCTGGTACAGGGCCTTGTACAGACCACCATTGCCGTCAGGGGCTACAGCAACCTTGCCCTTGCCCTCGAGCATGATCTTGCCCTCGTTGGAGATGCAAGGCAGGACACCCTGCTCAAAGATCATGACATCTTCCTTGTTCATGCCGAAGTAGGATCCGCGCTTCGAGCGGTCCTGCTCGGTCTCGTTGGGCAGAATGTCACCGAGGGACTCGCCGTTGAAGAACTTCTCGGTGTTGCCTCGCGTGGGGCCGCTGGTCATGACGTACCAGGGAACGACGACCTTCTCCTTGGGGGAGAACTTGTTTTGTGCGAGCTCTTGGGCCTTGAGGATACGCTCGCCCTGGATCTGGAACAAAGACTTGTGGGAAGGAAGCTGGATGTCGAAGCAGCCCTTGGGGGCCTTGCTTCCCAGTCTGGTGCCTTGGCCGCCGGCCATGAGCACGACGGCGACCTTGTTCTCCGAGATCAGCTTCAGACCATGCTCGTACCAGGCCTGGATGTCCTCGGGCTTGGAGTCGAGGATGCTTGCGGTGGCAGCCTCGGGCAGGGGCTCGACGGTGGCGGGCTGGTCGTCGGCCTTTGGGGGGTTCAGGGCTCGGTCGGTGATCTGGTTGATCTCCTCGGGGTCGAAGCCCTCGAGCTGGAGGAACAGGGACTGCTTCTCGGCGTCGGAGAGGGACTCGTAGAAGGCGTGGACCTGGCCCTGGCCGGCCTTGGCGTACCTGGCCTTTTGGGCCTCAACATTCTCGGGCGTGAAAGATTTCGGGGCCATGATGGCGGTGGTGGGCGAGTGTCTGGTGGCGGGTACGACTTTCGTCAGACAGAGGGGTCGGGTAAGAGGCGGGGGTACGAAGCAGCGAAAAGACAACAGCAACGAGCAATTGAGTTGTGCAAGGTGGGAGAAACAGAAGCTTAATATCGTAGTAGTAGTGCTGACCCGCTCCAAGTTCTTTCAATGCAAGCCTTGACACACGAGGTGAGCATGGACAAAGTAAATATAGCCACAGCACAACACCACTCGCTGGCACCACACCGGAGCTGGGTCGAAGTGGGGGGAACACGACAAAGGGCTCGCGGTTCCCAAACGAAGCTGCTCAGCTCTGCCCCGCTGTGGATTGACGTTGACGGGGTCCGGGGGGTGCCACCGTGCCACCGTGCCACCCTCCCACCCGTAGTTGTGTACCGGGCCCTGAATTTCACCACTAAGAAGTCCGCCCAGCACCTACGAACCGCCATGCGGTGAGCCTGCCTCCTCCTATTCGCTGCAGGCCGGTTGCTGTGAGGCACTTGGGTTGTTTGGAAGAATCCAATGCACGGCTTGAGACGGTGTCCGGGTGCGGGTAAAATATACATTCCCCAAAGACGCATCTGCCATTCGTGCGTTGCCCTCCATGTTCCGCGCTTTCTCTCTGTTTCTCACTCGGAAGAAAGCAATGAATTGGCGGTCTCGAAGACGCCCTGCGCCACTGCACACAGCCGTTTCCCGTTTCCCGTTTCCCGTTTCCCATGATGTTGTGACCCTTGTCTACCGGGACCATGCAATACGAGATGGGTTTCCGAGCTAGCTATGACGTTGGCACGCAGCCTAACAAAGTAGCGTCTCCCGGAAACATTTGATGGGTTGTTGCATTTCCATCTGTTACGTATCCACGTAGAATCGCTATGAGAGGAGGACTGGTGAGACTGCGGGAAGCTTTGTATCCTAGAATTCGATCATCTGCAGAGACTCTTCGTAGACACCAATAGCCCGGTAGTCCCAAGCTCAGGCTTAGGCTCAACAAACTGAAATGCAACAACCTACTCAGCTGGCGTCAGGAGGCTAACGCTAACGCTAACGCAGGGCAACCCGCCTCCACAATGATCGCCACAGCGTCCAGGGAAGGATGCATCCAACCTAACTTGGAGTTGACTTACATGCTATCTTCAGCGCTCGGTGATTGAGTTCGATATACTCCCAAACAGTCACTTCCCCCCCCCTCGCTGGGTATTATGCAATGCCATACATGATTCTCGATCAATAGTCGTGATCTACTTAAGTCATCATGACGACAGACGATGGTGACGAGCCTAGATCGGCTTCCACAAGCACACCCAGCTTCAACGGTCGTCTCAAACTACATGAGTTCATGTATTCGAAGCCTGAGGGGGGAAGTACTTCTGTACGGAGAAGCCCTCGTCTGGCTATACCCCTAAGTACGACAGCGTCACCGTCACGCTCACCATCAAAAACACCCTCAGCCTCACCGGCACGCGCAACCAAGCGGAAGCAGGGTCCCCAGTCTGAAGTATACACCGAGGAGGCTTCCTCACAGCTCAGCGCCACAACAAGGGGGACGAGGAACAGCAGCAGCACGACTCCATCGCCCAAGAAGAAACGCAACCGCGTGAAGAGCGGCTACGCTCCCCCGTCGACCTACGCGCACCTGCCCCACCTGGTCGACGTGCTGGCGCCGGACCTGCTCATCCTCTTCGTGGGCCTAAACCCGGGCCTGCAGACGGCGCGCTCCGGGCACGCCTACGCGCACCCGTCCAACCTGTTCTGGAAGCTGCTGTACTCGTCCGGGATCACGCCGGTGCCGTGCCGGGCCGAGGAGGACCGCACGCTGCCGGCGCGCTTCGCGCTGGGCAACACCAACATCGTGGCCCGGCCCTCGCGCAACGGCGCCGAGCTGAGCAAGGCCGAGATGGACGAGGGCGTCGCCGTGCTCGAGGCCAAGATCCGCACCTGGCGACCCGAGGTCGTCTGCGTCGTCGGCAAGAGCATATGGGAGAGCGTCTGGCGCGTCAGGAAGGGCAAGGCCATCAGCAAGGCAGAGTTCAGCTACGGGTGGCAGCACGAGCGCGAGAACATGGGCGTCGTCAGAGCGCATGAGGGGGAAGGGAAGGATGGCACGAGGTTCGCAGGAGCGAGAGTCTTTGTCGCCACTAGCACCAGCGGGTTAGCAGCCTCGTTGAGGCCGGAGGAGAAGGCAAGGATATGGAAGGAGCTGGGTGACTGGTGCGTGAAACGCCGGGAAGAGAGGAAAGCTGCTCTCGATTAAGTGGCTGACATACATCTTGCTCTTCATACATGGTCAAGGTAGTTTGACACGGATCGTTGCGATACAAATTATCCACATTTGACGTCGCAAAGATAATCGCGGTAATTGTTTGGGGGAAATTATGTAGAATTTGTCATGGAAGTACAATTTATTTTGTAAACTACCTCATCAAACCTGAATGGATGGAAGACCACTGTGCGTGTTCTTCCCGCAGGCCCGCAGGGTATCATAAAAACGACTTGACGACCTCATATCTCATCGTGCGTCGTCAAAGCCTCCCAGTTGAGGGAAGCCACCGCCGTTCCGTTCGTGGTCCTGAAGTGATGGCCAAGTCTAGCCGGAACGCCTTGTCAGAAAGAAAACAGAACGAAAGAAAAAAGCTCCCCATCCCATATCGTAACGATGGTACAAGTACATATGTACATTGTGTGTGCTGAAATAAGCCGAGACGAGAGTGTCGCCGCTGGCAATCCGGTAGCTGGTGTTTATGCGACGACAGCCAAGGCGAGGGCGGTTGCGGCAAGCGGCCACCATCCAGCGGACTTCAACAGAGTCTTCATTCCGCCGGCAGCGTTACTGCCACCACTGTTGGTGCTGTCAGCAGTCGTACCGCTTGGCAGTGTACCGTTGATGAAGATGGTGTCGGTTCCGTTGGCGTTGGCGACAGTAACCCGAGACTTGTCAAGACCCTCGTAGGTGCCGTTTCCGATAAGGCCGTTCATGTACTCGGTATCCTCCGAGTTGTCGTCGCAGCCGCAATCTTCGTCTGCGCGGCACAGACACTCGACGGGCTTGGTCTCGTTCTTGTCCGTCGTCCTATTGTAGAAGCCGTAGGGATGGTGATATGGGTAGTGGTAGGCACCAACCAGCCAGTAGGCGCCCAGGAATCCTATGGCAGAGCCGGCAAGGAGTCCTCCTGGGATACCACTTGGTGAATTTCGGCCAGCAGTGTAGGGCGTTTTCGCGCCACCGGAGTAGGCGGCACCACCGGCACCGTAAGAGGGCCTCGAGCCGCTACCTGAAGAGCCACTAGAGCCCGATGATCCTTTACTGTACGATGAGATTAGCGGATGCTCGATTCACTCTTCGCAAAAGCGCACTTACGGAGCGGAGCCTGAAGATCCTGAGGACCCCGATGATCCGGACGAGCCTGACGAACCGGATGAGCCTGACGAACCTGACGAGCCAGACGAGCCGGACGAGCCGGACGAGCCTGAAGATCCGGAACCGGACGAACCTGAGCCAGAGGAGCCTGAACCACTGCTTCCTCCGGAACTACCTCCTCCTCCTCCGCGGCCACCGCCACCGCCGCCGCCTTTTCTCTTCCACTTGTCTCCATGTGTATCGCGTTCGAAGTAGCTGTTGTCTTGCTCGTGCGACCTGGCCTGTAGTGCGATGTCGTCTGTGTTGGGGACTGCGGCGCACGTGGCGCACTGGCTCAGAGCCGTCGCAGCGATGATGGCGTTGGACAGCTTCATGCCGAATGACGGGATGTAGCTGTATGTGTACGATGATGCGTGTGACAGATGCGCAATGTAGGTTGCAGAAGGAGGGGCCTGATCAGCTGAGAGACAAATGGATTAAGACTGATGAGGCAAACAGTTGTTATCAGGTGAATGTGAAGTTTGCGTTGGGGCGCAAAGTGAATTGATGTGGTCATAGGCCGGAAGCGTTTCAGCCCGGGGGGCAGGTACTTAAGTACCGCCTGCACTACCCGCAAAGAGCCCGATGACGATTGAAAACGTCCAAGGAGGATCGCCGCAAAGGGACAGGCACTGCCAGCAATGGTCTTATTGCCAAGCACTGCAGCTTCGCAACTAAGAACTAGGAAGATACGGGTGGCGGTAAGGGACCGCACTATGACATGTTGATGTTGGAAACACATGGCGCAGGCCAATGGGGCAGCCCAAATCTGCCTCATCTGACATGGTGCGCACCTTCTTGGCATGTCAAGCTTCACCAAGAATTCCAATGTGAGGTGCCAACATACGATCAAGCATCAAAGCAAGACTCGCGGCCTTTCGACTTTTCTGTGAGGTTGTTTCTCATCGCACCAGCGACACGCCCGAGTTCATCTCCGGGGTCCAGCGGGGCTTGGTTAAGCTTAATGATTAAGTTTGCGTCACGACACGCCGGTTCAGTCTTTGCCACGACAGTCGCTCGTAGGCAGGGCTTGTCTGCACGCCCGCCATACCTTCCTGCATTGCGATCGCGAAAGAAGTCCGATATTCCTCAAAGTGCAAATTTACGTAGAAGCGCCAGAAATTAATCATGACAAATGGAAGATGGTTGGCTCGATCCCGAAGTCCTACGTCGGGCGAAGGATTAGAATGGACTGTGGCTGTGACGACATTAGCGAGCTCAGGTGCATCTTCCAAAGTTTCTAGCGCTTCTCTGAGGCTGGCAGTACTGTACAGCCCTCCCCCACACGGGCCACGCTTGTAGGACATTCGCCATTGGGCAAAGACTCGGGGTTTTCAGACGCAGGGTCTGGCGACCTCCATTGAGGAGGCTGAGGGCCAGTGCTCCCCGTAGAGCAGCAGGGGTTGCCACAGGTGGCATTGCAGCGCTGGCCAGCCAGTAAAGATTTGCCCTATGCCGCGCTAGTCGAAGTGAGTCCCAGGTCGACGGGTGTTTTGCGGGGTGCGCTCCCGCCAGTCTCAGCCCGACAGATCTTATCTGCCCACATATGCACAGAAGGGATCTGATATCTCCGTGGTACACGTTCAAGCTATGCAATTCGGTCACAGACAAGGCTGTGCCACGAATCGACTGTTCCTGAGAGGCAGACAGACTGGTTAGTATCCAGCAACACTACTGCACTTTGCTGCCGGGGTTGTCATCAGTGCGCGCCGACATAGTTAATTGGTGCCTAGTCAAGCATAGTCTATGCATTGAGTAGCCACCAAACTCACAGCCCCGGTCCATCCACCCGGTCACCCTTGAAGATAATACACTTAACAGCTCAAATCAGACTCACGATCTGCCGCAGGCACAGCACCACGGTTGTCCATGCACCTTGCAAGCTAAGGCTTGACAAGTTTCGTGGCCACGATGGATCGACCTACCTCAGACAAGAGTCTATTAGACCGTCTTAACGCACTCAAACCGACGACTGTCAGTCTCGATACAGCATCCAAGTATGATAGTCACCCTACCGACGACGTCCTTGAGGAGTTCTACTAAGCATGCCACCAGGTCAGGCCCGGCTTCAACCATAGAACCGGCAAAGCCAGCCTCTAAGGAAGATGCACTTTCGGAACGCCTGAAGAGTCTCCGGGAACGAGTTGATCCTGAAAACCAGGTGGGGAATGCCTCAGATCGGGGCAATAATTCAGCGTCTGACTCTGACGGAGCACAGCCCCAGGCGGGGTCGATATCTTCAAGTGCAGATTCAGGCATACCGCCTTCGTCCAGCAAGGACAAACCCCCGGCTGGTGGTGGTGGGGATGATCCCGACGTTTTGCTAGACACCGATGAACAGACGCTGGAGGAACTCTTGGCAGACCTGCAGTCTGATGAGCAGTGGCTGGAAGAAGTTGCGGCCGAGGTGACCCGGAGCAAGGAGGAGGAGCATCGGCGAGTAACGTCGCTTCTGGAAGACCTGGGCAATGCCACACCTGATGATCAAGAACAGACTGAATCGGATTTTCGCAAAGGCAAATCTGACCACCCAGCCTCTGACGATGACTCCGATGGGGAAGGTATGAAAAGGGAGGCCACGGACATTCTTGCACAAGCCATGGATCAGGCAGAATGGGAGACGGCACACTTACCTAAGGAACAGCGGAAGACTCCCGAGAAGTCTCATAGTGTAGGACAGGATCCTTCTTACGACCCCTTTTCTCTTCCTACTGTACCTTTGGACCTTCAAGATCAGCCTGACATTCCCGATACCGCTCCCGATGACGCTGACTTTGAGGCTGCCATTGCATCTCGTATGGCAGCTTTGAAGGGTCTGGGCGGCACGGAAAGAACGCTGCCTTCGGCGCCTACATCCCAAGTGGACGAGCTAGGGTTACCCGTTGCGCCCACATTTGCCCCCAGCGATCGCCCGGTTACGGGCGTCTATAAAAGATACGGTTATTCCGATGAGGACGAGAAGACGTGGTGTACGGTCTGCCTCGAGGACGGCGCTGTTCGCTGTTTTGGCTGCGATGATGATATCTACTGCGCCCGTTGTTGGAAAGAGATGCACGTAGGACCGTCGGCGGGTTTTGACGAGAGGGGTCACCAGTGGGAGAAGTTTGTGAAAAACAGATAACATCTTCATTCGAGCTCGATAGAGGAGCCAGGTTCGCCTACAAAGCAAGTGAACCGAAATAGCACCGCTCTCTAGAGAAAATGACCGGCCACTCAGAAAATGTGATATTTGAGAGGCAGTGACTAGATACTACTACGAAAATATGTGACGGTAGGTCATTGGATAACTATTGACAGCATTGGAGGCGAACTTTGCCAAATATTTTCATCAATAAGAGGCACCAAAATAGTAGCTAGTATAGTGTCTGTAAATGACTCTGAACTTGGACTGGTTCGGACACCCCTGCACCACAAAGGCGCTAGAAGGGAACCCCACCAAAAAGTTTTTGGCTGTTCGCTCAGTCGCAATGTTTCCCAATCGTGCATCCTCGCTTTTGTAGTGAGCCGACAAAGGACAAGACACATCATGGCAACACGATCATAGCGGCTTCACCCTCCTATTACCTAATCGCTCTTGAACACTCCATTCTATAAATCGACCCCCTACGGCCGCCATGGCGACCAAGATCGACGCTCACGCCCTCCTGACCTCCCAGGGTTGGCGCGGGAAAGGGCACTCGTTACATCCGACAAACGACGACACGGGCCTAAAACACCATATCTTGATCAGGCGCGAGGGCAGCGATGGGCGGGGCATCGGGGCCAAGAAAGACCACAAGCAGGAGGCCTGGTGGATGAACGCCTTCGACCAGGCGCTCAAGGGCATCGACACGAGCTCCGGGAGCATGAAGCGCACGGCCGGCAGCGGGAAGCTGGACATTGAGAAGATCACGGCCAAGGGCGCAAAGAAATACACGGGTGCCAGCGGCTTGTACACGTCTTTCGTGCGCGGCGGGCTGCTGAAAGGGACGGTGGAGATGGGCGCCGGCGGGTTGCCAACGCCGCCGGACAGCGGAGCCGGGACGCCTACTGCCGAGTTGCGGGAGGAGCGGAAAGAGACGAAAGAGGAGAGGAGGGCGAGGCGGGATGCCAAGCAGCTGAAGAAGGCCGAGGACGTTGCGAAGGAAGCAGCCAAACAAAAGGCCGCGCTGAAGGCCCAGAAGAAGGCCCAGAAGAAGGCCCAGAAGAAGGCTGACAAGGCGGCTTTGAAGGCTGGCGAGACGAAGCAGCAACGCAGAGCGAGAAGAGACGCAAGAAGGGCACGAAAGGAAGAGAAGAGGCGACGGAAGCGGTCAGAGGGTTGAACTTGGACCGCAGCGGTCACGGTCACAACTACGCCAGCCACGGCCGCACCCTTCTAAACACTGCTTCTGCCACTGCGAGGCAAGACTCAGGAACCGTTTTGGATCGCCAAGCCGATGCACTAAGTCTGTTTCGGTACCTTGCCAGGCTTGTTGGACAGCAGCCATGGCCGCCTATCCCAGAAATCGTCCTTGATTATATCAAGGTGATCAACCATGACTCTTGCTTTTGCCCTCCGCTTCCTGTCACCCTCTTCCTGCGTCTTGGACTGCTTGACCGGCTCCGCCAAATCATCAGCTGCCTCGGCGACATTGTGAGTCCCCGGCTCGACAAGCTCGTACTGCACACACGTCAGCGACGGGCATGAAGGCGAAAGCGAAAGGATACTCACGTCTCGGAACACGACGCTCCCCTTCTTGAAGATCTCGGGCTCGTTGTTGTAGTTGAGGTGGAACTTCGAAAACATGATCTCATTCTTGTCTGCTGAGAGAGTACCCTGCGACTTGCGGTATTAGTCGAGCTCTAAAAGGGGTACTGGCCCGGGGGGGTGCCTACAGCAAGGAACTTCTCGGCCTCCGTGGCAGACATCCCACCTAGTTGGATGAGTGACCAGAAGGTGGTGTTATAGAGGTTGTTAATGTGGCCTGTCGCCAGTCAGTTGAGCATCATGACTTGGTGGCAGATGGTGCCACGTACAATCGACTTGTCTCCAGCTCATGTAGTCCCGCAGGTTTTGGACGCTGGGATAGCAGACTGCTCTTCCGTCGAAACTTGGCAGTGGGGTTGATAAAGGCGTTTGGGGGAAGTATGTCGACCAAAGGTGGACATAATATGCCGTGAAGGTCGAGACTATAGTCGATACCAATTTACTAGACATAGAATTAGAGTCTGGCTCTGGAAAGCCTCCGAATCCATACCCACCTGGCTCTTCTCTCGAATAAGGTGCATGTCTTGTGAAAAACGAAGCTGTGTTCATTAGCCCTGTGCGTCCGGTACGGGATCAGGTGTACCCAACATACCTATATTCGTCACTGACTCCATAGCCAATAGTGATGTCCGGGAGGTCCGTCACGACAGCCTTGGCAGCTGCATTCATGAGATCCAGAGCCCGACGGTCATTTGGCTTTTCAAAGTTGTACTTGCTGCACATCCTGAGAACTGGTTAGCCAGAAGGATCGACCCGTGTATAAGCGAGTGGACAGTACTTTGTGAAGCCTCGCCCATCTATCCTCACGACAACCCAGGTGTTGGGTAGGAGGTTGTCCGTCTGCTCAAAAGCTTTCACATATTCGAACCTGTCATACTGGTATTAGTCACAGGATGGCCGCTGAAGAGTTTCCAGGTGAGATGGATATACCTGGAATTCGCCATGATGCTGGCGGATGAATGGTAGAAATAGACTGGGCGTGATGGTTGGTCTGCCAACGCTTTCTAAGCCAACGAAGCCTTTGAAAGGGCGCTCAATCCAGCAAATTTGCTTGCTCGGGAACCAGATCACACCCGCACATTAGGTTTCGGGCGAGAATAGTCAATCTTGGTGGGCTTGGTGGGGTGACACTTTAGTGGGGTTCCAGCGGGCAGATCCCCTGCCAGAGGCTGTCAGATCCCTGAGGGCAGCGCTGTAGCCTTGCATCCTGCCGCTGTCTTTGACCGCGAGGCTGCGAGCGAAATTGTTTCGCGATCAGAAACTACCCATCGCTCTCCCCCATTCCTCCCCAGCGATTCCGCGCGTCGCGTGTTCTGAAAGTGCCGATCAACGAGCGGTCGACATGCAGCGCCGACTCGCGGACGTCCCACCGGCATCATGAACCTGCTGCTCAGCGACGACTACCTCCTGCAGGACTACCCGGAGAACATCACCAACACGATCCGCTCCGGCCACACAACATGTCTGCGCTTCAACCGCCGCGGCGATCACCTCGCCTCCGGGCGCGTGGACGGCACCGTCGTCGTCTGGGACCTTGAGACCATGGGCGTGGCGCGCAAGCTTCGCGGCCATAGGGCGGCCATCACGAGTCTGAGCTGGTCTCGAGACGGCCGGTACCTGCTGAGCGCCTGTCAAGGTTGGCGGGCCGTCCTATGGGACTTGCAGGACGGCACAAGCTACAGAGAAGTACGGTTCAGGGCTCCGGTGTACACAGCAGACCTGAACCCGTGGAATCACCACCAGTTCGTCGCTTCTGTCTTCGAGCAGGCGCCCTGTCTCGTCGACATCACGGAGCCCATCGACGTCAAGTACACGCTCCCGTCAGCACCGAGACGGAACAACGAGGACGCGGACACGGCAACGAAGGAGAAGCACGCCAAGGAAGATGCAAAACAGATGACCACGGCTACGGTCTATTCGGCGACGGGCGATCACATACTGGCGGGCACGAACAAGGGGAAGCTAAACATCATTGATGTCAACACGCAGGATATCATATGGTCGGAGAAGATCTGCGCTGGGGTGGTGACGACTCTGCGATTGACGGGCTCGGGGCGAGACCTGCTGGTCAATTCGCAAGATCGCATCATCAGGACTTTCAACGTCCCCAATCTGTCGGCTGAGGACCTCAACCCGGACACGATACAAGTGCCGCTCGAGCACAAGTTTCAAGATGTCGTCAACAGGCTATCATGGAACCACGTCACATTCAGCGCGACCGGCGAGTACGTCGCGGCGTCTACGTACAACAATCACGAGATCTACATATGGGAGCGCAATCACGGGTCCCTGGTGCGCATGCTGGAGGGGCCCAAGGAGGAACAGGGCACCATCGAGTGGCACCCGCACCGCGCCGTCCTGGCGGCGTGCGGGCTCGAGACGGGGCGCATCTACATCTGGAGCGTGACGAGCCCGCAGAAGTGGTCGGCGCTGGCCCCGGACTTTTCCGAGGTCGAGGAGAACGTCGAGTACGTCGAGAAGGAGGACGAGTTCGACATCCACCCCCAGGAGGAGATCAACAAGCGCAGGCTCGACCTCGAGGACGAGGACATCGACGTGCTCACGATGGACCCGAGGAGCAAGGCGTACGATGAAGACGGCGAGGGCTCCGGGTTCAGGATGCCGGTTCTGTTCGACCTGGGGGCAAGCGATAGCGAGGAGGAGTTTGTGGCCGTGTCCACCGGTACCGTGCGGCGCCGGAGTATGGGCGAGGCTGGCGAGGGCGAGGATGGGGATGCAGAAGACAAGGCTGCGGCCGGGGGAGGCAAGAAGGCGGCTACTAAGTCCAGGGCTAGGAAAAGATAGTTCTGCAGCAAATCGCTTGTTACAAGGTCTTCCCCTAACAATATACTGTACCTAGTAGGGTAATCTGTGGCCAGAAAGAAGAGTCGCAGCTGCAGGGAGAGTCGGATCGATGATTGGCATCCATATGTCTCACAACTCTAAATCCAGCTGCATGAACATGGAATGCGCCCCGGTCTTGGGTTCTGACGGCCGGTACCATGGGGCCCCCTTTGTTGACTCATCGGCGAGGAGCAGTTGATCTGTGGCTAGTGGAATCTGTGATGGGGTCACTAGCAGTTGGAGGCAATCGATACCTAGGCGCTACATAGCTCGCTCACTTAGAACAATCACTAGTCCTGCGCGTGCTGAAATGGAGAGAGCACAATGCAAGCAATGCGAACAATGCAAAGCCTGGCAAAGTGTCTCTCAATGCAGCTTGCTGTGAATTTCAGTACATTTCTTCTCACTGGTAAACGTCTTGCAACGCAAAATCAAAGCGGTCTACTGTTCTCGACCGCTCACAGCTCAGACAGCCAAGTCCGCAGTTCATCGTGGTGAAATCAGGTACCCACCAAGTCTTCAGCCTCGCCGGCTGCTAGCTGCCAGACACCAGACACCCAGACCCCACGGGCGGACCAGCCACACCAGCCGGACTTTAGCCAGGCCAGGCCTCAGGCTTCCAGCAATCCCGCTAGGGACTAAGCGATTTAGCGCGGCTTATGCTACAATCCGCCTCCCGGGGCCAGCATCAAAGGAAATTCTCGTCGCCATCTTCGAGAAGGGCGCCTCCATCACCAAACAACCCCCCCCGAGTCATCACCCACGCGCGTCGGATCTCGCGCCCGCCCATCGACAGCGACTCTGCGCTCCTGCGAAACCATCGAGCGACCGCTTCCTCCTCGACTCGACCCGACCGATCGCGACAGCGACCCTGCGCGACCCTGGCGTGGTGACAGTTGCCTTCAGGCCTCTGGCCTTTGGACTGGCGCTGGACCTCCTCCCAGCAACATCAGCTCTGCGCTTGCCTTCGTGGCCCCCGACTTCTCTTCCATCGCGGCGGAAGCCCAGGATTGATTTTTCATCAAGTGCGCGGCGGGTTTCCCGGTGTTTCGTTATATATTCACTTCCTGCGACTTTGACTGCTCTTTCCTCGGCCGCGTCACGTCACGACACGGCACGGCACGCCCACGACACGATCTGACGATTTTCCCACAAAGGCATCATCACCCAGGCGCGGACTCCTGTCAGAGACTTCGCTTCTCTTTCTCCTTCTTTCGCGTCGGCTTTTTCTCAGACAAAAAAAAATCCCCAAAGAAAAAAAATCCTCACGATAGCTTCGTCGTGCCCTCCCAATTGAGATAATCGATTCCGATCCTCCTCAGCATCGGCGCAGCCACCAACCCGACTGCCCATCATGGCGAATCTCAACTTCGCGCACTCCGATGCGCCGCTCAAGACGGTGCAGGAGATCCAGTTCGGTCTCCTGTCGCCCGAAGAGATCAAGAACATGAGCGTAGCTCACATCATCTACCCCGAGACCATGGACGACTCGCGGCAGAAGCCCCGAGTGCAAGGCCTGAACGACCCTCGCCTGGGCTCCGTCGACCGCCAGTTCAAGTGCCAGACCTGCCAACAGACCATGAACGAATGTCCGGGTCACTTTGGCCACATCGAGCTCGCTAAGCCTGTCTTCCACCCGGGCTTCATCAAGAAGATCAAGAAGATCCTTGAGACCGTCTGTCATAATTGTAGCAAAGTTCTGGAAGACAGGGTTAGTACTGCCTCGCAGCCGTCTTGACTGTTGACCTTGTTGATGCTAATCGTATTCTCCCTCGTCTAGAACAACCCCGAGTTCGCTGCTGCCGTCAACACGCGAGACAAGAAGGCGAGGTTTCAGAAGGTTTGGGGTGTGTGCAAGGATAAGAACGTTTGCTCCAACGAAGTCCCTAAGGAGGATGAGGAGTACGACCCCGGCAGCAAGCCCCAGAAGCACTCCCACGGAGGCTGCGGCAACGATCAGCCCAAGATCCGCCAGACCGCCCTCCAGCTCTGGTCCATGTTCGAGAGCAAGGACGATGACGGCAACAAGGTCAAGGACAAGCGACTCCTGACGCCCGAGATGGCGCTCAACATTCTCAAGCGCATCTCAGATGATGATCTGGTCGACATGGGCCTCAACACCGACTATGCCCGCCCGGAGTGGATGGTCATCACAGTCCTGCCAGTGCCGCCTCCGCCTGTACGGCCCAGTATTTCCATGGACGGTACAGCTACGGGTATGCGCAACGAGGACGATTTGACGTACAAGCTCGGTGACATCATTCGCGCCAACGGAAACGTTCGTCAGGCCATACAGGAAGGCTCGCCCGCGCATATTGCGTCTGAGTTCGAGCAGCTCCTGCAATATCACGTGGCCACTCTGATGGACAACGATATTGCTGGCCAGCCACAAGCTCTGCAAAAGAGCGGCCGACCTGTCAAGTCCATACGAGCTCGTTTAAAGGGAAAGGAGGGCCGTCTCCGAGGCAATTTGATGGGAAAGCGTGTCGACTTTTCAGCGCGTACAGTCATCACTGGTGATGCCAACATCTCGCTTCACGAGGTCGGTGTTCCTCGCAGTATCGCCAGGACCCTGACATACCCCGAGACCGTGACCAAGTACAATGCTGGTCGTCTAATGGACGCGATTGCCAATGGTCCCGACGAGTGGCCCGGTGCCAAGTACGTAATCCGGGCGGATGGTTCTCGAATCGACCTGCGGCATCACAAGAACAGAAGCGACATCAAGTTGGACTACGGTTGGAAGGTGGAAAGACACCTTCTGGACGGTGACTATATTATTTTCAACCGTCAGCCCTCCCTTCACAAAGAGTCTATGATGGGTCATCAGGTCAAGGTCATGCCTTACTCAACCTTCCGACTCAACCTGTCGGTCACGTCGCCCTACAACGCCGATTTCGATGGAGACGAGATGAACCTTCACGTCCCCCAGACGGAGGAAACCCGTGCCGAGATCAAGGAGCTGTGCTTGGTCCCGCTGAACATTGTTTCGCCCCAAAGAAACGGTCCCTTGATGGGTATCGTCCAGGATACCTTGGCAGGTGTGTACAAGATGTGCCGTCGGGACAACTTCCTCACCAAGGAGATGGTCATGAACCTGATGCTGTGGGTCCCTAACTGGGACGGAATCATCCCCCCTCCGGCCATCGTCAAGCCGAGACCGCGCTGGACTGGTAAGCAGATTGTCAGCATGATCATCCCGACAGAGATCAGTCTGTACACCAAGCCAGGTCCCGGCAGTGGTTCTGCCTGGTGTCCGACCGACGATGATGGTGTCCTCATCCAGTCGGGCGAGGTCCTTTTCGGACTTTTGAGCAAGAAGGTTGTCGGTGCCGCTGGAGGTGGTATCGTACACTTGGCCTACAATGAGTTGGGAGCTGAGGGCGCTATGGCTTTTCTTAATGGGTGCCAGCGCGTCGTCAACTATTGGCTCTTGCACCATGGTTTCAGCATCGGTATAGGTGATACGATTCCTGACAAAGCCACCATCGAGAAGGTTCAAGTACACATCGACGACCAGAAGCAAATCGTTGCCGACTTCACGGCCCAAGCTACCAACAACGAGCTGGAGGCCGCTCCCGGTATGAACATCCGAGAAACCTTTGAGAGCAAGGTCTCAGCCGCCCTCAACGCTGCCCGTGATAAGGCGGGTAATACCACACAAAAGAGTTTGAAGGATATCAACAACGCCAAGCTCATGGCCGACTCGGGTTCCAAGGGTTCATCTATCAACATCTCCCAGATGTCTGCTCTGGTCGGTCAGCAGATCGTCGAGGGCAAGCGTATTCCCTTTGGTTTCAAATACCGAACCTTGCCCCATTTCACCAAGGATGACTACTCACCTGAGGCACGTGGCTTCATTGAAAACTCATACCTAAGAGGCTTGACACCCTCGGAGTTCTACTTCCACGCCATGGCTGGTCGTGAGGGTCTTATTGATACTGCTGTCAAGACGGCCGAGACAGGTTACATTCAACGTAGATTGGTCAAGGCACTCGAAGATGTCAAGGTTGAGTACGACGGTACCGTTCGTAACTCGCTAGGCGACATCATTCAATTCATCTACGGTGAGGATGGTATTGATGCCATGATTGTGGAGAAACAAGGCATGAACCACTGGGGCTTGCGAACAGTTGACTTCGAGAAGCGCTTCAAGGTCGACATCATGGAGGGCGGCAGCTCTATCATCGGAGCTGTTGAACAAGCCAACACACTCATCCATGATGCCGAGACGCAAGCTCTTCTAGACGAGGAGTTCGAGCAGATCTGTAAGGATCGTGACTTCCTCCGCGCTTTCAAGATGAACTCGGAGAAGCTGGAAGACACCATTCAGCTTCCTCTCAACATCACACGCCTGATCCAGTCAACCAAGAAATTCCTCAAGGTGGACGAAAACGCCCGTACCGACCTGCACCCCAAGGACGTCATCCTTCCGGTCAGGGACTTGCTCAACAGGATGGTAGTTGTCCAAGGATCTGACCCCATTTCCAAGGAGGCCGACGAAAGCTCGACACTGCTTTTCAAAGCCCTGCTGCGGTCTCGTCTGGCCTACAAGCACATAGCGCTCGAACAGCGGTTGACGAAGGCTGCCTTCGAACACGTGATGGGAGAGCTCGAGAGTCGATGGTCTCGTGCTATGGTTGACCCCGGTGAGATGGTCGGTGTTCTTGCCGCCCAGTCCATCGGTGAACCTGCCACGCAGATGACGTTGAACACTTTCCATTTCACTGGTGTGTCGTCTAAGAACGTCACTCTCGGTGTACCGCGTCTCAAGGAAATTCTCAACGTCGCCAAGGACATCAAGACGCCCGGCATGATGGTGTATCTGGAGCAGGGAGGTGCACAGAAGGACAACGCTATGAAACTCCGAAGCAAAGTCGAGCACACTAACTTGCGCGCTGTCACCGCCATGATTGAGATCTACTACGACCCGGATATTCAATCGACCACCATTGAAGAGGATGAGGATATGGTTAGTTCCTACTTCGTCGTTTTCGATGAGGCCACCGAAAACCTGGACAGACAGTCACGCTGGGTATTACGTATTGTTCTGGACCGTCAGAAGCTGCTTGACAAGAACTTGACCGTCGAAGATGTTGCCAACCGTCTTAGGGAAGACTACAGCAGCGATTTGGCCGTCATTTGCAGCGACAACAACGACCTTACTCAGGTTATTCGTGTGCGCAACATACCCGACCCCAAGATGGCTGAGGAAGACATAGAGGAGGATGTCATGCTCAAGCGGCTTGCAGAGCATCTGCTCAACACCCTTACGCTCCGTGGTGTCAAGGGTATTGAGAGAGCTTTCCTTACCCAAGGCGCCAGAGTCGCAGTGGACTCCAGTGGTGCTCTTCTCCAGAAGAAGGACAACCCTGTTTGTGAGGAGTGGTATCTTGACACGCAAGGCACGTCTCTCCGTGACGTCTTGGCCGTTGATGGTGTCGATGCCACGCGTACGATCTCTAACGATCTTTGGCAAACGGTGGAGGTGTTCGGTATTGAGGCAGCTCGACGAGCTGTGCTCGACGAGTTGCGACGTGTCCTTGCCTTTGACGGTTCCTATGTCAACGAACGCCATCTGTCTCTACTCGTAGACGTCATGACATACCGTGGCAGCATCGCCGCTGTAACCCGACATGGTATCAACAGGGCTGACACTGGTGCTCTTATGAGATGTTCTTTCGAAGAGACCGTGGAAATTCTCTTGGAGGCTGCCGCCACAGGCGAAATGGATGACTGCCGCGGCATTTCTGAAAACGTTATGCTTGGCCAGTTGGCACCTATGGGTACAGGCCACTTCGATGTGTTCCTGGATCCCAAGATGCTTGAAACTGTCATTTCCGAGAGCTCTCTCATGGGTATGGCTGGAATCAATATGAAGGGCGATCAGACAGGCGCGGCTACGCCATATGACATGCGTTCGCCGGTCGGCGATTCGGGTTTGATGGGCTTCACATCACCCTCCATGGGCATGGCCGGTCAGTTCTCGCCCATCGCTGGCTCCGATTCTCCTGCCCGCGCGGGCTTCGGCACGGATTACGGCGGTTTCGGTGGTGCCAGTCCCTACGGACCTCGGAGTCCTGGTGCGACATCGCCTACATCGCCATTCAGCACATATGGCGGTGGCTACTCGCCTACTTCTCCTGGAGCTGGCTACTCTCCTACCTCGCCTCTCATGGGTGGCGGCAGATATGCAAGCTCTCCGCAGTTCAGCCCCTCATCGCCATCATTCTCGCCTTCCTCGCCTGGATTCTCGGGTACTAGCCCAGCCAGTCCCAACTATAGTCCGACGTCGCCCAGCTACTCGCCGACTTCTCCATCGGCCACGCGCTACTCGCCCACGTCTCCGACGGCCGCCTCACCGTCATACTCGCCCACCAGCCCCAACTACAGCCCGACTTCACCCAATCTGGCTGTGGCTGCATCTCCTTCATTTAGCCCTACCTCGCCTAATGGTTATTCTCCCACTTCTCCGAATTACTCGCCTACGAGTCCTGTCTATGGTGGAGCCGCTCAACAATCTCCTACGAGTCCTCAATACTCGCCCTCGGTAGGTGCACATGTAACTCCAATTTGACTGTCTAATACTAATCTGTTTGTAGTCGCCTCAATGGTCACCTAAGACGCCTGGGCCCGGTGGTAATACCAGCCCGAAGTTGTGAGTCTGCCGCGATAAACTACTCCTCACGCCTTTACTGACTAGTTCTGTAGCTCTCCAACCTCTCCCCGAGGCGACTAGTAATTGCTCCACCCCAGCATTACTGATGAGAATTTGGACTTGAATAACTTTGCACATTCCGGAGTTGTGGATTTCATTTCCTCTTTGACTGTTCTCGCGCGCTTTCCCTAATTTCAGTCGCATTCGCCTTCCGACACAGGAGCGAGGCTTTGCGATTTGCATTCTCGGCATAGAGGACATCATACAGAAAACTACGCGTCTGAGAGCTAGAGAAACCCGATCTCAGCGGCTTCATAATTATTTCCTACTGAAGAACCACAAAAAGCAAGAAAAAATTAACTTGCGCTTGTTTGTACACTAGGCCGAGGGGTGTTCTTTGCTTCGTTACCACTGGCTGGTCCGTTTGACCAGCGCGGTATCTGAGGGACGATGGAAATTGAGAAACGGAAAGGGGGAGTTTGAGCGAGGGGAGGAGAACAAGACTGCATCAGTGACTCGATGCTCGTAGGCAGAATCAGAAGAACAGCGAGCATGATAGTGTGATTATGAGGAAAAGCGAAGCAATCCAGATTTTCAGAGAGACAAAAGATCCTCTTTTCTTCCCCTCTAGATTGATACGTGTCCCCAAGGCTGCCGTGCAGAGCCTTGAAGGGATCATGGATGAGAGTTGGAACGAAAAGGGTGGTCTTTCTCTCTGTCTTGTCTTGCCGGGCATGCCTGTAGGTCTTCATAAGAAAAGAATACCAAATGTTCTGACCACTCTTGATATTGTCCAACGACACTACGTGGAATCTGCCTCACTACTTTTATACTGGTTGGCTGACCTTGTGCCTCGCGTCTATTCTTCCTGCTATTGTACGCATCTTCGCATATGCGCTTTCACACGAGGATAAATAGTGTGCCACCAAAGAGTTTCAAGGCCATATAATGTATCTCGGGTTCAAAAACGAGACATCGCTATCTCCTTGACTGCGCTCGTCGTAGTAGCCCACGAAAATCTATCCAGTGGTTGAACTGACCACCTCGGAACTCGCAGGGTCCCTATGCCTGCTACCCTAATTCATGTTCACTCACACTGGGTGGCTTACGTGTTTTCTTCCCTTTGTGCCAACCACCTCAGCATCCTTTGGTACAGTCGCTTGTCTGCCGGCCCTATCATTGCGATGTTGTATGGGCATTTCTGATCAGCCGCGGATCCAGGGAAGCAGGACCCAGCGAAATTGGTATATCTTTGTTGGTCCCCCTTTCTAGGCCTGCGCACGGCTGACCAATGGAGGGTGGACCGTCTTCATTAGGAAACATGTTTCGAGGAGTGGCCTCCACGAGTGTCGCTATTCCTGCGCGGCGCGTGCGGCGTAGTCATAGGGCTGTGTGTGCGTTTCGGCGCCGAGCCAGGACCGCGATTTGCTGCATTCCGAGCTTTTAGGGGGGTGGGACGGTGATTTTGGCCCCTGCATGGACCCTCTGCCACGAGTTTCGAGATGATGGATGCAGAGAGCCATTCCTGGTTCTTTGCTTCTATGGCCGACCTTCCTGCCGAACCCTGAGGAGGGGAGGGAGGTGGTGTGCCAGGTTCCTGCGGCGTGGCCGCGGTAGTTACCTGTCGTGCCAGCCCGCCGTGCTGGGCCTGGGTGGAAGGATTCACGATTGTGTGAGTGACTGCAGCCCCTTTGAGTGCCGCTGCCATTTTGGCATGTGGAGGATTCAAATGATATTCTCACGGACGGTTGGGGCATCGGCAATTCACAGGGGATGGGGGCTAGGGGGATGCTTGATACTCTGGCATCTCGTAGGTGTCAGCTTCGATTATGATACAATGGTTGGTTTTATTGAATAAGCCAGATCGGATCGTGAAGAAAGCAAAGTCTCTTCTGTTGGAGAGTTGTCTCGTTCGCATCTTTAAAACCTCATTCGGGCTCACCGGCGAGGGTTACAGAGACCCAGGATTGTGTTCCCGTGCTTCTCTTGAGTAATAACTGAGCGTGACGAGATTACCGAGAAGACACAGATATTTAGGAACCCTGACCAATTCCTTCCGCTGGTATAGAAATCTATTCTGTTTCAAGTATATTGGCCTTCACCGAGTTTAGACGACTATGGCAGGATCTCAATTCTGAACCCCTTGCCACATGACTAGAGCATAACGCATCAGCTGGCCACTAGGATGGGCTGGAATCCTGTTCCTTTGGGGGTCTCCTGTTATTCTACATGACAGAAACCACACGTCACGAGCCCTGACCAGTAGCAGTGGGTGTGTCCGCGAGTGTGAGCGTCACAAGTACTGAATACTCGCCATCTGACCATAGTAGATCATCGATCGGCTGTTCCCCTTCTGTCGATGCGGAAGTTATTTGCTCAAGCATCTCCTGCTCCTGCACAGTGGCACATGCCCCTTTCGTTCCATTATTGGACGTGGGGGAAGCGTTATGGCGTCGACTCGGTTCTGGAAGGGTGGTGGTATATGTCTCAACCGCGTACGCCTCGGGAAGGGGCAGGCACCAGAAAGGGGGGTCGCTGCACCCTCCTGATACCCTGTGAGAAACCAAAACCTGCACGCGCATTAGTCACGGCCTTCGTTCCGGGAGCAAAGTGGTAATTGGGAAAGCCACTCTGCACCTGCTAGACCCTACTGGTGGGAATGGTTCCCCTCGGGTGGAGGGGAACGTGTTCATGTTGGGCCTCTGCAGCCAAGGGTTCAACTCCTAGCGGCGGCGTGATCACCCAACGCTGCATGCATGTGCCTGCTCTCACGAGGGTGATGTACGACAGCAGGATATTGGTTATCACATCTGTGCCGTTATCTCTTTCACACCAGTGAGGTGGAGGGCGGCCACCCGGAAGAGGCTTGGAGTCGACGGCATATCACATAGCCGGCGGCTATCAAGGAGTTCGATCCAGGTTTGTCTCCATTCCAAGGACCCAGACTCCGAGCGAACACTGTTGTGGTTGCGTAAATGTTGTGTATACGTTGAGTATCTCTGAAGTATCGATGGTGTACACTCTCCGAAGCTCCGGTATCCATCAAATGTGGCGTTGTGTTGGTTCAACCAACAACAGCTCAACGCCCTGGACCCTTTTGCCATTAGCCAGACGGGACCTATCCCCTCGACCGTTGGCAATGCCCTTGCTTCCGCTCTCTGCACGGTTAGTCTGAACAGATCCGTTGGTATTCTCTAGCACCGCGGCCCGCGAAGGTACGGCTCGCTGGCCTCGTGGTGCAGCCAAAACGGCTCCAGCAAGAGCAGGGTTCTTCCCAAGGGCTATTGGGCCGATGAAGTGAACCTACTAGGTCCATGGGAGGAGCCGGTGAAGACCTTGCGTTCTGCTCAAGCAAAATTCCAACACTTCATGGTCTCCGGCGGCACAGCAGCAGCTGTGCCCAACGGCTCCTGGTGCCCTTGATTGCTCGAACCCTCAACATCGCTCTCAGCAGTTATTTTCTTCATAGAGAGAGGCTGCTCAGCGTTCGCGAAAATGATAGAAGTGGAGATTCTGATCAGGAGGACTTGCAGAAAGTTTGATTAGAACACTCCTTTCCCGAAACGTAACTATGTTTGAAGGATAACCAAGCATACGGAGCAAGTTGGATCGCAGTAATGAACTCTACTGAGCGCTTTCAAGACGCTGGGTGTCGGCCCTGATCAGAGGCATTCGACTACCCAAATGCAAGCAGAGCATTACGTAGTTGACTTCGATGACAGCGGTGACCGCGATGAGCGGTTTCACTGCTGGATGCCTTTTTCGGCATGCGAGACCATTATCTTAGCAGAAGCACAAAACTTGGCCTGTTACAGTGTTTCGGTCGTAACTCATTACCGAGAGCCGAGGCCGACGGCATCCCGAGAACGTACTGCATCGACAAAGAATTTATCCCTTCCCTGCCAGCCTGCTCGTATTGGCAGGGGCATAGGATGGATTAATATTCCAAGGCGGTAGGGATCTGGCTGGAGCTTGAAACTCCACCAAGAGAGCGAGAGGTCTGCAACACCCACACTTCTTGCTTTTTACAGTTTCATGATTTTAAACTAGAATCGATATAGTGGTGATGATCCTACTACTTACGGCCTTAACAACTCAACTTCATGCAATCAATGCATATCCGCATGGTGCCACGAGTCAGTCTGTTGGTCCAGATGACATATTGAATGGTGAGTTTAGCACAGGGCTCCCGGCAGGCAGCACAACGCATGGAGCGCGCTGATATGGTGGAGATGAATGAGTTATCTGAGACGGACTAGATGTGGGTTATATGCAGCGGGCTGTGACCGAGGCATTAAAACGTTACCGTCACACAATGCCGTTGCGTCGCGAGTGACATGTGCTTGCAAGGCCTTTTTTTCGATGCGGTCCAGCCAGCCCTGAGGAAATCACCCTGGCCTGGCCATGACAAGGATTTCATGTGAGTCTCTCGATAAACTTTGGTCAGTGCGTCTCAAAATGTTGATCGAGGGTGGCTTCCTTTGAGTCGACCTTGAGAGGGTTGATTCCTCTCACGTCTGAAGGTCCTAACCTGTTGTCCACTGTGTAGTCCTCCAGACCACAGTTTTGCACATAGGAAGTAGAAGCCCGCCTCCACTCAACGACGTACGTAGATGCTTCTGACGTGCAATCACACTAGATCGAGGGCCACAGCCCCGAAAAGGTGAACCAGGGTCGATTACCTAGCTTGATGCAGCCACAGGGATCAAGAAGCAGCGGGATCCTTGCCGTCCGTACTGGGCTCTAGAAGAGCCTGCAGTAATCAATTTCAAGGTCTACCGTCTGAAGTGTGCATCGGGTCGAACGACCCTGTGTCTGCGTTCACGAACGACACAACCCTCCAGGAGTGGGTATAATATGTCCATGGGAACCCAAAGACCCCTTAGTTGGAGATTTCCTTCCAGAAGAAGACGCCTATCGATTCGTCTTTTGCTGTGAAGAAACCCAGACGAGAACCAAGGGTCTTGCTCGACATACTCGACCTAAAATTGGATGCAACTCAATAGCCAAGGTAGGAAGTTATCTCGTCAAGTTGCCCGAGATCCCGTCAGGTGTCAGGGGTAGTCAATGGTGTTGAAAACCTGTCAAAGGCTCAGCGACATCACCGCCTAGCATAGTACTAATTGAGATGACGCGGCGGAGAGATAGCTACCAAGGTGGATCCGCCTAGACAATGGTCTCATTTGTGCCAATATCGCGGATGACAGACAAGCTGACAAACCAACATAGTTTTTAATTTGACTTTGCAGCCTGGGAACCACGGGCGAGGCGCGTAGGCACGATGACATGCCCATTTGAGCTGTGAATGAGACGCCGGTGTGTTGGTACCCCTGCGTCGAAGGCAACATCCATCAACGAATTGTTGCGATACTGGTTTTATGTGATTTGGTTACTGTGTAGATTCTCGGGTGAAGGGCTAAGGGGACCACGGGGATTGGTGGAGTTGGATCAACAGTGGACGACTAGGATCACCATCAAGGCCACCATACAGACCTTGACCGTGGTATGACTTCATGGGACCGTGGTATCCGCTCTAGGAGGGCCGTTGGCTGCAGATATTACCCCTAGGCGCGGTGGATCCCGCGGCACTGGAGTGAGAAACCGCGGCAGCTCTCTGGCCATTCTTGAAATTGTATGTCACGAACCATCCTGAACCGACATCTATAACGTCTTCAACCATGGTGACAGCTACCATTGGGTGGGCAGTCCGCTAAGCGCCTGTTAGCTGGGTTGGCAGCTTAGGGGCATGCCAAACTCGGCAGGACAAGGATGTGCACCTGGTTAGCGCAACTCGACGGAGCAGCTTTGGGTCTCTGCCGATGCATGAGCTCGTCTATCCGGTTAGTATACTCTGGGGAAGCGATCCGGTATCGCCATGACAAGGGTCTAACATGCTATGGACATCCCGTAGCTAGCGCATAATTAGAGCACGGAGTCATGAGCGCGCCGTTCGGGGGTTGCTCCCTGTCCGACTCGGGCGATCAGTCAGACCGTGGTCAACGTGGTTGAGGACGACCCTACTCGTACTTCGCCTGAACTGCTGCGGCGAGCCTGGATGCTGTCGTCAGAGGGGGGGTGTGACGGGTCAAATAATGAAGCTTGGATCTGGAAGATTCGGCGACATCTCGGCAGCAGGGCCGCCATGCGTCAAGCTGCACCCAACGAACGACCTAGTAGACCAAGTTGCAACACCGCTTGCCGACCAATATCGAGCATCGGGTGGTCTTTCAAGCGACGAGTGAAGGGTGCTTGCGGCCGAGATGGAGCAAGAAGCCCCCCCCGGTGTCCATGTGTACTTACATACGTAGTGACTTGGACGAGGACGTGCGTGCCGGGTGTACCCTTGACCTCAGCAGAACTCGCGACTGGACTGACGCACACGGCTCTCTCCTTTGGTTGTTCCACAAACACAAGGTAGGCTACATCAAAAGAGGCATTGCTGCCGTCCAACGTCTCGTGTTTCTTCTTTTCGTCCGACGTCAGGCAGCACTCTGACCTGACGGCCGCGGCAAAAGGGGTCGACGTATCGGCTCGGCCGCTGAAACGGGCCAACGGCGCCAAGCGCGCCATTGGACGGTAGTCGCGTTTGCTCGACGACCATCGCGGCTTGTTGGGGACGAGAGGCGCGGCACTGGCTGGCCCGCGATGCCAATTGGTAGATTGTTCGGTGGATGGTGAGAAGATGACAAGGCCGCGGGGCCGCCGCATCAGGCCTTGTGGGGGCCGCCCGGCGTGATGTGAGCGGTCCTGGCCCAAGGTTGCAGTAGCTTGCGAAAGGATGTATTCCGTCGTCTGCCGCGTTTCCATCTTGCAAGCCCAACGCCCGCTGCCTGCCCATCCCGACTCCAGGGTCAGGGTCGCCGTGGATGACATGCAGTGCTAGCCTGCCCACTCTCTACGAGACAGATTTGAAGCCAGGAAGATCCCAGCACGGGCGCGGTTTGGGCAAACGATGTCGATACCGGGCGGGAGAATACAAACCCATCACATGATGTCGACCGGCTGCGAGTGATCCTTGCAACTGCTTGAATTGGGCCGACACTCCTATGCGCGGCTCATGCCCTTGCAACCACCTGTCTTAGTCTTGCTGGGCCTGCTCTGCGTGGAGTTCAGTTAGCAGATATCCCGCAGAGGCGCAGCAGGGTTTGCAGGGTGCAACAAGTCGCTCTGCCTTGCAGCAGAAGGAATGCATCAACCCTGTTGACGTTGCCGACGGGAGCATGCTTCTTTGTTGCGCAGCGGACGGGGCCGTTTCTTTTCGCTGGCTGTGCCACCATGCCCGAGTCGAGCGCGCCATATTCCCCAGCGCATAGCCGCATCCATTGAGGCTTCGGCCGATGCCAAGCAACTCGCTGCGCAGAGCTGTTCGGATTGCAGAAACCACGGGTTCTGAGCACCTAGGATAGAAACATGTTCGCACCCGAGACTGGGTCGGGCCAAAGTGCCTGCACTAGTGTAGATAGGAAGATGATTGATGTATTCAGATATCCAATAAAACGAAGAAAAAGAAGGAGAAAAGCTTCCAAACAAATCAAAGTGAGTTCTCATCCGGGGTATTAGGACTCGGTGTCTGTCAGGACACGACTGAAAATGTGGTGTATCAAAAGAAGATGGGGTCCTCCCGCCGCCCACATCAACCCAATCCAAGACCCCGCCAGCTCGGGGAAATCGCCATCGCAAAAAGATATGTAGATGCGCCGAGTTCAATTTTTGAAGAAAAAAAGGGCATGCCGGTCTCTTCGCAGTAGGTCTGTCTGCCCGCCGCCATGATAATGTGCCTCCAGGTCGCCCCCTTCCCGCAGCCTTTCGCCGGCTGGGGGAGGTAGCAGCAGCAGCCCCTTTGGTCCTGTGGAGGACATGAAACGCTGTATAATGATCCGCAACACACGGCGCGATTGCTCGCTTGACTTGTCTTCCGAAGAGAAGTTCCGAAGCACATTAGATTCTGCTGCACTGCTCTCAGCAGCCATTACTGCGGGGTTTCCTTTAAGTCATCGTCGAAATAAGAACCCTGCGCAGTAGAACACGACTTACGCCTGACGTTTCGAGTGTCTCGGGCACTTCCCCCCTCCGGACACCTCCCTTCGCCGTGTGCCCTGCTGGCATACACCCGTGGCCCGCATCTCTGAACAGTAGGCAAAGTCTCCGTACGTTGTGCATCCGCACGAGTACACAATGACCATTTGCGTACACATGTTGACGTCTTTTGAGGGAATACTATCGCGACACTTGAGCTCTATCTCCCTGCAAAGTGTGTTAGAAACAACCGAGTCACGGTGGAGGCTAGTGCTGGAGTGTATAAGAACTTACAACAAGCGGGTGGTGAGGCTATGTGCTTCAACGGCACGATGACCGAGACGGCTCTGGGGGAGGATATTTGTTACAAAAATTGACAGTCGGGCGTAATGCTGTGATTGATTGATTGATTGACAAGACGGGAGAGATTGCCCTTTGCTGAGTCTTGCGTGAGGTTGCCTGGACTGGTCCGATAGCCACTCGAGGGTGGTGGACAAGACGTCTTTATACTCTTGCACAGACTTTGACACCAGCGGCGATAGTATGTAGGTGGCCTCGTTTGACAGATGCAAGGCAGCCACGCCCGAAAGTTGGTATATGTTGGTGACCCTTCAAAGCATCCGTTCGAGTGACGCACATTGGAAATGCCGGGGTACAAGCGAGTGAGTGGGATTAATGCATTTTAGGCAAGTAGTTGGGAGCTGGAGGCAGACTACGAGACCACTCGGGGGTGTAGAGGACTAGTTGCCAACATGTATTTCCCAAGTCGGAGTACATGCGACGACAAGAGGCCAATCCTGATCTCTGGGTAGGTGAGCAGGAGATTGGGGTCGAGGCGAGGTTGACGGAGGACGAATGTATGTGGCCTGCGGGAAGGGCGTTGGCACATGAGAGAAAAGGTATGCCATCCAATCCAAGGCTATAGATGTAGTAGAGCAGCGGCCTGCAGGTGTGGCCGACGACCAACGCTCCGGCCACTTCCATGTTCGGACCCGTTCCTAATTCCTGAGTCCTGTCTTGGATGCTTGTATGCTTGTATGCTTGTATGCTTGTATGCTTGTATGCTTGTATGCTTGTATGCTTGTATGCTTGTATGCTTGTATGCTTGTATGCTTGTATGCTTGTATGCTTGTATGCTTGTATGCTTGTACGCTTGTACGCTTGTGTGCTTGTATGCTTGTCTGCTTGTATGCTTGTATGCTTGTATGTACGGTAGGTACCTACACCCACACTAACGAGGAGCGGCAGGGATGCTGCTCCCGCGAGGTGGGTTACCAAACCAAATGGCCATGCAGAATACGGTACCTAGTTACCTGAACTGCTGGCTCCCATCTCCCATCTGGAGCAACTCGAGCTGCCCAGGGTCCGTCCACGGCGGGTGTCTGTCCGTTTGCGCGGCTGGTACATTTGCACGCACACGCGCGCACGCACTTCTCGCGCACACACCCCAACCGCAGCCCTGAGAGAGGGGGGAGAGAGGGTCTGCCAGAGATTGTCAAGCTGTCTACACATGCAACAAGGCAGGCCTGTGGTGCGTCTGATTCGCTCAACGCCCGCGCAGTTGGACACTGGCCTATTTGCAAAAGCCAGAGGAGCGAGCCATCGGAAACACGCGAGTGGTGCGGCTTCGCTGGGTACCCAAGTCACCCAAGAAAACTGCACCGTTCTCCCGTATCTTGCCTGACCGTCTGGCCACGCCCACGAACGGCGCACCTGAAGTAGTGAGCAAAGACGGGAAACAAGTCCGTCAAGTACCGGGGTCGTTCCGAGTGGCTTGAGCTCTTACCCATGTACCAAGTGGGCCCCATCTGCACAGCAGCCTCAGCAATCGAAGGAGCCAAAGGCGAACAAGATACGGCAGCTCGACCACAACAGCCGGCATTAAAGGGCAAAGGATCGGCTTGCAATTGCTCAGAGAATCAATCAACCCGGAACTGACGCTCTGTGAAGGACTAGGATCATGTTTTCAAACCGTGATTTCCAGGAATCAGTCTGGCTTAAGCCCGATGAGGCAAAGTCACGATATCCGGACCCTGGCGGATAAGGTTGCGGCAACAGCCTTCTTCCTTGAGAGTCGTCTTCCACCAGGTGGGCTCCCAGGGTCGGACAGGTATTCCTCTGACACATGGCTCGGTGGCACACATGCGGACGATGGCAGCATGAGACCCGATAAAGAATCCATTCGACCTGTGCAACGGAACGCGGTCCAAACCCCCAGTTAGGCGCACCCGCTCTCCTGCCTCCACCCGCTGGCACAGCCGTCACGAGAGCTACGTGCCGAACCGCAACTTAACCATAACCCGCCCTCTATTGTTCCAGTCGCCCCTTGAAGGATCTGAAAAGATATCTTAAACCAACCAGGTTGGACGAGCTGGACATCTCGAACGGCTCCTGGGAGCGAGCGAGGAGGAGGTACGTGCCTCGGCAACCTTGCGTCGATCCGTCTGCAATACAAGAATATTCCCGCACTCTGTTCTATTGCAACCACTTGAAGGAGCAGTCGACAGCAATACTCAGGTGATACCCGCTCTATATGGCGCTAGTCATGTCTGTCTAGAGCCCATCAAGTCCCTTAGGCTGCTGCGCTACTACAAGTGCCCGATGATGTACTTTCTTTCTCGCACAGCACACATCGCTTGAATACACGCTTGGAGCCTCAGTCGCCCAAATGTTTCGTGACTTTAGGTACTTCCGTGATCAGCATACGCGAGAACCCGATTCTGGCCATGTCCCATCAGTCTACCCTGAAATTCATGTTGCGGGCGGCCTAGGGTGTCCAGACAGAGTCGACCTAGGCGAACCCAACTCGCCGAACGCTGGTCCAACAACGACTAGCACGCAACCAACACCGCCAACAGTCCATAAGCGCAGGCCGCTGGGGGTTTGTACTGTGAGTGACTCTTCCGCTCCATGGAACAAGATCCATCTGGATGAATCGGATGACAGGCATCTGCGGCAGCAGCGTTTGGCGCTTCATGTTGGTGGGTTAAATGTAACCAAGACCCTGCCTTTTCAGAATTGTTATTGCAAGGTCACGCATTTGATCACATTACCATCCTGGCCCCAGTCATCGCTCACCACCACCCACCGATCCAAGAAGCCGGGATGGGTGACAAGAGCTGTTCGCCCAGTGCAACCCCATGAAGCTATCTTGAGATCCTCAAGTTGGGAAGGACGTTGTCGAACAGCCCTACCGTGGGGCCCAGGCCCGAAAACCGACCTTCTGGTATAGGTGACCGGGGCTGAACCTGATCCAACAATCCTGTCGGCCCAAACTCGCTCGAATACTCAACCTCCAGCAGCTTGATACATGACAATCTACTGACGTGCGTCTTTGGCGGCAGCATCCTTGTGTCAAGTGATGACCACAGTCCCAATTTACCAGGATGTGCTGGCCCATACCTCTGCAGCCAGCATATGGCGTAGCAAAATCTGCAACGGGATCTGATGCCGAGCTTATGGAACGATCCTTCAAGTGTGAAGAGAAGGAATCCGCTACGGAAGGATGGGCTTGATGATCTTAGGCATTCCTTTCGCCTTGTGGTGGCTCTTGGAAAACAGCCGCCCCCACACAGGGGGTCTCAGCGAGATATCTGTCAACTGGACACTTACCGATCCACGCGCAAAGCGTTGTCGCTGAATAACTGCTCTGTGGTTACATCAGCTAATATCTGAAAGGCGGGATTTGATTTTCCGATTACTCACTCCAAGCCAATACCTAGTACCCTGACCGGCAGAGTCTCATGCCAGTCCATCGCCGTACAGTTTCGTGAGCCCGACTCGCCGGAGCCAATGACCAAGCTGCCGGCCCTTGATATGCAGAATGTCTCTTTTCTATTGTCCCCCTCCAGCCGGGGAGCACGATTCGGGTTCGTCACTATACCTGGCGCGCTTAGCTCCTGGCACAGAAGTGACTTGAAGAAGACGCATTGCATTGGGGCAATACCTACCGCGCGTCAGGTGCGAGTTGAACCAGGTTGAGCACCCAGCGAGATGGCTGACGCTGGTCTGCCCAGATGAGATGAGCTTTCTGTGACAGCCAATCAGAGCGCACAAGGCACAATTAAGCGCCGTGGATGCTGGGGCTGTCCCTGGTCGTCCGCAGCGTTGGGTATGTCTCTGCGCAATCAAGTGATAGACTGGACACTTCTACTGGGATCCGATCCGGTATTTGCAGATTACTCGAGCTGGTTGACGGAGAATGGCTGGAGTGCATTCAATTCACGAGTGTTGGGAAGCTCTTGTGACGCGATGGTGACACTAACAGAACTGTAAATTCCAACAAACACTTGTCCGTGCGAATCAAATAGTCATACGCATTCTGCATAAGAGTAGCAAATAAACATGGGGCCTGGATGGTGAGACTTGACAATGATGTTTCTTCCCCTGGCTGTATTAGGTTGCCGCCTCTGTGGTATCTTGCGAGAATGCAGCAGGGCCATGAACTTCATCACCAACAGCATAGGCAGAACATGGCCACTGGCAGGGATTCACAGCCTTATGCGGCTTTACAATTTTCGTCTGTCAGACTGCGGCGTCCTTAATTGAAACAAGCAGCACCAATATTGCCGGATGGCCCTCCTGCCTGGCCAACAACCATTCTTGCCCCTTGATGTAGGCACGACAGACATACATAACTCCGAGATTAAAGACGAAGAAATCAGCGGATAAGTCCTAAAAGCCTTCGCGGTGTGCTTGCTCCCAACTTGGAGTAATGTTAGAAAGCAGAACAAAGCACATCTGTCCTAGAGTGCTTGCTGAGTTCGCTTTTCATTACCCTTAGCCCAACGGGCATACAGGAGCCAAGGTGATTTGCATACCTCCCATCTCGTCCTTGCTATCAGCCGCGTCATCGGACCCGGACGTAAAGTAGCATCCGCGTGGCTGCTGAGTCAAGCACCAGCAAGAGAATCCCAGGGACCTGGGTGAACTCTATTTCAGCGCGTCCAGGAATTCATTATTTGGGGCTTCCATCGTCGTGGAGCAATGTAACCCTCAATAATGTATGCGCCATGCACGACCGAGGATGGCTGCCTGACACATGGGCATGAGAGCAATGCGGGTTTCGGTTCTGGAAAAGCATTCGAAGCATTGCCTTCATCCTCTCGAGGTTTTCCCTGTTGGTCACATTGCGCACCTCGGAGGCAGACTACGACCGATTTCCAACAATTAGGCACGACTGCTACCATATGACTAGCCCACCAGAAAACCATGCTTCTAGGAGTTACAATGTGATGGTGCTTCTATATCCGCACCAATGCATAGGAATAACCAACAGAGTATTGCAAGTCAAAAGAGTTGGGGGCATTGGATGCCTCTCGGCCCTTGAGCTTCATTCTAGGCACTTTTGTTTTCGACTCGGTAAAAGCAGTGCCCTCGGCACCTATGACGAAACAAGAAGCTGACTTGTACAGATGAACTCCCCTGATTTCGGTCTGCAGATTGTGATGTCACAGCCCTGGGGGCTACTGGGATGTCTACATGCTCAACGGTAACGGTATCTGTACCCGAGGGGGAATACGAGCAAGACCGACCGGGCAGTATCCACGTTCTCCAGGCTTCACCGTAAATCATTGCTCTAGCAACCTCGGCCTCGAATAGCTGGTCAAGCTGAAGAGCTCCAGGGCAGGATGGCTTCCCGCGTCCCTTGCGTGCCGCCCGTGATTATATTGCCCAGCAGCCAGGGTAGCCTTGTAATGGTCCAGGGGGATGGAGTTCGATTGCAGTCATGACTAATGATTGCCGGAGAGATGACAGAGCTATGTCAGCGTCAACTACTGCGCTCTCCTCGTGTTGCTTTATTTATGCTATCTACTGTACCATGGTAGGCTGCCTTCTCCGAGCAGATGCGACGAGTGGACGAATAGTGCTCTCAGAGCCCTCGAATCGAATCCGCCCCGCTGGAACATCTGCACTACAGTACTGCGTGCATGCTTAGCATGTAACGGGAGCGGGTGCGCAGCAATGTCAAACAGCATGCCATTCCTAGGCAAGTATAAGTCAACGGACGAACAATCTATACCACATGGCTGCGACCGCCCAATTGGTCCTCTATACCCGATATTCCCGGAAGCCCTCCATCGATAGGGCTGGGAGGGAGATGGGCTCCGTCCGTCCAGCAGCCCGTTCCGAGAAATCCCTTTAGGCGAGCGCTGGCCTACCGAGACAGCCAATAGGACGGGCGCATCCCCCGTGAGGTCGGGAACCTTACGAAGCGGCTCTCAAGGAATCATTGAACATGTCGCGGCATCCCGGATCGGGGCCGATCTCCACTCTATAGACGTCCATTCTATTTGATCTCGACATCCTCGGCCTCCGGCCGTTGATTTGGAGGGTTTGCAGCCTGTTTTCGACCATTTCTCGACCACGTCCCGACCGAGACACACGGGTCAGAGGGGACCCCCACTCGCGGCTATCAAGGGCTCTCTGCCCTCTCTGCCCTCTGCCCTCTCTGACTCGGCTTGCTGCTTTTGTCAGCGACCACTCGCGGGCCAATGGCGATGGCACGTGTGGGAACGCGCAGCGCAGCGCAGGCAGCGCATTGTTACATGCGGCCGTCCTCTGGGCAGCTGCCCACTTATCGAGAGTCGCGGGAGCCGTGATCTGCCAGCCCAAGTGTCGGGCGGGCTTCTTGGCCAATACGGCGCTGAAACCAGCAGCGGAGCCTGCGGCACCTGCGAGAGAATTCCCACGCGTCGAGCGCTTGGTCATCGCATCGACCAAGACCAGCCCGGACGATAGGAAAGAAGGTCCGGAAGAGGGGTTGGCTGGACATTGCATCGACCGGCAAGTGCGTCATGTAGGTTTATAAAAAGCCAGGCCCTCCGAGGTTGGTCTCGATCCTTTCACTTTCTTTGTCCCATCCTTCTGTCAAGTTATCCAGCTTCCCGATCCAAAGAACCGCCACGACTTGCGCCCTCATCCTTCTCGCATTCAGTCCGCACAAAAGAAACACAAAACGCTCGCATCCTCCTTACACCCGCTCGACTTCATCACACAGCACACAAACACACACTCACAATTCCACATTCATCACAATGGCCACCAGAATTACCAACGCCGACGTCCGCAGCCCCATGGTGTTTCTCTCACTGGCTCCCACCACCTCTGAGTGTTTCCCTACCTCGCAGAACTACCAGCCCGCAAAGCGCCCGGAGGCTCGTCGCTCCTCTAGCTTGAGCAGCAACGACTCGGCCAAGCTTCGATTCCTCAAGCTTGGCCCCGTCCACTACGGCGAGCACCGTGATGAGCACAAGGCGGACTACCACGAGGTGGCCATCGAGTGATTTAACTCGACTCTCTATCCTGGCTGCTACCTGGGCACATTGCAGCAATTTCACGACCTTGATGACCAACCTTTGAGAGCAATAGATTGTACTCCTTTGATATTAGCTTCCACCCTACATTGCGATGGGACATGGAATTTCGGAACGAGCGGACCAAAAAAACAGCTGTTGTTCATGTGCTTATTTGAGGGGTTAAGGCGAAATGGACTAGACTATTAGAGGACTCGGAGCATTGTGGACAAAGTCGGTCATGGGGCAGGGTCCTCTTTCTCCTTGGGAAATCGATATTAAAAGCACCCAAAACATTATGATACTTCAATGGAACGGCGTTCACTCTCTAGTCCGGCTTTTGTTTGCTTGGCCAGGTGACTCTTCTCGTGTGGCGAGGGGGCCTGATCCCCCCTAGAGCCTAAACCGGTGTACGTCAGTGACATCGTGAGTTTGGGTGGACGGACTTAAGACTTTTTGGTGAAATGTGCGGAATTCGCCATAGTATGCAGGTGCTTGGCATGATAGGACGGGTTGCTCCATGCGGCAGTTTGTGTCTTCTATTGGCTGCGTTTCAGAGAGCAATGGAATCTGATTGGCAATGCGTCACCGCAAAATTCCTTGCATCATCTGGTGCGCCCCTTGGATCTCAAATGGATCTCAACACAAACAAGGCAAGACAGATAGACAGACAGAAGAACGGGGACAGAATGCCTAACGTCATGGCATACAAACAAAGCGCGTTGACCTTGTGCAATGTGTGTAGCGCCCCGACGGTGCACAAATGACAGTATATTACACAAATCTCGCTCACGACAGGCTTATCTCAAACTGGCATGTTTCAATAGTCCCTGCCGCCTGCTATTGTTGATCTCCAAGATCTGCCATGCGCCAAGCTGGGCCCAAGGCGGGTTGATCAGTGGACTACTGCAGCCTATTGAAACGGGGATTCAGGGCACCTCTTTGGTTGTCTTTTTTAGACACGGCACTAGTCTAGGGGTCCGACACTTGACAGGCTAACTTGTGACTGGCCCCCCCCATCTGACACCGCAACTCCCGAGACGCGATATAGTCCCCAAGAGTCTTGGCCCAGACAGCAATCTTGACGGATGCCACTCTCTTGCTCCGCCTGTCCCCATATCCCCCCGTTGCACTGGAAACTGTGAGAGACTGACTATTTCGAGCTAAAATGGGGCCTTTCAAATAACCAAAATAACTACCCAGCCAACCAACCCCGTCGGAATGTTCTTCTCTGAGAGTGACAGTCTTCCTTTCTCCCGCCGAGTGGCCCCCCCGGCCGCCCGGCTGCCAATCGCTCTCCGACTCGCACCCTGCTGTGCCTGGAAAGTCCGCCTTGCCCCAGCGTGACAGCGTCGATGCCGTGCCTAGTGTTGCCCGCCTACAGATCTATTTCTAGAGGGAGGTCGGAATACACCACTTATCGTTGACCCCCAAGACCGTTCGGGTTACACCGGGACGGGTGATCGACAGCATGCCTCCACTGCATTGGCACATCACGGCGGCTTGGCCGCGCCGTGCGCTGGACCTCAAGGTCACAGATTGGGGCCGGCGGCGTTTGGAGTGCCGGCAGCCAAGACCCGCGGGCTGGAGACAGTCTGATACCTGGCGGTCTTGGCTCCCTTCTCTGGGCCTCCTCTTTTCGGGGGTGTGATAAGGAGGTAGGTCGAACAGGGAGAGGTCCTGCCGTAGAATGCTCAGCTTCTCCCCCAGGAGGGAGTTTTAGACGAGAAGGAAGACTCTAGGTGACATGGAGCGGGCCGCTGCCGTCACATCGAACCTTCTTGGACGACTGGACGAGGGCCAAAAAAAATACAGATTCAGCTATCCTTGCCGCTGACGGGCTGACTGCTCTCTCGCGTCAACGTGAAACATATATAAGCCCGCTGCAACCCAAGTCTCACCCTGCGCAGATGAGCCCTCGGACTCCCCTCCCAGTCATGATGGCCGTTGCTGACCGGAGCAACGCATGTAATCTGTAGCAAAGCTGTGCGACGTGGGCGATGGATCGAGAAACCCTCCGAATCGAATGGTGCTATGTCGGCCCCAACTCCATTCCTTCCATTCCTGTTCTTTCATCACCGTGACGATTATGCACAAGGCTCCTGAGGGATGTGGAAAAACTTATCCACGGGTGACGAGGCATGGGGTTGAGAGTCAGAACGCCCCAACCTTGAAGCCAACGTCACAGATGGCGCGAGGTATAGTCACCACGGGTAGACATCATGGGTACTTGGTGCGGCGGAAATAGAAGCAACAAGTTTCTCAGTCCCCTGCTCCTTTGTACACAACCTGTGAAACGGCGAGCACTCGATCTCAAAGCTGCCTCCCTATAATTAGAAGACTCAGTACAGACCAAGGCACACACGGAAAAGACCGGACCCTCTGGACAGAAGGTCAAGAGAAATCTGATGATTTCTCGACATACGTCTCAATGTCAACGAGTCAAGTCGGAGCCTGATGGAACCGTTTGGACTGACTTTTGGGGCGGTCAGACTTCAGCTTAGCACCCTCTACTTATCCTTACAAGTACAATGAACCCCTATAGACCTGCCCCTGAGAATAGACAGGGTCCATCGAATGGCTGGATGTCTTAATTGAATTCTAGGACTCATAACCACGGCAGCGAGGTAACCAACTCTTCCAGCTGTCCTATTTTTGTTCACAGATACGCCAGTCCGCTGGCACCCAACAGTCCCTCGAGTGTGGCTCTCACTTCCTCGACTCCCGCAAACCCGACTCGGCCGGCGATCTCGGCTCTTCGCCCGGCTCCGAGCTCGTTCCACCGCGCCAGCATTGCACCGTCCACGATGCTCCTTCCTACGCCCGCATCGACGGCAGGGGGGTTGCGGCCCACAGCGCCGGTGGAGGTTGGCGCCCGGTAGGCCTTGGGGTTCAGGCCACCGAATTGCGGGAGCGAGGTCGCGAGCTGGGAGGCGAGAGACGAGAGGCGTCGGTACTCTTGTTCGGAGAGGGGCGCCAATGTGGATAGCATTCCTGTGTGTGAGGCGAGAAGAACCAGCTGTGGTTGCGATACTGCGGTATGTCCGTTCATGCCGTTGCCATTCATGTCGTCACCACCGGACAAGAACTCGTGACCCAGAGGTAGAGTTCGCGGCAATAGAAGACTGCGGCTGGGCACATTGGCGCCAGCAGAGAAGGTTGTGCGATGTAAGAGAAGGTGACCACCGAGCGATTTGGGATCTGAGTAGTAACGTTAGCATAAATAATGTGATGGGAGACAAAGCAGCAGCAGAGGGGAGTGTGGGCTTACGCTCAGGATCAAACTGCAATATGTGAATGCCGCCATCTGAATCACATGCCACGATTGATAGCTCGTTTCCGTGTGGCAAGAACTCTGTAGTGAGAACCTCCAACGCTGTCGAGCTCTTGCCGAACAGGACCATCTTATAGGGCTCCTCGGTGTATCCGGTGAACCAGACACCCTTGACTGCGTCGGCCATTAAGCACATCCCGGTGCCCTTGAGCTCCCGGACCGCAGTGACGTAGCAACTCATGTCCATGAACGCCACAGGAAGCAAACTACCGTCTTCCTTGAGGCCACGCACCATGCACTTTTGTCCCTGTGCAACGAGCATCAAGCCTTGAGTTCCTATCTCAGACAACGCTGTGACGGCGCCTCGGGGAATATCTTCCTTGGCTACAAGCTTGAGGCGCTTGTTGGTCTCTGGGCGGTCAGGCTTGGGGATGACTGACACGACGTCGTAGACTATCACCCGGCCCTTTATGGGCAGATCTTCACCTCTGGCGATAGCTGTTCCTACCACAATGAGCTGTTTACGCTCGTTTGTAGACTCCGAAACTTCGAGGTTGATGGTCTCGATACACATAATCGTCTCGCACGGTTCCATCTCAACTGTGTCGATGATGGTCCAGTTGACTGGATTTATGAGGTTCAGAGCGCCCCGCTCAACCATCGGCTTGAAGGTAAGATCCTTCTCAATTTGCCACTCCTTGTGATAGTCATCCTCCTTAGGGAGCTCAAACGGTTCGGCGGCATCGCTCCCTACAACATAGGTCATCGATGGCGAGTGATAGGTGACCGAATGGACATCAATGTGAAGCGGTAGTTTCCTCAGCGACATACCAATCTCGGCATAGGTTGTGTCACCCACTGGCACTTGACACACCCGAGCGTTACCGTTCGAGTCAGCGTATATGAACCCGCGCTCGCAGCCTTCGGTGTGGAAAGGACTCATGCTACGGACGCCAGTGCCTTGCAGCCCAATAACTTTAGGCATTGCCTTGGATGACTTGATGATGAAGCTTGGCGAAGCACCAGGCGCAAAAACGGTCTCGTAACCACCAACGTTCTGGCATCGTCTGAGTGGCATCATTCTCGGCTGTTGCTCAGCTTCATCCTCAGCAACCGCTGCTGGACTCTTTGCCAGCCGGTCGTTAGAGATCTTCTGGAAATGCAGCGACTTCGATAACTCTGTAGACTCTTCGGATGCTACTCGGAAAGGCGTGTATATAGTTAAATCGTCGTTTGAATGCCGGACCTAATACAAGTCAATTATAGTCCAGTTGTATCCCAAGCAGTACACATACAATCAGATGAGGAGACGACATTGTGCTGTCTCCAAGATTGGCCACAAGGATTTCCACGACGGTTTCCTTGGCGCTTCCTCGTCGTGCAGAGTAGCCAGCAGAGAGAATCGGAGGGACGTAGGGTAAGCCTTCAACAACACAGACTGGCTTGGATAAGTCCGGTAACGAGTAGACCTGAGCAGTCAGTGCTGAACAGCCACGGGATCAGAAGTAAGACTTACATGTAAAGCGCCGTTTGCACTCAGGAGGAACATCATGATGTTCTCGCCAGGCTTTGCACCTTTGTCCGTCTGTACGTTGGCAAAGATCCCCGTCGTATCCTCGTACAGACAACCTGTGAGCCACTTGGTGGAAAGAAGAGTATCATCCTCTTTCTCGAGCTCCTCCAGCTCTAGTGTTTTGTCGATTTTCATCACACAAACACTCGAGTCATCTCTTACCAGCAACAAGAAAGGGTCGGCTATGCTGGCATTGACAACTCTAGGTTCTAAGCCCGTTTCCTCGTCGAGCATAGGCAAAATCTGGCTGAGACCAAAATCTGGGTGAGGGTTCAGTCAGCAGGGGATCAAAAGAATGAGTTTTTCTAGAACGTCTTACCGCCATCATAACAGCGAACCTCGGCCTTCAGGACTTGGACAATTCTCTTGGAGCCTCCCATAGTCCCGGCGTCTATCGTGATGCCAGCAGCGGGGTCGAACTCCGTGCCCGTGAGCGCCTCAAACCCAGCTCCCGTCAATGCATACACATCGGACGTCTCGTAGCCGTCGAGATCGACCTTGGATACGATCATGAACATATCGTAATGCGTTGAAGCGTCGAGTTCGGCCCCCATAGAGGTAGCGCCCTTATCGGCTTGAAGGGATTTTGGTACAGGTTTCTGGGCCGATATAGTCCAGAAACCCCTCGCCTCTAGAAACTCGAACTGGCCGATAACAGCTGGCTGGACTTCGCGATTGATGATGGCGATGGAGCCGGCATTGCCTTTTCCAACAGCACATACAAGGCTGAGGTCACTGGACACCTCCTTGTAATCTGTCTCGTCCTCTTCTTCGGTTGGTACGCGACCCGGGCCTAGGGTGAAGCTTTGGATCGGGGCCGTACTGACCAGTCTATCATGGACCTTGAAGACTAGCTCGCCACTCTTGCTGTTAGAATTGCTGGGTGCAGTGGACTCCTGCTTCGTAGGGGCCGTTTCATCGGCGTACAGATCGTCATCGTCATCCATATCCTCAAGATCCTCTTCATCCATATCCAAGTCCAATGAAGCATCATGAAGGCGACCTTTCCGTTTCGTACTTTGAGCTTGCTTTCGTGTCCAACCGATAACAAGCGAGTCGCCATCTTCGCTACCAGCGAAGAGTGACGCCTTACCTAATTTTGCCAAGGTCGATGCTGATCCGAGGACGATAGAGCCTCCCGCCTCGGCGGCAACAGGGCGGACGCTCAGTCCAGCCACCGTACGTCCATCGATGCGGAAGTTCACATGGCAAAGGCGGCCATCGTTCAAGACCATCAGCAGTTCTCCATTCTCTGCCGAAAGCACTTCGATCTCGCAGCCTTCCAGTCTCAGGTCTAGCTCAGACTGGTCCACAAGCCCGAAGGAAGTGGTCTGCCTGGCAAACGGGTTTACACCGACGCCGTGAGACTTTCCAGATTGATCAATGTGGATCAGCTCATTCGTACCAACCAACAAAGCGCCGCCGACAGGCGCGGGCATGGCCATGACGCGGAAGAGGTCCTGAGGGAGTCCGTTGACTGAAAGGATGGTGGTCGAGGCCTTCTGCTTGAGGTCCAGGGTGAAGACCATGTAGGACAGGTGATCCTTGCGGCCAAGAGGCGCAGAAGGGGCCATGGTGGAGGAGAGGATACCGAACGTGGGCTCTCTGTACTCGTGGAGGAAGGCGAGGTGCACAGGATGGATCAGACTAGGATCAAGATTGGATAGGCGCAGGACAAATGAGGATGAATTGGGTGTCTCTTCATTGCTGCTAGTTCCATTTACAAGCGTCGTCGCCAGCTCTTTGGCCGGCCGGGGCCCATCCAATTCTTCATCCCAGTCATCCATCTCTATGTCTTCTTCCTCGGCCTGACTGAACTGCAAGATGGCGAGGTTGCGCGCACCGAATTTCAGGGCAGCGCACCTGCTGCCAGGGTCGGCTGCCAGGAAGTTGATGTAGTCGCCCAACGGGGCGGCCCAGGGGACTTTCTGTAGCTCGTCCTGCTCGTAGTAGTGGACGGATGTGTTGCAGACGGCGTGTTTCTCGGGATCCCACTCGACTGTGCTCAGCTTGGCGTCTCGGAAGGCCACCAGCAGAGCCTCGCCGCCGGACCGCGACGACTGGAGCTTGACGCGGGCGAGGCCGGTCACTGTGCCAGACAGGGGGTATTCGGCCTCGAGGACGAGCTTCGTATAGTTTGAGCGATCGGAGCGCACCAGCATGGAATCGGCGCCGAGGAACGAAGTCTCGAGGCCATCGTCGTCGTTGATCCGGCTGTCATAGTGGCCAGGCGACTTGGTAGACTGCGCGTAGGCGGCATTGTGGGCGTGGTCGAGCTCGGCGGAAACAGACTTGGTGGTGAAGACCTGGAGGAGGGAGCCTCTGGCGATGACCAGGTTGTTGCTTTGCGCCGAGAGGAATGGCAGCACAATGGAGTGCGTGACAGCCGTGGGAGGCGTCAACTCCGTGTAGCACTGCATGGCGATACACCTTGCACCATTTCAAGGAAACGGCTGTTCCAAAGTGCAGTGTCGAGAGCTGGTAAAGCTCGTGGGGGGGATCACGTCGTTTGGCATGTAAATTGGGTTCAAGCAGTCGAGTGGAAGCTCTGGGACGTGACTGGCCGTGAAGCTACCCTACGCGATTGGGGAACATAGTCGCTTAGGTGCATAAGAGAACTCGAGTGATATGCACGCCCAGCGTCGTCGGGCGGTCCTGCAATACCGGATAGAGCGGGGCACGGGCACTCACTTCACTTCCATGTAAGGTGGCTAACCCATCTACATGCAATAGGAATAGGAATAGGAATAGGACATACCAAGACGTCAACACCGTCACAAAGCAATACGATTTACGGTCCTCTCGCTCTCTCCAGGAGCAGTGTTCCCTTCCAATGAGGCACGTTCCTCGCGTGACTACTCTGCTCGTCGTAAGGGAACGGACATGAACGACCTCCGCCAATGAAGAAGTCCAGAGTCGAGTCTAGCACGACCAGAGTGCCTGGTAGATATCCCGCCACAGACTGAAACTCGGCTTCCACGCGATGCCGCAACCACGTGGCTTCCGCTTCTTCGACCTGCCCGCGGAGCTGCGGGCAGATATCCTGGAGCAGCTCGTGCTGGTGCCCCAGGATGTCCCCGTACACGCCCGGGCCGAGACGAGCACCGAGAGCCCGCCGGCCGCGCTGCTGGATCTGTTCCTGGCCTGCACGCAGATGTACCAGGAGGCGTCGGCCATCTTCTACGCGCGGAACCGCTTCCTGGTCAACCTGGGCTCGAGGCGGATGTTCAGCGACATCACGGCCGAGGGCCAGCTCTTCAGCCCCGAGGGCCTGGACGCCCGCCGCCGCGTCCGCGCCCTGCGGCTGCGGCTGCGCCGTCTCAGCGGCGACTTTGAGAAGGTGATCGCGCCCATCGTGAGCGACATGATCCTCTGCGGCAGCCTGCGCAGCCTCGAAATAGGCATTCTGACGCAGTCTTCCGGGCTGAAGGCGAACACGAGCTGCCGCTCCAGCTACGGTAGAGGCCTGGAGGCCGATAGCCTGGTCACAACTTCCCCCTTCCAGACCCTGCTCCGGCTTCTTGCGGACCCGGATCTGGAAGAAGCCGGGCTATGGGTGGCCCAGATTCACTGGTCTGTGTGGTGTCCTTTCCACGAGACGTACGATGGCAATCACAGTTGTCTTGCAAGTTTGCGTCGAGAAGGGATCGAGCAGGTCAGCGTAGACTGGGAAAAGATAGTTCGAGAGCTCGGCGATGTCAATATCATTGCGCGGAAGCGTTGACAGGCACAGCATCTGCTGGGACTTTGACACCTTGCAGGTATGACTTTGACCACGATGAACCACGCATGTCAACTCCGTAATTGTCACATACACATGTATAATCATAAGCAGGATACCAATACACTGCTCCACCACTCAAGGGGGAAATTCTTTCGTGCGAGGTCCAGTAACACTTCATTTTCTTGTGGTATCCTAATTCAACGCTGTACAGTGAAATATGGGAGAGTGCAGCAATCCCGCCTATCCCAGTCGTGGACCTTCCTCTTTTCGCCTCCCTGATTTGTCGCCCCTTTCTCCAGACAAGTCAGTCTTTGAAAATGTGGGATATGCCAACAAGCCGCCGCTTCTTTCTCCCCCAATCCTATCAATCGTGAAAGTGCGGTTCGGTGCTTGCGCAGCTGCATTGATCACCCTACCCGATACCAAAGCCTGCTAACAGTCCTGGTTTGTTGTAATTGAGTAGCATGCAGCACAGAGCGAAGCAAAGAAAGAATATAACAAAAGAAACCAAAGTACTTGTGTCGCCCCCTAGGGTCATCTTCTAAGAAAACAGGCTCGCCGTCCAACTGGAGGCCTGATCTGGTCGTCCTGTAACCCGCATCTGGGCTAGCACCGCTGAGCGGTCAGCTCTGATCCTGCGTGGTTTCCTGTCACCCGCTTTCAGTCTTTGAAGACGTATGCCAGTACCTCGTGCAAAGGCTGACGCCCTCCCTGCAGGAAGTTGCAGTGGCTGGTCGGTGACATTTTGCCAGGAGACCGGGGGAGGAATGGTCAAAAAGGGGTGTGCAAACCCCTCGTGTGACGCTCATTATATATGATTAAACTATACATGTATAACAGAGCGAATCTCACTGCCGAAACGCCTTCGCTATGATGGCTGATATCTGATCCGTAATGGCTCTGCATGAAAGAAGACATCTCAAAGCGTGACGTCGAGAACCAAACTGACGTCACGAACGCTGGAGCCGGCCAAATCCTCGAGGACGGGAATGAGGTCCAGTAGTTCGTTGTCGTGTGCGTCCGAAAACCAACTGCTGATGGGCACGGCATGCTGGGGGTGGAATATGTACGAGGTGGGCGAGTTGTCAATGATGATGGTGTCTTTCAGGTCTCGACCGACTTGAGACAGGTCCTTGACGTAGTTGCCCTGGTGGTTGTAACAACTCTCCCGGAACAGTCGATGGTGTACCACTTTGTGGATATCCAACTGATCAAGTAAGGGATCACCGTACTGAGACTTGTTAGTCAAACTGTAAAGCTGGGTCACGGCCTTGGCGGGCTTCTTACCTTAGAGACAGAGGCCGTGAAGACGACCACTTCATAGAGCTCTCCCACTCGCTTCATAAACTGGTCAACGCCTGGTCGTTTTATTACATAGACGTTGTGGTAATTCCCTTCAATTTCGACTGGTATCGTGAAGTCGGCTTGGTGCAAGATCTGGAATGGTGAGCTTATGCCCCGTGCGGATAGCAACTCAGAGACTTACCTTGAACGAGGAGTGAACCAGCGTTTCATCCAAGTCAAGCACTAGACACTTCCTCCCCTTCAAGTGAGGCTCCACGGGCGGAAGCAGCCACTTCTGTTCGGGGACCTGCTCAGCTACCGCCGTGGCCTTGTCCTCTGCAGCAATAGGCGCATTCGCAGCTGGTACAGGGCCGGGCGGTGGAGGCGGCACCTGCTTTTGGTACTGTTCGTCACCACCTACGGCGGTCTGCTGGGTTCGCTCCGCAGTGGCATCCGCATCGACCATGTCTACATCGCCATCGGTATCCTTCGGAGGAGCTGGAGCCTCAGGCATGTCAACATCCTCATGGTTTTCAGCCAGCGGAGGATTCACCGTGATGCTAGGCCCCGAGGCGCCGACCAAAGTCGTTTGCTTTGACTCGCTGTCACGATCGCCAATAGTTGACTGATCCTGCGCAGTGGAGCCGGAGACCCGTTTTGAAGACTTCGCGGCGTCCTGGGCGGCGTCGCCTGCCACTACAGATTCCTTCTCCTTCTCAGAGACTTGAGTTTTGCTGCCGTTGGTCTGATCGGAGGGTGTCGCAGTCCGGCGGCTGGAAGTCAACTGTCGCTGAGGGATCTTGTCAAGCTTGTGAGATGGCAGCGGTTCTTCGCCGCCCTCCAATGCATTGGCGTTGTCGGGCACACCGCAGCACCCAAGCAGCGAGAGCAAACCGCCCTTCTTTCGTCGCGGAGCGCCTCCCGCAGGAGAGTTTGGCTGCGAGGTACCTGGCGTGCTCGTGGGTCCTGTAACAGCTCCGGAGTGGTGGCTAGATGCACTCCCGTTCCTGCGACGTCCCAACATGCTGCCTTTTGAATCTTTAGAATTACCTCCGATGCTCTCTCTCGATTCCCTTGCTGTGGCCCCGCTCAACCCTGTTGTTGTCGGCGACGGCTGGATATTCTGAGATGAGGATCTCGACGGTACATGAAGCAGTCCCCGGCCTTTCTGTGTCGAGGGTGCTTCCGCTGGTGCGGAAATTTCCTGTTCGTGCGTCGTGTTTGACTCTCTCTGGATGTTCTCTTCGATGTCTCTTGACATTGCTCGGGATGGTGATTCAGATTCGTGGTTCTTGGACGCTGGATGCCAGTAACAACACTGCAGACGTTGAATTAGCCACTCATTTCTACGGAATGTATCAAGTCAAGAAAATTGGGCTTGCGCGCTCAAGGCGAGCCTTTGATGTTTTAAGGGACCCTCGGATTGAATGTGATGAAGCGAAGCATCCAAGGCGTCGCAGGGTAAGCGCGCAGCTCATCCAGGCGGAAAGCCTTCGGCCATCCAGGTGAACCGTGACAATGCTGGCACACGCGGAGGGAAAATGGCCGCGAATGTCTGCTCCTCTAAATGGTGACTTGGGGCGAGATCTCGACTGCTACTCACCTTGGTTGCACAGTACTGGTCAGCCTTCAGTGGCAGCCCAACCCCCTGAGGCTACAATTGGCGGCCGTCAAGGGCCGTGTTATCGGCGCTGTCGGCAGTGGAATGCAGAAAACGGGATATCGCTGAAATCTAAGACAGAGTTTGCGAAAGAAGCTGGCGGGCGTCGTCGTCGGACAGGCTGCGCGAGACTCGCGGTGGTGTGTCGCGCTGAGTGTGTGTGTGTGTGTGTATGTGTGAAGGTGGTAGGAGGTATCACCGTATCCGGGAGCAGAAGTGGAGATCAGGGAACTGGAGCGCTTCGATGCAATGATGATCGGGGGTCGTGGAATGGACCAGTGATGTGGTACGGAGCAAAGGACTCGACAAGGCCCGGTGGGGACCGCGCTCCCGACAGAAATGAAGTGGAATCAGAAGAGAAAGGGCGAGCGTGCTTATGCCGCCTGCAATCAAGTGCAACGAAGAAGAGAAGTCGAAAGGTGAGATGCGGTAGCCAGAGAGCAGCTTCGGATGAACTGCGCTGCGCTACCTTATGGAGCAGAGGCTGAACTTGAGCAGAGTCGGGGAGCGCAAGCGAGATGATTTCCCATCAGAAACTGCCCAAAGCACGGGACACACAGGGCGGACAGGGGAATCCTTCAGCGAGCGCTCTGGAGTCTCTGGGTCTGCAGCCAGACGGAAGTTGGAACGGGGGTTCAACAGCGCAACCTGGACGGGCGACGGGGGGTGGACCAGAGTCGCGGTGCTAGCGACGGCCGGGATAGGGACTGCGCGCGACGTGAGCCTGTGAGCATCTAATATTATCTAGTCGTGCCTGTACCTACATAGCTAGTCAGTGCCTAGGTAATTAGGTCGCTATCCTCCTTCTGCTGGAGATGAGCGAGTGAATGGACGCGCGAACGAACAGCTCCTGGGCCCTCACGGCGGGTCGCATCCGAAGAAGGGGAATCCTCGAGGTCACCACTTCCAGCCTGGCCTGCTCCGGCTTGCCCACTTTTGGGCCAATGGGCCGAGCTGATCTGGCACCAGATACCTCTGGCGAATAGATTCTGCTAGTGGCCCCAGCCCGGCTCCCGCGTGTTCTCTAACAGATCCCATCCCGCTCATGTCGCGACCCATAAGCCAGTCCCACCATCCACTTCGAGGTGCCCCTGGTCTTGCTGGCCCGCTCTGGATGGATCCGCTCATTTGACCTGTCCAAGGGTCACTTGTGTTGTGAGTTGCAGTTGACCTGGTTGTCTTGATCATTATTATCGTCGTCATCATCATCATCGTCAATGACAGTCGACTTGCTTGTTGCAAGAGATGACTTCCCCCAATCAAATGGACTGTAACTTGGGAGAGGGTTCAGAACTTCAGCCATGAGCGCCAGCCCAGCTTCTAGCGAGGAGATATAGTCGTTACGACACGTCCATGTCTGACAGCCCGGGGGACAGGACAGTACTTGGCCGCAGATACCTCCAGCTTATTACGCCTCGCACGCTTGTACGCTAAAGATTTGGACCCGGCGCTGGCTCACCCATGGGAGTCTATTGAAGCCTCAAATCATTAGTACATGGTACATGGCGGCTGATCGTTGATTCATTCATCTCAACGGCTTTCATTGACAATTGTGAACTTGGTGTATCTCGGCCACCTGCAACCACGAAGACCAGGCCACGAGTCCCTTTCGTTTCCGTGCCTCTTCCACGCTTCCACGGGAGCCACTTCTGGTGGCTTGATGCGGGCTACCATGCAGTAGCGAGTCTGGCCTCCGTACTGGTTGCACACTATGAAAGGGCGGCATACTGTTCCTACGCGAGTTCGAGGAGCCTGGCTGCAGCAACCAGAAGACTCTACAGTCGGGGAGCAAGCCCCCAGCGCTTACAAGTGCCCGAGCATGATGGCAGACTTGAGCAGACAACTGGTGAAACATTGTGAAAGGTCAACAAGTCCCGGAGGTATCCCACTCTATTCCATCAAGTCGAGTGCAGCTTTCGCAGCTTGTAGTCTTGATTGGCTGCGTTGGCGCCCATGGGAAAGGTGACCAGCCCACGCATGGGGCAGAACACCGTCCCTTTGAGGCTCCGAACCACTGGGAGAGGCTTCCGGCTGGACGAGTGCACCCCCCTCGAATCAGGGTTCCGTCCTGCTCAGCGTCTTGCTGCTTTTGCCAGGCCTCGGGCCCAATTTGGTACGAACTGAGGCACGAATCTGCAGCGGCCGGCCACCATCATCAGCGCTTCTGACTGTGTTGGAACTCGGAGGCCGCAGGTGGCACAATCAGCGACAGCTTGCAGGTTAAGAATAGAAACGTGGGGAAGCAACTTTGGGCTCTGCTCTACAGAGCTTGGACATTGAGCATGGAATGTAACTTACGTGGGCACTGTACTGTGTACCGCGAGCACCGGTTCGCATTATATCTGCCGTGGTGTATTAGCCAAATTGCGACAAGTTGATCGCTGGCATGCAAGGTCGTCCCCGTGAAAAGCCAGCAGCTCTCTGCCGCTGTGATCCAGTGTGTACCGTACGTGTAGGACCACCCCATTACTGTAAGGTTGCTGGTGATTAGATAGACAGTGCCAGCACGTTGTTCATCACCACTGTCACGCCCCGGCGACGAAGAAGCCCCGAGCCCAGAACATCTCACAGGGTCACAGTGGAGTTGACATGGCACGCTGTAAAGCCAATTTCCCTCGATGCATCGAGGTCTTGGCCGGCCTAATTCGCGCCGGGACCACCAGAGCGTTCAGGGGGCCCTCAATGGGAGAACATTGGCAGATTGGGGCCCCTGGACGAAGAGAGCCAGCACCCATGCCCCGTCCCCATGCGGCCCATGGCATCTCTGGTCGGTGGTTTGTCTGTCTCCCGTTCCGCGCTGCTCCCCATCTACCTACGCTGGTCAGAGCTCCCAGATGTGGCGGTGGTAAAATCCGGGGAAGCCCAAGCCCCAGGCCCAGCTGATGGGGACCAGCGCCATTTGGGTTTGGTAGGCCCGGAGGCCGTGGCACCAACCTCGGGTCTTGGGGGTGAGGTGCCCCATCACATGCCTGCGGGCTTGCTATGACGCTGGCAGCAACGCCGAACTGTCGGACAATCCGGCCAATCCTGCCGCGCATTCTACCACAAGCCCACGTGGATTGAACGTGAAGTGTCTCTGAAGCAAAGCCGTCGCGCCATTCGGGGCGACTCTTGTCTCTCATCTCGTGCTTGATCGGCCCAGACACATATTCAACTTACGCACCACCGGACAGTGTGCAGCACCTTTCAGCGTGACGAGTGCAATGCCATGCCTGTAGCTCCTGGATAAGTCCAGCGTCGCCTGCATCCCCGCGATACGATGGCCGCACAGTCAACGTTGCGCCATTCGGCCTCCCAGGACGTGCTGGTCGCCTTGATCGACAAGTACACGAAGCTGATCAAGGACCGACTCCAGAAGACGTCCCGCCAGACCAGAATCCTCGCGACCCTCGCCCTCGCCGCGACCATCATCCTCGGAGCCGAGGGCAGCAGGAGGTGGTGGAAGAGGCGCCACGCCGAGAAAGAGCAAGGACGAAAGCTGGTGCGCACGAATTCCTGGCTCTTCAACAAGGATGGGTCGAGGACGATATACGTCCCCTACAAGGACAGCACCGCCAAGGTCGTCATCAACCCCATCAGACCTCTGACCTTTGAGGCGCATCGTCGGCTCTTTCTCAACCCTCCCAAGGTCTCAGGTCTCGGAGATGGCACCGTCCCATCTGCCCAGACCAAGCCGGGGCTGAATCTCGCCTTCTTGCATCAGTTCCTCAGCCTGATGAGCATCATGATTCCGCGATGGACCAGCAAGGAAGCCGGACTGCTGGTTAGCCACGGCGTGTTCCTCATGCTTCGCACATATCTCTCGCTTGTGGTTGCGCGCTTGGACGGTGAGATCGTCCGCGATCTTGTCGCTGGCAATGGCAAAGCCTTCCTCTGGGGCATCGTCAAGGTATGTCCTGGTCTGAAGCCCGCGTATGCATTCTTACTGACTCTTTTATCTAGTGGTGCGGCCTCGGCGGGTTTGCTTCATACACCAACTCTATGATCAAGTTCCTAGAATCAAAGGTGTCTATTGCATTCCGGACCCGACTGACGCGATATATTCATGACCTCTATTTGAATGAGAACCTGAACTACTACAAACTGACCAACCTGGATGGTGGCGTTGGTCAAGGCGCGGACCAGTTTATAACCCAAGACCTCACCTTGTTCTGCGCTTCGGCTGCCAACCTGTACTCATCCTTGGGAAAGCCGTTTGTTGATATTTGCGTTTTCAACTACCAGCTCTACCAATCGCTCGGCCCGCTGGCCATGACCGGTCTGCTGAGCAACTACTTTCTCACCGCGAGCATACTACGTCAGCTTTCACCGCCGTTCGGCAAACTCAAGGCTGTCGAAGGGCGCAAAGAAGGAGACTTCCGTGCGTTGCATGCTCGCTTGATCGCAAACGCCGAGGAAGTCGCGTTCTATGGTGGCGCCGATATGGAAAAGACATTCTTGAATAGGGAGTTCAAGTCGCTGAAGAGTTGGATGGAGAGCATTTACATGCTCAAGATCCGCTATAATATCCTTGAAGACTTCATCCTCAAGTACAGCTGGAGTGCCTACGGCTATCTTCTTTCCTCTCTCCCAGTCTTTCTCCCTGCTTGGGGTGGTCTGGGAGGTGCTATGGAGATGGCTGCCAATGGAGAGAAGGGTGGCCGGGAACGTGGGCGCATGAAGGAGTTCATCACCAACAAGCGCCTCATGCTATCGCTAGCCGATGCAGGAGGTCGAATGATGTATTCGATCAAGGACCTCTCAGAGTTGGCTGGCTACACCAGCCGTGTCTACACTCTGATCTCAACCCTACACCGCGTTCATGCTAACGCGTATGCTTCTCGCCCAAGCGGAAATGAGCTCTACTCTCTCTCTGATGTACAGGGAACTATCCAGAAAGGCTTTGACGGAATCCGATTGGAAAACGTGCCTATCGTCGCGCCTGGACTTTGGCCACAGGGGGGTGAGGAGCTTCTCGAGTCGCTCAGTATGATCGTTCGCAGAGGCGAGCACTTGCTGATCTCCGGCCCAAATGGCGTAGGGAAGAGTGCAATTTCAAGGGTTCTGGCAGGCTTGTGGCCAGTCTATCGAGGACTCGTGAGCAAACCGAAGGCTGTCGGTGAAGACGGGATCATGTTCCTCCCACAGCGCCCATACCTCAGCATCGGTACACTGCGAGACCAAGTCATCTATCCCGACGGGGAGCTTGACATGCGTATCAAGCGGAAGACCGAGCATGACCTTAAAGCCGTTCTTGACGCCGCTCGCCTCGGGTACCTGCCTGATCGCGAGGGCGGATGGGACACGCGCAAGGAGTGGAAGGATGTCCTCAGCGGCGGCGAGAAACAGAGAGTCGGGTTTGCCCGTCTATTGTACCACGAGCCTCAATATGCCATCATCGATGAGGGCACAAGCGCAGTGTCAAGTGATGTTGAAGGTCTGTTGTACGAAACGTGCAAGGAAAGGGGTATCAGTAAGTTTATTCATCCAACATTGACACGAACATGTTCTGACGTCTTGCAGCTTTGATTACCATATCTACACGAGCATCGCTGAAGAAATACCACACTTTCAACCTCGTTCTAGGTCTCGGCGAAAGAGGAGACGAGTGGGAGTTTGAACGTATTGGTACAGAACGTGAGAAGATGCAGGTAGAGCGGGAGCTCCAGGATCTGCGCGAGCGGCTATCCCAGGTAGAGAAGTGGAAGCAGCGACGAGAAGAGATCGAATCAGAGCTGGCACAGGTTTGGACCGAGGGTGGTGAATCCTTGAGTCCTCCGCCCTATGTCGAGCAGGACCTGCAACAAGAACCCGAACAGGAGTCGCTACAAGGCGCCGATGAAGAGTCACAACAAGACGAATGGCAGGATACCACCGAATCGGCGGAATTCGTAGAGGCTGAGAGCCGGTAGTTATTTACCAGCACAAGCTATTTAGATCATGGAGCCTGTACTCATACCATTGCAAATCGCATATCCTGGACTGTCTGAATACCATACATGTGATTTGCACATTATCTGCCGGTTTAGATACTCCACTACTATGGTATGTCCACTTGCCCGCAGAGTCATATCCGATACTTTTGGGAGGTTAAGGCGTTAATTAAGTCGCACCCCGGTCTAGCGCAGCTACTTAGATCCGGCATTGGCGCGCTCCGCTGCTTTTCTAATGTCTCTCTGGCCTATAGCGTTCTTGTACCACACACCATAGTGGCATGCTATCGACGCCACGCGGGCGCCCGGCCCTGATAATTCCATCTGCTAGCTCAGAGTGGGCTAGGTGGGTGTTTTCTTAGTATGATCGCCAGATCAATTGTGCTAATTCGGTGGTCTTGGACGAGGCTCTAGCGACCTTCGCCAGGTCGTCGGGAGAGCATGTGTCTCTTTGCTTTCGTCATGAATTAGGCTGGGAAGCTAACAGTAGGGGATGCACCTCACCCGGCTGGGATGGATGTCCCCGACTTTTATGATTTTGTGTCTCAAGTCCTCATGCCCTTCTAGACATTGTTTATATTAGATATACAAGAACTCTCCGTCACGTCGCGTTCATCACGCGACACCCAGATTTAAGAGGCGCCGCCGCCCCTGAACCATATCGATGGCCGCGTCCGGGCTGTAACGGTGCCGTGTCATGCAGTCGGAAGCGAAGTACGGCCCTAGCGAAGAGTTACGAGTCGTGCCCGAAGTCTTTGCGCTCGGCAGCGCACTGAGCAAAGTGCGAGCATCTCGGGAGCTTATAGACCTCGGACGACACTGACGCAGATTTTGCGGAGAGCAGAAGGCCCAGGCGCGCTCGTCAAGTGATATTCAAGTCTGCATTCATCCCTCCCTCAGGGGGATTCCCGTCCGCCATGTCTCTAGCAACCAAAAGATCAACCAGGAGTATGAACAGTCAATGGCAAATGCCGGTCATTGAGGAGGATGACAACGACACCCCGGGGGCGCCGCCTCTGCCAGAGAAATCCCCAAGGCGATCGCAGCTGGTTGCTGAACAGTTCATGCAGCCGTTCCCTCGGGAACCACCTCCGGCGTATAGCATCAACACGCCTCCAGCCACGGCTAGCACCTCGAGCCCGCAAGGCAAAGAAGGTCTGCACGACAAACCTGTGAAGGATAAGAAGCCGGCTTGGCTCGCGAAGCGAGGTGGCTGGTGGCGCGTTGCTGCCGTGGCAATCGTCATTATCGCATGCATTCTGGCATTGGCGTTGGGTCTTGCGTTGGGTCTACGAAATAGGAGGTAAGTCTTTGGCCGCGGGCTGCGTTCTTGGACGAAAGGGCGGTTCCTAACACCTTAACCAGTACACCGACGACTACGGAGAGCAGTGAATCGTTTCCTGTGGTGTTCCCAGCTGGCTCATATGCCTTCAACACAGCTCTTGCCAACATCAGCACGGCATGCACATCGAACGCGAACACATTTCGCTGCTATCCGTACACGACCTACAGCGCCTCAAAAACGGCATCGTCCGCCACGTTCTACTGGACTATCACACAGGTCGGCGAGGCCGCCTACATGATCTCTGCCGCGCGGAACCCATTCGTCCCGCAGTTCACGAACATCTCAGTCGACCTCCTCGACCGCGGCCTGGCGACGGAGCGCATGACCTTCAGCTTCCCACTAGATCTCGCCATCGTCCCCGCCGTTGCCCTGGACGCCTCGAACACGGCCGCAACGTGCTACTTCAACGGCACCACCATGGGCGCCACGATCTGGACGAAGAAGGCGGCCGAGTACCCGAGCAGCGCAAATGGGTCCTCGGCTACCGCGCAGACATCAACCTCCTTCGGCAACTGGCCGTACGCTGTAGAGGTCTCGCAAGTTGCCAACTCTGGCGATGGCGTGCCGGATTGCAGAGATTCCAAGGGACAGCCGCTTGGCGACTTTGATTTATCGGGGGCGGCGCAGGGAAACTGCTCCTGCATGTATAGTAATTTCGGATTGGACTCGTAACTGATCAGCGTTTTTCATTTGTCACGGGCGTGCATTCATGTACTGATAGAGGGCAACGATCGAGCATGTGGTGTTACGGAAAGCGGGAGAATAATGGTTACTGGGCATCCGGCGCGGTTGACTGAGGCGTTGTGGCATGAACTTATGGCTGGGGGTATGATGATCCTTTCACAGCTACTTGTCGGCGTTTGTTCTAAACGCGTAAAGATATGAATGAACTCCTAATCAATTGGCTTCGCTAAGCATTGCGCACACCTGAGCTGGAACGAAATTGATGTACAACACTATTGGTTCGGTAACTTGGGTCTAATTTTATACAGGAAGACGTTTGGTCAAATTGCATCTCGTCGATAATGTGCGTGTCCATGGCGTTGGGACGAACCTTCCCCAGGCCTTGCTATTACCACTTAGTATAGCCCTATAGGGTTCACATCTATGATTCATGCAAGATCGGACTGGCGGAGTGTTTCATGCGAGCGAGGCGGTTCTGGCTGGACGTTCCACACTTTACCGATGGCCCAAGGTTCGCATACTCCCACTCAGGATCCAGAAGCTTATCTACGACCCTGCAAACATGCAACACGGTGATAAGGGTGACATCAGACGGAATCCTGTAACCGAACCAGTCAGTCTTTAATTTCTACTATTTGGAGTGGATGGCAGTCAATTATCATTACACTGTCAAGTCATGTACGTAATATAATGAAATGTTGGGGTCGTATCAGTTGTCTGCAGCAACCTGCATATGTGCCTGGGATGCATCAATAGGTAGCAGCACATCGTGTGAGCCCTGAGCCCCACCATCGAAGGTGGTGTCGATAAGCGACAAAGTGCCAGGTACACGTCGAGAAGCAGCAAACGTGAAGCAAGCAGTTACAGAAACCCAAATCCAGCATGGTGGAATGAACAGTGTAAACAGCAAGGCGACATGGCTTGGGAGAAGTGCCTAGACGCCAAGTCTGGTAGACGAAGACTGCATGTGAGCACATCCAGTCAAGCTTCTTGGGCTCTTGTGGCCGTTGAGCCAGTGCAGACATGGTATGTTAAGGGACATAGCGTACTTGATGTCTCAATACTGTCCAGAATGCACAGAGTGGATTGACGAATCATGTGCTGTTTTGATGAACATGCGTATCAGTGCTTGTGCGTTGATATAAGATAGGAGAGCATCCCACGTCGGGGACGCCCTGAGCAGTACCCACGAAACCATTCTGTCCTCCGTCCCTCAACCTCAAATCACTATACTCGGAGATTATAGAATCGTTTCGTCTTTGTACTTGTAGCAGCAAGCTCTCTTCAACGGGCTCTCTCCTCCCTCCGATCTAGGTGGGTCTTCCCGGCGGACTGGCCCGAAAACGCGGGACGGCGTGACTGGGCTTTGGACTCGGCCTTTAGCGGCACTTCTCGGGGTCCTCCCTGCAAAATGAGCAACATTGGGAACGGGGCAGCTCACGTCTCTCCGGCGGGGGAAAAAAAGCCGGAACTCGGAGGGCTCGAGGATGAGACCATTGCAGCAGTGGAGGGTGGCGTAGTAATCAACGCCGCTGGGTATCGGGACCAACTAAAACGCCAGTACAACCTATGGGCGCTCGCGGGCATCGCGCTCACCGTCGACAACGCATGGGCGGCTTTGGGGTCCTCGATATCTGTCTCGATAGGTAAGCAAATCCCAAGATAAATAGCCAAAGCCGTGATTTCATGTCTTTGCAAGGGCAATGCTAATATGCTTTTGCATGCAGCGAACGGCGGTCCTACTGGTCTTATCTATGGGCTTATAGTCGCTGTGTTCTATTATTCCTTCATTGGCTTGAGTTTAGCTGAGGTGAGTTGCCCGGTCCCAAGAACCAGAAAGGAGAATTGGGAGGCACCTTTTCGTCAGGAAACAATTAACGGATGTGGCAGCTTGCTTCTTCTGTGCCAACTGCTGGAGGTGTTTACCACTGGGCGACGATCGCCGCAGGACCGAATTGGGGCCGCATGGTCGGTTTCTTCGCAGGATGGATCAACTTTTACGGATGGATGTTTGATCTGGCGGCTTTGGTGCAGATTTCGTCCAACATCTTGGTTCAAATGTACGCGACATACCATGCAGACTATGTTGGCGAAGCCTGGCATGTTTACGTCACGTACATTCTCGTTCTGTGGATTTCAACCGGGGTCGTGATTTTCGCCAACAAGGTGGTGCCGTATACGCAACATGCTGGCATGTTTTTCGTGATCATTGGCGGGATCATTACGATCATCGTGATAGCTGCCATGCCGAAGCAGCATTCGTCCAACAGCTTTGTCTGGAATTCGTTTGACGAGAATAACGTCACCGGCTGGGCGGGCGGCGTTGCATTTTTGACCGGCGTACTGAATGGCGCTTTCACCGTCGGAACCCCTGATGCCATTACCCACCTGGCCGAAGAGCTTCCCCAGCCGAAGAAGGACCTCCCGAAAGCCATCGGGCTGCAAATCGGCCTCGGTGGCCTGTATGCATTCATCTTCGCCATCGCCATCGGGTACGCCATCACCGACATAGAGGCGTTGTTAGGCAGCAGCAACAACTATCCGCTAGCAACCATATACGCGCAAGCGACGGGAAGCGACGGCGCGACCTTTGGCTTGTTGTTCATACTGTTGCTCAGCACTTTCTGTTGCTGCATCGGGACTGTGCTGACCAATTCCCGGATCTACTGGGCGTTGGCTCGGGACAATGCTGTCCCTTTCTCCCCTCTGTTTGGCAAAGTCAACGAGGGTCTGAGCTGCCCCGTTTACTCGACATTGTTCGTCTCCGTGGTGGCCACTGGACTCGGTGCCATTCCATTGGGAAGCTCAACTGCCTTCATCAATCTGACGGGGTCTTTCATTGTGCTGACCACAGTGTCATATGCTATCCCCTTCGTGGCCAATATGGTGACGGGGAGGAGGTATTTCCCCGCGGGCCCATTCCACCTGGGCAAGCTTGGTTTTGTCGTCAACGGACTTGCGGTCTTGTTCATTATTTTCTTCGATATATTCTACTGCTTTCGTGAGTTTCCACACGTGAAGTCCCGTGCGTTGAGTCAGCTAATTAGTGTCTACAGCGTACGCGTACCCGACGGACGTGGAAACCATGAACTACAACTCTGTGATTTTGGTTGGAGTGGTTGCTTTGTCGGCCATCTGGTGGCTGCTGCACGCAATCAGGAATTACCCCGGACCAAAGGTGATGCATCTCTATATCCACGATGACTCCGCGCCATTGAATCAGACGGGATTACTGGAGAGTACCAAACCGAAAGAGGGTGTGATGTAGGGGAAACTGATCTGAAACGTCGGCGTATGTCCTCGATTAAAAGAAAGGAATTGAGGCATCGCGTGGTGTTGAGATGTTGGGTCATTAGTGTACATATAGTCTATACCTACCTAGTTAATCCTATTACGTAAACGAGAACGCAGCATGACACCAGACTCATAACCTGTTGGAGGTCGGTTCTAGCTTTATTCGATTACCAAGTGAGCGGTTCTTTACTTAATCAATCGGGCTACCTTCCATCTGAATGCAGAAGCGAGTCTAGCCTCCCATGCCCTCGGGGCATTTTGCTGTTTGAGTACTGTAACAAAGCTAAGTGGCTACGGTGTATAGCTGGTGCAGAGTGGATTGGTGTATACAAATAGGTCCCTCGCAAGTGCAACAGGCCGGCTACTTTACTTCTTAGTAGCCAGCCTCTATTCCATGTCACTGATGGGATTTCCCAAGTGAGGCATGCAACCCGGGTGCCGGCACATGTGGTCTCTCACTATGTTCCAAGTTCTACGGCACATGGCACCGAGCCACCCACTTTTTCCCAGGCCACCACCGTCTCACTAACCAGCAGATGTAAGATGGTGGGGATGCCGTAAAGCCGGTTACTGAAAGCAGTTGGTTGCGTCATAACCGCAGCGGCTCAGCCCTCGACAAGACGCCCACGCCTGGTGCTGCTGCCGCCGCCGCTGCTGCGTGTAACTCACTAAGCCCCCAAGCTTGATCCTAGACCAGCTGCGCAGCATGTGGTTGCCAGAAATAATACGTGTGGCTGTACGGGATACGCGTTCGGCATTGCCAAGCCGTATCCTCGATTTCCTCATGTCTTCAACATTTCCGGCCTTTCAGATACCGTAAGGACAGTTGTATATCTTATTGCCCTGGAGCAGTCCTCTCTAATTCCTCTGCATTCATTCGACGGATGCCACCATGGTTGAAACCTCCGCAACAGTGGCGGCCGGAGAGGTGACTGCAGATGCATCAACGCCGACGCTATCCACGGCCGCTGAGGCCCCGCGCGCGCAACCGCCGTCAGGGCCCTTCCCCTTCCCTATAACCCCACCACAGTCGCCAAGGCCCGAGAGCGACTCCAAGGTCTCGGTTGATACCGCAGCTTCTCGACGTTCCCCTCGTTCACATCAACAGTACTTGGATTCGTTGCAGCCGCCGTCCGATACGGACTTTGTGCGCCTCGCCAAGGTCCAGGAGGATCGGGAGAAAGAACACAGGCGACGCAACCGCCATCTCCAAGATCGATCCGTACACCTCGCCTCCGAGTTCATGGAGGCAAGGCATGATTTCGCTGTCGCGCAACGAGATCACCACCTTCACGCTTCGGTTGACCATGCACAGACGGATAGTAGCGACACGACAATGGCGGCCGAAAGTGCGGATGGTGATCGCGAGAGCGTCAAATCCAAGGCTGCCACTCTGATTCAGCGCAGCTATCGTGGCTACCGCGTGCGCCGGGAGATGAAGGGCCTGGGCATCGACGCCGGCACAAGGTGGACACATGCGATTAGAGACGCACAGTGGAAGCAGCTTACCACGCCCCGGTCTCGTGGCAACAGCTTGCTCAGCCCTGCAAATGCCGGCGCAGAGGAGGAAGGCCATAGTCATGGGGCGCGGCCAAGATCCAGTACATCTGCAGCAAGGTTGAAGTGGAAGAAAGCGGCAACGATAGCAATGAGAGCGGGCGGTGACCAAGACTCGTCTCACTCGGATGATGACTCTGAGTCGTCCTCAGAGGAGGAACTCGCCGACGACCCCGGAATGACGCCGGAGCAAAGAGAGGCTGCCAGAAGAAGGAGAGATTCCATGAACATGAAGCGGAGGAAGAAGGCCAAAATGATGGGTTTGCAGTATTTTCTCGAAATGGTGGATCTGAAGCACAGATATGGCTCGAACCTCCGGCAATACCATGAGGAGTGGAAGAAAGCAGACACCAACGAGAATTTCTTCTACTGGCTTGATTATGGCGAGGGCAAGAACCTGGAGCTCGACACGTGCCCAAGAGAGCGGCTCGAGAGAGAACAAGTACGGTACCTAAGCCGGGAGGAGAGGCAGCACTATTTGGTCACAGTAGACTCTGAGGGGCGGCTGTGCTGGGCCAAGAACGGCATCCGTATCGACACAACGGAGGAGTGGAAGGACAGTATCAAGGGCATTGTTCCCGTCAATGATAGTACACCAGCATTCGCTCCCTCCGTTGAGGCTCATTCGCAATCACGTTCCCAGGATCAAGATGGCTTGGATTCAGATTCAGACTCAGACGCATCTGAATCCGAATTAGAGGCAGCGAGGGCCGCAAAGTATGCCACACCCACGCTGGACGATGCGAAGGGGCTCAAGAAGGTTAAGCATGTCTCAGCAGCTACTATCTTCAACAAGCTTTTGCGCAAGTCTGTTCGCAAGAACACGTGGATATTTGTAGCCGACACAAGCTTCCGTCTGTACGTCGGCATCAAGGCGAGCGGTTCATTCCAGCATTCTTCGTTCCTGCAAGGCTCGAGGATCTCCGCAGCCGGGCTGATCAAGATCAAGAATGGGCGGCTCTCCAGCCTCTCCCCTCTATCTGGTCACTACCGACCTCCTGCGTCCAACTTCCGGGCATTCGTCCACTCGCTTAAGGACGAGGGTGTGGATATGAGCCATGTCAGCATTTCGAAGAGTTACGCGGTCCTCGTTGGGCTCGAAACTTATATCAAGACTCGAAAGAAGGGCAAAGAGGCGCTGATGAAGATGACGCATCGCAAGGAGAAACTCCTGGACCCCGAGCAGGCAAGAAAGCGCGAAGAGGCAGAAAAGGACAAGAGCGAGAGCGCCGAGCTCGAGCGACGTCTGCTAGAAAAGGAGTCGCAAGAACGTGATGGGAATCGGGTCAGGATTAGATTCATGCAGCGACTTGGCTTGAAACCACGCGAACCTCCAGTACAGAAAAACGAGAAGGTCTGATGGCGAAAGCCTATGTGGACATTCACGAGCGATGAGGTGTAATGGAATTGGGTGGGTGCATGGGTAATGGGCATTGGGATTGGCGGTGATTTACTGTGTCTCTTCTGGCGTATAAATACCCCCTGAGGCGTTGCGTACTTGTGAGCGGTGGTGCGGGTTTAGAGTTATCAAGCATGGCGAGTATAGGCCTATATCCTAATAGTCTTATCATCATTCTGCATAGTGGACACTGGGCACGAATCACAACCGGCAGGAAGAAGATACAATGGTTATTCTTGATAATGTAGTATTGCAGTATATCTCACTGTACTAAATTTTAGACATGCATCTTCATCACTTCATCGACGTCGTTACTGTGCCGGGGGGATTGTACCCGACTCTTGGCGAGATATATTTCACCCGTTTGGCAAGTTTATTGGTATAAACCAGTGTTACCTTCGAGTCTAAACATTATCTTCTGGGATGTGCAGAGAACATTGGCGCAGTTGAAATGCAGATAGATCCATGCGGCTCCATCTGGTCTATAAGTTCCTATTCGTGGGTGCAAAACCTGATGAAAATGCTATACTGCGGCAAGAGTTGTCTTTCACTCGAGGTCCTCCTCTCACCACTCTTGTACATAGAGTCGTCCAAGGACGGAAGACCAAGCACTCTACTCGACTCTAGGGTATGTGATGGACAAGTCATTGTTACTACGGAGTTGTCGCTCAGCCGAAAGCCCCCATCGATACAGTAGAACCAACCTTCAGCTCACGGGGTCGAGGGAATAATGGCTCGCCGTCGTGCAATTGAAAATTTCCTGGGCCGATCAATCGAGCTACTACGGAAGAAGCATCCTGTCGGACAAGGTACCTCCGTGGCTTCTGAGGGGTTGCGCAATGCCAACTGGAGCTTGCATTCAAGTGCAAATACGCGGCGTACATAAGTACTGTGAATCGATAATCAAGTGCGCATGTTTAAAAGCGAGTTCGCAATTGTAAATGCGATGATTGACGACTGCATGGGACGAAGAGCAAAGTCTAATTTTCCGCCCAGCGGTCGGTCGTCTGAAGTTGGCAAATTTGTTCTAGGGGATGCTTGTCAGCGCCGTGGCAGAGGTGCAGTGCCTGGAGCTGGGGGGAGCTTCAATTCATTTCATTTTCCATGACTGGACCGCCCGCAAAGCACGTCAATCATTCTTTCGAGAAGTGTGAACAAGGTGGGAACAAAAAAAGCATGCAGCAGCGACCTCCCGCGCAAGCAGCAAACAGACAAATCGCAACCGGCCAAGACGAACGAACATGATTGCGAACTCAACCGCCAGCGATGACCAGGACCAGGACCAGGCGCTCCACTAGGCGAGCGGTAGCTGAACTGGAAGGCCGTCAGGTGCAACAGGCCCCAGCCCAAGCGCAGAGCCAGCGCCGTAGCGGGCGTCACAGCGCTCCCAGCCCCAAGACGGGCGCGACGCAGCACACGACGCGGATGCAGGACAACATCGCTCAACCACGCCCGCCCGCGCGAATGAAGAGACCGCTGGACCAGATCAATTCGAACTCGGACCCTCTAAAGTCCAAGAGGGCGAGAAACAAGATCGTCATCGAGATCCAGGCAAAGTCCCAGGCCGTCCACCCGCCCAAGACGGTCGCCCTGAGGACAGCGCAGAGACCGGCCGCGGGCGCGACGACAACGACGACGACGCAGCAGACGCAGCAACCGCCGCACCACCACAACAAACCCCCTCCTCGGCCGCCACCGCCGTCCGCCGCTGCGCAGCCAGCACCCGCGGTCAAGACGGCGCACAGTCAGCTCACAAACCACCAGAAGAAGGTCATCAATGGCATCAGGCACGAGCTGGACCGATTGCAGCCCAGTGCCGCCGATGCAGGCCAGGCCAGGGAGCCCGGCCGCAAGCTGAGATCGCAGGAGGCCACGCGGTTCAAGAGCGAATTGTCAGCATACTTCCCCGACTACGATGAAGTAATCGGCAATGATGCAAAGGAGCACCGTACGTAACACCACTTGCCCTCGATCACATTAAGCCCCGATTGATGATCAGTCCTACTCCTCCCTCGCGAATTTCCTCGCTGCCTGGTGCCGTCGCATTGCTGACGGGTTTTTTCGGCCCATACAGACGTCCTCAACATCGAGACTCCTATTCTAGTCGTCGACTCCCAGGCATCCCCACACTACAATGTCCGAAAACTCCCCCCACGGCACGCGTCACCACTCGTCCAACCCCAACAGCTCCCCACGGGCAGCTCTGGCAATCGGAGCAGACACGATCATTCGCACAAGCCAATTCCAGAAGTTTACCCTGTAAAACATTTTGGCGATATATTATTCACAAATTTGTACGAGGCACAGCGGATCGATTTTGGGTTCCTAGGAGCCAGACACAGCAGTGATGACCCTCAAGATCCCTTGCCCGATTCGGCCTACGAGCCTGCACACAGGAAGGCCGAACGGTTAGAGAAGTCGATTCGAAACACCGAAAAGGGGCGGGCACAGCATGAGAAAGATCAGATCATCCGCCTGCTTGGCGAGCTGCAGGGGCCTGACTGGCTTAGGACCATGGGTGTTAGTGGAATCACCGAGAGCAAGAAGAAGACCTTCGAGCCCGCGCGGGACCACTTCATCAGGGGGTGTCAGGCCATACTGGACAAGTTCCGCTGGTGGTCGTTGGAGGAGAAGAAGCGGAAGCTAGAACGGGACCGCGTCCAGGCTGAAGAGGCTGCCAGCACGGGACTGGATGACGAAGAAGATGTTTTAGAAGAAGAAGAAGACGAAGAGGCGGAGGATGAGGATGGAGAGGAAGAAGAAGAGGAGGAGGAGGAAGAAGAAGGAGGAGGAGAGGAAGGGGGTGGAGAGGAGGAGGCGGAGGAGCAGACAAAGGACGAAGTGGCAGACAGTGAGGACGAGGAGATGCTCGATGCTACTTCGGCGCAGGACATACCCGACGATGTGAGCGACGGCGACCCGCCGGACTACAGCGATGTGGACGCTTCCATAGCGAAACAGTTGCACGAGGAAGCGCTGGCAAGGGTGAGGTTCGCACCCTCAGTGTCCTCAAGACGGTCGAGGGGCGAGCCCGCGGGGTCACCGCCGCCTCCGCCGCCCAAGGTGTTCAAGTCCTTCTTCCAGAAGCAGCACGAACGCGACGCGGCGCTGAACCGGCCGCGGCGGAGCAGGCGCGTAGCCATGGCGTGGGGCCACCACATACCGGAGACGACGGAGGAGGAGTTTGAGCTCGCGGAAGAGTACAGGGACGACGAGACGATGCTGACGCGGGAGAGGAAGAAACGGCGAGAGCGCCGGGGCAGTCGACGGTGAATGAATGTCGGTTTTGTTCCTGTGGTGTTTTTTGGGGGGGAGGCTTGAGTTGTGCAATCATGATACCTTGGTCGCGGGTTCGGCGTATGGCATGCCGTCAGAGGTTTTTGACATTACTTGTAAAATGGGTGCATGCCTGTCAATAGAGTTACGTGTTTTACCCGTTTCTGCTTCATGGTCCGAATCGTTGCAGTGTACTGTCTCTCTCCATCGGTGAGGCAGCCAGAAGTTGGTCGAAACTTGTCCAGTTGTTCTTACAGGGAGAACGAGGAATCGTCACTCGTCAGGAACGCAGAACCTATGATGATATGATGTGCAAGAGCGTAATCAAAACCAGAATCGATGGTTAAAGGCTTGCTGCCCAACCCAGCAGGCCACAATGAATTGTGCGGGTCGATTGACCTCGTCTGTCTCGTGTGCATGCAGACTCGGTAAGTCAACTGTCTGCTACCACTGTCTGCTACCACTGGAAGCACTCACGCAGGCAGGCAGGCTCAGTATGGGTATGGAGCGAGCCCTGAGCTCTCTCTGGTTGTGCCCCGCAGTCTGATTGGCTGCAGCTTGCAGCTACCGGTACCTAGGTACGTACCTCTGCTCCGCCGTACAGAGCTTCACGTTCTGCCTGCTGCCCACCCGTACCTAGGTACCTTACCTAATCCAAAGCGCGACAGTATCCAGCATCCGCATCGCCATCGCCATCGCCATCCCCATCCTCGACGGTGGCCGTGGACCAGCAACAACGCGACTATCGCTGTTGGTGTCCGGTCTTCTTTTCCCTTCGGACCCTTCTTCGACTGGGAATACGGATCCGCTCAGGCGACACTGCTTTTAGGCGCAAAAGGCACACGCACACAGGCCCAAGCTCAAGCGACAGCGCGTTCCCTCAGGTTGTCTTTGCGTCTGGCACCATCCCCAAGTCGTCGTCCACTTTGCTTGCGCCAGGGACCAGCTGCCTTGCTTGCGATATTCACAGTACCGTCGCCAACCTCACGTCAACAACCAAGCAGAAGCGCATTCACCCCGCCACGCCGCCTTTGCACCCCCGCCCCTCTACGGCTCCCACCTGATTGCCACCAACCTACCACGGTCGTAGCAACACTTTGCTACCCACGATATTCATTGCACCTGCCTCCCTCCGATCGCCGGTCCACCTCTTCCACGGCCGCGCAGACCTGACGACTCCTCTCACGAGTCACGGCGCCCCAGGGAAGACCAAACCATCAAGAGCAAGAAAACAAAAAGCCTTCGAGTCTCCTTGTCGCACTGCGCCTTGTCACGATTCCATGATCACGATCCCGCCCCAAGTGGCGCGGCAATCTTGAGGCCTCGAGAATGCCGGCTACTCTTCTTGAGGCCGACGCGGTCCTCGGTCCGGAGGCAGAGCTCGACCTCGCTGCCGCTGCCGCCCCCGAGCCGCTCGTCGATGACACCCCTCCTCGGCCGTATACAGTGTTTCACGAGCACGTGGCGCTCGACATTGACCTGCGGGAAAAAGTCATCAAAGGAAACGTAGATATCTTCATTAGTACCCAGGGCGCCGTATCCGAGATCTACCTCGATGCCCGGCAATGCGAAATCGACGTCGACCACATCACCGTGAGCTACTGTCCTGCGAAAGCCGTCTACGATGATCCAAGCATCAAGGCCGACACCCCCGAGGGCTACCAGTGGTCCGCAGGCCAGTGGAGCATTCGCAAACAGCGCATGCGGCCCTTGATGCACCATCATCGCAAAGATGAAGCCTCGGCCGAAGAGCATGAGCAGAAGATGAACTGCCACCCCGTCGACGAGTCTCTCTGTGTCACCATCCCACCCATCAAGGATATCCAAGCAAGCCTGGCCAAACACAAGGAGCTGCGCTCCTACATCCGGGAGCAGGACGCGCTGGACCAGTGGATAGACCAGTGGGACAAGGCTATCGAAGAGAACGCCACGGCTCTGTTCAAAATCAACGTTCCATTTGTGCTGAAGAACATCCGGGACGGGCTACACTTTGTTGGCGTAGACGAGACCGACACGAGATACCCTCACATGTATACTCGCCATTCCAGCGAGCCGGGGGCTGCCTGCTCCATCTTCCCCTGCATCGATGATCCGGCTTGTCGCTCATCCTGGCGCGTGTCTCTAACTTTCCCTCAGACCCTCGGTGATGCCTTCCGGAGGCGCCCGTCTGCGCAGCCACCAAATGTCAATGGCACCGGCGCCGGCAGCAAGAAGCGGAAGCATGGCGACGACGACGCCCTCTCTCCTTACCTCGCATTGACCGAGGAAGACAAGATGCTTGAGTTGACGGCTATCTGCTCGGGCAAGCTAGAGGACGAAGTCATTGACAAGCATGACGAGACGAAGAAGACCATGACATTTACGTGCAGTAACAAAGCAGCACGCCACATTGGCTTTGCCCTGGGCCCATTCGAGCACGTCGACCTGTGGTCGGAGTTCAGAACGGAAGAAGACGATGAGAAGTTGGCTTCCAACGCGACCAAGGTTCACGGTTACTGCCTGCCGGGACGGGCGGACGAGGTTCGAAATTCTTGTGCTGCCCTCGTAACGGCAATGGATCATTTCGCCCTAAACTACGGCCGCTATCCATTTGACAACTACAAGATGTGCTTCGTCGATGACATGGTTGTCGATACTGTCCCTCTGTGCGGCTTTTCACTCTGCAGCAACAGGATCTTATTTCCACGGGACATAATCGACACCGAGATTGAAGTCACAAGAACGCTCGTCCATGCGTTGGCGAGTCAGTGGTTCGGCATCACCATCATTCCCAATAAGAAGTCGGATATCTGGCTAGTAATGGGCATTGCCTGGTTCATGACAGACTTGTTCATGAAGTCACTCGCTGGGAACAACTGGTACCGGTACCAAATGAAGGATCAAGCGGACCGCTTAGTTGAGATCGACATGAAGAGGCCATCCCTAGAATCACTAGGCGAGCATCTGCATCTCGGTGGTTTCGAGGTTGACTTCATGAACCTCAAGGCAAACCTGGTCCTGTTCATCCTTGATAGGCGGCTTTCGAAATCTTCCGGGAGCGCAGGCATTGCCAGAATTATCGCCAGGATGGTCCTCAAGGCCAACTCGGCGAGCGAGGCCGCCGATGAGATTCTGACTTCCGAGAATTTCCGCAAGGCTTGCGAAAAACATGGCCAGACAAAGCTGGAGAGCTTTTGGGCCCAGTGGGTCAAGGGGTCTGGTTGTCCCAGATTCGATGTCCACCAGAAGTTCAACAAGAAGCGACTTCACGTTGAAATGAATGTGCGCCAAACACAAGATATTGCCCAAAACAAGACTAGGCAGCTCGACAAGGATGACTTCTGGCGGGAGGTTGTGGAGGAGAACCAAGAGCACCAAGTCTGGGCAGCCGACATGCACCACTGCTTTACAGGACCCATGACTATCAGGATTCATGAGGCCGATGGTACTCCGTACGAGCACATAGTGGAGATTCGCGACGAAAACGCCAAGACGGTCAAGTTTGATATACCTTACAACACAAAGTATAAGCGCCTGAAGCGTAACCGGCGTCAGCGGGAGCGCCAGATTGCCGGTACTGCAAACAAGCCCAATGAGGAGAACGCGGACGAAACTCTGATTTACTGCCTGGGGGACGTCCTCCAAACCGAAGAAGACATCGAGCGATGGGACCTGACGGATTGGGATCCTGACATGGAAGCTAAGATGGACCAAGAGTCTTACGAGTGGATTCGGATGGATGCTGACTTTGAGTGGATCTGTACAATGAGGACGAACATGCCCGCGTACATGTACGTCTCTCAGTTGCAGCAGGACAAGGATGTCGTGGCACAGCAGGACTCTATGCTTTATTTGGGCAGGGAGGCATCTAGCAGGCCGCATCCGTTGATGTCCACCATCATCACTCGGACTCTAGTGGATGCCCGTTACTTTCACGGCGTTCGAACCATGTCAGCCGGGACGCTACCCAAGCTCTCCTTGGACATATTAAATCAAGTCGGGCTCAGGCATCTCATGATGACCTTCAAGGAGCTGTTCTACTTGGGCGATGAGGATCGGCCACGACCCAACGACTTTTCGGATAAGCGTCAATATATCGTTCAATGCGCCATCCCTGGAGCCGTTGCTCAGGCACGGAATAAGGATGGACATTGTCCAAAGGAAGCCCGAGATTTCATTCTAAAGCAGCTCCGAGACAATAACAACGAGGAGAATAACTACTCGGACAGCCTCTACATCTGTAGACTCATCGACGCGCTTGCGACATGCCTCATCCCCGACCAAAAACGTGTCAAAAAGCAGGCCATGTCCTTTGCTTTCGGCGACGAAGACGAAGAGGATGCAGCTGTGGACCCTGAGCCACAAGCATTCAAGGAAGCAGCTCTGGAGGAGATTGATCGATACCGTAGGATGGACGAATACTCTCCTTCGTTTCAGAACTGTTTTACTGTCGCAACGCTTGAGGCCCTGGGTCGCCTCATGAAGGCCGAGGTGATACCATTGAACCCGCTCGTCTTCACACAGTATCTGCAGGACATGACCGTTGATATCGTACGCATCAAGGCGTTCGAGATGCTTGTCGAGCTCAAGTTTATGGCCAAGCCCGTGTTTCTCAAGTTCTTCCTCTCCGTCATTTCCACGGACAGGTCGCCATTCATCCGCAATCGGCTCTTCAAGATATTCTGTCGTGGTCTGGCCAGCATTGCCTTTGGCGAGCATGAGCAGGAAGAGAAGGCCGCCCCAGCTCCTAGCGAGGGTGACCTCATTGTGGAGCAGGAGTCCGGCATTATTGAGGCGAAACAGAAGCTGAAGGCCCGAAGGGAGAACCTGACTGCGGCTTTGGCTGCTTTGAAGGAGGTGACAAAGAACGATCTGACTTTGCAGGAGGTTGTCTGGAAAGCTTTAGACTCACCCGTCCTGTCGGTTCCCGAGAGGAGAAACATCTTAGAACTCTGCGCAATTCTGTTCGAGGAAGACGACCAGTTCCTTGTGAAATTCAATTATCCCAAGGTGTGGACATGTGCGCGTGGGCCAAAGGAACGTGGCAGGGTAAGTGAATATTCCAAAACAGTGTTTGTCAGCTCTGCTAACAATTGGCAGTGTAAGATGAACTTCAAACGCCACTTCCGTACGAAGTCGCGCAAGACCTATGCCACCCCTACCGTCTCACGTCCAGAGCCACCAAAGCGCACGATAACCCTGAATTTGAACCGAGCACCGAGTTTCAAGGCGACAACGCCAGTAGCTGTCAAACCTCCGTCCGGAGTCTTCCAGCCGCCGCCAAAGCCAACTCCACCGAAACCGACCATATCGGCCAAGGTCCTCAAGGAAGCGGTCGTCGCTGCTTCTGCTCCACGTCCTGCCGAACCTCCTGCTCCTCCGAAAGAAGTTCGCAGAGATAGTATCTCTGTTCAGACCCCTCGTCCTAGCATTGAGGTTTCTGCTCCTGTTCACTCGGAGCGGAAGGCACTTCCAGGGAGTTCCGCGAAACTCCAGTCAACCTCCAAGGCAGCACTCCCCAAGCCTCAGATCCAGAAAGTGCAAGCTCCAAAGATTGCGCCGCCAAAGGCTGCGGCACCCAAGGTTGTCCCCAAGTCGCCAATACCTCCAAAACCCAGTGGAGAGTCTCGTTCGAACAGTCTGGCTCCACAGCCTCCCAAAACTTTGAAGCGTCCCAGCGCAGAGCCAGCTGAAGGACCGCGGCCGACCAAGATCGTGAAGCTGAACACCAAGGGCATACCGGCAAGCGCATTCCAGAAGCGGACCAAGGTAGTCAGGCTCCGATTCAAGCAGTGGGACCGACTCAGTATCCGCAAACAGCCGTCGGCTACACCCGAAGCTGGATCAATCCGTGCGACCCCTAAGGGATCACAGTCACAGGCTCCAAAAGAGCGTTCCAATTCAATTGTTGTCGGGTCCTCTATACCGTCACAGGCGTCAAAGCCGCAGTCTTTACACAGATCTTCTGCTCCCAGTGGCTCGGCCCCTTCGCCTTCACTACCCTCCAAAAAGAAGTCCACCAGTCCTCCTTCCCTGCCCGATATGGGCAAGAGCGCCAGTGGTAGCATCTTGGTGAAGCACGACCGCAAGCCTCTCCCGGGAGGCGCTGAACGCAAATCACTTCCAGGGGGTGCCGAGCGCAAGTCTCTCCCCTCGGGCGGCGAGCGCAAAACTCTTCCTTCTGGCGAACGCAAGGTCCACTCCTCGGGCGAGCGCACCTCCCTACCGTCCTCCGGTGGGCGTACCTCTTTACCATCCGCGTCACCTCACTCGACGCCCTCTCACCCAGCTTCCCATAGCTCATCTAGCACCGGAGCGCCTCTGAAGACGAAGTTCAAGATCAAGGTCAAGCCTAAGCCTGACTGAGCTCTCCATGCTTCAGGCGGCGGCCCTTTGAACAACGCGCTCTGGTTGTCTGCTGTCGCTCGTCTACCCCAGTCGTACATAGATCACTTACGACTCTCTTTTATCGTTTCTTGTCTGCGATGGATGCATGGTTTCTGCGACCCTGAAAAAAAAAGTTGCATAGCACGGCGTTGATCGGCGGATGGGGCATATCAACTGTGAATGATGGTGCCTGCATTCCGCTCGGATTGGTTTGATTTTCAATTGGTCAGGGCGCGCACGATTACCTTTGCGCTCCATTGTCGTGGTTAGCAAGGCCAGGGTGGACGTGTAGTAGTAGCACAAATTAACAAAATGTTGCAATGGCATCCCAACCCCGACTGAAGTCCGGCCGTGCAAAGAGTAGGTCTGTCAGGTCTCTAAGTTAGATGTGGTCTCTCCATTGTTTTTCCAATCATGATGCACAACTTGATGTACATCTTCCCGTCACATGGCGCGTGACGCTCTGATGGTCTACACTGGGGAACATATCTCCCTTCATATCAGCTGCCAGCCTCGCATGATTCCGCCACAATCATCGATCCTAGTCCTATGCCTTAAGGCCAAGTTGAATGACCCACGTAGACAGGTAGTCCCTGTGACACGAATTGCCATCCGTAGCCCAGATATCATCCAGCATTGCTTCCAAAGCATGCTGCCCAACCTTCACTCTGTGTCTGGCGGCCCGGCATATGGCTTCTCGACAATGCCATCATCTCCCTGGCAGTGTAGAGAAGCCGAGTTTCGCACAAAGGCCTGGTTGATCCAATCATAGCCCTCTACTCAGCCGTGGCCGTACAGCAGGCTCGACTATCCAAAGTTGGCATCGGTCTTCCTTTACCAGGCATTCTGCCCGCACCCCTGGACTGGACCACTGGCGGACATATTGCTCCGTAGCAGACACCGGTGCCTCTCCCTTGGGGACCGCAGTCATCAGCGGCCCGTCCTCCGCGTGCCTCCCACTCCACCGCCGATCCGCTCGTCCCGAGTCCGCATCAACCGCGGCGGCGCCGGTGGCGGGCCGTGGGACTCGCCGGCCGACGACAGGCCGCCACCACGGGCCGCGCCGCCTCCCCGCGAGCTCGTCGTCCTCTGGTGCGCCGTCCGCCGGGCGGGCGCCTGGGGAATCTGCGACGCGGCCGCCGTCGGGATCGGCGTGAGCTGCTGCGGCGGCGGCGGGCCCTGTGCATGCGTCGAGCTGCCGCCACCACCGCCAGAGTGGGCGACAGGTGTCGCTAGCGTGGCATGGGCGGGCCGCGCGGACCGCGGCAGCGCAGCCAGCTGGCCCGGGATCGATGTGTCGTAGTCGGCCATCTCCTCGTCCTCGTCGTCGTCTTCGTCGTCACCCGCCCGCTCGGACGCGGAAGACGAGGAAGGCGAGGACGGCGGGGGAGGGGAGTCGAGCGCCTCGGGCGGCGAGTCCAGCGCCGGCCCTAGATCGCTGCCGTCCTCGTCCTCGTCCTCGTCCTCGTCGCCGTGCGGGTCGGGCTGCGGAGTCCAGTGCACGGTGCCCGGCCCGCGCGCGTGGGCGCGGCGGTCCTGCGCGGCGAAGCGCCGGAGGTCGTCGGGCGAGGCGGCCGAGGCCGGGTGTTGGTCCCAGCCTGAGGCCGACGGGTGGGCGAGCGGCGGGTCGAGGATGGTGGTGCGGCGCCCGCCGCCGCCGTGCTGGTGTTGGCGGCTGTGGTTGTTGGTGTTGTGGTGGTAGTGGAGGGGCGGAGGCCCGAGGGACGAGGCGAGCTCTTCGGGGTCGTAGCGCTGCGGGTGGGCGCGGCGCTGGGCCTCGCGGGCGCGCTTGTCCTCGTAGATGGCGATGTCCTCGGACGTGAGGGTCAGAGTCGTGGGTGGACGGCGGAGCATCCTCGTCTGCCGGGCCTGTCTGGTGCGCTGTGTGGTGTGAGTGGGTTTGGGCAGAGTGCGGTGCCCTCGTCGAAGGCCCGTGGGCAGGGTACGCGGGTACAAGAGATGCTGTCCACGGCGGATCAACCTGCGCAGGGCGGTGCCAGTAGTGATTCTGTCACGAGGAGCGAGAAGCCTCCGAGTTGTAGGTGCCGTCGATGTCGCAGCTCGGAATAACCCAGTACTCGGTGCAAGGTCGAGGCCGGAGGTCGGATGGACTGACGCGACCTCAGCGCATTCCAGATCCACTGGTCGCGACGCGTTGCGGGGGTCTGCACAGTGACTTGGAGTGGATGGTGGGGGTTTGGCCGTAGGGCTGTTAGCGGTCTCCGCATCTCCGCACGGGGAGCTCGCCCGCCTGAGCCCGCTGTGGATTGCCGGGTTTGCTGGGCCCAACGTCATGCCACGGCAAACCTGTGACCAGTTTCCCAAATGAGCTGCACCCGATTGGACAGCCCCCTCTCTACTCGAGACCGCCCGCACCAGCGTCACATGGCCCCATGGCCCCAGGGCGCCCCAGTCAGGTCAAGTCGTGTCTACCCGCTCGACGGTGGCTGGCTGACGTGTCGATACTACAGTCTCGGGACTATATAGATTCTGATTTCTGGACGTGGACAGGCATCAGGGCATTCCGTGCCGGCTGGGTCTCATAGCTGAGGTCCCGAGTGTCACCCCGAGCTGCTCGGCATTCGGCGAGAGCGAAGCCAGCTTCCACTTGTCCGCCAATGTGATATGCACCAGCGTACTCTTTCGGCATGGCCCTCATGGGATCACTCTGCTCGGCGTGCTAGGACTCCAGCGGAACCCTTTTCTCCAACGGCTGACCTCCAGCTTCTCCGCACCGGCCGGAAGAGTGGGCGGCTCATTGACTGCAATACCTAGGTAAGTACCTACCTGGATCAGGTATGTTCTATAAGTTGGCAACCTGTGCCGTACTTCTCCTCCCAGACCACATTCGGCTGCGCCATCTCCCAGCCTCACGTCGGTTTGCATCTTCGATCCCAAGCCATCATCATTCCTGATAATCCCAACATGGCACACAACGTTTCTGGCACTCCTCAAGCTCTCTCAGGGGTGTCTTCCTACTTCAGGTTGCCTTCAGAGCTCAGGCTACAGATCCTCGAGTCTGTAATCGAACGGCCCAGTGATGGAGTTCCAATCGCCCGCCCCGGCTTCTGTGTTCCCAAGGAGGTCAGAAACATATTCCTGGTAAGCAGGCAGATGTACGCAGAGGCGGCACCGATCTACTACAGAGACGTCCGCGTCGACCTCCGGGGTTACGGGTTCTGGAGCCCGCCACAGAAGTGCGCCAATCAGTTCTTCGAGACGGCCCTCACGGCCCGGGAGTACGTCAGGAACGCCATGGTCTGCATCAATCTCGTGGACTGCTGCAACTGCGAGACGGTCGCCAAGCTGTCTCTGGGGCTGCATCAGTCCCGACGTAGACTGCAGCGGCTGGATGTGCGCATCGGGCCTGATTACCCATATCCCCCCTACGGCTGCTACGTACATCCGCCCAAGCAACCTGCCCAGCAGTTGAACGTCGGTCTAGCCTCAGGGTCCACTGCCACAGGGCCGATATGCTTGACCAAAGACCCGTTCCAGAACTTTCTCAGGTTTTTACAACGACCCGAGTTTGGGACCGTCTCCGTATGGGTGCACCGTTTCCATCTCGAATTCCTCTGTCAGTTTCATGCCAGCCATTCATGTGGGAGGGAGTGCAGAGGAGAGTGGAGGGGCCCTGGCGACTGGGTGAAGATTGACCATGAGGCCATGACTGAGACTCTGATGGGTCTCAGTTCAGATGAGCCTACCTCGAGGTTGGAGCAGGCCGGACAACCAGGCCTCACGGACCTGCTTATGGCGGGTATAGAGATGGGCCCCAATCCTCTGCGCACACCATCGCCATCAGTGCTATTGAGCTTATAAGTACATTTCATACTGGAATAAAGCTATTTAGGCGAGTAAATATCTGGAGTTCAATTGAGACTTAGGTACCTAGATCATTACTGGGGCACTCTCATGGGGATTCACGTGCATAGGCGGTGTTGAACCGATCCTGGCACAAGGTGTGGCCAAGAAGTCAGATGTTTTAAAATGTAGTAGGGTAGATTAAATGACTTGTCACTGGCTTGAAAGATAGCTAAGTTCCCACAACACATTTGTTCTGTGGCCTGCTAAACTAACTAGCCAAGTATGCACACATTCCCAAAACCCTCGCCAAGATAAAAGTCCCCAAATATGTGTCAGGGTTTGATCAACCTCTTCCTTTAGACGGAACCTCTTCCTTTAGACGGAATCGCGCTCAACCTTGCTCATCCTCCAAAGCACCTGCTAAAAGATCAGTCACCCTCTTGAACCACGATGTATTCAAGGGGAAGTGGGAATCCCTTTGCTTGGACAGGCGGCTTGGGGCATGACTTACAACAGTTATGATAGGTAAGAAATGGCCAAAGATGCTGGAGACATTGTGGATAAGGTAAAATGCTTCGCTACACCGGGAGTCAGCATATCAATCGGGGTTACATATGGACGATTCGAACTGCCACTCACGAAGGATTGTTATAATTATGTTATGGTTGAAAGGCGGAGGATATCTTGGAAATATGTTGATTTGGTAGAAATGCTTCGCTGTTGATAAGTCAGAAATTTGCTGCATCGGAGAGGATCTTGGTGGCAGCTCACGAAGGATTGTTTGTTGATGATAAATGGTAGTAGCTTGATCTGGTATGGATGAAGAGTGAACGACTGTTAAGAAATGGATTCTGATGTTTTACTCTGAGAGTGAATGACGATGAAGATTGGTAGATTGAGGAGCGGAGGAAAACCAGAGGCATTGGGACTGGTTGAAGGATTTATTAATAAAAGCGGCGGAGGCCTTGCCAGCTTTCAGGGGGAAAGTGTCACTACAAAACATCATATCCAGAAGGCGCCATGCCACGAAACCGTAGCTATTGAGTCTCGTGCAGACTGAAGCAGCGTTGGCCCGATTGTGCCCGCCATGGCAGAAGGATGCCCTTTATGCATGTGGTACTACCCTCGGAGCAATTCTACCGTGCAGAAAGTGGGCATATATACCTAGGTAGATTTTCAATCTTCTGCGCTGGAATTCCGGCACAAAATATCACCGAATCGTTCCTCAGAAAATCAATGTTCTTCTCGAGGACATAGACATCATCCAATACACAGAAACGCTCATCAATTGCATCATGGCATCATGCACTGTTTGCGCAGCCTTCTGGGGCTGTCCTCCTGGGGCTGCCATATGATATCTCTGGCATGACGGGCATGGGGCCTTCTTTGAAGGAATGACCACAAGTCCATAAATGCCTTGCTGGGCCACTGTTGAAGATGGCGGTAACTTCCGCTGGGGTGATATGTTGTGACGGAAGCAATGACCGCGAAGTCACTTGATACTGTGAGTCATCACCGATAGCAACGACAGGGGCTCCTTACCAGGAGAGTGGCCCGGATATGACAGAATCAAAACTGGACCTGGAACAGAAGACACTGAGAATTATCCGTTCAGAGGTCTCCGTATAGTACTCAGGAACCCCCCAGCACTAATACGAAGAGACGGTAGGCATTGAACACTACTTCAAGCTGCTCGCAAGCAATACATCAAATCGCTCAACTATTGGTACCTGGTGGCACAGGCCATCCCGTTGCTGAATGGCCGGCCCTTGATCACAGGCGACTGACGCGGCAATGAGTCTCTTTACGTCATGTTGCAGCCAATTTCCATTGCGGAAAGGCGAGGGCGCATACTCACCTCGCTCCGCAAATGCTATATCGTTATCCTCTTCTCACCGTTAATGCCACTGGACCTTCTCAACCTGCCGCTGAATGTCGTCCTCACAAGTATCAAATCTGCTCACTGAACCGAGATGTCATCCTAGTGGAGTAGAAGCAGAGTCAGAAGTCAAAATATCTCTGCCTTTCTCAATCTACCAGTAATCCATCGAGTTTCGCTGTCAATCTAGGCACTAAATTCAGTCGCAAACAAGCAGGCCCCAATGCCGCCTGGAGCAGAGCAGTCAACGCCAACAAGGGCTGTAAGAGAATCCCGACTCAATCACCAGTCGATCGGAGCATGCATCGCGGCGATCTGCTCGTCCGTAAGTGAGGTGCAGCCACCACACTTGCATATGAAGCCGTACTCCAAGTACAACTCCCTCGGGCCTTTGCCGTAAGTAATCGTCAACTCCTCTCCGGCCAAGATGTCCCGTGCGGCCGAGAAGACGATCGCCTTGTGACGCTGATCGTATACGTAGAGGATGTTGTCTTTCGGCTTGCACGCATGGTTAAAGCGGGCTGCAACCAAGAAGACGCCAGCCTCACGTGGCCCGGTATTGAAACTAAGCAAAGATATCAGCTGCGGCTCTTCGACTAAGGTCATAACGGACAAAGACCATCGGGGATGCGTCTGATAACGGAGGTTGTCACGATACGTACCTGTTTGTATGGAAGAGGGCAAATACACGACCGCCAATAGAAGTCTCCTTGTTCTCGTAGGCATGCATGCGCTCGTAAGCTTGCCTGAGCGACGGCTTCAGGTCGTCGATTTGGTCGCATAATGTGTCATCGTTCGCACGGAAGAGAGCTCGCTCAATCAGAATAGTCTGACCTCGGCTGATGTCCTTAAGAGCAAAGGCACCCAAACCGGCCAACGGTGATGGCTGGATGGCCAGGACCTCGTTTCTGAAAGACTCGGGGTGATCGACCGGATCGATAAAAGAAGTGGGCGATCTAGGGGAGCGATCGCCTCCATCGCCTTCAGGGCTCCTGCAATCATCCTGCGAGTTTTGCAGATGACCGTTGGCACTGTCTGTTTGGTTATCATAGCTAGCGATGCCGCAAGATGGTGTAGCAGCAGCCTCCTGGCGTTGGCTGGTGTGGCTTTGCCCTCCATGAGGCGCAAAATCAGGGTCATCCATCGATGTACTGTCGGGCGTAGTGACCTGGTTTGAGTCAGTCGACTCTGCAACTGCTCTAGCAGGCTCATTGGCTGATGTGCTGATGATAGGACCGAACGGTGTTCTTATTGTCGCATTTTGAATTGCCTTGTCCACACTGGATTTTAGGTCAACATGGGTACCCAGAGAATCGACATCTTCCTCATATACTAACTCCAGAATCAGACGGAAATGCGGCAGCCCATCCAAAGGGGGGAACTGCTCAAGAAACGGCAACTTCGCCAGGGATGCCGAGGACATAGCTGTTACTTGTAAGCAAAACTCCTCTGCATAGAATGCATGACCTACAAGTGGCTGAGGTATCGTCATAGGTCGGAGAGCTGTGTGCTGCAGGTTCATCGTGGTCAGACCTCAATAATAGGACATGTTATCATGTTGCCCACCTATGGAGGACGCAGTGTCCTTTTCCGAGATCGAGTCCATGGGTAGTACATCGCAAGTGTCGCTGGGTAGCCCATCATCGCTGGGCGAGAAACTCTTTGAAGCCAAGTTTGTGGCAGTTCCGATAGTTGCTCTAGGGGATATCATCATGTCCGACGTAGTAGGCTAGAAATCAGATGAGCGACATTGTTCATCCGGAAATACTATTGGCATACCGTGCTCCATGCCAACTTGCGAGTGTGTTGCCGTAGACTATTCTCTTGCTGTGTCACTCGGCACTCAGTGCGTGACTGAGATGGTGCGGCGAAACCTGATGGCGCCATAGTGGTTAGTAGTGATGGATGAAACTATCGTGCAAACTATTAGTACTGTGAAAAGATATTCTGGTGGTAGGAGTCGGAAAGTGAAGCTCCAAACGAAAATGACAGGCCTAAAGCATAGCCCTCAAGCCAGCGGCATGTGCATGCTAATCTTCTGCTTTCCCCCCGATGCGAAGTGTGGTCCAGGGGGGGTGTCAAATTACCTGTCAGAAGAGTTTGCAACTCCTTCTTAGTGGTTGTGTTGAGACTTTCAAAGTCTGTAGCCGCCACAACTGTTTGATCCAGATTGAGTGTTTGCACACTTGCAAACTCCAGGTATGAAGCTTCCGAGGAAGCTTCTCACAGATCTGAAGGCAAGAAGTGAAGATCAGTGCCTAAACAGAATCGCTGTAACAGAGTGAAGTGATGTGTTCCTTGGAAGGCAAGTGCTTGAGGGATCTTTTGTGAATATTACCTGACGGCGATAACCAGTGGTGGGTGAACGAAGGGATGCTCTCGTCGTGACTGCTGGATCTGGTATCGTGATGTTTGATTCCCGAATATCGGTACAAGATCGCAGATGAGGATATCATTGCTCGAATAGGGGAATTGATCGTTCTTTCCGTGCACAAGATCTGAATTTCAGGAAGGTAGTATGTAGGAGTCGCACATTCTTATACGACTATCAACTCCTGGCGCAGTAAGATGCGAAGATTAAAGTAACGAAATGATAATTACATAACCAGTTGCTACTATGCAAGGACCCGGGGTCATGAACGGTCGTTTGTTGATGCATATGAGTGAAGGGGGCATCCGCGATTGTAAGGGGTGGTGACGTATGGTACTTCCTTTGGGACTTTGACGAAGGGCCGCCTCACGCACCTCCTTAGACGCGTGATTGTTGTATACACTCGGGCATCTTAGGATTTGAAAGGGATATTTAAGATAGCATGATTCACCACACGCTGCTTCTGAATATGACGATGGAAGTCGAGGGCCAAAGTGTGTGAGAAGGAGGGCGATGGATTTGGTTCTTACACTTATTCTTGCTTACGAACATGAGCACTCAAGTTCTTTTCTTGGTAAGTGTTTATCAGATTTCATTTCGGTCGATTCTTTTGAGATGTCTGTAAGCATCAAGGGCAAAATAGTAGATCTACTGTCCACTTGAAAGGTCTACTTGAGGGCGTGCACAACAAAGATCTGATAAGTTTCATGTTTGGAGTATGGTGTTAGAGGTTGATCGATGTAGCTATCTAGATAACCACCAAAGTTGAAATCAAGCTGACGATGTCATTTGTCTCTTTTCGTTGCTAGAGAACTGTCTCCAACCGCTCAACGCGCCTTCGTTGGACAGCATCCCTTTCTTTTCAATGATACAGCGCTTGTTAGCCCCCTTTTCGTAAGAACCTTTCAGGAGATAGAAGGACCGCGAAGTGCTTTGTCGCACTTTATCCATCCTTCAGTGAATAATCCACCAGTGTCCAAGGTGTAGGTGGAGGCCGTCCGTGAGAATATCAAGAGTATTCGAGCAGCGCCTTGTCAAACAACTTTTAAGGGGCCCGGCCACCTTAGTGCCGAGATGTTACAGACAGGCCGCGTCTATTATCGATTGCACAGGGAGGGGGTCTCGAGAGAGAATATCGGCAGTCACGAAGACATAAACTGCTGGAAACATTGCTTGATCGTGTACCTTGAAGGTCTAATCGCATTGTTGACAAAACCACCTCTCCCACCAACAATATTTGAGAAGCGCTACAAAAGCGACTTTCCACCTGACCTTGGGTCAAGATCTCGCCTGGCGGTATGAGAGAAAGGACGCATGACAACGCAATAACATTATATTTACCACATATGAAGCATGGACGATAAGTGTCAGCGATTTAAGGCCTATTGTTACACTAATGTACGCGACGACATGGATTGGGACAACCAAGATCGACACGGTAGCACCAAACAACATAGCCGACTCGCCACTGATGCAGTTTTTACGCGGCAAGCCTTAGATTTAGTCTGGAAAGGGAGTGCGTGGAATGGAAAACTGGACTGTTTGGAACCAGAGAAACCAGAATCCATAATCTGTTGATGCTCACAAAGCTGTTTCTCGTCTATCGTGGAATCTTACCAGAACGGTATGATTTCATCTTCCTAAGACCTGGATAGAAGACTTTCACGAACATTGGCCGCTAAGCCATCCAGATCAGTTGCAGGAAGTTAGCAATTGGTGCCCCTGGCATGAGGTTTCCGGGTCGGCAGTAAGCCTGCCGAGCAGGTCTCTACATGTTGAATAGCTTCGCTATCTTCAAGCCCATAATGTCAATTTTCTTCATAGGCGAGACCAGCAAGTTGTTATGGGAGGTTTTGTGTGTGACAAATTTAAATCCTGGGAACCAAAAATTGAGAATTGATGCTTATTGAGTTGATATCATCTGCCGGTATACTGGCATGCCGATTCATGATCAGACTCATCTACCCCATAACGGTCCAGCTTGTGGCGTTGAACTGCGTTCCTTCGATGTCGAAGCCCACGAAGATTTCACCTTGGATTTTGTTTTCTGCACCGCCATCCGAGAGACTTCATCAGCAACGAGTTCACCTACTGCAGATGAGCTGCGATGCTCACTTGTTTCTTCTCCTTTCAGTGGCACGGTCTTTGCTCGACTTTCGTATATACCTATACTGCCACCTCTGCGAGCCCGCTCGACACTAAAATCACAGTGGCGGATGGTCTCCAAACGTCGATTGAATTCCAAACCCGGCGCTCCTTGTTCTTGTTACAAGTCAATCGCCTCAATCCACGGCGTCGACGGTAACTCCCTCTTCATCTTCGGGGTCATGACCACTACATCTCCCGCACCTCTATCGGCTGAAACTCCTTGGGCTCCTTCAGTATTTGTCACTGACGATCCCACCTATGCAGTTCGGCATCGCTGCCTAATGCTTGCTCCGCTTCGCCTACAGCGGCCACTTTGTTAAACTCGCTGCTAGGCGCATTGAGCAGGAAGGCTTGGACGTCGCGATAAAGTGAGCCTCGGAGGCACGCCCTGAGTCTCTATATTGAGTGGAAACGCTGGGTGTTGTACGAAGGAGTCATGCGCAAAATTCGGGATACCCAGATCACGGTTGGAGATTTGGGGGTGGCTTCCAGCATGAGTGTTCCTGTAGGTTGGCGTCGAGATGACATGCAGCATCTGGCATTACAATGCTGGCATTCATGCAGTGCTGCAGGCAAGTGGCTCGCATCAGGACTAGTGGTGCGGTCATGTTTCGCCAGTATACGGCTTGTAGGCATACTATCGCCAGTGCTTTTTGCAGTTGGCCGTGAGTTTCTGTCAACACTTGTCATAATCGATTGACCCCGTCCGAGCCTGAGTTGTGGGTATAGCTGCGCGCATCTCTACAGCACCAACATCCCCAAAGGTTGGAATCTCCTGTAGTGTCGATAGATACACCTAGACAATCAGTCCCATAGCGTGTGACTCTTCAAGGTGTGTACGCAGTCTTCCTAGAGGAGGATGGGGGAAACTCGTTTCGTCCAACGACGGTGTTGCTGCAGATCGATGCGTTAGGATCACCAACTGCGATGATCATGACGTTGGATCAAGGTAGCGTTGAGTTTTCCGCGACCACTCGGACCTGTTTTGTGAGTATTGTTCGCCGTTGGGGGTGGCTCCGGCAAGACGGGAGGGAAGGCTGAGGCCCTGGTCCACGTCGGCATTGTCGCAACTCCTTCCTTCACTGCCGGTGCGGCACAGAATAGATGGCACTAGTACTGCAGATGGTTTGACCAGCTGGTCAATCCTACAAGGCAGACAGACATCCTCCGGTCCAAACAGCGCCGAATACAGATGTTTCGTTGAGGAGATGGGACCATACATCGGTGTCGCAAGCTCTCAGTGCACCTGGTGAAATGCCATTCGGCTGCAAGGGCTGTGGAGAATTCAGCTGGGTCCCTGAGGGATTACAGGCAATGACTACCACCACACCAGATCACCGTTTTGTCGGATAATTCCTTGGCACAAGGTCGGTTAGAATAAATAGGATAGAGTACTGGTGCGATCGCAGCGAGCAGCTGTAATACCCGTTCTTGTACGGAATAGCTTCATGGCAATCCCTTGCGAGTGAGGCCCAGCAGGCACCCTTCCTTTCCCGCGACGAGTGCCGTGCCGAATCCTTTCGAGGACCCTTCAGGATCGGCCAGTGAATTGCAGCGAAGTGTTCCTGTCGGTTCTTTAGCGGCCCCTCAAGTGTTTGATCAAGGGGCCAGGGGCCATACCGGCGAGCGACCGATCTAGAGGGCATGTGGACAGGGTAGACTCCATTATCATAGTAATCTTTCCGGGACAAGTGACACTGTTCATCGATGGCTTCTTCCCTGGCGCACGGTTGTATCCAAGCAGAGTAGAAGAAAGGATAGGCAATTCAAAATGTATTGATGCAGTTACTTAATTTGATATACTGTACCTGCCAGCATTCGACGCACACGAGCCCTGAGAAGGTGGACTTGTCGCTTGTGTTGGAGCTTTCGGTAGGATGAACCGAGGCGGCAGCGGGAGTGCGGATACCCACATTGCTGTTCTGCAGCCAGCGGGTCTGGTCTAGACTTCAAGGGTTCAAAGAGAGGCCGTCAAGTCACGCCCTGGAAGCGAATGGTATTTTAAGCAAGGCTGAGTGGAGGTAGTATCGCATCCATGGCGTTAATTACGTAGACGTCCAACACTGGCAACTCCCGTGCAAACCTGAGCTAACAGGTAACGGGAGATTAGCTCGTGTGGCGTAGCTTTCCCGCCCCCAGCGCTGGGCTACAGGGGGTGGGCCACCACCCGCTACCGCAAACCGCCATGAATGCAGGCAGCTTCTGAGATCACAAGCACGAGGAAGATGGCATTTCGTATGAATACACCGGTCAGCTAGCTATGTCGAATATGGGGCGTGTAACCACGCTGAGCACCTCCGTTCAGAAGCTTGCAGAATGAAGAGCCTCCTATGCACCCAGGTGGGCACATATGCACATCGAAACGCCACCTGAATGCAGCTAACAATTGGACTGGGACCAATCACCATAGCAGTGGGACGGCCAAGCATCTTTCTCAGGGATCAAAATCGTATCACTAGCCCTGCCCCGTTACCACGGCATAGCGGATTGTTCAAGCAGCGAACTCCCTCGTCGAGATCTTCAAAGTTCCACGGGTCTATCAGGTTCTGGCGCGCAGCTGATATTGCTTGGCCTAGTCTCAATCAGGTAGTGAAGCCGACTGATACCAATATTAAACTCATGATTAGAAGACAACCTGCCTAGAGCGTAGATACAGCATCAACTGAGGCCTATTGCTTTGCCGCATGCGCCATCGCAACCAGTCACTCGGGATGGCTCCAAGGGATACTCTTGCAGCCCAACCTTGCTTGCGGAAATGACTAATAGTCTTGAAGCGGCAAGGGTTGTGTGATCCAGGGTCACCTGCCTACACAACGGTTTTCTAAATTGGGACGAGTGTGCCAGCATCTCGACGACTTACATGCCAGGCGACTGGGTATCAACTCGGCTCACCCCACAACATCTAGTTGGTATCTACAAACACAAGGCGCAGTACGAATCCTGGCCCCCAATTGCAGGCAAAATATTTCTAGCTTGCGTCGTGGTCCGTTTCACACGAACCTCATGTTAGTCACCGGGCTACTGTCCTTCCCCAGTTTCCGGCTGATTTCGCATCAAGCATGACGAGCAAGGGCAAATCCTGCGCGTTGCATGGAGGCTGCACAGCTCCGGCTCATCGCTAACTACCTCCTGCCAGTGGCATATTTGGCGCGGTATCGCGTCTAGGCGCTTCTGCGCTCTCAATTCCATGCAGGCTGGCAGGGTGTCACCACTCGAGGGTTCTGCACCTCAGACGTTTTGATCCGTATATGATTACTGGACTTGGAGGGCTAGGTAAGGCTTAATCCACCGCAACTTCCACGTAGTAAGACTATGAGCATCCATGCAACCAAGTATTGTGGATCTGTGAAGATGGATCTCTTGTAGGGCTGAGGCGATGCCTTATGGAATTGTAACATCATATCAGACATCTGTCAAGTCTCAGGATCTGGGATTCAATTCCATATGGGGGTGGAATAGGATATATATAGAGCATTGGGTCCGTGGATATCCCAAAGACAGCTCCAAGATATCTCATCTCACCTTTCATCAATCTACTATTGCTCGATCTACTTAGCAAACCGCCAGTAACCTAGGTGATAATCCTCGGACCATCATCCAAACGCACCTAGTAAGTTGCCCAGAGTGATGCCTTGTCAACACACATGACTCACGCTGCTCATGTGGTCTTCTGAACCCATGACTAACTGTGCCATATCCCTCGGATCTGCTGACATTGATGCTATGGCAGATCAACGCCAGAACAACAACGAAGGCTTCGACAGTCCCAAGTCTTCCGCTGTATCTTCTGACATCAGTGGGCTCGGAAACTTGAGCGGCAGAGCGACACCAGTACGAGCACGTGTTGTTCATGGTAAAAGAGAGGTGACACTGGATCAGCCGGAGAGTCTACGCAAAAGAAAACGCCAAGACATTGAGGAATGTACCGTCGACTCCAACGATTCTGAAATTGAATCAACCTCCGCTGAACAGGGAGCTGAACGAGGACAATCTTCAAATCGAGGTACTAGCATCCAGCATAACAGAGGACGAACGCAAAGTAGAAGATCACGCAGAAAAATCGCAAGAAGCGATAGACTAATTACCAAAGATCTCACAGAAAGATCAGAACGATCAGAAAGGGAGATCCTGGCCCTTGAGACCAGTCAAACGCAAACCGAGCACAGCACAGTTTCACAGTCCGTTGCGGAACCATCGTCGCAGAATATCGAAATGCCGGACTCCTCAGGGTACAGCAAGAAGGGAGACAAGAGTTCTAGCGGAGGGAAGAAGGGAGACAAGAGCTCGAGCGGCGGGCGAAAATCTCGCGAGAACTCTGCAGAGACAGAGAATACTACCGACGAGTCATCGTCGAAGAGGGGCCGGAGCCGCAGTGGTTACAACTGATTCCCACTCGTGTCTAAACAGGACAGCGAAGGATACCCTTGCATCGAAAACGGCGTTTGAGCATTTCACTTTCACTTTGGGCTAGATTTCCTTTTACTTTGTTTCGTGCCTACCTCTCACATTACGGTGGGCGGCCGCTCGCATTAATCCTCCTTTCTTAGCGGTCAATATCCTAAGGTTCCAACTCAGCTCTGTTCAATCAAAATGAACCCCTTCATAACCATCTGGATTGGTGTATGCATGTCTCCATGATCTGACCTCAAATTGATAAAGGTATGTCGATCGATGAGTCCAAGCTCCTCCCATGTGACATTGGTTCACCAGTCACGATCCTAAATCACTGTAACAAGAAGGCATCGGGTAGGTACAGTCGGTATCCGGCCTTTTTTTTTTTTTTTTTTTTTTTTTTTTTTTTTTTTTTTCTCACTGCACGTGATCGTTGGTGGCTGCAAGTAGTATCACTTAGTTTCGCCGTTTCGCACGAGCCCTTCTCTACTGATGCAGACTCTGGGACATTAAGTTGCAAAGTATTGTCGGCCAAATAAGCTTCGAGCGTCGCCGCATATACTAGAGCGGATCCATCTGATGAAGATAATACTTCACTGCTACAACTTCAGGGTGCGAGTAGGTGCATGAGTGGAGAATGAAAAGTTAGTCGGAGAGAATTACGCTTTCAATATTGAATCTGTTCATGGCCCTACGCTGCAGGGGCTTAAGGACTATTTGCGATTCGCGTTGTTGTACACACACATTTTCATTGCTACGTGCCATGTGAGACTTCCCGATGCGATAACCCATGTCGGGCATCATAAGTCAAAGAGTGTGGTGGTCTGTATCTTGTCGCGTCGATCTGGAGTAATAAGTAACAATAAACATAAATGGAGAAAGACCAGAGATATAGCAACCCATTGTATTCTATCTCTTTTCGCACCATGTTCCATCTTCTCATCATCAAGATCCCAGCCTGAGGCCCTTGGCGTCTTAATTCCGCAGATATCGAAATCTCGTTGCATACTTTTCTTCAAAGACCCTAAACAGGGGTGTAGAAAGGCACGGTCATTCCACAATCATGACAGGAGAATGTAGTGGTCTTGTCCCTCGCCTGTCGACATTTACAGACCCACCATGTTTTTCGATTCCCGCCTTGAAGGACATCTCCTGGCTTATGAAGTCCGTCTCGTACGCCACAGCTGATACAGAACTTCCGCAGTGCCTTATTGGGCTCTCCCACCTCCCCATTCGCAGGCGCGTACAATGGTTGATTGATGGCAAATCGACTCGGCGGGAGCACAGCCCAGCACCTATAGCAGCCAATCTTGTCCCAGTTCTTTTCGAAGTAGTTGGCCGCGTGAAGCACAAGGGCATGCTTGCTCTCACACGAAGCCAACTGGGGGTTTACGACTCTGTATAGAGCTCGGCTCTGCCAACGAAGCCAAAGAAGCGTTCCATACGGTAGCTCGCACATGATTCTGTCGAAAATATTCTTTGGCAGTCTGCATAACCAGCTATCTCCCATTTGCCTGTGTTCACGCCGGAATTGCATATATACCAGAATCTTGCACCGTAACTCTTCCTCCGTCATGCGGCGTTGAGTATTATGGAAGTATGGAGAGGTGTCGTTGGAACACATAAGGCAGTACAACCCATGAGGGCAAAGAAGTCCAATCGCCATTAGAATGAACCAGTCGCATTCGGCTCTGGGATACCTTTTGACGCAGATTTCTGAACCTGCAGTAGTCTAAGTGACCAATAGTGATAATGATGATGAAAGTGTGACACAGATTGGCCTGTGTCAAATCGAAGATGGAGTGAACAACTCTTGTGGCTTATAGAACACCAGTCGATCTCTGCTGGAGTATGTATGGTAGTTCTCAATAATCTTAGCTTAGGGTTTGCGAGTTCCTCAATATATGTAGAGAAGCCACTGGTGGGGTAGCCGGCTTAAGTATAGGTTGCAAGACGGAGAAGCACGCATGGCCTCGGCTGGCTGAGGGGTGCCATGGTGTCTATTCAGTCACTTCAATCTCTGTCTAAGGCATGCATACGGATTGGCATGCGAAGAGAGGTGACCTGGTGGATGCATGGTACTTTGTCGCCAGGGGTTGAGGTCTCTTCTTGGTCTTGCATCTGCAGCACACTTACAAATGGACGTTGACGCTGAAGGCGGTTCTTGTTATTCAACGTTGCACGTACGGGACGGGCCCCATGGGTCCCGAGGCAAACTACATGCTGCAGGTGCAGGTGCATGCGTGCATCTCCAATACAGAGATGTAAGATTTCCCGCACGACTCTGGGCCTATGTGGGATTCCATACCCGGGCAGTGTCTGGGGTAGTTGCGCCAGCAACCCTGCCTGAGCCCACTCCAGCAGTGTGCCTTTCACAATGCGATATGCAGTCATACTACAAGTACCAGACTGTCGGGTCGACGAGCCATTTTCCAAACTTTGAGCAGAGTGCATGATCTGTGTCACACATACGGAAGATCGCCGGCGCATGGAGAGGATAAAAAAAAAACGCGGTTCAGTTAGAGGAAATGATCGGGAATGTTTAACGATGCCCTACTGCCTTTGATCATACCAAGGATGCTCTTGCTGCCCATTGTTCACACATGACCAACTTAACACTGGTGGTGCTGACTTCTGGCTACAAAATGCGGCAGTTCAGAGCGGAGAAAGCGATCATGCCCAAGTTCAATCCTCCAGCGAGGTCCATGTGAGGTGAAAACGTGATCGTGAGATCTGCATGCAGAAGGTCGCGTTCTGCATATAACTCGACATAGCGTTGACAGGTTGTGGCCGAGGAGATGATCAGATAGCGGAAGCGACCGTGCCCTAGGCACGCTTCTGACTTGTGCCAATCAATTCCCACGTTGGCGTCTGCTGTCCTATCTGCAACCAGAAGAATTAGGTGACATCCCAACATTTGACGAATCATGTCTCGAGTTGCTCATGGACCCAAGTTGACGCAGGTTGCACACAGGTATTCACACCTCAGCGCTTATCTTTGCCGCTTAGACGCGTCTCTGAACGACCCATGGATACATATGTGACAAGCGGAGGCCAAGATATCATTCACCAAGGTCGGCTGCCGTCATGAAATATCCAATCTATCAGAAAAGGTTTGTTCACTGTGGGTCGGCCTTCGTGAGCTAACCATGGAGCATTTAGTTTCCAGTTGGCTCAACTAGAAGATGGCCTGGGCAGGTACAGGGGAAATGATCATGAAATCTTCCAGCAAGTACTCACTCACTAGTACGCAGGGTGTGACCGGAATGACAGGCACCTGTCGGTGGGATCGTACAACTTCCAACAAGTTTACAACTCAACATAGGCGATCAGCAGTGTAAGCATCATTTCTCAAGCCATGCAGATGTACGCTATACCATGGATTCCATCATAACCCCCATCTTTACTTCGAACGAATAAGCTGATTTCGAACATCGGACAGAAAGCATGATGCTTGGGCCTGCCTTAACAAGGTCAGCACCTATCCATGATTCAATCTTGTTTGGAATCTGCGGTGTGAGCATCTAAGCTTCATTGGCGAAATGTGAACCAACGGCCCCAAAGCAACGAGGCAGGCATTCTTAAGCTAATGTTGGCCATATTTTCTGAGTTGGCCTTGCGGTGGGTCATATCCTGTGGCAGAGAATGGCAGCCGGCCAACTAGCACCTGTGGAACGCAATTCACCGCGCCAGAAAAGTCAGATGACGAACTGACTGGGCATTTCCGAGTCTTGCATAGTCTTACCCGCCTTCTGGCTCATCATGCAGGTTTGTCTTCACAGCTGACTACTCCGTAAGAGCAGGGCCAAAATGATTTCAGCGGCGTAAGCAGATTGCCTCTCGGAGTTCGGGTTCGGAATTGGTTCCCGCTCCGCTGTTCTGCTACAAAGCTTGTGACCCCGCGCCGCGAGGTTTCGATGGATGAGTTCCTTGTCCCCAGTGACGTCTAGCATTGTTTATTATGGATGTGTTAAGAGGCAATCGGAGCTATAGAATATGGGGCCGGTCGAGAAGTGGATGACTAGTCCACACCAGCTGATAGCGCCGGCATCCGACGCCGCCAGGCCCTTCTCGGGCGTGCACCTGCTTACCTAGCGGAGTACCGTGGCTCTATGAGTTTAGAAACGGGACGCACTCCGACTTGCCCTGATGCCAAGGGTCTCCCATCTCGTTGCTTATGTTTCTGTACCGATGTAGCCAAATATTCATCTCTTTCTTTTCTCTCTTTTCTTCTACGCGTGGCTGCTCGGCTCCGGATCCCACGCGAGCGTATTGTGGTGTAACGTGATAGGTCATCCAAAATGGACGAGTCCCAAGAAGACCACGATGAGAGCACGGAGCAGACTCCCCTGGTAGCAGGGAGTGCCGCCAAACAGCGTCGTCCACCACACCGGCACATGCTGTCAGTCGCTTCGATTGCCTCAATTGCAAGCGTCAATGTCCCCAAGGCGCACAACGGGAATACCATCGTCAACATCTTGTGTGCAATCGCCTTTGTTGTCTCTGCAGCGGCCGGCTTTGTCATTATCCCACTCACGCAGTTAGTCGAGAACGTTGTATGTCACAAGTACTATGGAATGGGAAATGAGCCTATCGACGAGGAGCTCTGCAAAATAGAGTCCATCCAGGCTGATGTGGCTTTCGTTTTCGCCATTGTTGGGGTTTGCGAGGCGGTCGTAGGCTTTCTTGCTGCTTTCCCATGGGGAATTGCTGCCGACAGGTATGGTTCTGAGTGGCAGGGGCACATTAGCTTTGCTAGGCTTGGCTGATTAGATGCAGACTTGGTCGGCGACCTGTGTTTGCGCTGTCTCTTCTGGGCATATCACTAGGAATAATATGGGATATCACAGTCTTGTGGTTCCCTTCGGTCTTCCCTCCGAGTCTCATTGCTCTGTCCTGCCTTTTCCTACTCGTAGGAGGCGGTAATGCCGTTCTAATAGGCATCGTGTATAGTATGGTGTCAGATGTCATCTCCGAGGATAAAAGGTTTGCCTTGAACCCATCCCCAGACAAGATAGATCGCTGACAAGTGCTCAGGGCGACTGCTTTTATGCGCGCTCATGTCATTAGTGTCATAGGAAGCTTGGTGTCTCCAGCTTTATCATCAGCTATGTTAACAGTGACTAGCCCCTGGGCTGCCATGTGGGTAGGGGTTGCTTGCTTGCTGATCGGAGCAGTTGCGTTTCTATTCGTCCCGGAGACATTGCAACATAAGACTCAGAGTGATGCCGCCGATGATCAATCCCAATCACCAGCCAGTCTTAGTGGCCATCTCTCTGAAACATACGAACGACTAAAGGAGAGCCTCTCCATCTTGAAGTCGCCATCCTTGATACTCCTACTCCTTACATGCATTGTCACGCAGCCGTTCTCATCAGCGGTCACACAATTCCTTGTACAGTTCGTATCAAAGCGCTATAATGTGCCAATCAGCGCCACAGGCTATATCCAATCAACATATGGCCTAGCTCAGGGCGTCCAAGCACTAGTTATCTTACCATTATTATCGCAATTCATGATGCGGGATTCGACGCCGAAACCATTCCTCATGGCCAACGAGCAGGAACGCGATCTGACGCTTGCGAAATGGTCCTTTGGCTTTGTTTTCCTCGGTTTCTTTGCTCTGGGAGCTGCTCCGACTGTCTGGATGTTTATCTTGGGATTGTTGGTTCTCGCCTTAGGCTCAGGTTACAATTCCTTGGCCAAAAGTCTTATGTGTCTCTACGTCGATCCAGAGCATCGTTCACGCCTTTTCAGCATGGTTGGTATGGCAGAAGTGATTGGTTCGGTCTACGGCCCGCCGATGTTGGCGGGACTTTTTGCTCTTGGGATGAACCTAGGAGGAGGCTGGATGGGACTTCCTTATTTCGGTATAGCGGTCCTGTCTGTCTTTGCAATGGTGATGTTACTTTTTGTAAGTGTTCCCAAGCACCGGGAACCTGGGCCCCCGCCATATGAGGAAGGGCCACTACACGAAAATTGAGGGCTGAATGGATTGGGGTCTCACAAGAGTGATGTTATTACTTCGGGGACCTGAATCCATAATTTCACCAGTTGGATGAGCGGACAAGAACTAGTACATCAATAGTATCGGTTTTGGAGTCCGGAAAATGCTGGCCAGATACCTCTTGGCAGTTTCATGTGATTATTCAATGGTTTGGGAGGCCGAATCGAAGAAACTAGGTCTCCGTTGAGTCCATCTCCATCCGCTAGAAAAGAAAGACCGGTGTCTGGGAAGACAACGCTACTACACAACACAGCTTTTTGATGAAGGTTTTCACCGATTTTTTTCTCAGAGACTGGGCTATTATCACTTGTAAAGGTATGTCGTTGGCATGCATGCTCTTTATGCTCTACGCGCTTGTACTTGGATACGTCCTTGGTTATTTCAGACATATGTTGCACTTAGCCATCTCATTATCGTGGGAGTGGTGTGAAGAAAGCTACTCCCGAGCGACAAACAGGACTCGGCACAGACTCGATCATCGGTCGTATGTCCGAATGCCAAGCCATCAATCATCACGATGGCCATCACAACGTCCCGCCAGAAGCAAATAGGTGTCTCGACTGCAAATGGGACTGAAGAATCGGGTAGTATTTCGGCACATCGTCACCTATGGGATATGCATCACCGCATTGACTCGGCAGCAGAGCCATAGTGGTCAAGGAATGCCCGAAGGACGCCTTGTTAGCCACAGCGGTAATGCCTATCCCACTTGAACATATCAAGTCTCGCGTCCTTACTGTCAAGCAGTCCCCATTCAGTAGCCAACGCGTTCATACCCGTTACGATCTTCGCCTGCAGGCAAAATAGCTCTTGATGTGGCACGTCGCGAAACACGTGCTCTCGTGGTATTCTTTCGGAATGCATCGTTCCGAGGTGGAACAATTGTGATACGGAGCTTCTCGTCCTGCTGGAGTGGAAGGAACAAGTGGCGCAAGAATAAGCATCAGTGTCTGAGCGACAGAAGGAGACAAATCACAATCACTGCAGCATACAACAAGCTTGCTGAGTTATTCTAGTCACGGCATTGGATGACCACTAAGATAGCGCCGAGGAAAACGTCAAAAGCAGCCCAGGGTATCCCATCATACAATCATTGAAGGTACAAACATCGTGAGGCTGACACGAAGAAGCCAGCTTCTTCGTGGCTATGTTTAGTTCGCAGACTGCAAGAGGAAACAGTACTTGACATCTCGAAAATTCCAAAAGATTGCTCAAATGAGTAGTGATCGGCATAATTACGAGTTTTGGAACTTCTGGCGCCTGACAAGGTCTAGGTTTCATGCAATAGCAGCTTGGCCGCGAGCACAACGCAGGATATGGTGACCGCTCAAATGGACTGCCCCGTAGAACGATTCACCAGCAATCATGTTTCTCTCAGCAGGGATATAATTTCGAGAACAATACAGCAGAGCAGGTCTTTCTACAGACATTATCGCCTGTGAAAACATTCAGTAGATACAGAAGCCTTACCATGCGAGCGTGATGACCAACGGTTCAATTACTAAGCTAATGATGCGTGATGTCTTGTCAGTCAGAAGTTGACTCACTTCGTGTCTTCAGTACTATGTATTTGACATTAAAGGCCATGCAGACGCCATGCGGCCGCTTCCAGTTTGAGGAAGTCGTGTGACTATGCACCCTGTCCGTCGCTAGACCCCTTCGTTCTATTGGAGAGCAGCTCTTGCAGAAACTTAGGAGACAACCTGAGCTCTTTGGGGAAAGCGCGTTAGCTGGGCTAGAGACTATATCGGCTATATATTGGGATCAGCCATACTGATGTCTCCAATCGTACAATATGTTGGATGTCTCTGTATTGAAAGTCGTACCTTGGTATGACCCTGGCATACTGTCTCATCAAGTCCTTAATAATCTCAATTCGAATTTATTTCTGCGTTGCAAGTCTTGGAGAAATAAGTGCCTTGCACAAGAACCTCTTATATTGAGTCTCCCGTTCCTTTACAGCTTGGGTTGGTACAAACGCGCATTAGTCAGAATGAGTCTCCAGAAGACCTCAGAGAGGGTCAGAACATCCTCGTGAGTCTAAAAACAGCCAGAATTCACATTTACAGGCATCGTTTCTGATACTATGAGTCTTCAGACCAAAGTACAAGGCCGATGTTGGTCTTCACACTCCCTCGAAAAAGGCCGAAAAGCGAAGGCTATCTCTAGAACGACAAGAACGATATATGAGCGAACTTCCATCGGCCGGGAACGTAAATGTCAGGTTGGCTTGCCAATCATCTGCCCGATTCTCATCAGTCGAGGAGATTCAGAGGGACATGGATATGAAATTGGGAGTAATCATGAAGGAATTGGCTCGGTGAAATGATCCATGATAATGTTGAGATACCGGCACTGGATTGACAGTTCCTGGAACAGATTCCGTATCTAACGTATGTAACAGAGCTTTCAAGTGTCATACAACTTGTCTAGCTTCTCTAGAGACCCGTTGCTCGTAGTGTCTATTCCACTCCACAACCCCTTTAATGGGTTTCTGTCTTCCATCGTCTCGAGCATATCACAGCTCATAGCCCTTCACACGGCACAATTCATAGCCGACCTCTTTCCAACGCTCGTTCCCAACGCAAGGGTGGCACCAGAGCGTGTCCAGTGGGTCCACAGCTCTCTTGATCTTGCGCAGCCGATCGTAGTTATCGCCCCAGAAACTGTGACGCCAGTCGGGTTCGGCAGGGTTGTTCTACCAGTGGTATCAGTCAACCAGTCACCAGTAGCAATGCCTAAGCACCCGATCATGGTATACAAGTGTATCTCACCTCGTTCACGTAGGCCCCCATGTCCGGTGCAAGCTTCCTCAGGGGCTCGACAGACGCGTTCACGTCGACGAGAGCCTTCGCTCTGGCCGCTGGGTCTAGCGGGCGGAATGCGATTCCGTTGGCTAGACGAAAGAGTAAGTAAACACACTATTATTATAATTGTATCATGAAACTAACTTACTTGCGTGGACAAGGGCCTTTCTCCAAGCTGGGCCAACTGCATTGCCTCCACCCCTGGGCTTGGCGTTGTTGACCCCATGGCCGGCAACCAGGTATGCATTACCACTTCCTCCGACCGAGGAGAATGTTTTCCATGCCTGCAAAGTTGCAGAAGGGTCTGTGAGGGCGCCGGAGTTGAGAAGATGCGAGCCAACGTATATATCCGCGCCCGCGGTGCCCTGATCGAAGTGGCCACCGGGACCGTACCAATCCAAGAACGAGGCATATGCTACGGATGTGTTGCCGTGGACCGTTTGCGGCCACTCGGCTTCGATATGATCTACCATGGGTTTCCAGATGGCCTGAACATCCCCTGTGTTCTGAGTGTCTTGCAAGATGAAGCTGCCGACGAATGCAGAGACGTGTGTCTTGCCCCCATCAAGCGAGTTCGAGACGTTGGGGTAGATGAAGCTGTAGCCCGAGATACCCTTGGAGTCTAGGTATGCATACTGCGATAGCATGTAGCCTATCATGTCCCAGAACCAAGCGGCCCCTATCTCGTACGAGGCAAAGACAATATCTAGACTGACAATCTTGGGCGATGGATGCGTGGACATTGTGATGGAGGTCGCAACGCCAAAGGTTGACCCGCCACCCTTTTGAGAAAGCAAGTAAGCAACAGTGATGCATGTTTTGACAGCAGGCCCAACTTACACCTCGCATAGCCCAGAACAAGTCCTGGTTCTGGCACTCGTTTGCAATGACGAACTCTCCCGTAGGCGTGACCAGCTCTATCTCTAGGACTTGGTCTGCGGCGAGTCCATATCGCGGTGCCAAGATCGAGTGACCGCCGCCGGTGATAAAGCCTCCCACAGCCACTGTTTTACCACCCCCTCCAACGACAGTCTGGTTGATTTTGTCAAGCTCTTCATAGAGAGTCCCCATTTGCGTTGCACCAGCCGCGGTAACAGCATTACCCTCGATGCTGAAATTGCACCCTTTGGGCTGAAACGATGTATGTGTCTGCAGCCCTTGCATGTGATGAATCCATATTGTCAGAGCGCCGGGAGCTATTGATCTCCCTTGATAATCATGGCCAGTGCTCTTGACTACAACCCTGACGTTCTTTTTTCGAGCTGCACATACTCCGTTAATAATATGTATGAGCAGGACGGCCGATCTTGCCCTTACCATATTGGAAACTGAGTTTAATATGCTCCGGGGTGGTCGCGTTTACCGCGTAGGCAGGATATCCTGCAGGGCTGCACGGATAAGTGACATTAGGAAGACAGGAGTCATTACTGTATTGGTTCCACATGCTACAACGGTGTCAGAAGGCAATTCATTGTACTGATCGGCTACAGAGATGAAGCACTAACTTGGAGATTGGGTCGTTGGAGTGGAAGTCATAGGTGGTCCAGGCGGTTGCGACAGTTGCGCATTGATCGGCGTTGTAGGTTGGCTGTCCCGGATGGCAGACAGCTCCAGGAGGAGACGGTCGGAGAAGCACTCCTCCAAGAGACTGGTTGAATCTGGCCCAATCTGCTTCAGGTGGCCACGACGCAGAGCCTGGTGTGGCCTTGCATGGCTGGGACGAGTTGTTCCCGGCCCCGGTTGAAGGGACATGGCACAAGCTTGAGGATAAAGGGAGAAGTAGGGTAACAAGTAGTCGTGATTTGGCTGACATCGTGGATTAGCAATTATATAACGGCATTGGCTCTGAACGTAACATCGAAAATGTGCAGAGAGCCTGATGCCAAGGAAGGGAGAACAATATATACCCCAACCTGGAAAGCACAGAGAGTGTGTCTTTAACGGTCTGACATCACGGAAAACAACGCAGCTGAATCTGGTGAGAACAAGGTAATGTGGGTGACGATGTCCCAATCGGGCATTATCTCACGGACTTGATCGGCAGGGAGTACGTCGAACCGAGTGCGAGATGAAGTATGTACGTCAAGGGCGGGCGCGATAGCCTGACTATTGGGCAACTAGCCAAGGTTTTTGTTCCTTCTAATAGTTCTAGTGGTCGTATTGCTCGCTTTCGTTGGAAAAGCTAGAGCTTAGTGTGATGTTTCGGCATTTTCATGTCGACGAATGAAGGGCGTAATACGGTCAAAATATGGGGCCGGTTCCTAACTGGGACGGGTGCGCGTACCGTACCCGGATATCATGTTGCTGCTGCACATGAGTGAACGACACATGGGTTCGCATAGTCAATTGGCTCTCATAGGTTGAATTATATCAAGTCTCCCAAGACGTTGGTTAATCTGAAATTCTATTCAGGACCCCCTTACCTATTGCGAGGTTTTGCAAATCTTCTTAGCAGGACTATATTACATTTTAGAAGGTTGAAAGGTGACGAAGTAAAGTAAATCTAGAGCCGAGGACAACTCTTCATTACTGACTAGATTTTCAGGTCGAAAGCAAGTTGCTGGATGAAATCACTGTTTCTGTGGCGCCTGAATGAAGATCAATGCTGGTGGTGAGCATGAGCATTTGGTGTCGCGCGCTAGCGAGTTGGCAGAATTGCCCAGAGTAAGAAATCACTGTGGCTGTTCTGTCAAAGACGGAGAAGCCGTTAGCCGACGTGAGCATCACCAAGCACAGCCGCTGCCAATCCTTCGTCCGCCTCATCATGCGACGATAACTCCGCCACGGACGAAAAGTCGACGGAATCAGTCTTCTTATAAAATGATGGAAGAGTGGGCGGATCCCAGGTTGACACGTTATGTAGTTAATGCGAGCAAAAATTACAGCTCAGTCACAATATAATACAATGACCATGGATCCTCCACCACCTCCCTATATCGCAGCACCACCGACAAACCATCAGTCCAAGACACTGCCAGAACCCCCGTGGGTCTCGTCCTCCCAATCCGGCAGATGCAGTCCGTCACAAGCATCATCCAACGGAACAGCACAAGATGACGCGTTGATCCGATATCATTTAGACCAACTGGAAGGCGAACAGGTGCGGCAGGCGCAGAGGCGCCGTGGCTTGCGATGGAAGGATGCACCACCGGCTCACAAGGCTATCTTCATCTGTTTTTGTCTAGTTTTCGTGGGTACTTTCATCGGCATCATAGTAGGCGCTGTGACAGCGGCGACAAGACATAGCAATTGAGCAATAGAAATATCAAGTCAAAGTAGAACCCCTTACCCGTGAGGTGTTCCAAGCAGCTGGGGCGACAAGGCAGGATTCACCAGCGTGGCCGCAGAACCGACAATGCACGTATGCAGTGATGCCGAAGGACAAGGGGCAAGGATCTCAGTGTCACTCACTACAAGAGCACGGGAGCGGAGAGGGAGCGGAGACAAGTTTCGTGGAACTCAGTGAATTCGCAAAGCACAGTGAAACCTATGACCACTGCACTAGGGTATGTAGCGATCCTCAATCGGCGTTCCACGTCCTCACGACCAGGCCAGTCACGTTCCTGGTCGCTCATATGGAAAAGCTATCTCAGCTATCCACCCAATCATGCAGAAACAACCCCCGAAAGGACCTTTCCTGATACACATGACCGAAAGAGAGGGAAAAACGGAGTCGCGGGAAAACGGAGATGATGCGTAATGCGAGAATGCGAGATATCAGGACCCCAAAACGCCCCTTTTTTGTATTGAGGAACTCTTTTTGGTACTCCATCGTCTATCTGCATGCTGGATGTCGTCGGTCATGTCCAGGAGACAAGAATGATGCCCATTTTTCTATGCGCCCATGCCATCGTGAGAAAGCTTTGCAGATTTCCGAGCTGTACCATAAAGTCGTGACCTATGCCCAAAACACAAAGAAAGCAGAAGCGAAACCGTCTACTTTCTGCGGAAAGAGCAACCCTCGGTGAGTCTGGCCTTGCCACCAGTGGGCTGGCAGAGGACAGTTGTGCAGCCCTGGCAGATGACGACGGTCTGGGCGTGGGAGAAGACGGTGGTGATGGTGAAGCAGCCGGGGCACTTGACGTCCATGAAGAAGGATCGGGGGGCAGGGACCAGAGTCTAGGATCAGCCAGTTAGTATCTTCGGACGACGCGGGCTGTTGTGGTGCAGCTGGGGTGTCGGGCGCTGTCGTACCTTGAGCTTGTGCTTCTTAGCCTCGGCAGCCGGGCTGGGGTTGAGAAGGTCAACGGCGAGAACCTGTGGTGGGAAATTTTGTCAGCATCATGGCCTGGTAGCGATACACACGAGTGTTCAGGTCGTCCTGATCCCGGATCCGTCCATCAAGCAACATCGAGGCGCGCGTCCATCTGATATTCCCAGCATCCACCCCGCGGCGGCAGCAGCAGTGGCGGGGACGACAAGAAAAGTGGTCGTCGGGATCGCGGGTGGTGTCGTGGTTATCGCGGTGGGTGGATGGATGGATGGCCGGATGTTGCTTGACGAAGACGGGCGAGACCAGGGACCGGGATTCGGACGCAGGCTGCGGTTCGACTCACCATTTTGGCGGATTGTGAAGAAGGAGGACTTGATCAAGATCCTAGCGAGATGAGTTGGCTGGTGGAAATCTGGATGGATTTGCTGGTGGCAGATTTGCACTCGCTGGCGACGGATGTGAGGGGAAGGAGATCGTGTGAAGTCAAAAGATTCGAATTTTTGGTCGAGGGCACTTTTCCTCAATTGCCTAGACTCCACACACAGGAAGGCGAGAGTGAATGGCGCTAGTCAGAACGGGGAGTAGCGCCGAGAGTGGAGAAGAGGGTTTAGGGCTCGCGGTGCATTTCATTTGGGGACCTTTCTGGCCGCGTCCGGCAGCTGGCGGCCGGATCTCCAGCTGCGAGACAGCCGAAGAGGGGCATCATCGTGCACTCTTGCCGTCAAGTCCATCGCTCTGCCATTGATTAAGTGCCCATCGATTCCCCTGCCAAGTCTTGCATGTGGTTTCCCAGGCCGCTTTCATGGGGCAACAATTGTTCGATCTACTACTTCTATACAGCACAGTATACATGCTACCAGGTGATGAAATGAGTAATGCGAAGAGGACATGGTGCACCTCCCAAATACCCGACACCTAGAATGTATATATGCGCACCGGGCACAGAGAACAACCAAAGGAATGACAACTGGTCTCAAATGGACTGACTGTAACTGAGATCAACCCGGTCTGTCCAAGGTCAATTATTCAATTACACCTCTGACCTCCTTCAACCACAAAGGTAGATCTGGTTGGGTGCTTGGAAGATTTTGCCCATGCCCATGCCCATGCTCGCTGCCCACATGCAGGCACAGGCACCCATGGGCCATGACATAGCCTGGAGGCTGATAGGCATCTCCAGATCACCCGCCCACTTAGCTTTAGCGTCATAGCTTCCGCCGCTTCCCCTCCCCCCACGTCGACCTTTTTGCTTGGGTATGCAGGGACCAAGTTCGGACCAGTGAAAGTCGATGCCTACAACCAGGTCACTACAGGTTGGACAACTCGTCCTGGCAACGCCCGACAATATAGACCGACCCGAGACCTTCACGGCACTTGGCTGCCTTTTGTTCTTTGCTCATCCCCGCGTACGTCTCTCTCTCACCCGTGAGCTGTCATCGTCTCGCCCTGCCCTTCCACGCCGCCATGGCAGCTCCCACAGATCAACGCATCGCGGTGCCTATCGACGACCCAAACGCCGATACCGAGTGGTGAGCATCCTGAATTCATACCCTCGGACCTGAACCCGCCTGACCAGTCGCTTGCGCTCCAGGAATGAAATTCTGCGCAAACATGGCGTCATCCCTGAGAAGCCCCCTTCTCCCACCCCCATGATCGAGGAGGCCATCCTGGAGGGCCGAAGGATAGCGCACGAGAACAGATTGGAGGGCAAGGACCTGGACGAGCTCGACGAGCTGGAAGACCTCGAGGACGAGGCATTCCTGGATTCGTACAGGCAGAAGCGCATGCAGGAGCTCAACAACTTGACCAAGAAGTCCATACATGGCGCCGTCTACCCGCTTTCCAAGCCCGAGTACCAGCGCGAGGTCACGGAAGCCTCCAACAACGGCCCCGTCTTTGTCAACCTTACATCGCCGTTGGGCACCAATGTCGAGTCCAGAGTGCTGTCCGAGCTCTGGCGGCAGGCAGCGAAGGAGTATGGTGATGTCAAGTTCTGTGAGATACGGGCCGACAAGGCTATCGAAGGCTACCCGGACCGCAACTGCCCAACGATCCTGGTCTACAAGAACGGGGACATTGTGAAGCAGATCGTCACTCTCGTCACCATAGGTGGCGCCCGTGTCAACATGATGGAGATCGACAATTTGCTGGTCGAAGTCGGAGCGGTTGGCGAGAAGGACATGCGGGTCGTGAAGAGGAAGCGGGATGCAGAAGATGCAAGGGAGGAGGCGTTGATGGGCAAGGGCATCAAGAGCGGCAACTTGCGACATGCTACCGTGAACGATGACGACGACGACGACGATTGGGATTGAGGGCAGCTACCCTCTCACTGTGCCAGTCATCAGTCACCCGTTCAAAATAATATATAGACGGCCGGTGGCATGCTGGAGATTACCGCGACTACGGCCCCTCGGTCGAAGCCACGCGAAAGAGGCTCGTGAGGCTTGGGTGTTGAAACACAACGACCATAGGGGGCAACTGACGACGGTCAATATGCCCATTCTAGCTCGGACAGCCGATGAGCAATATTCACCCGACGCTTGTCCACACTAAGTTGTCTTCTGCCTACTCAAAAACTGTGTAGCAAATAGTCACCCGCTATACAATGGCTCGGTGGAGGCAGAGTATATGCTTCTTCGGTCTTGGTCAGCACACTACTTATACCTAGCTTGTAGAGTAGACTCGGGTCTGCTTGTGTCTCTGATGCCCCTCTAAGAGTGCGGGCTTGGTGCGGGCTTGGTGAAAGATATCCAAAACACCTTCAATACGAACTTTGGGACCCTCTCGCGTTCTAGGCACTGCATACATAAGTACCTTTCTGGAGTTTCCGGACGGGCCAAAATGCTGTATACGTTATAGTGGGGCTAGGCGTGTTCCGCAGCCGTGGCGTCGGAGCCGATCCAGGGGCCTATCGTTGGACCCACCACGGGTGTTGATTTCTGGCGCGTCTCGCCAATGCAATTGGTCCACGAGGGTGGGCGACCCTTCTGATCACTTCACCAGGGAATCATATTCCTTGCACAACCAAGAGCAGCAACTCGGGCATTCTGGTCGAAAGAAAACTCAGTCATTGTCCGGTTGCACAATCATGGCTGAAGAACCAACTCTCCCAACTCTCCCGCGCTTCCCTGCCGTGTCGTGGAACTCGGGGACGCAGTCTTTCAACAACACGCGTAAACGCGTGCGTGGGGACGGGTATGATGTCGCGGCACCTGCGCCCTTCTTCTCAAACTCGAGCGACCCAGCTGTGTTCTCCAGTGACGATGATCCCAGCTTGGAGAATTACACCCAAGGACGTCACCGCAAGAAGCGATATGTAGGTTCATGGTATCAGCAGCAACAGCTCGCGTCCTCGGACTCCGCCCTGGGCGATGAGGTGCGCTTGCCCAAGCCCACGGGCAAGCGGACATTTCAACGCACAGCCGACAGTGGTGTTTGGATGGGCAGTGATGCCTCGACGGATCTCGAGGACGCGGCCGGCCTAGAGTTGCCCCAGCCCGCCCCGTGCAGATTGCCGCAGCTTAATGTTTCCCGCCAGCCTGCGGCCATATCTGAGAACGAAGAGTTCGCACGGGATCTTGTCTACAAAGCGTTGGAGAACGGGGAAGAGGACGTGAATCTTACGTAGGTACCCCATGATTCCCCTCGATCTCATCAGCAATCATTCATGGGTTGATACATGTCCACTAACTCATATCTAGCTCTATTGGCCTTGAGGATCTGTCTAATGCCACCATCACACCCCTATCAGAATTTGCATGCATACCAACTGTCACGGAGGGAGTGCCCTTTGTGCAGAGGGATCCCTCTCTGAAAATCTATCTTGCGCAGAACCCACTGCGTCGCGCGCCTGGTGCTCTTTTCAACTTGGAGTTTCTCACAGTGCTCAGCCTCCGCAACACCAAGATCACGGAGCTCTCGCCCTCACTAGGCAACTTGCGTAATCTCAAGTCTCTCAACGTGTCTCTGTGCCGCCTTCGATGTCTGCCCGGAGAGCTTCTGGAATTGATGACGTATCCCTCAAAGCTCGAGGATTTACTTCTCGATCCCAATCCGTTTTATCAGCCCGACACTGATGACAATCCCATCCCGGACCTGGACCCCGAGCTATTCGAAGATTCAAAGGACATCATCCTTCTTCATGAACAGACGTTGAACAACACAGCGGTACTGCGAACGTGGCTTGATAAACGAGATGGTCTAGGAGATGGCGTACAGGACTCGCTCAGTGATCTCACTTCGACGTGGCGTGCGAGGATTGTAGCTCGATCACCAGTGCAATTCATGAACAGTCGCGGTGCTATCATCTCCAAGTTTCACTTGCCGAGCGCACAGAGTGACCTCAAGGTGCTGGAAACTGAGGATCTTACTCTACCGCCTTCGCTTCCTACGTCTATGGCCCACTCTTCGACAGGGGAAGCCAGCAGAGTTCCATCTCTGCTCGAACTGGCATTAAAGTCTTGTTCTCAAACGAGCCAGCTCCCTTTGTTGCCGGCATATCTTCCAGATGATGCCCCACCACATTTATCAGAACTCCTTCGCCGTATTGTGGTTCAGCAACAAACTAATGCCAACCTTGGGGATCTGCCGTGTTCCAACTGCAGAAGACGAACAATTATGCCAGTGGGCCAATGGGTCGAGTGGTGGTATACTGCAAGGGTCTCTTTGGCCACGGGCCAGGTGGGACCCATGGTCGAGGACAGTGCCAGAAAGGCAGTGCCTTACATGAAGAGAGCGTGCTCTCTTGGGTGCTTGCCACAGCCCAGGAAGGTGGGAGCTCACTTTCCGGGGACGGTGAGGACGTGCGTTACTAGCATCCAGGCGGACACCGAATAGTGAGCAATTTGACGGCACAGTGATTCAAGATCCACCATCATAGAGATCGAGCAAGGATCTAATTGCTGAAGGGCATATAGCTGTACGCCTAGGAATCTCGGAACTGTGAGAGCTGTCAAACTTAACTTGAGACAACATAGTACACATCAAATTGGAATGGCCAGATGCGTCTACTGTATAAATCTATGGTCGCCCCCGATCTAAAGCGTTTGGTCCCATAACAGCGACCATGATGATGCATCCACTGAATGAAGCCAAGAACACGAAGGCGGATCAACAACCCCCCTTCCCCCCTCCCCCCTTTAGTTACAGCCTCGCCTCGCAATCCGGGCAGAAGTCTACCTCACAGCCTGCCCTTCAAGTTGACAAAGAGGGCCTCAGCCTCGCACAGCACCTCGCCGCCCTCGCCCTCGATCCAACCGCGCACCCACGTTTTGCGCTCGGCCGTGCGCACGACCTCTGCGCCGGCCAGCACGATGCCGGGGGCCGGCACGGGCCGCAGGAACCGCGTGTTGAGGAACCCGGTCATGGCGGGGCGGCGGTCGAGGGCGCCGCGCTGCCGGTTGAGCGTGCACAGCAGGCCCGTGATCTCGTCGAGCAGCGTGGCGACGGCCCCGCCGTGCGCGAATCTCGGGTACCCGCCGACGCCGGCCTCGAGCCGCACCAGGGCCCGCAGCGTCGGCACCAGCGCCGATGGCGACCCCGGCGTCGGGTAGAACCACAGCGACCGCGGCACCGTCTCCGCCGTGTTGAGCGTGCTCGAGAAGAACTGGTCGCTGACGGTGATCCGCGGCTGTTGGCCCTCCGAGGCTGGGCTTGCTGTCCCGGAGCCCGGATCCAGGTCTCGCGTCCAGGGAGGGTGGTAGTATGTTATTGACTCGGTGCTGGGGGTCAGGTGAGCCGCGCACCAGGGGATCGACTTGAAGTAAGCTGCCGAGGATGGCTCCGGCTCCGGTCCCGGCCCTGTCGAGTTTTCTGGACTCATTCTGAATTGTAGACAATCTGCCCCCAGAACATCGCACGTTGGTCTAGTTGTCCAAGTCAGAAACAAGCCGGCTTCAATGGCTGCATTCTAGATCGCGGGGAGATCGTCTCGGTGTAGTCGTGCCGAGGTACAAGGGTATAGTGGGACAGGGGTATGAGCTAACTTGGTCTACGGGTGATTTCAAGTAGCGGTACCCTCTGGTATGAAGCAACCACCTGTTCTGACATGTTTTCAGATATGTATTTGCGGTGCGTGACGCAGCTTGAACTCAAGCTGGTTGTACTTGAGAACGAGTTCTATAATGGGCTTGAGTTGAGTTTACAGGTCTCGCCAGCGCCTGTGTTACCCCGCGTTGTGCTAAAAGATGAAGCCAGGTATAGTTTGTTTCTAGAGCAAGCAATCTTTCTGCTTTTACCGTGCCGTTTTCCGTGAACTGAAACCCAACTTCAAACTTGTGGTCATTATCAGCGATTGTCGAGCATGTTGAAAATCCAATAAGGGATTAACGTAGTAGTCTGTCCAGCTGCCACTCAGTCAACTCACCAATCATATATACGTACGACCTATAAGTATACATCTAGACGTTGGCGAGCACCCTATTGTTAGTTGCTACCCAACACCAGAAGTCTCCAAGCATGGGAGTCCTTTCTTTTTACAAGTATGCAGCCGTCGTGGAACATGGGGCGAGAATGATAGGGCGTCTAATAGTGTGATAGGCGACAGAAATATCTTGACCCTCCTGGTGAACCCGAAAAGGAGTGGTGCCTTGCAATCGGATTGGTTGCCTCAGGTACTTTCAATCGCGAAGGCAAAACTGCATGACATGTTTGCGACAACAAATTCGGAAGATGGCACGCCCCTGAATCAATGACACGGTCCGATAGCCATGTCCGACGGCGGTGTCGAATCAGCTAAGAAATGAAGCGTTACATTCCCTGGTAGGCACAGATGCACAGCCGCACCGACCATTTCATAGGTGTGTGAAAGCAAAGTATGATTGGCCGTTGGTTGGGCACCAAGTCAGGTCTGTGCAGCCCTTTTCTTCGTGCTGCACCTGTTAGAAATTACTGGCAATCCTTCTTGTCGGCCGATGGCACATGATGCAGCAAGAAACCGTTCCAGAACCTCTCATCGATCGATCCCATATAAAGAGGCGTACCTATCGGAAATAGATCATGCAGCCTTCGGTCATTCAAGCCAGACGTCTCGCTTCAGATATCTCGCACAGGCCTGGCGCGAAAATGAGTGCCTCATGGTATGCTACAGCGAGTAGAGCTTATATACAATCGAAATGAGCTCAGAGAGCCGGTTGGGCACTAAAGCTTACTCGATATAGAGAAATTGACATGTCAATTCGCAATACGAGACTGCATTGCTAGAGAACAGCGCATCAATGAGGGATAGCGAACAAAACCTAAAACATGAAGCTATAAACGAAGAGGCGTTCATCTCCGTAACACAGAGAAAAGGAAGTGAAGCCAGATGCCACATGCATTTGGCATGACTCAATACTTTAAGATTGCCACTACACGCCGCAGCATCTGAAAACTGCGCGTTTCAGTGGCGGTGAGGCGCTTGGGGCAAATTCCAGCACCAACCCAGTAAAATAGTAAACCAAACCCCCCTCTGCTCCATTCAGCAGAGGATGCACCATACTGAGGGACATTGGGTCAGTTTCTGTCTCAAAGGCTTTCATGTCTTGCTATAGTGCTCACATGGACGATTCTACCCGATTCAACACAACAGCAGTCGAAAATAGGGGTCACGTCAACCGAGTACCCACAATCTGCAGTTGGGGCCTGGCAAACAAATGTCGATAATGATGTTTCCTCCTCTTCAATAGCTCGGCATACGATCGCCGTGGTCCCTCTCCGTACGGTTTCTGGATCCGGTGCGATAGTATCTTTCATGTCGATCTGAGCTGGACACAGTACTGTTCGCCCTTGTATGTCTTGCACTTGCCGTCGAAGAGGATGACTCATGAGCAGGAAATGCGACGCTGTAGTACATGTCCGTCATTCGACTTAAGGTCTCGTGCCTTGAATAGGATTGTTGGCTGCCGGTTGGGGGGTCAATATCATGACGATCGAGGGCTTCTTGCCTCTGTTCGATAGTTCGCGTTCTTTCGACTCGAGGCCGACCACTTCCACCTCTGGGTAACTTTAGAAGAAAATCCAAGAGGCAACAAAGTTAGACTCACCGAACAGATCCCTGCTGTGCCTCGGTTGACGATGACGAGTCTCCTGAGCCTCGGTTACGCTGATGATATACGCCCATTCCAGTGGAGATATAAGCCGAATCTTGCGTGTCGATCTGCTCTGGCTCTTCCTCTATGGGCTTGGGAGACTGATAGTAATAGTCAACGTCGTCCACCCCCTGGGAGTTGGTCCATGAGCCTGCAGCGGTGTTGTTATGATCGTGGTAGCCTGTCCCCGGATGACCGTAATACGAGAGATACGGATGCTGACCGACTGCAGTTTCAGACCCTCCGTCCGTGGGAGAGTGGGATATGTAGTAGCTGGTGCTAGCATCTTGATATTCAGTGGCGTGGGACGTCTCATTGGACAGATATTGATCATCCATATAGCTGTCACATGTCACAGCATCCACAGCACCGTAACTGTGGGGGTCAGCGAAAAACGGGGTCTGAGTGCTTGTGGCTACGAACTCGTCTTCAGGCCTTCCAGAATATCGATGAGAAGACGACCATGAAACCTCATGGTTCAAAGGCTCCGTCGAAGGGCATGATGAGTCATGCGAATCATTAATGGCCGACGCCCGCCTGGACGTGCGCCTCTCGGGACTCGAAGTCCTCGTCCAACGTCTGGATGCACGGTTTGCCATTTTGGTAGTCGTTCCCTTTGTTTTCAGTCGGTCACGCAGCGAACTCCGAATACAACCGCGAGGCCAGCGCAATATTAAGGGGCGTCAGAGAAAAGAAACGCAAAGCTTTTATTGACCACACTTGATGTGATCAAGAAGAGAAGCACAGTACTGCGGAATCAAGTGTTACCCAATTTCGCAGCATCTCTGATAGCAAAGCAAGATGATCATAGTCCAGGTTCATACGCGGCGCCCCGATGGTTCCCTTTTTCATTGTGCGAACTATGCTACCCCTAAGACGACTCGAAGCAACATAAGGCGACCAGCAGGGATAGGGGGCAGCCGTGTTCGACCTCTTGGAGCCAACCACGACATTATGGCAGACGTGGATCCAATCTTGAAGCCCTATTTGAGTGGTTGACCTTCAAGGTCTGTCACGGCAGCCGTGTTAGACTGCTGGGGTCTCGGTCAAGGGTTGGGCATTGACTGGCACTGCACCTTGGATTCAAAAGAGGTTAAATGGACCGAATACAGGAAAGGGACCCGAGCGACAAAGGGCGACGAGTGTGCAGTTGCCTTCTTCACCTTCATCCGCAAATGGAACGCCATTCAAGTATCGGGGCGCGCACTGCTGACCGCCGGCATGTGTGAGTATGCATGGTCCAAAGCCTGTTGTCCTCCAACTAAGGAAGGGTTGTGGGAGCTACGTTGCAGCCCAACAGAATGGTCCCCCTAGGAATTTCCGACCAAGAAACTATCAGAGCCGCAGTATAGGGCGCTAAGGGTCTGCTGCCAATTTTTCTAGTACGAGAAAGAGCTCGGGATTGAGTCCAGATTCAAGAGTCTGTCCAGCCTCGACTCGAGGGGACGTCGGTAAGGCAGTATGAGCCAGGGGATTTGAGAATTGGAAGCATGGGATGTTCTGATCTTGTCGACGAAAGACTTCAGGATATGCTCAACTTTTATTGTCTCGGAGGAATTGGTTCCCAAGAACACCGTTGAAGCTACCTCGTGCGCTTGCTGCAACACGATCGATTCGGCCTTCATTCCAATGCAAAGCAGCAGCTGATCGACATGAGCACGTTGATCTTGACACGCCATAAGGCTGGCTAGAAAGGGAAAACAGGTCGCATGGAAGGAGTCGGGCGCTGCTGCACGATGGATAGACCCGCTGCAAGCCACTACATTTGACGAGCCATGGGGCATCAAGTGACTCTACCACAAGGTGATTCCCTACCGTGAAGCATGCCACCAACCTCACCAAAAGGCTGCTAAAACCGAAGACTACGAAGGCAAATGTTGCACTGTTGGTAATCTCAGGGCCTATCTAACTACACGAACGTCAAGGAGACGCAAGCATCGTTGCCCAACGAAGGCCGTTGACAGTCGAAGCAAACCAAAGGTCTCAGTGCTACCTGAGGGGTATGCGCCAGCACACGTTTCAGCCTCCGCCAGTTTAAGTCGTTTGGTCTAGACTGGTGAGAGCTGAGCTCAGTAAAGCATGTGACCTCGTGGCATACTTCCTGCAGTAGAACACGACACGAGTGAGGTGGTGCGTACCCGCATCCCTGATGTAGGACTGATACGTGGTGGCACGGCTTGTTGATCTACTTCACTGTACGAGATCTCAACTCCTTGATACATGAGGTTAGAGTCCAGAAGACGGTGGTGTGTATATCCTGGACGTAAGCGCTGCATATCCTGCTAACTTTACTAGTCCATTCCTACTTGCGATAAAGTGTCTCTTAATCCAGTTGAGACTGTCGCCGCTCTCGGCTTTCTCGCTCGGCTCTCCTCGGTGCACGGAAATCGCCCAAGATGTTGTGCCTGTCAATTGGGGAAGGAGAAAAGCAAGCATGAACAAGCTGTGTGGCCAAGACACCAGCGGAACAAAGTCCAGAGCCACACCAACGGGTGCTGTGTCGAACCCCGCTGTCCTCGTCGGGAGAATACCAATGCAGCCGCACGCATTGGGGCCCCTTCTCCACTTTGTTCTTCATCCAGGAGAGGGCCAACTGCTGTTGAAAACAACCTCGGTCATTTATTTTGCGGCTCATTGTACGCATGGCCTGGATCTGGAAGTAGGTATTGCTGTCGTCCTCACCGGTCTACTCTAGAGTTGATTGGTCACGTTACACGATGAAGATGCTGCGCTGCTTTGCTTACTCCAAGACCAGTTTCAGCCACTTTATAGGATTAGAAGGGGAGCTCTATTCAATACCCGACCAACTCGCCCTTTTCATTCCAAATTGGTAGAGCCTCTATTCATTCTTACGGTGGAGCCCCTAGGGATTGATCGCTAACGCACGAGAAGCACGCAATGAATCCATGCAGGGTTAGTTCAGTATAGGTATGGTGAAGTATCGGCCGCTAGATCTCCTTATCTATTGACATCCGTGGGACTAACAGGATGTCAGCGCCGCCAGCCAGCTCCGCGGCACATCCCCTCCGTGCATTGCTACATTGATAAAATGGGTCGGACTGAGGTCGGTACTGATGGCTGAAATGTATCAGTTCATCTGTTTTGTAACTTTCAGATGCTATGAGCCGAGAGGCCAGGTAAAACATTCTCAATTGGTCGTCATTCTTCTTTCTAATCCCTACCTAAATACACTCTGATCGACACAGAGTGTCATGCCTGGGAAAGGGTGCCGTGGGGACGCTACTTGTTGGCAGATCTCGTGGCACGCTTGTTCGGATCTTCACCTGTGCAATGGTGTGTGTCTTGGTCAGGCTGAGTAAACCCCTGAAGAGTTGAAATTCAGCCCAACATCCCTGGACCCGGAGGCTCTGACATAGCAACTCGAAAGCTTAATGTGCATGGCCGCTGATTTGAGAGATGGTGCCTTGCTTCTTGCAAGTTCATCCAACCGTTTTGAACCTCCCGTCACCACCAGGTTCACCGTTCATCGGCCCAAGGATCTGAAGCTTGACCGCGGATTTCCAATCAATCTCGTCCACATCGGCTGTGACATTCTCCAGGGCGCCTTGCGAGGCATCCTCTTCCTGGCCGATTTCTTTATCAACACCAATAGGCTTTTGTTCTCAGTTGAGTGACACTCACGAGAACTTTAGCTGTCGTTGGCCTTAGGGCGAAGCAATGCGTCGAACAGGAACCGAGCTATGAATATCTTCTGAGCACGCGGCGATCGTGCCGACGCATGGTACCAACCAAGCCTTGTCACTCAACCGTGTCATCGTCTGACCCCCCAACGGGACTAACTCTCATATTCGGCCTGGGCCGAGAATGCTGTTACCTTGTGTCTCGTACTTCGACAGCCTTAAATTGGATCCAACCATCCTATTGCTTTGAAGCTACTTGATTTCCGTAGGGGCGGTGGGGTCATAACTAACCATGTAGAGTGTGCCTCGCCCGAACTCGCCTATGCTACAAGCGCCATTGAAGAGTCAATACTTGCAATGTGCAAGAAGCCCTTCCTTTCCGAGGGGTCTCCGACTCCCCGATACCGCCCTGAACACGTTGAGGAAAATCTTGGGAGTGATCTGTTCTCTTCACCGCTACGATCATCACCAAATACCCAAAGCCAGCCCAAGGACTTGCAGATCAACACCATCAAACCGGTGAGGGGTCGGCTACCTTGGGCAGCAACGGATACACGACGATGAGGCTCTGCGATCCAAGAGCTGGGTTCTCTCTATAGTGTAGCTTCTTTATTTTTCCGCGCTACTTGACGAGACATCCTATAATTAGTCCAGTCGCAGTTTGGAAGTATCGTCAAAAAGACTTTGAGAACAACCGGCACAAACTCCTTGACGATTGTTCAAACGATACTGCAATTCAGACTCTAGCCATGCTTTGCCAGATTTGACTGCACACCCCATATCTGCAACCTGCTCTACACTGGCTGAACCACCAAGCGAGTCACTCTGAGCTGTTCATATATCCCCCTTGATCCCACAAAGTCCGAAAGGCACGTAACTCCACCGACCCAGCAATAAGCAAGACATCTTGTCGACATGACAGAACCTGTCCATACTGGAGGCGAGGGTGCGTGGGTCCTTGTATCAAGGAGATGTAGTGATACTCCCACACCATCACCAAAGGCAACAAATGGAGCGGATATCCTCATCCATCAGGTAGAGCAAGCGGTAAATGCAGATGATCGTCTAGACTTTGCCAAAGCCACCTGTCCGTCTGGAATCACCACTACACGATTCTTCGCCGAGCGCGGCCACCCTCAGCTGGCTGAAAACAAAGATCCAGGCTTGGGAACGGCCCGATCGGACTGGATAGAGAACTCCGATCTCTTGTACGACTTGGTCACTGACGTCTGCCCCTTGGTTGGATCAAATACCACACTGGGTTTGGCAATATCCAGATCCAATACGGATCCACACGGGAACGTAGCTGCCACCGTGGTTGGTGATAAGCTTGGTGTGGCTAGCCAGTCGCATAAAACACCGCACTGTGGCCTAGATCTTGTGCGAGTCGAAGGTGTGCCAAGCACCGGGATGGGCACATATGGAGGTCGCAGTATTAGTCGGTTACCAGTACTACGCTACACAAGACTCAAAGATATCTGCGTTCTTCCAGATGAAGCAATAGGGGGGCACCCTGAAGAGATGTATGGCTGCGACACGAAGCAGAACACATATGACCGACATGCCCACGAGTATCTCCCAAATGATTGTGGGAATACCACCCTCAACGCTTCAAGGAGCACCTTCGTCTACGATAGGGCCCAACAGGAGTGTGCTCGAAAGGTCTTGTCTGGGCATGGGCCGTCAAGCAGTGGTTGGGAAACTGAAGGTTCTGAATCCGAGTACCAACCCGTCTCCGAAATTGGGTTCAACGACTACGGTTCACGAGACGATTCGGTTGTCTTGGTTGGTGATTACGTAGTTGTGGATCATGGCTCAACGAATGCGGACTTCTGTCCTGACCATGTTGTCCATATTGGCGATTATGCGGGAACGATTACTGAAGCAAACGCACCACGTAAGGATTATTCTACGACGGCAGCCAGCCAGAGCTACTGTCTGCTTGGCATTCCGACGCGAGAGACAACACAGGTTGGTTCTCTGCTTGACTTGACAGCCTTGCGGAACTCGATGGCATCACTCAGGGGCCTGCGCGAAGTTGACGATGACCCCTGGAATGTATTCAGTAGGGAGACATTGACACGCAGCAGACTGGCGAATGTACTGGCTCTAGCCACTCTGCGCCGTAACGACTTCGGCGCGTAGCAGGCGGAATTGATAGGATATTAGCGAGGTCTAGGGAGGCGATCGCGGAGGGTTGCTCGACTTCGAGGAACATTGTATTCTTGGTGCGTGTGTTGATGCTGTGTAAACCATAGGTTTCCTGTAGATAGAAACTTCTTAGCCAGGATACATTGACGACGGGCTTTCAGGTTGGAACCTCGACACCTTTATCATGACCGTGGCCAAATCCTACGTTGTTTGCTTTCTTCGATCGGAGTGTAGTGGCGCGTTGATTGAATTCGCAGCTTGCCAATCTTGCGATAAGTTTCAGCGTGTCGACTGCCATCTGTCGGCTGTAGAAACAAGCTGATTATGGGTTCGCAGGTGTCCCCTTAGAGACTCTGCATTTTAGATTCGGTAATTGACTTGACGTTCGTGTCCACGACACCATATTGCGCATGGCTTCATCGAATCCAGGGATATAACCCCTTGAACTGGTCCTCTTTGGTAGTTGTAGTTCCACTTCAAAGGGTTCCAGCAGGTAGGTTGGCAGGAAACATCGAGTTCATGGACTCTGAGGAGTTCGTGGAGCGGTAACTGCACGCCACCAGCAACGCGTGTTCATCTGACCTGCTGCCCAGGTATGTTTCGGTATTGAGCTCGGTATCGACAGGAGCGTGCCTTCGTGGTCTCCAGGAGAGTGGAAGAAGGCTCTACAGACCCTTAAGAAAGGCTGAACATTGGATAGTGGTGTGCCACGGGCTCTAGAATGGTGTCCCAGTGGGTATTTAGCGACAAATGCCCTACGCCAGGTGACCAAAGCCTTGTCCATGGTACACTGCAATAGCAACAAGGAACCAACTCGCTACGAATACTGCACCCATCTCTTGATACACGAGATTGGTCAGCAATGACTACGTAGCACTGCTATTTACTGCTAAAAGGAGATGACAACCGCTGCTGTGGTGCACACATCCATGCAGTTGGCGCTCCCCCGGGCTTCGCCCTTACGATCGTCTGACTCCTATGCCCCAACAGTCCTGAGGGAGCCCCTGAGAGTACATGTGGGCGCATACAGTCTTCTTTCACCCTTGACCCAAGAGTCTGGGTATCAGGGGATAGCCTCCAATCGGCCCATTATTTACATTCAGTCATGATTCCGTCAAGGACTCGTCTCCCGTCGGCATCGTCTCAGATGTCGGCATCAAGACTCTCCGATTCTTCGGTGAGGGTCCTGATAACTTGGGGGCTAGACGCATGATCGTCTCTCGGGTCCAATGACTTCGCATCCCGTGGTGGAGACGCAAATATGTACGACATCGTAGTTCGCGCACGCCCTAGGTCTCGTCAAGGGCACCCGGCTCTGCGGCTCGTTCTATTGACCCTTGAGAAGCAATGTACCCACAGTGTGAAGTACGGTACACGAAACAATGTTTTAGTCGTACAGTAGAAAAGTTCTCGATATAGTTTGCGACGATAATCGCCTTGTATAATGCTGCAACCTTTGAATGATTTCTCAATACCATCCATCACGCCTGGCACCTCGCGATCGAGGATATTACGCATGATCAGTAAACAAACGCTACGCAAACACGGGCCTGTTGGCCGAGACACGCAGGACTTGTATTGAATCGAAGCCTACAGGAGGCGCCTCTCCTCATCACATCCACTTCAGTTACGACGACGGGGTCCTTCATTGGTAAACATAGCATGTACGACAGGAAGCCCACCGAAACAATAAAGCCTCGACTCGACCGTCATCTGGTTATGTTATAATGGATGCGTCGGGGTTTCATCCTCATTGGTGCGTGTCGCGCGGTTTAATGCCTTTGTTGATAGGGACTGCAGCAGCAGGCAGTCCCCCCTCCTTCTGACCGAGGAGCCGTGTCGCAGAGATGTTCCATTTCGATCGAGGTGCATGCACGTGGCGCCCTACGGTCACGGGATCGGATGCAAGAGGAAATCACAGCGATATGGGTCTCAACCGGTCAGCAAGAGTTCAGAGCCGTTGATCCCTTTCTATAGGCCCCCTTTGGGAGCGGGCCATCTCCGTGACGTGCTTGATGGAATTGTCGACTCAATTGCGACGATGGGTGGTGGTGATGCTCCAACATAGTCTCACCATGTAGGGAACTCGGCTCAATAACCCGCACATGACACGCAGCCGCATGAGTTCCTCCCGCTATCTAGTTCATGCAGGCTGAGGAGAATAAGGAAAAGCTCGTAGGAAGCCCATGCTGCTCACACGATATGCTCATGGTTTTGCTGGTTCTAGCTGATTGGTGCAGGTCAACGTGCAGTCAATAACACGTCATTGGCCCTGTGTTCATTTGTTGGCGCTAAATTGCAGTGAAACAGCAGGTGAGTGTCCACTAAACCCGGTGTGGGACGTTGTGGAGCCCAGGGACCTCTGCCGGGAGCATGGCCTTCAGGCCCCCGAAGAGCCGCATATGGTCAGTATACGTATCAGGGCACCCTATGGCACCATTAAGTTCTACAAGGGCCAGGGGCATCGGAGACATTCATGAATTGCTTCAGATCCTCAAGTGTGCATGAGAATCTATAGCTGCGAAAACTCGAATTTGAATTGGCCTCGCCCTCAACCTCCTTCGGCTCGGAGCAAGCGCCTGCCAGGCATCCTAAGCCACTTGGCTTACAAACAAATCCGTTTGGAACATCAATATCCCCTCAGGTCAATTCATCCTTCGTATTGTGATCTTCAATATCTTTCGTTGTCTTATCGTCAACGCACATAGCGATCCGTCGTTCTCTCACCACTGCAAGGCTTTGCAACGAGATAAACAACAGCGCACGAGCGTGATGTCGGCATTAGTCAAATGGCTCTTTCGAAAGCAGTGTATGACCTTCATGTAATCACATTTTTTCCATTTCCTCGAATAAGTGTAGATATTCAAGCTGGCACATCTCTTGAGGAGCACTCTCTACGCAGTTTGTGCATGCTCTATGGCTACGTTGATCCAACCACAATGGAGACTTGGCTATCGAGTAAAATGCTTGCGGCAGTCGTTGTGCTGATGGAAACTTCATGCCTTCATTCAAGTGTTACTCTTCTTCTTCTACTCCTATATCATTCCCATTTTCCCCTTCTTACTTGTCCTTATTATTTCCCGTGTCTCAACAGGGAATCATCTACATGCTCTTTAATTGGAACAGTGTATCCAATTCGCCCCAGTCCCTCCAATGTCACTTGATTGATGGCATTGCGCAGTCGAGCCCACGCTTCATTTTATAAGTCCTAGTCCTCCTCGGACTCTCGCACGTTTATTGGATATTCGGCGCCGCAACGAAGTGGCTGGCAATGCTCTTGGTATGGACCATTCAGTGGGTATCGATATCTTACTTCAAGCCTTGCAAAGACTGATACGAAACCCGTTCCCTAGGTGTACCTGCTTATTCGCTTTGACACGCAAGTCTTACAGAGGGTTGCCTGGAAGTCGTCATGGTCGATACAGTTTTCAGCTTCAATAAAAAATTGAGACGTTGCCCTTATAGTGGGATAGAGTATGAGCCTCAAAGACCGCGTCTGTGTTGTCGTCATGCTTTGGGGCTTATTGGCTACAAAGCTGACATTACAGCGCTATTGGCTCAAGCTGATGTCTATGCGGTGCAAAGGGTTTGCACTGCACTCATAGCCTGGGCAAGACAGAAGAGGGACAGATGGTGGAAATCGTTGTCCTGACACTGAAACCTTGGGGCCGGATCTACGCTGGCAGAGCTCTATTGTCTCCCTTGCAGAATTGCCGTAGGCGAGGCGTCATGGTGAGGCAACGGGTTTTGACACCAAGCGACAAGCACGGCGAATTTTCCGTGAACTAAATCGGTTCTTGGTAATGATGCGAGGCTGACCTCACCGAAATTCAAGTAAGCCACCACAAGCCCCGAACAAAGTGCACTCTATGCTGCGCTTGCAGAGAGCTATGAAAGTACCCTTCAGCCTACAGGGTTCTTACACAGTGTGGTTCTCAAAATCTACAAACCTATAGGACTTTGAGGTTCTCAATAGCCGTCGCCTCGCCTATATGGCCCAAAACTGGCGAAGTGAAGCAAGACACATCTGCAGAAGGCTGGATCCAGCTCTGAGCTGTCAGCGCGTCTCGGGTTCTTTTGGACATATCTCCCTGTGGCTTCACGAATCTTCACAATTGCACGACACGAGACCACATAATTGTTTGGTCAGCGAATCTGACCTTTGTGCTACAACAACATCGCAGAGTGCCACACGATCGTGACGAGATCGCGTGTCCTGGTTGAAGAGGTTGGCCTTGCGGGCGGGGTCCTCCGATGCCCAAATGATCGCCCAAGCTGAGTGCTAAGGGAAAGGGTACTATGTACTATGGTACCAGTGATCACATTCCAACTAGCCTACCATACCTTGCTTCTTAGCTAGATTGGTAAGCCAAAAATTCAGCCCCCAAGCTGCAGGCTAGATTGTTTGGAGGATTCCTTTGTTCTCATGCATCGCGGCAAATACGTCTATTTTGGGCCCAACTTGAAGACACTCAAACTCCTGCATCGCTTGACAGGGCAGTCAATGAAGTGCCGTTATCCTTTAGGTAAATTTGGATCGGTGGATCAGCCTCAGGGGTTGCTGCCCAAACTTCAGTTCTTGAATGCGTTGTCATGCAGCGCAGCGCTCTTAGAGTAAAGGAGGCATCAGAGACGAAGAAACTTAGGCAACAATTGCAATGCATGCGGGGCAGCTTGGACCAGGGATACATACTAGTTGAAGTATTGATACTGTAACTATAGGTCCTGTATTTCGTGAGCTGTGGAGAGTACCAGATAGTGTTCGATGGCTCTGTTCTAGAAACAGGTGACCACGGGTGTGCCACATGAATTGACCTGCCCGAATTTCAACATCCAATGGGGTCGCTATTATGGTCAGGTGGGGGATTGAAGTGTGCTAACATATCGAGGCAGAACCTGGCGCCATCCTACTTGCACCAAGTTGTGAATTACGATGGTTACCTAAATTTCTCCCGGCTATTGCAAATCGCCAGATTGCCTAGAAGAAAAACGAACGCAACCCGCTCTTCTTGTGAATCCGTCCTAACCCTCGCAGCAGCAGTAAACCTGTGAGTTCTAGGTGTTCCAGGAATCGGGCCTTTGCCGCTTGTCTCTTGTCGGTGGCTGACTACGACCCGTCGCACGCCGCCCATGAATAGAGAGCGAGGTTGCCTAATTGTTGTTTCGAGAAGAAGGTCTCCAATGCGACCATACTCACCGAAAACCGGAGAAGCCCCGCAAGTATCTTCACCGAAAGCAATTGAAACCGGATGAGTGTCGGGTTGGTAGTCTCGGTTGCCTTACTTCATGACCCCGCTCCATCAATCCTGCTTTGGTAGCACAGCCCACACGTATCAAAACACTAGGCAACCATCTAATCACTACCCGGGATTGCCCATGCGGACGCCTCGCCGCCTTGTCGCAAGAGTATGCCCTGGCTGTTTATGCGCGCAGTGGGTCGCACATGGTCATTTCGCAATGTAGCAACTTGAAGCCGAGCCATTCTGGTATTCAACTATGCTAAAGTATATGAGTATTTGTCACAAGAAAAAAAGAAAAAAAAAGGGAAAAAAGAGGGTGACTGGGCTGCCACCAGTTGATAACGTAATGACAAAGCCTCTAGCTTTGACACTTTGTAAACGTAGGGTTCCCGTGAGAGACCATTGAAGGTGCGCAGAGCATATGGGTAATATCGTGATGAGCACTGAAGAAACTCGTAAACTGGACAACGTACCGGTTTCTTCCACGCTTGCCCTCGACCGATGACTCTGCTAGTAAGTAATGCTGCCGTTCGCCATCACGGTTGATTGACTGCTCGAATGCTTCCGACCTCTGAGACCATCCGTGTCTCGCTGGTGGTGGCGCTGGCGGGTTCTGAGTGCTCAAGTTCCAAGTCTCAAGCCTCTGAAACGTTCAACATCTCTACATCTTCCGCGTCCTTTGACAAAGGCTCGACCTCTCTTTCGAATTCGTTGACAACCCCAAACTGATGAATTGACTCGTCGTATGTCAGCCACTTCCCCAGCTTGGCAATGCGGCACCCAAGCCATAATATCCGTTCTTTCCTCTCGTCAGTCATTGATGCCACCTCGAAATATTTCTCGTCATCGTCAATCTTGTCATTGGAGAACCAATCAACAGGGAAGTATTTGTCCACCCACAGTAGCCCTTTCATAGCAAAGTCCTCAGGAAGTGGCCTTGGGAGTTCCTTCACAGGCCTTGGGAAGTTGTCGTTGTGAATTCGGTCGTAATCTCGATATGACAGAAGCAAAGAGTTGAGTAGCATGGAGACAAGCTTCCAGGGGAAGGTTTTGTCGATAAAAGCCATGGCGCCGGGAAAGAAGGTCAAGTGACGCACAAAGACCAGGATGGAGTGCAAAAACGGCAGAACATTGGGATCTGCGAATCTGCGAAAAGCGACCTCATATGTCCCTTGAGCTAGGTGAAGGGCTTGCTCAAAAAGCTTTCCTGGTGTCTGGTCCAGTTCTCCCATATTCGTGTCTGTTGCTTCATCTGTACGTTGCGGCCGGATAATCTTGAATATCACGTTGTCCTCCTTGCCGTAGGCCAGCAGAGCACAGCAGTTCGAGATCCCAATGTAGTATCTAAAAAGTCAGCATACCTCCAGAAGAACACAATTGCTTAGTGCATACCCAGATTCCATCCACCGTCGAGTGGTTCTTCCGATGTGGGTATTTAGATTGTGCAAAAACTCCTCCACTGCAGGCAGGAAATCGTCTGCGCATTTTCCACTAAATAGAATGCCATGGGCCTTGACGAACGAGGCGTCGATTGCCATTAAACGTGAGTGCTGTGTATTGCTCACACTCAGAATAGGGTCGAACAGAGTCATGATTGATTCGCGAGCCGATGTAAAGGGGATTGGCACACACAACGACTTTGTGTAATAGAATAACTGCTGCAACGCGTTGGGTCGAGCGAGGATGGCCAGGTGATGGTACAGGCGGCCAGTGGTGGGGGCCTTGTCTGACGCTTTCGAATACCAATGGCGCGAGACAGATGTCCATACTTCCCTATCACGAATATCATCATCCTCGATAGCCATCCTATACCTGCCCAAATCCCCGAGGCACTCAATCCAGGTGTCCTCAAATGCCGGCACGGTCTCGTACAGGAGGGCCATCATAGAGTAGGCCAAATAGATGAACGTCAACATGTGTTCAAGAGACATTGGCAAGCGGTGCCTTAAAAGTTCTAAAAAGGAGTGAATACCGTGCCGCCACATCCTTGCCGGCATTGCATACTTTGAGGCAAGACGTCGAAGGGCTGGGCTGGCGGACGGGTGTTGCGAAGCCAAGAAGAAATCGTGATGCTCGTGGAGGAGGGTCCGGTGTAGGGCAATTAATGCTTGCCACTGCTCATTATTCAACTTTGCATCATTCTGTGAGCTTTGCGCGTTATCCACTTCAATACATTTCGATTCGACCATGACCAGGCCAGCATAGATCCCTTTGACCTCGGCTACCAATTGTTCCTGGCTGATGGGCCGGGTTTCTGGCTGCTTAATGAGAGCCGTAGGGGGCTCTTCGTCGACCGAGACATCCTCGATCGACGGAGGATGATTACGTGCCTGGGCATAGCCATCGCCTTTCCTAGGCTTCCCTGACACCTTTGGGCGCGTTGAAGTTGTGGTTTGAGCCGGCTCGTCACCTGGAGTCCATAGTTTCTTACCCTGTGTTTGTGGTACTCTCCGGCTGAAGGCGGGATCAGGTGTCGGTCCTGTGCGCGCCCTGGACCGGCGAGGAGGACTTGTAGATCTAGGCCGAGTTGGAGATCCTGATGCTATGGCAGCTTTAGAGGATTGGTCTTCCACAGGACTATCCCGGTTCACGGTGGCATCCTGAGCAGACGGGGTGTTATTCTGTGCCGAGTTGTCCATCGGCCCTGATTGGGCACTAAGTGAGGACATTAGCGCAATATTCATCAAGTATATAAAGTGGTCAGACTACCCTCGCCGCTGGTCACCAATGTCCCTTCCACGACAAGCCTCGATCGCTGTCTTTAGCCCTTTACCTCCCACGAGGTCTGCGTGCCGGTCCAGTACATGCTGCCTAACCCGCTCGTCAACGTTCGCAAACTGCTCATTGCATCCGTCGATGCTGCATGCCAGCTTGGAAGTTTTCCGCAGGAAGGCTGTAAATGAGGAGCCGAGATCCACGGGCGGTTTGCCCGTCATCGTTGCTGCTCTCGTCTCCGGCAATGTATTTGATCGAAGAGTCGGCGCGAACGGCAGAAACTTCAGTACCAAACAGGCACAGGCATAGACGAATTATGGGCCGAGGGGAAATCACGTGCAATCATAGGGACATTGCCGTTTTCGCAAACAAAGAAGTTCGTCAGGTCGTGAAGGTGAATGGTTCCCGTGATGGACGTCTGTGGCGGGCACCAGACTGATGATTGGCAACGAAGATCCGCCGTCTGCGCCCCTCATGTGGCCTTCGTCGCAGATGTGCGGAACCGCCAGAACTCCCGGGGGCCTTTGAGTGATCTGCTTTGCGAGGTCAAAAACAGAAGATGGATGAATGAATGACCCGCGGCCCAGTGATGGGGAGGTTACGGAAGGCAACATACAGGTTCTTCCGGCAGCAGAGCCTAAAATTAGGCTCTCAAAATCGCGAAAAGCTGCGGAGTGGGGCTAGTTGCAATCAAGAACTAAGGTTGCCCGTGAATTGGCGTTGGAATCAATCCAAAACGCTTGCTCTAGAGGCAATTGACTGAGAAAGAAATCAAGGGCATGAAAGCCAGCTATGTACAGAGAGGTCTCGGGCTGCTAGATGAACTTGCCAAGCGTGCGCGGACAGTGTGTAAACATGTGGTACAAAAAAGACAGGCACTCGATGCAAGGGTGCTTAGGTAGCTACAGTTTTAAGGCAACCGCAGAGCCGCACTCCTGGCGAACCATGGCGAACCAACTTGGAGGGGATTTCGCCCATCCAATTCAGCTTTTCAGACCACCTCGTTCATAAGTTCTACGGTTCCTCGGTCGCATCAAAACAGTAAGATATATGATGACTCAAATGCCCTCGAAAAATACATCACCCGTTCCTCTCAAGATGAGCTCAGCTCAGCCGCAAAGAGCACATTGACAAATCGTCGTTGCTGTGCTCAACACGATCGGGTATCCCATGGTCAATCCAAATAAGCCTAGATCCGCAAAATCTCGGTCGACAAATACATTTAGGTAGCACCTTACTATCGGATTGAGTTGAGTATAATGAGAAGGCTGTATGTCGCATGTCTGCGATACTCAGCTTCCCTGTGGTGGGATATTCCCACGTCATGCGCATGGCGAGGCAGTCGATTGCCCTGTTGACACTTCACCGAAAATAACATGGAGAAATAACATCGACTCGCGCAGATGTTGGTTGTCGGGAAAAGTGAGATTGGGAGGCGAGGCTGTTACGAACACAAGAAAGTCAGTGCCGTTTTGCTTTTTCTCCCCGCCCCGGTATGGCGGTCACTGCAGTGTCCCGGTGTGTTGACCATTGTGGGAACATCTTTGAACGGTAAGGGTACAAGTAAGCGCAAGTAGGTGCACAGATTTTCGGTCAGATTGTTTGCCCTTCACATTCTGTAGTTTATTTTACCGAGTTGACCTCAGTCCTCGCCCCCGAAGAGATCCTTCCAAGGAGGACCATGGTCCTTCTCGCGCTCCTCTGTTTCCATTTCTGTTCAGAGGTTGAGTTACGCATCGTCAGATGCACCGCTCTGCTTACATTCAGGGGAAATGTAATATGGTCCCGTTCAGACACAAAGTTCTCCCAGGCCAAATGTTCCTTGCATACCAGCCACTGCTTACCTCTTGTGGAGTTCAGGGCGCCAAAAGGCTTCAAGGCTGTTTATTTCCCTGTGCAAGATTTGACACTTCGCAGGCGCCGAACATTACCTGCGTATGCAGTGGTATTGTTTAATGGGGGACTTTGGGGGCTGCAATATATGCATGACCGAATAGGTATTGAGGGTGGGGGCGACTTCGTTAGGTGTAGTCACAAACTCCACACACAATAGAAGAACACTCACTCTCTACTGAATCGATCATGGATCGCGATAAATTCTTCGCGCCATACCATTCAGTGGCTCTTGGATGACGACTTGCTATCCTTCGTCATTGTCATGTTGACCGCAACGATTGGCTTCGGCGGCTCCGAAATCGCCTGTCGCCACCAGCACAGCCCCTTGTTGGCCACCAAACAGCTGAACTGAGGAGACCTCTTCATGGCAACGAGTCTCATATCGACTTCTTGACAAGCTTACGAGGACCGCATGCTCTCGTATGTGAACGAACATTTGGCCACTCGCCACTCTCTGGCTTTGTCCCGGAGAGTATTATGTATTAACATCTTGGGGTACCCTGCCCCTTGCTACGACATCGTGGCGGTGAGATTGATCAACCAAAGGTGAGGCTATGAAGATCTACCGGAAACACTACAGGACAGTGCAGGAAGTATTTGCACCCAACACAGGTCACGGCATCTCGCTGAGGTCAGAGAGCACCGACGTGACGAACTGCTGTGGCGCTTATGGTGGCCGCAGACGGCCGGCCAGGTTTGAGCTCTGGCACAAGGAGCAAGCGAGTTGTCTAGATGACCAACGCTGTTTGGTGGATGCAGGTGGCTTTATTTCTACGATACTAGACACCGTCCATACAAGAGCGAGAAAGACTAGGCAGCAGAGGAGGCAAAAGCCTGACGTCTCCTCATCATGAAACACCCCTGGCTTCCGACGCACATACCCTCTTGTTGACTCTCCAACGGAGAGCATCAGACGCAGGGCAAATCTAAGGCGGCCAGAGAATGATGACATGGTATACATCTATCGGTTCGTGTCTGTAGCCGTGATCTCCAGAACCTTGCTGAGCTGACGGAAGCCTCATCAAACGCTGAATTTTCTCCAACCCTGTAAAAATCTCCAAGGTCAGGGAACTGGGCTCCACATGAAGATGAATCAGAGGAGACATCCAACCAAACATGGGCACTATGGTGGGTGCTTGTGACATCCTTCAAGCCAAGGTCAGTCTGGCAGCTAATTGGAGGTTCGCTGTTCTCGAGACTCTGGGCATGGTCTGCAGTCTTGGTGAAGCCCTTTCTACTTATACTCTTGGTATAGTAGGTTGGAAATCAGGTTGTTCTTCGTGCGGATAGGATATGTAAACAGATACCGACTTATTTCCAATAAACCACACGCCCCTCGGTGTGCTTTGGGACTTGACGTTTTGGGCTTTTCGTGATCCATATTCACGATTGACTTTCACTTTCACCCTCATCCAATGATTCCGCTCGAATTCGATTATTTTTCTTCCAGAACGGAATTGGTAGCATTATGTTGAAGACCCATGTTTCGATGACGTTGATGTAGGATTTGCAGCGTTCACCCTAACTTACATATAGTCTGGAGCAATCTGCATCTTTCATATGTCGGCCTTCACATCATCGCCTGAGATTCTTCCTTGCCTGAAATCCCCCCTCTGCTTCATATCTAGATCCTCCATGTTAGCAAATAGATGAGGGCATGTCGGCTATTGAAAATTTGTAAATGGCATATGGGACTATCTCTCGTCTACCTTCCCCAGCCAATGTCACTGAATGAGTTGGATATGGAGGAAAGATTATCAGGTTTCCCACACAAGTCTACCGCAAATAGTGACCTTCGCCTGAATTGCTAAGCATGAATGTCAATGACTAATTGGTTGTACTCGCATGAATCAGTTTGGCCACACTTGGTGAAGGGTACGATAGTTAGTTGTGCATAGTTAATATTCGAGTCGTTCCAATGTAGTAAACACTGTTTCATGCAACTAGTCATGATAGTTTTGAATTACAACCTACCCGGTGTAATTTTGCCTTCCACAGATTGGTTTGCCTGGTATCGGGATTGCCCCCTTGTTCGATGCTGTGTAACACACGGTACAGTCAGTACCTATCCGACAGACTGTAATCCACTAGAAAACCACCCGCTTCGACCGCCTTGAAAGTCTTCGTAAAAGAAAAGTTTTCTTCTTTCTGTATATATTATACCTTGACTTTGCCTCACTTCCCTACAGTAGCGGGTATCTCCGGCGATACTCCCCGAAACTTGCATACCCAACTCTGATATTCACACCGACGGCGTTGGCTGTCATGCATTTATATCACCTCCAGATTGGGCATCCCCGAGGCACTGTGTGTTTTGCCAATGGTTCCTCTATTGATGGTATGAGAATTCTCATTAATCTACAAGCCTAGGTGGCAACAAGAAAGAGGAACGTGAGTCTTACGAGGTTTGCGGATCAAGACGCTAGGGTCAGGCACTTCTCGCTCCGACGTACCACAAGTATCAAACCCATGCAATACAAGGAAAAGTGAAGGCCCGGAAACTCGGATACATGCTGGCCGTAAAGGGCTTGTTCGCAATTGGACGCGCCCCAAGGAGAAGGACTTAGGGCCGAATTCATAGTAGTATCGAGGGAAGCAGCCTTCGATAAAGCCCTGAATGTCGTTCAAGCCGGTAAGGATTGCCCTCCTTCAATATAGTGTCCACGTATCTCCAATTAGTCTGACGTGGTACAGATCAGACTTTCACCGACAACGTGGAGAATATCAAGAGGCTCAGTTCGATCGCCCTGTCTTTCATAGATCCAATGTACTAGCCAGGCAGCAAGATGGTGAAAATGAGGCTGAGTGAAATATCTCATGGTATTGCTTTTGGTAGCACCATTGTGTGGATACCAGGGGTCCACGTTGCCCGATGAATCCAGAACCATTCGTCACTGCGTCGCAACCCCTTGAAGTGATTTAGACCGCGGCAAATATAGCCTTCAACTCCTAGATACACACCGCTTGGGGTTCATCACGGAATATCTGATGCATCCATTGCCTGTTCTGGGATCCGCCTTAAAATGAGCTATGAGCAACTTTGGTCTTCATGCAAGGGTACAGAGCAAGGTCCTTGGCTTAGGAGCAGTGACGTGTCATAAATGTAAGGCTAGTATGGATGCTACAACGACCACAACAGTATTGAATCATGGATTGAAATTACTGTAATGAGAAGCTCGAACACAGTACATTGAATGGTGGGCAGATCATGGAGAGTTTCAGGGCGAGGATCAGCCCACGCTTATGAGGCATTTCCTCTCATGAGCTTGGCCGGGCATAGCCGAATCAATGCCACAACCCCAGGCTTGGGTAGCATCAAAATAATGGATTTCACATTTCATCGAGAAATTGAGCGAATTTTCTCCAGCTGAGGGGCTCGTGACGAACATGGCGCCTGCAGCTGAAGTTGCAGCCTGTGAAGCAGGAGACTGACTCGGATCGTAGGCTAGCCTCTCCAATAGCACCAACCACAGAGCCGGTATTGGTACATAACACTCGAAATCATGAATAGGCGGTGAATGGAACGAGTAATCATAGTGCAACATCATGTAGGGACCTATGCGAGATATCTCGTGAAGGCAGGTGTTTTCAATAAACTTAGTTATGGCTTGAAACACTGTAGCAATATACCTCTTACATCAGGTCTAAGGTACCTATCGAAGTAAAGATCGTTGCAATTGAGTAACAAGCAATGAGACAGGCCACAAACTCTCACCAGACATCTACATTTCTCCGAGTCCAAATAATACAGCCATGGACATAACGTGACCTACCCGTCGCGCATTCGGGCCGCCTAGTAGTCGCTCAACAACCCTGACAGGCGATTGAACGGTGCCCGAACGACAGAGAAAACTATATCTGTCTCTCACAACCACACATAAATATATGCTTTGCTCAGACCGAGACGGGAGAGAACCCCCAGATAGGTCTCTTCCTACCGTGGGTCAAAGCCGCCTTCAATGTGTCAACGACTTCGTTTCCATGCAGGACCAAGAACGCTGAGAGAAGCGCACTCAAGATCACTGCAAACAGAAGCTGGGCCAAGGAGAAACCATTCACAGGGCTCTTATAGCTCTCCGGAGCAGCAGCACCAACCATCTTCTTCAGTGGTACGATTCCTTCTTCTTTCATCGTTTTCTGGCCAGTTCTGACTCCTGGAAGTCCATCAACACTCCATGAGTTCTTGAGAGCCCAGTATCTGTGCTATTTTAGCGTGACATCGCGACTTACACTGGACATAAAGTCACTAACCTTGGCATGCTCTCATTCTCGTTTCCTGCCGCGAACTTCTCGGCCTTTTTCTCAAAGAAATCGTTCAAAATTGGTCGAAAGTCTTTGAAATCGTAATACGGAACCGAGAACCCGCAAGACGTGCCGACTTGATGGATATCCACGATAATAATGGCCCTGCTCCCGGGGATAGTTTTCACGTCATGGGCCTTGACAAAGTCTGTGAACTCGGGCGTCTCGTACTCGAGCACTGTGCCATGTCCAAAGAGCCGCAGGATTCTGGGAGGGCCTTCGAAGGCATTGAAGAGCACCGTGATCCTGCCGTTCTCGTACAAGTGGCTGATGGTCTCGTTTCCCGATCCTGTCAAGTCCATATACCAAAACGTCTTCTCATCGATGACGCCGAAGTACGCGCCTCCTTTTGGGGAGACATTGACATGGCCGGAGCCTGCCAGCGGCGCAGTAGAGACCCAGAAGACCTTCTGATCCAATATCCACTTGATCAATGATTTAGGGATTGTCTCGAAATATGCACCCATTTTCACAATTGCCAAAGAATCGGTTCCAAGATTGTTGATTCCGGGTTCCGGCAGTGCCAATCGCTAAGGTGACTTTAAGCTCTTGCCGGTGTCGGAGATGGCGCGAACGAATGAAGCAGATACGCAATAGTGCTGACAATGTTGCTTTGAGGACCTCAGCTTCGGAGTGAATAGGTCTCTTGAATCACGAACGGCAGTTTTGGTTGAGACGGTTATAAACCGGTGGCCTTTGAATCAAGGTGATGATAGGACAGACTACGTTCAATCGCAGTTGAATTACGAGTGTGACTCCGCATGTGCCTTCGTCATGAATGTGTTCGGGAGCTCTGGCCAATCAGAAGTTCCCTCACTTCTCCCACATTCGGGCCAACCAGGACATCAAGCTTAACCCAAAGGGCGCTGGAGGACCTGGAAACCAGAATAGCAACAACTTGCGTGCTTATTTGACTCAATTGTTGACTCTCGGAACTAGCCTGAGGAGTATGCAGCTTCGGGGGCCTCCCACATCACCAGATCAGTAATTACCTGAGGGGTTGTACAATTGATGTTTTCCAACCATCTTATTGTTCTCGATGCATACATTCTCTTGTTATATCTTCACACTGCTTCACGGAGATCGCACCTTCACAGTCCACTAACAATAGGAGGATCAAGTGGGGTCCCTGGTGGCCGACTGTCAACTGCATCGTATGGATCTCCGAGAGACTCGGGTAGTGTGCATCAGGCCGGCCTCAGTCTGTCAATATCGGAGGAGCTTTTCCCTTCCTTCAGTGCAGAGCCGGAGTTCCGATATAGAGAGTGCATTACGGCGCCGAACCGTCTCCCGATTTGCCGTCGTCGCGCATCATTGGCCGCCGCATGACTCACTTCAAATCGACATCATATACACAGCCCCGGAAAGCAAGATCAAGCCATCGATAGTCAATTGAAACATTCTTTCACATTAGAATTCCATTTGTTCTTGACGAAGAATTCGAAACCAAATGTGCTAGGCTACATTATTTTCACCCGCCGATCTATTCACTATCTTCCATACAACCAGCAAAGTTATAGTGGTGGGCACAACTTCCCGACCATGAAGCCCAAGAAGCCACTCGAGCTAGATGGGCGCACGGGCGAAGGCGGTGGTCAACTTGTCCGAATTTCTTGTGCCCTCGCGGCCGTGACATCGCAGCCCATCAGGATCACTCACGTCCGTGGGAATCGGGAGGGACCGCGGGGCGGGGGTTCGTTCTTTCTTACATCACGAGTTATTTCAAACGCATTTACCATGAAACTATGGGAAATCTGATCAGGAATCACAGGTCTCAAGGCACAGCACGTTACTTCCCTCGCCTGGCTGGCCGCCGCAACCTCGGCCACGGTCACAGGCCTGGCCGTTGGGAGCCATACACTAGAATTCCGGCCGGCGCTGCCGCCCACGGCACTGAAAGAGCGCCGCATCAGCATCGAGGCCGAGTCGGCCGCAGCCAGCACACTGCTGATTCTGCAGGCCATCCTGCCGTACCTGCTGTTCGCAGCAGGCCCAGAGGGCGACGGCGACGGTGACGGCGACAACAAGGCCATCGAGCTCGAGATCCGCGGCGGCACCAACGTCGCCTTTTCACTCAGCTGGGAGTACCTGGACCAGGTGCTGCTGCCGACGCTGGCGGCGCGCTTCGGGGTGCGCGTCGAGCGGAAGCTGCTGGGCCGGGGCTGGAGCGTCGGACCCTCGAAGAAGGGCGCCGTGTGGTTCCGGATCCACCCGCTCCGGGCCGGGGAGAAGCTGCGACTCGCGCGAAGCGACTGGGACGCGCCGAGGACGGACGAGGACTTCGCGCTCGAGAGGATCGACGCGAGTATTTTGGCCCCGGCCGGGATGCACGGCGCCCTACAGCAGGAGCTAGCCAAGGACTTGGACGTGTTGTTCCCGGACGTGGACGTCCGGTTCGTGGTGACGGAGGACAGCGGTCACGACGCCCGGGTCTACATCCTCCTTGTGGCTCACTCCAAGACCGGGCTCCGCTGGGGGCGGGACTGGTTGTACGACCGTAACCGGAAGAAGAAGACGCCGGAGATGGTGAGCCGCGAGATGTCCCGTAAGGTGGGCAAGGAACTGTACGAGGAAGTATCGCTGCGCGGGGTGGTGGACGAGTACTTGCAGGACCAGCTGGTTGTGTTCCAGGCGCTGGCCGAGGGCAGGACCAGCTTCGCACGGCCTACAGCGCCTATCGATGAGGACATCGGCGGACTGGAGTCGGCCGTGGACCAGCTGGACATTCAGGGGCAGAGACGAATGAGGAAGGACAAGACACACGAGCCGTTTGGAGAGGGGAGCACACACACTACGACAGCACGCTGGGTTGCTGCCGAGCTGCTTCCGCAGGCGACGTGGTTTAATAAAGGCAGTATATGTGAGGGCGCTGGCGTTGCGTTGAGGTGATCCAATATTGGAAACAATGGTACGTCTTATATACTGCAATGAAGCACCTGTCTCGGAATTATTCTGTGGTTGACGCGAATCGTCCTGTATTGGTCTGCGCATCTATTTGACGCTCCGAGAAAAGAAAATTGGTAAGGTATCCATTTCATCTGAAGTCCCAATGCCCTGAATGGGTATGTATCTCTACAACGCCGAAAACGCCATCTATCCAAAACTCGGAAATCGCTAGTCTTTGACCAACCATTGGCTAATACATGGTATACAGAGTATACAGAACTTTGTACAACTTTACTCTGGCTTCTTGTCGGATCCCGATATCTTCGACCAAAGATCATCTAGCTTCCCCGTCAGCCAATCCCAATAGTCCGAAAGGGAGTCAAAAGACGGTTCGTCCTCTTCGCCTTCGTTTCCATCGTCCGGAGACTGCTCCTGGGGAGGTTCACTGGGATCAACACCAACGGCAGTTGGCGGACCTTCATCCGGATCTGCTGCAGAGCTGGCCTCGATCGGAGAAATAGTCATGACGCCTGTCGCGCTATCTTCTGTTGTCGTTGGTTCTGCAGCTGCTGGACTGGGTTCCGGGTCGGCTGGCCTCTCGGGGGCTGACTCGGTATCATGGAGGCCGACAGTCTTCAGAGGCAGGCGTAAGGTACCATTGTTCGGCATGGGGTCCATACCTACAGAGTCACATAGGATGTTGTAAACCTCGATGTTTTCTAATAGTGTTAGTGCTTGGTCCCCATACGTTGTGAGTTACCCGACTTACGGAATGGCTCGACCCTGCTATTGGGCTCATGTGGGAAAGCAGGACCACGAGCAATGAATATCGCTCTCATCAAGGGATGTTCATGGTCGTATCCGTGCAGTCCGCGAGGATGATAGACCAACCCTTTAGTCTTGGCGTCCTCGATGTCGAATTCTTCCTTGGTGACAATTGCCCACCCAGTCTTGGGAATGATCCAAAGAGGTGCGATGCGATCGTTGTTAGAAAAGTGATACCGCTCGGGCATATTCTTGTCCCTCAGGTAGACCTCGAAATTGGGGTTATCCTTTCCTTTCTCTGCTGCCTGGTCATAGAGTTCCTGCAGATCGGCTGGGTCTTTCGGCCTGACACCGACCAGAGGCCAGCCATCAATGTGGTCGACCTTGGACATATCAATGAGATCATCCGTCTGTATCATGCGAGAAACATCGGTTGTCGCCATTCCGTGATCGGACACAATGATGACATTCACGATGTCGGTCAGATTCCGCTCTTCTAGGCCATGAAACAGCTGATCCAGCATAGTATCGACTTGAGTTATGGTCTTCTGGATCTCGGTGCTGTTAGGTCCATATTTATGACCGTCTGCATCGACATTAGGAACATAGGCGGCGATCAGCTGCGGTCGCATGTCCTTGGTGTCAGCGCTCGGGTCCTCTAGTCCCGGCTTGTCCAGCAATTCGAGCATTCGAGCAACCTTCTTTGGTAGCTTCTCCTTGCCATTGAACTGATCCAAGAAGCTGGGTTCGAGACTCATGATATGGGCTTCACTGCCAGGCCACATGTGCACCGCTGTACGGACACCTTGCTCCTCAGCAGTGACCCAGAAGGGCTCGCCGCCCCACCATTTCGGGTCCATGCTTCTTGATGGATCAGTATAGTAGAACTCGGCTGAGAGCTCAGGATCCCAGAAAGTATTGCCGACCACACCATGACTTTCGGGATACAGTCCTGTCGCGAGAGTATAGTGATTCTGACCTGTTAGCAACGCGCACCAAGGACGCAGGTATTACAGAGTACGTACTGGGAAAGTCACAGACGGGAACGAGGGATTCATGTACAATGGGCTGACGCCCTCCTTGACGAAGGCGTCTAGCCTCGGTGTCAGGCCCCGTTGTAAGAAATCGGCCCGGAAACCGTCCAAGCTGATAATGAGAGTCGTGGGGGCAAAGAGCGCAGTGCCATTGCTCACCAGCGTCGGGGTTGATCGTTTCTTGTCCAGCGATATCTTCCAGGCAAGCAGAGCTAGGAAGGAGAAGCCGACAGTCAGGACGGCATTGATGAACAGCCACTTCTTCCATTTCCTCCTCTTCTCGGTCTTGTTGTCGGAGTGCATCTGGAGGCGCTGGCGGTCAAGCTCGTCGCTGTCTTCCCTATCGCTGCTGTCGCCGGTCGAACTGCCGTCGCGCATGCCCCCGGACTCCATCTCGTACATGAGCTGGCCATCCTCGCCGTGTTGTGCCTCCTTGAGGAGGCGGTCTTTCTTCTGCTTCCTCCGGGCGCGCCTCGCGCGCCTCTTCTCGTCATGGAAGTCGTCTGTGGAGGCATTGGTGGCGCTCATGGGGCTCTGGGAGCGAGTCCGACCGCCAGCCTTGAACATCTGCAGAGGGTTCGGGATGGCAAGGCCGCTGCCCCTGCGCTGGCGCTCCTGTTTGGCGCGGGTGTCGGCTACCAAGCGGTGCATCTCCTCCTCCTCCATCAGCACCAGGCGGTCCCGTGCGCGGAGCTCGCGGCTGTTGCGGGCGCGGGCCATGAGCTCGTCATCTTCGCTGTCGGTGTCCTGGTCGCTCCTGCTGTGTAGCGAGATGGCATCGTCGTCGTAGGCGATGGGGGACAGCAACGAGCTGTCCCTGTCCACCCGGGTGTCCAGGGACTTTGGCTGCAGAGGCATGGCGAGATGGTTTAGAAGGCGCCGTAACACCTCGAGCCGCTATTCATCTCAAACAGGCGCTCCGATGGCAGGCGACGACAAGCTGCGATGGGTGCTGAGATGTGGTCGTCCAGAAGGGGTTGAGGTCAAAGGAATGCGATAAGCCACTAAAACTGGCCAGGTTCAGGGTCCTTCAGTTTCCAATTGGGGGAGGGACATCCGTGCACAGCCGCTACCTAGCACAGTACCTAATCGTGATCGGGGGCCTGCTTGCTGGGGAAGTACAGCCCATCCAGTGCGGGTCTCGAATGGACTCACTCCAGTTTGTCAAGGCGTCACGAAGGGTCTACTGGGTCTAATGCATAGGTCTCCTGCGTTCTAAATCCGGCCCACAGGCACAGTCGTCATCAGGCTTGTCAAAAGGTATTCTTCTTACTTGCTGGCTGGTAGGGACCATGTGACTTCCCACTTCCACCGCGTTACTAATGGCCGGGCGTATCGGCTTTATAGGCTACCTATACATCAGTGATGTCCCTTCCAATGCCCTTATCAGTACCCGGGGTCACTTGAGGCCATGGCAAGGGCAATGGCACTAGAGCGCAGGTTTGATACTTGGATGGAAGTCGTATTGCACGGTTATGGGACCTTGCCGAGAAGCCGGCTGCGCCAGCTGACTTAAGAGGCACTCAGCCCAAAGCTGCATCTCCAAGAAAAACTATCGCGCGAGACTTGCCGTCGGCTATGGGCTGCACAATGGCAAAACCATTTACTGAATGGTGAGGACGTTGCCGCACTTCAACCTGTCGTCTTCCGCCGGACTGATAGCCATTTCACGGCTCCTGTGCTTGACAACCAGCAGCAACTGGAAGCAGGGATGGGGTGTGCTGTGACGAAGCCGGATGGGGGAATGGGTTGATCCACCGGTCTCTCGCCCACTTAACGCGTAAAAACACGCCTGAGGGGCCTGGAGCGCGTCTTCTGCTGTGAAATCCCTTCCCCACCATTGATTGAAATCGCGGGCCCCCTGTTCCCATTGGTTTTCCAGCCCCCAGCCTCCCTTCCTCTACTAAAACCGTCGTCATCGCTCCATCCATGGATCCTGGCAACGTTCCTCATTAAACCCCATGCTGCCCGTAGTTGTGTTCCTGCACAACTTTCTGCATTGATCGGATCCCCTGCGTCATTTTGCCCTTCACTACCTCTTCATCTCCTTCATGGTGGTGACATAGCTGGCGCAAGACATATTGGCCCAAAATCTTCCCACAACCAAAGCGACCCCGATAAGCCGACCACGCTCCCAACTCAACTCGCCCTCCAGAGTTACCGACATATTCCAGAGCAGCAGACCATCTACGTCGCACTGCCACATAAGATTACCATGTCCGGGCCACGAACAAAGCGCCAATTCGCAGGCGCAGCGAGCGACCCTGCCCAGCGCCGGATAACCTCGTTCTTCGCCGGCGCCGGCGCTCCATCCCCCTCTCTATCGACATCCGACCACCGCATCGCGGCAGAGTCGCACGCCTTCAGTTCCACCGACAATGCCGTGCAAGCGAACCTCCTGTCGGTCGGCATGCGGGTGCGCAAGGCCGTGCCCGAGGGGTACAAGACGGGCACGTACAGCGCCTTCGCCTTGTGGGACGAGAACAACAGGGACACCACCCCGACTGGTGCCACCCACGACGCCGCGCGCTCGCGCTCGTACGCCGTATCCACACCCAGAGAGCTCCTACCGTTTTGCGGCATCAACAAGGTCGGCGGCCTGGGTACACAGGACACATTCGCCTCACAAGGGCCTGGGCTCGAGGCCTCTTCCATATCGTTACCCTCTGAGCTCTTTGACGCCGATGGCATGGACGACGTCCCGGGGTTGACCCTCAGCCAAGAGTCGACAGATTCGAACCACTCTACCGCCTCAGGCATCACTGGCGCCAATACCCGGAAGCGCTTCTTCGTGGATGACGACGAAGGTACCGACATATCTGGAAGGCTCAATGTCACATCGTGGCAGGACTGGGAGGTCAGCCCCCGGAGCTTGGCGCCCACGGGTTGGGCGAATGACAGAGTCCTCGCCGTGCCTCGAAAGGGAAGACTCCGGGGCAAGCTAGGCGGCGCGTCTGGCAATGTGGCGTTGGGACAGGAGAACGTCATGGTCACTGATGAGGATTTCGAGGAGGCGGCATTCTTGGACCCTAACTTGGAGGTGGAGATGGACGACGTCGTTTGAAGGCCGAAAACCGTCCGCCTGTAGGACGTGTAATCATTTTGTTGTTTGACTATAGGACAAGGCCACCATTGGCCTGGCAGCGGTTTGCATTGGCGGGCGTTTTGGGCGCACTTACTGGCACTCTGTATTGTATGATGTGCTGCCGCGTGGTGCGGCTGAATTTAGAACAGGAGGGAAACCTCCAACTTACCAATATACCAGAGCAGCAAATTGAGCTGCTCAACCATCTTAAACTATGGCAGAGCGGGTGCTCATGAATTTCTGAGATTGGATATTACTATGATTACATGGCCCTTCTCGAGCGAGGCTGCTCGCGGTGCTACTAATATACAGCAATTTTACTCTTGATACTCAGCCTGCAAGCGAAAGCTCCGTCGCGACGGTGAAGATATAAAAACCCGAGAAGGATGTACGTCGTAGTGACGCTAATCAACGATGCGCTCAAAGGGATCCCTGAACTCTAGCAGGTCTCGCTGTCCGTAGAACTCACCGGCAATCGTGAGGATCATGTTCAGCGTGGCGCGCACGTTGACCAAGGCTCTGCTGGCCTCGTCGTCGTCCGGGCTCGTCGGCGCCTCCTCACCTGTGGGAACGTCGATGTCGTCGAGCTGGGCTAGAAGCCGGGCCTTGACCGCCTCAATGTCAGCCGCTGGTTCGCTTTGCACTTTGGGTTCGGTTGATACTTCCCCATCCTCCTCGTCCGACTCGATCTCCATCGCCACGTCAGACTGGGGAGACGCAAGCTGGTTGACTGCCTGTGGCGCGCGAGTTGATATGTCGTCGTTGGCTTTCCGCGGCGCTGAGAAATCCTCGGTTGTGACCGGTCTTTCCAGTCTTGCTTTACCTTCTGGGACCTGAGGAGTCTGGCTTAAATCCAAGGCTTCGGCCTCCTCGATGTCGTCCTGCTCAAACTCTTCATCGATCCCCCCATCCGCATCCAGCTCTGCGTCGTCTTCACTGCCTCCACTTCCACCCACGCCGTACTGCTCGCGTAGGACCTCGGCCTCGGCCAGGCTCAGCATGAACATGATTGCGCGCTTTCCCAGCTCGCGGATGCAGCCGATCTCCTGGTAGTCGAGCTCGCCTTTCTCAGGCAGCCGCGCAAGGAGTGCCCACATCCACCGGCTGGTTCGCTCGCGCAGTTCCTGTCCTTTCCTGAAGAACTTGCCCCCGAGGATGATGCGCAGCAGGCGGAGGACGCTCTCCTTCTGCATCAGGGCGATTTGGGCAGGCAGGGGATCGGTGTTTCTGATACGGTGTGACCACTGGTTGAACGTGTCCCACTTTGCACCAAAACCCTTGACTTCTGAAGGGTGGTCTCCAGGAAGAGCTGCAACCACGCTATCAGGCGGCTCTGCCTGCATCAGATCCCGCAGGCTCGTGTATTGGTCGATGAGCGTGATGTAGTATGCTTGATGAATCTCGGCTGAATTGCTGTTGCGCGGACCAGCTATGCTGCTGGTGTCGTCGCTGTAGAGCTCTCCGTCGTCGGCTTGGTCGGCAGGGTCTGTGCCTTCGTCTCCTGCCTCGGCCCCATAGTCACCCTCGTCCTCATCCTCCTCTTCCTCGTGGTAATTGTCGGGGTATGCCGTATATGCGCCATCATGGTAGAACCCTCTGAAGTCGCCTCGGCCGTCTTGGTAGATGCTCCGGTCGACGGCGCCCTCTGGCAACTCTGGCCCGGCTTTCTTCGCCGCCAGGACATGGGGAATGCCCCGTGCTTCTTCTCGGACCGACTTGAGATATGCTAAGGCGTCTGTCTCGTCTTCCCACTCGTACTCGCCGTCATCTGGAGCCGTCGTGAAGTCGAGTGATCCAAAGGCCGATCGCTGGCCATACGTTTCGTCAACTCCAGTACCACCACGGCGTTTGGAGGTTGCCGAGGAGCCACTGTGTCGATGTTTCTTGGCCTGTCGCGATGCATCCTCTTCAGCTAGGCGCTTCTCTGCCATAGCGATATTGTGCAGGTCTAACTACCGCATCAAACGCAAATAATGCTGCAGTTGAGAGACGACTGATGCCTGCGGTTGAACAAGGTCTCCAGGCAGATGGGTCGACAAGATTACCGAGAACTGAAATAATTTACTTATCGAAGTTGCGGCGAACTCCTGTAGCTGCATAAAATTAGCCCCGTATTTTCTCTAGTCGTCCCTGGAGAGCTGTATCGACTACACAGATCCACTTGTGAATGGTAACCCTCATAGAAAGTGTCATTGTGATCACGTAAATAAAAGATATTCTTTTCTAGCAGTGCATCAATAGATGCGACCAAACACAAATGTTGCACTTCACGTGCAGCTGGGAATGTTGCCGTCATGCCAATATCATCATGGGCACTTAGGTACTGCAGATAAATACAACAATGGTCGAAGCGGAATCCTCTCCATCAAGGGGGACAGTTTCAAGCGCGAGGTTCGAAATTCAGCATTCGTATACACTATCTGGGTACTGAGTAATCCCAAGTTCATTGATTCGGTCTCGAGTTTCCACGAGTACGCTACACATGCAGTCGACGTATATACGGCGGCACGACGGAGATGTCGGCCGAGAAAGGCATCACCACTTCCGAAAAGCGTACCACAGAAAAGAAGTATAAGAGACCCGATCTGTCTGCGTTATTTGCCCCGACCAGATTTCTGACATCGATTTGCGTAAACTGAACATTCTGAAATTGGCTACTATGACTGTCGATTCAAGCAAGACTGTTGTGCTCGTGACGGGTAGGTATAGTGCCTATAAGGGAACTTATATGTCTGTTACTAACTATATCTCAGGTGCCAACCGAGGCATCGGATTTGAAATTGTGAAGGCCCTTCTGAAAGCTACACCATCGCAGTCTGGCAAAGATGGCGCACCCTACCACGTCTACCTCGGTGCAAGAGATGTCGAGAAGGGCAAGAAGGCAGTAGCGTCGGTAGAAGCCGAACACAACAACTCGGTCTCCGTCTTGCAGATTGACACGAATTCAGCCGACTCGATAGCCTCCGCTGTTTCAGCAGTCAAGGATGAGGTTGGCCGTGTTGATGTTCTCGTCAACAACGTGGGCATCATTTCCGAAGAGCCTGACCGCATTGCCAACCTGCGGCTCTGCCTCGAGACAAACGTCGTCTCGGCATTTGCTGTGAGCGAGGCTTTCAAGCCAGTACTGCTTGTGCAGCCGCAGAGCAAGAAGGCGAAGCGCATCATCAACGTGACTAGCGATCTCGGCTCCGTCACTTGGCGTTACGATCCCAACAGCAAGTACTACCAGATTCCGAACTCGGAGTACCGAATCAGCAAGGGGGCTATGAACATGCTCACAGCCTGCCAGTCGTTCGAGCTTAAGGAGCATGATGTCAAGGTCTTCGCCTTCAACCCCGGGTACACTATTACTGAGCTGTCTGGCCCCGTTGAGGTGCGTCGCCAACATGGAGCTTGGGAAGCTGATGTTCCGGCCAAAGGGTGCGTGAAGGTTATTGCCGGCGAAAGGGACAATGAAGTTGGAAATATGGTCGAAGTAGAGGGAACTGTGCCGTGGTGATATAAGTGGTTTCGCTAGTCAATGCCCTTGATACTCTGTACATCGCCAGTATACAGCAATTTCCTTGCCTGAAACCCTCATAGCACATGATGCGCTTTTGCCAATGCCCCTGTAGAAATAGTGTTTGTCATGGCGCTAAATAAACCACCCCCGACCTAGCTCCTTAATCCATGAATGACGATGCCTGGAACATTGTTTGCAACTTCCCGTTATGCTGCGTCTGATTTCCCTCGGACGCGGCCCCGGGCAGGGAGCACGGTCGCTCCCGGCACGGTAGCAGGGGAGACGGCTATGCTTGGAAGCGCTCTGTTGGAGCCCGCACTTATTACAATATGTTATATCTTCAATGTAGGTACACATTTTGGGCGGCGGTAGTAGTGATTCGATTGCAGGGGAAACGTGGATAAGGCCGATGAACATGCAACGAACTCGCATCTATAAAGACAGAGAGGGGCATTAACAAGCCAGTCCACACTGGACTTTATAGAACTGGAATTGCGAAGGACTAGTTAATTTACAAAAACAATTGGTGTATCACTGCTATAACGAAGCTAAAGACGAAGGCTCAGAATACAAGACTCTAGTTTCACTGCCTTATTCTGTGATTAATTGACATCTTTGTGATGCGTTAATAACGACTTGATCGTAACCAGCCATTGAGGACCTTGCAAGCTTGGACCTGATCATTGAATAGGGGTTAAGGCAAGAGAGTACTGCGATTCCGCCTTTAAACTGTCTGCCACTTCACGATAATATATTGGGTTAAACCTACGGTGTGAATTTTTCTCAAGTACTAATTTGGTCAATGTACAAAACAAGTCGTATGTCATTCTAAGAGCATATATGCTGATTTGGGACTTTGCGTAGCCTCCAACAGGCAGAACCAACCCGCGCTTGGCAAGTGAAGAGCATATGTTGCTTCAGGCGCTAGCAGTATTATTGATAATAGTCTAAAATGTAGGTCTGTCTCGTATGTCTACATCAGTTCGCCCCAACGATTCTCTCGGGCCGAGAAACTGAATCTGGTCCTCTTTCTCTGCCATGAAGCTATCGTAACTCTGGCACTCATCGGGTCAAGCTCTCCCCGAACCTTTTACTTAGAGAATAATAGAACAATAAACTTGATAGAAACATGAACCCAGGGTTATATATATATATATAAACTGCGCTTGGAAATTGCGTCTAGTTGTGTAAGGCGAGGACTTCAGATAGTGCATAAACCCCGCCTAAAATGTACTTGCCGGGGTCACCTTGGTAGTGGTGGGTCAGAACGCCCCCCCAAAGCGGGCAAGCCAATCCGCGACACATCAACGGACTTAACTTAGGTGTGGAATCTGTAGCGTGCTGAGCTACCGAGCTACATCACTACGTACATACGTAACCTTGAGGCACGCCTTGGGAGACCATATTTCACCAGTTGCTGGGAAAACGTCCCCCCACTTCCATGATCATCTGAACAATCGAAGGCCTCTTACAGGGCCCCTTTCCTAGCCCGCGATGCAATTCTCGATACGCGCCTTCGCCATCCTGCTGGCGCTGCCTGCTGCTGTGCGGGCCGTCTTCGAAGATGAAGTCAACCACATAGACTACCACCACGAGCTGCTTGGAGTCCCGCAGCGCGAGACCACCTTCTTCCACCGGCCGAGACCCGACGACAAGGCTAGCTTGCTCTACACTCTGAGCGATTTGGGCGTGCTTGGCGCCGTCAACCCCAGTACTGGCTCCATCGTCTGGCGACAGCTACTGCAGAACAACATTACCAGCCAAGGCGGGCACCTGAGAGCGGCCGCCGATGCGAAATGGGTCGCCAGTGCTCTGGGAAGCTCTGTGCAGGCGTGGGATGCTCTCACCGGACGCAATATCTGGTCACTAGACTTTGACGGCCAGGTCAAAGACCTTGAGGTCATGGAGTTGACTGAGAATGGCCGAAAGGATACTCTGGCCCTGTACCAAGAGCAGGGTGCCACAGTAGCGCGACGAATCCATGGGAGCGAAGGTCGCGTGGTTTGGGAGTTCCGAGCTGTCAACGACGACATCCCGCTCCAAGTCAGCACGAATTCGGAAAAGGTCTTCGTCGTGAGCCTTCATGGCTCCTTCCTGTCATATGGCCTGAAGGTCACGGTCCTGGACCCCCTGACTGGCAAGAAGCTGGATGAAATCACCATTGGAACCAAGGGAGAGGTCCAGAAGGAGCAGGATGTTATGTTCGTGGGAGCTAACTCGGCTGCACCTGTCGTCGCTTGGACGGACAATGCCATGACGAAGCTCAAGGTCAATGTTCTGGGAACCAAGGGCAAGACCGAGTTTCCTCTGCTCGCTGACACAAGAACCGTCGAGATTCACGCTCCGCATCACGTCCAGTCCCAGCCCCATTTCCTGGTTCAGAGCCGAACGAAAACCGCCAACAAGGCAGACGTTTTCCACGTTGACCTAAAGAGCAACGCCATCACCAAGGCCTACGACCTACCGCTACTAGACGGTGAGAGTGCTTTCTCAACCAGCACCGCCGGTTCTAATGTCTACTTCACTCGTGTTACGCCCGACGAGGTCCTCATCGTGGCCTCGACGTCGCACGGAGTCCTGGGCCGATGGCCTTTGAAGGGGGCTGATGCTAAAACCGAAGCCCTGCACGCTGTTTCCGAAGTTGTCAAGAAGAGTGAGGATAGCTTTGCTGTCCGATCTGCCGCTGTGCTAGATTCCGATGACTGGGCTATGGTGCGTAATGGCGAGGTTGCGTGGACCCGACCTGAAGGACTCAGTGGCGCCATTGCGGCCACATGGGCTGAGATCCCGGAGTCCGAGGACTTGGCCAAGACTCTCGATGCTGAGGCTCACAGCAACCCCATCGCGGCCTACATCCACCGTGTAAATCGGCACATCAATGACCTCCAGTATCTCCCTGCCTTCCTCCAATCCGTTCCTGGTCGTCTCTTGAGCACTATCCTGGGCACCGACATTCTAGGAGGCACCAGTACTGTTCTGTCTCGCGACACGTTTGGCTTCAATAAACTGGTGGTCTTGGCCACTCAGCGTGGCAAGCTGTATGGCCTTGATGCCGGCAACCACGGCAGAATCGTCTGGTCCAAGTCAGCCCGCGAGACACCATCGACAAACCCCTGGAACGTCAAGGCAATCCACGCTGATGATGCCAAGGGCTTTGTCACCATCCGTGGCGCCGATGGCGAGTACATCATCGTGCATTCGGATACGGGCAAGACCGTTGAAACCATGGGTCCTGGCCTTTGGCCTCCCGTGGAAAGTGCCGTACTTGTTGACAGTGCCGCTGGGCCCTGGCTCCTGCCCATCGGACTTGAGGGAAAGATTGGTGAGGTGCCACTCCAATTTGCTCCGAAGCAGATTGTTGTTGTTCGATCGGCTATCAACGAACTGAAAGGAGTTACTTTCGAGCCTAAGGGCGAGCAGGCCGTCGAAATTCCGGCTTGGATTTATACGACCAAAGCTACCCAGCGCATCGTCGACGTGGCAACGAGATCGAAACATGATCCCATCGCATCGATCGGCCGCGTCCTCGGAGACCGAAGCGTCAAGTACAAGTATCTGAACCCGAATGCCATCGTTGTCTCGGCTGTCGACGATGCAGCATCTACTCTGACTGTCTCCTTGCTCGACTCGGTTTCAGGCCAAGTCCTGACATCATCAACGTATGAAGGAGTTGACACCAACCAGGAGATTACATGTGCAGTGGCAGAAAACTGGTTTGTGTGCACATTTTTCGGCGAATACACCCTTCGGGAGTCTCCCGCACAGCTTTTGAAGGGCCACCAGCTTGTTATCTCTGATCTATACGAATCGGAGCTCAGCGACGACCGTGGTCCACTAGGCAACTCTGCCAACTTCTCCTCCCTCGAGCCGATCGATCTCGCGTCCAGCCTCGTACTCCCATCGGTTGTCTCGAAGACGTTCGTTCTGTCCGGTCCTATCAGCGCATTGGCCGTGACGCAGACGCGACAGGGCATCACCACGCGCCAGCTTCTTGCCTACGCCCCTGAGCTCCATTCAATCATTGGCATCCCTCGCATGATCATCGAGCCGCGCCGCATGGTGGGCCGAGATCCTACGCCCGCCGAAGCGGAAGAAGGTATCACCAGGTACTCGCCGGCCGTCGAGTTGGACTCGAGATTGATGATCACCCATGAGCGTGATATCATCGGCGTACAGGACATCATTACGGCCCCCGCCATCCTCGAGAGTACTAGCTTAGTCTTCGCGTACGGCGTCGACATTTTCGGATCGAGAGTCACGCCGAGCATGGCTTTCGATGTCCTAGGAAAGGGCTTCAACAAGGTGACCCTGATAGGCACCGTTGTCGCCTTGACTGCCGGTGTTCTCTTCCTTGGACCCATGGTACGATATCTCCGCTTCTTCACAAATTGATGGGAATACAAGCTAATGCAAAAAACTACACAGGTCCGGAAAAAACAGATCAACTTGAGATGGCAAGCTGCCACCTAGGTTGCCTTTGACGCAGGTGTATTTCCAGTACTAGATTTTACATAGATGTGTTGGGGAGACTAAAATATACCACATCTTCGAGGACTTTATCCGCATCGCATCATTTCAAGCGAGGCCTGTCTTGATGTTTAAATTTCGTAGAGGAATTGCTCGGAGTCCGTTCTCAACTTTTGCGCCTAGCTTCAGCGCCACTTCGCTATCTTGACGTGATCAATCACCAAAAAGGATTCATCATTAAGTGAATTTCCGTTCACCAGCCAAGCGCTTGCGATGAGTACTTTTCTTACTTGTTTAGGTACGTAACTTATATGTAGGGCTGTTTCGTAAGGCAGAACTATCATCTCCACTCCAGGGTGGCACGAGGACATGACGTTACAATTCACAAACTCGGAACAAATCTACACGGACCAGGCCCCATACATTGGAACATAAAAGCGCTGACCAGTTTTCATTTGTATGGACACGCCGGCAATAGCGAGGGAAATAGGTACCACTGAGCTATAGCAAGCAGTTTCCCCCATTTGATTGGATATGTTGGACTACTTGGTCCGCGTGGACTTGCTCCAACTTTGTGAGCCTCGGGTCCATACCGACTAATCATATACAACCAGCTGGCCCCCTCCACCACCCCAAAGATTGATGGCAATGATAAACGACCACGTGATGCTAGCTGACGGAACGCTACGAAGCTGGATTTGACCTCATATAACACTCCTTTGCTGCACACTACAGGTCAAATAAATACTCTAGCGAAACATACTTGTTGCGACGCTATGATGTCCCGAGTCCTTCATGTAAGCGCCTGGTCGTTTGGCATGTTTGTCTTATTTGCATCGGCGCACCAGGGTAGCCCAGAATGGGTGAAGTTTGTGTCTCTCATGTAAGCTAAATGTTTCGATAGTTGAGGTTTTGCGATGTATTTACTGGCTTTGTAGGTCGTTTGCTCTATGGCTCGCAAGTGGAGTTGTGCTTGTCTTGACGGAGCTCGATGTGGTGACTCGGTAAATTCCCCTTTGTTGAAATGTATAACATCCCGCACTAATACAGCTCACAGCCGGCCGGTCTCCACAGCGCTCTTGTCCCTCGCAACTCACCTTTTCGTCGTTACATGCGGCAAGGCAGAATTCTTGGAGTCTCTGGTCGCTATCCCGATTGCGATCAACATTGCGACAGTGATAGTGTTGAATTGGGACCGCATTCCCGAGTCAGAGGCACAAATAGAAGCAGTACAGAATCCCATTGGAACTGCACTCTGGAACGCTTAATGTAGATTATTTTGCAGAAGATCAGCCTCAGGGGACAGCCATAATAGAATCATGTGAATATATGGGAGACGTAAAGCACATCGATCTTCTCGTGTCTTGAATTTAGAATGCAGAGAATCCGAAATCACCCTGATCGTGTTTCTGGTCTTTTCCCTGTACGACCTGTTTTCCCAGGGTACGACAACCGCTCTGTATTCTAGTCCCCAATAATGCATTCTCCATGCTATTATTCTAGCTCATACTTTTCAAATCATGAACACCCTTGATTGAACCACTTTTGATACCTGCGCGAAGTCTCTAGAAGTTCTCCATAGTTGTTTAATCGTCACAAATTTCTACGTACTTCAAGGCGGTAGGACACGAAATTGGCCGATTTGGGATTCGGTAAGCTTTTATTTGGAAAACCAAGTAGTAAAACAAACATCGTTTGGCGTGATACCAGCGATGAACCGTGACGCCGCCCATGCAAATTGTCCGAGACGATTGTCTGTCAAAAACCTCCATACGCCAGTTATGCAGATGCGAAGAAAGAGAAGAAAGTAAAAACGCACAAGTCTCAAGATGAAGACTTGTCCTTCTTCCCCTTGCGCTTCTTCTTCTGCTTCCTGGACTTCTTGTGCGTCTGCTCCGACTGCACCTCGGCGGCGTCCTCGGGCTCGTTCGACCCCTCGTCGTCGTCTTCCGCTCCCTCCGGCTCAGGCTCGGCCTCGGCCTTGCGCTTCTCGCCCAGCTTGGCGGCCTTGATGGCGGCCTTTGCGCGCTCCTTGGCGATCATCTCGGTCAGCTTGGTGTTGACCTCCTTGTTGTCGGCCAGGTCGGACCGGATGAAGCGTATGGCGGCCTCCTTGTTGAGGGACTGGTCGGGCTTGGGCGGGGGGTTCTCGATGTTCTTGATCTTCTCAAAGTATTGGCGCACGCGTGTCAACTCCTGGAAGACGGGGTGCTCCTTTGCGTTGACGCCATTGAGTCGGAGGGAGGCTGGACAGGGTATTAGCGGGGGCATATTCCGAGGGCGGCGCGACGTGGTGCTTGGCTTACAGAAGATGATGGATTCGAGCGCGTAGGTGACGAGGACGTAGAGCTTGGCCTTGTCAAGCAGGGGGAGCTTGTTGGAGACGTCGGGGATGCTGGCCAGGAATGGCTCGAGAACCTCCTCGAGATCGTCGATCTCGCCGTCGAGGCGCTCCAGCTGGGGCAGGATATCCGGAACATCCATGGCAGCTTGGGCTACGGGGTATGAAGGGATGGAATGTACGTGTTGCAACGGCAGCGTTTGCGTGCCTCGACTACCTTAAGGTGCTCTACAAGGTCTCGTACCTATTGCCTACGATAGAACGATAGACGTGCCGTAGCTATCAAGGCCGTGAGTCGTGATAGCACCAGAAAAATTGGGCGGTGACGGGGGGCACAAAGGCGCGACAGGATAGATTAAGTTGCGGTAGATGCAGTACCTACAGTATCGCCGCCTGCGCGGCCGGGTGATATCGCTGTATCGATTAGCTTTAGTTGCCTAGGACTGTACTTGGGGCCCCTGCCCAGGTGCACCTTCAGCCTCTACCTAGGTACCTAGGTAGCCTCTGGGCCTACTATGTATCCCCGAGTCGGCAGCCCTGCCAATCAGCGTAGAAGGAATTGCTGGTCATGGGCGCCGGGCATGGACGGGAGCGTGGGCATGTGGAGACCCAACCCGCTGGGACCCAGGGACCTAAGCGTTCGGGTCGGCTGCAATCAGTCTGGTCGGCCGTGAATTCTCGTTCGTTCGCGGGAAAGAAAAAAATGGTCGCCGTCATGAAAAGGGTCTCCGGTCCTCGACATTCGCGACAGACCAACGACACGACACATCCAGCTTCCGACACCAGCGCGCAGCTGCCACCGTACCCTGTGGTTCTTCGATACCCCCCTTCTTCTTCTTCTTCTTCTTCTTTTCTTTTGGCTCGTTTGTCTGCGTTTTCTCATCCATGCTGGCAGCAACCCAGGTGACCGTCCCGTTCTGATCCCCGTCGCGCACCTCGCCGTCGACCTCGATGCTATGAGACCTAGCCGATAGACCCCCCAGATATCCTCCAATCTGTCTTCCCACATTTGTCGCCAGCCGCTTTCGCGGGCGTCAGCGCGAATACCCTACAGATACCCAGCATGGCGCCGCGATAACATCCTGGTGGGCCGGGGGGCCACCAGGCAGTCGTTCTCGCCCGCCGCCGCCGCCGCGTCTCAGCGCGACGTCTTCTACTTCCCACCTGTCGCCAAACTCCCGCGCCGCCCGCAGCCCGACATGCCGCTCTACGGGGCACGCCCACCATTGCCGCCGCCGACGCCCATCTATCAACCTCCCCGTGCCCGCGTCGAGAAGTCCCCTTCACAGACACAGGCCAAGGAGTACGAAGAAATGGTTCTGGAAACTTTGGCCGACGTGGAAATGTCGGAAAAGATTCATATCATAGGCCAGACCCGGATGGCCAAATTTATCACGTACTCGCTTGCAGGCGTTGCGGACTTGCCTCCTCCCCAGCTTCTCACGCATGACTTCAGCCTCCCCGTAGCTTGGGGCAGTGGCGGCCGGGCTTTGACGCTTCGTATCAAAGACAAGGGCAAGGGCATACACCCCGCAACCTCACGCCCGATAGCAATCCCCGAGGTGGTTGGACACCGGAACCCCCTCAAGCACTCATCTTCCAGGCGTCTCAAGCACATCGACAATCTGATCATGTGCACAAGTGACGCCGCTATTGTCCCGACCTTGCGGGGGATCCGCGACAGCATCAACGAGGACACCGTCATATGTATATTCTATGCCGGCATGGGTATTGTGGAGCATCTGAACCAAGCCGTGTTTCCGGACCCAGAAACGCGGCCGACCTTTGTTATAGGCCACTCGAGCCACGCTCTTGAACGTGACGCGAAGGATCCCCACAACCCGTTGGCTATACAGATGAGGAGAAAAGGCCGCGTCTTGCTGTCAGGCCCTCCCGTAAATGCAGCCGACAGAGATGGCCTCCCAAGAACGTGGGATCGAGTGATGCGCCACGCTCGTACACAGCACTTCGTCAAACTCCTTTCCCAGGCGCCGGGGCTGCACGCCACCGGCTTTCCGTGGGACCAGTTTCTCCGCCGGAAACTGCCCTCGATGATTTTCTCGTCCATCACGGACTCTCTGTCGGCTGCCCTAGGAGTTCCGTACGAGCGGTTGCATGTAGACCCATCTGCCCGACGAATGTGGGCCAAACTTTTCGACGAGACGGTTCAGATCATCCAGGAGCTCCCCGACTTGCAGGAGGCACCTTTTATTAAGTATTATTTCCGGGGCCGTAATTTCCACAGCGAGATGGCCCGTTTCCTTCATGCGCAGAGCGGCCCCAGCCCGTGGATCGCCAACATCCGAGACGGAAAGGCGTTACCCATGCATTACTTGAATGGGTTCTTCATCAGAACCGCAATGGCAGCCGGGCTGAGCGCGGAGCAACACCGGCTGGTTTATAACATGGTGAGGGCGAAAGAGGAAAACAGGCTGGAAGAGCTGCAGACAGACATTCCGCTGTACTACTCGCCGTATATGCTGGACGGCGATTACAATCGGAGCGCCAAGCATAGAGAAACACCTCCTGCACGGGGCCCCGTTGTATATACCAATCGCAGGAACGGAAGATGGCCCCCTGTCCCGGTATAACTCGGAAAAATTGGAAAGCCCATGATGTACACATATGCATAGAACTTATTTAGAAATAATCAACCAGACGATGGCTCCAGGTGATGATTTACGAGTCCACGGCGAGAACTAGACCGCGGCAGAATGATGGTGCCAAGTTGGAGAGAGGGTTTCAATGAATGAGTGAATGAGTGAATGAATGAATGAGTGAATGAGTGAATGAATGAATGAGTGAATGAATGAATGAATGAATGAATGAATGCTCCATGTTGATAAACGGCGGCTTCCTTCTGTTAGTATGTACGAGTCTGGTAGTCTGTACTCGCTCTAGGTATACTGCGAGGCGTACCGCGAGGCGAGCCCCACCATGACTTTTCGCACACCAATCCATGCAGAGAGAGAGAGAGGCCTGCCACGGCCAACTTTGACCCCGCGATTTCGCAGGCTGGGCATCCCGCTTCCCTCGACTTGACCAAAGTCAACACACCACCGTCACGTACCCCGGTTCCCAGCATGGCCGACGCAGAACTCGAAGCAGTGAGTCCCCGAGCCGCCCCAGGCGCCCCGTGAACCTTGCTGCTAACCACGAATGCGAACCCCAGATCCGCAAAGCTCGCCTCGAGCAGCTCAAGTCGCAAGGCGGGGCAGGTGGCGCCGGAGGAGCAGGCGGCCCAGCGGGCGGCCAGGCAGGCGGCCAGGGCCAGAACCAGGAGGCACAGAAGCAGTGAGTCTGTTTCTATTTCTTTTCCTTGCTATCGTTCTTATTCTTCTGCCGCCGCGCGAGTCGCTGCGGCATCCACGACAAAAGGCGCGGTGCGAAGAAGAGAGAGGGACGCGCAAGGGGAATTCCTTGACTGACCACCCGCTCCCCCACCCACAGGGCCGAAGCCGAAGCGCGCGCCTCGATCCTCAACCAGATCCTGCACCCGGAGGCGGCGGACCGGCTGGGCCGCATCCGCCTGGTGCGTGAGGACCGGGCCACCGACGTCGAGAACCGGCTCATCATGCTGGCGCGGTCCGGCCAGCTGCGGTCCAAGGTCACCGAGGACCAGCTCAAGGAGCTGCTGAGCGCCGTCGCCGAGAGCAGCAGCCAGCAGGACAAGATCGTCGTCAGCCGGCGCAAGGGCTGGGACGACCTGGACGACGAGGGCGACGACGACTTCTTCGACTAAGGGGGGTTTGGTGCTGGTGGTGCTGGCCAAGGCTACCTGAGGCTACGGTCAACCAGGATGGTGGGAGGAGAGAAGCGTGTGATAGTGACCAACAGTCGGCCAGAAGAAAGGAGAAAAAAGACGTGTTGTGAACTGTGATGGGAAGGGCCAGGAGAGCGTGATATTGGCTTGGCATGGCATGGCATGGCGTTCGTGGTATTTGAGGTGTTCTATGGTTTTCAGTTCTACAATATTACACTGGTACACAACCCCTCACACACATCCTCATCGTATCTTACAAGCCGGACGAGTTGGGATCTGATCCACGCCCTTCCTCTAAAACCACAATGCTTCCATCCCTTTTTCACCCTACGATGCACCGGCGGCGTTCTTCATGGCCCCGGACGCCTGCTTCCTCCTCCTGCGCTCCTCGCGCTCCCGCTGCCTCGTCTCGCGCAGGTCGGGCGGCCGCTCGATGCCCAGCCGGCGGCGCAGCTCGTCGCAGTCGGTCTCCATCTCCTCCTCCCAGTAGACGTTGATGACCTCGTGGGCGCGCAGGCCGTTGCGCAGGGCCCAGGGCCCGTAGACGTCCCAGAAGCGGGCGCGCTCGACGGGCTTGAGCGTGGCCAGGGCGAACAGCGACAGGCCCGTCATGGGCAGCAGGGTGTTGGCGAACTCGAAGGCCTTGAGGGCGACCTCCCCCTCGCGCACGATGGGCAGCCCCGTCAGCGCGTGGTAGAAGTCGTGGCTCTCGCGGTAGCGCTGCATGACGTAGGCGCACTCCTCGTCGTCGATGTAGCGCACGCCGGCGCGCGTGTCGGGCGACACGCCCTCGCGGTCCAGCCACGCCACGTAGGTGCCGCCCACGGTCGACGGCGCCAGCGTGCGCAGGTACGGCAGGTCCAGCGACTGCGACGTGATGCGCGGCCGGTCGCGCAGGATGCGCCGCCCCGTCGCCGACGCCAGCATGGCCCGGTGCAGGCGGTGGATGAAGTACGGCGTCGCCGTCGCCTCGCCCAGCGCCGCGATCAGGTCCCCCCGGTACGGGTCTCGCAGCGACATGATGCCGGAGCCGACGGCCAGGGCGGCGCGCTCGATGCGTGTGAGCGGCACATGGCCCGGGTAGTTGGGAGGCGGGCGGTTGAGCACCGAGAAGGCTGCGGTCTGTCGTCTTTGGCCGTGGCAGACGTCCGTCGGGGAGCGGGAGCCGGCATCGACACGGTGTAAGTGCAATGATGCAGCCGGGGTCGTCGGTGGGAGGAGTAGTTGTGTCGGTCGACGGGCGAGCGCGCGGAGCGGATGAGTCGGTGTCTTCATTTTGGCGGTCTCTCTAAGAAGGGGAACATGCTACAGCGTCGGTTTCCGACCTTCTCCCTTCAACAACCACAGTCAGGTTTTGACAACCCAAACTAGACAGCTTCGACTGCTCGACCCGATCATACGAGAAGCAACTGATGCGATGGGGACCCCATTGACTGACGGGAGCTTATCGAGCTCCAGTACTCACTTATCGAACAGGAGGACCCAGATAGCGATAGCGCATTAAACCGTACGGCGACACCCATGGCAAGGGCCCCTGTATTCATATATCCGCCGGCCGAGGACGAGGACAAGAAAACTACGGGGTCCCCCAGCTGACCACACATGGCTCCCTGATTGGCCACTGGACCGCCCCGGCTCGAGCACTAGAGCCTTCTGGTACCTTTTTCCTTTAGCTGGCAAAGTCCGTCCCGGCGCAACTGAGTCCGCTAGAATTTGCCGTCTGGTAGTCCCTAAAGCCGAGCTTGCCTCTCTGAACATCACCGCCAGCAACTCACTCTTTCGACTCACCCACTCTCTCTACGAAGATCTCTCATCTTTCTCTCCCGCCTCGAGATCACATCCACACACCCTCACACACCCACACCCGCAAACATGCCTCGCCAGTCTCGCTCCTCCGGCCGCCCGGCCCCCGCCCGCCCTACCGTCGCTCCCCGGGCTGCTCCCGCGCCCCAGGCTCAGCAGACCCGTCCTGCCACGACCTATGCTCCCTCCCAGGCGCACCCCCAACAACACGCTGCTCCCGCACCGGCACAGTCGCAGGGCCCTGGTCTGTTCGGCCAGATGGCCAGCACCGCTGCGTAAGTTCCGGCCTCCCCCCGAGCACCCATCACGCCACCGGAAGCAACTCGCCGTAGCCTTCCCTCCCGTGCCCCCAAACCCTCTAGCACGAAGCCCGGCATGACAGGAAGCGAAAGACGTATGTATACTAACCTTCCATGACCAACAGCGGTGTAGCCGTGGGCTCCTCGATCGGCCACGCCATCGGCGGCATGTTCGGCGGCGGCTCGTCCGCGCCCGCCGAGCAGCCCGCCGCCCAGCAGCAGGTCAACACCCAGCAGAACAGCGAGTGGGGCAACAACTGCGCCGGCGCCACCCAGAGCTTCACGAAGTGCATGGACGAGCACAACGGCAACATGAGCATCTGCAACTGGTACCTCGAGCAGCTCAAGGCCTGCCAGGCTGCCGCTAGCCAGTACTAGACTGGGAGTGCTCGGGAGACCTGGAATAGGGAGAGAGTCATCAGGGGACCGGGGCAAATGTTACGACCAGCCATGTGGAAGTACAGCCTTGGGAGGGTACGGGCCGCCATGGGCGTGAGGTAGCCTGAACGTGCTGTCTTGAGAGCAACACGACTCTTCCAGCATGTCCTGGCCATGGTTCCGAAGGCAGTTCTCCTGCCACAATTTTGCAGACATCCACTCAGTTCTTAAGGGAAACGGAAGTCAAGGGGACTATGCTGAATAAAGATCTCCTCTAATAGTGTACATTAAAATGAAAAAAAGCCACCATGATTTACCCCCTTTCCATTGAACCTATCATGATGCTCCCGTGACTCAAGATCGATGTACGCTATTTGTACCTGTTGTGCCAGATATCCAGCCCCAACTCAGCTGGCCTCCTGCTCATCCTCGTCATTTCGCGGCTCAAAGTTCAGCTGAAGTATGTTAGCAACACGACCCGTCGCTGCGAGGAACGTCATGGTAACACTGAGAGATATCACTTACCGAGTTGCCGTTGTAGAGCTGCTGATCCCGCCTCCGGTCGTCTGGATTTTGGAACCCTCTGAATCTTGCCCCCTGACCCTGGCCTTGGCCCTCCCTTGCGGAACTCTGCCCATCTAAATTGTTCAAGGGGACATTCTCCCCCTGGGCAGCGTGTTCCGTCTGTGGTCCTCTCCCGTCGCCGCCGAGGAGCATGAGCGGGAAACCCAGGACCATGGCGAGAAACCCGTAGATGCCCGCCCACACCTGGTACAGCGCGCCGCCCGACCGCTGGAACGCCGTCGCGGCCCGGGGGTGCGGCACCAGGATCAGGGTGGCGCTGGGCGCGAGGCCGAGGTCCAGCAGCGAGTCGGCCTCCTCGGCCGGGTCGACCGACTTGTTGGGCAGGGGCGCCAGGAGGACGCGGAAGGAGAAGGGGTCGGCCCCGTCGGTGCGGGTCTCGTCGATCCAGCCCCGGACCTCCTGGGCCAGCGTCGCCTCGCTGGGGAACCGCTGCCGGATCGTCGACCCGTCCAGCAGCCGCACCTGGAGGTTGCAGTGCTTCTTCGCGGACCCGGGCTCGGCCCGGCTCGGCAGCTTCACGGCCTGGCCGGCGCTCCCCGGGGCGGGCGCGTCCGCGTCCTGCGTCGCCGACAGCAGGAGCCGGGCCTGGCGCTCCTGGGCCTCCCGCTCCCGGCGCTCGCGCTTGTCGTCCTCGATGCGCTGGAGGATGCGCTGGCGCTCGGCCTTCTCCTCCTGCTTGCGCTTGCGCAGCTGGCTGGCGTACTTGGTCTCGGCTGCGCTGATGTTGCCTTGCCCGTCGTCCGTCTCCTTGGGCTCGCGCCGCTCCTGCGCTCGCTTGGCGGCCTCGGCCTTCGCTGCCGCTTCCTTGGCTTTCTTTTCCGCCTCGAGGCGCACTGCGCGCTCCGCCAGGAGAGTTGCGACATGAGGGGGTGGCTGACTCGAAGACGAGGATGGGCCGGGCTGCGAGGCGACAGACGACGGCGCGACATCCCCGTACAGGTCGTCGTCGTCGTCGCCGTCGTCTACAGCTGGCCCTGGTACCTGAACTTGCGCTGCTTGTGCAGAAGTCCCACTGTGGGCAGGGGGCGTTGACGAAGAAGCGACTGCGGGTGCAGGAGCTTGAGTCGAGGAGCCTCCTAGGGCAGTGCCCAGCCTTCGCAGAAACTCCTCTTCCGAGGTGCCTGCTGCGATGTACTCTCTGAGTTGGCCATTCCTATAAACATGTCAGCGTCAACGTCCCGAGGACAGCGACCGAGTGGTATTTGAGGGGCATTACTCACTGGATAACAATCACCGTTGGCTTGCGAGGGACAGGGAACAGCGCCTCCAGATAGCCGGCCTCCTCGGACCCTGCCTCTAAGCGCAGAGACACGGCCTGAGTCTCAAGCGGCATCTTGACACTGTCGTTGGCCAAGAAGTCATTTTCCCACTGTTCGCTCTCATCACCACCATCTGCAGACGTGTTAGTGAGATTCGAGCAGAGTGTGAGTTTTACTCTTGACAACAGTACCTGTCACGAAGCAAACGACTTGTTTCGACTGCTGGAGAGCCGTGGCGATGCCTTCCTGCAGCGTTCCTTGAAAGAACATGTCGATCACTGGGTAACGTGTTAGTTAGGTGGGTGGATATGTGCAACTCCTGTATCTTCGTAACCCGGGCCGCCCGCAAGGAGTGAACTGTTGGGCTGCTGCGCAGTTGCGACAGGCAGGCTTGGAAAAGAGACTGTTTGACACGGCTGAACCCTTGTATTTCATGCAAGCGACTCTAATTACATAGGTGTTGCAAGGTGCTCATGGGTTTGTCGTGAATGAATGTGAACCGGGGGCAGCGGCGAAAGTGACTGTTGACTAGTGAGGTGTCTGTCTCAATGTCAGCGGCCCAGCAATCGATAGGGCGGGCTGACACCAGCTGCCAGGTCCGTGACTTCTGACAAATGACAACAAAATGGTCACCTAGAAAGACCAGTAGGAGGACAAGGTTCTGTTCCTGACGTTGGTCTACTCAAGTAGCTTATGTGTTAGAATTGCAAAGTATCTGAGACGCCTGGGACTAGAGAAACACCCTTATTTATGCTTTCGAAGTTGACATACACCGTATGGCATGTGAGGCAGCATACTTCTAAATATGTACTTACAAGAGTCGCGCTAATTCATCTTAAGCTACCTAAACGGGTCAATGGGCTCCACTGAAATTTCACTTATCGAATCCTTCCGCTTGATAGACTTTTAAAAGTCTAGGAAAGTCACCGCAAACAATTCTGCGACAACCACCCAAACAGTAACTTCTGCAGTGCAAAGTCCGTCGCACCTCTTTTTTATTTTTCTCAGTGCAGCAGCAGAACCATTCTGTCAGGCACATTTCCATTCTCTTTTGCGACATACTGCGCATCATGGCGAAACGCAAAGCTGAGGACAACCCCACCACGGTCGCCAATGGCGAAGTTGCTGAGACCAAGAAACGGCAACGGGTGAGCGAGGACGAGTCTAGCGCGAAGCGGTCGAAGAAGGACAAAAAGGACAAGAAGTCGAAGAAGGAACGCAAGGTGAAGGAGGAGGCCGAGGCTGAAGAGGCCGAGGAGTCGCTCGACCTGCCCATGGCCGACGTCGAGGATACCCAGCCAGAGAAGGTCAAGCAAGAGCCCGAGGCCTCAGATGCCGCTGCCACCGATGTACCAACCAAAAGCGACAAGAGCAAAAAGAAGAAGAAGAACAAGAAGGGTGCAAAGGCTGGCCAGGAGGATGCCGCTGCCACAGAGATCCAGGAGCAAGCAGAACCCGAGGCCACGGAAGAGACCACCAGCAAGCCGAAAAAGAGCCGCTTCATTGTCTTTGTCGGCAATCTTCCCTACAGCGCCACCGTTCCCGACATTGAGAAGCACTTCTCGGCCGTACAGCCCACCTCCGTCCGTCTACTTCACGAGAAGACAAATCCGAACAAGTCGCGCGGCATCGCCTTCGTCGAGTTCGCTGGCTTTGATCACATGAAGACCTGTCTCAAGACCCTCCACCACTCGACCTTCAAGTGTCAGGGTCGGGATCACCGAGGACGGCCCAAGCCGGAGGAGCGCGTTATCAACGTCGAGCTGACCGCCGGCGGTGGCGGCAACACGGCCGCCAGGAAGGAGAAGATCAAGGCCAAGAACGAGAAGCTGGATGGCGAGCGGGAGAGGCGAGCACTTGAGGAGGAGAGAGTCCGGATTAAGAAGGAGAAGGAGCGGTTGACCAAGGAGGGCGAGAAGAAGGGCGGCGCGGACGGAATTCATCCCAGCCGAAGAGGACGAGTTCCTGGGAGTTCCAAGTGATACCCGCCAGTCACTTGCTGGCATTCAGCGAAACATGTTTACGCATCAAGGAAATTGTTGACCAAACTTTGCTTTTCTCCGTGAGCTGCATGCTGCCCCCTTTTGTTGCTCTATGCTATTCGTCGAAACTGAAACCCACACATGCGTGCGCTCTCTATAAGCAGGATAGCACAACCGAGAGATGCCGACCGATCCAGTTCACAACTGGGCGGATGAACAAGGAAGCTTGGGGCGGTGTCAGTAAGGATGAGGATGTTAGAATGTGGATGTTGTTCTGGCCTGATAACAACGGGACCAAAGAACGGAGAAATGTACACGAGATGTGTAATAACAAGGGTGGTTTATATATAGCTTACCTTTCTCCAATAGATCAGAGAGCGCCTCCTGACTTATTGCCCTTAGTCCGAATCAATATACATACGGGGAGTATATATTGGGAACTATTTCACTGCTGCCAACTCTCATCATTAGAGGCCGGTTGAGACTATATTCGAGTAATCACACGAATGCAGTAAGCAAGTTGCACTGATCGACCGGCACCCCAAGACTCAAGGACCCGACACCGATGTCTAATGCCCGGGCCGGTCAACCCAGTCCCGGGCCATCTGCACGGCCCCACATTTACTCTAGCGTCCGCTGAGCTAGCAGCTCAGTCGCTGGAAGCTCCGGCCCAGAGAATTTCCCCAGGACGTCATGCGACTGACAGGCTCACATCTCGAAACTACAGTCCCCCGACACAACACATACACACGTACGACTCTGCGGGCCTCGTGAGTCGCCCAATTCGCCCAGCATGAAGTCGCCAAGCTGGACCCTCCGGCAATCGCTCGCGCGCAAGCTCGAGCTCGCCCTGCAGCAGCAGTTCCACCACCAGAGCCCAGCGGCGGCATCGAGCCGCGCAAGCGCCCCATTACGAGCGTGCCGAGCCAAGACGTCCCAGCAGAGCCGCGGGTTCTCACGGACGGCACCGCGGCGCGAGCAGCAGCAGCGGCCCGCGCCGGCCGAGGACCCGGGGTTCACGTCGATCCTGGACAACCCGCCGCAGCTGGTGCGGACGGGGCGGCGGCACAACAAGCTGGGGCTGGCGTTCCTGGCCGTGATCCCGCTGACGGCGCTGGCGCTGGGCACGTGGCAGGTGCAGCGGCTGGGGTGGAAGACTGAGCTGATCGCGCGCTTCGAGGACCGCCTGGTGCGCACGCCGCTGCCGCTGCCGCCCCGCGTCGACCCGGCCGCCATCCACGACTTCGACTTCCGCCGCGTCGTCGCCCGCGGCCGCCTGCGCCACGACCAGGAGATGCTCATCGGGCCACGCATGCGCGACGGCGAGGACGGCTACATGGTCGTCACGCCGCTGCAGCGCGAGGATGACGGCGCCGGCAGCACGACCGTTCTGGTCAACCGCGGCTGGATCAGCAAGAAGATGAAGAGCCAGAGGGTGCGCGGCGACGGTTCCCTGCCGACGGGGGAGGTCGTGGTCGAGGGCCTTTTGAGGGAGCCGTGGAAGAAGAACATGTTTACCCCAGATAACCGGCCTGACAAGGGCGAATTCTACTTTCCTGACGTGCAGCAGATGGCCGAGTTGACGGGGAGTCAGCCTGTGTGGGTGGAGGCTACCATGGGTGAGTCTCTTTTCATTATTATCAGGTGCCTGTTGTATTCTCGGGACTCTCGTGGTCCTCGTGGGAGAATACATGGTTGCACAAAGGTGCTGGGTATCTAAGCTAACGCATCGCTGGTAGAGCCGGATCTGCTACAGACGATGGACATGGCGAACAAGGGCATTCCAATTGGCCGTGCGGCGGAGGTCAACTTGAGGAATAACCATGCCCAGTACATCTTCACATGGTATGTGCCATTCTGTTGCACTCTCATCTGCCCGCTCCTCCTCTCGCCCTTGTTATCATATTGACCAATCCTTTCAGGTATGGACTCGCCGCAGCAACGTCCATTATGTTCTACATGGTAGTCAAGAAACCTCCAACGGAGGTGGCACGCAAGGTGCGGATGAACAAGAACTGGTGATAGTCCTCGAGATACCAAGATGTCAAGATATCAATGTCTTTGATGTTGCCGCCAGGACATATATAGCGGAGGGTCACGTAACATCGACATCGTCCTCGGCGTCAACGGCTCTCGACTTCTTCTTGGAGGCTCTTATAGGAACCGGGACCGACATTCTGAGCTCCTGGAGCAATTCCCTGGGAAGGTAGCGCTGCGCAAGAGAGAAAGGCGTGGTGGACGCGCTTGTCTGCCGTTGTCTGTTTTGGTGTGAGTCAGATGAGACAGCTGTATTAAGGGGAAGCGAATACCCCCACTAGTGTACGAAAAATAGATAAGAATGTATCATACCTTCTCATGAGAGTAATCATGTCGCTCTCATCAATGGTCTTCCGCCCCGCGTGTCTGGCATACGCGGACAAGTCGTCGCCGAGCTGCTCAAAGAACCAGTCCGTCGCCTGCATGATGACGTCCAGGGTATCGGCCGAGATCTTGGTCTTGCCTACGCCCGACGTTTTGGCAAATGTAGTTGCGAGCCGCTTCACAACTCCTGGCGGCAACGAGGGATACTCGATGCCGTGCTTGGAAATCTTCTTCCCTAATTTTCTCCGTTTCCCTCGATTTGTTGCCAGTGCCATCGGCTTAGACAGCGTTGTCGCATCCGGCTCCTCGATGTTGCCATTTTCAGCGTCGTTGGGCACCTCCATGTTGTCATTATCTTCGTCATCAGACTCGGGAAAGTCCATAGGTTCATTCACATGATCGTCGTCCATGTCGTCAAACACCCCAGGTTCATCGTTCTCAACAGCCGCGTCGATGGCTGTTGCTTCCCGGGTTGGCGAATCTGCTGGTGCCATCAAGAACGTGGTCTCGTTGCCCATGTCTGGTATCTCTATGGGCCCAAATAGACTCTCCCGTCCCAAGGTCTGTCGCCTCGACTCTTCAACATCGAGCCTGCCAGAGTTAGTACTCACGGATATTTCCGATACAATTGCACAGGGAGGACATACCGTTCAGGCGAGTCTCCAACTCCCAGCATTACGTTACCACTGTCTTCTTCCTCAATGGCGGGCGGTGGGAAGAGAGCCGAGTCTATGCCGACGTCGTCGCTCTGAATCTCGGGCCCAGCATAGTCACTGAAGCGCACACTGGCCATGCTCTCTCTACCAAGCCTGCTCGGCCCCTCACTCCACGCCCGTCGCGGCAGCTCGATCGAGTGCGCCGTGTAGTTCTCGTCCTCCAGTCCACTAGACCTGGGCACTTTGAGGTCGCTGTCGTCTTCATCCTCCTGCAGCGGCAGGGAGAAGCGCGGGCGCTCGATGAGGAAGTCATCGTCGTCGTCGTCCTCGGGCACCGTGGCGAGCGTGTTGTCGTTGGCATCGCGGTGCGGCGAGGAGGAAGAAGACGAGGGCAGGGGCTGGGAGGCCGGGGCCAGCACGCGGCTGAGGTTCCTGAGTATGTCCCTGGGCGTCTCGCGCTGGTCGCGCAAGCTGCGTCGCCGGGTGCGGCCGGGGGTGAACAGGGTGCGGCGGCGCTGGTCAATAGCCCGGATGGCGGCGCGCGCGTGCGGTGTGGCAGCACCCCCGGGACGACGAGCCGAGGCGGAGAGGCGCGCTGATGTTGGGTCGGCGCTCAGGGCGCGGCGACTGGGCGTCGTCGTCGTCGTCGCCGCGCCCGGCGTTGCAGGGGCCGCCAGACGGTTGCGACCGGCCGAGGAGGGGATGTTTGAGGCCATCACGGAGCGACGGGGCGGGCGCACTCGATGCAATTGCCCATGGAGCTTTGCGATGGGGGCCCAGAGGAGTGCTCGAGACCTTGTGCGGACGTTGGGGACTCCGGGAAGACGGTGATGACTGTGTACCCGTTCTCTGGGAAGTTCGATCGTCGACTGGACCAACCGGCGATAATCCAGTCCAATGCAGTTGATGGTATACTGTGCACTACAGCACCGACGCGCTTGAGCTACCCCCGAGACGCGTTCCGCTTTAGTGGAGTGGATCACCTAAGCACGTGGTTCTGCGCGTAAGTGCAGTAAATACTATGTACAGTACGTGCCCCAAGCTGCAACAGTCCACTAACTTATCGATAACACGCGGCTCCAGCAGCGTCCAGTTTAGGCGACTGACTGCAGTGTGATGGTGGGGTAGAAACCCGTTTCTGAACCTGGACCCCCCTGGCAACTTCACCTACATAGGTAGTACGGGCAGGCCAGGCAGGCCAGGGTAGCTTGAATAGCTCCGGTTGGGTGGGTTTGTCGTCGGCTTGTCTCGTTTTGTCTTTGACGCAGCAGTCAGAATCGAGTATACTCCGAGGGCAGCGTTTGAAACCGTTTTACATGCATGCCTTTCGATCCGACCATTTCTGCCCTCCAGGATCTGAGAGGGTTCTGTCAGTGGGACTCCCGGTCTTGTGTCTGTGTCTGTCTGTGTGTCGCTTCTGGTGGTATGACTCGGGTAACGGTATATAGTTGCATGGCGACTGCCGAGTATAGTCACAATCATTACCAAACATCCCGAAAGCCCCCGGCTCCCGAGGGCATCAACGATCCAGGCACAGATCTAGGTAACTGCCTGGACATTTCGACGGGGATCAGGGTACGTAATGGCACACGGGCTCCGATAAAGGCGGCTCGGGACAGCCCGATCGTTGGGCATATCACTGAGACATACACCCTGCCGGCAAGCATAATAAAAAGACGATCAATCCATCCAAGTAGGAAGATCACGGGCCTGGCCTATTGGCGACTGCTCGGAAGAACCCGAGAGGTAAGGGGTTTACATAGTATTGCTCCATTGCATCTGAGGAGGACGGCAGGGTGAGCTACCAGGTGGTGTGGGTGTCCCAGTGCATTGCCAGCAGCAAATCGGCGGAAACACTCGTAGGAGCTGTAACTCATCGGGAGATGCCAAGCTCGTTCACAGGAGCTCCCTGGAGCTGTCACCGAGTCGGGCGGCACGCTTCGCGCGAATGGTTGGTCGTGGAGGCATCTCAAGTCGGGGAATTTGCTGCTGCTCAGCCTTTGGGTTTGGGTGCAGAGTCCAGGCTGGTTCAGCGAATCGTAACCGGCGCCGCTTGCGCCTGGACAGAGCGCTAACCCCTCTCAACCAAAACTCCGGGAACCCCTGACGACAGCGGCCTTCGACAGGTGTTCCATTGGATTTAGGTTGTTACAAGTGCTGCGTCAAGTGGCGCTCCAACTCCTCTACCACGGACCTGGCAACCTGCAGCCTCTGGAGTCGGGACAGGGCAAGGGACGCGCGACCTGGAAGCCCAGCCGCGGCAGAGATAATGGGCAAGATGGGCTCATCGTGGGCTCATCGGCCGGATGGCAGACTGGCAGAGATTTCCGCCGTGGCCAGATCTTGTGTCATGGCAGGCTGTCAGGACTGGAGATCACGGCTGGGTGATGTCGAGAGCTGCTGCCAAGCGCAGACCCCAAAGTCCAGGAGAAACACTAACCATGGCCCTGTGTTTCAACTTGACCAGCTCGCGACGGATTCAGGTCTCTCAAGCTCCCGCCAGCCCCTCTACGCCGAGATCAGACGCAGCCAGCTTGTTGCAACTCGGAGTGAGGCAAGCAGACTTCGTCCGACCTCGAGATCCTCTTTTGACTTTTGTTTCCGAGCTCGAAAAGAAGGGTGGTCCGCCAGCGGCCAACAGTCAACGGGTAAGTTTATTCGCAATCACATGGCAAGTGATGTGCATTTCATCCTTCAGCAACCGATCCCGTCGACCCTCTTCGACAAGGAGGCGGCATTGTATGATTGCATGTATCTATGGGAACGGGAGCATCTACTCACACCACCACTACCACCACCACCACCATCACCATCGCCTTTGATCATTGTAGCGTAGAGAACTGCCGCAGCTTGATACCGCTTTGCCCCAAGCTACTGTAGCTTGACGCAACCGCACGTACGTCCAGTTTGACCACAAGAGCCCCAAGACATCCTCCTCCTCATGCTGCCGCTGCCACTGGTGCTGCAACCAGCACCCCTCCATATTCCAACGGCCAAACGGTTCGAGTGTGAAGGGCTGCACGAGCGAGGCGAGCCAGCCAAGATGGCGGTGGGTACCAAACTAGATGCTCTCCAAGTTACATACAATACATACAAACATCTGGCGCACATCCAACGATGAGACTCCCGATGGCAAGCTGCGAGGCCAGTGCCAGTGTCAGTGTTGCAGCAGTCCAGTGACGACGCGGATGCTACGCTGCCTAACTTACCCGACATGAGTAGCTACCTAGTCTCGTCATTATGGTCAATGTGAACGAACGACCCGTCGGATCTACAGCTCTACAGACTACAGAGCGGCCTCGCAGCGGTGGTGCGTGGTAGTGGAGCCCTTGGATGGAACGCCCGCGATGGAACGGCGTCGGGGTCCAGTCTGGCAATGGAGACGCGTGGGCGCGTCGGCGGGCGGTTTAGCGTTCGAGGTCGATGGTCATTGGGCCCCTAGGCCCCTAGGCCCCTGGGGGAGACAAGACTCTCCTTGCCCCAAGCCGGCTTCAGCCTTCAGCAGCCAGTGTGATGAAAGAACGGGCCTTGTCGTCAGCGCAGGGCCTGTCCCGCCCCGTCTGCCCGCCCGCCCGCGCCAGCGTCGCCCACGGCCCTTGGCCCATGGCCCATGGCCCATCTTTCTTCTCATCCATTCCCATCCGCCCATCCATCCATCCATCCATCCAATCTCCAGGGCTCCTGGTCCCCCGTCAGTCCCCATCCACGTCTGCTCCAGTAGCACTGAAGGCCCCCCCCCGTACACCCCCCGGTCCCAAGTCGGGACACACACACACACACACCTCTCTCTCTCTCTCGCGGCGTGCGCACACCCTCACCTGCAACCTCCTTGCGACCCTGCGGCACCTCCTCGTTCCGGTTGTGTCAAAACATTTTTGACCTTTATGCAGCAGATCTACAGTAGCAGCCCGCAGCCGAATCGTCCTTGAAGTGCAGCTGTCCGTGTCCATCTTCAATCCTCCCATCACTCCCAAGAATCTTGAGAGGTTTGCTCTGAACGCTGGACCGAACTTGCAGCACCGCCCGTGGCTATCAAGCTACAGTATCTCCTATCTGCCGCCGCCGCCGCCCGCTGCTACCTCGCTGCTGCTGCTGCTCATCATCGTTGATCCCGGCCAGCGCCTTGCCAGAAAAACCCCCCCGTAATCTAATCGCCCGCCGCCGCCCGTGCTCCCAGCCCAGCAGCCCAGCAGCCCAGCAGGCCCAGCAGGCCCAGCCAGACGCCATCAACTCGACTGGGGAATTCGCACCATTGCCACAGTCCATCACCGCATTTCTTGCCTGTGCTACCGACTTGTCCCCAGCTCGCCCAGCTCGCCCATCCTCCGCGCATTTCACCTTCGAGCATCGCAGCTTGTTGATTTCTCGCCCTTCTCGTCTTCTCTCCCTCCAAACATCCCGCATATCCCACCATGGCTGCTTCAGCAGTCCAGTCGCTCAAGGTATGATCTTCCCGCTGTCTTCCCCCCCAAGCTGCCCCAACTGCTCTCCAACCCCCAATTCCCAGTCCCCTAATCAACAAATCTGCCCCCCTTTCGATGCGAGAAAGCAATGCTGACGTGTATCCCCTGGTCTAGTGCGTCGTTACCGGTGACGGTGCTGTCGGAAAGGTGTGTGACCAACCTACCTGCCCGCCCGCCTGGCCTCTGCGAGGGTCGTTCGACGGCGACGACTGGCGAGCGCGATCCCTGACGCTGACCCGGCATTCTAGACATGTCTCCTCATCTCATACACGACGAACGCATTCCCCGGCGAATACATCCCCACAGTGTTAGTCCCTGCCTCTCGGTCCCCAGCTGCGCGGCCGCCCCCTCGGGGTCGTGCCACTCGGGAGCAACAGCTGATCTAGGGTTGAAATTGCAGCTTCGACAACTACTCGGCAAGTGTGATGGTCGATGGCAAGCCGATTAGCTTGGGTCTCTGGGATACGGCTGGTCAGGAGGATTACGATCGTTTGCGGCCGCTCTCCTACCCCCAGACCGATGTCTTCCTCATCTGCTTCTCCATCGTCAGCCCGCCCTCGTTTGATAACGTAAAGGCAAAGGTGAGCCGCCCAGCCGCAACCCGCACCTCCGTGACGCCGGCCGCCAGCTAAACGCTTCCACAGTGGTACCCTGAAATCGATCACCATGCGCCCAATGTGCCCGTCATCCTGGTCGGCACCAAGCTCGATTTGCGAGAGGATCCTGCCACACTCGAGAGTCTGCGCTCTAAGAGAATGGAACCCGTATCATACGACCAGGCTCTGGTTTGCGCCAAGGAGATCCGCGCCGTCAAGTACCTCGAATGTTCCGCGTTGACGCAAAGAAACCTGAAGAGCGTCTTTGACGAGGCCATCCGGTAGGTGACCCATGAATGCTCGGGCGATCCCGTGTTGCCAGTCCCACATGTGGACGCGGGCCGCTGACCCCTAGACCAGAGCTGTCCTCAACCCCCGGCCGCAAGTCACGAAACAAAAGAAGTCCAAGTGCACCATCCTATAGGCGCCTCAGCGAACTGATCGTCGAATGCTGCGAGGGAGTGGGAAGGGCCGAGTTCTGCACAAATATTCCAACTTGTGCTCGCGCACGTGAAGCCGGCCACAGAAACAGTCAATTTATTGGTGCGAATGTCGATGCATAGGCGTTCATGGTGGTAATTGAGCAGGGAAGACGACTATTTCGCCGGATGAGGGATCGAAACGACGTGCTTCTTGTGTTATCCCACGTCCCCTCATTTTCTTTTTTCTGGACTTTATAACTCTACATACCCGTTGACCTTTGGGACCCTTTGGGCGGTATCTGCTTGCGTTTGAGAGGGGCCCCTTTATCGCGGGCTGGCTTGGGGGAGGGAACTGTTGGGGCAAGTCTAGATTGGGGAGAGTGCTGCCTCTTCCTCTCAGTTTGGGGGACTCGAGCGTTTTCACTTCTGACCTCTCGTTTGGGTAAACTTGGTTCTAGCCAAGCCTTCCTATGTACTGGAGATAAGAATGGAAAGCCCTTGATCTTCACACACTTCTCACACCCAGAAACACACACTCACACACACATACACATACACACACACTGTCGTAGATGGTACCAGCGGGTTTTGCATTTGCACGTCTATCCAAAGGATATTGAAATCTTTCTTTTTTTTTCCCCTCGTATACTCAGACCTGTAGATAGCGCATACGTGAGATTGAGAAAGACATAAAAGGTGAATCCAGTCACAATTGTCAGCAGCATGTCCGATTTCCACATACCCAAACAGTGTCTGTCCAGAAGACTGTACTATAGCAGCACCATACGCAGTGGGTCCTACAGAGCGTGGATTCGTCCTAGACTTTGAGTTCAAGCTACGGGTGCCCTGTTGTATCAAACAACACACGGCGTTGGGCTAGGACACATGTTACAGAATAGGGGAAGCAGAGGCCGCGGCTGGCTGGCTAGCAAACGCAAGAAGCCCGTCAAATTTGCTCCACTTGACAAGTCGCCTTGGAGAAGATGGAAATATACAATTTACAAGACCATGGGATAAAGCTAGATTGCTTGTCCTCATAATTTGTTATCTCTGCCATGAGCGACAGCGGTTCGACTTTGGAGGCGCATTTGCTCAACTTGATCATGGAAACTGAATTGATGAGCTCTTCTATCCACGAGATTCGATTCATAGAAAATACAACGACTACCAACACCGCATGTAGAGAAGACACACACACCAGTCCAGATTGGATTAAGAGATGTAGCAGAAATCCCCCTCACGTGTAACCCCACGACGCATTGACGTAGATGTCCAGCGCCAGCATGGCCGACGCCCACAGCATGAGCCCGACGTACGACGGCCGGTGCCTCTCGGCCGTCTCGCTGGCCGTCACCATCCACGGCCGCGTGGGCGCCGCGGAGCTGGCGTTGGGGCCGACAAACGACGTGATGATGGGACCGCCGCCGGCGTCGTGGCTGCTCCCCAACTCGGGCATCGAGAAGGCCGGGAGCAGGCCGCCGGAGTTCACTGTGGTTGTCACCGTGACGAGGTTGGTGATGGTCAAGATCGGTCCAACACCGCCGTTTCCGTTGCCTGGGGTGTTGCCGGCCTGCCCGCTTGCACCAGGAAAAGGGGTCACGCCCATCGGAGACGTGTTGCCGGCGGCGGTGACCGTCCCGGTGGTTGTCACCCAGGCCGTGGTCGTGGTGGTCGGTCCAAAGCCCTGCCCACCGGCGCTGTCCTGCCGCAGTTGGAGGCCTGGCACTTCGGGGAGCTCGCGGCCGGCGAGGTACTCGACTTCCCGGGCACGCAGCAGCTCGGGATCGGCACTATTGGAGGCTTCCATGTGTATCTCGGCGCCGCTGGCGATGCAGGTGTGCATACTGTGAAGGAGGGCGGGACCATAGTCGGGCCCGTCGCACTGGGCGTACAGGCACTGGAAGAGAGACTGCCATGTCGTGTTAAAGCCTGGATCTGAGAACCGCACCGGAACGCAGCCAGGTGGGAGAAGGGTAGATCGATAAGGGGTGTACCAACTTTCTGGTAATGTTCTTCGTGACACAGACAATTCATGTCTAGACATGGCGTAATGAACATGCTGTCTACCATGCAACGAGTTGCGCAGCCTGGTAACGAATCAGCACATAAGTACATTTGTGCCAGAAGATCCGGTCTCCACGGCGAAACGAACTCGGCTGTTCTATGCTCACGCCTTGGAGAGCAACGACACGTATAACCAATAGTAGCACAAGCGCGGATGGAGAGGTACTAGTTCCCATGACGAAAGAATTCGGAAATGATGGTCAGTGAGCTGAAAGGGGTGAGAGCGAGTGTTTGGAGGTAGGATGGGCGAGCTGGGGTGCTCTTTTTCTCTTGTTTTGTTGTTTTTCTCGTGCTTTTCTGATCCAATAAATCGTACGAAGCGAAGGACTGCAGTGGTAAAGGATGGTCACCAAGAAGATCAACCAAAAAAGGGGGATCGGGTGCTGCTGATGCTCTGCGTGTCCAAAAAAAGAGCGTAGGAAAAGTGTCTTTGCTGTGATGCCGGCGGGATCGAGGAGGACGAAGGAGACGGAGGGTGATGGAGAGGTGAAGTCGAGATCTGATGGATCGACCAGACGACACATTCGCTCAACTGGGACGGTCATGTTTTCCGGGTCAAGTATCGTCGCTGCCGGGGAAAACGAAGGTAGCTGCCAATGAACGTAACTTCCCAAGGTCTTGGCTATCCTCGGGGCGACCCTTGACGACCGAATTGTCTGCAACTTCCTCAGGTGCAACCCACATCCTCGGCATCGTGGCCCGTCATTCACATGAGTTTGGTTTTGGTCAGGGCCGTAGGGGTAGCATCTGCTCGCACGTTTCACAGACAGGTCAAACATCTATATTTCGTGAACAATTTTGAGGGTATTGAGAAATCTCCTGCCAGTGCCTTGTGTCCATTGCACCAAACGCCGAATAAAATGCAGCAAGGATGTTGAGTATCGCGAAGGGCGCCATCCTAATAGAACAACAGGTGTAGGGGCTTGTCCTCAGCTGCGTATCTCTCCTTGATCTCGGGCCTCGCTAGCCAGCGGGCCAGCGGCATCGTGATCTCCTTCATGTCGAGAATGCCTCTCTTCTTCTGGTCAATGTGCGATGCGTCGATCACAAGCCGTTGGAGCTTGTCTAACGATAACGCGCCTGTCGTTTTGTCAGTATCACGGCCACGTAAGGACCTGAATCTTCCCTGGGCTTACCGTTCTCAACGAGGTCAATCAGCCTCTGCGGGGTTCCTACTGCAAGCCCTGTACGGTGCGACTGAAGATACTTGATGGACTCGTCGATCTTGATATGCTTGGCAAACTACAGTGTCTAGTCAGCATCCCTGCTCAGTAGACGTCAGGAAGAACGGCATACCAGCTTGGCCACCGAGTTGTCCTTGGACTGAAATTTCCTCACAGCCCTAACGACGTCTGCGGCTCGCAATCCGGCCCCAGCCACGATGATCGTGTGAGGTGCGCCCTTCTGCTTGGGCGCCTTGCTCAGAGTCTGGGGTTCCTTTGAGAACTTCTCCAGAAACTCGGGCAATTTAGCCAGAGTCCTGGGCTCCTGCCACGAGGTAGTGTCCTGTATAGAGCTTGCTGCGACTATAATCAGTGTCTGCGTCCCCAGCCGGGTGTACTAGGTCTCTCACGTGAGATATAGAGATCCGCCAATTCGACCGAGCTCAGGTCCGTGCCGAACCTGGTCGTTCTCTGTGCGAGGTGGTCGGCCATGAGCTGAGGGTCCATCAAAGCGACTCCGGTGTTGACGCCAAGTTCGGTGTCTAAGAGGCTATCATCCTGCTCGTAGCCAGTCTTTCTCTTCTTCCGGCGGCCACCATCGTCCTCGCGGGATCGCTTCTTGGACTTGGCCTTGGAAGCCAAAGCCTCAGATTTCACTTTGTTCTCCTGAGACATGACGCACCCGGTGAAAAAACTTGCTGTTGCAGATGTGCCCAGTGCCAGGAGTGTGATCTGATGCCAATGCAAAAATTTGGGCCTTCGAAAATTTACTTTACCGGGGCGGCTAAGCTTGGTAGCTACATACACCGGTGATGTGGAGGGGTTTCCATTATTGGTCCCTGCCCCGCTAATATTTATCAGACCTAGCGCTACCTATGAGTAGCCCTGCCTCGCGGCACGCTGGACGAAACAGTTACGCAGTTACTTTTTATAAGATCCAAAGGATGTCGCGCTGACGATGAACAAATAACGCAAGAACGCACTATGCTGCTAACTAGGAGCGATGGCGTAAGCAAGGCGATCCCCCTCTCTCACCTTGGCGTCAGTCTACGTCTACAGGAGCCCATAAGTCTACACACCCCCGGCGGCGGACTTCAGGGCCTACTTGGTATGATATAGGGGTGCTGGGTACAAACAGCGATACCTGCACGATCCGGCCAAGTCGCCCAAGAAGGGAATGAAGTGCAACCTGTATGTCAAGTTGTCCTCTTGCCAATACCCAATTATCTCACCGGACATATTTCAGCTGTTCCTGTTCCTTTCCCGCAAAACCTTGCCTCTCAGATAGGATCGACCCCTGCAACCAGACCGTCGCCTAGCGCTCATTGACCAATGTTCACAAGTACCGTTTTGGGTCAGGCACTTGGAGAACCTGCATAGAGTCCTTCAATCACATATAAGCCAGTGGTATATAACGAACACGTTCCAAGCTCTTCTCTGGCTCTCGAGAGCACCATGTCTGTCATGACAACCAAAACTACCTACCTCGGTGGGAAGGGGGGGGGGGGGGG